GCGTATCCCCTGGAATACCATGCCGTGACAATGTAGGTATACGGTATACACGTAGGCTTGCGAGACGTTGAAAGAGGTTGCTGTCGTCATTGTCGTCGCTGTGTGCACTAGGTAGGTGCATAGGTGGCATGGTTTCCCCACCGAGACAGCTGGAATACGCGGGAACCTAGTACAGCTGAATTATTTCCATGTTACGCCCCTCCGCGTTGGGATAAAGGACCGGGTAGCAGTGTAGGTGTAGCCTCTGTCCTGATCCTTAGGTTAGAGACGTTACCTAGGTGTATGGTGGGTATTTTCACCTAGGGCGGGACAAATTTCCAGGTAACCAACAGGCACGACAGGCACGTGTGCGCCGTATCCGAGATGGGAATAAGTACAATGTGTAACGATCCATTTCGGCTAAGATGGTATCCTCAGATCACGGCCTTCTTTTTTTGTCACAGCATTTCTCGTGTGAACCTCTGACAGCTGGCTAATCGTCTGTTTAGAGGTTGTATGGAACATAGACACATTACCTATTCCGTGGAGCACACGACGTGGAGCATTAAAAAAAGGTTGTGTCGGTTACATTTGGCTTGTCTCGGGAGTCTCCAGTCGCTCCAGTTGTCAGATCTAGATCCAAGTTGCTGGGTATCGACGTGTGGCTGAGCCTATAAGCCTGTAAGGTACCGAACCTGGACGCCCAACGCCGCTAATATGCGGGGGAAGAACGGAAAGACGCGTTCATACTTCGCACTACGGTAACCGTACAGGTCCTACTAAGGTGGACACTAAAATTATCCATAAGGCCCTGGGCCCTGGGGACATCGGATTTGCATGCAACAAGCCACAGACCCGGGCCTGACCGATGTTCTGGTAATGTGTGTAGGGACTTATCATATTTTTGGATTTAACTCACTTGTGCAGCTGCAGTCATACGGTGAGGTTATACAAAGGAGAAAATAGTAATGATGAAAATGAAATTAGAAAGAAAATCCATTCGCATTGTAAGGTGACTCAAGACGGTTGTCTTGAACTTCGTGTTCTGGAGCATCTCCGGAAGTGAGTAACAGTCCCACGTGGACGCCATCGCACGCCATTAAACGCCATGAAAAACAAAAGAGGGTATGAAGAAGAAAGAGTGTATGCGCACACATACCTAACCTAGTTGAATGTCACATCAGCCGCAGGTTCTAGGTAGGCCGGAAGATCGGGGACACAAGATCAAAGATGGGATTGTAGCATCGCATTCTCAACATTCCCATGGTTGGACCCATGGTTGGACCCATGTTCTAGGCGCGCCATCTTGTCAGCACCATAGATGAAAACGAATGCGCGGAGTTACCGCCCATGCCCCTGATCCTCTATGCCGTATGACCCCTAGCTAGTTAGGTATCTACAATTAATAGATATGTAGCGAGCACAGTAATACTAGGTACCCTGCTATTTGAGATAGCAACATTGGAGTAGATACCTAGCGGGTATCGCTTAGATGTGGATGGCTATGTTCGTAAGAGCGAGTATAGCCGACGTCAAGAATGAATCATAGATACATAGACACATACCTACGTAGTTACTTGGGCGGCCTCTAAATGTCAACGGGTACGGTAAGTAAAGAATTAATTCGGTAGTATCCATACATTCATTGGGTAGGTTATGTGATATAGTATAGGTAAGTATAGGTAATCGAGTAGATGGCATTGGAATAGAATAGTTGAAGAGCCTCAGATAGCGGGAACAAGCGACCGACACGGCACTGCCGATAGTGGATGTATTGTACTATGTATGCAAGGTGTGCGGTACCTGTGCTCAGATATGGTTAGAGTTGAGCACAGCCACTTTCCTTACCCGCAATACGTACAGTACAATATGTAGGCTACATCCCTGTACCGCAGTGCCGCGCAGCGTGTAGAATGTTCTAAGGTTCTATAGCACAACCTTTAATTTCTCTTTCTCCTCTTACCAAGCATACAGCGCATAGATTTAGTAGGTCCAGATCGCAATACTCTCCACACATCTTCGTGTCTATCAGTTCTGGACCAGACATGCATCGGTACGAACGAATATGCAGAAAATGTCGAACAATTCAATTTACTGCACGAGGTAAATATTACAAATAATATTTGAGATTTGAAATTAAAGAACCGACATGAAAAGAACCAAAAGATATAGAAGTGAAAAAGAAAGTTTTGTTGAAAAAAAAAAAGCAAAGATGTTCTAGTTCTAGCCTCCGAACGGCGAACCCCGTTGTTAGGTCGAGACTACTACTTAGGGATTAAGGGATTAGACTCAATTGATGCATCAATTGAATTTGTATAGTGATTCGATAGTAGAATTTTATTATGCGGGCTTTGCGCATCACGTGTACCGTTGAAACTACACTCCCCGAACCCGGGATCCGCCGTATGTGCCGATTTCTGCTGCTTTGCTATGATTTTTATTGTTGAATAGGGAAATATACCTAACTTGGGACATACTCCGGTACTCAAAGTGCAGAATGATCAATTCCCAAGCAATCCCAAGACTTAACAGTAGCGAGGACTCAAATACCTAAACATGCATGCATACCTATGTACAATATGTATGTACCTACTTACGCACCTCGGACTCATCGGTATCCGCATACGCTTTGACCGTTGGTTCGTTGTATGAACTTACTCTTTAGATTCCTAGATGCAACGCACGGTGCCTAGTAGGGCTGAATAATGTCAGCTTTGAATGCCGAAGACTTGATTCACGCCAGGCTCCTAATCTTCCAATGATTCCTAATTCCTCATGTCAGCACATGTTTGAAATCCGTAATCTACCGGAGACCAACTTTTTGTGTCACATTTCACTACAGGTAGACGCGCGTGTTGTATTGTAAACTCCGTCAGCTCCGAAATGCGAATAAAGAATCAGTACTACTAATAGTACAAAGACCGCGGAAGATTTGGAAAATGGCGCCCCGAGATATATTCGTTATGAAGCTAATTACTAAACACATTGATTCTCGGTATGCATGCAGTATAGCACTAGTTAGGTAGGTAACTGTATGTATTGAATGTAGGCAGACATGTATAGAGTTTATATGCTGTGCTATTGCGACTATGGGATGATAATAACCCGACTACCACGAGAGGTGACCTGATTGGTACCTGGCATGTGACCCCTTGCGGCTGCGATAGATCTCACTTCGCACGTGTAATCGGTGTAATCGGTATAATCGGTATAAAATTTATTTATGCCGACATCCAATATGATCTGACCCTATTATGTAGTAAAGAAATATTTGTTGAGGGACCTACGATGAAGTACACAATGGCTACATGCATCCAGATGGTAGATATAAATTGATTCGCAACCAGTTTCCTATGTAGGAAATAGTCCCAGAACATTGATAGTCTCGACCCTTTTTTGTTGTGTAGATTGTGGCTTGTGTGCGGTTCTAGAAGTGGCGGCGCAGCCAGCGGGCAGCCCTCCGCGGATAACCGGATATTCTTCGGGGTCGAGCCGAGGTCTCTCTTATATCCGGCCAGGGATTATACGAAATTGCTACATGTAGGTATGTTGGGTCTTTTCTTTAGGTACTATGTAGTTAGTTGGTAATGATGAGTATTGGTTGTGTCGGACGGCCATCGGGCTGGGCAGACCTAATAGGGGAGTAATGATGCATGACGTTAAACGGGAATAGGAAAGGATTATTTAAAAAAAAAAAGATTTCAAAAAAGCCAAAGATACATACCATCGACGGAGCATTTGTGCGACCCTCCATATACGATCGACCCAAAATTGCATCTTTGATCCAAAGCAAGGACAGCGCATCCCTGTTAAACTATGATCCCTGCCCAGCTATGTCTGTATGTACATGTACGATGTACTACACAAACCCGCATACATTCAGCATGGGAATACGTCATTCAAAGCCGCTAAAGCCAGGGCACCCCATGTAACGCACCCAGTTACACGGCATGTAGCATTTGAATTTCTCTCACGACTGTCATGCTCCTTTCTGCCCTCAACTCAGTCTGCTTCCTCATGGACTGGTACCTATTCGATACAAGCATCGAATCGGCATTGACGCACTCATGCATCTTCGGTGGAGATGAATTCTCTGCCATGATGAGGTATACCATTTGTTTGTGCAGTAAAGTGATCTATCTATACCCTTAGGTAACAATAAATACCATCATCAAACGCCGTAATTTCGTACATCATCAATCCATCCCGCTTCAAACAGAGGGAAAAAAAAACAAGTACACCTAAGCACACACCGATCGAACTCCGACAAACATCCACATATCTGAGTAGTCGGCCGAGTCGGAATCAGCAAACTGCTCGTAGACTAAAGACCTCGGATCGATTCAAGACAAATCATTCGAAGAACAAAGGCTTCCGACTGAAGGTTGATATAGGTTGGTTGGTGGTAAGGACCACATGACCTAGTACTTCATTATCAAACCATCATCGTTACTCCCCATTACCACCTGACCATTACTCATCCGACTCAAGAGGAGAGAAAGAGAATCAAAGTCACAAAACTTCCAGGACTTGTCGATTCACCAAACAATAGCGTCTCTTTCTTAATTGGGTGACTGGATCGGTGGGATCCGGTTCCGAGTCGTTCTAGTTCCTAATAAGGTTACTAAGGGTCCTAAGGTAAGGTCTGGTTCACTTTTGTCATTCGGAGGTATATCAATATGTACCTTGATACCTACCTAGTGGTATGTAAGAAGAAAGGAACATTATGTACTTGGCAAGGTTCCTTGTACCGAAGTATCCAAGTACCATGCATACCCCAGCCAATTTTTCTCCCTCCCTGTTAGATGGACCCTCCGTATTTATAAGTCATGACGGTTCGCCACTGCCTCAGCTTTCCACCCCACACTTCATATTCATACAACAGGAAACTAAACAACAACATTATTTTTATTTTATTATGTTAGTATTATTACACTGAGCTAATATTACAACTGCCAGAGTCACCACACTCTAATATCTACTACTACTACAACAGCAACAAAAATAACAACAACACAACATCAACAAAGACATAATACCCATCATATCGAATCGACTCACAACATATATCTGCGCTCTTGACTGATCGCATCATCATACAATATGATGCAGATGCTTGATCACAATACATATTCATCAAGAACTCACCAACCTTACCCGTTCTTCTCTCAACAACACCTCGATACCAACCCGAGTACAAATACCCTTCCTACCAGGACGAACGGCTTCCACCACTCTACATCTCTCTCGAACCTAGACACAGCTGCCGCCGCCATCGCCGCAACACAAAGATATAGGACGACTACAACACCGTCTCAGCAGGGATTTGACGGAGGAAACAGCAGCCAGAGTTTAAGCCAGGTTCCAGATTTAATGCCTTCGGATTCGTGGGTTCTTCACAGCAACCAACAGACACCTAGGGCGACACATCGCTTCAGCCATCAGCGCGAGTCCTCCCTCTCGTCGCTAGGGTCCAACGGTCCGGCTTCACCATATAATGCCAACACATCGAATCCGCAGATCGCGGTTGCCGACTCGAGTAACGACGGGTATCACGACATAGGAGGTGGCGAAAACAACTATGCTTACAACATGGCAAAGTCACTGCCTCTATCCGTCTCCTTTTACAGCAATGGGTTGGCCAATTTCAACACCAACAACCGCGATGGCAACAACGCCGGCAACAACCACAACCATAACAATCGCGATGCTTTCAATCACCAGCAAATGCCGCGCGACATTACCTCGGCTGACAGCTTACCAAATCTGACGAATCAGCAACATAAACTACGAAGTGACCGAGGCTTAGCACCGGCTCCTGACATGTCGATTGGTGGTTGTGGTAGTTCGTCTGGAAGGTCACATCCCGTCTCGGTGGCAAGTTCAGTGGCAGGCGGTGACTCACCAGCTACGCCATCCTTCCACGAGCCAGAAGATGACTGTCGAAGGTCACGGAATGGTGAGGCCTCCTTCCTGACCGCTCAATCTTTATCAGATTTGGATTATGATTATGAAGAGTGCTTACATTCTTTCTATGGTTCAGTTTTTCAAAACCAACAAGTTCCAAAATTAGATCGCACGATGACCGATATCTACAACGACGAGCTATATAACCCAAACTTCACCATCACATCAGCTTCTCCGCCGCCACCCTCGCAGATGGCAATGTCGCCAACCAACGAGATGTTTGCCCAGAGACTCCAAGCCGCCAATAGCCAACGTTTGAGTGCTGTCCAGTCTCCCGTTTCAAGCGCGTCGCGAGAAGATCAGTCGCCTTTTCGCCATGGTTCTCCATTTGCCTCTACTATGAATGAACTTCCCCAGGTTGGCATGGACCAAATGCGCTTTGGGTCTGCGCGACACATTCATCAACAGAGGAAGGCGGAACGAGATGCGCAAGAGCTTCAACAACAGATGGCACGCAACACTGCCCAGCAGCAAGGCACCCCAAATACCATCTCGCCAAAAGATGCTATGCTCGATTTCAATGAATCAGATGATGGTTCGAACATGCCGTTGTTCCCACCGCAGGAGTCAAACAACTACCACCTGGAGCCGGCAAACAATGAAAACACAGCTACAGTCTCCGGGAACATATCTCAGCAATCGAGCCCGTCTTTTCATTCGGTGGCCTCTACTCCTATACATAGCGGATTCAACTTCTCCATGCCCAGCAACATCCAGATTCCGCAACAATACCCGTTTGTTCATCGATCGCAGCAACATCACTCAACACCTACGGCATCGAACTATTCGAGAGTGAGCTCGGCTGAAGTAAGCAATTCTGATGGTGGTGATGGACCCACTCAAAAGCCCCCGGGGGTTAATATGGATGGAGGTACATACACTTGCACGTACCATGGTTGTACCCTGCGCTTCGAGACACCAGCATTACTACAAAAGCACAAGCGCGAGGGACATCGGCAAGCAAATGCAATCAATCACGTCAGATCATCCCCGTCGACGTCGACTGTCATACCAGGTACGGTGCTGAACAGCCAGGCCGGACCACACAAGTGCGAGAGAATCAACCCGAGCACAGGCAAGCCGTGTAATACAATATTCTCCAGACCCTACGACCTCACGCGACACGAGGATACGATTCATAACGCACGCAAGCAAAAGGTGCGTTGCAATCTATGCACGGAAGAGAAGACATTCAGTCGAGCGGATGCGCTCACAAGGCATTACCGCGTCTGCCACCCGGATGTCGAATTCCCGGGCAAGCACCGTAGACGAGGTGGTGTTGGTGTGTGAGCTGGCGCTGGCGTAGGCGCACAATGTGGTTCGCTGTTCTACTACAGTGGTACCCATTGCTACTATGCTATCTAGTTTTTACTGGAAGGATCTGGAATATTCAGAAACCGAAAGCAAAAGCATGCACAAAAAAAAGCCAGATGTGCCCAATGCATGGATGCAATGCAAAGCCGAGGTGTTCAGGCCCTACAGGCCCTACTACAAGGCTTTCCCCTATTAGAGGGCCTAGTTGACAGGGTGGGGTTCCGAGGACGTTGGAAGATGCGGATCGGTATCAAGGGTCCAGCGTCAATCAATCTGCAGGGTCCTGCGGGCCTAACGATGCACCAAGCTAGTTAGGGCATGGTCGAATTTAGCGGTGCTCCGGCATCCTCTAGTTTGAGCCACGGACCCACCGCTGATCAATCAAGGAACATTAGGACCCTTGAGTTTGGGCTCGTTCCCCGCAGCACCATGACTGGCTCTGGCGCTTTATGACGTCTACCTATGACGTACCACCCCAGAGGCTTTTTGGACGTGGATCCCCTCTCCAGACCAGAACCCCTCCAGAATGTACCAGAATCCCCATATCCCCCCGATAAGCTCCAGAACGCCCTAAAGGAACAAGGGCCTTGGCCTCGAGGTACAACAGCATCACCACCTACATCATATCCCATATCGCCTATCATGGGTTTGCATCATCGACGCCTTTTCTGGTGCATTCTTCCGGTACCGATCATCTTCGATTCCGTTTCTAATGAGGTACATGTACCCATAAGCCTGTCCATCATACCCATCATATACATCATATACATCATACCATCCATTTTCTTGTACGAGAACGCCATTATGATGTTTTGCATCTGTCATTTTGCATTGCGGAATCTTTTTTATTTTTGATTTATTTATTTATTCTGGAACCCCAAACCAATTTAGGCGTCATTTTAGGGGGGCAGAAATACACCGGGAGGAGGGATGAAATTTTGGATTCTTTAATCTATTATCTCCCTCCATCTGCGTCATGTACATTTTCTTTCTTTTTTTTTTTCACTATATCGAGGACAAAGGGGCTTTTGGGTACCTATAGACATGGGTGATAAAAAAATCGCCGGTTCGGATCAGCGATGATTATTCTTTCTTATCATCTTTTCCTTTTCCCCTGTTCTATATTATTTTAATTTCCGTCATTGTTCTACTTTATCTGTATAAATTTGAATTTTTCCTGCACTGCCCAATGAATGGGCAGCATACACTGGCAAGCACCGGGAGCTCGCTTGCTGTACGATATCCGAGAAGAGAAGAAAGGAGGGGGGAGTACAAAAGAATGATAAATCATGGCCCTCTTTCCCGACGAATAAGGGGTGGACGGGACAAAAAAAGGGGAAAAGGCCTCTATGACGAGACGAGACGAATACCTCTCTAATAACGAAGTGTATGATCAAAACAAGCGAATCTGTTTCTACTATTATCTTTTTCTTTTTTCTTACTGGGTGTCGGCAACATGGCATATCTATCATACATGCATGCATGGCATATTACATACGCGAAAAATCTATACTGGGTATACGTGGGCGCAGGGTACTATCTAAAAAGAACAAGATTAAAAAGAAGAAGATATTAATTTGTGTTGTTGGCTACTTACTAGAGACTGTATATTATATATGATACCAACTGATAAGTGTGTTGTATACATACTACTATTACCACTATTACTAGAGAATGAAAACAATGCCCTGCGAAGGCTATTTAATGCTATTTACCTACTACTTCAAGTACTACTGCTATGATTCGTTCATTTATGTCCTGCATACACAATTCGTGCGCATGTAATGTATATGTATATGTATATGCCCTACACATAACATTATGTATGTAAGTGGCTGCATGATAAACTTGGTTCTGCGCGTGAGTATACCTTATATGTATGTAGGCCACCTACCTACATACATCTACATGCCTACCTTATATACATACATACACATTGATATCCATACCTGCGATGTATGTATGTATGTATGTATGTGTGTATGTACGCAACGTAGGCGAGTACATACATAAGTGGGCAAGTAGGAAGGTAGGTAGCTGGAGGTACTGTATGTAAACAATAGTTATACTACCTACCTACCTACGCATACATACGTGTCTCATCCTGACAAGCGTTGCAGCAGGCAGGCAGGGCGGGCAGAAAAGCAAAAGAGAGAGGTGGGGGGGGGGTTAAAAAGCTTATTGATAGGGTAGGTATGTAGGTATGGATTCGATTGATTGATTTGACATTGATGGTACAATACACTAAGATCTATGTATGTAGGTATGGGATTTGAGTGGCTGCTAGGTAGTACCGACCCTTTTTTTGGTGGAAGCGCGATTGGTTGGGTATGCAGTTATGGTTATTTTATTTTTGGCGCATTAGCTAACCTAGAGCTTTGATATTGGTACTGTAAGTAAGGATGTAGGTAAGGTAGGTAGACAGGTAGGGGAGCTATGATGCCGATGCTACGCTGTGTATAACTAACTAGTTATACCTCGGCCTTAATTTTTTGGGTTTTGTCGTGTTGAGTCTGACATACATGCATACATACATACCTACAGTATAATTACCTCCCTACATATTTACCTGCCTTACCTACCTACCTACCTACTTATGTACCCACGATGCAAGCCAAGAAGTTTTGTTTCCAAGTAGGCTAACTTGAGGTTAGGTAGAGCTGTCGTAGGATGCATTGCATGGGGACGAATGGAATATGGGGGGGGGGGTTGAAGTTGGAGATGTAGACGACTGGTGCGGGATGTCTCCACGTACGTAGGTTAGCTTTTTAGAGGTAAGTATGTTAGTTATATGTAAGCATTCATTCATTCATTTTCATAAGGCGCCGGCGTGGGCGCGTGCAGAAACTATCGTGTGTATGTATGTATGTATGTTTGTAAGTATGTATGCACGTAAAAACAAAGCCTGCTTCGTAGAGGCGTTGCTGCTGCTGCTGCTGCTGATATGTAAGTGTTGTAGTTGTTGTTGTTGTAAGGCATCATCTTACCCTCCCCACCTACCTACATACATATTACCGCTATACCTACCGTACTTGCTGAGCTTACAGGACACATGCCTCAGTGCTACCTGCATCAATGTGTGGCGTAAGAAACACAGAGCCTTATTATTAGTTTAGTTACAGTACATAGTTAAAGAAAGAGATAAAGAAATAATAAGAAAAGAAAGTACTAAAAAAAGGACCGGCTTAAGAGATTTGAAGCTTGGGCCATTTTCAAGTTACACCCGCGTAAGCACCTTAAACAACCGCGGGGCTAATGTTCTTTAGTACGTATTAATACAATACAGTACCTACGGTTACCTATAACACAGGGGCATATGAGTACCTATTTTTACTATTGGCCTTCAAGTAACTACACTACGCTTTTCGGTGTATGATCTTGCTTTATTCCATCCATCCATCCATCCATCTATCTTCCTTCTTTTCAATTCATCCTACCGATATATATTAATATCTGCCCATCCACTCATTCCCTTAATAGTAGCACAAACATGTGTGTAACTATGTATGTATGTATGTACGTAGGGCAGCGAACCTATAGGTAGGTACTGTACGTAGGGTTTATGTTTACATATGTAGGTGTAAACACCTGATGTACTCCTACATACTCCCTGTCTCCTCCCTCTTACACACACACAGGAGTGACAGGACACACACACACACACACACATACCTGCACTACTGCGCGACATGCATGCTCGTTGCATTCCCCCCAGCCACGAGTGATGTAATCGAGCATACGAAAGGGGTCAGAACCTTTATTACCCTGCATACATACATACATACCTAGTGTATCTAAGGCTGGCTATCTTACATACATACATACATGCATACTGTACCTCCCTTGTATTGTACCCAAAGGTTCAGGTAATTACCTAAATTAATTAAAAGTCAAGAGCCGGTTTTCCTTGCTGCTGTATGTATGTAACTTATAAGCCTCAACCATTGATTTGAGGCGTGCTTGTTTTAATATCCATGTACATAGCCTTGGAAGTTGATGTATGTATGTACATCCAATATACATGTACCTAAAGCCTTAGTACTCGTATTGCTTGGTTGCGGAACTGCGATTAGCTTCCGAGGCATGCGCCGAGATGTACCTAAATACACAATTGATGCTTGTAAAATCGACATACATGTAACTAAAAAAAAAAAAAACGAGGTACATTTCCGGTAGGCACATAGGAATGTATGTACATACATGTATGTATCTAATCTCGTATGTACATGTATGCATCCATCAATCAAGGCTCTGCAATAACCATCATTACTAGGTATCTGATGCTAAGTAAAAGTCTTTTCCTTGATTTTCGTCGATCGATCATGTATTTTTGCATAGTACATACCTACATATGTATGTACTCGGCTATAGCCGAAAGCAAGAACTTGAAAGAAACCAACTGCTGCATCGATGAACAAGAAACGTCTGTAACGAACCAGAGCCGAGGTATGTACGTTACCACTATGTAGTTAGTTACTCGATTGCTAAGCCACAAATGTCTTGGAACCAACTAGCTAACTAGTTATCGAGATGTGGCTAATTACGTAGTCGACTTCAACTTATGGCTGTGCATCCACGCTAGCCCCACCTATTCTTAGCATCCACCTTGTCTACCCTATCAGATTACTAACCCACATCCAACCATCGAATCACATCGAATCGCAGAAACCTCAACAAAAAAAGAAAGAAAAAAAAACTTTCGGGAGGCGAAACATCCTCGGACCGGCATCCACGGCAGTGAACCACCCCCCCCCTCGGCGAAATATCCAAATACCTAAACCCCGGTACTCGGAGGCCTCGCGAGCGGCAAAACACCTACACTTGTAACCATCCATATAACTATGTACCAACCTAGGTCCAAGCCCCGTGACTGACTGACTGACTGACTGACTGACTGACTGACTGACTGACTGACTGACTGACATCAAGCTCACACACGCGCGTCTGCCAACCATCCCACGGCCAAGACAAGAAGATTGACGACGAGTGCTTCGCCCGCGGAGAACACGTACCTACCTAACTACAGCCGAACATATCTAACTACCTACCTAACCTAGTAGCTTTTCAGCGTAGCCCGTCTTCCCTACCTACAGTACCTGTGAGAGTTTAATTCAACGTGTTCGTTAACTGCAGTACCAAGTCTCCGGGCGACTCGGTTATCTAGGCATCCGGATCATACTACCGTACATGCTACGTTACCTACCTAGGCAGGTATGTGAATAGTAATCTGTATAAAAATAAAAATAATTGCCCTCGTGCTCTCAGCCACACACACTTCGTAGTCAACGTCGCCGATAGCCCGGAGGCGAACTTCATAGGTGACTCTCATGGCTCCGGAAGACACGGACGGTACTTAGGTAGGTATCAGGGCGATGCTGAGACACCCGCGAGAATGGAATGATGCGTAGGTACTCAGCCTTTCATGTATGTACGTAACGTATATGGAACCAACTAATATGTAGATATGGCAAGGAGGAAATATTTGGTAGTATTATCTGCATAAAATATCCTTGACACTACGTAAGTACGCTACGTGATTAGGTAGGCATGGATCAAACTAGGTTAGGTAGATAGCGTCGGAAAGCACCAGGTAATAGATATGCGTACAAATCTCAAAATGTGTCCAGCGTGCCACTACTGACGTGTCGTGTTATCGCACCTACTTACTCGCCTAGGACAGCTGCTCGTACGTCGGGGAAGAGAGGTACAATGCCCGTCCAGAGTTGGAACTGGAAAATCTGTCAGTAGAGTGATCATCGTGTTCATAGCTTCTTACATACCTGATAGAAGCCTTGTGATGCAAGCACCTCCAGACCCGGAATGGTGTACCAGCCCGCGTCTTCCGCCAGCTCCATGACTGGTGTGCAGCGAGGCTTATAAGCCATCTCTAGCAAGTAATTTGGCGGGTCCCTAGCCTCCCTCAATAAATATCTGAGCAGGTGGTACAGGTCGCTGTCGATCGGCTTATCGGCAGGAATTGTGCTGATGACAACATCTGGATCGTTGTGGAAGTCTACGTGGCAAGTCTCGGTGACTTGCTTGATATTGTAGTCGGGGGGAAATTGCTCACGAAGAGTTTGGACAGCCTTGGAGTTTCGTGCCAATATGTAGATAGGGCTGTAGCCAAGATGATGTAGTGCGTAGATGGCAGCTCTACTCGTACCACCGGAACCCACCACCATCGCGCTACGTGTGCCTACCTTCGGTGTAACTAGCCCTGCTGAATGTAGGGAGTAAACCATGCCACTCCAGTCCGTATTATCCCCACGCAACCGTATCTTCTCTTCGTCATCCGAGGAAACGCGTGTAATCGTATTGACAGCGCCGATCACTTTAGCCGGCTCTGAGATAACATCAAGTAGGCCCATGACATCGATTTTGAGTGGGATAGTGACCGAGGCACCTCCAAAATCAGGTGACCGAATCACCTTTTGAATATCGGCCGCGGAATCGGTCTCAAATAGGGAGTACTTGTGAGGCAGTCCGGTCTGGCGGAATAGGGTATTATGTAAAGCCGGGGACCGGGATGCCGAGATAGGTTTACCGAATAAATAGAATTGCTTCGCGTCGAGCTGTCCGATTAAGGACAGTCCAGTACGGATCTCAGCTGCTGACAACTGGCCAGGAGCTGCCTTGAAAGGCAAGTCGGGATGCGAAACAGGTGTTAGGAAACCATTCAGTATACGTGAAAGTTTGCCTATGGTGCCCATGTTAAGGGCTATGATGGGTTTCCCGTGTGCGTTGAACATTCTATCCTTAAAGGTAGCGAGTGAGAAGTTATCCTCCATCTTCTTCGCAACACCCACTAGCTTGATAATATCGCCACATTGCAAAGCTCGGTTATACCACGTTTGCCAGCCACCGTTGGTCCAGGATAACTTGCCTTCGGGGTCATGGTGTGATGCTATGACACGCGTTGAACTGCCCCGGGACTCGAGGATGACGGCTAAAGTCTCATCTGAAAGCGTCATCTCAACATCCACGTACTCCACGCCCGCGCGCATGGCTGTCTGATACAAGGGGAGCAATTCCGTCTCCGACGTGTAGGTAAAACGACCTCCCTGTGACTTGGACCGAAGTGTAAAAATGATGGGCTTGTTCGCTGTAGAACGTAGCAGAGAAATTTGCTTTGTCACAGATTCCGGAGAGATATCATCGAGTAGATCGACCCGTAATTCGACGGCGTCCGCGCCGACTACCACACGTGGTATCACTTCGAGCGCTGACGACACGCTAGGTAAGGTGAGCGACACGAAGAAAGAGAGAGGTCGCTTCTTGAGGTGTTCGAAGCCCTTGTCCTTCCCGGTGACTACCGACACGAAGCGGACGAAGTCGGCTGGGGGGTTCTCAAGGCCTCCAGGCGGGTCAAGGATAGGACTATGGTACTCATAATTGCTGCATTCCTGGAATAGAGGTTTGCGGCGCTCATAGACACCTCGAATCTCCTCTGTGTAAGCAGGACGAGTCTGGTCTTTCATGAGATACTCTATCATCTGCTCGAGATCGCGGTTCACGAGGAGCACTATACCACCATTACGATGGTAAGAAATTAGTAGCTCCTGCGCTTCGGGCGCCTCAACGATACCGCCACCACAAGAAAAGACATGGCCCTGACTTTGGTTTTTCATGACATCTTTCAAGAGCTCAAGTTCGTCGTGCCTGAAACCCTCCCAGCCTCGTCCGCTTTCATTGATGATTTGTGGGATCGTCATGCCAGCTCGCCTTTCTAATTCATGGTCAAGGTCGATAAAGGAGTACTCGAGAATGTCCGCCATCCAGCGACCCGTCGTGGTCTTTCCCGCACCCCGCATTCCAATAATGAAGATAGATGGCCCAATTTCTGCTGCCTTTGCCTTTGCGGGTTTGTGCGTAGTAGGCGTAACATCGTCACCTGCTAGGCTAACCTTGAATGACTGGGCCAACACATCCCACCACCCAGGCCATGTTTTGCCTGTACATTCACGTTCTAGGATAAGGACAGGGCTCGGTGCTACAACGGATATGACACTGAAGCTCATGGCCACGCGGTGGTCATCATAGCAGTAAATGCTTTCGGTCGGCTCGGAAAGCTCGGTGAGTGGCTTCCCTGACACGACAATGCCATCTTCAAGTTCCCTGCAGTGCACTCCAAATTTGGCAAGCTGCTCCCTCATGGCTGCAATACGATTGCATTCCTTGACACGTTGGTTAGCGATGCCAGTAATCCGTGTCTCCCCCGATGCCACGGCAGCCAGCACGGAGGCTGTCAAGAAAGCATCGGTCATAGGTTCCATGTCGACGTCAATGCCCTTCAAGCTACCTGGGCTTGGGCCCGTCACAGTAGTCGACGTAGCGGTCTGTTCCACCGTACATCCCATCGGACGTAGGACATCCGTTGCGAAGCGAGCATCCCCCTGGAGGGAGTTTGCACCAATGTTAGGGATTGTGCAAGTAGTGCCGGTAATGGCGGCGACAGCAAGAGGGTAAGTTGCTGAACTGGCGTCGCTTTCTACGACGTATTCGTCGGGATTCTTATAAACACCCTGGGGGATATGGTAGGTGTGAGGTTCGTCCGCAGATTTCGTGACGGATATGCCAAATGCCTCCATCATAGCGATGGTCATGTCGATATATAGTTGCGAAATTGGCTTGCCACCCACTAAACGAAGAGTGACAGGCTTCTTGGCATATGGCGCGCACATTAAAAGAGATGAGACATATTGTGATGAAATAGTCGCAGCTAGTTCAATGACACCACCATCGAGGCCGCTGGCTGCGTCAACCTGCACGGGGAGGCTGTGCTCCTGTCCGAGATATTTGATGTTGATACCATTTGACCGCAAGGCATCGACGAGTGGACCGATAGGCCTGACCTTCATCCTGGCATTTCCGGTCAAGACAGTCGAGGCCGTGCTGGATGGAGAGCATAAAGCCACTACGGTGGTCAAGAAACGAGATGCTGTGCCGGCATTTCCAAGGTAGAGCGCTTCGTCGCTCGCCTGAAGCTTGCCTCCTTTTCCTGTGACCACAAGAACTTCACCTGCATCCTCCCAGGAGTAAGTGGCCCCATTAAGTTTGGCGATAGCCGACAACATGTATTCGGTATCGTCAGAATGAAGAAGGTTCTTGACCCGGCAAGTTCCCTGACCGAGAGCAGCGAGCACCAGGGCGCGGTTAGAGATGCTCTTGGATCCCGGAGGCGTCACCTGCACGCTTAACCCCTTCGGCACTCCGGGAATGACCCGAATGGCAGGGGAGAGCACAACTCTGATGGCACTATCGTCGACCACGCTAGCTTTGGGCTCATGAGTCTGGCCCACAGCAGATAGAAGTACAATCTTCTTTTTCTTTCCGTCATTTTTCTTATCTACAGCCATTTTTTGTAGTAGCACGTCTACGGGACATTGCTTTCCGGCCGTCAACTTTACAATGCGTTTGTCGTGGAGGGAAGTCGGCAAGTCGTAGCTCGCAATACACTTGACGAGCCGAGCTACTGCGCCCGGCCGCAAGACACCTAGATAACGAGCTAATTCGGCCTCTTTTACCATGCCAATGGCAACAGCCTCTCCATGCAGGACCTGGGGAGTTAGAATAGCTTCAAAAGCGTGGCCAATGGAGTGACCAAAATTTAGTAGGTTTCGTAAGCCGCCCTCCTTCTCATCCTTGGAGACAACTTCGGCCTTAACGCGGGCGGAGGCAAGGACAATGCGTTTGAGGATAGCGCGGATCGGTAATAGTCTGTCGCTGGGGTTGGCTGTCTTGGACCTAATAGAGCTTAGGATTAGAGCAGCATTTTGTTCCAAGGTGGTAAACTCGGACTCGTCCCATATTGCGGCGGTCTTGATGACCTCAGCCATGCCATTGATAAATTCGCGTACGGGGAGAGTTCCGAGAAAGGCGAGATCTATATAGATACGCTGTGGTTGCCAGAAGGACCCAATTAGATTCTTGCCCATGGGGGTGTCGATGGCAGTCTTGCCGCCAATAGAGGAGTCCACCATGGAAAGTAAAGTGGTCGGGACTTGGACAAAGCGGACGCCGCGCATGAACGTGGCAGCGACATAGCCAATCATATCACCAATGACACCACCACCCAGAGCAATTATGACCGTGTCCCTCGTACATTGCCGAGCCAACATCCAATCTTCTATCTCGGCTTTGGTCTCCCGACTTTTAGAAGTCTCACCGGGGGGGATGGTATAAGTGAGAAGTCGGGTCTGCAGATTTCGGCTCTCGATGGCCTGGTTGAAGAGGTCTACAAAGGGAGGAACATAGCGATCATGCAGATTAGAGTCGGTAATAAGGATATAGGTAGAAGATTTGATGTTGTCGAGGAGGTCGCCAGGAACAAAGGTCCTCCAGATGTCGTGGTCGACAATGATAGAGTCGGACCCGAGAATGGAGATGCGGGTTGGGCCCGACATGTTGCTCTCCTCACTACCCATTATGGTATAATGGGCCTGTCGTGATACTCGTAGTTCAGTTGTATCCCGATCGTCACACCTGAAGAAAAGTCGAATAGGTACTGTAAGTAGGTAGCAAGAGCAGCAAGCAGCAAATGCAATCCAAAGTGCGCCTATATGTTTTTTAATAGCCTATTCATTCATTTCATACCCTAGGTAGGTACTAAAGTACGCTATGGCTAGTTTCCCTTTGACTTATTTACCGAAAGGCATTTGAGGGAATAACTGCACATGTACACCGAGAGAGTTTTGGTTTTTTTGATGATTAGGTGGGTGGCGATCAGATTTGATTTGAACAATGAAGGCTCGAACTTCTATTTTACAGTTATGAGTCGACGCTTTGAGCTACGGTCCGAAGCCGTCTTTTACCTGAAAAAAATAAAATTTGGTTTGTTCTTTGCAGCGAATCTGGCTGTCATTGACCAATAGGATGGGTTATATTGGCTTGATTTTGGGCGTATAACCTTTGAATGTGTAACCCCACATGTCCGATGCGCGGGGCAGAAATATATCAGAAATATATGTACCTAGGTACTTTCACATACACGTAGTGGAGTGACAAGAGCTTAGTAAATGCATGATTGCTCAATGCATATGTGCATAAAGAAGTGATCGGAACTTTGACTGGGGATTAGTTATCACTTACATTAGAGCCCATAGTTAGTCATTGTAAACATTGAACTTTTCGTGTAAGTTCTTTCTCATTAGTATTATAGAGATGGCTTAATAATGTAATGTATGTGATAATGTACGTGACCTTGCCTGTAACTTGGCTGCTTGATCGCGTCGAAGACTATTGCATTGGCAACATGAAGTTTCGGGATATAATTAAATATCATTAAATATCATGAGATGAATAGAAATGCTAGGTGCTGTATTTGAATTGAGGTAAGTAGGAATAAGGTTAACCTAGTCTACCTTGGTGTTGAATCTTGATGATGTGATGTTGGACATCCATGGATTTAAGGATTTATGGTTCTAGGTACTAATCAGTACGTACCAGGTATTATTAAGCTCATAACGCCGATCGGCGATAGAGCCCGGGAGCAGATCCCGAGATTCGGCATTAACGATGTCGCTTAGCTTTATGCTAGGTTAGGTAGTTAATAACATCACTGTACGGATATTTAAAGCCCATGATTCATGTAACGACATAGTAATACAGTAAGTAAATATATTCTAAACTCACTTTAGATACTTGGGGAAATATTTACATACATAACTATGTAGGGTAGTAATGCCGATGTACACATGTGAAGGTATAGTATCAACATCAACTACTAGGTATCTAACTGGTGAATAGCTGCAGCTTGGGATTGTCAGATCGAATATAACCGAAAGTAAGGATCCATAGCAAACGGCGATGGAGCCTTCGCGCTCTCGCGTTCATCTTTTCTCACCTCCATTAGGAAAATTCCATAAGAGCCATGGGCCGAGAGTGAGTGGGGCACACCATGGGACGATTAGCTAACGAGCAATGATACCTTGATATTGTCGTTATGGGCTAGGTTAGGGTAATATGTGTACGTTATGATGTTATGGAGTAATCGAAACTATCAAAGTACCTACCAGCCTATTAGGGCTGCAAGGTAACATGTAGGCATGTATGGGCCTTAGTCAACCCCCTTCAGCATACCGAAACTATTTCAATTTGCCCGGCCGCTGTTTCTTTTATGTCGTGCTAAGTCTGACTTCAGAATAAATCTGACAACCGGTAATAAATAATACCGCTCAGCATTTAAAAGCTCGACCTCCTCCACAAGGTCAGCAATAGCGTCGGCCCAAAAGCTGTGTTTAGTACCATAAACCGGCTATTATTTTTCACGCTATCGACCGACCCGCAAGCTCTACGCGGGATTGTCTGCCAAGATGACGTCGGATTTGGAGAAGCTCGACTCGGAAAAGGTCGAGAATAGACCCGGGCTTGGCGTCGGCCGGAGAGAACGAGGAGGTTCATACACCTCGTCCGTGACACGAGTGCGCTCGAATAATGGACATGGATGTGCCGACTTGGAAGAGAGCGACGATATCGACGACGTGGACGATGAATTCGCCCCTGAGGTGCCTCGCGCGGAAAAGGACCCGTTCGAAGTGGCCTGGGATGGCGACGACGATCCGCTCTGTCCCCGAAGCATGAGCTTAATTCGCAAGTGGATGGTGGTGATAACCGTGGGTTTGGGAAGTCTTTGTGTGTAAGTAGGGCCTGGCATCGGTCATATTCGCCCTCATATACCTAGGTATCTAGGCGAACCGACTATTGCCCTGAATCCCCTGTTGACCATGAACACTAGAACGTGTACGAGTTCTATCTATGCGTCAACGTATACCCAGATGAATGCAGAGTTCCAGATATCCAGTATTGTCGGCACGCTCGGATTATCACTTTTTGTCCTAGGCCGTATGTGTTTCAACCGGGTCTCTAGGGAAGGTCTCATAAGCTTGCTAACCTCGACTTTAGTTGCTCTCGGGCCATTACTCATGAGCCCCATGAGCGAGTTCGTCGGCCGAAGGCCAATCTACCTCGCTTCCTGGGCCATGTTTCTGATATGGCTTACCCCAAGTGCCGTCGCCCGCAATGCTGAGACAATGTTGATTGTATGTCTCTGCCTGCTTCAAGCTCACAACACATTTCTCTCTCTCTCTCCTCCTCATGATGCTAGGAATCAAGCACTAACATGCGTTCAGGCTCGATTCCTGGACGGTTTCGCTGGCAGCTCATTTCTCAGCGTCGCCGGAGGTACTGTCAGTGACGTGTTCAGGCGGGACCAGATCCAGGCGCCAATGGTTATCATTTCGCTGAGCCCCTTCGTCGGTAAGTGTTCATTGACACCTGACGATATAGCTTCAAGCTAATGAGTTATATAGGTCCTAGTATGGGCCCTCTGCTCGGAGGGTTCATCAACTATTATGCGAACTGGAGGTGGACGTATTACGTACGTATTTGCCGACTTGTCTCTTGCTTTGACGAGGATTGTAGTCTTGCTAATATTCGAATCGTGATAGGCCATGATTATCTGGGCCTCTTTACTGCTCCTCATGATCATTTTCTTTGCGCCTGAGACGTATCGTATGTTGTTACCAGGTACATATCTTTGAAGGCTAGTCAGTGCTGATAATTTTCATAGACCCAATCAAGCTCCGCGACAAAGCCAGGCACATAAGAAAGGAGACGGGAGATGACCGCTGGAAGTCACCCATGGAGAACTCGACCAAGTCCCTCGTGGAAACTCTAAAGTTCTCCCTTCTACGACCGTTCCAGCTTCTTATTTTCGAGCCCATGTGTCTTTTGCTCTGTCTCTTTTCAGCGATCTTGCTAGGCGTCCTCTACCTATTCTTCGGGGCGTTTCCTCTGGTATTTGGACAGAATCATGGCTTCAACCTTTGGCAGACTGGATTGTGCTTCCTCGGTATCTTCGTTGGAATGCTCATATCCTCGGCATCTGATCCCGTGTGGCGCAAGATAAACCACCGACTCTTGGAACAGAATAATGGGGTGGCCGAGCCGGAACATCGATTACCTCCCGCAATCGGCGGCGCGGTCCTATGTCCTATGGGGCTATTTATCTTCGCGTGGACCTCCTATCCGTCGGTCCACTGGATCGGTCCTATCATTGGATCCGGCATTTTCGGATGTGGTACGCTGTTGGTATTTACCGGAATCTTCACCTTCCTTGGTAAGTTACAGCGTGATATATAGTTCTGGCCGTATACTATCATTGATGCTAATCAGTTGTGATAACAGTGGATGCGTACCCGTACCATGCTGCTTCAGCACTTGCTGCCAATAGCTTTACTAGGTGTACCTTCGGTGGTGAGTGATCTGAAATTCGACGGTTAACATTGAGATGCTTACGTCGGCTAACTGAATACTTCGCAGCTGCTTTCCCTCTCTTCGGGATACAGATGTACAACAAACTCGGGTTCCAATGGGGATCAAGCTTGCTAGCTTTCCTTACCGTGGCAATGATGCCATTCCCTTACCTCTTCTATAAGTACGGGAAGGAGATTCGGAAGAGGAGCAGGTTCGCAAAATAGACATTTGCAAGGGCTTACCGCTTGAATTTGGACTTTTGGATTGGGCTATTTGGAACGTGGCTTCACGCCTATCGCCTATCGAATCCCTTAGACACTCGAATTGTGCAGCTGTGCTCACCTAGGACTGTTGCCCTAAATATATCTGGTAGAATCTCAAGGAGGTTTTCATGTTTTCAAGGAATTTTACTAGTCATAAATATAAGAAAAGCGGGGGAGGTTGTCAGTATCTTCGAAACCCCTTTTCGACTGTATCTACCACATGATAGTTGAAAAGAAATAAAACAAAAATCACCAGAACAGTTGTACCTGAAAGATAGCAGGGGGCCTTAAAATTAAACCACATACACTGTACACATCTAACATATGAACACGAATAGGGGTTCGAGATAATCATTAACCAAAAGAATCAAATTTTCATTCAAATTGGAAAAAGTCCATGTCCTGTTAAGATCAACTGTCCTAGTAAGGTACTTGGCAAGCTTTTGCTCCTTTGTACCCCCAGGAAAATCAATGTTATTCATAAATCATTAACACCTAGTTACATGAAGTTACTCATACATAGTCATTCCTGATTGCTGAACCCTAGCTGGGCATAAACGGTCTTTATCATAGAATAGATGCTGCCATTCCATGTCCCATGTGTGCAAATCTCTACGTTCCTCATCCAACCACTGACAAAAATAACTACATAAACCTAACGTTCCTGTGAATTCATGAATCGTATCCATTCGACCATGGTATTCCCGACTACGAAGATAGAGAACCACAGTGTAAGATTCTGGACTGCGTAGTTTGTAGAGATGGTAAAACATACATCCTGAATTACGAGTAACCCTGAACTGTTTGCTGAGCTCGTACCCTTGGTTAAGATGACAGGTCATCAGTATCCCGTGGACGCACGTCTAGCGACCATGGCCAGCCAGCTCACACCCCTAAACAAGATTTGATTGGTGATGGCTAGACGAAGACATCCCATATCCTGAGTCTCTTGTCTGAGCGCCTCCTTGCTTATCTGGTAGCAGTCAGCTGGACTCAAGTGACAATGAGTGCCTACCCCTTGCCCCGCCTCTCCTTGTCAGGGTGTAGCTTTCTTCTGGCCAAAATCGACTCACGATAGCCTCATGTCGACGATACCCGCCCCGGCCATTCTAACCAGAGGCCCCCCACCCCCAAATTTGACCCGTAGCAGCTGAGAGAGCTACACTCGACTATGACTTCGAGATCGTATCAGCCCCCCTCGGTCTTGTGGCCCAGAGCAGAAATAACTCTTGCCTGATCTGACCTGATTTGGAAAGATAAAATTCTTAGAGCACCGTCTGATTTAGAAACCTTGGTGGCACTGATCCGACTCTGCCAATCTCCAGGCCATAAACAAACTTCTCGTCCTCTGCGTTTTCCTTCCTTTTCCTCCCACCCACAACTACAACCTCAACCACCAACTTCACCGCTGATGACTACCATCATCAAACCTCTACTAAAATTATCTCATCTTAATGGACGCCATGTCGGTAACGCCGTATTGGGTAGCGGCTCTCTATCGCGCGCTTCCTGATCCCCAGGCCGACTACTCGTCGATGCTCGCGGTTCACTGGGAGCTTGAGTGTCTGTGTGGCGATGTAAGTGTCTATTCCCAACCAACCCCGACACAGCATAGCCAAGAAGCAAACGCTAATATCGTGCTTTTAGACCAAGGGCACCATCGTGGGCCCAACTCCACTTCGAGTAGGTTTTATCGATCGTAGTTTCGCGACATTATAACGTTCTTGACACTGAACACTGCCATCAGAAAATTTGCCACTGCCGAGACTGCAAGAAGATCACCGGTGGCATGTACAGCGACCACCTGGTTGTCCAAGACGAGAATATCTCCTACCAAGGCAAGTCCTTTCATACTACCCATACCTAACCTAGGTTATAGGCCTCGGCGCTATCTTCTCTCATCCTCCACCCCCTCATTTATCACCCCGGAGATAGATACCCGTAGATAAGATGACTGACTTGAAGTCACATTTCTAGGTACCATGGAGGCGCACACCTTCATGCATTCGGAGCCGATGCAGACATATGAAGCTCAGCACTTGCATCGCTGCAGTAGCTGTGGTACCCCAATGTTCCGAGCTTGCAGTATTTCCGGCGTCAAGTATGTCTACATCGGTACTCTTGTCAGCCACGAGGTAGCGAATGACGTCCGCCCTGATTCAGAAACCTGCACGATGTACAAATGTACTTGGCTACCTCCATTCCTAGGCGCTCGCTTGTCACCCAGCATCTGGATGTCGGCACCCCCACAGCCCAAGCTGCTGCCCACCCCTGACACTGACAACGTTGAGGAGCTCGCGTTGGATGAATATCATGGATGCGAGGGTAATCCCAACTCCCACGTGGACTCTTGATTTGGTGACGTGACATGGCCTTGCCAGCATGGTACCATGAATTCAGAGTCTGTCATGGCGGCTTTTTCATCCAAGCAAGTAGGATGATACGATGATTAATGAGTCTCGTTTCGGTGTTTCTTTGCTTTAGCATGGCCTGGCCGTTCGTGAGACCTATGACGGTGGTCGTGGGAGGAAGGATGTCATGGTGATGTTGGTGGGACAGGAGTAATAGCTTAAGATAGTAGTTAGAGGCAGGCCTCGCCTGACCTAGAATTCATAACGAATGACACCATGACTTCATCATCTTCATCGTCATTCCCTCACCTTGACGGTAGTATTCTTCTCGCGTATTCACGGCCTATCCTCAAGATCGCCCGGACGAGGTCCTCAAGGCGCCTATCTTTTCGCTTCCGCATCCAGAGTAGCACGATGCCTAGAATCACTACGTCTACCGCCAGGTGTTTCGCGACGATCCACAGTAGCCAACTAGCCCATGCTGGTAAACTCCTTTCCCTTCTGGACCTCCACTCGCGCCCGGCCGTGATCTGTTCCCGTAAAGCCGCGACCTCAGCGGATAACCTGACTAGCGCCCTTTCTACTTTACGTGACCACTTATCGCCCTTCTTTACGTATTCGCCATCATCATCGTCGCCCAAATTCTCACGATATTGCTCCGCCGCGTCGTCCTCGCTCATAGGACTGAGGACCTTCATAGGCCGTTCGGTACCACTGACGGGGTGCTGAATAAGTCGAGACTCGGGAAACGTGGCATCTTTTGGTGATGTGCTTGGAGACGAGCTGTTATTCTTAATCTGATCCCAAACAAACTCGAGCTCCGATACAAGTCCCTTCCCTTCCCTATCGAGATTCCTCATTAGCTACCAAGTTGACAAAAGTTACAATAGGAAAAGTAGAACTTACGGTGATGTGGCGTAGTGATGCATAGTGTCGATCAAGGCCTCAATATACCGCTTTTTGGCCTCAGTACGACTGAGTCCATGTTGCGCATTCCAGGCATCCCACTTGTCGCGCTCACGCTGTAGCTCATCCGTGTTGATGCCGGGTCGGCGCTCAGGCCGTTCCATGACGCCGTCGACGTCGCCCTCCATAGCCTGCTTATACAAGCCATAGAGTCTTAGACGATCGCTGGGCGGTGGTCGCGACGCGCCAGTCTTAGGGATCTTTTTGACCGTGTTCAGCGCGTGCACAAACACGCGGTCTACATCGGGTGGGGACTCCATTAGCGACGGGACGATCGATTGGAAGCTCGGGAGCAAAGTAGAAAGGTGAATGGGACGAATGATTGGGCTGGGCCCAAGCGGACCCTCATTATTATTATTGTTCTTCTCATTATCGGGGAACATACCGACAGAGTCCGCCATGGTGAGCAGCCTCGCATCTGTAATTTGATGCAGAAGGACACACTCTTCTACGATCTCTCCCTTTTCTCTTCTATCTTTAGTTCAAGAGACTTGACCTCTTTTTTTTTATGCCTCGCGATTTTAATCTGGATACCCCCTGGTCCGCAGCAATCGACCGACAAACGCTCGATGGATCTGGCACGGAGGCGTGGCACTCGGAACACCGTACGTATGCGTAGCAAATACAGCTCGTTAGTACCGTGGTCGGATAGGCAGGTCGACGTCAATCGAAGCGGATTACAGGAATGCCACCCAATGCGTTGGTCTCGTGGGCTGCCAATGGGAAGGCAGAGGGGTTAGGAACACGTCATCTATACGAACTACAGGTTGAGAATAAAAAAACGCGATAGGATAATAGGATAGGATAGATTTTCGAAGCTATGTTTTAGTAAAAGTGTGAGTTGGTTCGTCCGGATGTCCAAGTTGGCATAATTAAATTATGTTGGATGTTTGTTGGAAGTATATGGTGTAGTATGTGTAATATGTGTAATATGTGTAATATGTGATATGTAGGTGTGTATAGGTAGGTATGCAATTGCATACAAGTAAGGTTAGTAGTTACTTAAATGTGATAAATAATAAATAAATATCAATATTTCAATGTTTTTGTCATTGCGCCGTTCTTCTTTTTAAAAACTTAAATATTTCCTCGTGGATTTCAGGGAAGCGGTCGAGTAAGCCTGCAGGTGCAATGCAGTCTTGCCTGTCTTGTCCAGAGTCTCCCCCAAATGCGAAATGTCTGGGGGAAGCCTCATGTCGATCCGGGTACTAACCAAACGAAGTGCCTCGGCGTAAAGAGAGAAATGGGGCTTCTGCCAGGGGTCAGCTTCCCCTTTGAACTTTCTCCAAGCCCACCTACGCCTGCTTAAGGTAAGGAACGGTAAGGGACATACGGGTTATTTTCGGCACTGGTTGGCCGCTCGCGTGCTGGGGCTGCGCAAGATGCGTCACGGTGCCGTTAAGCCCCTGGAGAAAGTGGAGATTATCGTAAATTAATCATTGATCCTTCTGGGCAGTTATCCGAGCATTGCACGTGAATATAACTAACCTCTAAAGCTGCACTTGTCATTAGAATAGAACATTGAATGAAACTCACCGTCAAACTCAATTACATTGTTCCGAATACTATTATGTACTATGTACATGTATGTAGTGCAGTTTGAACTCAAACTTTAGGTCTAGAACAGTCAAATTGCATAATCTCTATAGGCTAGGATACTAGGTACCTAATAGACCACCGGCCACATAGTTTGGTTAACATCCATTCCCATGAATTCTGGATATTGTTCTCATGGTGAGATATTTGGCATTGCCAATTCGATTATTCTCCTAAAACTACAACTGCATTAAGTATGTAAATACAGGCTGCCCACCGCATGCAAGTACTCAGCTTAAGCCCAGTTATCGTATCCTTGTTGAGCTTCCTCGGCTAGCTTTGCTGATTTCAAGGACTCCTCCTTCAGTTTCTTCAGACGCGTGATGGCGGTTTTGTTTTCCAGCGCCGCGCGTGCCGCGTTTGCTCCTGCCTCCTTTTTTGAGATTGCACTTCCAATGCCTAGCTGAAGCTTCTTTTCACCGAACCCATCGAATAATACTGCGACTGTATACCAAGGGAGTTTTGTATGCTTGTCCTTCTTTGGCTCACCCACATCATTGTATGAGATCTTGACTCCCTTAGCACCAACAACCTGACTCAGAACGACCTTGGGATTCAAATCCTGCCTGGCAATGGTTTGGCTATCGCCGCTGGACACGTCTTTGTTCGATGAATCCCGGCTGGGGTTGGGCTGGGCTCTGAATTCATTTCGTATCTCAGTGGCCAGTGTTGTACTCCAGAGAGACTTTACCCACGATGACACACGTGATAAGCCTTCCGAATCTCCTAAGATTGCAGCAGCGACGTACGACTCGAAAACATCGCCCAGGACCTTTTTCTTCGCAGCCTGGGACGCTTGGCTCCCCCCTACCCTACCATGAAGGTCGAACTCGGCAGGGAATTTTGTGCGTTTGTTGATACCATATTGTACAGTATAATTAGACAAAGTGTCGTTCTTGATAAGCCTCTCTCGTAGCTGAGAACATCGTCCTGCGCCTAGGTTGGAGAATGTTTGATAGATGAAGGATGTAGACATGAGGTAGAGATAAGCATCTCCAATCCATTCAAGTCGCTCATAACTCATATCCGTTGGTTTTGCGGTCATGCCAGAATGAGTGAGCGCCGCTTGCTCAAGCACAGGGTCTCGAACCGGAGGCAGGGGCGGCAACCCAGAATCTGGTATATCATTGGGTGTCCATCGAGTTAAGGACACGGGAGGTGGTATGAGAAGTGCTGTGGGTAAACTTCCAGAGCCTCTTTCATCGCTGTCAAGCTTTCGGACCTTCCGGGATCCGGCCCCATGCTGACTCCTGGCCTTGCTCTAATATAGTGTAAGTTACGAATCCAAACGACGTCGACAACAATGACCGACTTACCTCATCTTCATCAAGTAGTTGAGCGATAGGTAATATTTTTTTGTTGTGTAGTTCTAAAACTGAAATGATTTGACCATTTAGCTCAGGAGTATCGCGGAATGCTGCAAGCTCCAATTTCAAGGCGATGGCGGCACTTAATAGATCTTCGGCATGTTCTAGGATTTGCGAAACTGACGTTATATCCTTGGAGCTAAGGTCCGCGTATGAACGTTTCAACATTTTTGAATATCTTAGATTTGCATGAACCTAGAGATCATCAAATGATGTATCTTTAATCGATCTATAGAAAAAAATACGAGGATCAACACTTTTTATGAATTGGCCTTACCTAGTACCTTATGTAGTAGCTGAGTAGGAAATTCTAGGTACCTAGGGCACATACGGAGCAATAAATGCTGTATGACATTGAAGTACACGTGCAGTGATATTTCGTAAGTGAAGTTTTAGTTGGGTCCAGGAACTGGAACTACTACGGTGGCCCAATAAGACAGCTGTGCCAAAATGAAAATAATGATTGAGCTAGTCTGATTTTAGTATGCAGTCCCACTTTTTAAGAAAGAAAGGCATGTATATCGGTACCTTAGCTAGTTATACTGGATAATTGAATAGTATTTTCTTAAAAATATCATATTTTTACCCGTATGGTCATGTGACTTAGTCATGTGATATGGCTATATAAGGTTATGTAATAACTATTCCCACATGGATAGTTTTCTGAAACATATAGCTACATATATGCAACCGGTATCAATAAAAAGATCATTTCATTACGGATTGAATGATGTAGGTTGCATACTGGTGCGATATCTGGTTGAAAGGTTATTCAGGTAGATATATCGTGGGTCATCACGTGATACCCCTTAGCGTGACCTCCAGGCGGCTCCAAAGGCTCCTAGCGTGGCTCCAAGGGCTCTTACTATGGCTCTAGGGGTGATCACGTGCCGTCCGGCCTGCCACCTACATAGTTGATTAACTTTGCAACCACGTATCGCCTCAATTCGAGACCTATATCAATCAATTCGTAATTGAATGCACTTTCAATTGAATTTGGTTGCATATATGTAGCTATATGTATCAGAAAGTTATTCAACATAAGAGGCTAGACCTTTGATTAATACGAAATGTGGTAGGTATAGGTAAGGGATATGTGGCTAGGGTATGTGTGGCTAGGGTATATGTGGCTAAGAAGTGTGTGTAACAAGTAGGTAACTAGCTTAGTGCCTTTTACGCTTATTAATAAAAGTCACGTTTAAATCATAAATGCATCGTACATGCAAGTTATTAGGTATGTAGGAAAAGGGGATATAACCAGTACTTAGCTTACTATATAAAGTAATATGGTAGCTTAAGTACTTTTTATGCAAGCTGTACACGTATATGACAATATTTACTTATCCATAAGCCTCTCTAAGTACAATCCACTCTTTTCACGTACTCGTAGCATTGTTCTTAATTTCTAAATTCGGAATAGTCAATCTTAATTTTTGATTTTGGCACAGATGTCTTATTGGGCTACCATACTACCCTAGGTATTGTACTACTAGTAGTACCCTAGGCACTGTAAATTAGTAGGTGGGTAGGCACAGTGATTTAAAGTTTGACATGATTAGGTAATTAACCGATAATTTTCCGGGTGCGAACCACGCGCATCTAGACATCCAAATTTAACGCCCGCATTAAACCTCAACCCTTCATTGCGACAAGCAAATAAAGTGCTGCTGCATAAAGATCCAAAATGGCAGCAGTTCCCCGTGCGAGGTTATTAAGCCTCATGAAGGTATGTTCTTATGAAAGCTCTTCTGCCAGAAAACAAAGAAGCAAGCTAATGTTCCAGGCTCAATGCGAAATCTTCTCGACGGCATACAACCCTGATGGGATTCGAATGGGCAACAAGATCTTGCGACAACGACTAAAAGGCCCGTCACTCGCAAAATACTATCCTCCAAGGGGACCGACAGTGGGCACATTAGAGAAAGCCTTCAAGTCCTTGAACCTCGAAACTATCAATGAAGAGGCAGAGGATAGATTAGAGCACTTAGCAGGGCAAGCTACCCTTCTATTATCTTTTGTAGATGATATTTTTAACACCAACACAGTGTAAAATCGCGTGGAAAGGGCGCACCAAAGAAGAAAACCGGCCCGCCAACTACTAGTATGATTGATCCTCTCGTCTTTATTAAAATTACCTAGCAGTGCTGACTTATTATGTACCTAGCTAAACGCAAATAATGATGGGACTATCGTGGATCACTCTTGTACAGATATGTACAATAACGACGACCTTGATACGGATATAATATATCAGCTACGCATTAGAAGACTAGAAGTCTGGGACAGGTCGCAATCGTTGCCCATCGATTTCACTGGATTTGCCATGCCTCAAGACATCACAATCCCTTATATAGGAGCCATACGCCTCTAGTTGGTGTCCCTAGGATATACTTTTCTGGAGTAATGATCTGCTTGCTACTATCCGGTATCGATGTAGACTGCCTGGTACCTAGCCTATCTAGGTGCCTAGGTAGATAGCATGATTCAAGCATAATCTGTGGCAACGATCGTATATATCAAGTCGACCGCCTAGGTAGTTTATCCCGATATGAGATAAACCCGCTGTACCTAGAATTATTCTTGACAGTGGTACCTCGGAACGATGCTGATGGAGAGCTAGCTACATACTCAAAAAGATCATATAGTGTACCCCTCTGTTGTTCCCTTTCTCAAACTACAATGTCCATTGCAGAATCCCAGATACATACCTCGGTATGTAGCTAATAGTTCCTACGGCATGGAAGCTTGGGTGCTGTTAGCTTGCCTACCCTAGGGCATACATCACCTGTGTCTGTTGTGCCTGAGGTTTGTTGTCGTTGGAGGAACGCTTGGGTACACCCCTGATCTAACCTATGTTGGAACCTTAAACCAGTTCTTGCCATATTGATATTGCGGATAGCTACCTAAGTACCTATCTAAAGCAGGCAGTTGCGTTGATTTTTTTTTGTTTCCTGGGGAATTACTAGGAAGTGACACGCAGTTTCCTTGTCAGGAAGATACGTACCAGCCGAATTCACCCTGATATCCTGCTCATAGGAGCTAATATTATTTGATACTATGTACAAAAAATAAAATAGAAATAGCATTGAATTGTGCCTCAGGCACCTACCTACCCAGCATCCTACATATCCAATGCTCAAGTTACGAGACCTGTGTTTTTCCCTCAAGTAATCAATGATATTTACAGCAACCACGAGGTACATTGTCAACTTGGAACTTAATTTTCACCACGCAATTAGTTCCCGCTCACCTTTACATCCTTTTTAAATAACAATCGTTCTTGTGGGAGTTCTTGCTAACTTTGTTGTTGGTATACTTGCGTACGTCGACATCTCTACCACTATTTCTTTTCTTCCCTATTCTCAACACATACAATCACTTACACCACCTACCTCGCCATCTAACAATTTGATCTCATTCCCGACCACTTTCCTTCAATCTCGCCTATTTAGAATTGACCCATCTTGTTTCAGTACTACTTCTAAGAAATAAACGAAAAAAACAACGATCAAGCAGGTAGGTGGGTTTCAACCTCTCGTTGGGTATGCACTTCATCCTCGCAGTTCATGCTTCCTCTTTATCCCACTGCCAACTACTACCTACCATATTATTGATTGCAATTTACAACTATCAGCTAGCACCTGCCGCAATATCGTTCTTCGGGTAGCTTTCATCTACGCAGGCAACCACAATTACCACCATTGTTTTTTTTTTCCTTCCTTTCTTTAGAAATTCCTTTCCCTCCAAGTCTCATCCATCCAACAACCACTTTCAATCACTTCTCAACATCCTCCACGTCTTCCCTTTACCCTTTACACCTCTCCACTATCAACCGATCATCTCTCTCTCTCTCTCTCTCTCCTCTCCGCTTCCACATACACTTCCCATTCTATGCCATCTAATCTTTTTGCTGCAATTAAGGCATCTCTGCCATTTGTCGACTTTTGTTCTGAGCTCTTAGATGTTCAACTGAAAACGACCCAAACAATTGACTACGTATTTCGGTATCACCTCTGTACTGACCAAAAGACTAGAAGCCATGTCTACAGCTTCGGCTCCCTCGACTGGCTCCCCCCCCGTTCGTCGGGCCCAAGCTGCCAAGACCGTGTCCAAGGAGGAGAATGTCAAGGTTGGCAAGGAGGACACCTCTACTGCCAATGTAAGTGACATTCTCACGCGTCTTCTTCGTTATGTAAGTGGTTGTCATGATCTTGATTGGGACGCATTCTCTATTTTAAGACACACTCATTAACCGACCTTGCTCATCTTATCTACCTGTTTACCAAGCAAACCCTCCCTGTCATTCTTGATATGCCGATGCTTGGGGAGCACGACGAAAACTAATGATTCATGATAGGAGCAAGATGTCACACCATCTCAGAAGAAGTCCATCTCTGCTCTATCGACCTCTACTCTGGTTAATCAGAGCTGTCCTAAGGTCAGTGCTTCTTTCGAACGCGTTTCCTTCGTTGTTGTTGACTATTTATGTTTGTATTAACCGCAACAGAAGATGAAGCTGAGTCACGAGTCATCCGGATCTGCCGATCAAAACCCCATGGACCACTTGCTAGAGAAGCTTTCCCATCAACAGACTGGATACTCTAAGCAGGGCGATGCCGTCAAGCCATCGGATGAAAAGGCTATGTACCCCCCGACCCTAGAGCATGCTGCCTCAAGCAACTCGGTCCCTATTACACCTGCCACTGAAACCTTCGGCAACACTGACCCGACGACTCGCCCTGCTAGCGCAGCATTGAATGATGGCGGCATCAACACGGAGGAAGTTCTTCGGCTGAAGCTCGAACTGGCCGAGGCTCAGAACAGAATCAGCCGACTGGACCACGAGCTTTCACAGACTCGTACCACTCGACCTGGAATGGAGCATACCATGAGCAGCTCTCCAGTGGATGGTGAATTCCCCGCCGTGCCCCAAGCTGCCGCAAACCCATCACGAATCCCCGGCCTTGCACCACCTCTTAGTGCTGGTGGCCAGCAGGCAACTACGCGAGAGGGCGGCAACAACTGGCCAGCCTTTGATGATTCTCGATCGGACACCAGTGATGCACTGTCTGCTACAGGATACAATCGTTCTCGTAGCATTTGGGATTCGAACAAGAGCACTCAAGGCTCTTATGGCCAAGGTAATTTCCCCGGACCCGAGCCATCTCACATTGGCCAGTGGGGCGGACGTGGCACCAACCAAGGCTACATGGATCAGAACACGGCCTACGAGCCTCCTGCCCCCAGTACTTATCGCGGGGATCGCTTGACGCCAGACTATGACTTGACTATTAGGCCCCCGGGCAATCGACGAGCTCGATATGAGAACCGTCTTGCGATGCAGGTATTTGGACCACAGCCAAGCTACCCAAGTGGCTATAATTATAGCAATAGCCAGTACGATGGATCTGATGCTGGCATGTCTGGACAGTCCCAGGCCCCTGCTAGTTCCGGAATGTACTCCAACTACCAGCCAACTCCTGTTGGCACACCACTCTCACCCCTTGCCAACGAATTTACGTCAACTACAGGTGGTGGCGCGCCCTGGAAGTCGGAGGTAAGTACATTGATATTGATATTTTATTTAGGCTTGAGCCACTGATATATACTACGTTTAGCCTTCAACTTCAGAGGGTACGACTTATCTACCAACCACGGAGCCTCTTAATTACCGTCGCTTGCTCGACCGTAATGTTAACTGCAACTGGAAGTACATTGTTGACAAGATTGTTTGCAACAATGACCAGCAAGCTTCTATCTTCCTTCAGCAGAAGCTCAAGGTTGGAACACCAGATCAGAAATACGAGATCGTGGAGGCGATTGTTGCCCAGGCCTACCCTTTGATGGTCAATCGATTTGGAAACTTCTTGGTGCAGCGATGCTTCGAACACGGAACTCCAGAGCAGGTAATCAAGATCGCGGAGGCTATTCGAGGATGCACGCTTAACCTTTCGATGGATCCCTTTGGATGCCATGTAGTTCAGAAAGCTTTCGACTCCGTTCCGGAGGACTACAAGGCTATCATGGTTCATGAACTACTGCGTCGCATTCCCGAGACTGTTATTCATCGATACGCCTGTCATGTTTGGCAGAAGCTCTTCGAGTTGAGATGGACCGAATCTCCGCCTCAGATCATGAAATATGTAAACGATGCTCTTCGCGGTATGTGGCATGAGGTCGCTCTTGGCGAAACTGGAAGTCTAGTGGTTCAGAACATTTTCGAGAATTGCCTCGAAGAAGACAAGGTACGCCTAACAAGAATGCACATAGGACTATTGATTTTAACTAATTGACCCCCAGCGTCCTTGTATCGAAGAAGTCTTGGCCAACATTGACATCGTTGCCCATGGACAATTCGGCAATTGGTGCATTCAACACATCTGCGAACACGGCGCGCCGGCCGACCGAAGCCGAGCAATTGATCACGTAATTCGCTACGCAGCTGAATACAGCATGGATCAGTATGCTTCTAAGGTCGTTGAAAAATGCCTGAAGATAGGTGGTGCCGATTTTCTGACTCGTTACCTTGACCGAGTATGTGAGGGTCGCATGGACCGACCTCGAATCCCCTTGATTGATATCGCCAGTGATCAGTACGGCAATTACCTGATCCAATGGGTTTTGACCCACGCCTCTCCCCAGCATCGTGAGGTTGTTGCTGCACATATTAGAAAGCATATGGTGTCTCTTCGTGGATCCAAGTTTGGATCTCGTGTTGGAATGCTCTGCACCAACCCTGCCGTTGCCACCCGACCAGGACCTGGAGTCGGCGCTGGCATGGGACGCATGCCCGCTGGTTCTCGTTACAGTGGCCGTGGTTACCAATAATGGCACTCGGTCATTTGGATTTACGACGAATCTGGGCTGAAATCGTCTACTAAACAATATGGTTCTCGCGGGGGGGAAAAACCTGTAACATACTCTTACGCGATCTCGCCTAGCCCCTTTTCGACCTATGCAGTTGTTTTTTCATTCTGTTACTTTCGCTTCTTTCTTACGTATGTTCTGTTTTCTGGGATCCGGGGGCTATTGACGGTATATCTCAATTCGGTTCTCGGACGAACCGATTCACATATGACGAGTCACACAGAAAGCATCATCTCAAGCAGAAGATTTACAGAATAATACGTCTACGACATCCTACGCCCAGCCGGCTACTGCCCGGCTTGGACGCCTTGGACACATCATGGTTATGGGTTTTGCGATATGAGATCGAAATATCCTAAACCATCCACCACCCTTTCTAGATCCCAATTCGGCTCACTCACTCACTCCCTATCTTGGATTGGATGGTGGACCTTCCTTCGACTGATCAAAGACTGCAACCCTTTCGTCTTGCCTTCTAATATAGTTGCATGAATGGTTTTCCCGATCTTAGCTGAGGTGGAGATTCCGCAGAGGATAGATACATTGAGTTGGGAACTGAGCATTCAGGTTTGTACCAGCAGGGTTAGGGGGCACTGTTTAATCAGTCATGAACGAAAATCAACAAAATTAGTTTAGTTGGTGCTATTCGAGAAGTTATATGGTTTTTTCCCTTGTACTACGAAAGTTTACTTATATAACTAGTTACTTGCCCTTAATCTTACGACATTCGATGCTTTTATAAAGATGAAAACCCCTCATTTTATGCCCAGATTGTGAAACTAGGACCCTACGAGTGTGCATCTTCCAAGATATTTGACTTTATACTTGGACACACTATGTTAGCAGCCAACGAGAGAGTGTGTGTCAGAGAGGGGGATACTTGATCTGGGCGGTTTTATGTAGTACGTTTTTCATCTTCATCTTCATCTTCATCTTCATCTTCATCTTCTATTCCGGGGAGACCTCCTGTGCTATATATGTACATGACTGACTGACTGACTGACTGACAAATGCCGACCCCTGCATTTGATGTCTTTCTTGCGCCCCTAGCAATGATCAAAAGAGAGAGAGACAGAGAGAGAAAGAGAGAGAGAAAGAAAAGGAAGCAGAGGGTGAGGGTGGGTAATAAGACGACAGCTCCTAAGCTTGATGGCGAGAAGTGATAGTAATGGTGGTAGTGATGGTAGTGGTAGTGGTAGTGCTGATGGCAGTGGTAATGGTGATGGCAGTGGTAGTGGCGGTGATGGTGGTGGTAGGTAGTATGTATTTGTGAGTATTTGTGGCTGTGTCTAAACTGCATGCACTGCGTTGCCCCCCCTTTTTTTTATTCTTTTCTTTTTCCTTTTGACAGACCTGTGGTGGGTTCTATTTATCTTGTCTCTCGCCCCTGTTCTGATTCTGTTCCTCATACGCCGTAAGCCACTTGGCCCATCGGCCTATCTTCGGTGATCCCCGGGGCCATGAGGTTGTTGTCGGGGTTGCCTGTTGCCTTGGCGACGGAGCACCGTGCCATTGTTGGTGAACTGTATCGCTTGTTAGTCATGATCATTGGGAGTTGGAATAATCTTTTTTATGCTGTCTTCTGAGCGAGAGGGAGCTGCTTACCTTCTAGATATAACATCTGTGAAGTAGAAGTCCTGGATGATCTTCTTTAGGGGTTCGTTGGTTGTCTTGGCCCCCTTGTTTTGGTCTATTAACTGCACCTTGCTCAGGTGCTTCATGGACGTAGGCTCGATGATGTCGTAAGAGGCGAGCGCCGGGCTGATCTCGAACATCCTGTCTCGGAGCATGGCAACATCATCATACGGTAGAGGGGCACCGAGAAACTCGCTGACTGCTCGGATGATCTTCCAGTCTGTCCGGGCAGCGCCAGGTAGAGAGGTAGCAGCACGAGTCATTTGTGAGCGGCCCTCGGTGTTGACATAAGTTCCAGCCTTCTCCGTGTAGGCTGCGCCAGGCAAGACGATATCAGCAATCTGAGCACCGCGGTCGCCGTGATGACCCTGGTAGACGACGAAGGCATCTTTGGGAATATCAGTATCCGCGAATTCATCAGCACCGAGGAGCCAGATGAACTTGGGTTTAGTCTCAGCGACTTGAGTAGATGGTGTCGTGAATCCGACCTCGAATGCACCCGCTCTTGAAGCAGCCTTCTGTAGGACATTGAATCCATTGTGCTCCTCGGTCAAGAAGTTTGCGGCGTTCTTCTCGACGAAAGAACCAATATGTTCGTAAAAGGCCTTGGCATCAGGGTGATCCGTTACGCCGGAGCCTACTACGATCATGGGCTTCTTCGCTGACTGAAGCAGTTTGCCGAAGGGACCGGCTAAAGCCTTCTTCAAGGCAGCGAGGTCGGTACCGAGGTGCTCAAATTCGTAGGTGGATTGCCAGGGCTCACCTACGACACCAATCTCCAAATCTGACCTCAGCCACTGCTTTCGAATGCGGGCATTTAAACCGGCTGCCTCATGCCTTGGGTTGGTGCCGACCAGGAGTAGACAGTCGACATCCTCCACACCATAGATCTTGGAATTGAAGAGATAGTTGGACCGGACGTCAATGCCGTGAGCAAGAGGTTGACTTCCAGAAGGCATATCGAGGGCGAGGTTATCGGATCCAAGCTTGTTGGCCAAGTCTTTCATGGCCACTAATGACTCCACCTCAGTGAGCTCGCCGGCGATAGCCTTGAACTCGTTGCCTGTGGGTGCGAGTTGTTGGTAGGCCGCCGCGATCTCCGTCAATGCTTGTTCCCAAGAGGCCGGCTCGAACTTGCCCTCTCGTCGCACTAGAGGCATAGTAAGACGCTGGGTCTTTAGTCCGTCGCAGGCGAATCGAGTCTTGTCATTGATCCATTCCTCGTTGATGTCATCGTTGAGTCGAGGCTGAACCCGCATTACCTCAAGGCCGCGTGAGTCAACACGAATAGCGGACCCTAAACCGTCAAGGACATCAATGGACTCGGTCTTCTTCAATTCCCATGGTCGAGCTCGGAAGGCGTAGGGTTTTGATGTCAGCGCTCCAACGGGACATAGGTCGATGACATTAGCTGACATCTCCGAGTCCAGGTTTTGCTCCAAGTAGGTTCCGATCTGAATATCATTTCCGCGTCCAAATGAGCCCATCTCGGGGGCACCGGCCACGTCGTTGGCGAATCGAATACATCTCGTACAGTGGATGCAGCGGTTCATCGATGTCTTGATCAGAGGACCAATATTCTTGTCCTCCACGGCACGCTTGCCGCCGATCTCGTGGAATCGGCCTCTATCCCCACCGTAGCGCATAGACTGATCCTGAAGATCGCATTCGCCACCCTGGTCACAAATGGGGCAGTCTAGTGGATGGTTTGCTAGAAGGAATTCCATTACTCCCTCGCGGGCTTTATGTGTAAGTGGTGAGTTTGTCTTGACTACCATGCCGGGTTGTACGGGCCAGGCGCAAGAGGCGACGGGTTTCGGAGCGCGTTCGACTTCGACCAAGCACATACGACAATTTCCGGCGATCATTAGTTTTCTGTTCGATTTTGTGTTAGCAGCGCGGGCTATTGCGGGAATTGGTCGGGATGGTAGCGGTCGTACTCGTGGTAGCAATATCTATACATTGGTAGGTAGTTAGCAATATGTATCTCTTGGTACTGGGCATGTCGAGTAGTTCTTAAACTGACCTAGGGACGGTAGCACCGGCCTTCTCGCATGCTTGAATTAATGCTGATCCGGCTGTGGGCTTAGTTAGTAACGATATTTCGAGTACTGGGTAAGGCATGCGATGGGTTGCGGTTCTGTACCTTCGATTGATACCTTCTTTCCATCTATGGTGGTGTTAGTGATTATGCATCGCAAATGATTGTATCATATATATAAATAGAAGGAAACCTACCAACTGTGAGCTCCACCTCAGCCGGTCGTCTCGACGTCACAGAAAAGGCTCTTGATGGTGCGGCGGCATGCCGACCAGTCCGCCAAGCCGAACGAGCTAGAGATTGGCGAAGCATCGTGTCGTCTCGACGGGATTTTGGGTATAAAGAATAGATAAGGGGAAAAGAAGAGGGCAAGGGATGAATTGAAGGGATCTCTCTTTTTTATTTCTCATTTAAAAATGGTTGACGTCGTAGTAGAGTGACTTGAGGACGCTTGAGAACGCTTGAGAAGTTATCTACTGTTAAGGTTAAGGCCTTAGTGCGCTTAATTCAATGGTTGCCGATTATTTTCAGATTCGTTTTGATTGGCCATGGTTGTTAAACTCGGCCTATTGGTCCATTGACTCCATTCAATGTTGGTGTAAACCCCACCTACATTACGTAATGGCTCTAACGAAACTTTAGGTACTTTAACTCGAAATCTCTGTTTCCCTTCTTTTCCTTTCTTCTTCTTCTTTTCATCATAACTAAATTGTACCATGAGCACATTTTATTGTAGGTGAGCTTGAGCAGATCTCTTGGTTCTCCAGGATTTCTGCTATAGTCGAGTCTTCCTCTATCTTGTGCTCTAGAGAAAGCTATCAAACGCCGATTATGGAAGCATGTGAGAGTTTTTTCAAATCTCGAGGATCGCTGCCTCTTACCGCCGGTCGTTACATTTCGCATATTGAACAAAAGACAAAAGACTGACTATTGACTATCCAAGACTTCCATCCATACATAAGCACGTAACAGCCCCAGCGATTTGCTAACGATGCCCAGTCACGACAATTGTACCTGTTACAGGCCATCAAGTCAGTGGGTGACTGCACAGAGCATAGAGAGAAGTCTCCCAATATTCAATGTTTGGACTTGTTACATATTACCTAGTACTATGATTTGGGGGGAGACACTTCGGGAGTCTGCATGAAAAGGTGTGCGGAGCTACAGGCTGAGCGTTTGCTTTACGAAGGGGGTTCAATCTAGAGTTGTATGCCAACATCTGCACTTCAATCCAAAGTTGCCATAACTACTGCCCATAGTCTCAACATATCTACACATTTTGTTGTCGTAGTTGCTTGTCGACAATCGCTATCAAAAACGTCTTAAGCTACCGCTATGGTTCGTCCTACATTCTCGTATATTGTTGATACACCCAAGGATCCATCACAGGATGCTCTACTCACAGAGACTCAACTATCGCAAGCTCTCATCCATAACCCCCTGCCACGATTTCTCCCATTTACGAGACTCCCGCCTGAAATCCGAATCATGATCTGGGATCTAGCTATTCCAAAAGGGCAGCTCCGGCTCCAGATGAAATGCTACTGTCACCCCGACGATCGGATTATTTCTTTTTCCCCGAGCCTTCTCCCTCCTGCTGTCGCCCAGGTCTGTCGAGAGTCTCGAGCTGTGGCCTGTCGCAGCGGTATCATTGTGTCATTTGAGTGTCCTAATTGCAGCGAAGAATTGAAGAGTTGGTATGATTCGGGCAGGGATAAAGTTTCCATGTTGAGTACCGCGTAGTCGATAATCGCGCACCGACCCAGGGCTTGCAGGAAATGCTACAGTGTGTCGAGCATGTCACAATTGGGATGCCTAGATGTTCAAGTTTCCCCTCTTACTTCAACCCACGGGATTTCCCACGACTGAAGGGCTGGGTTTCGTAGTGGCCTCGTATGAATTCACGACGCGAGACGATCAAATCCTCCAGACCAGGTTATTTGAACCAGAGCACTTTACTGATCTAGTCGCTGTCGACATTGACGACACGCGAGCCATGCTTGCTTTAACGCATAACTTGAGAGCTAACTCTCTCTCTACTCGGAGCAACATGCTGGAGGAATTATTGATCAAAGCTAAGGAACAGCATTGGCTTTCCCCCCAGGATTGGCTTCTCTCCAAAGCTGGATCGATGGATTGGAATGCCATGATGGATCACGCGATAGCACAAATGACTTATTGCCCAGACCGTCTCCGATCCCGTAGGTAGCAACGGAAATGATTTTGCGGTCGAATCGCGTAATCTGGCAAAGGGTTGGGTGGATGCAAAGCCTCAAGTCTACCACGTTCCACAGCTTGTGATCTTGTTCGAGGCAGATCCTGTATTTTGGCCTTACGACGTAGATAATTATGATCCAATTTAGACGCTCCTTGCTACTATTCGCTAGAATAAGCGCATAGTGATACACAAAGCCTTGAATTCTCTTTCGTCATCGTAGCCATCTTCTCAAGACCTCTAATATATCCTAGTGAGTTCCAGGGTTAGTAAGCCAACTACATATCAGATCTTCCTGTAAGAAGAGATAGTACAATGATTCGAAAGCTAGGTTGTCTTATGTAACTTCAATCTATTCCAGTAGGTGCTTTTAGTTGGCTCAAAATGCTCCATTTTAGCGTTCAAGTCTTGCCAACCACCCAATCAAAAGAGAGGGCTTTTCTCAAGACTTCCCACCTTCTGAGTCCACATAGTCGTAGTCACCGCTACCATTGGAGCGGGTCTCCCACTTCGATACCCACGGTGGACGAATGGGAAAACACGATGTTAGTGATAGACTGTGTGTAGACTCTGCTCGGGCCCAACGCTAGCAGGCGTGGGGCGTGGGAAAAGTCTGGTTATTGTGCTCTTGCTGTTATTACTTTGGTATATAACATACGATAAACCACGGATTTTCATCAAGCAAGCCAATCGAACCTGGTTCGAGAGGCATCGCCAGCGGTCCCGTCCCGCAAACGGCAGCAGCAAAAAATGGCTTTGTGGTCTAGTGGTATGATTCTCGCTTAGGGACCACCCTATGAATAATATGCGAGAGGCCCCGTGTTCGATCCACGGCAAAGCCCTTCTTTTTGAACTTTTTTTCTTTTTGCTTTTTTTTTTTATCTCTGATGGTCTTGGAATTGCCTGACCGGAGGCTGTTGTTCGGAGCTCGACACCGGCTAGACCCACTAAAGTATTAAGTCTATTGAATAAAATACACTTGATGTGATGATGATCTATAGTTATTATGAAAGGGAAGTGGATGCTTATGTAATTGGCTGTTGCTCCCCCTTTTACAATCGACGTTGCTATAAATTGAGAAGTGAGCAAGTGTTATAATCAGCAAGATATGTATATTACTATGTACATATGTCTACATATCCGTCTGGTTTACTAGTAAAGCATTTGTAGGCTTGTGTTCTTCTTTTTTATGCTGATAGTTACTTTGGAAAGGGGGGTGGTTGTTACACTGAAATACAACATTTTATTGTTTGCCGTATCTACTACTATTATAGAACAGATTGACCTGCTTCAATATTGTGTACCAATACCTAGTCAAATGATATAGTGCGGTGACAGTAACATTTTCGAACTTTTGATAGCTAAATCACATGCAACTACACATAAAAAAGACCTACACCCGCGCCGCTCTTATACCGATAACCCTAAGCGAGATGTGCGCAGATTCTGAAGCTGGTTGTGATTCCCGATCCTAACCAGTTTTCTTTCTTCACAGCACATCCAACACCACACAAAATCTCCGAGCCGCTAAATATTGGTGATTACTTGCATATGCAGGCACATTGAAAGATATATTTTAAGATATGTGTGGGGGCAACTCTGATGTATCTGGGCTCTTAAGTACATACAGAGTGCCAGATCGAGCTTATAGAAATCGAAACAAAATATCCTTGATAAGCCCTCTGGTATAAGCTAAACACTAGGAGCAGGTAACTTGGGGTATAAACAAACCGGAACCACATGCACCGTTCCGTGCCGTCGGTTCTCCGGTATAAGAAATTAAACTACATGTAGTTGAGCACACCTCCGCTTATAGTGCTCCTCCCATGACGAATCGTTCCCAACTCCAGCAGGTATGGAACACAAAAGGTGAGAGTCACTAACAACTAGCACCGGCGCATGAACGCAGCTATATTATCCACAACCTTGTGGGCACTGTCCGCAAACCCCAGCGCAGGCGACGTTATCATCGAGTCATGGCACGCATCGACCTCCTCATAAAACTCAATCCTATTCCCCTCCACCGCCTTCATCTCCTCCGCCCAGCGCCCCACATCCTCGAAGAAGATCTCCGCGGACCCGGAGCTCGCGAAGATGGGCGCGGGCGCCCTGAACGGGTTGCCCAGCGGCGTGACGTAGGGGTGCGTCTCGGCGGCGGGGACGTGGCCCGCGTACGCGACGGCGCCCCATCGCAGGAACGACGACGGCAGGTAGTCCGTGGCCCGGCGCGGGTTGCGCGAGGTGTCGTGGTCGAAGGGCGCGACCCACGGGGAGACGAGCACGCCGCACCTCGGCGGCGGGACGCGCAGCTCGTCGCCGAACTCGCGGATGTACCGCAGCAGGGCGACGACGAGGTTCGCGCCCGCGCTGTCGCCCGCGAGCACGATCTGCGACGCGGGGATCTGCAGGTCGTGCAGCAGGAACGCGTAGCCCGTCACGGCGTCCTGCAGCGCGGCGGGGAAGCCGCTGCACCCCGAGTACGCGGCCAGCCGGTACTGCACGGCGAAGACGGCGTCGAGGTCGGTGCGCGCCGCCAGCGTGCTGCAGCCCCAGCCGAACTGCGCTTTGCGGCCCGTGCCCAGGACGTACGCGCCGCCGTGGAAGTAGAGGCCGACGGTCTTGGAAGGCGCGTCTTCTTTCGAAAGAGGGCGCGGGTACCAGGTCCCGCCCACCTTGACGGGTTTGGTGTCCGGGAATGAGGCCAACGGCCCCTGGTAGACGTCCAAGGTCGAGGGCTGGATTACCTGGAACTGGTCCCCTTCGTCTCCCGGCTCCAGCGAGAGAGTCTCTGTGATCCCGATGCGAGAGCCGAAGTCAGTCAGTGCGTGTAGGACGCGAGACATGAAAGTCTGTCGGAAGGTCCATTGCGGAAGCGGCCTGAGGGGCCTCACGAGCGACACGATAACCCATAGAGGTAGGCGAATGATGATGCTGCTGATGTAGGTCACCTGGAAAAGGAGCCTCAGGGGCTGGTAGGATAGGATGGGATATTTCTGTCGGCGCGCCATATTGAAAATTCGGAATTGCTGTAGGTATGTATGTTTGTGTTGAAAAAAAGGGGGAATGGATGAAACCAAGGCTCATTTACAAAGGGGAACGTGGCGCGGAGTGACACCCGTTCATTCAAACTTTTCGAGACAGAGCTGTTCCGCTCGCTGGGCAAAGAGGTGACGGACATAGGCTGTGATATACGACAGGCAGAGGGCAACCGGCAGGCACCTCCTAATTATGTAAACCTGGGCTGGGTTACCTTACCCGGAGGCATGTTGGTAGCAAGACAGCGTAACCGCCGGCCAATCAACGGTAACTAACAGAAAGCATGGCAATCTCGCGAACAACCAAACCCTGTTATAACTTTCGCAATGCAACAACGATGTGTGCTTCTGGGAGATCCGCGGTCCCACGTTATGTATACCCCTCCCGTTTTTCCCGTTTATGTATTGACAATTCCTTTCCCCGATGTAGACCTGCGGCGCTGCTTTGACGATCGTACCATCGATGTGGTATTGGGAGCTGAGATAATACCTCGATACCGGGCAGGTTTTTCTTTTTATGCAAGTCATTGGTCCAGTGTATCAATTATTAGTTCAGCTGGGTAGTAAAATATGTATAATACCTAGTAGCCTACCTATTATTGCATGTATATAAGATATTGGGTCAATACCTAGGTACTTTGGCTGGCTTTATACAATGGTACTCGATACCATGTGTATTACTCTCATAAGATCTACTAAAAAGGCTTCTCCTAACCCTTTCCAGCGGACCCAGCCTTCTAGAATCCGTTCATCGTTTTCTTTCTTGTCTATGACCTTTTTCGTGAATTGTCGTTAAATGAGTCTGACCGTTCTCTCCTGCCAACCCGAACATGGCATCCCCGGCGCCGCCGACATTTGACTACTCTGACGATGGGCCGGCCATAATTATCAGCTGTGGCGTGCTCGCCGTACTGGCCACAATCACTGTAGCGGTGCGGTTCTGGGCGAGGAAACTGTCGAGTTTTGGGTATGGGATGGACGACTGGTTGGCCTTGGCCGCGCTGATCTTTCACCATGGCGCCTACGGTTCCAGCATCGGGATTGTCAAATACGGCCTGGGAAGAGATATCAACTTGCTAATGGCGACGGAGCCGGGAATGCTCGTAGGGCTGTACAAGGTAAGATCATCATCACCGGGTTACAGCAACATTACTTAACTAGTGTGCCTACAACCTCCTATCCACATACAGACAAACTGACCACGAAAACTGGTAGTCAATGTTCATAGGAGAGCTATTCTACGGATTCAGTGCCAGCCTGGCGAAACTATCCGTCCTCGCATTCTACTGGCGTGTGTTCCCGACGCAAAACGTGAAAGTAGGATGCATGGTACTCGCCTCGCTGTGTTTTGGCTGGACGATCAGCATCCAGATAGTCAACCTGCTCCAGTGTCGGCCGCTTGAGGCGTTCTGGAACCTGGAACTGCGGGAGCTTCCGGGCACGGTGTGCCTCGACGTCCTCCTGTACTTCATAGGCAACTCTTCGGCCAACTGCGTCATCGACTTTCTCACTTTGATCCTGCCCGTACGCGAGGTGCTCAGGTTGAACATGACGACTAGGAGGAAGTTTGGGGTTTTGGGTATCTTTCTACTTAGTGGCATGTAAGTCTTGTTCAAATCTACTGACTAGTATCTATTCGCCTTTTGTGCCCTTTCACTCACCTAACCCGTGACAGTGCCTTTGCGGCCAGCATGACCCGTACGATATCCATCGGTGTAGTATGGACCCTAGGCGTCACCAACTTTACCAGTAAGCTACCTAAAGACCAGTCCATCGAAAATTGCGATTGTTAAATCATGTTTTCTAACCACAACGCCCCCCCCCAAAACCAGAGCAATTCAGCACCGGCTGCGCCGCCTCGAACATCGAGATCTACGTCGCCATCATCGGCGCCTGCCTGCCGACCATGGTGCCCGTGTACAAGCGGGTGCGCCACGGCAGCTCGTTCAACAGCAAGCTGACGCCCACGTCGAACACGGCCGCCAGCGGCGTCAAGACCATCGGCAAGATCGCGAGTAGAAAACCGCCGGACAAGGGGTTCGAGCGGCTCAACGAAGAGGAGCTCAACCCGAGCGAGTACTACAGCAACCACCAGGTCAACGTCAGCAGCTGGGGCGAGCGGCATGCACAGCGCGATAGCACGATGGATATTCCGCTGGAAGGAATCGTGGTCAAGCAGGATATGACGGTGTCGGAAACTTTGGCTACTACTAAGCCTTAGCCTGCCTACCTAGCTGCCTACCTATCTTATCCTGTCCAGTACGACATAACTTTAGAATATATTTGTTTCCTGGCGAAAAAAGGGCGGTGTTGAATTGAATTGAACTGTGATACCGATATTTCCTGCTTATCTAGGCCAATAGCAGGTAGATAGCTGAACCGCTTGCTTAAAAGAGGTCATTTTCTCAATTAAGCCTTTTTTACAACTTACACACCACACCATTAAACGAGCTGCTATATGCATATGGCTTGCACCAGAGAATCCCAATAAGGAACATTGGGTGGGTGACCAACACTCCAATCAAGGGGTCAGGGACGAGTATCTATTGTATGACCCCTTACGAAGGATGCATATGATATGTGGTACGGTGCAACCCAAGATGCCGTGATAATGTAAGGCTCGCAGTTTTGCTCCAGCTGTTGGAAGTGATCAATAAGGTGAGCTGTCCATACATGTTTTTTACGGCCAAAATATAACTACACCGCAGGTATGAAAAGATGGGGAGGGGGGAGGAGGGGGATAATGGAAGATAGGTAACTATTGTACATACATATGTATCTGGTCACCGCATTCGTGCTATTTCCGGCTCGGTGTGGCGACTATCGCTTATGATATTGATGGTGGTTTACCAATGCGCTGGTACGGATCGAGTCTCCGTCGGGTTCGGTTAGAGGTCCAAGGTTGGATACACATGTAGCTACCTGGGTGCTTTCCTACTACCTATTACTACATGTAGTAGTAACTTACATGCTGGGGAAAGATTCGAAGTTCTTATTAAAGAGAGAGTTTCAATTGAATCCTCCATTTTATAAAACTTTGAATGAGTAATATTCAAATGTTTGAGTTCAATACTAATAAGCTGTACTATGTAGTTAATCATCATAACCTAGTCTCTCACGTGACCACACAATGTTCTCATTAGCCTTACGTAAATCTGTAATTACATATGTACAGTAGTTTAGTTAGATACATAACTACATTCGAATTGTATTGATGGACAACGTCAGGTGCACTCTGCTAGCGCCGGAAGAGGATTGAATTAAAGTCTTGGAACCAATTTCCCATACAGTAAAAATGCATTTTCGGTTTGACAACATTGAAACAAACAAGTTTGAATGCATTCTATTATGAATGCATACTATTAATTACCTAGGTAAATACTGACTATGCACTTGAGTGAGTACCCTTCTAGATCTGTGGATTGAGATGCACCGGGGAAGAAGATCACCTCAAGCAATAATCTGGACGATATACCACATAGGGAGTATAAACGATGATCTCCCGGACTTGTCTCAGGTACGCATTGCTTATTTTATTCCCCATGGTCCTGATTGACAGGTCCCATATTAACTGGGTAGAGAGAGATAGGACCGAGGTACCTCTATGCACAATACTAGTACTATGTAACTAGTAACTAGCATCTCATTTCCGTCTCGATGGGTTTGTAGGAGTATGAGTGGGCCTTACAGCCAGAAACGACCGGGCTTAGCTCTCCTCCTCGCCCAACTTGTCAAAAGATCAGCAAAACAGAGACAATATTTCTGTTATCCGAGAACAACAATAATCGGGATTTTTCAAGTAGGGAATGAACTAAATAATTTAAAGATTTACAGGTAATAAACCAAAGATTTTAAGGTTACGATACGATGTCGATTCGATTTGATCTACACCAGGTCCCCCATATAACCTGCCAACCAAGATAGATATATATAGATATATGGCAAACGGGAACGGGAACTTGAAGATTTCGATGAATAACCAACATACTATGCCGTAATACCGAAGGTATCTTGGAAGTACCGAGATCAAATATCAATCTAAAAACTCTACGGCCAAGACCAGAAGCCTAAACAAGCCCCTACACAAAATCTATGTAAGCCGGGGTTAATGGTGCCACAATCCTGGCCATGGCTGGCATAGGTCGCGACAGCAGGCCCCCCGAAGGCCCCCCGAAGGCCCCCCGAAAAAAGATGACTATGTCCCAATACATCGTAGCGCATACAGTATTACAGCTTAATACAGCTACTAGCTGTATTAAGGGGGCGTACACAATTTTGTCTTATAAAATGCAAATCGTCGGCCCTCCAAGTCTCACGACTTAGGAAAATGTTGTTTGTTCTAACGTTCAACGCTATTCCCCGACGACGAACAGACTCTCCCACACTCTTTTTTGGCGACGCTGCCTCATAAGGTCGATTTAAGTTTTATTTCTTATATCGAACCACCACACTCTTTTGCAGTAGCGACGACTACGAAAAAAAAAAAAAAAAATGTATACATCCAAAGCTGTCGTCTTCTTGGCGCTTGGCGCCTGTGCCTCCGCCGTACACTTCCCGGACCTCCTCCCGCGCAAGACAGCCGCGAACTACCAAGCGGAAGAAACGACATCGACCTCATCATCGTCCGAGTGCTCGTCGCGCGTGCAGTCCTGGGCCAGCGCATTCCCGACGAGCCCCCCCGACCTCTCGAAAGTGCTGGCCTCGCAGGGCTCCGTGGGCGGCAGCGTGACGGACCTGTGCGAGGTCGCCGTCGGGCTGCCCAAGACCCAGGCCGCGGCCTTCACCGCCTACTTCGACGAGGTGTACTCGTACTTCTCGAAGCAGAGCTCCAACATGAATGTGCTCGCGACCAAGTGCCCCGACGAGATGGGCGCGCCCGCCTCCATCATCACGAGCCAGCTCGACGAGGTCCTCAGCATATACTCGAGCTTCGCCGTCGACGGATGCGAAGACACGCCGGCGACGACTACGACGGGGGGCGTGTCGACGACGTTTGGCAAGGGGTCCCCGGTAAGAGGAAGTGCGGCCACCTCGACAGCCTCTGCGACGGACTTCGTTGCGAACTCAGCATCAGCGACATCTTCGGGCGCGACGACTATTATCACGACAACCAGCGCCAGTAGCTCCACTACTGCCAGCGACAGCGGCGCCTCAACGACCGCATCAGGAAGTAGCGCGGCTTCTTCTTCTTCTTCTTCTTCTTCTTCTTCGGCCACCACAGTCCCCGACAGCGCCGGCGCCAGACAATCCGGCATGTTTGCCACCGCGGTCCTGGCCGCGTGCCTTGTCGGTTCGGCCGTGTTGATATGACACCAGCAGCCTTTCTATATCTACATTCACATCCATATCTATATCTACGTTTATATCAAACCTATATCAACCCATATTCACATCTACACTCTTACGTTACGAGAAGTACTCAGATTGCTACGAAGGAAACGCTTGCTTGGTGCCATTCATACATTACATACATACCCCCCCCTTTTAAGTTTTTAACGCTGCTTCCGATGTTTCCCACTTCAGTTTTTGAGCGTCTTGCTGTTTTTTAACCCTCTTTAGGGAGGAAGGGGAAAGGGAAAGGGAAAGAGGAGTTGGAGGGAGGAGGGGAGTAGGAGATGGAGGGAAAGGGAAGGGAAAAAGTAAAGTAAAAGAAAATCAAAATCAAAATCAAATTATTGAACTTGGGTACCTATGTGGGTGCCTGGGTGAAACCCCTTAACGTTGTTCTCTTGTTGCGATCTGTGTGTGAACTATTGCTGAATTGCCATCGCGAGGCTTGGCGCTTATACCTGGTAGGTATTAGGTACGGTCAGAACGTCTAAAGCCACGGTTACCTGTCCTGGAATTACTTGAAGTGATCGACCTATAGTTACTGACATAGAAAAGCAGGTCTAGGGGTTCACGTGTGTGCGCTATGGTACATACGTTATACTATACTAGGTAGTAACACCTACTAGGTACCTCGAAAGCCTTTCTCGATGTGCCTATTGGCAACGCAACGACGAGTAGTATCCAGTGGCCACCCCTGAAGAAAATTCTCGCTGACGATGACTATGGTGTCCATGGCATTATCGTTGAATCTACTGCCCAGATGGCGGTACGTATTGAAGGTGACATTCACTGCATAGGGAGGTCAGGGCGGTGGAACATCGTCTGTTCAGACAACCATTTCTACCCCCTATTCTGCGCACCGGGGGGGTTGAACGCAAGCAGACTATTTCTGACTCTTCACCACATCTCATATTTGATACAGATTACGTCGCAGTGATTATGTATGTATTGGTTGAGATCAAGCGGCCTTCGTGGTATCAACATTTACCTACCTATCTATGTCGGCGGTCACGAAGGCTTTACAAGGTACGCTACCTCGTAGGCACTGCACGGCTCACCTATCAAACATGTATGGACATTGCTTCTTCTTGACTAACTAGCGCTTCCACTGATCCAGGCTATCCTCCCACGCTCCTGGCTAAAATGGGAGTTCTCGTGCACAGCCTTATGGCGGCCGTTGGATCCTTCCCACCGAGCCCCCTCCCCCGAACATCGCGCTGGAGTCTATCCATCGATAGGGCTTTGGGCTTTGGTCCCGTGATGCCAAGGGAGCCCCGACGACCATCAACCTGTGGTCCGCATCCGCACAGGGTACTCACGCCTGCACAGTCTTTGCAGGGCCCCCAGCACCATCGGTACTGACTTTGCTAGGACCCAGCTACGTCGGTCGGCAGCTCGCCCGTCCCCCCCCCCCATCCATTCTTCCACGGAGCCAGAGCCCCCCCCAAAAACGCGGCGTGCGCGGGAGCATTTGGTTGCCAAAGGTAGGTAGGTTAGCAGCCGAAGCGACGACGAGGACGACCCCGCCCGTCATGAATGCGGCGTTCGTCCTTCGGGGTCCTTAGAAGAGCCCATGCTGCTTGCTGCTCTAGGGCCTCGTCACTATTAGGTACACCACAAACCACGCAAGGCCGTCCGTCGCGCAACCCGTTCCCGGCCGCAGCACAGCCGTCTTCGACGACGATGACGACGGAGTGGCCGCTTTGTGCATGGAATGCTCGTGTCGTAGGAGTAACTTGGTGTGGCCTTATCTCACCTCTCGCGGTAAAAAAAAAAAAAAAAAAAAAAAAAAAAAAAGAAAACCCCGCGGGCGGGCGGAGGCTTTTCAGGTTATGTTAGGTTGTGTTGCACCTATGTCCTGAAGCTTCTGGAGGTCGGTTTGGCAAAAGAAGGAAGGGAAAGGAAAGGAAAGGAAAAACAACCCCCTATGAAAGGGCTAGGTGTAGGTAGTTTCGCATAGCGAAGGACTTTTTGCATACCTAGAGCATCTGGTTCGCGCTGGGGGTTTGAGGCCCCAGAAGGCAGCAGGAATCGATTGAGGGCTGGGTTGCGACCGGGAACAACACCGGCCACCGTAAAAGTTGCCTTCCTCCGTATTTCATCTGTCGGGGGGATCGCTAGAGGTGCTGGCATGTACTAGGCGAGGTTGGGAATTAACAACGAGTTTGTGCTGATAGTGGGCACCCAAGCCAGCGATGTCGACTGAACGCGATCCCGATCAATGGTGCTTGGGGATTGTATCGACGGTGGCCTAGGTACTACCCCGGCAGGGAGTTGGCACATTGTGAATTGGGAACTGGAGATAGTTTGAAGAAAAAGTTGAGATAGGGGTGGTATTTGATAGATATATTTACGTGAGCTCAATATGAATATAAGCCATCTACGATTACTAGATGCGAAGCCTTACGACAAGGAAGGCGATTTTGGCAAAGACTTCTTCCGCTTTAAATTACATAGTTTATACATGTTTAGCATGAGACGACAAAGCCTCTATTTTATAGTTATCACAATAACTATCAAGTCTTCGTCAAACGGTGATTATCACCACTTCATAGGTAGGTAGGTAGGTAGGTAGGCACTAAGCTGTGTGTCGCACACTTGACTCTAGCACATGATGGCAGGCATGGCTAAATATATATATCTACAGATATATCTCCTATCAAGGCTTTAGGCATGAAGTTGTATGTATTTATATAGACTACAGTTTAGATCAGTCTATGGTTGTGGTGAATAAAACAGCAACTAAGTAGGGATACATATGTGATTCATACTATGAGTAATAGCCAATCAAGAGTACTTCGTAACTAGGCAAGTAAACAACTCTGATTGGATCATCGACACTTCACAACCTCAATAGGGAAACTATTTCGTACCTCGGTACCTAACTCCTTGTAAGGCTACTATTTTGAGACCCGCGGCATCTTTTCCGGCCTCCGGAATCTTTTCCTCCTTAGAAAAAGATCGTCGTACAAGGCAGCGAGACAAGTCAAAGGCTGAGAGGTCTGTGAGGTAGGCTTATGAACCTTACCGACGATCAGTTGTCTGGAATGTGCCCAGTTTTTTTCATTTTTTTCGGTATCGGTAGCCTATTTTACTGTCAAACAGCCTGAACCATGGCACTGGAGTTGGTCAATACTTCTCCCCTTGCAAACTACACCACAAAGGCCCTTTTGTTGTTGTTAATAACTATAAGCGAACCAGATCTTTCATGGTAGGGAGGCTTACTCGTGGAGGGGAAACAAGAACTTGAGGCTTAAATATACTACACGGCAGGACTAGAGCAGGTACCTATCTACCTAGGTAGCCACTCGTAGGGTTCTTGAATCTAGACCGACTGAGGTTCGTGCGTGGCTCCAGTGTGCCGTGTCGTATACTGGGCATGTACAGCACCTGGACACTGTACGTAAGGGGTTATCTAGATTCTAGCTCATCTTTATTTACTTACTCTCTTACACTTGCCTATTCTCATCGCCTACTCTGGGAAAGTATGGGATTGTTAGCCGAGTGGGACGGTGTAGTTGCTGTATCATGGCTGCTAGCATGTCAGTACATACCATAGCATGAAGCGTAATACTCGGGCATAAACTGTGAATAACTACCTAACACATGTATCTCCTTTGGCTGATTTTGAAACTTGCTGGACATACAACTACCTAGGTAGGTACTCAACTGCATGGCGATATCTGTGAAGTAATCAAGAGTAAGATAAGTATCACAATGACACCGTATATGTGAGTACCGCGCCTACCAGGTAGGTAGGCGTTGATGAGACAATACAATCAATATTATTCTGCCGTGTTACGCACTCCCAATCAAACGGCTCAGCTGTCATCATTCTAGCCCAGAAATTACCAGAGCGACGGTTCGGTCCCGTTGCAGAGGGGCTGCTGCAAGCGACAACCAGACGAGCAGAACGATGGCTCGGATGCGCGGGTCCATCCCTATCGCCCAGGATCGCGAGAGAAAGATCGCCCTGCAAACCATTCTATCGCTGAAAGCATCTTCGAAGGTCTTTCGTCGGTTAATGATTATCTATCCTTCGATACCATACCTTCATTGCGTACCAGTACGAGACCCAAGCCTCGCTTGATTGTGTGCTGCCTATGGCGGTGGAGATCGCCATGGACTGTCATAATGAAAGTATATCGCCTATCTATGTAAGCAGGTAGATTGTAGGTACAAGGTAGGGCTGCGGACGAAATGTCGTGAATGTAATTTAGGGAAAAAAAACACATAATAGGATAGGCATATTCTCTAGGATGCCTTCTCTTTCACTATTAGTGTTTTTGAACTATCAAAAATGGCGTCACCCACGCAAACCCACGGCGAATTCGATGATCTCGCTGCGAGACTGAGAGGAAACACACTTCATATTCCAAACCTGTTGACGATATTCGTAGGCTGGCCCGGCGGCGTCAATGCTAGGCTGGAAGACCTTCGTGATGAGATAAATGGCCGCATGCTGGGAAGGTTGGTTCTCTACTTAGTGCCTGTCCATGTCGCCCAAACTGCTGCTGACCGTTACCCCTGAATTGATCTAGCGTGATATCCGATCCAGCGAAAATAAAGAAATACACACACGCCGACTTCGGATTTCTCACTTCTACGTATGTATCTCGATCCACTCCGACCCCCTTCTTACCCTTTCAAACAACTCAGCTCACCATGCTTTCATCATATCAGATGGTTCCCCAATGCCACCTGGTCGCGGCTAAAAGTGGCCGCCGCCTTCTTCGTCTGGGCCTTCGTCTGGGACGACGAAGTCGACGTCGGCGAAAACGAGATAGACAACGAGATCAGCGGCAGCAAAGAGCTGGTCCGCCTGTACTGCGAGCAGTCTCTCGCCTGCGCGTACAAGGCCCTGCGTCTTGGCTACGACGAGATCCGATTCCCACCGCCGGGAAGTTCGCCTGTTCGCAGCATGGCGCTGTTCGAGGAATTTGCTAAGGGGCTTCGGGGACAGGATAAAGGTTCGTGAAATTTCCATATGAGTTTTACCATCGCCAAAACGCTGTGATCTTTTCTAATAGTGGATTTCTCGTATTTTCTTTTTTTAGGTCAGCGGGACTTGGTACGTCGGGAAGTCGAGCTTTTGATTCTCCAGGTGGTCGTGGAATCGAACCGCAGGCAAGACGGGAGCATGCCGACCCCGGAGCAGTATATGTGCAATCGTTCCGGGACCGTAGGAGCGACGTGTCTCCTTTCTATTGTTGAGTCAGTCAAAAACAGTGTCCTACGGCGTCTCCGCTTGCTAACACATTCCTAGCTTCATGAATGGATTCAAACTCCCAAAATGGGTTATGGAGAGTAGGGAAATGGGGCATATCTGGGAAGAGACATGTTCCATATGCTATATGTAAGTTAAACCCCCTTTACCATTTCCTCGGCGGAAAAAGTGGCCTAAGATGAGCTGCTTACCATATGGTCTTACTAGCATCAACGATGTCTATTCGTTCAAAAAAGAAATGGTGAGTCTTAGCCAACCTCAGGCACTCTTATTATTTATGATATACTGACACTTGCCGTACAGGACGTCGGCACATTCCACAATCTGATCCCGGTACTCTTCCACGCCCAAGGCACCAACGAAATAGGGGGCGCCATGAACCGGATCCTAGAAATGATGCAGCAGGCCTACGAGACCTTTGAGGCGGCGGCGGCGTCTCTGCTAAGCCGGGCAAAGGGCGACCGGCAACTGTGCGAGAATCTGCAGGCCTACTTTGACACCTGTCGGACCTTTACCACCGGCCACATACTCTGGAGCCTGGAGTCCAAGAGATACGGGCTGAAACAGTATCTGCAGGCGGACTCTTCTATCATAATCCCGCTGTAATGGATATACCTAATATTAGAAATTTATCTATTATACTCACGATACCATAGGTAGAGAGCTGTCATGTGAAGCTGGCAGCTAACAATACAAAGCCACCTACCCAGTACCTATTATGTTGCAGGTGTGCCTTGGGAGCCATGGCTCCACTAGGCCTACCATACCTAGATATTGGCACTCCGCCATCGTAGTCTGGGATAACCCAGGCTTTCTCCAGTCCTTCTTCCTTTCCGTTTGGTTGCAGTTCACCCTGCAACATATACTGAAACTAAACAACCGCGCGTCCCTTCACTGCACAACAAACTGCTCCGCGTGCTCCTTGTGCAGCACCGACGAATCCAGCACCTCGCCCGTCGCCGACCTTATGAAGTCCACCTGCATGTTCTTCTCGTCCAGGAAGCTAATCTTCGCATAGCTGAAGTCGTCCGCGTACGCGAACGCATTGTACGAGACATTGGTGCCCACCGCGCTCAGGCCCTCGATGTTCCCCGCGCCGCCCGCGACGATGTACATCGGCGCCTTCGGATCGTCCATGCCCTTCGGGTCGGCGGTGTCGTTGTACACGGGCACGAAGCGCTGCGAGTTGTGCACGTGCCCGAAGATGGCGAGGTCGACGCCGTACTTGTACAGCAGCGGCTCGAACGCGGCCCGGCACGGCGCGCAGCCCTCGCCGCCCGTCGAGTACCACGGCCTGTGCCCGCCCGTGACCAGCCACGGCGTGACGCTGCGGTCGACGGACGCGAGGTCCGCCTCCAGGAACTGCAGCTGCTGGTCGGGCCAGCCGAAAGGCCCGGCGTCGAGGCCCGCGGAGCCGTCGGGGCCGTCGGGGCCGTCGGGGGCGTCGGCGAAGTCGGTCTCGGTGTTGAACATGACGAAGTGGATCATGCCGTACTCGAACGAGTACCAGAAGGGGGGCTTGGCGAGCAGCTGCGCCTTGTTGGCGCTGATGCGCGCGGCAGAGGCGGCCGAGGTCGAGGGGAAGGCGCTGCCCATCGTCTCGCCGAAGCGGATCATGAAGTCGGTGAAGTTTTTTTGCCCCGCGGGACACAGGCCCGTGGTGTAAGGGATCTCCTGGCACGCGGCCTCGTGGTTGCCCGGGCTGGCCATGTACGCCTTGCGGCTGGAGATGGGCTGCAGCTGGTTGTAGAACTGCTCGAGGATCGCCTGGAAGGCGTCCTCGCCGTCGAGCACGTTCTTCGGCTTCAGGTACCAGTCGTCGGCGTAGGCGAAGTCGCCGGGGTGCACGATGAACTCGTAGTCGTCCACGGTGTTGGCGAGCTGGTTGATGGTCGTGTGGTTCAGGGATGGGTCGATGGTGGGGATAAGATCCCGCTTGGTCTCGTCCATCTCAATGGTGTACCCGTCGGCCCCGTAGACTCCCATGTCTATCACGGCGTTCATAGCAAAAGGGGTCTTGTCGCCTGCTACTCGCGGGCTGAAGAAATGCTCGACGGTAGAGTTCGTCGATACTATCTTGTAGTAGTATGTGGTGGCCGGCGCAAGACCAGTAAGCGTGACAGCGTTTGAATACGTTCGCGACGTCTCATAGGTCACCGAGGAGGTCGAGCAGACCTCCGAAGTCAGCGATTCGCACGAGGTGCCATACTGGACACAGGATTGGTTCAGCTTTTGGTATGTGTTCCAGCCGACGGAGATGGCTATAGATCAGGTGGAACGAAATTAGTAAATTTTGAAGGATTAATTCGCAGCTTAAAAACTCACCATTGGGGCCATTTATGGCAAGGCGCTGGTGAACCGGAGTGGTCAAGTCCACAGGAATCGCCGGATAGCTGGCTGCAGCAATGACACAGCCAGCGAAGAGCGGCAGTCTCTTCACGAACGCGAATGGACTCACCATTGCACTCGCTAATCTAGTCTCCCACCGTGAAATTTGACTTTGGATTGACGGAGGTACCGTGGCTTGCACTTACATCCTCATTATCTCGTCGACCCAAGAAGGATCGACGTATTTATAATACCCTCATTATAACATACCTAGAAGGCTGACGAATCCAGTCCCACGTGCGCTATCAGATGCAAAATAATATCCTACCCTCAGCGGCCTCATGCGGTGTTGGATAAGCGAATCAGGGGAACGCTATTTGAATGTCTCGCCGAAAAAGCTAGGTCATCCCCGTTGGGTCGTGGGCTAGACGATTGGCCGAGACAATAGCTCACGATTTGGAGCAGTCGCCGGGGGTTCCTGGACTAAAGCAGATAGCCGTGAAGATCACACAGTAGTATAATCACAAAAAGGGACTACCTAAATAAGAAGGCATAGCGCACCATGTTCCCGTGATGGGATCTAGGGGTTTGAGATCGTAGCCGTAGTAGGATTTGTGTCTTGCATTAGCTAATTAATAGATTATAGGGGTTTAATAAAAAAGTTGCTGAGTGAGTATAGTTTAAAGATGACATAAAAGTCGGTCGTAGGAGGTAGTATTTAATCTACCTAAAAGTGATAGCTAAAGGCGCCCCTGTCTGTATCTTTTGATGGCATGTGATGCGAAAATTTGATGCCAATTAGAAGTATATCAATCATGATACTATTCCTGTTTTGCCCATCTACTTGAGCTCACCGCATGGCATTACTTGGTCTTATAGTTTATGCGATATCTGGAAGACTTCTCGTAGAAAAGGGTGTTGCGATTCTTTTTTTTTTTTTTTAAAAAAAAAAAAGAGTTCTTTGAATTCTAGATTGCGATGAACTAGATTTATTGAACACATTGTCAGCACAAAAAAAGGGCACGAGATGAGCAAAACAATTCAAGTAGATAGACAGAAAGGAGCTTATTAAGGTATTCACCATGTTTCTCTTAGATAGTACATCAGAATAGGGGTCTAGTGTAACCCGAATTGCCCAGTATACCAAGTTCCTGTTACAAGCCTACCTACCTATGTACGTATGTCTAGGTAGATCAGCATTTCCGAGAATAGAGTGGAGTTGTAACCTCTTCCTATCCAGTCCAGCCCCCCCCCCCCCCTTCCCAAGCTCAAACAAGCTCATACCTCGTGCCCCCAAAAACCGGCACCATGCACCCGGGCATCTCCCTCTCAATCTCGACCTTGAACCTCCACCCCGTACAATGCCCCGGCATCAGCACCGCCGGCCCCAGCGCCTTCAAATCCCGCATCGACCTCCGCAACTTCTCCGGCGACCCGTCCGCGAGATGATACCCGCCGACAATCGTGTGCAGCGGGACCCCTCCCCCGCCCCCAAGCTCCAGCGCATGCCGCGCGACATTAACCACACCGGCGTGACTGCAGCCCGTGAACACGACGAGCCCCCTGCCTTTAAGGTGGCACATGACGAGCCGCTCGTCGAGGATCAGCTCGTCGGCCTCCCACTGGTTCTGCGCGTTTAGCCGGATGCCGCCGGGGATCCCACCCTCGTAGTCGGTGCGCCGGGGGATCGGGCCCGAGATCAGGAACGTGTCGTCGAGCGCCGTGTGCACCTCTGCGCTCTTGAAGACGGCTGCGCCCGCGCCCTCGATCTCGGCGAATGTCGGGTCGGGCTCGAGAGAGATGGGCTCGTGGGCCATTATGCCGCGGAAGGAGGGCCGGTCGGGGTGTAGGTCTACGACCACCTTCTTCGTTTCGCTGTCTCCCCTTTGCTTTCCCGCATCCTCCTCTTCCTCTTCCGTCTTTCTATTCTTCTTAGCGCCCTCAACCATCCTCACCGCACTCAGCAAACCACCCGAGTGATCGCGATGCCAATGCGACAGCACGACCCTCTCGATCCTGCCCGGGTCCAGCCCCAACCTCGTCACATTTCTCTCCCACACAGCCTCCTCGGGCCCCGCATCAAACAGCAGACTATGCGACTTCCCGTCCCTCGTAACCGTGATCAGCAGCGACAGCCCGTGCGCGCCGCAGCACAGCGTGTCCATGCGCATCTGCAACTTGGCGCCGCCGCGCTGGTCATCGTCGGCGAGGGGCCGGAGCGGGGCGCCCATGAAGGACTGCGGGTGCTTGACGGCGGGGTGGGCCGAGGGTGAGATCTGGTCGATCTCGTCGTTGACGATGGCGTGGATCGTCAGGCTGTCTACCTCGACGAGCTGGGAGGAAGACGTCATGGCTCTGGCTTTCTCCAGAGGTATTGCTGCGGGGTGGATCATAGTTAACTAATGGTTATGTAGGTAGGCAGGTCGGCACATGTCAACAGGCCATCGAGGATTGGGACGACGGCTCCTTATATTTAAGAAGGATAAAGCCCGGGGGTTTGTCATATTGTGTTGTTATTATAGGTGTTCGCCGCTTAGATCAGATGTCTAGGTATATAAAAGGAGTGGGTACCAGACAGACTTATACGGAAAAGACAGGACGTGTATATGTAAGCTCTAGAGTTGCCTGATTCTATTTGCTTTCAATGCAGCCAAGCAAAATGATATCTACTATGTAGAAATCTATGGATGGTTGGTTTACTTACTTAGTAGTTAGTATAGGGGCTGAGCCTACTCCGTAAGAGCTGTCAGCGAATATATGCGTGCGGTGCAAGTATCCTTGTACTTAACTTATATACCATTGGACGAAGCACGCTCTTTGCCCATATAAATCAGAATTGACGGGATTTTTATTTTCTAGAGTGCTGGCGTCAACAGAGGGTAAGTACAGTATGCTGCTTTCTCGTTATACTGTCGACTATATTGTCTGGAGTGCTTACGTGAAACTAAGCAGAGTCTATTATGTGAATTTCGTATAATCCTGAAGGCCTGACATAATGAAAGAATCCAAGGGAATATAACTTGTTTGATGCGTTTACGCGATGAAGCTCTGGAGTGATTTGGCCTGTTAAGTGTGGCGCATCCGACTCCTGGGTTGTCCAAGTTTGACCAGGAAATTGGCCATATTTAAGAACGGCAACAACTCCCAAATAACTGGTTTCGTTCTGCGTGATAGAACTAAGGGTAATTTGGCCATTTCTCGTATTTAATGACACGGGTTCTAGGATGCGGGCAGTCAACCAAAAATCCGTTAGTTATGTCGTAAGACAACCTAGAAACACAATCACTTCATTTCATCGGGCTTGATTTATAAAACAACTTTCACGAAAGCACCGGAAATAACGTGGTGTGCGTCCTTGGCTGTATCTCGTCGCCGATGTGGTGACCTCTGTAGACGGAAGAAAAGGTCCGCCCGTGTCTGTCTCGGCTCCCCGTTTGCCATCGAGGTCGCCGATTACATTCGTAAAGTAGGCGAGACCTCCCCGGTGGTACAGCTCACTGTGGGTCTTCGTCTGTGGAAAGCCGACTGTGCTATTTGACCTCATCACGTAATTCCAAGAACCCAAATTAGAGAGCAAATTATAAGCACTTATTCGAAAAATCTTCGTAGGCTCTGCTTCGCGACATCCGGACGCACGAAGGGATTGTCTGGCCGTCACCGTGCATACCTAAAATAGGTCAGTTACTGGCCCAAAGTCGTGCAGAAGAATGCAGTGAGAACGGGGGAAATTCCCATGACCAGAAAATGACGAGAATGGAAAAGAATCAGGCTAGTTGAATATCGAAGGGCGGCATGAGCATATATATGTCGTCGAGGACGATCGTCCCTGTTACTTTGCCAACCTACCAAGGTGTAGGCATTAATTCGCCGGTGTTGAGTCGGCTGTCAGCAGCTAACACACGGGATCCTGCATGCTAGCCGATGCGCCGTAAGCCGGCAATGCATTCCCCTCGCACCCGAGTTCCGTCAATACTGTACTTCGTGGTGCTGCCATCCACTATAAGTAGAGGATTGACTGGTCCTGATTTGTTGCTTTTCATAATGTGGAAAATATGATAAGCTCGGATATTATACAGGATGTTGTGAATCGACTCGAGTTCATGGGATGTAGTCAGTCTGGTAGGTTTAGCCATGCATAACCAGAAGTGCGAATTTGTTACAAACATTATACCTTAGGTAGGGACGCAACTAGACAGCTTACCGTTTTCGCTGTGAGCAGGACAATGGTGTTCTATCAGGAATATTCGTCAAGTATCGTCTCAAATATTATTATAGTACTAACTCTGATCCATCTATCTTTCTCACAAGACGCGGATCACCTAGTCGTCTTCTATATTTTTTTTTCCATCCCAAAGTCATAACGCGTAGTGAATCGTCAAAATCTTAAAGTGTCATCATCATGTTTTATCCGTCGTATCATTTCCATCATTCCTAAACCATTGATCAAAGTCGTTAATCTAGTTCTCGGTCCCTATGTGGGACATATGCTAGACCGTCGTTATCATTATTAGTATATGCGCGCTTTTGCGTGCCGTGTCATATTTCGTAAGGCAGTTTATCCGCTGCCACCTTGTGCACTTTATGTTGTACATCTCATCACCCTCGCCATCCCTTAAAAGGAGGCAGGCTGTGCTAATGACATAGGAGAACTGAATGAGGGTGTGCTGAGATCTTGCCTCTCATGTTGTTTTTGCTGTTGCTGCTGTTGCTGTTATTGTTGTTTTGTGCAAAGTTTTGCTTGCTGGAAATCGGGTTATAATATGCAACCCAGTCATATCTGTCGGATCATTTCTCCATGATCATTTTTCTAAGTGCCCATCGCAAGTCGGTTCGATCGCGCTCGCCCGAACCACTCCAATTTGCACATTTTCGGTGCCAACGCGATTCTTCTTCGTGTTGCCGTCTGATGAATTCTGGACCAACGTCGAACTCCTCGCCCACTAGCCAATCGTCCCGAAGATCGCTTCCACGGCCACCCGAGATGGAATCTTTATCCTTATCGTCAAGGTCGGGTATATCCTTGAAAGGATCATCATCGTCCATAGCATTGAAGCCCTCCATGGGATCGTTAGATAGAGGAGTTGTGCTATCCGCCTTTAGCCAGCACATATTTTGCGGGTCGAATATCATATTTCCAACCCGCTTAACGCCCTTAGTGGCGGTCATGTTGGTGATCAGAACTGGCCTAGATGTTGAACCCTCTCTATCTCGAGTCACGTGCGGTGGTAGAGTTGTCGTCGTTGGCGATGCAGTCGGTACATCGAAAGCGTTGAGCGCAGTGTCATTTCCTTCCCACCGAAATGTTGCTGGATTGTACGTCATTCCGTTTACGACTGAATTTTCTAAGTTAGCAATATGTTTCTGAGGTTTCTGAGTTATATGAGATGATTGCAGCGTGTGAGACTTCTCATTATGTCGATGCTGAGATAGGCCAGGCTTCTGATGTATATGGAGCCTCTTAGACTCTACTACTGTCTGAAGCTGTTTAAGGGATGGGGATTTGATTATCTGTGTTTTCTCAAATATCCTCGACTTCGGAGGCATCTGAATTTTGGGCGTATGGGCCCTTCTAGGAAGGGTGTTAGGACGCCGAGGTGAGGCAGCAGGGTTCTTAGGCGCCTGAGGGGTCCGAGACTTCTCAGGTTGTTTTGGGTTTATGATCTGAGGTTTCTGCAATTGTCGAAGTCGCTCGGGTGTTTGGGGGATTCGGGATATCCGAAGTTTCTTAAACCGTTCTGGCGTCTGGGGAATCCTGAGGGTTTCATGGGGTTTGATAGGCTGGCTGGGTATCTTCTGTATTTGGGGCCTGTGGGGAATTTGGGACTTCTTAGGTGATATACGCGTACCTTTAGTCTCTTTAGCCGAGTTTAAGTTAGAGATTAAATGCGGCTTGAGCTGCGGGGTCTTAAGAGGCTTCCTAGACCTGGCGTTATGATTGAATGGCGAGAAATTCGGTCTGGCTGACAACTGAGCAACTCTCGGGTTGGGGACGGGGACAAAAGGTCCCGTAGTGGGCGCACGCTGCGCGAGGCTCGTTTCCCTAGCAATGCGACTAGCGGCCGTGTCCCGAGCAAAGTGGGGCAGAGAGTCGGGTTTGGCAGGGGAGTAAGAATACGTAGGAGTCGGTGTGTTACGATCTGGGAGAACGTTTTGGTAAAGCTTGCTTCTGACGTTTGTCTTGTTTCCACTTCCAATCGGTTGTTTCATGTACCTGCTCTCAGCCTGTGCAGAAGTTGGAAGATCATCAAATGAATCAAGCTCGTGACCGTCACCAAAGCGTCGCACACGGCGCGGCTTGTTGATCTGTTGCCACACAGGTTCAGCGGTCATCTTATCGTTACGTACCCGTCTTGGGCTTGGCGATCGTATCGCAGCACGGGAGAAAGCCCGCGACAGAGGTCGTATTTCGGGACCTTGATCGGAATCATGGCGACGAAATGGCCGGGAACTCTTGGCGCTCACATGCTGTGATTGAGATTGAGATGCGCCGGCGGGCAAGAATGGATTCTTTCTCGGCTGCGTTATGCTGCCTTCATAAGCGGGACGGCTACGGTCTACGGGAGTCTTCGGTCGTATGAAGGACTGAGGTCGGTTGGACTCGACACGAGACTCAGTGCGAGAAGATGGCCGATCAAAGCGGGAAGTCGCGGGCTTGGCTGGTCCAGGTATATGGCGCATGGCAGGCAGAGAACGCTTCAATCTTAGCAATTGCGCGTTGGTCGTAGTAGGTTCAATACGAAGAGCTCCTGCTGAAGCTTTCTGGTTCAAATCTCTTCTTCGCGGAGTCGAAAATTGAGCTGACTGAGCCGAGGAAGGTGTAGTAGGGGTATGGACACTTGAGACAGAAGATTGAGCGGAGTGGCCAATCCGTGATTGAGATCGCCGAGAAGGTCGCGAGGGTATGGGACCGCCGCTTTCAGAAACTGGCTCAAGAGCAGGCTGAGGTTGTGCGCGTTCATGAGCGCCCATAGGCCGAGGCAGACGAGAAGCAGGTGTTGATGTAACCGGCTTATTGGTGAAGGTTACGGAAACTGCAGTCTTAGGTCGCACAGGACTGATCGGTCGACTTTCCTTCACCTTCACGTTGCGATGTAGTGTCGGCTTACCAGGGCGAAGTACTTCGCCTTCACCAAATTCAAGCCCTTCCAAAATATCCTCATTATCCGCAGTGAGTTTGACTGTGTTTTTAGACGGCGGAACTCCTTTGTTGAGCATAGAATACTCAAGCTGCCTATCAGGAGATGGGTCCTGCTTTCTTCGCTTCAATCGCTCACTGAGGTCTAAAGGACCACTTGGTAACATTAAACCGTCGAATATTTCATCTTCACTCTCGACGGTGATAGAGCTAGCGAGACTTGGGCTCATGGCTGACACAGATGAACTGCGCGTCGAGAAAGCATCTCGTTTAGTGCCGCCGAACCGTGTTCCTAAACTACCTTCGCCCCAATCGAACTCATCGTTCGCACTCAGTGCTGGGGTATTGGGTATATCCATTTTTCTAGATAGCTTCAGTAACCCACTAGTCGGCAGCTCTAAATCACCTTCGAAATCATCGTCCTTTTGCTCTTTCTGAGGCGAAGGTGTGGGTGGTGTGATTAAGGATAAGTGATTCTGCTGGGAACGAAGCTTTGAGACTTTGATAGTCGCGGCTCCGTCACCGAAAACATCGTCGTCGTCATCGTCTGCGTCCCGAAATTTGTCGAGGTTGATAGGTGTTGCAAGGGTCTTTGGCATGATCGGTTGATGTAGTTGCTGAGCTATAGTATGGGTTGCCCTCACAGGGCTAGAGGCCATCGGTCCACTAACTTGTCTAAGAGACTCTGGATATATTTGTCCATCTTGTGCTTTGAGATGGAGAGGACCGGTTACGGGCAGCTCTAGATCATCACCATAATCTTCCTGGAAGATCTTCTTCACCTTTCGTCCCCCCAGCCGCTTAATGGTACCCCCCATCAAGGCAGATGGAGGTACATTAGTCGGTATCGGGATACCTGCATGGGTGGCTAAGGTGATTGCATCTAATGTAGACTTTTCGTCATCGGCCGGTAGGTGTACGTGTCTCTCATCGTTCCCAGGCAAGGAGTCGCGATCGGAGCGGAACGAAGACAAACTGTCGCGGTGGTGGGAGTTGGAGTTTCCATTAGTAGAATTGCTTCGGAAAGTAAGGTCATCCTGATCAATCATGAAGTCGTCGTCGTCGCCCCAATCCTCAACTGTGCTGTTGTTTTTCGTGGCAGTCAATTTCTGAGGCTCTGCATCTTTCCCTTCCCTTGCGCTCTTCCATGGGGCGTCCATCGGATCCTGCTTGAACTTCGGTGCCCAAGCTTCGGGTAAGCTAAACATGTCGTCGAAATCTCCAGATGGTCTAAACTTGCTCTGGCGAGGCTCCATTATGGCGTCGCGCGACTAAAAAAAAGGGTCGAACGGGATTTACGGGGTAAAATGCGCACGGTGCGGGTGCGCGAAGTCAATGTCCGAAAACAATGCTCTTGGATACTCCTTCAACTTGTCGCATCGTCTCGAAATACCGAATTAATAATCACCAGATATAGAGTGCTAGATTTTTGAGAGATCTAAGTATTTCTATAACGGTAGGGTCGAGCGCAAACAAAAAGTTTCGCGATGAATATGTAGGTTTAGAAGAAGTATGAGTTATACGTAGGTAGTATAGGAAGTGTCGAAGACAAGGGTAGGTGTTGATTGATTGGTGGACTGGGTCCTATGTATGAAGTTTAAGGTGCGTAAGGTGCGTAAGTTATGAGATTTAACTGCACGGCAGAGGCTTGGCAAGATATAATGAAAAATACTGAAAAGTCGCAACTGTCGTTACTGTCGTTACTGTCGCAACTAGTATGCTAGGCTAGGCTTGTACTGTATGTCTGTACTATGTAGCCTGTGATAGTAGTAAAGTGGGTATGGTATGTATGCGTAAATAAGAACGGATCGAATTGAAGTTTAATATGTTGGGTTAGAAAGTTGGGTTGATGTTGATCGCAAGAATTGATTAATTGGATTCGGTGTTGATTATCAGACCCAAACCCAAGACAAATGAAATACGTGGTACGCGTGGTGCGTGCACTTATTGTTGAAATATGAAAGTACAACTTTATGAGTCGAGAGAAACTGGAGAAAAAGGTGGATGAATTGAATGGAGTTGAATAATGAAAGGTGAGTGAAAGGTGGGTGAAGGAAAGGTGGATGATGAATGAGGGATGAATGGTCAGTGTACAAGACAGGAAATTATTCAGGAAGGAAGGGAAGGCTGGAGAAGTTCCCAGGTTCAAATGTTCAAATGTTCTAATTCAGGTACAGTGCCTGGTACCCCTCGATTTTCTCGATTTTCTGGTGGTTGGGGTACAGTGCACGGATCCTATTTAGGGCTACAGTACTACTAGTAAGTATTATCAACAACTAATGCAGCCAATAAAATTTTCTCTTAGGGCGGTGTTATACGGCAGTAAGACCGCGACAGCAACGCGATATCCCTGGAAACGCGATCTGATAAATTTTAACCCCTCCTAAAATTAGGTGCAAGCCAGAAGGGATTGCCCTATAATTTTAATGATAGTGTGCTTTTTAAGTACCTGGGATCAACACTGAAGTACAGTGTGTCAAATCGTAGAGTTTGCACTGTATTTAAGACCTTTTCCACACCAGATGTCGTACATACCGTGACATTAATTAGTACAGTAACCACCGTGGAGTCTGGACTCTGGACTCTAGACTCTGGACCCCTCCGTCAACTTTAACAACAAACTTCAATGGAATATTAGAACTTCAATTTTCAGCAAATCTTGTCTACCTTGGGAGATTAACCAATAATTCATTCTCAATCATCAAAATTGTAGATTAAGGATGTTTTATGCACTCATTCGTCAAGTCTGATGAGTCGTTTCTAGGCATCCAGGCAGCTACTCCATATCGTACATAACTATCTCGTATCTCATCTACGGCGTAAATAACAACAGTAACATCCTTGCTCAGCTTCGATCATAGTACCCGCTCTCTACCCTGCCTTATGTGAGTCAACCTCGGAATAGCATCCGAATTAATGGATAGTTAATCCCCCCACAATACCAGGTACGCCGTTCCTCAATACGTCTACCAATGGTGCTACATACCTAGTATTATTGTTTCATCAGCCTGAGCGACGATAAAACGTATTCTCTTAAACCGCTATACGATATACTTTGGGCTTTCTGCAACAGCTCGTTTAGCTCATCTTACTTTGACATACCAATAATTCAACATGGCAGGACCCCCTGTATTACGTTTCCCTATATCGGGGAGAGAAAACGAGTACTTTTTGTTGGAAGTATCCTCAGACGGATCACGGCCTCTAGATTTGAAACTCGTCGGATCGGAAAGTACAGCCGTCTTTGTGACGAAATGTGAGTCTTTCCCAATCCTATGCTTAATCTGGTCTTTATACATCGAGGAACTAAAGGTGTATACAGTACGTCAAAGAAAGACCGCCGAGTACAAGCATTCAAGTAACAGTTCCTCTAAGGAGGACTGGGAAGAGACCCTCGCTTCGATCTTGGTCAAGCAGCAGCTAGCATCCGATATTGAAATTAGAGCCGATGTCCAATCGGCTAAGTCAAAAGTCACCCTCTCTTTCCAAAAGAAGATAGAGGGCCTTGCAGTACGCATATCAATCCAAGGCGTCCATTTTTTTCACCTCGCTCACAATAGTCTGTAGCTACCACTTGGATCCATCACTCTTGAAGAAAGTGAGGAAACCGAAATTTCCCCCTTTGATTGGTGCGTCTCGGCTATCGCAACCCGCGAGAAGGTCCAAGAAGACCTAAATGCTGCTACCATCAAAATCCGATCCCTCGAAGAATCCCTTGGGGAGCTCAGAGATCAATTGGACGAGCTTGTTAAGGCAAAGGCGGAGGACGAAACCCAACTCCTTGAGAAGTTCAGGAATCTTTTGAATGAGAAAAAGGTTAAGATTCGGCAGCAACAGCGTCTACTAGCTTCTGCAGAGGTGAACCCCGAAAAGCTTGCTAAAGTGGGCGGGAGCTTGGATAAGCAGAAGCATGTAGCTCAAGCTTCGCGTCCTTCGAAGCGGAAAGTGAAAAAAGAAGTCGAAAGCAGTGATGATGGGTTTGAAAAGATGGACGTTGATGAGAAAGATCAGGACGACAGTAGCGTGGAGCCGGATGCGGAGGGCCATGGAGATACAACACCAGATGATACCCCTAGCGGAACAGATACAGACGACGACGACGAACCAGCGCCGCCAGCACAGAGCAATGTCGAGGCACCACCACCACGACGCAATCTACCATTTATGAAAAATAAGCCTTCTGCCCCACCACCAAAGCCGGTCGACAATGACGAAACAGAGTCGGATGAGGAGTTGTAGACGTTTTTAGATACCAATACGATAACGAGACTATGTTTTCACGACGCAAATACCACCTTGGTACCTAGGAGGCAGTGTAGTTGATTAGGGCTTTTTATTTTGATTGACCAACCTATTCGCTTATAGTCTACGAATTGATTCACAAAAACACGGATGTCAAGAAAGACCATGATAGGTACAAGAATTAAATTTTTTTGATATATTAGAGCTAGATTGCTGCTCTCAAAAGGCTTTGGTGGGGGACTTCGTGCGATGCTAACACGGACCGACTACACCAATAGCAACCTTTCCTCCAGCTGTCCTTAATGAAACAGGACCATAGCTATATCGGCGTTTTCTCTTTATAATACGCCCTACCTAGATATAAACCTTTCTATCCAGTCCAGTCCAGCCCCCATTCTAAACCCCCCCCCATTTAACGCCTGTCCTCGTCACGGTAGATGTCGGTGAAGTAGCCGCGGAAGTGCTTTTGCCTGCCGAGCTGGGAGATCTCCTGGATCTCGTCGGGGGAGAGCTTGAAGCTGGGTATTCTCCGGGAGTAGCCCTGGATGCGCTCCTCGCTGGTGCTGGTCGTGGCGACGGCGATGCCCTGGTCCATGGCCCACCGGATGGCGATCTCCGACTCGGTGACCTGGTACTTGCGCGCGAGCGACGTGAAGATGCTGTCGACGGGGCCCGGGGCGCCCTTGCGCAAGGGGGCGAGGGTGCCGTACGCGCCTGTGGCGATCCCCTGCTGCCGGTGGAAGTCGAGCAGGTTGCCGTGCTGCAGGTAGGGGTGGAACTCGACGTGGTTGATGGCGGGCTTGACCTTGGCGGTGCGCAGGATCGTCTCGAGGTGCTCCTGCACGAAGTTGGACACGCCGATGGACCGCGCCTTGCCGGACTGCTTGACGGCCTCCATCTCGGCCCAGATCTGCTGGAGCTGGTCGGGCGTCTTGGCGACCTGCGGCCAGTGCACGAGGTACAGGTCCACGTAGTCGAGGCCGAGGCGCTCGAGCGAGGCGTCGAGCGAGGCCTTCACGGTCGTCGCGACGGTCCACAGCTTGGTTGTGACGAAGAACTGCGAGCGCGGCAGCCCGCTGCGCTTGATGGCGTCGCCGAGGGCCTTCTCGTTGCCGTCCACTGCGTAGATTGGTTAGCCAAGGTCTCTCTCTCAGCTTAGCTAGGTGGGAGCATTATGTGATCCTCCTTACCTTCAGCACCGTCTAGGTGGTAGAATCCGTTTCTTATCGCTGCCGAGGTCGCATTGAGGATGTGCTCGCCGTTGGTCAAGGCGGAACCGACGCCAAAGGCAAACTACACACGCCATGATTAGTCTTCTACTACTACTACAACTACTACTACCCGATGATAAAGTGATGGCTAAGAGAACTTACCACAGGGATCTCGTTGCCGTCGTTCAGCTTCAGGGTCGGGAAGTTCCCGCTCTGCTTCGGGGTGTTGCTGTTGGAGACATTGGGCTGGTATGGGGCATCTGTGCCGTTGGCAGTGGGCCGGTATGACGATACTAGAGAAGCCATGATGGGAAAATATGTTGTGCTGTGCTGTGCTGTGCTGCGCTGTGCTGTGCTGTGCTGGAGGGTTGTTGATTACTAGTACTTAAAAACGTTTCTTCTTGTTGATATGAAGTTGAGAAAGCCAGGAAGGGAGTGTAGAGGTTCTTTTACATGCAGATTTGAGATTAAGTCGCGAGATCGAAGGAAGCTTTTATCTCCGCGAGGTGGATAGTACGGCAATCCATGATTGACAACGGATGCCTCGTTAGGCGCGCTGGCCGTGTTCTTCAAGATTGGACCGAAAGGTTGCTGGAAGTGCCTCCACCACGTCCCAACGGCGCTATTCTCCTTAGTACAGCTGTTCAATCTGGTCCAGATGTTGTGGACGCACCTAACGGGACGAGAGCCGTCCCCCTTCCCTCCCATCCTAAGGTCGTGGCAAGTGGAGTTGACCCTGCAGCGAAAAGCGATGCAGCCAACGTCCTTGTTTTGAACCCTGATACGAGGGGCGAGTGTATTAATAAAATCGGATTCCTCACTACGTGTCTTGCATGTATACTAGAATGGCAAGCTCATTGGCCTCTGCCGAATTCGACTACTCGCTTTACTTGGCCTATCGTATGACGGCTCCTCATTAGCTAATCTACAGTTGACGTACACCCGCAACCAGAAAAGCGAATACAGTCTAGGACTCAAAGGGGGGGGATTTTGAAGGGGTCTAGGAGATATTACGTTTGGGTAAATTTTTTTTTACGTGGCCAATGTGTTGTGATTTTTTAAATTTTTTTTTTTCGTTTTTGGCAAAAAGCCTAACTAAGATTGTTAGGAGTTAGGGACGGTGGACCATGTGGTGCCTCTCTATTTGCAGCAAGTGATTTCAATAAGACGGCCACGCACAAGCCTGAAGGGGGGGGGGAATGGCGAAAGTCTCCACTCAAGTGGAAAACCCGAGGCGTCCCCCGGCCTTAGTTAGGCCGTACCGCTCGGTGACTTACAACGACAAGTTATCATTTGCGCATCGCTCCGGGGGCCCGTATCCCGTAGGAGATTCGTTGGAAGCATCCCCGCGAAGGAAAGCGGAGAAAGGGTGGCTAAGTAGGTAGGTAAGCATACCTATTGGAGGTATCATTATGAACCTGGAAAGTCTAGAACGTAACTAGTAGTCCTCTAGGTATCAGATGGTGTGAATTGTTCAAGTCTTAGGTGAGACTTTAGATAGATACTATCCTATGATTCATTTATGATAGATTACCATACAAATTGTTCTAGATCTTCCTATAGTGCTTTGTGTTACGGGATCGAGAGCATCAGGTAGGTAGGCACCGAAATATTATCCTGATATGGCGAACTACATCATCATATGATAGACAGAATTGCCTCCTTCATGATTCCTAATATGTTCCGGCTAGAGACGGGTAGAGGTATTTTGACTTGTCGGTAGAATTCCTGTAAATCGCTGCACCAGACTACCCATCTGAAGTTGGAATACAGATCGAGAGATCTTCCTGTTTTCCAACATCATCGTGTAATAAGCCTACTACTAGCTTGACTCAAGTTGTAGAGGATCTACTTTGAAGCCTACCCAATGACGAGTTAATGTTCAATTTCTGAATAGAATATGACTTTCTCCAGCCACTTCTCAGGATATTCTGGTTGCCATGATCAAAGCATGAGACTGAAATCTTGTATGGCAAGTTGTGATATGAATCTCAGGGCTAAGGCTCGTTCATTCACTCGTAGTATTCTTGGTGGTAAAGCCTTCGATGCGTCTTCGGGACCAACTCGAAATTGTTGGGCCTGTTGAAAGAGCACACACAGGTCTCCTCTCTCTTGAATTTTGTGACTCAATGTGAATCGACACCTCGTACTCTGTGGCCTCAAACCTGAACCTTCAGCAACTGATTAATACGGGGCTCTGCACATAGAAGAATTGATTTCATCCATTGTTGTCATTCATCTTAAAATAAACAAGAACTTTGCAGTCTAGCAACCCCAAAAAACAGAAGAGAAGAATAGAGCAAGTTTTTACCTAGGAACCTCTTATGCCCACAGGACACAGAGCCAAGCACCATCCTGTGGGACATCCCTCAATTGATTTCTGTTAGTTTGTGGCAATCTCAATTCCCCATTACTTCCCACTCATATACACCAATAGTGACACGACGGCAAAGCGACCAATGATCATCATGGCCTCCTTCACGGACATAACATGCACACCATATAACCCTCGAGGCATTCGATTGGTACCCGCTGCGGCCTCGAGCCACGTCGCCTATAGGTCGGCCTATCATCGAATCAGATCAATCCATAGCCAACGCCGCGAGCAATACCAGTCGTGGCAACAGTTGGAGGAAGACCAGGCACAGCCACACGGCAGATCACCATTCCTAGAGTCTGTCACTAGCAAAGCCAGTAGCGAGGGTTCAGACAAGCCAGCCCACGAGGAAGGCAAGGCAGGCTATCATGCCTACCATAGAGACTTACCGGCCCACGACGCCGACGATAACGATCTCGAAATAGAGATCGAATACAACATCTGGCTCCTAATGTACCCGATTATCGAGGCGTGCGCCCGCAAGCCAGGTATCATCCGCATCATGAACCCGCCCGACAGCTGGGAAGGGCTCGAGTTCATGGACAGCGACTACAGCCTCGGCGAGGGCCCCGGCGTCAAATACCCCGGCACCACCGTGCTGGTATTGGTTCGCAAGCCACGCCAGGCCTACATGAAGCTCACCGAGTTCTGGGCCCGCGAGATCAAGCCCACCAAGGACTTCGTCCAGAAGCCTCTCAACACGCGCGACGGCACTAGGCTCATCGACCATACCTCCGTCCATCGCTGGGCCATGGGAATTAACGAGAATCGAGCCTTTGACGCGTTTACTGATGGCCGTCTGGATACCAAGCCCATCCCATACCCTGATCCACGTCCCCGCCCGCATGTCCGCCTCTGTCCATGTCGCTTTTGCCGTTGAGGTGCATACGGACGTTTTACATGTGGGTAACCCACCCGCCTACCAACTAAGATATTTAGGTACTTGACGATCGTGGAATGTGGCGGCCTGTTTTGAGGCCCACTATCGACTGAACTGAACATGAACCGTATAAAAAGAAGGAGGGGAAGGAGGGGAAGGAGGGGAAAGGTTGAAGAATGTGGTGGAGTAGGCCATGGGCAGTATTGAGGATAAGGACGAGGGACCTTGACCGGGAAGGAGATTCATATCTGCGAGATATCTGGATCGGCCGGAATCAGAGGTGCTAACGAATTACGGACTCCTGTACATAGTACTCTAGTTTCCCTTCATCCACTGTTCTAAAACTCGATGTTGGTTCTAGTGAGAGCTTCTGGGCTTACGAACTAGAACCATGAGGAGTTTTATGAATGGAGGGACGGAAGAGTTGATACAAGGAGGTTTGAACCTGGCAATTAATAACAACATTTTTATGCCAACCCTATCTTACGCAATTATATTGAACTTCTCGGCTCTCTTTTGCTCATGGTGTAAAATGAGTAAATAGAACCAAAGAGATGCCCCGTCGTAGGAGGATTCTCTAGAGGCGGGGTTTAGATTAGTTACATATTATAAGTTGCTGTAATTTTGACCGGAAGATGATCTCCGGCATCCTATCCCTACGGTGGAGCTTTAAATGTTGCTGATCACGTAAACAGCTAGGTACCCATGTACTTACCAGGTAACTATGACGTAGTTATCGTGATGGAACAGCTGCTCATATCGAATCTTGTCATATGTTCAGACTGGCAAGAACAACTTAAGTATTGCACCAAATTGTATTGGTTGATAAACCAGAGAGAACATGATTGGCGTTCACAATAGAGAAAATTCATCAAAGGTTGCATGCATAAAAGAATGCAAACGCAGATATTACATGAATTGTAGTCCACGTGACCGCATATAAATCACATGATTCTTTATTCTTTTCTGACGATAAACATAGTTGAGAGTTGCAGGGAGGACTACATACACATGAACATCAATGATGATGGTCATAGTGGAAGCAAATCATCACAGAATCTAGAGTTAGGAACGACCCCTGATTCAAAAACTAGACACAAATCATTTAGGTTACTCGCAGTATCAGAGAGTGCACATGATACTGTCATGAGATACCTAAGGTACCCCGAGATAGGGGTGTTAATAGGGGAAACAGCACGGTGCCTAAGTCTTCCTAGCGGAACTCAGCGCTGCATACCTACCTAGGGAAGGTACGATCTTGGGCTGAGTAGGAAATTGCACTGTACGTCGGCCTCATGTGAAGCGCACTTGCCACCTTGACTTCCCATCTATTCACTTGGGACGGAGGGAGCAAACATACCAGCCCCCAAAGTAAAACTTATAGGGCCCAAAATCAATTCGTCTAGCACAGATGGCCTCTGTGGTTTGGCGAGGTGGTTAAGGACGCTTGCCACCAAACTAGGCAGGAAGGAGGTCGAGGGTTCAAATCGCAAAGGAACTCGACTGTCTATCTTGAAGCTACCCGGGACTGCCGCGCGCATCAAGACAAGGGTTGGTCCTTCGTGGCTTGAACTCTCTGGGGGGCCCTTATTTTTTAATATATTTTTTTTAATTTTTATTCTTTACCTACCTACCCTGTGTGTCCCCCTTGTAAGTTGTGATAGTAGCTTTGAGGCACTTTGCAGCTTCTTCACCTTAAAACCATATACATAATACCTATGCATGAAGGTTTATATGATACATCAGTGATGTCAATAATCATACCATTCCCTCAATTTCACACATCACATCTCACACTTCACACTTCACCCTACACCTATAACACTCGTAGAATAACTATCCATATGGATATCTTTTTGACTACTACAAATACCACATAAGCATCGGACCCTCCAAGTCACATTCCAGCTTACCAGGAGCTACTATACTCGACTGTATTATCGGTGCCATTGGTATGATAACGGCTGAAGAACAACTTGGAGCCTTCATAAACCTCACGTTCCACAGGACACTCAGGACACGGGTATCTATCAGGTGCTTGAGTTCTACCTCTGTAAGAACGCCGACAACGACAACAACAAGCATATTGCTTGGCCACTGAGGACAATGGCAGTTTCTTCGGTTCTCTGTGAGCCCTCTCTTCCTCAGTCCGACCGATAACTCACGGGGGGGATTGAAACTATACCCAAATGGATGGCTCGTCGATGAATGGTGCCTTCGACCATTGATCATGCAGAACGTGGCAGAGCTTGCGGGAAAATATGACAAGGCAAACAAGCCAGCTTTGGAGAAGTTTTGGATCACAAAGGAACGGCATCCAAAAGAGTACTGGCTGGAGCACAAGCTGACTAGAAGTTAGTTCACATAAAAGGAAGTTGAGGTGGAGCTGTCACGAGGTGGAACCTAGAAGACACAGGACATTGTTGCTGCACGGGGATCTCTGACATCTCCCCGGAGACTACGGAGGCTACACATATATAGAGCCCTCCTCGAAGTTGCTTGTTTGGTGTGGGCATGTAGACAACACCGAGTCCCAATTCAGTCATGCACCGACCCTGTGGTAGTCCTTACGGACCACGCCGCAACGCAAGGAATAGCCAATAAAATGAACTCCAAGCTGCAGTTAGCGTCAGCATTTTTATCGCAGTTCGGACTTGATGTACACTACATCCCCGACAAACCAGACCTAGTACCGGACGCAGTATCCAGGCTGCCAACAACTTTTCATTTTGCCCCAAACGCACAAATCACGGAAGTCCCATCAGTTACCGTGGAAGGCAGAGGTGGAGTAATCAAGACAACACGCAAGGCAAGCTTGGGTCCACGAGCACAATTTGAAACCTAACCTGCTCCTTGGAAGTGACTTCTGTGAGGTATACGGCGTGATCAACTACTATCATGCCCTGGGGATGGATACGAGTACGCAGCACATGACTGCGATTTGCAACCGTCTGGATGTAAACTTCCGCCTGGATGGCATTCCTACGGGACCACGAACTGCGTTGTACGATTGGATTGCCCATCTAGATGAAAGACGTCGTACCTGGCGTGCGTCTCTTCTTGCTGTACAAGATTCACCCCTGCCCTCCACATCACTGAGCGAGCGAATGCTGAAGCTCGACCACGAGGAGGAGCGCGGCGACGTCGTCATGAACACCAACAGCATTGTTAGACCTATATCACCTCCATGGCTCCCCTCTTTGAGTATAGCCTTGTTATCACAAGTATAGCCTTGCCATCACAAGTCTTCCTGCCTTGTTGACTATAGCTCTTTCCTCTTCTCCTTGGTATAAGGAAGCAGTGGCAATAGCCGAGAGGGGCGATAGTCGTGATTGAGACAAGTCTACCATTTGCTTGGATACCGAAGCATCCCACTGCATGGTGGGCGCCAACTGGCTCAAGCAATTCGTAGTGAACTTTCACATTTTTAAGGCCGACAAGCCGATGATTGCCCGGGGCATAGTCGGAAAGTTGAGGTTCGACAACCGTGCTCGGTTTGATATCTACCTCAAGAGTGTTTCCAAGGTACTCATACAAGTTGCAATCGAGGCATGGGTTCATGACCATGACCTCAAACCAAATTTACTACTCGGGAATGACTTCTGCGCCATGGATGGAGTGGTAGTCAGTTATCCGAGGCGAGTGGTCACCCTTGCGTCATGCAAAGACCTACAAGTACCAATGCAGTATCGAGAGCATTAATGACAGGAACTCCGTCAAGAGAGTATCCATCCCAAATCGCTCTAATAGACAGCTCTTCGTCCCCAGACGCACGAAGCTCGGACATATTGTCGAGCTGTCTGCAGATGGCTACTTTCAGACGAACTGTGAGCACTTCAAGATGCCTGATCACCAGGCCATGCAGCTCATAAAGGGAATGCGATTGATACGGACCCTTAGAGGGTATGTACACAAGTGTTACCTCGTGCGCCTTTGGCGCACCTTATGTAAATCCATTCTTTATTAAGAATAATAAAGTAAACTTTACATGATACATCTTTTTCTTCTTGAAATAGAAGGACCCCTCTAGTGTCCTCGTCAGCGACATTCTCAGGAACTCTTCCTCCAGGGCATCTCCCTGGATCATGGGCGATGGAGTTAGTCCGTCACTGCCGCGGCGACCCCCAACGCAGCCAAGCAGCCCCGCGATTTGGCGGACTAAACACGTTCCATGGCATCAACAGAAAGTCCTGCCATTGCAGATCAGGAAGACAACCATGCTGGCCGCGGGACGGCGCAAAAACGAGATCCCGAAACAAGCCAACGCTAGAAAGAAGTATACCGCCCGGACCAAGTTCGAGTCAAGAGAAGAAGAGAAAGAAGCTTTTAGAATCATTCAGAAGAACCTTGGAGACCGTATCTGGTGATTTCGTCCACTCGACGAGAGACGTCGCATCCGACGTGCGTCTCTTCCTGCCTCGGGTCTACGGGACACTTCGCAGAAATCATTGCCGATTTTGAGCGAGTTCTGAAAGGTCTCCCTAGTGCACCCGAGAAGATCCAGCTCACCACCAACCTTGCCATCAATGGAGTAAGGGGCCTCGACCACATCCGCCGGAGTCCATTGGACTCAGAGGTATAATGGGAAATGCCATGAAAATTATTAACAGTTCAATCTGTTTAGTTGAATAACTTTTTAATACCCAGGCTACCAATAAATTAACTGATTTGTTACCAACTACATATGCAGATAAAGAGTGGTATTAATTTTAAGTGGGAGTGGATTGCCGATGGAACAAACGGGCACAATCATGGCGCTATCAAGTAACTAGCTGGAGTGACAACATCTTGGCCGGATTGCGAGGCTTGTCGAGGTCTTGAACAAGATTATTCAAATCGTACCGAATAAACTGATGATTGAGATCTCTGATTGGAACAAGAAAGTCTCAAGGATTTTGGTCTTGAGGAGCGTCAATGCTAGATATCCGTATGGACCATATCGGGCTTTCTGCTATTGGATTTCTTTTATGGGCACCTATCAAGAGGGTGTTATGAGGTGGAATCCAAAAGGACTTTGTGAGATAATAGAGTTCGTTCCTGGAGAGGAAGGTTATTTCTGTCCCCACGTAGGTATCTAACCGTTGAGCTGAGTGACCTTTTTTTTTTCTCTCCCCTGACCGCCCGATCCGATATGAGGATGGATGCTAGAATGGTTTGTTCTGGGTGTATATATGTTTAACTTTAGGGGAGAAGGAGGGGTAGACGGTAGGGAGCCCTTGTGGCTGTCTTGATTCCTCGTGTAGGTATGTATCCATAACTCTCTCTGGGGGCGCCACTATTTCCTAGGTACCTGGCTCGCGGGTGGCGGCAGGGAGGTAACGGTATTGTGGCTACAACCACTTCGTCGATGTCTTGAGAGAGCCAACTAACTGCCCTCGTGAGCACGGCGTAAGGACAGATTAGGACGAGAAACGAAGGGACCCCCAAATGATGTCCTAACTTCCTTTGCAAGGAATTCGTAAGTGCAGAACTTGTTGCTTAGAACCGGCTATTTTTGGAGCCGATCAGACAGACAGACAGATAGACAGACAGACGCCCGCAGGCTTTGGTGGAGCGCTCGAGTTCGCTCGTTCATTTTCGGTCTTGATATCGACGGGCTGCGGCAAACCGACAACGCCTTAGCAGCCTCCAACTCCTTGGATATATGGCAACGGCGAAACCACCGCACTTATTTCGTGTTTTATTTTCGTTGTTCGTTGGCTTCACACGCCACCACCATCATATAACCCTTCCTCCCTGATCCACGCAGCAACGTCCTCACTAACGAGCTTCTTTAGTTTTCCCCAGTCTTTCCCTTGCACGGCGTCCCTGACTTTCGTACTGCTCACCACCGCGTCGCCCTCCCCACGGCCCTCCACCATCTCGATCCGATCCGCCCACTCTCCCCGTCCACCCACGCGCTCCAGCCCGCCGTCTCTCAGCGCTTGTAGATGCGCCCGCTGCTCCCCGGTGCTGCCCCACTCGGCATCTGTGCGCGTGGACACGCGGAGACGCGCGCGCGCGAAGAGGGGGTCGAGGGAGGTGGCCATGGCGGCAGGGGGGTAGTATTTGGGGTCGAAGATGCGGATCAGAGTGTCGAAGCCCGTGAGGTAGACCTGCTCCATCCGATCTGCTTCTGCTGACTGTCCGCGGTAGAAGGCGGACTCGGACACGGCGATGGATTTGGCGTGGAAGTACGGCTCCGTGGTTACTGCGATGTCGACGGCCGTGCAGGGTGGAGTTTGGGGAGCGGAGGAGGAGGAGGAAGTGGTGGGGCAGAGGAGCAGGTCCCGGGCGAAGATGTACATCATGGCTAGTCGCTGCGGAAACGCAGCTGGCTTGGGCGCCTTGTCTGCGTTGTTGATGGCGAGGAGGAGGAGCACTCGGGGTACATGGGTCTTATCACTGCCTGTAGATCTATGGTCGGAGAGGGCAGATAGCGCCATGCGCTGGTGCGCGAGGGTCGGCGGGTTAAAAGAGGAGTCGAGGACAAGAAGGGTCTTGGGGGTGGCTTGGGGCGGTTGGGGAGCGAGTGAGTCGGCGGGCGGGGGGTATGCCGATGATACGACGGAAGGCGTCACAGAGCATAGCACGCGGAGTTTCGCATTGGAAAGCTGGTAGCTCTTGAGAGCTTGGGCGAAGAAGGACACGAGGTTCGGGGGAAGTAGTCGAGCCATTGGTGGATTCTCGATTCCGGACGCGGACATTTTTCGATTTAATATGAAGTAGATAAGAATGGAACGCTCATGCCATGCTGCTTTTGCTGTAATAATATAAAAAATAAGAAAAAATATATGTACATATATAGGATTTTAAGATTAACACATCATATAAGATGGAGAGGATTGAGAATGACGAATATTGAAGTTGAAGAGTGGGATGAGAAGACTGCCCACGTGGGATATTAGTCATCTACATAGATAGGTAGGTATCTAGATAGGGATCCATGTACCTGGTAGTTAGCGGTTAGATAGCGGCTGAACCCGCATTAGTATGGGGGGCTACGGGTACCTAATACCTATGCCTGCCAGGTACCATGCTCTCTAGGGATGTAGGGGTCTCCGTTTTAATTCACCCATCACCTTAATCGATTATGCGTAACACGATCACGATAGTATAGCACGTAGTTATTTGTGTAGTTATTCAAATGCAGGTTAAAGAACTGATTGTCATTGCGTTTTCATCTTCAAAGGTCGTAACCACGAGACTCATCTTTCCCTCATGAGAGGAGACAAGACGAGACGAAAGCGATATGCAGTCCCTTTTTGCAATGCAGTTTGGTTCAGTAATAGTAAAAAGTCATGGGGGTATCGTTTATAATCAAATCAGAATTCCGTAACGCCATGATGCTTTTCCGCCTATGCGATCGCCACATGCCCGCGAGTTTCTTCAACGGATCTCGGGTTCCCTCATAAAGTCAGGGATGCTCAGTCCGCCATCGCCTGGCGTGTACTTCTTGGCCTTTGCTTTTCGGTTCTTCTTCTCTTCTTCCAGCTTCAAGGCTGCGTCGCCGTCTTCTTCATTGAGGCTCATTTCCGCCAGTCTTATGTCGTAGTCATCAATAACCTCCACCATGTCTTCGACTGGGTTGTTCTCCGCTGTATCGGCCGAGTCATCCAATGCGTACACCTTGACTCCCCGGATGTGCGTGTCCTTGCCGTTCTGGTGGTTCTCGACGATAATCACTCGGACGAAGAAGCACGAGAGTGAGTTGCCATCATGACCACCACCTGCGCCTTCGATAGGGACATCTATCCAACCTTTGGGCATGCCAAACTCCATGAGGACAAATGGAATGGTCATGTTGGGACTGAAGCCGGCGGTAATTTGAATCTTGGTGGGCGTGTAACTCTCATCAAGCTCGTAATCCAAGTAGAGTCGCAGTGCGCGGATTTCCACGCGTTTGATGAAGTGAATATTCAAGTAGTGGGGCTGTGGTCCATCAGACCTAGATGTAATAGTGTTAGTTACGCGGTGATCGGCGGGAAGAGGAAGTCACCGCTCACTGCCAGAATTGGTTGAAATCGTTATCAAGAAGCTCTTTAACACCACATCCAGGTTTGAAGCTGCTGACTGTAAAGCTAGCAAGATTGCTAATCTCTTTTAAGCCGACGGAAGAGGGATCCAACGAGGGATCCTCATTAAGGACCTCGTCATCTTCTTCGTCCTGCTCCTCTTCGTGGCCTGGATCGCCCTCAACATCGCCATCATCCTCTTCAATTTGCTCAGCCTCTTCCATCGGAGAGCCAGGGGCTGATAGTATGTCAGTGGAGAGGTCCGAGAGAGAATCGGGAAGTTGCGAATCTTGGATGAGTCGTTCATTGCGTTCATTGTGCCCTCTGGCTCGTAACAGCGCTTGAAACATTTCACTAGGGGTTACCGACACCATCGGCGCCGAACCGAAGGGCTGGGTCGGGGGCTCGCTGGTGGGCGTTGTTGGACGGTTTCCGAAATCCATGGGGGGTGGATTGGACTCCATTCCATGTATGGGGAGTGACAAGCAATGAAAGGTTATGAAGGTAGGTAACAAGGGATAGGAGTAGTGGATACAATAAGGGAACCAAAAAGGATGCGGTAAAGAATAACATAAAAGTGTAACAGACCTTGGGATTCTCCGTAAGCCCACTGTAAGTCGGGTCTGGAACCATCATTTAAAGCTGCAAAAAGCTCGGCAGCCTCAGCAGCCTCAGCAGCCTCAGCAGCCTGAGGCCCTCCGTTGCGGACAGGATCTCCGGGATGGTCTAGGAACTGGTCCTCAAATTGGTCTCCAGGGCTGCCAGGGTAGCCATCTGAGGACCGGGGGACCCGATTGGGCCTCATCAAACGTCGTCGGAACTCATCCTGCTGTTGACGGAGACTAGCACGGTTTCTCGCGGTCCTACCACTGCTACTGCCGCCGATGCCAATATCTTGCGGCTCCATCTTTAAGCAATCTTTAAGCAATTTCAAAGAATGAGGATATCACCTCATCCGAGCTAACGGGACAACGATTGAGGTTTTCAGAATTGAATTTTGTGTGAATAAAAGAATGCAACAAATGTAAAATGATATATAGGAAGTTTGAAATATGAAATATGAAATATGAAGTATAGAGTTTGAAGTATGAAAGGATGAATGATATGAAGGTTGAATCTGATACAAAAACAAGAACAGACAGTGTCACTGTCAGACAGACACATGCATAAATTCGTTCAGCGATTAGTTAATAGTAGTTCGTTAACCGACTTATAGTGTATAGTTATAACTAGCTATGTATTTAACAAGAAACAATTACACTTTTAACAGTATTGCTATATCAAGCTTAACACGTTCAGATTCTAACTTCAAATGTTCCTTCAGGTACCTAGCATGACCTGCAGGGGATAATGAGAGTTTAACTTTGTGTGTGAGACATTATACTACATGTGTATACATAGATCGACCTTGTGTTACAGTGCGAAGTGTATGTTAAAATTACTGTATTTCTGTTACTCGACCGTTGCCAATCAATTGAAATAGTGCAAAACAAATAAACATTTCAACCTTCTAGGTTACAACTTTTTCACCGTCTCCACTCTACTATATATTTACAGGTACTTATCTAGGTAGACTTCTTAGCGACATCTGGATATAGATACATACCTATCTACAGCAAAGTATCTATATTCCTTATTTGCCTACATGAGAAAAAAGAAAATCAACATATAAATCTCAGACAGGTGGTCAGTCTTCAATCTGACCGTGCAATGACTACCATATCAGAACGCTACGATGCGTTGCTTCAATGGGTAGAGAAGGACGGTGGCAGCCTCAACCCCTCCATTGAAATCTATCACGACGATATCACTAAAGGATCTTTTCGTGTAAAAGACTCGTGCGTAATAAACGCTGAGGATTCCATCGTCACTCTTCCACTTTCCAAATCTCTGTCTTATCTTGATGCGATTCATGGTCATCTGGACAATGCTTCCTCCTCCTCAGACACTCCGCCCCATGAGGGCAACACTCATTTTCCCACTGAATTTCTAAATGAAATACCGCCTCATGTAGTCGGTCGATTCTTCCTCATGCAGGAATACCTTCTGGGGCCTAGTTCCAAGTGGTGGCCTTACATCCGAACACTACCTCAACCTGAACACATGAGTAACATTCTTCCGGTAATGTGGCCGTCGGATGACGTCGAATTTCTCAGGGGAACCAATGCCTATGCCGCCATTCAAGACATTAAATCGACCTTGAAGAAAGAATACAAGCAGGCCATGAGACTACTGCCGGAAAAATATCATTTAGAATATACTCGGCCACTATATCATTGGGCCTACAGTATTTTCACTAGCCGTAGTTTTCGTCCGTCGCTCATCTTTCCGGCCGAAAATTCATCAACACTTCCCTGCGAGCTGGACGACTTTTCGGTCCTTCTGCCTTTGTACGATATTGGAAATCACTCGCCACTGGCGAAGATTGCATGGACCACTGATGATCAAGCTCAGGTGTGCACGCTTAAGTCGAGGCAGACGTACGCAGCTGGAGAACAAGTATTCAACAACTATGGTATGAAGACCAATGTCGAATTGCTTCTAGGCTATGGCTTTATACTTCCAGAGGAAGACCATCTCCATAATGATTACATCCACATCAGAACCAGGGCAGACCCAGATGCCGGGGACCTAGCAGCCACACATGTTGTGTCACTAAGGCCCATGGTACACCAGAGCTCCTTTGTGGGACGATCAAAGCTCTTGAGCGCAGAATCCATGACCTGTTTGCCTTGCTTTGCGCACATTCAAGACACCCTCATTGTTGCCCTCTACGAGACGATCACGAAAGGGGGAGACGAAACAAATGACGTCAGCTTGAACGAGATTATGCGAGGCGAGATTCCAGGTGAAGTCCTCTCGAAAATCATTAATGCGCTAGGTTCGAAGTTGAGCATCGATCTAGACGATTTAGAGACGAATGAACCAGAATACGAGGCTGCGAACCACAACCAGGAGCTCGCTACGTGTTACCGCGATCAATGTAGGTATGTGTTGGAAAGTGCGCTTCGTAGTCTGTTAGCCGGGGCAGGTTGAGTTGTCTCGCAGATGCAGGCATGGGTTTTATACAGATGCTCAAATCGATGAATTTCAATCTTAAACTCCAAACTAAGGGTATCAAAATGCAGTCTGCCGCCGACGCCAATATTACTAGAACACACCTCCCCCCTTTTTTGGGCTTCTGGCATTTTCAACGTTTGAGGATATGCCCAATCCTCCTAGTCCGTCCGTTCCTCAACGCTGTTCTGCCTTCGCCATCTTAGGTATCGAAACATTAATGATTGCGCATACTATTTGCCTTCGGCTGCCACTCTTCGAACACATCTTCTGCTTCATCGGGTAGGAAAGTCATATTCTCGTTTAAAAGATTCAGGGTTGCCTTGGAGGCTAGCACTTCTAAGTCAGCTTTTGTATCACGAAGCCAGCTCACAGATTGCTTGGCGAACTAGGAGAGATCACTTACGCAATAACAAGCTGACGTCTCCCGAGCTAAGCGCCGCGCTCATCCTAGCCGAGTTGTAACAGCCATAGGTTCGTTGAAGAGCGAGCATGCGCTCCCACAATCTTTCTGGGTCGCCGCCTGTGCCTTGCTCTAATGCCTTGAGCGACTCCCTTCTTCTGGTTCTGGATTCGTCGACGCGGATTGACGAGCATTCGGAGCACGGTGATGGCGATCTTGACCCTTGAAACTTGCTCATCGGGCTAATGGGCTCGGACACCCCCATTTCATCCGAAGTGCCTCGTGCGAGTGGGCATGGGGTGATGGCGTCGATATCATCGACAGGAGTCGTCCGCCTCAACCTTCTTGGAGCTTCGGGCATGTTTTTTTTTGAAAAAGACTCGTTGCAGTACGTGTGTTTTTGATTCCCACTCGGTTGTCTTCGAGAAGGTTGTGGTGTTTCCGAATATTACTAGACACCAAGTACGATATCGTTCGTTCGAATGTTGTGATAATTCTGATTTAGCTTGGTTGGCTCTCACGTTTTTTTATGTTTGGTTTATAATAAACATAGCAAGGCAAGGATGTTTTTGGAGATGATAGGATTTGGTTACATATATTGTTACTATTCCCACCTCGAAGAAAAAAATGAGAGCCCTTCTTAATGGGTCAAGTGTGGTGGAGCTGCCAACTTATTTATGAAATCTATCTGGGTACGTGGTAGGTAGGTAGTAGGTACCTATATATCTACAAGGCATATGTATGTATCCTTCAAGGTTTGTCCAGGAGCAGGCCGGGCCGGGACGATACACATGGTTTACGCCTGACAACGATTTTGCATGAAGGGGGTGATGTGATGATGAGACTTGCATGCCGCCCAATCACGGGCGTCTGGGGGTCTCAGTCATCGAACCCTTGTTATCTGCATTGGCGTGCAGCTCCCACGTACACACACTATTGCTGAGTCAAGTAGGTTTTTAACGCTGCTACGACAGTGCCAAATCAAGGTTAGGTCGAAGAAAGCGGATAGCTCCAGGAACCGACGTGCGAACTCTTTTTGTATGTACAAATGTGTGTGTATGGATGTACTGGACTGGGGGGGTGCGATGGCGAGATCCGTCAGGTTACCATAATTGGAGGCAGCACAGCAGGTACCAACTGACCTCATCATATATCCGCATGGTGTGAGTTGTTCGAGAGAGAGAGAGAGAAAGCGGGCGGGCCATTCGTAGGTAGGTAGTGTTCCATTATGCCATGGGATCATCTTTAACTCATAGGCTCGTTGCGATAGACTATTGAGATTGATGCACCTTTCATCATACGACACATGCAATTGGGGGCACAAGCTTTTTTCTTTTTTCTTTTTTTGTCCTTTTTCTCAATTTGGAAACACTCTAACCTAGGATCTATGTAAACGATTGTCCAGTCCTAGATACATAGATAATTACTACTACATAGGTATGTAGAAGCTACCCGTCAAGGTTTGGTTTAGGCTGGGGGCTTGGCTCAGTTGGCTGAGGGGCCCATGCAAGCTGTTGTAGATCATCAACTACCGGCCGATGCATTTCCGGCAATGCTTCTCCAATGTCCAAACCCCCGTACTCCGTATTGTGTTTAGCTATTTAACTAACTTACTACTAGTCGTCCCCGTTATCGGCTTGGCCACATATTTACATACATCTCGCACAAAGATTGCAAAGGACATCTGGGATTGGGCGCCTATTGCTACTCTACCCTACATAGTCAAAAACCCATACTCGCGCTACTCTAGGCTAGGTGCCTACCTAGTAGGTAAGGTAGGCAATCCTCACGACCAAACTTTTTTCTTGCCTACCTTCCAACCTCGCCGTCGACCCGGCAGGCCAATATACACGGATAGCATGAGTGGAAGGTGATACCTACCTACCTATCTAAGAAGCACAGCGTTTACTCGAAGCCTCCAGATGAAGACAATTTGTGCACCAGCAAACGTCTGGATAGGCTTTCCGGGCCGCCTCGCTGGCAAACGGCGATTTTGCTTCAATACCTATAAGGCTTCAGACGATCGCCGCCGGGGGGATGATGATAGTCGGGAAGACTGTGTCACCAACGAAGATATAGCGTGCGCGCTACTGCAGTCGTACTTGGGCTGTTGGTATTGTACATGCATGCTACAGGACAATATCTACCTAGGTTAGGTTAGTAATGGATGTAAGAGCTATAGTTCATCGCTGTTATCTATGTAGGTATTGTAGCCGCCATCCCCGTTCGTTCATAGCCTGCCCAAAAAGAAAAAAGAAAAAGGCCAATGCTTAACTACCTATAGAGAGATGCATTATGTCCATCACTTGTAAATCCGTAAATCTTTTAGTGCGGGGGATCAGCATACACCTTAGGTAGGTTACTACTAGTTAGGTATACACAAGAGCAGGGATCGATCGCCTACAAAGAACCGTGATCCCCATGTCTTGTACGGGGACCAAAAGCCGATACTACATACCTGAGGTAGGTAGGTAGTATGTACCTACATCGTGCCTTCGCAATGCATACCTTACCTACCTACCTACCTACCAGACTAGCCTTCACGACGTGCACGTACGATGTCGAACGAGGAAATTCACCAGGTCGATAGTTAGTCCCGTGTCGACTTTTTACGAGCACGATATATCTCATGTAGCATTTCATCGTGTTCCGTTCGAGCAGGGCAAGAGGCTTTACATACATACGTACTTGCAAGGTACGTACGTAGTCAGGTTTCCCCGCCGAAATCTTGTTATCAATCGTTATGTAGTGGAAGGGGAGGAGGGGATGGATGGATATATGTAACAAAAAAAGAGGGAAATGGCATCACGAGAGCTATCTTGCTATATAGTCTTGATCTATAGATTATGGGTGGTCACGCACGCCCACGAATAGCACACCCATTTCAAATTTAAAGCTTCAATGATGTCTTTCTCTTATATCGGTATGTACCTCGGTACCTACTATGTCCCTGTGTACTACTAGGTATACATACATATGACAGTCCCCACGGGGAAGGATAAGAATGCAGATAACTACATGTTGACAGATGCAGTAGATAAGAGCATTGAAGCTTTTCACGTGGACCAGCTCCACCAAGCTTCCCTGAGCAATACATACCTATGTAGATATTCCCGGACGTTATTTCCGCATTTCATGCTCTCCATGCGCGCCTTTCCAGCCAGCCAGCCAGCAGCCAGCCCCTCATGTTGACTTCAATGCTGTAAATACCTACATACACATATATGTACATACAACATGCATAGTAGGTATACCACCCACCCACCTACTTACCTAATTTCAATGCTATAATCTTCTTATCATAACCAGACGTCGGGTGACCTCTCACGGGGGTTAGCGTCTTTGTGTGTGTGTAAGTCTACACCATAGCTACCTAGCTGGGCATCTATCTAGCTACCCCGATTTATATCGGGTACGGGTAAGTTAACTATAGGATGGCGAAAGAAAGACCTAGGTAAGGTAATGTATGTAGGTGTATAGAGAGGGTGACATGGCCTGCATAGGATCGACATCGACATCGACCTATAAAGCTTTTTTTTTTTCCTTTTCTTTCTTTGGGGATCGATCTATGTAATAAGCCAACATTGAAAAAGGCGTAGGTAAGGTAGGTAGGTAAGTTGCAATTCTGGGCGGCTATTCGGCTTGCTACCTACCTACCTACCTACCTACATACCTGGAGAGGCAAGAGTCTTAATACTGGATGCGATCGATTTTATAGCACCTGCATAGCTAAGGAGGTCACGAGGAAAGCATGTGGTGTAGGCAATTTGAAACATGCATTAAGTACCTAAGTACCTTGAATCGTTTATAGAATCTATTAAGCTACATATATGTAATGTTTGAATTGAATTCGTACGTATCTGAGGTACACAATTCGAACAAGCGAAGCCCCCCTGACCTGAATTGGGTCAGCAGCAACGATACATGCACTTAGGCTTGTGATTTTGCTTACCTTTGTTCTCAAACAGAGCTAGCAGATGAAGGAAGGCGAAGAATGGATCAGGAGCGATATCTTGTGATAAATAGCTTTGATAGCTACCTAATAGGAATTCCACCCACTAAGCACATTTTGATCAAAGTACGATCTTTAATTAGGAGACGCCCAAAGCCTCAGCCTCAGATCCCACTCCATAGACCCTGCTATTTCTGTACATGCGCAAAATCTAGCCTTATCACACACGGAATTCCCATTGGCCGCCAAGTTTCGAAACGAAACTGTGCAGATGCCGACTCCCTTCTGGAGAAAATTCTAAAGTGGCGGACAATAATCGATTTTGTTGGATGGGGGCCCTAGTGCCCCTGACAATATCTAGATTGCAGGCCTTGGTAATAGGGGGGCCACGACTTATACACAAAAACCGTTGGGTTTCATTAGATGTGTCATCAGGTAAGTAGACATCTACTGGTTTGGAAGAGGCTCGCTGAATGTCCGCGTCATTTTGAAAAGTTTTGAAGCCGTATCCACCAACTACATGCGTACGCACCCTAGGTATGTGGGTATATGTGACAGCTAGTCTATATAATCGCCATGTTATTGTCGGTGTTATTGTAAGTCACCATTTTCACTGTTGCCCTGCCTTGGTAGTTACTTAGGCATGTACTTGCTGAAACATCGAAATATGTTTGGTGATTCTGGCTTGATTGGGACGCAAAACGGCTTTGCGCAGACGGATCGCGTGGGATGCCCGACAACTGTCGGACCGGGAACGGCAGAAGACCCAAACGTTCCACTACTTCATATTACTCCGTACCGGCATCTTGGCTCGGGGATCGCTGGGGATTCTACAGATCTATGTCTAATTTATTTTCGATCTAGGTTAGGTTATTTGATCCAGATTTCCTTGTCTCACTTTTTAATGCATGAACATCGGAGCGTTTCGGCCGGACGCAAAAAAAAGGGGGAAAACCAGCCAATACGGTTTCGTTGCCTAAAAATAATAATGTGGCTTTTCATCATTGGGAGCGAATCCAAGGCCAGCTCTGCCGCCAAATGTCTCGGGTGTCTGCTATCCTTCTCACTCTCTTCTAAGACCGGCCCCCGGATTCGTAGAGTGACGGTGATATGACGTGGCCACCACTTCGCCCTAGTCGCAAGGAGGGCATATCTTCGTCATCCAACTCCACGAAATGAAGAGTTCTCACCAAAGGCACATCCTACAATCATCAGTGACGCCACTCGGTAGGATTTGCTACCACTAGCTGTAGCTGTAAGCAAGGTAGGTGTACCTAGGCAGGTAGGTTTTTGTTTGCGTTGTACGATATGTAATATCTACTCATGGTGCGCTATATACCGGACATAGGAATGTTCCGCCGACTTCCCGGAGCACCTACCTCTCGTTTCTTTGTAAAAAAAAAGAAAATGCTCGTAGGTTAGATTTTTCTTTCTCAATACCATTTTGTAGCTTTGAGGCTGCGCGTGAGTGAGTGGTCGAATTACCTAGTCATAGCAAGAGAAGCAGAAAGAAACCCACAGCCGCCATGATACGTCCAACGCAGGCATTCGTATTGACGGGGATATTGCTGAGCGGTAGTTTCATGACACTGCTGCTGCTGCGCACGAATCTCGGACGCGAAGTTTTCGAGCCGATCAATATCCTGCAAGGAGGAGGAAGTCCGAAAGATGCGCAGCCCTCTCCCCGATATAGACCAACCCCTTCCTACACGCCGCCGCCCATACAAGACCCGTTTCCGGCCTTGGCCACGTCGGCACCACCACCAATACCAGCGTACAACGTCCCCGAGAAGGAGCTGTGGAAGAAGTACGGGCTGGAGATCGCGCCGCCGCTCATCATCGGGTTCACGCGGGCCTGGCCCATGCTACTGCAAACCGTCGTCTCGTACATCACCGCCGGCTGGCCCGCCGAGCAGATCTACGTCGTGGAGAACACGGGGATGCAGCAGGCCAACGCGCGGGGCCAGCTGACCCTGCAGCACCCGTGGTACCTCTCGCACCGGCACCTCGCGCGGCTCGGCGTCAACGTCGTGCAGACGCCCGTCCTGCTCTCCTTCGCGCAGCTGCAGAACTTCTACCTCTCGCTCTCGCACGCGCGCCGCTGGCCGTACTACTTCTGGAGCCACATGGACGTGCTCGCGCTCGCGCACGAGGGCGGCTTCGAGGGGCTGACCCCCCGCGCCGGCGAGCCGGGCTACAGGAGCCTGTACGCGCTGTGCCTCGAGGAGCTGCGCCGCACGCTGGCCACCGACGCCGAGCGCTGGGGGCTGCGGTTCTTCGCGTACGACCACCTCACGCTGCAGAACCCCCGCGCGCTCGAGGACGTCGGCGGCTGGGACACGCTGATCCCCTACTACATGACCGACTGCGACACGTACACGCGCCTGCACATGCGCAACTGGTCGCAGGTCGATGCGAACTGTGGGGTCATCACGGACACGTCGGTCGCGCTGGATGATTTGAGGGCGCTGTACAGGGACCCGGGTGTTACGCCGGACTTTAGGGATCCGAATCCGCCGCCGCCGCCACCACCGCCGACAGAAGGGGAAGGGGATGAGCACACGAAGAGAAGCACCGAGAACGCCAACCCCGCCCCCACCGATCCCCTCGAATACTGGAAAGTGCTCCTCAGCGTCGCGGACCGCATGTTCCACTACAAGCACGGCAACGACCGCGGGCGCAACACCTGGCAGTCGGGGCAGCACGGCGGGCAGGGGGAGCCGTTCTACTACGACGCTGCCGGGTTTTCGGAGGCGCTAGGCGTCCTGACCGAGGCGGGCAAGGAGGTCTTTCGGCGGAAGTGGGGACATGGGGATTGTGATCTTATCAAGGGGGCGGGGCTGAAGTTTGAGGACCAGTGGCGGGTGCTTAAGGATTGGGAGTAGTTAGGTGGAATGATGCTGTGTGAATTCGCATTATTGGCAGAAAAAAAAAAGGGGGGGGGATTGGGTAATGGGTAATGGGTTAGATAATTGGGTAGGAGGGACATGCCCCCTTTTATATACGAACTTATGATATGGGTTTATTGGAGGTTATAGATACATACCTAGTTAGGTAGGCAGGAATGGGTGCCAGGTAATGGAATCATAGGGATATAAGGCTGTATCTTGGGTATATAATTTAGGGCACTCAAATGTGTGTGTTTTTGGCGAATATTTCAGTCTGCAAATTGCTTCCTACTTGCCAGCCATACGACGTAGTCAAACTGTAACCTTTGGAAACAAGGCATGGGCATGAGGACGCAGTTTATGAGATGTTGTGGAAATCGCAGATTGCGAAGGGCTATAACATAACAACAACCGGCTATCAACTATAATTATCAGCTACTCGGGTCAGTATAGGGGGACCAGGCCATGTGCTTTTTTAGACCGTAGATACCATCGCATGTAATGATTTATTATCATGTTACCTGATAGTAGTCGTGATGTTAGTCTAGTTACCTAGGTACCTAGGTACGCAGTCTCCCCTTTAAAGCCGAGTTTGACCTAAAGAATAGAAATAGGGGGTGGTACAGACAACTCCAACACGGTACACTCCGTCTAGATCTCCCGATCTACCCACTACACCCTCACCTTCCCCCAGATTCCCCATGGGGTCAGATTTCCATTCACACCAACCACCCTTTCGGCACACCAACTGCGATGCGCGGGTGTTGCTCTACCAATACCTACTTCCTCCAACCGAATGACCCTTCTTTTCACTCACGGAGTATCCACAGGTCCCGTGGCACCGGTACGAGATGTGTGCTGACATGCATACAGTAATTCTCACGTGTTGAACGTGCCGATGATTACCGTGCTATATAGGTAGGTAGAATAGGAGCTAACCTAGGTGGGTATTCTTGCAGCAACAGTCTTCCCATTTGAAAGTCGCATTGCGCTGGCAGCATTGGAAGACACGATATATCCATGTCTAGGTTGACTAGGGAAAAGGGGGCGCTGATCCGATGGCTCTACATAGTTATTAAAGGGGGGTCCAGGCGGATGTAGTAGCTAATATGCTTGGTAATGTGCCCAATGTTCAACATCCGTCCAAAGTTATAAGAGCCGCAATCTGAAGAGATCTTGCCCCTGGATTAATATGATTGCCGATCTTGGACAAAACCTACGGGCTTTTCCTGCGAGGAACGAATGTCGTATATTCTAGAAGAGAGAGCCCCCCGTATGGATCAACAACTTTGAACCGTCTCATGAGTACGCTCCATAGCAACTATCGTCCCTTCGACCCATTAGAGCAGGAGATAGGATATGTGCCTGGGTAGGTAGGTAAAAAAACAAAAAAAAAAATGGTCGACTTACCGCTCCAAACCACCCAAACGTTCCTATACACCGGACCGACGTATGATTGGCCGGGAGTTACACCAAGCACACCAAGTCGGAAATAGGGTGTTGATCCAACGTTCTAGAATCCCAAAATCGAAGCTGATCGATCCGTTCGGCATTCGAACGTTCCTACCATCCCCGATACCTGATGTGTCTATCAGCCGGTTACACTCATAATAACTATGTATGATACTAGATAGGCGCTTGCTCACAACATCAGCAACAGATATCAATATGCCCAGGTGATCAGCTTACTCTGATACAGACGGCACTCTCGCTCAAGCAGCGAAGAGTAAGTACATAGCATTGGCTACTATATAGGACCGCTGAGTAAGCTTGGTATTAATGAGTAAGTACATGATAATGAGTGCAGTACCTATGCTCGATATACATAGTTAGTACCTACCTATACCTACTATATTTCCTCACCTCCGACATCGTCACTCCCTCACCATCACCGGCCGTTATTCACGGTGGTATAACTTACTTAATAGGACACATAGTCTTCCGGATTGCCAACCATATATACATACATACATACCTACATACCCACACACAACTAACAAACCAATCTATCTATCTATCTTTAAAGCACGTTAACAACCGGCGATCTTGCATCCCACCCAACCCAGCCCAACACCCGAAAATAGCAACACCTCGACGACCGGATTGGCCGGGATGGGGTTTATTATACTCCTACCTACCCTCCTAACCTACCCTATGAGCGCAAACTGCCAACCAACTCTACCTATCTAACCTAATCTAATGCCAGATTCAGGGGTGTGATGATTTTTTTAATTTCTAATGCGATTTGGCGTAGATCGTGGCTCGACTCATCTCACACCTACATATCCATCCGTCTCCCATATCCATCCGTCTCCAAAAAAAAAAAAAAAAAAAAAAAAAAAAAGACACGGCATTTTCGGGAAATCATGGAATTGGCCAATTCGCTATGCACAATGCCATGTTGTACTTCCAGCATACATACCTAAGGTAGGATATGTAGGTACCTACATACATACATACATACATACAGTACCAGTAAGCCAACCCAGAGGAAAGCCTTGAATGCTTTGTTTTAAACCCAACCCATGTCAACGGCCGCGACCGCGACCGCATCTTCTAACCTTTAACTAAGTTAATATTACTCTGGACAACTCATACCTGGCTCATAACTCACACCTCAACAACACAACTCACACCATGACCATGACCATGCATACCTACATCACATCACAACAAGCACAGAAGAACAACGCACAATGACAGTTATTTGATCAAAACTTGTATTTTACTTGTTTGTTATTGTTGCTTTCCCCTTTCCCCTGGCCTCTCTTCTACACGCAACACAGCGCATTCCTGTCTTTCCCGCTAGCGCGTTCTATAACCCAACACGGCAGTTAGAGAGAGAGACAGCAGCCCTATTCTACCCTACTACCTAACCTAGCGATGGATATGTCCGATGAGCCAACTAACTATCTAGTTCCAATGATCAATCAGACTTGTCTGCCCCGAGAGGAGAAACCTTAGTAGACCTGTCAGGCACACACGCCCAAGCAGATCCGCAATGCTCCCAAAAAGCGATGGAGCCCGAAAAAGAATCCACCACCCCCTTTAATGTAGACATCCCGTGTCGATCTCGCCCTTAGTCCTGCGGATGCGGTGGGAACCGGAAAAATGAAGAGGAAAGAAATAGAAAAATAGAGAAAAATAGAGAGATTAGGACAACTATAACGCCTGGCCCGATGCAGATATGCCCTTGCCCCGCCTTTCCCATCTTTGTCGTGTATGCCCGCCGGGGAAATATAGACTTTGTTGCTGCTGTTGTTGCAAAATACAGAGTTTGTGGCCTGTTTGTTTCTAATGATGTGTCTAATGAGAAAAATAAACCCGTCAAACTTCATCTGTCCTCGTGAGGGTTGTATATGTAATTATAGAAGCCTCGTGTTTCGTTTCAAAAGTTGAGCCACCAATATGTTGTGTGGTATATCTAATGCGGTTCATAAAATATATCGCATGCGTTTCGTTTCGTCTCGTACGTCAAAATAAGGCCATGGCGAAATCGAGTTCGGCATCGGATAATTAAGAAGATTCGTTGCTTCGCGACGCGTGCGTGCGGAAAAAAAGATCAATTATACAGCCGCCGGTTTTTTGTTCACGGTGATGCAAATGCAAAATGCTGTGTTGGGGTATCTTAAAAAGGGGGGGATGAGGATTGCTCGACAATCCCCAATCTTCTTCCACGTTCCATCTTTCCGCCGTTTAATGCTTGTTCTGCTCCTGACTCCCCGTACTCGTAGTGGAATTCGATTGGTGGCGATGATGCTGTTGGTGGTGGTGGTGATGGTTTTTATGATGCGGGTGAGAGTGATGTTGTCGCACCTGAGTTACTTGTTAGTATATCTACCTGGGTAGGTATGTGTACATGGGAAATTCGACTTACCCGTTGGCGACCTCGCCGCTCCTCCTCGGCTGGGGAGCTAAGCGACTGTCTTTCCTCTTCGTACCATGCACTCAAGCTCTTTCCGCCGAACATTATGTCGTCATCATCTATAACTATAGGTTCCATCCAGCCCTGTTTTTGCAGTTCCACCTCTCGGGCGTCCGTGTCGGGTAGGTAGTAGTGTAACGTCTCGTCATCGGGGTGATGTGACGTGGTTGATGTGGTGGTGACCATTTTGAGAGGAGAAGGGTGATGCGCGTGTGAGCTTGCGGTTTTCTGTTGCTGGGACTTGGTATGGGAAGATGAGTGTGAAGGACGCGACTGGGAGTGAGAAGATTTACGGCTTTGCTGCGAGGTTGGTCTACTTCGTGATTTTCTGTTGTCGTCAGATACGATCGAACTACGTCGCGACATGGGCGGTGATAGTGTTTTGAGTTTTGAGTTGAGTTGAGTGCAAGACTCTTGTTTTTCTTCTTTCTCCTTCTTGTATTTTTATAGGTGTGATAATAGGCGTGTTAGGTTAGATAGATAGATAGATAGATGTGAGTGTGTATGTGTGTGTGTGTTTTGGGTGTTGCTCTGTTGCTCCACGGATTATATAACTCGTTGTCGTATAAAGTGGTTGTGTTTGTTGATATAAATTTGGCTTGCACCAGGCTGCCCCTTTAATATAACTTGGTTGCTGTTGTTACTTAATTGAAATCCAATCCTATGTTGTATCTCCGCTCCAAGGACGGAAAGTCTAGCCAGTGGACTCTGGGGAAATAGGAGGTGCCAGGTGGGTAAAAAGGACAAGAATAGAATCCGGAGGAGGAGTCAGAGGGAGGAGTTAGTAATAAATAAGAAGCTTGGAAGAGAGTTTAATATGAAGGGGGCGATGAGCTTAAACGTTACAAGGAGAAAGAGAAAAAAGGTTTAGTTTAATGATAACTACAATAATTGATATAATTGATACTAGGTACAACACAAGTACACTGTAGTGACTGTACACTGTACATACAGTATGTACTAATGTACCTAAACAATTAGACCGTTTGAAATGAACCAATTGTTGGGGGCTGGTTGGCAAAAAAAGGAAAAACTTTTGAAGACCAAAATTGAATTTTAGAGCTAAAAAAATTAAAACTCTTTTTTTTTTTTCTTTCCGACGGTGACAAACGGTAACTAGTTACATTACGGTGCAATGAAGAAGTGGATGTCCGGAATAGGGATCCCAATACGTTACTGCCAAGAACTATCACGGCTATCACGGTTGGAAGACGGTTATACTGAATTCAAATACTTCAATGTGCAATTGTTCTTTTGGAATTTCGGTAACCGAAACATGGAAGCTAATTACATATAGCTCTTAATTGAGTTATTGAGAACGTCAATACCTACAACTAACACTTGTACATATTTCGAAAGACTTGAGGAATGAAGATGGGACGATTCATGAATTTCCCTCGGGGGCTTTAATCAAGAGTATAGTAACTAAGCACAGATGCTTTACCTGACCTACCTGCATAGAATCCATCTGACCTTCCGGAATCAGGTATTCGATAGACCGCAAGGTGTAAAGCGAATGAAGATGACATCTCGTCTCGGTCGCGAATACCTATTACCTAGTAGTCATACACTACATGGCTGACACGTATCCACATAATACCCCAGGTAAATGCCCCGTAGCGGAGAAAAAAGTTGGCTGCAAGGAATGAGAGGTTGAGGCCCGGTCCGGAAACAAGTCCGGTTAATTAATGGCTTCAGAGAAGCTCTATGCTGGTCAAGCACTAGGTAGTAGGCACGAAGTCGTAATAGTGATGACCGAAACCACGCCGTGTAAGTCGTGTAAGTTCAAGGTTGTTGAAAGTCGTGTCAAAGTCTTGCCCATGTAACAGTTCAAGCGGTAATCAACGTGGCGGTTTATATGAAGAAGATAAGATGAAGATGAGATGAGATGAGATAACTAATGGCTTAATCGAAAAGATTTGTAAACATTTGTTACTCCCGCCACTTCAACGGATGATGAATTGATATTATCTCCCTACCCAGCTGCTAGGTAACCCACCTAGGTGAGACAACCTATCTTTAGCTTCCAAGGTTGGCTTATAGAAATCCGTCAAGATACCGTCAAGTCGAAGCCATAAAACCGTATATGTAGTGCGATAGTACGAATACTTACTTTCCCACACACTAACCTAGGCAACGTAACTGTATATAGGAAGGCATGTGTATGCGGCCTCTACTCGGTCTATCTAGGTGATTCATCAAAAGTTCGTAAACGTGGGCTTACTTCATCCGATCGGTTAAGCAGGCTACATAGGTTGTCTGTCAGCTTCGGCCGTCCAGGCCGCGACCACTATTCGACTGGGAAGGCGGGCGAATAACGAAATATAACTGCAAGCATCGGTCACATCTAGACCGGCCGAGACGGTTCTCTCAGCGGCAATCATTTACTTGGGACTGGCCTATCTAATAACAAATAGGCAGTCCATGTATTGTACCGGGCCCTGCCTAGCAGGCTACCAATTACATAGTAGGTAGACAGGTAGGCAGATAAAACCTCATCGGAGTTGCGGTTATCCTGATTTGGCCAGTTCCTCAATCAAACTTCTATCTTTGATATCGGACTTGGGCTCGAGGCTTTGTGGCGTTCAAGATTGCGTTTGGGCCTCTTTTCTGTGTTTGATTCGGCCTTTGTAGAACTCAAGATGAATGCCTACCAGGCGCTGTCTACCTTGGCATATAGACATCAGATCCCAACTGCGAGCACCAAGTAATTTGTACCACAATAACAATAGATATATACCTAGTAGGTTCAATATTTCCATTGACCGATAGTCTTACACGTCTCATCGTTCTGCGTGTCATGTAATACCACCAGCCAACAGTCAGCGCTTTGATTATCATCATGTATTCGAGAAGCCTTATGTCTGTAAGCCAAGTCTATTAGGCCCAGAAGACCAACCGTACTTACTGAACAGCTGGGATATTGGATGTATTGGATGGATATATCTTTTCCGGGGTAGAGTGGCTGGCTACCTGTTAGGTAGGACAGTAGTGCAGTATGTAGAATATGTAGAGTATGTAGCCTTGGAAGGTAGAGTAAGCAGATAACGACATTTCCTAGGGCTGCTAGCTTGTCCTTTCTAGCATTAATGTTACATACATGGCCGCTGTCATCACCGGCCCGGCTTATCGTTGTCTGCTCTTCGCGATCTTACATCGTGTTTACCTAGGTAGAGATGACATTCAGACCTTTAAACGCTAGATGATACGTCTGACCAAACCGTTTTCTTTTCCATCTAGTTACTATGTATCCATCCATTCGTCCACCTCCATGCAATTTTTATATCCCCCCCTTCTCGAGCATTCTCTAGGCTGCATACTAGCTAAGCTACCATACATAAGCGTTTCTTTTATGATCAACGAAGCGGGGAGTGGACCCTGGAATTAATTTTCATCAACATGCCCAAAAACCTACCGCATAGCTTTCAACTTTCCCCTCCTCTGCCCCCCATCTTCCCAACTCTGAGCTAAGCTAAGCTAAGGGTTGCAGTTTGAGGGGTTCATCAATCTCCTCAGCGAAAACGCGCTAGCGGGCGATCCTTGCACATGCTTCGCCCGGGAAGGCACGAGAGGTTCGCGGATAGCAGCGCATCATTTTTTGCGTTTTGTTGTTGTCGATCCAACAACCCGCGATGCGATTTGATGAGGCGCTTTGGCCCCTGATCAGGCAGCTCAGGTGGCTCAGGTATTTACGGTCGACTAGGTATGTGTAGATACTAGATAGCTGTTTTACAGTACATGTATGTACTCTAGACAGCCCGCTTAGACTGCATATCCTAGCGAGGTAGGTACCCAGATATTCTGTATGGCAATGTATGTAACCGTCGGGCTACCGAACAGTGAACTACCCTACTTAGGTAGGTAGCTAGTTAGCTAGCTACAGTTCGACAAGCGAGCCCCTGCTTGCCCGTAATCTTATGCCACTAACTCAGATAGGTACTTATATACAGTACGTAGGCAAGCAGGTATGTAGACTGAGATATTGCGATGAATCCGTATCAACAAAATACTTGATATATCAGTATAACTAACTGTGTGCATGACTATGAATGCGGGATGTCGAGGTCAACTGATAGGCGTTTCCTCCGTTTGAGGCTGTCCTGGGACCGGATCTTGTGGCACAACAATTATCATGTGCAAGACGCTCTGACGGCCGGTCAGATTCCGTCACATTATCATCACCAACCTTTTTTCCATGTATAATAGTATAATACCCTACCTATACATACAACTATATCCAAACCGTTTCCTTGAAGTTTTTCCAACCGGACAAGCAGAACGGAAGAGAGGGGCGACGGAGCGGAGGGAATAAAAAGAAAAGAAAACGGACCGCGCGTCATATTATTATTATTCCTCGGGATTTGGGATCTTGCTGCGAAATCTAACAATGTTGCCTTCATTGCAACCATTTCGTCAATTTCGTCAATTTCGTCATAGCGGAGCTGCCAAGTCGCATGCATTCTGTCGACATCATGAATAAGCCGAGATGACAAGCATTGGTTTTTGTTAGATGGGACTTTCGGGTAGATAGATAGGCAGAGAGAACAAGCACGGACAGGGCGGATATACTAGTATAGGGCAGAGAAGAAGAAGTGGGCAAGTTTCTATAATTATTTAGCAATAACTAGTAATAACTATACACCCTGCGATGGGCGTGGGCTGCGTGGATACGTGCGTCATCTGCAGACCTTTCCTTTAACCACATCTGTACGACCCTTGTCTCAACTTTATATCACATCGTCGCTATCTTTCTTGCCTTCATCGACGTCATCAATGCCAAGTTGCCGCCACAAGACTCTCGAGACTTCTGGGGACGTCGGCGGGGGTTACCCCTGAAGCCACCAAAACCCCCCCACGACTATTACCACACAGTATAAACAGTATTATAGGTAGGAAGATCAGTTTTTCACCGGATCAAAATACGCTGCATTATGTAATTGTCGACTACACTGCATGTACCGTTTCCTATGTCTGCTAATTATGCTCTTTAATAACTCTCAAACAAACGAAAAGCACGTTTCCATCTTGGTGCCCGAAAAGGGGAAGAAAGGAGGTGGCAGACCTCTCTGCGCCTAGGCATACTACATGATACCAATCTTGACGACTATTATGTTGAAGGCTCTTCAAGCACGGCATTGAATGTCTACATAGTATTTATTCCATGTTTCACAGCATTGTTCAGTGGCTATAAAGACACTTGTCAACACATGCTGCAGTCCGTGTTCTAATCGAATCGTATTGCTTCATTTTTACATCTTGCAGAGTGAAATTCCAATACGCTCAGAAGCATCCATCCAATTGTTCAACTCCACACTTTCCTAACCTTAGAAACAATTGATCGAGGCATGTTTAGCCGTCATCAAGGGGCAGCATTTGCATGAGAATTCTCAAGGCAAACAAACTTCAAACGTTGCCTACCTACCTACAATTGTCGTGGCTCACATCTATCTCAAGCAACTATAACAACAATGAAGAGCTGCCTGGACCAATTAAATAGTTACCTCTTACCTATGTAAATGGCATACCTACCCGGTACCTACCAATAGGCCTAGGCACGACATAACTAGTGTAGCCCGTCTTGCATGTGAAAGAAATACCTTGCATTTCATTGGCCGATGGCCAATTCTTCCTTGAAATACCCAACTTCGATGTTTGCTTTCTTTCTTTGAATACGTCATTATATCACCGAATCATACATAGCTGTCCATGATACTCTCTAGAGAGAACCTGCTATCCTATCATAGAGCTATTAGATACTTGAGGTCCCTATCTACCTATTCTATGTACGCAGGTAAGGTATGTAGGTATTGCACAATACATAAAGTACTAGACCTAGGTAAGGAGTAGCAAACGAGATGAAACTGTCTTAAACATTCATAATGCCTATACCCAACAGCACCTAAACTATGTAAGCTAACGGCCCAAGTTCGTTCCGTCTTGGAACCGACTCCAACTTCAATTCCAACTCCACCTCATCCGGAGTTATCCAGAGGACTTCCATCTTCTTAATTATTTCTACTTCTACCCCCATCTCGAAAGGAAGGAGGAAATCTCCAAAAAAAAAAACAAAACAAAAAACCAAATAGTTATTAAATTAAGGGAAAGAAAATGTTCAAAGGCCCCTGTTCACATACCTAGTATTACACAGGCATCGATACCCCGCCTCTCAATGCTGGCTGGACTTGGCTCGTGTGTTGGATAAGATCATTACCTATCTCGTACACCTGTGATGCGCGTCAAGCCCCTGAAAGAGCGATAAAGAAAGGCTTAAGCAACACCAGAGCAGCCCAACCTAACCTGCTTGCCTATCCAGCTCCACTCACGATCCTAACCTACCCTACCCATCTCCACCCACGATGGCTTCCAAGCCAGAATCCTCCCCTCGGCAGCCTACCACCACCGCGGTGGACCCGCGCCCCCGGCAAGCCACGCAGCGCTACATCGGCGCGACCGTCCTCCTCGCCGCCCTCTCCGGCCTCCTCGCCCTCGACGTCCTATACCTGCGCCCGTCCGCCCTCTCCCCGGCTCGCAAAGCCCTCGGCCTGACCCTCGTTTTCTTCGGCCTCTACACCCAGACCATCCTGCGACGATCATGGCAGTACTACACCACGATGGCCCAACTCGGGTGCCTGCCCCCTCCCCGCTACCCCAACGACCCGCTCGGCATCAAATACCTGAAGGAGGTCGCGGGCTTGATCAAGGGTAACGCCCTCCTGGCCGGCTGGACGCGGCTGCTGGGGACGGTGGGCCACACGTTCGAGCACCGGACGTTCCCCAGCCCGTCTCCGATGCTGCTGACGGACGAGCCGGCGAACGTGCGCGCGGTGCTGACGACGCGCTTCGACGACTGGGACCTGCCGCAGCTGCGGATCGACGCGCTCTCCCCCATGCTCGGGCACCACAGCATCTTCACCACCAACGGCGCGTCCTGGCGGCACGCGCGCGCCGTGCTGCGCCCCGCCTTCGTCCGGGACATGGTCGCCGACCTGCGGTGCCTGGACCGGCACGTCGCCAAGCTCGTCGCCACCATCCCGCGCGACGGCGCCCCCTTCGACATGCAGCTGCTGCTCTCCATGTTCACCATCGACGCCATCTCCGACTTCATGTTCGGCCACACGACCGACATCCTCGGCGTCGCCCCCGCCGACGGCCTGCGCTTCGGCACCTCCTTCGACCTGTGCACGCAGAGGCTCGCCGACCGGTCCAAGCTGGGGCGCCTGGCGTTTCTTGTTCGCGACAGGGAGCTCGACGAGGCCATCGCGTACATGAGCGCGTTTGTCGACAAGTACGTCGCCGAGGTGAAGCACGACTTGCAGCTACTACAGCAGCAACAACAACAACAACAACAAGAGAAAGGCGAGAAGGAGGAGGAGGCGAAAAAGACCAGCGCAGACTCGAAACGCTACATGTTCCTGCACGAGCTCCTGCAATCCGGCGAGCCCGACGCCGTGATCCGGGACCACCTGATCAGCATCTTCCTCGCCGGCCGGGACACGACCGCCAGCGCCCTGTCCTACCTCTTCCACGAGCTCTCCGCGCGGCCCGACGTCGTGCTCGCCATCCAGCGGGAGATCGCCGGCCTGAACCTCGCCGACGAGGCGGAGCTGCCCTCGTGGGAGAGCCTGCGCAACATGCAGTACCTCAACTGGTCCATCCGCGAGGCGCTGCGCCTGAACCCGCCGGTGGCGAGCAACGCGCGCGAGGCCGTCCGCGACACGGTGCTGCCCGCGGGCGGCGGCCCCGATGGGAAGGCGCCCGTTTTTGTGGCCAAGGGAACCACGCTTCGGTACCTGCCGTGGGCTCTGCAGCGACGAAAGGATATCTACGGCAGCGATGCTGAAGAGTTCCGTCCCGAGAGATGGGAATCCCTTCGAACCACGTAAGTCCCCAAAGCACCTTAAACCTGGAAAAAATCTACCCACTAACCTCTCACCTCCTCCTCCTCCACCACCACAGCTTCGAATACGTCCCCTTCAACGCCGGCCCCCGCATCTGCGTCGGCCAGCAATTTGCCCTGACGCAGATGGCCTTCGTCGTATTTCGGCTGCTGCAGCACTTCAAGACCATCGAGCGGAGGGATGAGAGGCCGCCCGTCCTGAAATTCGGCATCAGCACGACGTTGCTAAATGGGTGCTGGGTTAGCATGACACCTGCGTGAGTGAGCGAGTGAGCTATTTGGTTTGAGATGTAATGTAATACCCTACTATATTACTTGAAGTAGGCGCCTAGGTAGGCAAAGGATGAGCTGGGTAGAACTGCATTATTATGATTCTTGTTATTGCTCACGAAGCTTCTCATAATAGCCTTAAAGTCAGTTAGTAATTTGAAATTTAATTTGAACCCAACTTTATAAAAATTCATAAGTCGTGTTCCTAAGAGATAGATACACAATTGCTTAGGTAGAGACGTAAACAGCACACCAAGACCTCGTACTAAACCACATAACCCATGACGCTCATCAATCCTTCCGCGTCCTTTTCACCCCTTTTGCACTTACTCATCACCAAAAGCTTACTTGGCCAACTAGCCAAAGATACCCTCGTGATATCCCCCAATATTTCCTCCATAACAGTTTCTCACTCTAAACCCCTAAACCTACGATTGAACTCTTCAACGGCTATGGCTACCATGCGGTACAAGAATGCTCGCCCGCTCTCTTCGCCAACCGGTATGAATGGTCCATTAGTCCCGCCGCGTAGGACAATACTAAGACCTGTGCGCTCCTTCGAAATCGTCTGGACATCTTTGAGGGGAATATCCCACTCCGTAGTCAATCTCCGGCTTCGAACCAAAAGTATTCGACTAAATGTCACCATTACCACCTTATCTTCTCTTGGTAGTTCGATATGCGCAATATAATCCTCGTTGAAGTATTTCCCGTTGTCTACTTGCTTGAGCCAAGATTGCCCTAAGGCTTCACGTTGGTTATAAGGGCGAACTATACCATCCGCAGGCACGAACCGTGTTAATCGCACCCGGTCCAATTCAGAGCCGTCAAACACAGTGGTTGTATTTCGAATGCCTTCGGATACATTGGATGCGAGGTCAAACACACCGACTGCGGGCTTGGTGGCAAGGCCGATGAAGCCTTTCCCAACACCTTTGAAGAACCCGACCGCGCCCTCTTGTTCTGCGCCTTCGAGAGGCTTCCGGGCGACGCCTCCTATGCCAGATGCAATTGATGTGAAGAATGAGTTTGCACCTGCTGTAACGCCAAATAAGGCATGCTTCGGCCGGTTGCGAGCCCGGGTAATGCGGCGGCGGTCCTGGAACTGCTTGTCTAGAGTTGCGGCGGCCAAGCCCTTGCCAAAACTGCCTGTGACTTTGGAGAAAGAGTCAGAAAAGCCATAGACGGATTTCTTGACAAAGCTAGCGGCTCCCTTTGCAATGCCTATTCCCAGGTCCTCGGGTTTGTCGGACATGATGAGGCCTTGGTATGGTTCGTAGAAAACGTCGGTTATACCACTGCTGATACTGTTGAATAACCCAACAGGATTACCGAGGAAGTCAGCACTCCCAATGATTTTGTGAACTTGGTATAGAACCTCTTGACTATAGTGATTGGATATGTTTTGTGTCAAGACGGCAATAGAGACTCGAGCATTCTCCAACAGCAAAGCATTCAGCCGAATCGGTGCATCATTGACATTGCCGATAGCCATCGTCATCACGTTAACGAAGAACATAATGGGGTTTCGGGATGAGGTCTTGTCCTCCACATTGACTCGCTCAGTGCGCATGAAGGACAAGTCTAGTTGCATCGGCTGTATGTTCAGGACTTCAAAGTAAATGTCCTGTCCTGACTGCTCTTGTTTAGGTTCGGGAATGTCTAAGCCTTCGTCGCAGAGTTTGCCTTCGTTAGTTTCGGACCACAAAGCCCCCGGGATTTTCGAGAAATCCAAGACGGCATAAATGAAGTCCTCGTCAAGATCGATCGTCATCTGTTGAAGAAGCAGAGTAGCGTATTTGACGTATAGCACGCCATACGAGTCGTCTTTGACTCGGGTAACCATGGCATGTAGTGAAGGATGCAGCTCGGTCTCTTTGGCCTGCTTGGGCACGACGCTAGGGTACAATATCATCGGGAAGAGACCACCGTATAGTTGGTTGTCAATTTGGATCCATTTGACAGAGGTGCTGATGGTTTGGTAGAGCGCTGACTCATTATAACGCAGATTGACGTCTCTGAATGTAATGTACGCCAGTTCCTTGAGCTGTTGGTTAATGAGTGAGATGCCAATGCCGGATAGTTTTAGTTGTGCTTGGAACGTCGTGTTTGTATCCTGATTCTTGACTTCAAAGCCACCACTGTTGCTACTACTTGAACCCGTCTGCGTCCTCTGGCGGTACAGGCTTTTGCTCGCTTTGAAGTTCGATAGAATTAGTGTCTGAGTCGGACCATCGGCAGCAACGTTGATGTCAATGATCTTTTGTGTGCCAGAGCTGTTGGCGAACTTCATCGGGACCTGATTGCCGATCTCCGCAAGCTTTACATGACGCTCCTTGCCGAAGGCGCCAATGACCACTTCCTTGAACTTGGCGGCAGGGAAATCCCAGGCATAAGGCATGATGCTACGAGGCGGCAGGCGATACCTGACCGGCCTCCAGCCAGAGCGGTCTTCCACACCGTCCTCGTCTATATTGGGGTTTGCCTGGTAGAAAGTGAACTCGGTATCACTCTCATTTCGCATGGAGAATGGCCAATTCTTTGTCTCTAGGCTAAGATGGAGGAATATTGTCGCATCCTCCATCAAGATCTCAACTCGGATGAGACGCTGTCGCTGACCAGCTTTTGCGATCTTGATGTGTACAGTGCCAAGCTCTGATATGTTTATGGGAGATGTCCACTGATCATCGATCCCAGGAAATCTCAGCGCTATCTGCTTTGTATCCGACCTTTGAAGCCAGTGCAGGGGTTGTAGTGAGCCTGGCTTCAAGATTATGGTTTTGGATGAAGTAGGCTCTCTTACAACGAGCTCCTCGCCGATTTTGTTTTTGACTACGAACCGGGGAGCTAGAGTGACAACCTTGGTTAATTTATACTTGCCTTCACCAGGCTCGACAGTAATGCCGACATGTATCTCGGAGTCCTTTTTGACAGACGGCAAGACCACTTCAGCTGTGCTTCCAATTGCATCGAAACTCTGCGCTCTGCTCCATTCTGATTCACCGATCTTTAGGAGAGCTCGGTTACGCTGGTCGTCATTAGAGAATGAGAACATGAAAGGTAACGCTTTTGGCCGTTCTTGATCTGAGGTGTCAGCAACTGCTGACTGGCCGGCTGCCCTTTTCGGCTGTTGCAAGAATTGCTTGCCCCGGATGTTAACCTCCAAGCCAGTCTTGTTCAGGACGACATATGGGCTGTATACAGTAACTTTGAAAGCACCGCCACCATCTGGGATTTTGTAGTAGTGAAGTCTTAGATTCAAATTAAGATCTTCACTGTCCTTGCATATTAGAGTGTGCTCTTTTCGGAAATCTTCTTGTGACCCAGGGTTGATAATAGCAAATTCGCTAGGTTTGAACACGGTATCTTGCATGTCGACACTGATCAAGAGGAGATGGGACAGTTCTACGACATGAACGGGGCTAACACCACCCTTCCTTAAAAAGTTCGTCCAGTCACGCTTCGTATTTTTGTCGTAAATGCGATACTTGAAATCGTAAGGGAGGAGATTCTCTAGAACGATTGGTGGAGAGAGCTTGAGCTTCATATACGGATATTTTCTGTAGATGTTAGACAATACACGATACGTTTAATTTAATTAAGACTTACCCAGCGAGGAAGTGGCCGCGATCAAAGCTGGCGTTGAGTTGGAAATAGAATACATCACTATTTTCGCCTTTACACATGAGCGTGCGTGTAGGTCTCTTGAGTAAGTCTCTCCACCATAAATGTTCCGACGACCAGGCATAGCCAAAGCCCGAATCTGGTCGGACCAATAATGACTTGACGTATGCGGCGGCGACAGGGGCTGGCCGACTTTCACCCGGTGCGATCTTCTCTATCTTGAGTAGATGGCCCTCTTGAGCATCGAAAACGCCAAGCTCAACCGGTATCTGCGTCTCATTTTCGATTACAAGAGGCGAACGGAGAGTTACGTATTTGATGTTGTCAGAGCCCAACTTCACTTCGACTAGTAGTCTATGAAGAGTCTCATCTGTCTTCGGTCGTAGACTATACAAGAACTCACCCTCGCGGTTAAGGCGAATATTCTTGACTGTATCAAAGCCGCTGCCTTCGATCAAGACGGCGACAGTATTTGCCGAACTACTTTCCGACATGATGTTCTCTCGCATCTTTTCCCAATGCTCGAAACTCCATGGGCCTTCTTCGCCATCTTGCAATTTGAGAGAGATGTTTTCGTCATCACTTTGGCTTCTAGCTTGAAGTAGGATATCGAAACCTGTGTAATTCCTGACCTTGTAAGGTGCCTCTACTCCACGAGGTTTCCCTAAGACATCTTCATCCTTCGTGAGGAAGTCGAACGACTTAGACGCCAGTGCGATAGTCGCAGTTGTTACTGTAACATCAAAAGTCCTCTTCGAAGTGACATCAATGGAAAAGAGGCCGCCTTCTTGCTCCTTCGCAACGCCAATACCCACTTGCCATGGCTCTAGAAGTGGCTCCCAAGCGGATTTCGCAAAGTTGTAGACATTGATGTACATATCTATCGCAGTCTCAGCCTTTAGAGAGCTCGACCAGTCTGCCGCTGAAGCTGTAAAATTCTTGATGCTTAAATCTAGAATTGGCAGTTCATGGACGTCACCAATCAGCACGATACGAACTCCATCGATTGACGCAGTAAGCTCCTCGTGACGCTTGGAAACCTTGCCAATATCATGAGATTGGGTTGGCTGATCCTTCCCAGTTCTCCGAGTGGCTATTGTGCCAGCTGCCTTAGCACTTTTGCTTTTATTGGCGGCAATAGTAGAATGTCCCCGACCGCTTGCTGTACGTTCTTTAAGCCCAGCACGGCGGAGCTGTTGTGCTTTCTTATCAGATGCACTAGGCTTTGGCTCTTTCGCTTCATCCTCTGACAGTTCAGATGCCTTGCTAATGATCTGGAGAGCTAGAAGAATATCTCGAAGTGAGAGTCGAAGAATCAACGGGTCGATGTCAATATGGATGTTTGTTGAGTCAGCTTGTGAACTTTCCATTGATAGTTGGAGAGAGAAGTCGTCGAGGATACGAAGTCGTGTCTCGTCAAACTTGTCCATGCGACAAAGAAACATTCCGACTTCCGAGACTTGGAATGTTAATGAGTGTTGTTGGGATAACAGCACTTGCTTCGCCCCTAGAACAATTGCTTCTGAACTAGAGCTTAGAGGATTGGCGATTAGTATAACCTGCGAATCGACAATATTGACACGGAAGGCAACATTCATCTTCGAGTTCTGATTCGCTGCCGGAGCACGATCCAGTTGTGATCCTTGTATACTCTTCTGAGATGACTTTCCCGTCCATTGAACTTGCATGGACTCGGCGTCAGAGATGTCAGGGGTGTCCACGGGACTCTCCAAGGCCCCCGGCGGAGGAGGCTCATCAACCTTTAGGCCAATGGTCACGAATTTTTGAATCGCGAAGATATAATCCAATGCGAAGATGATTCTAGGACTGTCAATGGCGACGACAGCGATGAGATCTCGCTTCTCGCCTCCGGACATGGAGACGCTCGCCATGAATTGCTGCACACTCTTGTTGGAGGATGTCATGATCCTCTTATACTTGCTGCCCTCACGAGTACGACTGTCATGTATGGTGAAAGATTGTATCACAAATTCCGCCTCCAATGAGCCATCGGCTAACACCCGGGTCTTTAGTTTGCTATCGTCTAAAGAGAATCGTGAGAGGCTAGCGGCATCTACGTTCCCAACTGGTTTGTTCTCGTGGGCATTTATTAGCTCAAGACCGATTTTATGCACATCAAACACAAGATCAAGCTTTGTCCAAGTATCGTCTCGCGAGCCTAACTCCGGAGAGAGATTAATCAACTGTGTATCGCCCCCGCTCATGGTAGAAGACATTGTCTTGGCTCGTCGTAAGGTACCTTCGTCGACGTCTCGTTCAGCTTCTTCACCCCTAGCATTAGAGTCGGTCGCGAAAGCAGCTGGGACGGATCTGGAAATATCCAAGAGGAAGTTTAGTTGGTATTGAGTGATTCTGAGGTTAATGTCGGTCATGCTACCCTCAATCTCCATGTCAGGTCGTTTCCACCCTTCTTTATGTTCGGCATAGGTGATGTTGAAGCCAAGGTCCACATGATCAATCATTTCAAGTTCTTCTGATTGTTCGTCGGGGTAATGAAATAGGGATGTTAGTCGGATATTCCTGATGCCCGCAGAAAGCTTCATAGCAATCTCCGACTCTTCAGAGTCATCCAAAGGCACAAATTTGTTCTGTGCGTAGATCTCTCCCAAGTAAGCAGTGGCCAGGTCACGCCTTGGTTTATCTGGAGAAACAGTCCGAGGAAATACGATGATAGGGGTGTTGATGATAACATCAAACTTGAATTTACTGCTGCTTTGTTGCAATTGTTGGGCTTGGTTCGCGGCCGCTTGACGAGCAGCATTGTAGATGGCTTGCATCTTTCCAAATTTGACCAGGAACTCGATAATCTTCCTAAAAGGCTCCTCGAGGAAGTTCACTTTTATGGATCCAGCACGTAAATGAATTGAGGAGTCATATCCTGGATAGGCCTTTTCATTACTAGGATCAAAGGTTTCGTAGCGAAAATCAGCAAGTTCGTCGCCCTGGATTGTAACAAGCTGGCGGAAGCTTGAGTCTTCTGATGCGCCAACATTAATGTCGTCGACCAGTGTTAAATCTCCCAACTTGGCTGCCACCCTCATGGTCTTACCAAGTAAGAAGACACCAACATCGGCATGGTTGAATGAGAGCGTTGCAAGACGGATACCATCATTGTTGAGGATTAGACGAATACTCTTGAGATCAACTTTGACTCGGATGGATCCGCCCTCTGCTTGAGGAGTAGTCACCGGTTCAACAATTTCAATCCCTTCTTCCTCGTCCTCTTCATCAAAGTCCTTGATCTTCGGCGACTGGGTATTCGAATTGTTGTTGTTAGTGAACGTGACAAGTATGAAGTCAAGAAGTGTGAGTAGAGTCTTCCGTGTCACGACAAGGTTAATTGTTGAAACAGCAACATTGACATTTGTTTCTATGCCATCGTATACTGCCATGAATTCTGGTGATTCTTTCTTGACCTTAGTGAACTTTATACGGACAAGATCTCTTTGCTGTTGGCGGTCTTCAACATCACCTGATGACACAATTGACTTGAATTCTGCTGAGGGGTTATCGACGAAGTCGTCAACCGTCACAGACCCCAGTGATACTTCAGCTGCCATGTCAAAAGGCCTAATATAAAAGTTGAGATCAAAGTTCTCTGCGATCAATTCTACAAGCAAGGCTTCAGGTTGCTCGCCGTCAGGGTCGCTTCGATACAGGGACCCTTGCAGCCTGTCAACAGCGAACTTGAATTCGAAATTCCGCTGATTAGTCTTGAAATGTTGGTTCTGGTTTCCATCTGCGGCATCTTCAAATGCGTCCGAGTCATCGTCGGAATCATCATCTTCAAGAATGACGGCAGTCTGCTGGGTAAGAAACAAGTTTGAGGAACCTCTGCGACCATGTGGCTTATGCGAGCGAGCCGACGTAGAACTAAGCAAACGCGGCCTCTTAGGTTGGCCTTCCGTTTTGGGTCTTGATGGCTCTTCATCAAACTTCGGTATCGCAACATCAATCAATTTCATGAGACTCTTGTATTTGGTGTCCGAGACCATAGCCTGAAGCACCGGTAGATGGCCTGATACTTTGACCTTGGTTAAGTTTGGTGCCTTGGGCAAGATCGACAACGCCACTACAAAGTCGACGTTGATCTTCTCCACGATATGTAGCATAGCATTTTCGTCCTTTTCAACTAATTGGGACTTTGTTTCTTCAATCGAAGGCCCAATTAGGACTTGTGTGGATGTTAGCTTAACAAGGAAGCGATCGTACATGAGGGACTCAAGCTGTTTGAAGTCTTCCTCGGAATACTTTTGATTGTGCTTTTCCTGTACCTGCTTCAAAGTCCGTTTGTCAATCAATTCACTGTTGACACTTATATGACCAGCATCTAGGATGAGACAGGTAGACCTCCTGGTCTTGATAGACTGAGGGATTATGATGAGCGGTGCTTGAAGGTCTAGCTTGGCATTGATGGTCTTGTGTTCCTCGAGGGCGAACTCAAGGCCGGCACGTGTTTGTTGTCTCAGTCCTTCAACAGTTGCTCCAGCAGTTTCCATCAAAGCGGTGATAGATTCCATGTGTCTCTCTGGCGGTTTAAAGAAATCAACCACGCCGACAACAAAGTTGGGGTTCCATACGATTTCCAAGGGCTTGAGTTTGGCCGTTACCGCAACATCGCTCTGGCCATCAAGGGGATTTTGCTCAACCTGCAGGTTAAAAAAGGTCTCTTGGTTGGACTTCTCGAGCTCGGCAATGGAAAGACGCCGTTTGCTTTTAGTGTCTGGTGCATCTTTGACTCGAACAATCTCGGTGAACAAACTATCCGGAGTGGTACCATCATTTACTCGGAAGCCACCCAGGCTGATATCTGCAAGTATAGAATCGGGTCGTTTGAGCGCCTTTGCTTTAAACACATCAAAATGCAAGCTTAATAGGTCTGTTTTGCTTCCATGAGGGTTTTGTCTTAGGGTGAAGCTCCCAGTACTGAGGGATGCGTCAAGTTGTAGCTTAACGGTGTCGCGCGGTATATCTACAGTTTCTGCCAGGGCTGTCTTCTCGTCCCAGTCGATCGCCTCATAAAGCTCTTTACGCTGTTCTTCGGTTAGTTGTGTAGTCTCCTCTACCGAATCTGTGGGTTCGGCCGGTTTTGAACCCCACGCCCAAGAAATCCATCCTTGGGGTTGCTGCTCGGTTTTAGGCGGCGCTCTCCTTAGGGCCTCAGCATTCTCCTTTCTGAGTTGGTTTCGAGCTAGGGAACGCCAGAAGCGCAAGTCCTCGTACTCAAGTTTCCACTCAAGCTTATCAAGGTCTTCGGTTTCTTGTGCTGAAAACTGTTGATTTGCCTTTTTCTTCTTGAAGAGCTCGATGTACCGGCGACGATCATCGCGGCGCTCGCGAAAGTAGTCCCAGGTCCACCGACGGTTCCTTTCATGAATTTTGGTGAGTACAGAATTTCCTGCAAACTTAAGCCAGGCACGAGGATCTTCTTTAGGAGTTACCCCCTTTGGTTGAAGCTTCTTGTATTCCTGATGACGAATGAAGTAATGGAATAAATCAACCATCATCAGACCATCTCGATATTGGTCATCGTCGAGGACCACGCCGATTTCGTCGAATAGAAGGCTTGCCTTGAATTTTGGCGCATGTGTATCGCCTGTCTTGTCCAGCTCGATCTTGGCTTGGCCGCTCACAGGCTTTAATATGAACTGGTGATTCGAGGATGAAGTATTATTTCCTTTACCAATCATCTCTTTGAAGTTATTGATCAAGTCATCATGACCCATGTGTTTGTCTTCGTCTCCGACTTCACGGCCAGGTCCCAGTAATGTAGTGTCTGTGTTCCAATATATCGCTAACGCGCCAAGCGTTGCTAGCTTGTGTGTGGTATTGGTAGTGTTTTGGATGAAGGTAGGCTTCCATTCGCCATCAGTACTGACGGCGCTGAACTCTGCTAGAGTAACACCTAAAGCAAAGGGATGGCCAGGTGCAGATATAGCATCTTCATATCTTATGTGGATATTCTTGACTGTGACCTGTAAATTGTCGACAATCTTAGTGACTAAGCTTTCTGTAAAGCTCTGGCTCTTCTTCTGCTCTTCTTGGCTGAGGCCATCTTGGTAACGCTCTTTTAAGAGCTCCGCAGAATCTAGTTTTTCCATCTTGAGTCGTTGTTTCCTGCGCTCCTCCTCATCCTCGTCGTAGGCTGCCTCTTCCTTGGGAGATGCAAGCAGGTAGACATCCTCGATCAGGACCTTGACCGGGGCTCCTCGCAAGTTGGACCATGGAATTACGAGAGTCAGCTCACCCAGATGTCCTTCCATGACATTGATGGGGAGTTTCAACTGGTCCAGAGCCTCTTTGCGAAGCTCAAGATTACGTAGCTTTACATCGCCAGACCATATACCGACTTTCAACTGGGCAGGATCAAAATTCTTTAGATACATGCCCAGGAAACGGTTCAACAATCCAGCAACTAGGCCTTCCAGCATCTTGACTGTATTGCGCCGTTACCCGGGCCGGGACAAGTTTCAAAATTAATGGCGACTACCAAGTCTCTTCATCTGCGAAAAGAAAAAGAGGATTGTATCAACAGAGGAGTAGCCGGGGGGTGTAACGAGTATCGTCTTACGAAGCTAATAGCAGTCCCGAAGAGACGTGCGCTATACTCGAAAGGGTTATAGAATAGGCAGTTAAGACGTCAGTTCATTGTGTGGTACTGACAGATCGAGTCGGGTAGGGATTTGTTCGTCGCGACGGTTTCGAAAGACGTTTGCTTCGTGGGAATTTCGGTGAGTTAGTATGGTAGACACCCGGTATTACAACTAAAAAGGCAGCAAGATTATGAGGCGTGCTGGTACTCTGTTAGATAAGATAGAAGGAAGTTACAGAATAGACTGATGTAGTGAGGTCAGAAAGCTATGTAACGGCTAGGAACTAGGTTAGGTAGTGGCAGGTAGGATAATACATAGTAGGTAGTGTGTAAGTTGGGTGATTGATGACAATTTGACCTAAGCTTGAAAACCAAGGAACGGGCCTGGACTCGGAGCAATTTGAAGATTGAGAGCTAACCTTGAAAACCAAGTGAGCTAAGCTACCTCAACCAGATATGTATGTAAATAGCGCCTGTGAATGTCAAGGTTGGTATGCACCTGTCAGGTCGGAAGAAGTAGAGCAAGAATTAATAGGCCTAGCCAATCAAAGTCAATTGGGCTCGAATTTTTCTACAACCGAAGCAAAAAGAAACATTTAATATCAAATAGTTGGAGAGTTGAAGTTGGAGTTCTAGGCCAGGTAGCGCTGCCTGGATAGATACCTAGTACCTACCTCTGAAAGGATTGATGACGGCGTTTATACCACAGACTTATTAATACTTATGGCTGGACAATAAAATTAGGTACCCCTCCGTGTAGAACAGATGATGTTTTTTTTAAACGCACGGCGTGTAGTAAGCCTCAAAGATGTACCTCTCTTGCTAAATACTATGAGATAGGTACATTCTAGTAAATCAACTGCGGCGTGTTGGCATAAGGCCTGCGCCATAAATGGAGGGGTAAATGCTTCAAATCCTTCCACCGTTGACATAACTAGTACTTAAATACACACTAGCCACGAGCAGGGGTCGACGCTCAGATTTAAATTAAGGTACAGAATACATAACGTCAGTCCATCACTCATTACGTCATTCATTACCTACATCACCTACATCATATTATATACGAGATGCCAGAAAGAGCGTTCATGGCAGGACCATGTAGTGTAACGACTATGTACCGGCTTGCTGGGAAAGCCATGACGACGTAATTGAATAGTAGGGGTCCCTATTCTTACTTTTATTCTCTTTGGACCCCTCTGTTTACTCTCACCTCTAACTCGCAGCCACCGCATTTCTCTATGGTTAAACTAGCTTGACGACGTACCTGACCTAGGGTATTATCAACATTGAACAAGACACACAAAGGTGAGACAGGGAGATAGTGAGACAGAATCATCAATATAACTACATTCTACCCCCGTACATATAATTTTACTCTACTTCAGTCCGTTTCTTTCTTCTCCACCCCCCCCCTCCCCCTAATCTTCCTAGACCTTCTCACAATGCTACGTAACACACGGACTTTCGTAGCGAGCTCATCAAGAGCAACTGCCTATGCCAAAGCTTCAGTTACTCCACTACTAAAAGCGCCATCGCGACCTATAAATACAGTCACAGCTACTACTTCTAGCTCGAAACCTCTAAAGACACTTGGTCCACGTGTTGGCTTATTAATACCAAGAGCTAGATATGTCACTAAAGCGCCCAATGGACTGCAACAAGGGATAGACCCCGAGGAAGACAAGAGAATCGGCCAGAAAAAGCTTGAAGTGCACCCGGAATCGGTAACCACCGAATCAAGCGTCCGTCACGTGTATGAGCCCAGCACCCAGGGAGGGCAGAAGGAGATCAAGCATGGTGTTAGAGATGACCTGGTATGACGGTCTTCCGTTACGTTAAGTTCTTCTTGAGAAACTTGCCTGCTGATGGAGTATTGCCAGGCGGCCGTCAAGGAAACATTTGCACTCTCAGATGTGCCGAAAGAACCCTACGTCCTAGGCCTTACCGGCACATTGCCTTACCTTGGAACCTCTGTTTCTACTATCTACCTTACGTGGGTTTTGAATACGCAATGGCCTACTACATCCAACTTTGCCAACCATTTCTTGATAAGCCACGACACAGCGCACCATCTACTGAGCGTCCTGGAGCCCATACAGCTAGGTTACGGCGCCATAATCATCAGCTTCCTTGGTGCGGTCCATTGGGGAATGGAATATACCGAGAAGGTAGCAGATCCAAAACGGACCCGGTTTCGATACGGGCTCGGTGTGCTGGCCTCTATCATAGCATGGCCGACATTGTTTATTCCAATGGACTTTGCGCTCACGGCACAGTTTGCCGCCTTCAGCATGCTATACTTCGCCGATGCCCGAGCTACCGTGCGAGGGTGGGCACCTTCGTGGTACGGATCCTACCGGTTCGTTCTGACTGCGGTGGTGGGAACTGCTATCGTAATCAGCCTCATCGGGCGGATGAAGGTCGGTGATGCCAAGCCGAGGCTCACTGGTCTCGACGAGAAGCTTCATGACCATCGCGGGGAAGAAAATTATACCAAAAAGTGGAAGGATCTAGAGACGAAGGAGAAGAAGGAAGCCGAGAAGAGGAAAAAGGAAGAGGAGAAGGAGGCTAAGAAGAAGAAGGCTGCGGAGAAGAACAAGAGTGGGAAGAATGAAGATACCGAGAAGAATAAAGAGGATAAGAAGACAGAAGAGACTGGTAAGGAGAATGGAAGTAAAGAGCCCGAGAAGACAGAGCAGGACGACTCAGGGAAGGAGAAGGGTAATGAAGATAAGGGTGAAGAAGAAGAGAAGGACGAAGAAGAGAACGGCAACGAAAAGAAGAGTAAAGATGAGGGGGGTAGAGACGAGGAAGGTGAAGAAGAGAAGAACGAAGGGGATAGCCAAAAGGAGGCGGGCAAAAAGGAAAAGACTCAGGATGAGAAGCCCAAGAAGAGTAAAGGGGGTAAAAAGGGCGAAAATGATAAGGGTAATGAGAAATGATCATGACAAGACGACAGACAGTAGCACGGCGAGACCTAAGATATCCATTTGAGATCGTTCACTTTATCCCATAGCAGTACTTGCAGATATAGCTCTTTTGATACGTATAGCACGTAGTGTATACTTGAACGAATCTGATATCACATGAATTAGAAATACGTAAAAGTCGCCTAGGTATGCACCCAACCAGCACCCCGGCACGTACTGTAGTGCTCATGCTTCAGTCCCCAGTAACTAACCTAACCTAGGTACTTACTAGCCCTGGGGTATGCAAAAAGAAAATATCCATCACTCATGAAAAAAAATTCCCATCCGTAGATTCTAGTCCCTTCCAAGTTTTATAATAATGCGCTTTTTTTTTCAAGTCAATGGTATATTCCCCAGTTCCTCCCACCCCGTCCCATTGTACAAAACCTCCCGTATCTGGCCCCCCGACATGAAATAACACCTGCTCATGTCGTACTGGCTCGACAGAACGTTCAAGTTCTCCCAGAGTGCTTCGGTGAGACACGCGATGTCGGTCCCAGGGTCTGCGCCCGTTAAGACGGTGGGACTGACTTGCCATGTGGCATTGACGTTGGTGAGGAGTTCTATGTCGTTGTTGGTGTTTTGGTATACTATATAGGTGTTGGTGGCGTTGATGGAATCGCTTTCCCGTGCCACGGCGAAGGCTGCAATGGCTGTTTCGTCTGGTAGTGTATTAGGTGTGCCTTTCAGAAGTTAGTCTATGATTTTTTATACCGGTGGTGATTTTATATTTTATCCAAGGAGGTGAGGACTCTCGACTTACCAATGTCCCACGCCAACCCCGACACTTCCCACTGCACCGAGTAGCCTGCCAAGTTACCATCGCTCGTTCGGTATACGATACCTGCTGTGTACGGAAACGCATATGCTGAAGATTGGGGAATCATAGCCATCGTAGTACTTTTTAGTCCAGATATACCCAGTGACTGATTCTTCCAGGGTCCTCCCTCGGAACTAGCAAGATAGGTAACGAGCCTCAAGCTGTCATCTTCGTCCTGCATCACAGCATATGGCCAATACATAGCCATTCTCGATGTGTTGGAGACAGTAACTGGGTAATCATCGATGCTATCCCAAACACCAGCGGCTGGGGTATTGCCGTCCCGAAAATTCTGTCCACTAAGCAACGACGTGGAATTTAAGAAAAAGAGTTCGTATTGCGGCTATATTAATATCAGCTTCTGACCTGGACCGCAAAGATGTCGAGAGGAATAGTAAGTAGTTTGATTTGTGAGTACATACTGGATCGTTTTGCATAATCGCAGCGGCTCCCATGGGAGTGCCTGACATGGGATCATTCGTTGCGATCTTACTGGAGCTTGACCAGCTCCCTTCGTCGGTCGAATAATCCGAGAACCGAAGATTATCTTTTCTGTCCTGATAAAATAGGCGTATTGTGAATCCATCGTTTTCGCGCCATCCCGAGACGCTAAGTTTCGAATCTGGTCTCAGAGACTGCAAGGTCACCGTGCCATTTGGGGCCGATGAAGAGACTGAGTTATTCGATGAGGCGTTTGTTGATCCACCACTATTATTCCGACTTTGAAGACCTCCAACGACTCCACCCACAATAGCACCAATTAAAACAACCACTATTATTGCGATCAAGACGTAAAGCCGACGTCTTGACTTTTTCTTCTGCTCAGCCAACTCAAGTCCCGGGGTCTCCTGTTTTGGAGGAATGGGGGAGTATGCTTTTGGAGCATACCACTCTCCCGCGCCGTAGTATTTGTCGGAGACTACCTAGTTTGAGATCACGAGTTAGGTGTTGTCTACTGGTGTATGAGGAAAGCCGTCACATGTTAGAAGAAGCGGGCGATGCTTAAGAGGAAAGGATGTTTCATTGTTTATATATACTGACCACTTCAGGTGCTAGATGTTCTACGAATGCGGAGTCGTGAGGAGCAACTTCGAGGCCGCTACTGGGCACGACTTCTATGCCATGGCTAGATAAAACTTCCAATCCAGGTTGTTCTGGTACTGATGAATTTGGACGACTGATAATAAAGGGTTCAGATTAGTAAAGCTCAACAGACAAAAACAGCCCTGACGTACCTCATGATTACCAAACATCCCGTGGTTATTTGTATAGAGCGTTGTCACTTGAGCACAGTCATCGATTGTTGGCGTATTGAAAGCCACACGAAATAATAGTGGGCAAGGAAACGTCGCCTGGCGGCTTATAGGAGACGCAAAAACGAGGAGACAGACATTTTTCTTATGATGGGGGAAGGAATTTCGATTTATTCAATGGTCACCTGTGAGAAGTAAGAAGAGGACCAACCTAAGTATGTAGGGTGATATTGAATCTGCACAATCTTACCAATCCTACGAGCTGAATCGTCCCTACCGACTATCAATAATCAAAATACTTCCAGTGATTGGGGTTTTCAGCTTGGTCCCACTTGTATCTACCATAATGGGGCCTGGACCACGTAGTATTTGGACCCCAAAAACCTGCATGGATAGAGAGCATGCCCTGGTCAAATGAAAGTCAAACGGCGCTTAAGCGTATTTTTTACTAAGTAGTTAGAGGTTGGTACAGTATTATGTATTCAGTGTAACGAAATCGGGACCGGAGATTCGAAGACAAGACAAGGCTCTGTACAATACACCTTACCTATTACTAGGTATTATACCGGCATTGCTCTGTTGCCTAGGGGTGGGTACCTACCTGGTAGGCACTAGGTTAGCCTGGGTGTTTTCATGTTGAATTCTGCAACGAGGCAACAGTTATTGGCCTTGGTCGGTAGACACTTCACGAACAAAGGTGAAATTCTCGCGCTCGAAGCTGTCTATTTTCATCTACACAATAACCCGCGGTTAGTAGTGAACTTGATAAGTTGATATGTTAGCTGCCACTAGTAATAGGCATCATAGTTCGCCTACCTAGCAGGTAGATAAATATTGGTTGATGTCAATAGTCAAGGGTCCACTTACTGCACAAATCTTGAACCAAGAAAGGGGAAAGCTTCGATTGCTCCACCTGCTAAACCAATTCGAATCAAGCTTCCAGAGCCGCAGCAAATATCTCAGATGTCGTGAGGGCAATCTCCACAGGCTGTATCGTAATAGGCAAACAGCAAATGTTGCTACCATGTACGAAAGCGAAACTTGTCGCAACGCTAATCCTGAAATCAATCCGGGGTCCGGGGCTATGTCCTAAAACCAAGGCCCGCTCCCGAACCGGCGGTTATCAAAACATCTATGGGAGATCATCAAAGTAGCTTCCAACTATCATTTTTGGGTGGCATGACTGCCTAGTTATAGACCATGAGACTAGAAGGTAGGTTAGTATTAAGAGCTAACAGATAAGAAACCATCTTTCTTAGATGAACAACTGACCGGATAGAGTACATCAACAAACGGCCTGAGATGCCAAGTCTGGATATAGAGAAAGCACAATTGTGCGCAATGAGAGAATCCCGTCTAGAGTAGGTAGATAATTCTAGAATGCTGGATTATCAGGTAAATACCGCAGTGACTTGTCATATGTACGAAGTAGAGATGAGGTATGAAATGGGATTTGAGGCCGCGCCCTTTTATGACTGCCTCGTGTTACATACCTGTAGCTGGTGTCTGATGATGTAATGCACAGATCCCTTTCAGGTGACAATGATTGATTGATCTGCTAAGTTTCGGCCCCGCCCCCGCGCCTGTCAGCACAACGGGCACCACCTACATACATAGCACTGCTGCACTTGAGATACCTATGTACTGTGCATGTATCTTGGGTATGCAGTACATACATCAATATATCACGGGTACATATGTAGACAGGTAAGGACATGGTAAGAGGCAATATCATGAAATCTACTTGGGTAGGACCATACGAGTGTCAATTTCACTCGAACCATGGACTCGGAAATGTCCTTCAGCCTCAACGGCGAAACGTCGTAAAGCTACATATCAGATACTTAAAAAGTGTTATATATAGTGCTACTATAGTGTATGCTTAGCTGACAGGCTAAGGGCACATCCGTGTTAATGGAACCACTTCGAAGTTCAGATGTTCTTATCAGCCCATTTGACGTTTATCGTGCTATTGTATCATCCTGGTTCCTGGCATTTTAGTATCTTGGCACGGGTAGGTAGGTAGGACTAGGTAGGACAACGCCGTTAAGTAGCTCCTTTACTTCAAACCTTCCCCTTTTTTCTTCCTTTTTCCTTAATCTCAATCGAAAATGCTTCCTTGTTCTAGAAATCCAACATCGTAGTGAAATGCGTCATCGTGATGCTCACGCTTCCTCCAACAAACCCAAAATCCCCCTGTCTCCTTGTCTCTGCATACATACCCAATACGTGAATGGCCACCTTAGAAGAATAGGTACCCAATCACGACGAGGAACAAAACCTGTGTATTCTACATAATCGCACACTGCTCCTTTGGATTGGCTATGCAGAGACTGGGAATGCCGGGCTGGGACATGTTGCCGCGTACCTACATACCTCGTATATGAGTTAGGTAGTAGGTGAGTACCTGGTGCCCTAAGCAGGTAGGTACCTATAATGTACAATTATCATTGATACTTGGGCTCTCAGCTATGTTTGCCTTACACCGCATTTATCGCATGATTCTGACTTTCACCGGTACTTTCGGATCATGGGATTATCGACGATTACCTGACCTTAGTTATCTTGGAAAGCAATAAAAGTAGCATATTTCCTTAACTATTCTTCTGCTTCTTGGGAAATATACCAACCCATATTCCACTCATATTTGAAGTGATTCAGTATTCGAAATATATCTATATTCATCAGATCCTAAACCAGTTCCTAGACTGTTAGTATCGCCTCATGTCGTCCTTTTTAGGAAGAAGAAGGAGGTTCTCATCCTCCTCGAAGCGTCATCAGCGCCGACTGAGTGAAATTGCTTCTAAACGGTTAGTGCTTGATTCTATTCGAGCAATTCTTTTTCTTCCTTTTTGATTTACTTTACGTTGATATTGAAACTGACAGATATACAGTATGATACAGTCTTATTTATTCCCCTGTCAAAAATGACGCTGCGCAGACCAAGACACAGCCCCGTAGTTATATCAGATACTAACATGAAGCAGGCGGACCTTTTGCTCAGGCTCTAACGGTATGACTATGTCCATCCTTAAAAATGTGAAATATAACGCTAATTTACTTTCTGGTACAGCCCCTTTTCCTCGGAATTTCTGCTGTGAAGGGTGATGATGATACTGTGCTGTTGTCTATTGCAACCCACGATCATACCTACCTTCTCGATTATATGATCGAGCAATTAAAGCCGAATGACCCCGCGAATAACGGTAAAGACGTGATCGCAGACTACGTGATTTCCCAGGTGCAGAAGTATGAACAGGAAAACTTTGTCAAGTTCATTGGCGCAGGGCTCCCGACGGAATTGAAGGACTTGAGCCCCACTATTCACTCTCGCCTCTGGTTGGAAATCGATATTATCCCAATCGACTTTGACGTTGATAAGTCCGAATCATCCTTTTGGGAGTCCAAGGATGTTGACGAGCAGGCTGACTCAATGGCCCGTAAATGCGTGATGTAGGTTACTAAACCTCGAACCCACCCCCCAAGACACTCATAATAACACCGCTTGATAGGGTTTTCGGGCCTTCCTTGATTCCTATCCTACAAGTTGGATATCGAGGCGCTGTTATGAGCGATGCGGGATTTAGAGCACGCTTGACAACCCTTGAAGACTACAAGTCAACTTGTGGCAGTGGTACCTGGGAGTCTACAATGCAAATCGCGACTCAGCTCAAGAATAAGAAAGTCAAAATCGCTTTCTTCAGTTCAACTCCTCAAGGAGGCGGGGTGGCACTTATGCGACACGCGCTGGTAAGATTTTCTCGTCTTGCTGGAGTCGATTTGACGTGGTATGGTAAGTCCAACCTTGGACAACTGGGGTCCTACTCCTCGTGGATATCTTATCGAATATCATAATAACATCTCACCACAGTTCCAAAGCCGCGCCCAGGTGTCTTCCGAATTACCAAGAATATGCACAACATTCTCCAGGGCGTTGCTAGGCCGGATGAGCGTATCTCATTGGAAGAGCAGAAGACGATTACGGATTGGATTAGTGAAAATGCCCAGCGTTATTGGTTTTCTAAAGGGGGGCCCCTGCGCCCCGCAAAAGAAGGTGGTGCTGACATCGTTGTGGTATGTGAATCCATCTACAAAACTAGAAAGGGGCTAAGTTCTTTTGAAAATCTTCTTGGTCCTTTCCTCTCCCACCACATGGATATCTAGTGCTATCTATGGAATTTTCGCCCAGATAATTCAAGCTGACTTGCATAATTTCAGATCGATGATCCCCAGATGCCCGGCCTTATTCCACTAATCAAGGAAGTAACCCCAAATCGTCCTGTCATCTACCGCTCGCATATCCAAGTCCGCAGCGATCTTGTTGCCCAAAGTGGCTCGCCGCAAGATCAGGCTTGGACGTTCTTATGGAACAACATCCGCCATGCAGATATGTTTATAAGCCACCCTATACCTCAGTTCGTTCCAGCCAGTGTTCCTCGCGATATCGTGGCATACATGCCAGCAACAACAGATTGGTGAGCAGTCCATGAATTTGGCCTCTGATTAGTAGCTAATGCCGTAAAGGCTTGATGGGTTGAATAAGCCCATGAACGAGTGGGACAGTGGGTACTACGGGAGCAATTATAATATACAGTGTCATGCCCAAAACATGTAAGTATATCTAGTACCAATTGACGTACGAGTATGAGAACTAACAGATATAGGACAACCCTGAAGTACCCGGACAGTAAGTCTACCTGGTCTTCCTACCCGGTGAAGATATCTCACATGTGCTAACATTCACGTCCAGACAAGTATATCATCCAGGTTGCCCGCTTTGATCCCGCGAAAGGCATCCCTACCGTCATCGACGCGTATGGTGAATTCCGCAAACGGGCACAGGAGCTAGGAATGGAAGATATCCCTCAATTGGTAGTGTAAGTACCCATTGAATCATGAATTCGTTTTATGCCTACCAGGGTACACAGAAAAGCTCACTATTTCAACTTCTAGCACGGGCAATAGCTCAATTGATGACCCGGACGGGACACTGATATATGACATGGTCATGGAACAGATCGAATCGCAATACGCGGAATTCGCTGACGACATAAGCGTCATGCGCCTGCAAGCCAACGATCAACTTCTCAACACTTTAATCGCGAAATCCCACGTGGTGCTACAACTATCCACACGAGAAGGTTTCGAGGTCAAGGTGTCTGAGGCGCTGCATGCTGGGCGACCAGTGATTGCCACGCTAGCAGGTGGTATTCCGATCCAAGTCAAGGATAAAGAAAACGGTTTCTTGGTCAAACCTGGCGATTCCAAGGCTGTGGCACAGCATCTTATAGAGCTATTCACAGACCAGGACCTGTGGGACCGCATGAGCCTCGCAGCTAAGAACGGTGTCAGCGACGAAGTCGGTACAGTTGGCAACGCCCTTTGCTGGTTCCATCTCGCAAACAAGTTTGCCGAAGTTGGAGTTCCAGAAAATGGGGTTGGGGCTTTCAAGGGAAATTGTCGATGGGTGAATGATCTTGCGCGGGAGGAAACTGGCCATCCATATAAAGAAGGGGAGAATCGTCTTCCACGAAAGTTTACCGAACATCCCGAATCAACTGCTTAGGTTCCACGGAGATGAGTCCAAAGGACTAGAGGGTGTGAGTAGATTGTGAAATCTGAAGGAAGAGAGGTCTGATTTCCTGTCCATTTCCTTGAATACTACATAGTTGATAAACGTACATAAAGCAGAAAGCGACGACTAACTACATAGAATTTTGCAGAATTTGCCTTTATCGTATGACTTTATGTAGTAGAGTATAGGGGTAGAGGGGCAGAGGGGGTCATAGTCAGGTATGTGTGCCAGTTACGTAAAGTCTCGTGGCCTTACACTAGTACGACCTTAAGAGGGTCGGTAGATGAATAATGCAGTGCCTCTGAGAGGTGGATGTGGAGTCTTCCAAGAGCGCCAACCCTTCTTCTCCAGGGGGCTACGATTTTAGCATCGACCTAGCCCGTATTACCCAGCAGTCGGTATTGTAACTCCTTGGAGATGCAAATTCCAACGTGGATACTAGGGATATTTAACATACCATATATTGTATGCCCACCCACTAACCAGGTAGGCACATCAACGGCAACACCCACAGACTCCGTGATCGACGACCCTTCAACGTAGGTAAAATATGTCGAAATGATGTAGGAACTCGATTTTCACATGTGAAAAATAGATATATTAAAGATATATATAGACAAATAAGCACCTAGATACCCAGTTTAGAGCATGATGCAAAGGACTTTGCAAAGGACTTTTTAGCCTTGGGTGGAGCAGAATTGAAGGAAAAGCTGAGCTCTCAGCGGACTTCAAAGAACTTAAACCGCCGCGGAGATGGTATATTCATGATAGACATCGACTCAGCTACCGACAATGAATCGGCATCTTCCACACGGACGATGGCACGATAGACTGATGGAACGTCAGGCATTGGAAACACCGGAAAACACCATGTGTGCGGCAAATTTCTCCTTGGCCAATGGCGACGATTATATATACTCAAGGGTTCTACATATATGGGAGAGATAAGAACTACATAAAGGAAGGGGTTTCGTAGCATCGAAGAACAGGATTCCTGCCTCTTGTCGTCTTACTATAATCCAAGACAAATATATCCGAGGAACGAGCTCTGAAAAGCAGCGTATCAAGAAGAAAACTGCCGATCTGCCTACCTACTTACCTATACACTAGTACATACCTACCTCTACATTCCAGAAACACTTATCCAACATGGCCGTCGCCGCCCCCATATCCCCCTCACACATCGCGATCGTCAAAGCGACCGCGCCCGTCCTAAAAGAGCACGGCACCACCATCACAACCCTCTTCTACAAGAACATGATCGGCGCGCACCCCGAGCTCAAGAACTACTTCAGCCTATCCAACCAGTCCAGCGGCGCGCAGCCCCGCGCCCTCGCCGCCGCCGTCTTCGCCTACGCCAGCCACGTCGACGACCTAGCCCAGCTGTCCGCCCTCGTCGAGCGCATCGCGCACAAGCACGAGAGCCTCAACGTCGCGCCGGAACAGTACGCCATCGTCGGCAAATACCTAATCGAGGCCGTCGCCGCCGTGCTCGGCGACGCCTGCACCCCGGACATCGCCGCCGCCTGGACCGCCGCCTACGCCGCGCTCGCCGACGTCTTCATCGATCGCGAGAAGCAGCTGTACGCCGCGCACGCGGGCTGGACCGGCTGGCGACGGTTCAAGGTCCAGCGGAAGGTCGCCGAGACACCGGAGATTACGAGCTTTTACCTGGTGCCGGAGGATGGTGCCGCGCCGCTGCCGGGGTTTAAGCCGGGCCAGTATGTGAGTTTGCAGGTGTTCGTCCCGCAGCTGGGACACATGCAGCCGAGGCAGTACTCGCTCAGCGAGGCGCCGAGGGGCGATTACTACCGTATTAGCGTGAAGAGGGAGAGCGGGAGGAAGGGCGAGGAGGTGGGGGTGCCGGGGCTGATATCGAATCTGCTGCACGAGAAGTATAATGAGGGGGATGTGATCGAGGTGACGGCGCCGGCGGGGGAGTTCTTTTTAGAGCCGAAGAAAGGGGAGGAGGAGAAGCCGGTCGCGCTTATCTCTGCGGGCGTGGGACTTACGCCTATGGTCTCGATCCTCAACAGTGCCGTGGATGCCGGGTCCCGGCGGCGCATCTCGTGGATACATGGTGCGCATCGCACCGAGAGCCGTGCTTTTAGCGCGCATGTCCGAGACATTGCCACGCGCGCCCAAGATTCCAACGATAAGAAGATCAGCGCGACGTTTTTTGTGACTGCGCCCGAGCAGAAAGATGTCCAAGGCGTCGACTACCACTTCGCCGGCAGGGTGGACCTCGCCAAGGTCGACCCGAACGGTGCGCTTTTTCTCGATGATGCTAGCGCCGAGTACTTCATCTGCGGGCCGTATGCGTTCATGAAGGATATGGAGCGTTGGCTCGTCGGGGCGGGTGTGGCGGCCGAGCGGATTCATCTTGAGGTCTTCGGGACTGGAGATCAGTAGGTGGGTAGTGTCCTGCGGGATAGATCGTGATGAGAAATGCAAAAGCGAAGTTGAGGCTGTTACCTGTGTATTGGATGTTTTTATCGCCATGTACTTAGATAGATAGATAGATTGTCTTTATTTAGTCGGTGGCATTTTTCTTGTAAAAGGGGGCCTTAGATTTTTCGAGCGCCTTTAGTACCTATTTCTATATGAAGCTTCTGTAAACCAGATTTTCACGTTTGAATGTCTTTTTGGTGTACTTGTGACTTTAGCCAATATCAAAAATAGAGTTAGATGTCTAAGGTATGGCACTCTCATAGAAACTCGTGGGTTGTAAGACATAACTCCCCTTTTTCCACACAACCATGAGGAACAAAGAATGGCGTTTCTTGGCCTCCGTGCCAAGAGACCGAAATTCAACTACATCGTCCGCGGGACGGCCCGTAGTATCACACCCTTCTCTTCTCTTCTCTTACCTAACTTCCTCCCTAGATATCTACAAACTGGAGGATTAACGCTTGGCACTGCAAACTAAATTTCCAACAACATATGACCTGCTATTGGTAGAGGTATGTAAAGTTTGATGAATTAGCTTCGTATTTAAGGTCCCCAAGAATATCACCCCTTTCGCTCCTGACCCTCAACCAAACATTTCAGCCTTGCCATTATTACCCAGTTAGTAGTGTATTCGGGATTTGATGCCATATTTAACAAATATTCAATCCTTATCTTTGATTGGCATGGAGTTTGCCGGAATATTTGCCACAGAGTCTAGACCAGCAAATGGCCCAGGAACTGGTCCTCCCAACACATACAAGAGTTAAAATAACGTCACCTACCTAGGTACTTAATTTTGGATTTCATAATCTCAGGGTAAGGGGACTTTAATACACACAAAGGCTTCCAGTTAGATGAATTGTGGGTCTGTTTATTTGTGACAACTACAACTGTATCCGAGGCAAAATCAGAGTCACCGCGTAGTTCATCATATTGTATATAAAAGTGTGTCTCATTTGGCCCTTACCTACCCTCTCCCTCTCGGGTTGCAAGAACACGCTAAATGTCCGTCATGCTTGAAATAGTACAATAGATCCCAACCTAGCCACTAACGGCATTGGACGAGGTTACACCTCACCAACGACGTGGTACTAACATTTACCGACTTCCCCAGTCTTGTGATGAATTCCACTGCCGTCTTGATTACAGGGAGTGCAATGATCATACGTTGGCGTAAACCACAATTATCCCTAGGTAATATCTCAAAAACAAAATCATATTTCCATATTGGGGGCTTAATATGCCCAATATGTAGATATATCCACTCGTGGATCAAATCTGTGGTGTTCAAGGCTTCAAGCATCCCTTATTGCCAAGTTTGAGCACTACACACTATAGTACACAGCTGTGATTTCCAAAAAGAAATTCCTACCATACAAGTAAAGCTAATACATAGCAAACAAATTTGGTCTCTATGGGTTGATTGCCCTGCCCTTGTTGATGTTACACAGGTGTACAATTCCAACTAGTGCCTCGATACCTATCTAACCTAGGTTAGGTAGTCAGGTTGGGTCGTTGCTATTGTTGGCGTGTCCTAAACTGGGGTCGATGACTTCAAGGACATCTACGTAAAAGTCAAACCGAATGATAAGATATAAGCCACACAATACTTAAATATGATCAAGGCAACTGTCCGAGCTGTGAGACATGAATTTCTTGAATCTTTGGCTGTACAACAGTAACAACACTAATTAGAAGCTAATTCACTGGCGTACTAACAAGATATTGACATCTGATGTAAAATTAGCTTCAGATAATTTCTTTATGGATTCCCCATGGCCATGACTGCACCGAAAGCGACAGGACAAGGCCTCAAGAATCTTGTTAGTGTCCCCCTTTTTAATAAGTTTGAGGAGGTTCTCATCTCAATTAGGATAGACTCGACTCCTGATATTATTTACTTACAAGGAAGTAAACAATATGGAAAGACTCTAGCCCACTCGGAGAAAATGCTTACTGGGTATCTGGGGTACCTAGACTTACCAGTCACTCGGTCACAATGAAAGCCCATACCGTTGCTTTCAATCTAAGTAGCATGTATGGAGATACGAGAGGATTGTGGATTCTAATAAAACAGCTTGGGTGAGGCTGTGTAAGCAGGTGGATATGATGTGTTCGTCTGTACACAAGCTCCCTGGCGTAGGTGATGATATTTTGATGATGAGAGCGAGGCCTAAAGGGGCTTAAAGGGGTCTCATACAAAGGATGGCGCGAGCAGGATACCTCTTGAGAAGGTGAAGAGTTCAGATTTTATGGTTATTCCATATTAACCAGACAGCAGTACCTTCGATCAAGTGTGATCCAGTATCAAAGCTTCTCTTCGACAAGGTGGTTACCATCTCCAGCATCAGATTCACTTAGACTCCCCCAAAGAAAATGCCTTGATTAAAATCCTCCCATACTTTACGCACCGAAATGTGAAGAAACGACACATCAGGATACATCATAACACTTACATAATTAAATTTCAAACAATAGGTATACATTATACAATTTCATCTGTTGTTTACCACACATCCATACACATACACGCACAGGCACACTTTACTCTAATATCCCCAGATTTCGATATAGATTTATTTCATCTATACTTCTAGCAAACATCAAACCTCTCGTTCGATTAAGTCCTTCGACAGGCACAAAGGCTCACAGATCCAAATACTTAATACTACCAACAGGCCTATCACGACTGTAAATACTGTACTGAAGCCACCTGCACCTGGGCACATACGTAGGTCACAAAACACCAAACCAAGAATCAGGCATTCACATTACTTGAGATAGCTAACCTCAGGCATCAGGCATATTATTATAAACTCTTATCTTCTTGTCATTCATTATTGGACTCCTTTTTATTGTATAATTGTATAATTGTATAATTGTGTAATTTGTATCTTTTTCACGTTATACCCACTTGGTCACTGGCACCCGGCACTTGCCTTTGGTTCCTAAGGTTCAAGGTTTCTATAGCATTTTCAGCTTTTCTTGAACGGAAGTGGCACCCTTTTGTATGAGGTGTCCATATTGCATATAGCTCTTTCTGCATGTATCGGCACACTGGGTCACTCACTTCCTCGCACAAATTCTCTTTTTTCCTGCTCTGGCCATCTCTTGTGCGCATTACACACTGGTAAATAGTGCAACAAGACGACAACGCATATACCACCCACCCTCCTTCACTTACTTTACCTTGTCCCTCATTATCTTCTTCCATATCTTTCATGCCGTCCGACTTTCACGGCTTTGCGATCTATACCCACCTCTCTTGGGTACCTAATAGTAACCTTCAGAACCTCACTTGGTTTTCTTCGACTTGGGATATTTCCCTCTTCAGTGTTCTCGGCTATTAGGATAACACTCTCTTGCACCCAAACACTCTTTTGCGCCGAAGCACTTTCCTGCATCACAACACTCTCTTTCAACACTCTCTTTCATCATAACAAATTTCATAACATATTCTTGCATCGTTAAATCGAATGTGTGCTACTTCATATACACCCCAGACAAGTTGTAACTAAGTACGACCTTGTCATGGCGTACAGAAAGTCCTCGTCAGAACCCATTGCGGTTGTTGGAAGCGGTTGCCGCTTTGCCGGTGGTGCCACTTCGCCTACCAAACTATGGGACGTCCTATGCAAGGCACCTGACCTCTCACGGGAGGTACCAGCTAAACGCTTCAGCGCCAAGGCCTTCTACCATCCTGACGGGGAGTACCATGGCACCACAAATTCCATCAACGCATATTGGTTAGATCAGGACCATCGGGTTTTCGATGCGCGCTTGTTCAACATCAACCCTAAAGAAGCAGAGGCGATCGACCCCCAGCAGCGCTTACTTCTCGAGGTGGTCTATGAAGCGATGGAGTCGGCTGGTTATACTCTGCAGACCTGGTCTGGAAAGAACGTCGCCGTCTTTGCTGGCGTCATGAACTCTGATTATGATACCCTCTCTCAACGAGACGAGCTGTCGACAAGCAAATACTACGCTACCGGAAATGCCCGTTCCATCATCTCCAACAGAGTCTCATACTTTTTCAACTTCCAGGGTCCGTCTATGACCATTGACACGGCCTGTAGCTCTAGCTTGGTGGCCCTTCATCAAGCTGTGATAAGCCTACGCTCAGGGGAGAGTGTTATGGCTTGTGTAACGGGCGTTAACCTACTGATCACGCCAGAGCATTTTCTCGCCGAGTCGAGTTTACACATGTTAAGCCCGACAGGCAAAAGCAGGATGTGGGATGCTTCCGCCGACGGATATGCGCGGGGCGAGGGCGTAGCTGCGCTACTACTCAAGCCCCTTTCCCGAGCCGTGGCGGACGGAGATCAGATAATGGCAGTGATCCGAGAGTCCGGAGTCAACGCGGACGGAAGGACCCAGGGAATCACTTTACCCAACCCACAGGCTCAGGCTATGCTGATCAGGGACACCTATCGCAAGTCGGGCCTAAATTGCATGGTACCCGAAGATCAGTGCCAGTACTTTGAGGCCCATGGTACGGGTACGCCAGCGGGCGACCCAAGAGAGGCAGCCGCAATATACGAGGCCTTTTTTGGTCGTTTGGGAGATACACATAACGGAGTTGGTGCTGCTTCAGAGACTAAGAAGCAATTGTTAGTCGGATCCGTAAAAACGGTCCTGGGACACACTGAAGGAGCGGCGGGGTTGGCTGGACTCCTGAAGGTCATACAAGCCATGAAGCACGGATCCGTACCCCCAAACTTACACCTTGAATCCATCAACCCCAGTGTAGCGCCGTATTGCACACGCCTTCAGGTCCCAACTTCTCTAGTCCCTTGGCCTAACCCCCCTGATGGCCAGCCAAGGAGAGCGAGTGTTAACTCATTCGGATTCGGAGGTGCGAATGCGCATGTCATTGTCGAATCGTATGAACCACATATTCACAACGAGATACATCAACAACAGCATCTACTCCGTAATACTTGTAGTGCCCTCCGATCCTCCGAGGCTGTTGACAAAGTCCCCTTTGATTTGCCCCTGGTCTTATCAGCTGCTTCTCAAAAGTCATTGCGAACTGTGGTCGCGTCGTACAAGGAATATCTTCTGCAACATCCCGATGTTAGCCATGATGAACTAGCTTTGGCGCTCTTTTCGCGCCGAACGGCCTTACCATACAGGCTGGTTGTGTCGGCAAGTTCCAGGACTGAGGCTCTGAATGCATTTGACAAAATCCTTAACAAGTCATCTGCATCGAGCAACTTCCTCGGTGTTAGATATAAGATTGCTGATGGTCAACCTAAGATCCTCGGAATCTTTACTGGCCAGGGCGCACAATGGGCTACAATGTCTAGGTCACTTCTCCTTGCCAACGAAGTGTATCGGAAGAGTATATGTAACCTCGACAAGATCTTGAGAACCATTCCCGATCCTCCTAAGTGGACTCTGATAGGACAGATTATGGCAGAGGGAGATGCTTCGTTGGTCGATGTTGCTGCTGTATCGCAACCTCTTTGTACCGCGATCCAAGTCGGACTGGTTGACTTGCTGGCCAGTCTTGGTGTTGGTTTCCACACGGTCGTTGGGCATTCATCCGGAGAGATTGCTGCAGCCTACGCAACTGGAAGACTGTCAGCGAAAGACGCAATTCTTATCTCCTATTATCGAGGGCTCTTCGCGTCTCTTGCTGGTGGCCCCGAAGGCCAAAAGGGTGGGATGCTTGCGGCAGGACTTTCGGAAGCAGAGGCATTCCAATACTGCCAAAAGCCGATGTTCAAGGACAAAATACATGTCGCGGCCAGCAATTCTCCCTCGAGTGTCACACTCTCGGGTGATCTAGATATGATTTATGATGCCCACGAGGATCTCGGTAGATACAAGAAGTTTTCAAGAGTGCTCCGAGTCGATTCGGCCTATCATTCCCCTCACATGCTCAAGCCGGCAATTGAATATGTTAAGGCTTTGCGAGACAGCGGGATTGGACTAGGCGTACGGGGTAACGAAACCGTCTGGATCTCTAGCGTGTATGGGCGTTCTATTGGCAGTGATGAAGAGATTGGTCCCGGCTACTGGAGAAGCAATATGGTCAACATGGTAAATTTCAGTGATGCCGTGGAAAATGCGATCTCACAGGAGGGACTATTTGATTGTGCCTTGGAAGTCGGACCTCATCCAGCTCTAAAGGGACCCTTTACACAGACAGCCAAGTCCCTTGGACACGACCTCCCCTATGCAAGCCTCTTGGACAGATCTAAAGACGACATAATGGCGTTTTCAAATTTCGTCGGGTTCTTATGGTCTCATTTTGGCCCAGAGAGTGTCAACTTCCAACGGTATATTGAGCAGTTGTCTGATCCCAACCTCAGAAACCATCTTACAGATTTACCGCTATACCCATGGGATCACAGCCAAATACACCACTTGGAGTCCCGAATATCTCGTCAGTTTCAATTCAAATCCGCGGCACCCCACGAACTGCTTGGTGTTCGCACCAGAGATGATAACGAACATCAACTCCGGTGGCGCAACATGATCAAGCTTGACAAGCTACCTTGGGTAGAGCATCATAGCTTCCAAGGCCAAGCCCTCCTTCCTGCTTCGGCCTACTGTATCATGGCACTAGACGCGGCTCAGACCGTTTTTAATGGGAAGACAGCATCGCTAGTGGAGTTGCAGGATATACAAATCTTGAGCGGAATCAACATCGATCGAGAGTCAGAAGGGACTGAGATATTGTTCACTCTCACCACCCTTTCCCCTAAGAGGGGATCAGATACGGATTTTATCTTGGAAGCAAGCTTCACCATGGCATCTTGTCCAGCTGACGGGACGACCGCCATGAGGCTGAACATGACGGGAACTCTAATAGTCTATCCAGGGGCCCCAACCCCTGATGCCCTACCATCTAGAAATGCTCCTCAATCAGAGATGTCCCAGGCTAATCCCGAGTCCTTTTATACCATGATGGAGCAGACGGGTTTGGTATACACCGGGCCATTCCGAGCTCTATCGTCCATCCAACGTCGTTATAAGCATTGCTCTGCGACTCTTAGACGTTTACACCCAGAAGACACGACTACGTTGCGGATTAGTCCGGCTACACTTGACGCCTGCTTCCAATCCGCATTTCTAACTCATGCGTCACCGGGAGATGGGTAAGCTGCAGACCCTCCATATCTCTCCCATTTTCTTTTTTAGAGGCTAGTTCCTTCTAACCTGAAATTTAGGTCACTCTGGACATCGTTCCTCCCAATACGTATTGATCGACTACGTTTCAATCTTGCGACATATGACGGGGCATTCGTGACAAGTCCGGCGGATGAACTAACGGTAGATACTGCCTTGGTAGAAATCCAGCCTACGACATCGAGCTCCAAAGCTACCATTGTAGTTGACGTGGGTATCTTCAACGATGCCGGTGTTATGGAAGTACAAGTGGAAGGCCTAGCGGTTTCGGCTATAGCACAGACGCAACCCAAGGACGACTATGAGCTTTACCTCCACACTGTCACCGATGTTGATCCCACCGACACAATAGTGCAGGACACGTCGCCTGCGAGTTACGATCCAGCTCTCGTGGAGAGCTGTGCCCGAGTTGCAACCTTCTTCGTGAGGGAGGGCTGTCAAGAAGCCACATTTGAAATGAACGCATACTACAAACAACTGGCGGAATCATTCCCATCAATTCTTGGGACGATGAATGCTGATTACTGGCGTTCGGACACGGAGCAATCCGTAGACCGCCTGATCCAGGATTCGCATTATCGTGTCCTCCTAGATCTCATTCGGTCTCTAAGTATGTCCCAGCCAGAAAACATCTTGACTCTTCTTAACGACTTAATTGATGAGACACACCATCTGTCCTTCTTTGGCCGTCATGTGGGACGAATTGCGAAACAGATCGCTCATCGGTATCCGGACATGGACATCCTGAGTATCACCAGCCCTGAAGCTGAGTTTGTCACAAATGTGCTGTCTGCCATTGGCTCGTCATTCTCTTCCTTTACGGATGGCACAGGCAAGGTACGTGACGCAGAAAAGTATACCCGAATGGTGGAGTTGGTCAACCGAGAATATCGATCCGTGCCTCTCAATTTCACAAGGAGTGTCGAGAGTCAAGATAAGGATTCGAAGCGGTACGATTTGGTTATATTATCAGCCTCTATGCTAGAGCAAGGAAACGCTCCCGATATCTTGAAACGTATCAGTTCTATCATGACTGCGGGGGGCTTCTTGATAGTGACTCAAGTTCCTACATCTCCGATAGACCGACTGCGTCAACTCGATGACCAGCAAGATATATCCGAAGCCCTAACACCCCCTGAATGGCCTGATTTTCTTGATGCGTATGACTTCATCCATGTCGCCAAGAATAGCGATCAATCCTATTATCCTGGATTTTCTGTCATGGTCCGACAGTTGAGCAACTCACAACTTGAGCTCATCAAGGACCCTTCCAACGTCGTAGGCGGTGCCCTAACAGACCACCTGCTTATCGTAGGTGGTGCAGAGAATTCGTGCCACAAGCTATCCGAGCATTTACAAGAATTCCTATCACCACTTTGCAGACAGGTCTCCTTCTGTACTTCTTTCGCCGATGCCAATTCCTCAGACCTAGATGGATGTACCGCGGCCATAATCCTAGCGGACCTTGAGAAGCCACTGATGGCAAATATGACACAGAAGCTGCTAGATCAGCTGCGCGAATTGTTACGGCCCGGCATGAAGATATTATGGCTTACAGTCGACTCGAGATTTGGGAATCCGGATCATGCGGCTACTTATGGTTTCACACGTACCATTTCGGCCGAGATTCCCGGTCTCGCGCTACAGATGCTGGATTTAGAGAAGATTGAGGGCTCAGGGGACATAGTGGCCGATAACTTTATCCGCCTAATGGCACCGAGTAGCGACTTGTGGACGGCAGAACGCGAGATTCATATGGAGGGCGGACTGCGACTAATCCCCCGTATCGTTCCTTTGAAGGAGTCCAACGACCGGGTCAACTCCATGCGACGAGTCGTTTCGAGCCAACGGAACACTTCCCAGGAGTCTATCGAGGTTGTTCCACGTCTCATATCTCGTGGGTTAATTCGCTATGAGGCTAGAGATGGGCAGCCTATCACTCACCACCCACTCCCTGATCAACATCTGATTCGCGTAGACTATGGCTCTGTGGAAGCGTTGAAGCTTGACACTGATAGTCAAACCTCGAACTACGTGTGCTTCGGAATCAGCATTCCTACCGGCGAACCGGTCATGGCGATATCTGAAAGCAACTCGTCCTACATCTCGGTGCCCACCGAGCAGGTAGCTTTCATGCAGCTGAGTGAGAGAGTCGGCCTATCACTTATATCCCTGACTTTGAGATATCTGGTCGGCGACATAATATTAGCCAAGACTCGAAATCAACGAATCATCCTGATCGATGCGGACCCCATACTCGCGCAATATGTTTCAGAAACTAGTCGTGTCACTTGCTATTCGACCTCGGACTCGGCTCGAGTATGTACCGGTAAACACACGCCCCTATTAGTGCATCCGCACGCTTCAGCCCTGCAAATAAAGGCGATGTTCCCAGCCGCAGGTGCGGCAATTTTTGACTTCCAGCCACGGGGGGCGTCATGTCTGTCGCAGAAGATTTCAGATTTACTTCCGGCCAACTGCGATTACTATTATCGTACCGAGTTACTAAGGTCGCGCAGAATATATGGTTCATTCGTTGAGCGCGAGCGTCGCTTAAAGGTGACCTGGAGAGCAGCAATGCTCAAAGCCTTCAAAACGGCTGTTACTAGCCAGCAAAGCCACCACAAATTCGATGCAGTCTCCCTTCCAGATTTGCAAGCGAATATCATGGTTTCGACCTCGCCGTTTCGAGTGCTGGATTGGCGAGCCGATCGCAATGTTACATGCATTGCAAAGTCGCTCCCAAGTGAGCAAATTTTCCGCGAGGACAGGACCTACGTCCTTGTTGGGCTGACCAAGGACTTCGGACAGAGTCTGTGCCATTTGCTTGCGGAGAATGGTGCCCGGAACATCATCGTAGCCAGCCGTACACCTAAAATGGAACCCAAGTGGGTTGCAGAGTTGGGCGATGCTTATGATGCAAATATTCAGGTGCGGAAGTGTGATGTCACTGACGTCGAAAGCGTCTATGCCTTGAAGGAGGATTTGTCTAGGACTATGCCGCCCGTTGCTGGGGTCATCAACGGAGCCATGGTCCTCGACGACCGCGTCTTTGCGCAGATGGACGAACACACTTGGAACCGAGTGCTACGGCCCAAGGCTGTTGGATCACGGAACCTGGATGTTGTATTCAACGAACCGAATCTCGAGTTCTTCATCATGACATCCTCCTTCGCAGCCATCGGTGGTCATCCGGGTCAGTCTAACTATGCCGCAGCCAATATGTACATGAACGGATTGGCAGGTGAGAGACGTCGACGTGGTCTCGCGGGGTCGGTACTGAACATTGGTGTAATCTACGGCATCGGGTTTTTGCAGCGCGAAAAGGAGGAATTGTACATCGGTTTAGAGCGTGAGGGATACCCTCCTATCTCCGAACGTGATATCCATCATATGTTCCTCGAAGCCATAGTAGCAGGTCGTCCCGGAGACCAGGGATGCACCGAGTCGTTTATCGACTTTACGACTGGTCTCAGTCGATTCGACCCCTTTGATTTGAATCCTTTGCACTGGCACACGGACCCGCGTTTCAGCCATTATACTCGCAGGTTCAATGAAGATGATGCAGGTGCCGCCGCGGCAGACTCTTGGGAGAGCCTCGCAGATACTATCAAGGGTATCGCAGATTCGAGGGCAGTTGCCGAAGCCATCCTAGACGCTTTAACAGTGAGACTCGAATCACTCCTCCGCCTAGCTAAGGACACTATTAGCCCAGTCTCCAGTCTCTCTGACCTAGGCGTTGATTCGCTCGCGGCCGTCGATGTCCGTGGTTGGATCTTCAAGACGATTGGCAAAGATGTGTCAGTCATTAAGCTGCTCAGTGGTGTCAGCATTGAAAAATGTGAGTTGAAAATTCCCCTTCAAAAAATCATCTGTCCTCTTTTATGCACAGCGCAAATGCCCCCCTGCCCAGGTGTCTAACGTAGCATGTCAACTAACCTTTTTGCATAGTATGCACCGAGCTAGCTGAGCAAATAATGTCCGACCGCGTTAAAGCGGAGAGTAATCATGCCAATTAATAAAGGAACCGGTCTCGGCTTCGAGTTGTCGATGGTGGTCAATAGTGTGGCGTACCTACCGCCCTTTGGTTTAGATGGAAGAAAAGAAAAGGGGGGGTAGGGGAAGACTACTTTGGTGGGCTCGCCGGAAGAAGCTGCATAGCAGCAGGATGGAAAGGACGAAAACCCAGGAGGCAAGTGGAGTTATGTACATACGAGGGGACAATGAATACATAACAATGAATGAATACATACATAACAATGGTGAATGAAATTTTGGTCCATGTACTACGTCTATCTGTGTAACTCATCTAGAGATGGCCCAGTTGTGCATGTGCGTATAGATGGTAAGGTTAGCGTAGGTGAAAGAAAGAGGGAGGTCATAACTTACTGATGAAATGCGCGTGAGAGATATATATGAGGCACTTATTCTGATATTCTGAGAAGAGTTCTCTTCCCCTCTCCTCACTTTGGCTAGATATTTAGATAAAGACTGGCACTGACTACTCCCTTACGTGTAACACAGATCGAATCACGAATGATCAGTGTGCGCATTGATTGCATTTGCATTCAACTGGAACCTAGCTCGGCATTCCGTCAATACCTACGTTAATCTACACGAACGAACGAATGAGCTTTCGTCATCCCCTCCCCCCGGCACTCTTCTCTTCTCTCCTGTTTGTTTTTTCTCTCTCTCCTTTTCACGCCTTCGCACCCTCCATCCTCTTGGCAACAGTCTCCCAGTTAATGACGTTCCAGATGGCGTCGAAGTACTCGGCCTTGCGGTTCTCATACTGGAGGTAATAGGCGTGCTCCCAGGCGTCGATGCCGAGCAGGGGGACCAGCGCGTCGAGGACGGGGTCCTGGTTCGCCTTGGCGACGACGTGCAGGGTGCCCGCGAACCGGTCCTTCACCAGCCAGGCCCACCCGCTGCCCTGGATGCCGCCCAGCACGGCGTTCATCTGCTTCTGCAGCGCCTCGAACGAGCCGAAGTCCCGGTCGATCGCCGCTCTCAGGGGGGTGCCCGAGGACGGCTCACCGCCGCCGCTGCCCTGGGAGGCGGGGGCGAGGTTCTCCCAGAACAAGGAGTGGTTCTTGTGGCCGCCGCCGTGGAAGTTGAGGAGGGAGGCGGTGGCGGCGGTCCGTAGAGGGTCGGTTTTGGCGTGGGTGGAGATGGTCTCGAGGCAGTTGTTCAGCCCGTTGACGTAGGTCTGGTGGTGCTTCTTGTGGTGCAGCTCCATGATTTTGCCCGAGATGTAGGGCTCGAGGGCGCCGTAGTCGTCTAGGCGGTAGTTTGTTAGTTTTTTTTTTTTTTTTTTTCAAGTCTGTCAGGTAGAGGGGTGGTGTACAATGGTGACTGGATTTTGGCACTTACAGGGCAGATCGGGCAGGGTCACCTTCCCGCGCACGAAGGAGGTGGTTAGAGCGGCGACGCCGGGCTTGGTGGAGCGGGCGGCGCGCAGAGATGCTCGGGCGGCCGGAGCTGTGCGGAATAGCGTTGTCGCCATTTTGTTTTCTTTTTTTTTTTTTTTGGCGATCGGTTTGGATTGGTTGATTTAAGAAAAAGCTAGCCAATGTGATCCTATGTAGGGATTATAAAATGTTGAATTCAGACTCCGTTCGAATTTGAGAGAGTCAATTGGTATGTATTATGCTCTGAGATGAGATGGTGGTGGTGTAAGAAATGTTCCTTCCAACAATGCCCGCACTCAAATGATGTCAACTATTAGTAACTTTTGCAAGGAACATGGGGAAGCGAGGGAGCTATGATAGCTACTTTGTTAGTGGGGGTGGTGAGGAGCTATCATGGCCAATCATTGGATCTTAGAAGTCGCGTTTCTCCACTTACTATGAATTTACAACGTTGAAGCTTAATATTCTTAGGTACGGTATTTAAAGAAATATTTACAAAGGTAACTAACTATGTATCTACCTATCGCAATATTTATACAAATCTTGAATTGGACCGAGTTCAAAGAAACCTTGAACTTTGGAGTTCAATCTGCTTGGTCCTGGCACTGTACATACTTCATGAATAACTGATTGCTCTTTATTTTTGGGGTTTCCGCAAGGGAATCTAAAGTGAAGGATGTGTACGCAAGATGTCCTACTACGATATTGACGCGATCCTGACAGAGGCCGAAGTAAACCAATCCTCAAATTCTTTTCATTCCAAGACTGACAACTAACGTCTGTGACAGAAGGTACCATGCACATTTGAATTGGAAGTCGCTGACCTTGGCTACCTCGACAACAATCCATCCCAACCGCTCAAGACCGGCACCACAGTCAGCCTACCGTTATGGCTCGCGGAACCCCTCGCTCTGACGAGTCGGACTCCCAATAACCCAACGAACGACTCCAACCCCTTCGTCACCCTCGACCTACCACCTTCCCTATCCAACGAGGTCATGTCCGCACTAAAAGCCGACCCGCGCGCCGTCGCTCTCCGCGACCAATCCCCCAACTTCTACGGCCTGGGAACGCGCATGCTCGACGTGTTTGACGAGAAGGGGATATGCGCCACCCTGCGCAACACCTTCGTCACGAGAGCTGCTGACATCGCGCTCCATGCGAGAAAAGCGGGTGCTACGGAGGATATGGGTGTTGGTGCCGGCGAGGAATTTTTAAGAGGGTTGGAGGAGTGGGAGAGGAAGTTGTTTAGGAAGGCCCATGAAGGCACTAAAGGAGCAAAGGAGTGGATGGAGGGCGTCAAGAAGCATTAAAGGCTAAGGCGTTTGGGTCGGGAAGGAATAGTTACATTTTGGTACTGATGCTACCCCTAGGTACATACGAGATACTAAGCACATGGTTCAATACATCATGGATAAATACAGACCTAACCTTAGATTGTTAATACAGCACGAGGTGTGCATTCTGGACAAGTGGTAAGCCTATCAGAAATTCAGAATTCAATTGATTGATGATGAAGGTTTATAGTGGGAACTCGGAACAGCTGCTTTAGCCTTTATGCAGTAAACACAGAACTTAGATAATCATTATAACACGTCTGCAATCCTATCGATAAGCGCCTAGTAGGTATAGTAGTGCCTTTGTATTCCGTAGGGCAAATAAATAAATTACATAGCTGTACAACTTGTAAGTCATCTCTTTAACCTGGCAACTTTAATTCACAATAAATGCAACAGCGACGACAACATGTCTTTTGATCCCGGAAGGATCTCGAAGACCGACGCGGCTGCTTATTCGTCCTCATCATCCGACGGTGAGGATGAGGATGATCTCGATCCCCGAGGCGATGAATTTCTTGATTTCAACCCACGCAAACGAAGAAAGACCGGTCGCAACGCCAAAGAGAGCGCCGCGCTAGGCATCTTCGGTTCCGACAGCGAGGATGATGGTCCTAGAAGAAGGTGGAAGTCAAAGAAGGATTTGCGCCATAAAAACATGACATTCGTCTCTGCTGGTCAAAAGAACTTCAACGAAGACTCCGATGATGACAACCAGGCGGAAGATAACGAGAATGACGATGAAAACGAAGATGATTTAAACGCGCGCCCAGGCCTTGGTGCCAAAGCCGATACTTCGCAAGCGCCAGAGCCGAAATATGAAGAGGAGGAAGAGGATGAAGATGAAGACATGTCTGGAGTCGGTCTAGGATTCGGCTCATCCACACAGGGGTTGGGCTGGACGCCAACTACACAATCCAACCCCATACCGGCTGCCAGGGACACCCTAAATAAGCCGCTAAAACCGAAAGCAAAATATGATGGGACCACGCCTCTTGGAAGGGGGTTTGTTCCCTCCTCTGCGAACGAGCCCGTTCTAAAAGCAAACCTCGATGATGGTCCCTCTTCTGCGCCACAGACACCCAAGCCGAGCGCGTTTAGTCGTGGGGGGAAAGCAAAGTCGTTTGCAGCTAAAATGATGGAGAAGATGGGTTACGTTGAAGGCCAAGGTTTAGGAGCACAGGGTCAAGGCCGAAATATCATCATTGAGGCAAACCTGCGTCCCCAGGGTGTCGGTCTCGGTGCTGTGAAAGAGAAATCAGAACAAGAAAGGAAAGAGGAGAAACGGCAGGCCCGCTTACGGGGAGAGGAGGTCCCCGACTCAGACGAAGAAAGAAAGAAGGCGAAACGCGAAAGGAAGAAGAAGGGTCTGAACAGTTCAGCGGGCAGTGGCGCGAGCACTCCGAGAAAACCCAAGACCAAATACCTGACTGTTACCGATATTCAGAAAGCCGCACCTGGCCTCCATATACCAGATGCTTTTGCCCCAATATTAGATCTTACGGGCCGTGATAAAAAATTGCTCACATCTGGCTCGGGACTGTTAACTCCCACAGCTGGTACTGAAACTACTGCCCAGACTGAATCGCGCAAGTTGGCAAGGCGCGCCCAAGGAGATCTTGCGGCGTTTGTGGAGGAATGGAAGAGTCTTGAGGAGCGAAAAGCTTTCCTAGGAATGGAAGAGGCGCAACGCCAGCAAGAGCTTGAAGAGCTTGAAAGCGAATTTTCGGCTCTTACCGTGTTCTACTCCGTCCTAGATCAGATCAGCCAGGCTGTCTGTGACAGGAACTGGGACCTTGTATTGTCTGGGCTCAAAAAAGTCGAGTCTACACCATCAACCCATGGTGACGAAGAGCTTGCCTCCATCGCCGTATCAGCCATTCACCCCTTTTTGAAAGATGCAGCTCAGGGCTGGCAACCTCTCGAAGACCCTAAACTAGGCAATTTCGCAACCGATCTCTCAGATATTCGGGGCATATTAGGTCTCAAGACTAAGAATGTCAACGGCAATGCCCTTTCGAAGTGGCAAGATACCGAGCTTACTGGCACACATCGGCATCACATAAGATCTACAACGCCCTGGGAGAGCATGATCTACCAGGTTCTATTCCCAAAGCTCGTCACATCCATTTCACAGGCATGGGATGTTCATGACGCGACACCACTCTTGAGCATTTTTGATAAATGGGAAGAGCTCTTTCCAGCTTTCGTCCGTTCGCAACTATTAGTCCAGGTAGTAAACAGGCTCGAGACTGCAATCAGCAGTTGGAAACCAAGGAAGAAGCACGAAAACCTGCATATTTGGCTTTTCCCATGGCTTCAACATATTCCAGCCCATCACCTCGAGCCTAAGGGCACCGGGCTGGTAGGGGAAGTAAGGCGCAAATTCAGGCAGTTGATTGACACCTGGGATTTCTCCAAGGGGGTTGTTCCGAGCCTCAAAGAATGGAAAGACGTATTCCGCCCGACTAGAGAACAGGACCAGTGGAAACCCTTGGTTATGCACCATATATTACCAAGTATGGCCCGTTACCTGCGCACGAATTTCCGGGTCGACCCAAGCGATCAAGAACCATATCTAGAGATGCTCAATGGAGTTATGAGATGGACAGATATTATTTCAACATCCATGGTAGGGGAGGTCTTGGTATCGGAGGTATTCCCCATGTGGCACGATATCCTTTACCAATGGTTAACGAGCGCGGACCCCAACTACGAAGAAATCGCGACGTGGTATGAATGGTGGAAGGACCAGGTATTCCCGGCTGAGATCTCATCTCTGCCAAGTATCACGGCCGAGTTTGAAAAGGGAACAGCAATGATTGAGAATGCTCTCGATCTTGGCGTTGATGTAAAGAGTCAGCTTCCTCGCCCAGACGGAAAACCAGCTCACCAACCCAAGCCACGCTCTCACAAGCCGAGAAAAGTCGAGCCAGAGCAACCACCTAAGCTGCCTTTTGAGAAGCCAGAACCTACCTTCCGCAATGAAGTTGAGGACTGGTGTCAGGAGAATGATCTCCAGTTTATTCCTATTCACAAAGCTAACCAGGAGGGCAAGCACTATTTCCGTATCACGGCTCGCATGGATGGTAAAGGAGGCGTCCTGGCCTTCTTCAGAGGCGGCGATATTTTGGTGATCGAGTCTCGAAAGTTGAACCTAGAATTGAAACGGGACGTGAAAGAAGATTGGGGGCTCTTGATAGAACCCCTGTATCAGGAACTTGAGCAAGGTGGGAGGAGGTGAAATTATCAATATGCCTCGGGAGAACGCTCGGGAGAGAGCAGTTTATAGACACAGGTGTACATGGTTGTATACCATTCTTGAATTAATATCCGAGTACTATACCCCTCGTTTTGTTGTTATTGCCATGATTATTATCTAGAACTTCACAAGTCGACTTTAAGTCACCAATTTTTATTCGTCTGGGCTGAGATGGAGTTGCGTGTAGTCTTCTTACCTGGGTGCGTACAATTAACCAAGTCATAGTATCACGGAAATCTACAGTCCTTTCTACCCTCGGGATGTTCGCCATAATGAGTATACAAGACAAGACAAGACAACATCTATTATTTCAGGGTTCAACAGTGGGGGTTTGGGTTCCCCCTATCCTTCTTCTCCAGTACCTTCTTAGATAGATGCTTCTTGCCCAACACAAGAACAACATCATCATCACTCCTTCTTCCTCTCTCTAAGGTTTCTCGTGGAATGTTTATCACGCCTTCCAATCTATACCTATATTGAGGGTTCTAATCCAGCCACCGGTCCTTTTTGATGTTTTCTCTCCATCTCATCTCTTTTCTACAAATATCATCGCCGCCATCAACCCCCCAGTATCCATCTATCTAGCTAATCACCACCGCATTGTTATTGATTATTTTTCATTCCGTTGACTAGATTATACTCTTCTATAGTCACCAATAGGCCTTTTGAATTGCCCCTTAGGTATATATATTCTACTTCTTACCTAGTAAACAGTCGTCGTCCGTTCCTACGATGATTCCCCTTAGAAACCTGGCCTTCTTGAGCGCCGCAGCAATTAGCCTTGCCTCTGCAGGCCCTTTCTTGCAGCATGAGCAGAGGGAAACAGCCCCAAACCAGAATGCTGGTCGGTATATAGTCACGCTAAAAGAAGGGCTGGACGCATCGGTTGTGGAACAGCATCTACAGCGAGCCACCAGTATACACGCCCGTAGCACCTCGCCCTTGGTGGGGATGGAGAGACAATGGAGCATCGGATCATGGAACGGGTACTCCTGCACCATGGACACGGACACGTTCTCCCAGATCAGCACCGACAGCGCCGTGGAACTCATCGAGCCCGACGTCCCTTTCGTCTTGACGAAGCATATCACACAGGAAAAGGCTCCCTGGGGCCTGGGTGCCATATCTCACAGGACCGGAAACCACACAGAGTATGTCTATGATTCGAAGGCAGGCGAGGGCACTTATGCCTACATCCTCGACACCGGGCTGCTCACCACACACAGCGAGTTCGAGGGTCGAGCCAGTCTGGGCTATAATGCCGTAGGGGGACCATTTATCGATGATATCGGCCATGGAACCCATGTGGCTGGTACCATTGGTGGCAAAACATTGTACGTGTTGATTTGAGGGGCTTTCCCCCGGTGAAACCATCCTATCTATCCCTTCAGATTACCTCGCCTCTATCACATACCCACCTTCTATTATCACTAACCATTTGTACCTACCTAGTGGCGTTGCCAAAAAGGCCCGACTGATCTCGGTCAAGATTTTCAGTCAAGAAACGGGCCTCTCGTCCGATTTTCTCGAAGGCTTCCACTGGGCCGTAAGCAACATCACGAACTCGAAGCGCCAGGGGATGTCGGTGATCAACGTCAGCGGCGGCTCTAGCATGCTAGAGTCCGTAAACCGCGCCGTCGAACAAGCATACAAGCAGGGCGTACTGACCGTCGCGGCGGCGGGTAACTCGAACGAGGACGCCCAGCACCACTCGCCCGCGTCCGCGCCCAGCGCCGTAACCGTCGGCGCCGTAAACAGCAACTACGCCCGCTCCTTCTTCAGCAACTGGGGCCCCTCCGTCGACATCTTCGCCCCCGGCGAGTACGTCCAATCCTCCTTCGCCCGCAGCGACAACGACACCCTCCTCGCCTCCGGCACCAGCATGTCCACGCCCCACGTCTCGGGCCTCATCCTGTACCTCAAGAGCATCATGCCCTACCGAATGAAAACCCCCAGCGACACCGTCGCCGAACTGCAGAGGCTGGCAACGGGGGGGGCCGTCGGTGATTCCAGGGGCGGCAAGAACTTGCTCGCGTTCAATGGCAATGGGGTTGCTATCTTTGGGGATAGGTAGCTGAGTATCTTTACGTTCCCTACCTACCACTCACTGCTGACTTTTCTTTTCTTCTTTTTATTTTTATTTTTTATTTTTGAGGTGTTATTAGGTTTTCGCGCGTGGTGGAGACTTATTGTGGTGGTGTGGGTAAGGGGTTAGGTAGGGGGCTTCCTAGGTAATCGTTACGTTCAAAGACAAAGGGCAGAGTACCTATTCATTGCATTAATAGCATTAATAGCATAGCAGGACTGGTAGTACCTACTAGTAAGTAATATAGTATTCTTTCAGTCACATGGAGGTATTAACAACAATATCCATTGACGTTAACTCATTAAAATAATTGCGAATTAGATACCTATATAAATCTTATGAACTATTTAGGAGTGTATCACGTTAGAGGTACCTACATACGTAGGTAGCCAGAGGCCCAGAGCTACGGCCATACCTGGTACCTATCTGACTCGAAACAACATAAATATAATAATAATAATAATAAAAACCTGGAACTAGATCCTCTCCAATACCTATGTGGTACCTAAATACCAAGGTATCTTAGATACCTTAGACTACTTATCTACTGCCTAGCACCTAACCCCCTGGTATATACCTAAGAGCTTCGATCAAAGACAACCTTAACATCATCAATGAAACTCGCCAATACGCGGGCCAAAGTATTCGCCGTCGGGAAGCTCGTACAACCTGCAAGCAGTATCTTCGCACCCCTGGCTAGTGACGGAGTTTCCCCACCAATCAACCTCGATCTCCGACCACTGGAGGGCAAAGAAGATGATGATGCCGGCGACGGCAATGGCGCTGCTCCAAGAAGCCGAGAGCACAAAGTTGTACTTGGCCCAGAACCCGAGATAGCGCTTCTTGAGGTAGATCCACGAGTACCACGCGATGGGGACGGCGGGCCAGATGTACGAGAGGTTGTACGGTGCCCACGAAAGAGCGCCATAGAAGATGGCAACCGGATGGATCTGTCGCAGCCAGGGCTTCTGCAGCTTCTTGCTAACGTAGTAGATGATAACAGGCACGACGAAGCCGATGGGAAACCCGGCGAGAAGCCAGGTGTACATTCCGTCCCGACCGAACACTTTGATGGGACCTACCGTTCCCCACAGCACCGAAGCAGTAAAGAAGGTATTGACTCCACTATGATAATTCAAAGTTAGCAAACCTCGTTAACAAGGGAGACCTCGTAGGCCAGTTTGATTCATTTCACACTATCGGTCCGACAGATAGATGGGGCAGGAATCAGATTGTTGACAAACAAAACTGGGGAAGATACGTACGGGCAGGTAAACCGATTTGGAGCATGAATGGTGCAGACATTCGGAATCTGATTTATTTGGAAGTTGAGCACACCCACGCTGACAAAGGTAGAAACAAATGTACCCAGCATCTGGGCCGCGAATGTCTGCCGAGGTGGGATTTTGACGTAATGAGCGAGCTTGAGATCTTGCGAGAACAACAAGGCATGGGCACAAGTCACGTAACCGAACGACTTGAAGAAGTTCATCGCCACTATATCGTTTCACTGTCAGTCGTCATCTCTCCATGGATGGGTTGTCGGCAAATTTGTGAACCCATAAGGTGAGTATCATCTTTCGGGTGTTGATAAATTCCCGAATACAAAAGGGGCAGTGAAACAAGCGAAAATGGGATACTTACACGCATTTCCTGCCACAAAGGAACCACCAATGAACTCGGCAAGCACATTCAAGGTTACCTCAATTCCAGTTATCGCCTTAACAATCCCAATGGGTATGACGAAAAGGGCGCAAAGTGCAAGGCCATAGAAGACAACACCCGGGCTAGTATACGTCTCCCAGTGTGCGATGCCAGCACAACCAAACGCGATGGCAACAGCGACTACGATCGTGTACCACCACTCCGGCACTTCGGCATATTTAGCCATGAGCCGGTTGTGGATATCTTCCGCCTCGTCACTGCCCACCTTATCCTTGCGAAAGCTGTTGAATAAATTCTTGAATCCCATCACGATCTCGTGTCGGTGATAGAGGAAGGCGTACGAGATTGTGGCCGAGTAGATGGCGAAAAAGAATAGATATACAGTAATGTTTCCTGCCGCGAGGAAAGGGAAGGAATAGGCTTCATACTTTTCAGCGTCGAAGAGGCCGTGCTCGTTGACGGCATTGGAGACGTTGTAAAGGGAGCCGGTGTTGTCGTAAACCCGGTTAGAGTTGATGGGTAGGTAGCCCGTGTTATACGCGTTGGTGTACCACATTGCAGCGATGACGAAACCTCCGAGGGCAGCCCCGATAAACTTATTGAAAGTTGAGAAGAAGGGAATCATCAGAGGGTCGGTCCCGTCAAATAGTAGGGTGTTCCAATCCCAGGTAGGCCAGGGGTTTATGCCTAAGCCATTGTTGAAGCCTGTGATAGTGCTGAGGTTCAAATTGTCGGGAGCTATCCAGGTTATCCAGCTGAACACGCTGAGCGCAGTGAAGATATAGTTCGGAAACCAGAAGTAGACGAACATGGCCGCAAATGTTATGGTGAAGAACTTCATACGACTGGCTGTGAAAACCTTGCCGAATGGGCTCTGAACCGAAGGATTTTTATCGTTGTGAAAGGCCGCGTTAAGAGCAATGGTCACTAAAGACGCGGGCCACACGCAGTACGATGGATAGACTAGGAATCGTCGGACAATGCCAGCCATGCCATAACCAATGTAGTTCGTAGAGAGGGCAAGAAGTATCTGGTAAGCAAACTGGCCAGCATACTTCTGGTTGAAGTAGTTGGGCAAGTATTGCACCCAAATCACACTGTTGGTGTACGGGGAGCTCGACGAAACATTTGCCATGATGGTAATGAGCATGTGCTCCTTTCTCGAAAAGGGGCCTGGGTTAAGGCTATACCGAGTGCCCCAGACAGTAAAGCCAACATCCGGAAGTAGCTTTTCAAACGCCTTGCCTAGGGGGAAAGCTAACAGTTGGGCGACATTTGACGAGACCGAGATGGCGGGCTGGCGAATGGAGAAGAGCTGGTTGATAAAAGAAAGCAGTACCGAGAAAGTGAGGCCGATTATCCACGCACGAATGGTACCGCATGGCATGTTGACGTCGTCATGGTTATCGACCACTGCACGCACCTCGGCGTAAGGACTATTGACGGTAATCAAAGCAGCCTCGAGCTTCATCTCCTCGATCAAGACCGTGTGATTCTCGGGATGTTCGAAAATATCCTCATTGCCTGAGAAGGGAGGCACCATTGGGTTAGTGTAATCTTTTTTTCATTCTCGCCTGACGTTATTTCACACTTACCCAAAAAGGCGCTGATTCGTTGTATAATGCTGAAGGGAAAGTTCGGATCGTGCTCATGGATTACAAGCACCCTTTCCATCATCGGTCGAACTTCCGCGAGGGTTAGTCTGCTCGCCAGCTCTCTAGCCTCCGCTAAATCATCGCCAGTGACATTGAGATCCCTAAGAGCTGTAAGTTAGTTACTTGATTGTGGATGGGTAAATAAACCTAAATCATTTGCTGTGCAATAGGCATCTTAGCCAGTACTCACGTTTCTACATCTAGCGGCGACTCAAGGTCGCTGTTTCGATACTCATCAGAGGGGGCCTTTTCATTCACGTCTTGGGACGTGACGACCCCCTTTGGCTTGACAATTTCCGACATGTTGGAGTTGCGTCCTTCGAATTGCTCTTAGATAATAAGTAAAACAAAGATAAAAATTCAGTCGTGTGGTGTTTGAAGACCACACCTTTTTATGTAGCAGGGAGTAGGGACTGAACTACCCCTAGTAGGAGAGAAGATGGCAGCAACTCTAAGTCACAGCTACTTCAACTCTAAGCGGAGGCAGGTTCGAGGTGACAGTTCAGCATGGTCGGGAAGGGGCGGAAGGTAAAATATTTAGCGACAGAAGTATAAAAGCCAGATCTGTAAAGTCAAATGGTGTAGGTAAGTGTCACGATCTATATGTATACCTCCTATGTACTTAGGTGGAATACCTATATATATACCTACCTACCTACCTACCTAACTTCAAATAACCCTCAAATCGGGAAGCCAACTGTTGATAACGCTTCTTTTGTCCTTCCCCAAGTAGGTAAATAGCCATATTTCACGTATGACAGATGCGACAAGGTGTTAGATATGTAGTTCAACTCGTATATGTCACTTTGTATTGATGTAACAATCATACGCACAACCCCCCAATCAAGTCCCTACGGTAGCGAGTTGGAGCAGGAAATACCTACCTAGGTAGGCGGGCAGGTTCCCTTTCAATCTACGGCAGCTATGTTTTTTTTCTCTTTTGTTCTTGATAGATAACCATCCCTGACGTCGGGTTCCTGCCCTTGATGGCGAGCAATCCAGCCTATTAGGTACAGTATATCGGGTCGGTTGTAGTAATGAGGTGGCGTGGTATCCATATGCCAAGCCTGGAAGATAAATTATAAGCCGAGGTTTTATTGAGATCGTGACTGGCATCGCTTCGACAAAGTTGAGGAATCTCAAATCTAGGTGGCTTTGTCTTTGTTTTAAAAATGCAAATGCATGTGCAGTTATTAAATTAGTCCATATAGTGATGCTTAAACGTAGGTACCTGGTAGGTTACAATAAATCTCCCTCCTCCCGTCCAATGTACATGTAGACATTCATGCATTGTTAGGTGACCACCTACGGAAATGATATCATGAGCATGTATAATTTGTCTCTACGCCCGTACCATCGCCGGCCGGCAAAATACCTCGTTATCTGATCACGACGAACCCAGGCCAAGTTACATACATACCTGTCCACTCACTTACTTAGCTGAACCTGTTCGCCGGGTTGCACCAGATCCATTTCGGGAAGGACATGAAGTGATATCAATGGTACGGTGGGACAAAGTAGGGATGGGAAATGTTTGGTACGGTGGCCTGCCGCGCCAAGGAGGTGGGGAGGGGAGTCAACAAGCAGGTAAGGGGAGAGAACATCATCTTCACGTGGAGTAAATCGAACCTCTAGATTTACGACGTGCATACTTCCAATAAGGATGCCCGCAGTCTTGACGTATTAATTTTTTGGAGACTTTCAATGAGCTATAGTACAGAGTAGATTGTAAAATCTCGGCGCACACGGCAGGCTGATGTACACGGCGTCGGACATGTACCTGCAGGGACTCGACGACCAAGCCGGTGTAAGAGTATGTACCACGACGAGTACCTATCTGTTTATCATCACTATATTCCAACATCTCAAGTTATATACCTAGGTAGTCTTGCACGTCATTGTGTCTCCGTGTCTCGTCCTTTAGGAATAATCTAGGGATCGAACGCTTCCCATCGTCCTGTAACACCATCTAGGTAGATCAAACCCAGCGATGCCGCCCTTCGGACAATACTCGGCGCGTCTTATCGCATTGGGTTTGTTTGTTTGCTTCCTTCATCTTCAAGCCATTTTTAGACTTGGTCTGAGCTAGGTAGGTCCCTACATACTAGGCATGTAGTTGGATTAGATCGCCAGTTGCGCTCTGGGTTAGGGTTGTCATGCTTGAGTGCCTGCCGCAAACATACCTCTAAGGTACATGTAAGAACAATTAAAAGCCCGGATACGTTCGAGTTCGGTAACACAAACATCAGCGTTACACAGCTAGATAGGCGAAAATAATTGGGTATAGAGGCCGAGCTATCAAGATGGATAGCCGCCACCCCCTTTCCAAGGACATCAGTGAAAGACTGAGAAGCGCGTAACACCTGGACCGTTCCCTGTCATGATACCTTCTTCACTCTATAAAATACCCACATCGCAAGCAACGTCACTATATCAAGAAAGTGCGCAGTTCCAGATGCTCGGGAGGTGATGCTTGCCGAGGTATTCTGTCAGACGTTATGCTATAAAAAGGAGAATCTTGGCAGGACAACTGTCGTGAACTAGGTTAGGTAGTATGGAATTGGGTACCTATATACAAGAAAGGTCGGAAAATATATACGATAAACGCTCAAGGATCAATTTCACGAACACGTCATTCAGCCGCTCAGTAAGCCCTATTATATATTATTTTGCTTTTGTTTTTAAAGGCTTCATTTATACCAGACGTACTAGGATTGAAAGAGCCTTCCTCTCTATATGGTTAGCAGGATGTAGGCCGAAAGGCGTGCGTCTCCACAATATATGTCAAAGGAATGGAAAAAAAGTGTGTAAACCCTTAAGGACATATAAAAGGAACGTAGGCTGACCCGTTTTTTGCCCATAGTATTTTCACGCATGTTCTTTCATATCATAGCGACTACGTCATGCGGAATAAAAGCAACTTTCAAGTAATTGTCATGATAAAAAGGTCAAATTTTTACAGGTATCTAAACAGTCATCTATTCACATATGCTGAGTTCATCTCTCTCTTCCAATATTTTCGAAGAATATCATCACTTAAACGCAACACCTACTCCAATATCCAAGCCTAACCTAAAACAACACGTTGAAGGCGCGCCTGTAAGCAGGTAATGCAGCCAATTCTGCGCGGAACTGATTGATCTCATCCCAGTCAACTTCTCGTCGGCCAGTATCCACATCGATCTGGTGTGTGCGTAGCCAACCGGTACGTTTCCAGAAGTAGCCGATAGCCCAGAATACCAAGACGACGGGAACGGTGAGGTACGACTTGAAGAAGTCCTCGACGGTATTAAATCCACCTCCAGGAGGGCAGATGGCAACGTAAAACTGGCGTGGAAGTTAGTCGACAATAGTTCAAAAGGAAGCCTGAGAGAAGGTAAGCTTACCTGTGCAATCAAAACAAGAATGACAAGGATAAGTCCAAGCCATGATCCATACACGCCGCCAGCAGCTTGGAATGGAATTTCATCAAGTGTGTGGCCGTGGTATGCCCAAGCGCTGCGGAATCGGATATGCGCCAAGCAGATGGAGCCCCAAGTGAAGAGCGCGGCGAGACCGGACAAAGCAACCAGCCAGTCGAAGATAGTCGGGCCAGCGGCAGCCAAGTTAAGGTAGGCCAATAAACCGAAAGCGAGAAGAATACCGACCGAAGCTGTGGGACGACCACCACGATCGACGTAGGAGAAGATCTTGGGAGCGTAACCTTGCTGTGCGAGAGCGGTAAGGGTTCGGCTACCACCATATACACCGGACACACTGATAGATACGACCGAGATAAGGATGACGAAGTTCATGAAATGGTTGAACCCATTGAGACCAGCATATTGTCCAACTAAGACGAACGGCGACGCAGCAACGTCACTGGAGCCAGTGGAGTTCAATAGATGTTCATCGTTGCTAGGGATCAAAAGACCAACAAAGGTGAGACCAAGGACGTAGAATCTGCGAAAAATTGTTAACACATATCCTTATCATAATAACAGACCAACTAATTGGGAAGTAGAGGAACTTACAGGGTAATTCGCCAGAAAACCTGCTTGATGGCACCGGGGAGTGATCGGGCAGGGTTCTTAGCTTCGGCAGCAGCAAGACCAACCAACTCAGTTCCACTGAATGAGAACGCGGCAGTGACAAACACGGAGCAGAAGCCACGGAAACCGTTGCGGAACGCGCCAGGGTCGTACCAAAGTCGCGCGCCATAGTATTCGCTATATCGGCCGGTTTCCGGGCCGCCTCCGAGGACACAGACCAAAGAAATGATCATGAAGACAATGGTCGCCGAAAGTTTCAAAATGGAAGACCAAAACTCTTCTTCGGCGTAACCCAGGGTACCGAAAATGTTGACTATGATAATGAAGACGTAGAAAACGGTAATCCAGACAGCGGGACTTATTTCTGAATTCCAATAGGCGACCGAGATAGCGCAGACAGTGAGTTCAAGAGGGACGACGACAGCCCATTGCATAACATAATTCCAGCCCATAGCGAAACCCCAAGAAGGGTCGATGAAGCGTGTCGCATACGTATAGAAACCACCGGAGACGGGAAACATGACAGCGAGTTCACCGAGAGCATAGACTATACGATATATTGTCAATAAAATTGCCCAGTTTGGCCATGGTGGAAGCAAAGTGTTCTACATACCGACGTTGAACATCATAATACCAATAATAGAGAAATCGATCAGAAGAGTTGCGGGACCCTATCAAGTTGGTTTGCTGTCAGCGCCAAGAGCAAGGTAGGGTAGGGCAAACGGGAGCGTGCGTTGGATACAAAACACGATAGGAGTCAACTTACACCTGTGGCTAAAGCACCTCCAGAACCGACGAAAAAGCCGGCACCGATTGAGCCTCCGATGGCAATCATGTGAAGATGTCGAGGTTTCATGCTCCGGTCGAGCTCAACAATTCCGGCACCATAGTCGCGCTTCTTGAAAGACTCCATATTCAGACCGTTGCGCGTGGCCCAGTTCTCGGATCTTATGACATCTTCCCCATGCTCCGGGGACGAGTAACTGGGGAGGCCGGCATCCTTTTCATCCTTGCTGCCGCTGCTGGCAGTAGCGTCGTAAGTCGCCATGGTGAATGGAAACACCCACGAAAGGGGGGAGAGAGGATGACAATGCCGATAGAAGGTGGTTATTGGCTATTTGAGAAGGCCTAAGGGCGGAATGGGGGAGGGAAGGAAAGAAGGAATGCAAACAGTAAATGGAAGCCCCGGTCAAGCCAAAGTCCGTTACTATACACAGAATTGAAAAAGAGTGAAGGGTGGACGTAACGATAACAGGTATTAAGATTTCCCAACTTTGGTGGGCGTGGCAGACTTTATTTATTACCAAATGATGGGGAAACCTCCCATACTAATTGTTCCTACTAGGTAGTATTCTCCTTCCTACTATGTATGTACAATACATGTATTCCCACATGTATTCCCCTACAAGAGCTACATGTACTTGATGTATGCGACCTAGCACAAATCTACAATACGCTCCCCCCGTAATGTTCTCTCTCGCTCCTCCCCAAGAATAAAAACATATTAGTATAGTCTTGGACACATGAACAGGGGTGGTGTAGGGGTACAGGGGTATTGATAGTGTTGGTGGAGACATGCACGAAATGGGGACTAATTGTAATGTACTACTCAGATGTGTAGTGTACTAGATATAGTTATGTACTATATTATACCTATTCTAACCTATGTACTGCTAGTAGTATGTGGTGGTGTTATAGTGGTATGTATTTTTGTTTTCAGAAAAAAATAGAACATCAGAGGGCATTGGAGCGAGAGGAGATGGCCCAGAATGATTCGCAGAAGAGAATAAACGAACGACAAGCGACAAGCGACAAGCTAATAGATAAGCTACGCTAGGTTGCTTAAGTTGTTATACTACTTAGGTAGGTACCTTATAGCAAAGCTAGGTGGGATTAGACACGGCCGAGATAGCCAAGCGTCACTTACCCACATACGATACGATTCCTACCATGTACCTGATACTACATACGAATTCGACAGTATAGTCTCTAGGCATCGCCGAATTTTTGCGACGACATATAAAACAAGGCTACCTAAGACGATAAGGCTTCAACATCGAGCACGCCATCTTTTTACGCATCCCAGTGCCTATCCATCATCTTTTTCTATATATCCATATACTTTAGTATGTCCCTTTATTTTGTATGAAGTACCTAGCTAGGCAGACTCCATCTGCCCCGGCCCGAAAAGTATATCGGCTTAGGCCGGCCTTTGGGAGGGGCAGATAGGCGATACTACGTATTAGTTTCAAACGTTTTTTTTCGGCCAGAACGTTTCCAAGCATCTTTATGCACCTATATTTGATGGTGCTTAGTATTAAACGTGCTGTAGATTTAGATGCTTAGGGCTTAAAACTGTTGATCCCAGATCTATTTCAAATGTTCTGCAATTGCCTACTATGCGTCTACCTAGTATTATACTAACCGTTAGGCCGTGGATAATCCGCATATCAATCTACTAAGCTCCTAAGCTGCTAAGCTGCTAAGCTGCTAAAACATAAGCGCTAAGACAAAGTTGTTATCTTTCACGATATTTCTTGTTATTTACCCTCTTTTATTCTACTATGTAGTGCATACAATTTCATGCCAATTCAAGTTGTTATTCCATAACCATGACCGAGGTGTCTCAACGTAGTCCCCCCCCAGTTTAGATAAGAAACAACAACCAGGGCTCTCTATACCTAGTTAGCCAAGACGCGCTGGCACCGAATCCTACCAGCACCCTGAAATACCTTCCACGTCTTGTGTAGTATAAAGTACGTAGCGTGTTGTATTGGAGGTGCGGATCGTACAGTAGTAACCTTAGGTAAGTCGATACCCTACTTGCATACCTATTACCTAGGGATACCTAGGTATACCGTTCGACTTGACTCGAAAGAGGCACTACATGCTATAGTAGTACAACATGTCGCGGCCGGGAAACCCGCGTCGTCCCGTCCCCGCCATCCCCGAATCGAATACCGTCATTGTCAGGTTAAGCTTGACTGATGGTGATAGCCTGACTGCCTGAATGACACAGTTGGTACGTTTGGAAGCATCCAAATAACCAAGGTTGCAAGCTGAATATTCTATTTCCCCCAATCGCCGCCCGACTAGATCCCATCGCTTATTAGATCACAGGGGTCACCGATCAATCACTTGCGACATTGCAAATCCTTCCACGAGACCCGAGAATTCCAAGAAATGCCCAGACGGAAACCTCAATTAAAAAAAGGCCAACCTGCGCATTATTGTTCTACCTACCTTCCCAAACCAGGTTAGACGGATAGACAAACGGGAGTTGTGAGCGCATTTACACGATGTACTGCTTACGTCTCTGCTGGACTATCGTTGAGAAAGGCAACTCCAAGAACACTTCTAGAAGGCTTACAAGCTTTCTGTCTTCTGACTCCTGTAGTGAGACCCCGTATGACATGTGTACCCAGGTAGTGTAGTACTGCATTCGATGTTTGTAGCTAACTAGCTATATCCAACCAGGTATGGTACTGTACATACAAATACATAAGATCACTATGTAATTCCTACTTAGGTACCTACCTCCGTACACACATCAACTACATATACTACTGACTAATTGGCCATGTTCATGCCTCGTAAATTGCCTCTGAGCATCATACGTTCAACGCGAATATAGCAGATGCCTCCGAATTCTCCCCGCAAAATCTATCACCAGTGGCCAAAAATCTACATCACGTACTACCTCATTCAAGTACCGCATTCAACCTAAGGTCTCAATACGATCAACATGGCTAATACAACGACTCATGCTATTTACGTAACATGGCGGGTTATTGTTCCAGAACAATTCCGGGGCAAACGAGTTTTAGTCATAGCGCTTGCTCGCCAATCTTGCTAGACAACATTGCGGGCCAGGTGCCCCAGATAATACTATCGTGGAAATGGTGAGGCGTCCCTATGCCGAGCTATAACGGGCCATTTAGCCCTAATGAAACAAGCTTCTAGCTCCAGTTTGTACGCTAAAGCCTCCTCGGTCTTTTATCATGCAATCCCTCCCCCCAATCCCAGGCCTTTCCCAGGCTTTTCTTGCAGCCTCTACAGTACATAGCATCAACACCAACTACTGATCAGGAGCAGCGTAAAAGCCAACAAGAATAAAAACCTACACCACTATGGTCGGCGTTGTCGAGTCTTGCACACCTTTTGCCTCGGTCACCCCGAACCCTTTTTTTCTTGTTTTTTCTCTTCCCATTATCCTCCTCCTTTTTATTTATCTGTTATTAATGAATATCATTTTTAGTCAATAATTTAGGTACGTCGGCAATTACGTGACTATTATACGGATTACATGCAGAATGTCTTGAGAGAGACCCGAAAGTGCGGTAGCATACTCCTAAAAGAGGCTCGGTGTAGTCCCCGTGGCGTGTTGCATTCTACCTCACCCCCCACCCCCTACCCCTGACGAAAGGCTTTCTCTCTCTGATGGGCAGTGATGGCGTCTGGAGTTGGTCGCGGAGGGTCTAACTTCGTTACCGGGGCCCCGAGTAAACTTACCTACCTAGGTATGTACAGAATTGGTACGGGACAGGGGACATGATTGAAATACTATTCTCTCATTGGCTGGCCAATTACTCTTCGGTCCTTTTCTGGTACGTAACAGAAATTATCATTATTGGCTCATGCTGTTAGGACTCGATAAGAAATCACCAGGCTCTACGAACTTTGCGGGGATGAGAATCACTGTCCGATACAGTATTCTTATTACTGTATGCACTATGTCACTTTTTGGTGATGTATGCAGAGTATATTGGTTCGTTAGTAGGTATGTAGATAGGCAAAGCGTGGAACGGTAGAGCTGAAAGCTGAGGCGTAATCAAGCTCTTCGGCCATTCATGTGCGTTAGGTATTGGCATATGCAACTACGATACGTGTATACACGTCGGTAAGTGACCCCGGTAACACGGCATGCAAACAGGACAATACGTTTGGTGTGTAAGCCCTACATGTAGCCCTACATAGGTACTAGGTAGGTAAGAAGTATCTCGAAGAAGGTTTGGTTTTATTTTTCATTGGGAGGCTTTCTGGCCTTTCCTCTACCATGTAAGCACAACAAACGTCGAACATAACATTCGATAGGGCTGAGTGTGGCATTCAGCCGCTGTGACGTGCCTTGCCTTGCCTATCCCATCCCTAACCCTATCCTACGGTTGCACGACATTGGCTCCGGGGGGGGGGGGGGTTGGTTTCATCGGCCACGTCAGTAAGACGACACGGGAAAGGCACGGGGGAACGCCACTGAATACCAGGCTCGACCGTTCGACCCCGTACTAAATTTATGATCTAGTCCAGAAGCATGACTCTGTCTAGCTAGTGTACCGACTTAGGAATCTCCAGCAGATATACGTACATGTAGTACCACAGTACCTGGGGGTAACCGACTTCCACTACACATGTATTCCATCGTCATCGCTCTTCTTGGGGAGTAAGTACCGGAGCAATAAGGTTTTCGTGCCTACTTACTTACATGTAGGTACATACTACTATGCAGTACAGATCTATCAGCTATCCCCAGGTATTGTACATCACCCCCCTTTCGCAATGACCGGTCCCGATTCGAACCCAGACGGTTGGGACCCTTTGCAGTTAGCACATCCGCAGAGCAATCGATGAGCAAGCATGGAGGAGCCGCCCTCCTTCCTTCCTTCCTTCCCTCCCACTCCTCCTCCTTCTCCTTCTAACATAGTGCAACTCCCCGCACTATCTCGCGTCCGTCCGGGGAAAAGCTCGCCAAGCCGCTCTCCGGGTCCTTCGTCTTTCTTCTTCATCATCGGATGTCGGTGCCGGTGCAACAGCATGGGCTGCTGCTCCTACTAACCTAGCACCCTCGCATCTAGTGTACCTACTACGCACGAGCGGTCCCACAATGTCTCGGGCGGGCACCGGCTTCCATCTCATGCGTAGGGTCACCGCCTGCGTCTTCGCGTTCGTGGCAGGGGAGGGAGTTGTTGGGCTTGTCTGCCGCTTGAGGCGATGAGTCCTAGTAGTACTAGTACATAGGTAATAATAATAATAACCCGGGGAAGAGGGGCGAGAACCAGGGTTAGCTGGTATGTACTTCCACCACGGTAGGAGAGGCTTGGTGTTGTGGTTTTTCGAGTTAATGATGCCTGCTGTTGCTTTGGTTTCTCGGATAACGACGGTTGTGGTTGTTTTTCTTCGGTGGATTAGGTATTGCGCCAAGCAGGGGTGGTTACTAATATGTACATAATGTACGGAGAACAACCCCAGTTCTGCTGGAACCTGGGGGGGGGGGGGATTCGTGTGTGCAACAACTCTCACTACCTTTTCTTTTAATAATAGTTTAATACCCCGGAGTTCTCTCTTGCCTTCGCCTTAGGCCTAGTTGAGCTGAAAGCGAGGTTTAGTTTCTCGTGGAGTCGTGGGGAAGGAGGAGGGCCAAAGCTACACTAAACAAGCCCCCCCCCCCTTCACCTTAACTTCCCCATAACCCATAGCCAACCGAAGAAGATCTGCGATCTTTTGCCAATCCCATATGTCCAGAATCCAAGATTGCATGTCGTAATGTGTCCTCCCTTTGGTAGTAACGAGGCAGGGTCTTTGGGAACCACATATGATGTCTGATGTCTGGTGTGTTTAACATTTGCCTATATAGTTACCTAGTAGGTAAACACGACGTTCCTATGCCGTAATTAGTTCCTAATCGCAACTCTCCTTTTTTTTTTTACCGTGAAAGAGCCGTTCCCGAGCTGACCTAACCTAGGTCTACATACATACCTAACATCTCGTTTTCTTACGTACAACATCATGAATACCTATGTATCACTCGATGTAGGCCGTGAGTATGGGGATCAGAGGCCCCCAGTCCTTGACCACGAGGTCGATGTCTCCGATTGGCGGGCACTGGACCGGCACGCGGTCGAGCTCGTTGCTCTGGAAGGTGGCCTGTTCGCTCAGCCATTCTCGCCATTCGGTGTCGACTATCTGCCATCTGCGTATAACACACACCTCTCATATAAGCAAAAAAAATATGTGTTAAAGGGAGATCGATCCACACGAAACTAAAAAGGGGAAAAAAAAAAAAGGCTTCGCGGGGAAGAGAGGGAAGGAGGCTAATGCATACTCATCCGGCACCCCAGTCGGGATATCATGGCCCATCTGTCCCTCGTCCGACCACATCTGGATCTGCCGCAGCCGCTCCTCGAGCATGTGGCACCGCGAGCCCGAGTACTCCTGGCAAGCGCTCAGCAGGAAGACCTGGTCTTCCAGCTTCAAGCTATGCGGGCCGGGCTTTTTCTCCATCTTGGCCTCGACGAGCTCCAGCTTCAGGGCATCCAGGATCTCCTTCGCGAGCTCGAACTCCCGCTGGGACGTCACGAGGTCCTGGCGCATGCACGTTTCCGCGTCCAGGAGCCAGTCGGAGTCGTTCTCGTCCTCGTCCTCGCCCGTGATGGGAGACAGCAGGTCGCTGCCGGTCTCCTCGGCCAGCGACGGCAGGTCGAAGCGCATGCCATCGTACGAGAACGAGGGCGTGACGGTGGTGGCGGCGGAAGCCGTGGAAGAAGTAGAGGCGGAGGAGAGGGAGGAGGACGAAGACAAGAACTTCGATCTGATTGACCGAGAAACCATTTCCAAGTACTTTGGTCCCCGTTGCGCGCGGGTGGAGCTGAGGTTGTGCCAAAAGGGGTGGATGCTGGGTAGGTAGGTAAAAGATGTCACTGCGGATCTCTCTTTCTTTCTTGTAACTGATTCTCTTGTAACTGGTTCTTAGGTGCAAGTAAGTATGATATGTCTGCCTTTGCTTCACATAGATAGCTACGTCAGTGCTTCATTATATCATTCCAAAAAAAAAGTAAATATCCCGAGAAGAGAGTGTAATGTGGACCTATGTACCTATAGGCATGTATATATTACCTCCAGGGTAAGAAATTGTCTCTAACTCACCAAAAGCATTATTGGGTTGAAGTCTGGAATGGAGGTTGCGCATAGGTTCCTGAATTCGACCAAGAAAATGGAAGCTTCTTCGTTCTTTGAACGAATGCAGACAAAGGCCAAAAACCCCTCCCAAAAAAATAAAATTCAACAAAGAAAGAACCCGCCGCCTCACCCCCCAGCTATCAAGATATCCATCAAGCTCTTTTAAATCATTTTTTTTCTGTTGCGCAGACAGAATGGGGATGTGGAGGAAGGGAGAGAAACGGGGGGTAGATATTTGTAAATCGTCAATATTAGAGGGAACCACCGCACCCGGACCATCGAATTTCCTTTGAACCACGGCTGTGAGAGGAACGGAATATTACGTTCGTACACTATTAGGAATTACTTCTGGAAAAAGAAAATATACACCCGCCCATTCTGTAAATTGTCATGTAAACTGACTTTGTCATCCCTCATGTTATCGCTCTCCATGTAACTACTTAGTCTGCTTAGTGATTGTATCTACACCAGTTCAATTACATACCTGCTGGTATGTGTTCGCACCGCAAACGTCTACGGCATAGCATGCCCTAATGAACTCTTCTAGAATCGCGCGAAGCAACATTAGTTATTTTTTTATTTTTTATTTATTTTTTTAAAAAAAGACCCTATGAAAGTCACAATCAAGATGTCTTCCTCAAAATGTGTTGATCTATTACGTATCTAGGTGCGGCAAATAGCCATTGTATAAGCCAGTTACCTCACTTCAACATTGTTGAAGAACGAGCGAACAAAGACGCTGAATGAAGAGAATATATATAAATAGCTTTATCTTTCACATCAGCTCAAGCCAGCCTTTGTCTCAGAATCACAATGCCCCTTCTTGCAGAAGACATTGTTGGTGGTTTATAAGTAGGTATGATTTGGTCTCGAGCCCATCATCCTCATCACCCGGCTGCTGTTAGATTTCATTTCCCAGGAGACGTTTCAATCATTATACACCACAGAGTCACAAGAAGTAATAACGACTATAATATAAATATACCCCCCCCCCCATAAGCCCACCAATCACACCCCGCAGCAGCAAGCAACCATGTGCTGGGAGAACCCCCAATGGAGCCACTGCTTCGAGTGCCAGCGGACGTTCGACCACACGCCCCTCGTCGTCACGCCCTGCTTCTCCGCCGAGCACCGCCTCCCCTGCGGCCGGCGCACCCCGCGCGCCCCCGTCGTCCTCAACCACGACACCTGCCCCACGTGCAAGGCCGCGCGCCGCGCCGAGGAGGTCTGCCAGCAGCTCGTCCACCGGCAGAGCCCCTTGTACTACAACACCGAGCGCAAGAAGTGCCTCCGCGAGGCTTACTGGTAGGTGACCTCCTGTACATATGCCCTTTTCCTTGAAGCAAAACCAATCCCCTCTACAAGAAAAAAAAAATCATTACATACAAATTTTTTTTTTCTTTCGGGGGATAAGGGGGAAGAAGAAGGAAAACAGAAACTCCTCCTCCCCATCCCCCCCCCCCCCCTCCTCCTCCTCCTCCCCCCTTTCCAAAAGAAAAAAAAAGCAAAAAGCAAAAACAAAACAAAACATTTAATGAGGAATGAAATAAATAAAAAATAGGTAGCTTACTCGGTATAACAGGGCCCACCTCGAAGCGAACCGCAAGGCCAGGAGAAAGGAAGCGCTGCTGAAGATGAGGGAGGCGGCGCAGGTTACGGCGGCAGCGGAATGTCACCAACCTGAGCCTTAGCAGTTAAGGTAGCTGACATACCTAACCTAAGGCCAGGTCAGGTAACTTGGTCGAACGTCCGGGACGCACTACATACATAAGCATGGGCAGGTAGGTAGGTAGTAGTCTTAGGAGTAGGGGTAGGGGTAGGGGTAAAATAATGAGCTGTGGCATTGGCATTGGTGGTTGCCGTTAATATGAGGATTGAATACATACATACACGGTTTTGAGAGAAGTCTCAGGGTATCGATGAAAAAACGAGTTGGTGTGCGTGAACAATAGTTATCTATTGTGTTCGGAAAATGGAAAATGTGAATAAATATCTGGTATCAAACCGAGTAAGGTAGGTGGTTAAGTGATTGTACAGGTACTATATATCGTTCTCTATTATGTACATTGGTAAGATAGGTAGGTATGTAGGTGAGTAACCCTTTATAAAGCAACCCTTACGCAAAGAAAAAAAGACCGCCCCCTATTTTAATGATTGACCCAACCCGCCCAAAATCGAAACTCCCGCCCAAAAAAGAAAACAACCATCCAATCTACTAGGTAATAAATAACCTAGATATATAGGTACCTATATACAGTATGACAGTCTTGGCCATCGTAAATATAATAAAAACATTAAGGAAAAGCCCCTAAGTATATATACGAAAAAGAAAAGAAAGTACCGTCAAGCCTAACCTAAGCAGCAGGCATCACCCTCCCCATCCCCAGCCCCAGTCTTGAGGGCCCCTTTTTCGCATTCGCCCTCCCTATTAATAAAGTAACACCGCCACCACCAGTACCTTCCTTCCCATTACCAACCTCCCCATCCCCCTCGCTCTGACTACTACTACTCCCCATCGTCATCGACTCCATCGAGCTTGCGCTACCATTACTGCCGATGTGTTTATGATCTTTACGCCATGCTGGGCGACTGCCGCTACCACTGTTTCTGCCAGTGCTCGACCCGGCATTTATTGTTGGTTTGACGTGGCTACGCCTCCCCACGCCCCAGCCCTGCGATCTCGTCATCGTCGTCACCGCCGTCGCCCCTTTATTATTACCCGCGCGCCGTTGCGTTTTCGCAATGATCAGCTCGTACTGCGTCATCATCGTCGGGTTCTCGATGATCTCCTCCATCGTGAAGGGGGTAAAAGTAGACTCCGTCATATGATCCGGGAACGCGGGCATCTTCTCCGTGTAGTACGCGGCCAGCTCGGCTGCCGGCAAAAGCGTCCCGCAGGTCTCGTAGAACGGTACCGAGCGGATATCTGGAGTTTTAAGAGAGCGCGCGTCGAGGATCGTGTCCCAGGCCGTGGATATCATGGTGTGCACAGTGTGGGCGTGGTCGGGGTCGACGGACTCCACAACGGTCGACGACGAAATCGGGAGCTGGCGCTTTGGCGCTGATAGCGGGATCCGCGGAGTGGAGTAGGCGTCGTTGAGGCCTCTTAACATCATGGGCTCTATGACGAATGTTGAGGTGAGTAGGGAAATGATAGAGGAGAGCATCTTCAGGACCTCGTCCGCGAACGATACCGGGATCCGCTTCTCGCAGAACGTGAGGGATATGTCGATGTTAGTAGGCCCCGACATGCTCGATTTGACAAACATGTCAGATTCCTGCTGGTTCGACTCCACACAGTTGATCTTGCAGCTGGCGTTCTCGATGGTGAAGCTGAAGGACTTGTAGTCTTCGGCCTGGTTCTGATGGCAAACGACTGTGCTGAATCGCGTCCAGGATGGCCAGGTCGTGCATTTTTGTACAATGTCGGAAGTCTGCATGTTCTCGTGTGGAATGCTGGCCACATTTTGGCTTTGGATGGATCTGAAGTATTCATAGGGCGTTACCCGAACCTCCGGCAATCTCGTCCGCACGGGTATGATATTACCCATGGGGCCGACAACTTGAGAGATAGCTTGGCCGCCCGGAAGGCTTAGATCCTTCCCTTCAATAAGCTGCCCGAACACTACATCATCTGTACCAGACAAGTTCGAAAGAACGATAGACCACGCGCCTTTAAGGATGGCATCGAATGGAATGCCTAGATTCTGTAGTGACCCAGTGGGAATCTGTCGGTGAAGAGGCTTTAAACTCATACTTGCCGTGTTAGGCGAGGGCTGGGATACAACCCTCGTCATCACCGCGCCATCGAGAAGGCTGCGCCAATACTCAGTAGCGCCGTTCATGCACGTAAACTGGGCAGCTCTAACCACTTCACAGAAGCCAGGACGCCGTATGAGTTGGTCTCTACAACTATAGAAGCGGCCGAGGTCTTGTATTATCATGCGCATCGAAACATCATCATACTGTGCTCTGGAAATACGCATGATAAGCACGGAACTCTTTCCAGCGTCGAGATAATGAAACTTGGTGATCGGCTGGCGGAAATCGACCGGCTGGGCTTGCTCTCTTTTGATAATCTTCGCAGTCAATTTTCCGAGTCTCCAGCTCTGACACTGATATCTCAGAAATTCCGGCCGGTACGATCGAAGGACTGTCTGGTACAGTTGGCAACTGGAACTTACAAACGCAGTCCGTAATGTGGGATGGGTTTTGGTTAGCATGACGCAAGCGCTCTCGAGTTTTTGCCAATCTAGCGACCCAGTGATGTTAAAGGTGAAGTAGTTGATGTTTCCACGGCTTTGGAGCATCCCGGACTCGATAAATGTTGTTTGAAGGAACGTTGCTTCAGCCACGTCTTCAATAAGGCTTCTGTCAGATCCGAGCCGCGGTGCGATCGATTGCTCGACAAAAGCGTTTGTCGGGTATCCGCGCATAGTCCCAGCATCTCGGATAGTTATTGAAGAGGGCTCCATGGTGGCGATCCGTTTGCAGAGATCAGTCAGAGACACATCTTGGAGTACGTCAATAATAGAGATGCTGATGCCTCGTTGTCGACATTCAATGATCAAGTCCTGTGCTAAGACAACGTTGCCGCCCAAGTTCAAGAACCCGTCACTAACTACAATTGAGTCTTCCTTGATACCCAGAACGTGGGCCCAAATAGCTCGCATCTGCTGCTCCACCTGGGTTAGAGGAAGTGGCTTGAAACTGGTATCCTGAACCTCTTGGGGGTTGGAGACTTCTGCGAGTCCAAGAAGCCGACCCCTGGATAAGCCGGCGATCATTCTCTGAAGCTCTAGTCGATTGACTTCCAATGTAGGAGTGAGCGGCATCCGTTTGATAGGTATGTAAGCCGAGGGAACCATGTGACTTGGCAGGGTTTCCCGAAGGACCATATCCGCCATTTTCTTAGACAGATATAGCCTCTCTCTAGTAATGCGGCTGAGCCTAGATAAATCTTCGTTCCCCTGAAACGAAGTCTCCCCAAGCTCTACAAAAGCAGCAAGTATCGGGGCTGAGTTAGGGTCATTGAAGGCGATGGTCTCTACGACTACGTCGACGCCTCGACCAAGACACTGCCTCAGCTTTGGCTCAACATCCGAAAGACGAAATTGTTTCCCGTTGATTTCTGTCTCTCCACTATCGTCCGAGACAAATTCAATCTCTCCATCCTCGTGGTAACGGACACAGTGTCCCGTCTTTAACAGTCGACTTCCTGATTTTTCAAGCAGTGATCTCGCACGAACGACACTCTTCCCGATCCAGGCCTTCATGTTAGTGCCCGTGATATCGAACCCACTCGAGAGCGTCGGTCCTCCTATCACGAGTTCACCGATGGCACCAACTGGCATGAGTCGGTTATTATCCTCGGGACTTACGACCCAGAAGTTTCCGCAAAACGGCTCTGGGAAGCATTGTGAAGTCTTTGAATGGTCGACTTCGGTGGCAGAGAGCCCTAATGGACAAGCCTCGGGAAACCCATAGACGAGCAACACCTTAGCCTTACCGGCCCATGGTGCATATGCATCTCCGTCGAGATGCCGAGCGCGGAAGCAGACAACAGCGATGTCCGGGAGGCTATCCGGGTCAAGCTTTCGAGATAATGTTGGCGTTAAATATGTCCAGTTGACGCGCATACGCCTGACAGCTCTGGCAAATCCAGAAATCTTCTCCGAGGCCAAAGGCACACATATACATCCGCCGTTGATTAAAGTGGTAAATATTTCCGAAAGCGCGATATCAACGCTATATGACGAGATCTGCATGACTCTGCTCGATGGGTTAATTAGTAGCGTGGGGCCTTGTCTGGAGCATGCCGTGGAAAGAGCGCCATGGCTATATGAAATTCCCTGAGGGCTCTTCGAAGCTTCAGAGCTGAAGAGAATACAGGCTATCTCGTAGGGTGCGGGCTGAGGAGGAGTAATGTCGACGTCTTGCGCCGACATGGCCGAAACCGAAAGTTCGTTCACCACGATAACCTTTCTAGCGAAGCCATCTACGTGTTTCCGAATATCGTCGGATGCCAACACAATATCAGCATTGACTGTCTTGATAACCCATGCAAACATCGAAGTGACTTCAGCGTCAACGGGAACCATGATTGCCCCAGCACTAAAAAAGAAACTGTTAGTGTATAGTCGTGTTAGTAGGTAGGAATGCCATCGACTTACTGAAGTACTGCTAGCATTGCTACGACTGCCCATCGGCTCTTGTTGAGAATCACAGGCACAGGCATTCGAGGCTTCACACCAGAGGCCATAAGATGCTTAGCAAGTACTATAGAGTACCTTTGTAGATCGCCGTAAGATAAATCACCGTCCCATGCACAGATAGCTTGAATATCTGGGTTTAGTAATGCTTGGCTCTCTACCAATTGAGGGATATTCTCCCTGGATACCTCGACTTGCGCCGTGCTGTTCCAAGTCAATATTTGCTTATGGTCGCGCATGCTGAACAAATCTGCTTCCTTAGCGGCGCTTGAGGGGGATTCCAAGATAGAGTCAATAGCTCTTCCAAAGGCACGGGCAACAGTGATTGCTTGTCCGGCAGTGAGGATACGGTAGCCAACGTTGACTTTGACAGTGCCTTGGTGGAAGCAAATGTCCATGTTGATATCATATTCGGAGGCTTGCTCGGTCTTGACGTGACGACGCATAGAGTCTCCAGGCAAGTCGTCCGAAATGTATTCATACCCGAACGAGAGATAGGTATTGAACAGTTTTTCTCCCTTCATTCTGAGTTCGTGTTCGATTCTTGACACTGGCACATGTTGGTGGTGAAGCACTTTCCTGCGCTCCTCCTCAGAGTCGAATAGCAGCTGCGCAATGGATACGTTGGAAGAAACATTAAGCTTGGACGTTAATATAGTCGAAAATGACCCAATAGCACTGTTTAGGCCTTCTACAGGTAGATCTCTACCAGAGACTACGACACCGAAGCAAACAGTGTCTGTTCCGACATAGGTTCGAAGCAACAACCCCCAGGCCACTCGGAATATAGTGGATATATCGACCTCATAGCCAATGGCGAGAGCGCTGAGATTCTCATACGGAATCCCGAGGTCAACTGACGTAGTCTTCCACTCGCTCTGAGGCGATGACCCTGAGAGGAGCGTGGGAAATTTGCATGGACGAACACCGGATAAATGCTCCCTCCAAAATTCAATGCTACAAGCAGTCGTCTTGAGGCATTGCACGTACTCAGGATACGATAAATTACTTATTTCGGGGGCTTGATTATAGAAATATCCTAATTCAATCTCCCTGAACAGAATCTCCATACTGCCAATCTAAATCTTCAGTTAGCAAAGCAACGTATATTATACCATACAAAAAGGGGAACCTACATCGCAAACGGCTTGGCAAGCTTCTAGTTTAAGCAGAGTCTTGCCAGCCACCTGACAAACAACGAGTCTATGCCATGGGGTGCCTTCATTCAGCAGTAGAGGAGGAACATTATTTGTAGTCACCATGGCGTCCTCCACGCTATCGCTCTCCAAGAAGAGCATCTCAGGTGAGTGTGAACGGAGGATTATCTGGTCGTATAAGCCGGTTTTTGACACGCTTGGAGAGAAGACAGTCCTCAAGGCTGGGTATTTCTGCGATACATGAAGCCAAATAGCACAGATACGAGAGATATCAACAGGGCCATCAGATGTGTCGAGCTCGTATACCATTTGTGCGTGAGAGCTCCCTGGTATCAGCGAATAGTTGATTAGGAAATTCTGCTGTGTTGCCGTCGCGGGATATATGGTCTCAACATTAGATGGGTTGAGATTGAGGCTCGGCAAGACCTCTCTGTTCAACCGGTCAAGTCCATCATCAGAAACATCCATATAAGGAACATCCGATAAAGACAGCCCGGGAGATTCATGTTGTAATCTATTGACGGCCTGGCGTAGAATCTCCTCATAAGCACGTATCCAAACACGAATCTGTTCCTGTCGTGTAGAATTCCTAGGATAAAGGACCTTGACCTTGCTTTCGCCTTGGTCAACCAGTACCGATGCTTCAATAATGGCAATCCGCCCGACATCGCGCCCAATATCTGAAGTACCAGAGTATAGTGTCCTGCCTGGCACGGGGATTTCCTCTAGGATGGCACGCTGATTTCTCGCATTCTGCATAGTTCCAGCATAGGTAAACATAAGCTCGAGAGGAAAATGAGAAGTGATAAACGAGAGCGCAGAAGTGGCGTCTATCAAATTGGCAGAAAAGTCCAGGTCGCCGTTCTCGGATGCAGCACGACGAGATTCCTTCACCCGATTGATAATGGCTACGATATCATCCATTGGCGAAGCGTCTATAGCCAAGAAGCGGAGCTCGGTAAACCATCCCACCGTATTTAATACATTCTGCTCCGCGTCCAGTGTAGTCCGTTCGAATCCCTGATTCCATAGGGGAGGCAGACCTCGGTCGTAGAAAGTCTGCGCAAAAGAAAGCATAAGCGCAGCCACATAAAGGTCCGCGGGATCAGTCTTCAAAACCCTACAGCCAGCCTCCAGCGCTGAAGTAATAACTGCGTTGAGTGTGAAACCAGTGGCTATCGTATTGCCGTATGTGTTAGACGTCTCATCAACTCCCCAGTACTCAGAGTTCCCTGCTGGGATGTCGGAAGGCGTATAGCCAATTGAAGCCATATGGTGAACGCGATTTCTATGGCGGAGCGTCCATTCTTTGAATGAGAGTGATGGTCCTGATACAAGACAGCCATTGACCAATAGTCCTTCCAGGTCATCTGCCACGACACGCCAAGACTCAAGATCAACAACGAGATGATGGGCGAGCAAATATAGTAGCTGGCTACCATCGGAGGTCTGGAAGTAGTGACTGGAAAAGACTGGGCCATCCTCAATGTTGATTTTGGCTTGGGCATCTGTGATTGCTTCTTCGATCTCAGCATTTGACGTGATGGAATGATGTGCAAAATCGTATGAAGATGATATTTCTGACTCTATAGACTGATGCCAAGAGATTCCTTCCGATCGAAAACGGCATCTAAGCATCGAGTGGTGACCGACTACGGCTTCTATCGCTGCGCGGACATCCTCAATATCCACGCTTCGTTTTAACCGGAACAGCATACTTTGGTTAAATCTATATTCGTCGTCTCCAAAGCTTCGTCGATTACTATCGCTGCCCATGGGTGTATGAAAATATAGCCGCTGCATGGGAGAGAGCTCGAAAGTTTCCACGATGACCTCAGACACCTTTCGAGCATGTAACTGGTTAGATGCTGCCACAGCAGCCATTTGAACTAACGGGTTTGCGTTCATGACGTCCCGTGTATTGAGTGAAATCCCCTGAGCTCTGCACTTGGCAATGAATCGTGCTGCAGCGCTCTCATCAGCACCTAAACCAGGGAATGATAAGTCCATTCCAACATTTACTGGCTCGATCTGTGGCGCGTCACGCGCTGTCGTTTGGAGCCTCATCTCAACAACCTCCGCAGGCTTCTCTAGGCCTTCCGAATCGATAGACCGGATTTGTTGGCATAGTTCGTCGTTCGCATTTTGGATCCAAGTTTGCAGCTTTCTCCTATGGTTCTTTCCGGCATCGTCTAAAGGCATCGTTGTTAATACTACCCAAACCCTAGGGGCATGGCTCGGCGAAACCTGTGACTCGACATCCTTTCGTATCGCTGGTAGTCGACCAGTGTATTCTTCAGGGCTCTGCATTGTGACTTCGCAGTCATCTGGGCTCTCTACCATACAGCTTGTCAGTGTAACGAACGCTACAAGCTGGCCCTCAAAAGGGCCAGCCTTAGGTTTCAGGACAGACGCTTTCGAGACATCATTATGGAGGAACAAAGCCTTTTCAGCTTCTAAATGGCGCCTCCGAGATGGTCTATGTTGAAGTGACGATTGAAAAGATGAATATCTAGCTTGTGCCTTGGGTGGAATTGATGGAGGTCGACGGTAATCTGATACTTGAGATTGGTAACTATGTCGAGAACCCTGCGACAGTCCCCTTTCGACTAAGCTGAACGTTGTAGAGGCCTCATCGTTCTCAGAGTAAGTAGAGAGGTAGAGGGGTGTCACACACGTCTCAAGCTCTGCGATAGTTTTGCAGTTCATAATGTCCTTGGTCTTGATTGCTAAGCCCGCTTCCATACAGCTTGCCCGAAGCTCTCTAGCTTTCCTGTGATTGCCCCCAAGATCCACAAACGATTCATCTCGAGGCAGTGTATAACTGTCTAGTCCTAAGACGCCGGCTACCGCTACCGCTAGCCGGCTTTCGATAGAGTTGCTCATCGACTTTCTCCATTCAGCGATATCACACGGAGGGGAATAGACCGATATAGAGCTAGTAGAGCTTCGTCGTAAGGACATTGACCTATTAGTGGGTTGCTGAGAGTCGCTTGAGCTAGACATAGTTGAGCTCGAAGGTTCGTTGCCGTGAAAGAGTTCGTTTGCATCAACGCCTAAAGCATGAGCCACCGCCGACCATAAGGTTGGCTCTGACTTCGATGCAGTAGTTGTTGTAGCTGCAGTATCCATTACCAAGGGACGTGTTTTCTCAGTCATGTCGCTTATGTTCCTAGATGAAAATAATTGGTGATCTTGTTTGTTGCAGTCTTCAACCGCCTCTACTTCGGATTCGGCCGAAGAAAGCGCTAGGAAGCTATCCTGCATCGGAATCGCCATTGCCAACGCAAGGTGGTCAAATGACGCAGGCGAAGGGATAGGCATGGTGGAGACAGTGAGGACTGAATTAGGACTACAAGAGAAGCTCTCTCGCTATCTCGAGGTCACACAGGCTCCAAAGTAGTGAAGGGAAGTTATGGCATGGGGAACAGGCGCTGATACCGTAGCGATAATGCGATATACCCACGTAAGGGAGTTCCGGGACCGAAGAGACATCACAAATCACAAAAGACAGAAGAAACTTGAAAGGAAACTGCCCAACACTTGGAGGGAAAGGACACCATCATCATTATCAGCATTTGCGTAGCTGACATATCCCAGACCGAGGATCTGGATCGCATACTTGGATCCATACCTACCGAGACCCATAGGCTACTGTATTTTCGTGCAGAAATCGAACTGTGCCGTGAGCGAGTTGAGTCTGTAGCATGAATTTGGTGGCTAATAAGCTGAGTCCATAAGGCAAGCTTCCATCCTTCGATTCCTACATTAGTTGATCTAGGCACTAGAAAGGGAGGCCAAGGCATGCGCACATCCCGGCAACACGTTTTTGGTGGATCATAAGCATTTTTGTTACATATTCAATGTGATGGCTAATTGTGGTATGTTATGGACAATGTGATATGGATGATGGAAGTCCCGGGCCTAAGATAAAAGCAAGGGGGTGTTTATTATTGGGGCTGAGGCTGGCGCCATATTGAGAATGAGAGTATTTAGTAAGACTGTAAGAATCTCAGATAGAACCTTGAAAAAAGATGAGGAAACCCTAAAGTTAGTTACACATGTGCTATAAAAAGAAACAACTACTACTACTAATAACCTAACAGATAATTATAACCTTGTTAGGGCTAGTTGATTGAGGCGTGTTAGCTGATCGGCACTAGAATCAAAAAGGATCCGTTCCTATTTACATCATCGTCTATGCCGTCTCTTACCAAAGTTACCATAACCTTGCCTTACAAACTACAAATACCAATGTAGCACATAAAGGATAGAAACATTTGAAATAAAGAGTAACTAGTTACTAACTCGACATTTGGACTATATACATAGGTGCCTAGTTGACTACATATGTAAGCTTCGCTTCTTCGTCTCTTTACTTTATTTCTTTATTTCATTAATGTTCCTCAATTCCCTACTATGCACTTGCCCGCAATCTACTACCTTTCTTCCTCTGTGCCGCTGTATTTTATACGATCTATATAGGATCTATATCTATAATAACCACCTCCTACCTAGACTGGCTACTATCTTTGTAGGTCGCTATCTAAACCTAGCCATCTACCTATGTAAGTACATACTACTAAACAGAGTAGGCGTCATGGCTCATACGGCACAGCTTGGTATACTCCTAACCCAGGTAATTCTTGGCATGCCAAATTCGCAGCGTAAAAATATTATTCAAGTTGGATGCCCATGATATCTATAAGGTATCTTTTCTTGAACATCACAATCGAATCTACCATGTAGGTTGTGAACATGGACAGTCATGAGTATTACCAGTCACGAAGGAATGTCTACATTGCAATTGGTCTCTTAGATAGAGTGTGAAGCCGAATCTTGAAGATAAATCATACAGTTTGCCCCAAGATTACCGACAAGAACAACAACAACAACAACAACCATCGCAACCCCTCCAAAAAAATAGCTACACACTTACACAGTAGTAAATACAACAACTACCTAACCTACCAGACATGTGCCTACGTTAAGTATGCACGGTCACACTGTTTTGTCACCGAAGTGCCATGTGCAGGATTGGCTTGGATGGATCCTACAGGATCCCATATCCATCTCCAAGATTCGCTCAACGAGGGGACGCCTAGCACACAGTTTCGCGACATGTAACCCCGTCCCATCGTTCGGCCAAGAGGCAGCGGAATAACTTGCGTAACTCGTCATCCGGCTCCGAATCAATCACTTGGCCGAGGTGTTTAGGCACCATGTCTTTATTTACATTGGCATTTCATAAAGGGGGGGCTGCAAACTAGTCACACCCACCAGATACACAACTTGAAGTGCATTTGCCTACCTCCAGCTAAATACCTAAGCAGGCACAAAGTAGGTATTAATTACATTTGGTTTCACATTTTGGTAAAAGCTTAAAGGACTTTGTGAGTAACGGGACTTTGTCTTTTTCTCGTCGCGGGTCATCATTAATGTCCTACCATTCCAGAAGTACTGTACAGGTTGGAAAATCGTGAAACAAGAAAAACCTCATCCCCTAGAGCCAATATATAATACAAGCGTGGTCAATGTTTCCCCTTGTCGCATACCGTCAGTTTATGGGTAAGACAGGAAGTGGGCCACCATCATACCTACATTGTTAGCAGCCATTGCAAGAATGGCTGCAGGGTATCATCGATTTGAGCTTCGGCGAGTAACCTCGACAAAGTCATCATGCAGAACCCCAGTTGGTTCAGACGCGGGATCCTAGACAACCACCTCCTCATCGTCAGGGTCTTCAATACTCGTCCTTCGTGTTGCCTCGTGAGTGCTCTTGATCTTCTCGCCATCATCGCCCGTAATTTCTCCTGGAGTCTCGGTTTTATCCGCTTCACTGCTTTCCTTGGGCTTTTGTTTATCCTTCTCCTTGGATCCAAAGGGCCATAGGCTGGTGAAGGGCGAGGTTTTTTGGCTCTGAGAAGGTGGGTGAACTGGAAGAGGCTTGACGATCACTCCACCCTTCTCGTTGCCACCATCCTTATCAACCTCGGGCATTGCGAAATCCCCAAACTCTTCGTCCTCTTCGTCGTTACCAGCTTGCTCTTCTTTGTCCGAATCGGAGTCATCTCTACCATCCCCAAACCTTTCTTTGCCCCGTCGCAATGCACCTCGCCACCAGCTACCCCTAGATGGGCCCGCATTCCACGATTCCGCATTGGTATCGTTCTCGGGTAAGCCATCGTCACTATCCTCATCTACATCATCTTCGCCGTCGTCCTCGAAAGGATTTTGAAGAATGCTGTCACTTTCTCTACCCAACTTAGATTCATCCGACTCTTGGTTGTCTGCTTCGCCTGATTGCGACGAAGAAGCAGCGTTCTTTTGATGCATGGCAAGTCTTGCAGCGAGTTGTAATCGTGCCCGAGATGGAGGGATATTCAAAGGCGGCGGCGGTGGGGGCGGCGGCGGAACCGATGGAGGATCCATTGATGATGAAGAGGACACATTCAAGGGGTCGGTATAGGCGCGAAACTGCATACAAGTTAGCAAGCGTATATCGTGGGTGCGAAATATTCAAGAGAAATGCACAGGGGCAAGCCAAAGGGGATTCGAGTGAAGCCAAATTGCCTAGTATAGCTTACCTCATTATTGACATCTTCACTGTCATCTGCGTCATCTTCTTCTTCATCACTAGAACTGCCAAACCCGGATCCGGATAACAGACCAGAGCTTATGCTAAAGGGTCCAAGGCTGCTTCCACTACCATTGTCCTGCAGTTCTATACTACCAACGCCGCCAGTCAAGCCAGCTTCGGCAAGGGAGTTAGAGCCTCCACCCTGTGCACCACCGAGACCAAGACTTGATAAGCCCATGCCACCGAGGCCATTGCCGGCCATCTGCGCCCGGTTGCTCATAGCAACGTCGGGTCTGACACCGCCAAGGATGGCATTATCTCTCTCGCGCGTCTCGGCTAGAGCACCTTCCACATAATTGATCCAGTCCTGGCTCATAACTCGATCCAACACAAGTTCCGACAGAAGCTCCGGTGGGTGGCGTTCTGTAAACTTGACAACTTCTTCGGCAATGAGGGTGAGGTGGCCCATGTAGCCCATGCGGGTCTTGTTTCGAGCTTGTGATTGCTCGCTTAGTGACTGGCCATTTATTATGGCATTAGTTATATCCGCCGCTTCGAACAACGAAATGGCCAAGGTAGGATTGTAGCCGCGATCCATAGGTCCATTGAATACTTGCTGGACGATGTCGTAGACAACATTGTGGAGAAAGTTGTTCCAAGGATACGTAAAGAAGAATGACTATAGCAATGTAAGCTTCCCGTCCGATATTACTAAAAACACATGCGGATTTACTCACTAGTATCGTTGGCACAACTTGATGTTCCACAAATTGAATCTTGAGATAATCGCCGACAACAGGGTTGACTGGCTCAGTAGTGTCGGGTAAATGGGCACCTGCAGTAGGTACCTCACCTGGCTGGGTGACATCTGCGCCTGTAGGCTGCACTTCTGATGACCCGTGCAGCATCGTGCTAGGCTCGCCTTCGGAGGGGGCATCACTTACAGCAGACTTGTCGGCAGCAAGGATAGTGCTACCCTCCTCGGATTGAGAAAATGAGCTACTAGAGTCTCCTGCAATCAGTTGTGTTTCTTCAACGCCGGTTTCTTCCTCGTAGCTCGTTACATCCACCCGTGGCACATTTGTGGCCGGCTGTATGAGAATTGGCTCTAAGTTGCCCTCCTGAGCAGCACCATCCTCGTTTTGTACTGGCTGCTGCATAGCCGCTGGCTTCTTTGGCGAGAGGGGGGCAACGACAAGCTCGGGGTTCTCAAAATGCTGCTCATTGAGTTTGCCGTCGTAGACATTTAGCCTCGGAGAGCTGAGCGGCTCTTCTACAAAGTCGTCATCCTCTCTGTCGAGGAAGGACGAGATTGGGCCGCCAGGGATCTCTTCCTCAGCTTTGACGAATTCATGAGATGTGTCTTCAGTCATCTCGCCTAATGGTGTAACCTCCTCGAAGCCGTCGTCATCGGAAGCATTAGTAACCTCAAGACGGCGGCCATCGTCGGGAGAAGAATGCCGAACCCGCATCATCAGATCCTCTGAGGATTGCACCTCCTCGCCGCGGTTAGCGGAGAGTCGACCTTGGGTCCTCAGCTGTTGACGCTCTTGGTCTCGCAGAGCAATAATCTGTTCGGATCCCACCTCGTTCAACAACGCCATGTTGCTGCAATGTAAAAGTTCGGCCATGAGCTCGCAGGTTTTGAAGCGATCGAAGCCGAGGGGCTCAATGGTTTCTCCGAATGTAGAGTCCAGTCGCGACTTCTGGGCCGGGGCGTTCAGGATCAGAGACATAAAGTCAGGTACATGATCGGCAAAGAGCCGAAGCAGTGTGCCAAGATAAATGGGATCCCGGCTAGAAGGAGAAGCATTCGAATCAGTTCCAACATCCGGGTCATAATCGGAGTTGTTCTTTCGAATGACCTCAATGACAATTCCCACACCAACTGTCAGCGCATTTCCTCCGCCAAGCATATACTCAATGAGCTTCTGGATGCAAGGCCGGGAGACTAGTTGACGTGTGAGCTCGTTCGGACCAATACAGGCTTGCTCATTCTGTGTGGCATTAGCAGACACAGTAATAATAGCCTTGATGAAGTCGCCGGCAGATGTCTGCGTTGCGTAATTGTGTTCGGGTCCGAGGAACGAGAGCAATGTTGGCATAACATCCTTGGTATAAAGCCACTAGTATTAACAATGTTTGTGTTAGCATCTGCATTCCCATATGCTCATACACGTAGGATGAGGGAAACCTACCTCAACTACACCTTGACCGTGTTCAGTTCTTTCGAGGCTGATAATCTTAAGTAAGAGATCCATAATCATAGGACAATCAACATGGCGCAACATGTTGGGAATAGCGTCATCGAGAGATTTCAGCAGCGCCAGCATCTCCTCCGTCTTCTTATCGAAAAGAGTCTCGTTAACTTTCGTAAAGTAGCTGGCCTGCAAGGGATCCAAGGGGGACGTGAGCTTTAGGAATTTCCAGAAATTACGTAGAAGTTGCTGGCTTTCCATAAGGGCCTCGTAGATGGACCAATTGTCAGACGACAGGACCTCTGCTGCAACGTAGGCGTATCTGTTTCTCTTCTTTTCGACCTCATCCTCGTCAGCCCCATCGCTTGTAGTCCTCGATGATGCACGTGGGCGACCGAAAGATAATCCCCGAGACTTTCCTTTTTTCTCATCTTCGTTGACGTCCTCCTCAATATTCTCTACAGGTTCAAGCTTTGGTGTGACGACATATTCAAGAAGCTTTTCGAGAACCTTGGTTTCGCGCAAATACTCGATAAGCTTAGTGTTGTGTTGCTTTAGCTCCTGGTTTAGGTCATCCTCATCAAGAAGATCCTCAAGTTGAAAATCGGGTTTGTCGAGAATGGTATCGATGGTCGATATGTTGGCGTATCCGCCGAACCTCCAAAACATGTCGACTCGTGCTGTCTATCACGTCCTCTGTCAGTGCGCCGGGCTGGGCTGCACCGACACCAGACAGATAGGACTAGGGGCTCGGATAGTGATAGGATTGCAAATGTGAATGTGGATCAAAGATAGACGCAAGGCTTAAGATCCGTCAGATGAGAGCCTCAATTTGGCTGGTTCTATCTTTTTTAGGGTTGGGTTGGGATTGGGGGGGTAGCGCGGGGAAATAATTGATAAAAAGTGAAGGTGAAGATAGGTACATGTGTAATATCGTCACCAGCCTAGGTAGAATTCCCCCGTACCGTTAGTTAGGCAGGATTTTTGTGTGGTTATTATATTTCCCGGTTGGTGTCAGTCGGTCAGTCGTTATAAAACGGAATCGCCCGGTTTGTCTAGCGGGTTTCGCACTTCGGCCACGAGAGAAATGAACCCAAAGGCAATGAATGGTAAGGAGGGAAGAAGGACGAAATGCCGTGAATCTGCAAATAACAGCAGAATCAATATGATTAGGCAGCGACTGCGGCGACTGTAGCTGGTAGCGGTTAGAAGCTTAGTCGCCCAATGGGATAAGGTTATCCGGCCCTATCTCTTTTTCTTTAATACGTCGTGTCTCTCGTCTCGTTACTTCAAATGCCCTATGTCGCGCCGGGAGAGGAATCTAATGAATAACAAAAGATGATAAAAGAACTTGAAGAATGATGGTTGAGGGAGAGTGCTACGTAAGTAGTGGAGTCCTTGTGTAGAATTGTAGAATTGATAAGACGGAATGGAACATTGAAAGTTGACGGAAATAAAAGTACTATGTACCTATGTATTTGGCCCAGACTTTTTGAAGTTCCAACATTCAAGAACTTGAACATAGAACTTGAAGTTAACAGCTCTGAACCGCAAATGTTCAGGTTGACAAAAATGACGCGGGGGCAAGCAGCTGTTACTGGTACTTACTGACTGTATTGTACTAGGTACAATACTGTACTAACCTTAGGTACCTACATACAGTTCTTGGGGGCATCCTTTCAGGTGGCCCTTTGAAACGGAGATTTCAATTGCGGAGGGACGCGGGGCCTGCAAGTGATAGCACCATGGTAGCTATTGCCATAGGTGTTAGGTACTGGGTTACATGACGGTGGCCCAGGGCTTTGGCACGTGCATGCTATGTACAATCAATGCCTATTTTGTATTGTACATCATCAATTCTGCCTCTATTTGTCTATTTTCCTCTATTTTAACATTGAAAATATGTATACACGTTAGTTACGTACTATGTACGTATGTAGTAAATGCACGGATGAAAGGTGGCATAGTTCATTAATCCTTAATTCAGGTTACATGTGTTACTCGTCAAAGCTTCAATGTTGTCACCAGCTTATACGCATGCACGCATATAAATGCCTACCTCTTCCTTATAGCCTACTTCTTAGCTCAAGTCATCTGATCCTTTTTGGTATATGACAAGAAAAAAGATACGAATGCTTATAAAGGTAGACGTCGTCTAGCAAACATGCTAGATCATATATTAAGTCTTGTATGCAATGATAGGGTATCGTATTTTCTTCCATATCTAGGTGCTGTCGTCCATTGATCAGTCTGACCATCAATCATGCCAACACACCGAGAAGATGGCGCCAACTTTGGGATTTACAACGCCGCCAAATCTCATTTCCTCTTCTGTCTCATCAACTTTCATCCATCTCATCAACTCCCATCCCAAACCCTCCAAAGATACTCGGCGTGAGGGCCTGTCTCTAAGGGACTTCTTCGTGCCATATTAAAGAGTAGCGTTATTTGAAGCTATTCCATAGCGACAACACTTTCAAGCTTGTACGAGAATATATGGCGAAGACATGACTGTCCAAGCTGTGGAAGCATGTAAGGGTTTGAGGGAGGCACCAAGTCGCAAAGTGACACCGGAACCAACGCATCTTTCCAAGCCTTGTCGTGTGGGTACCGCGTTTGTGATTTTCAGTTGGCAAAGATCCTCACATTCAAGTCCACACTCCCTGTCGCAATAACACATCTGACCTGCACGTCCGCCGTGGCAGTTTTGGCGGGACCATTCACCAGGCTGCCATTCTGTCCTTCGGCCGATCCGTTGGTTGCTGGTTCGCGTATAATACCTGGTGCCCACCTCAAACAAGATACAAAATGGCCATGGGCGTCTACAAGTGTCTTCACACATTTGCCTTCTTGCGTCAGATCCCAACATCGTAGGGTCTTGTCATCGGCCACACTCAACAAGTATTTTCCTCCAGGGTGGAAGACCAATGCCCTTACCCAGTTATCATGCCCAACCAGAGTCTTGATGCAGTTACCTCTTGCATCCCAAATACGTATTGACTTGTCTCGAGATCCTGTTGCCATGAATTCTACTGTACTCGTCGCTGGTGGAGGCTTCTTCAGCCCGGCAAATTGAGCAAGGTATTTGTATGCGGAGGGGGGTGCCAGAGTGCAACATTCAAGGGTGTGCTCGTGGCCAACCAATGTCAGCTTGCTTTCAGGAGTTGCCAATGAGATATCCCACAGTCGAGCAGTCTGATCATTCCCACAGGATAGGAGATAGTGGCCATCTGGCGATGGGCAAACATCTCTCACCCAATCCGCGTGTCCTCGTATCGTCTTGACGCAGTAGCCTGTCGATACGTCCCATATACGTAACGTCTTATCCCTCGAGGCAGAAACGAGCAAGTTACTGGAGCTAGGTGCGCCTGCAGCGCCTGATGGGATGAAGCGAACTGCACTAACGCTATGGTCATGTCCAGGTAAAGTTCTGATGTTCTTGTAGTCGTCGGAAGGGTCCCATAACTTGATAGTCAAGTCGCTTGAACAAGAAGCCAGCAAGGTTCCTCCTCTCGGACCTCCAAAGTCAATATCCAGCACTGCTTTTGTGTGTCCCTTTATTGTTCGCTCTAGCTCTCCCAACTCCCAGTCCCAAATCTTGATGGTATAATCTTCGGAGCCGGATGCCAGAGAAGAGAAGACAGGGTGGAAAGCAACGCAGGTAATAGGTTCTCGATGGGATTGCAAAGTATGGCGTGCCGGGGATCGTGGAAGCCAACTGGTAGGGTCCTGGTTTCGCTTGGAGAGGGAGGTAGGTGTCGCATTATCTAGCTCGGATTGCATAGCCGCGGTTTTTGACTCTAAGTCCATGATCTAAATATTGGTGCAGCGCATGTCAGTGCAAGTCTCGACTCGATATCCCACACACGTCGAGATATTTTGCTAGATATTTTGCCATACCTTCTTCTGGAGGCGAACAACGCTAGTCCATTTCTTTTCTAAAAGGCCTTCATATTTCTTAGCTGTGGTAGCATCAAAGGTGTCGCCCAGGTTCAACTCTTCTCGCAAAGCAGCAGCTGTGTTTGGAAGATTGTTTGACGATAGGTACGCAATAATTGCCTTGTGACTTGCATACGAGTCAGCGAAAAGCTTCCGGTAAGCCATTGCAGTCTATATGGACATGCAATGACAAACGAGAGCGAGAGGGGGAAATACATACAGCTCTTCGGCTTGTCGTGCAGTCAAGAGTTGGGTCATTTTATCCGGCTTACACCTTGAAGGCGCTCATGGGACCCGACGATGCTCGAAATGAATTCACAATGCCGATAACAGACTGCGGCAACTGATATAACAATAGAAGCTATAAACGGGCAACAACAAAAAGAAGTCACTCTGACACAAGAACTGTTTGGGAAGGGCCACAAAGACGTAGGCAACGATGGCGCACCACGAATAGTCTCTGCCAGGGATGGGATGTCGGATAAGTCGCAAGCTAGGACGGAGCGAAAGCGGGAAAGGCGTCAAGACTGAATGAAGTGGATGAACCAGTGTACTCGCAGCCCCGTATAAGGCGTACCAATGGGAAACCCAAGCAGAAAAACCGATGTGGGTAACGAGGCACGAAGAGCGCAGAGGTAGATAGGGTTGTATAATACGTATAGTGTCCAGGTATTGGTTCAACGGGGGTCCAGGTGGATAGGTTAGGTAGGTTTGCAAGTCGGTGGCAGCTTTGATTGTTTAGCGGGGGTGGTAAACCAAAGGCTGACCTTTTTGAATTTGTTCTTTTCGCTTTTCGTATGTAATTGGGAATTGGGCTGCGCCAAAGAGATTGAAGCTGTCACTTGAGAACACCAGGACGTAAAGGAAGGATTACAATCTTAAGTCAAGCAAATGCGAACCCATACAATGATGTAAAAGGACGCCAAGTTTCCTAGGACGGTCGGAGTTTATGTACTTAAGGATGGAGGTGGTCGATTTTGTTCGTCGACTCAGGAAAAAAAAAGTGAGTAACTATTAGAAAACAGTTCGAGACGTTTCTTGATGTGTTCCGATGATGCAGCGACATGGGTTACACAACAACGACACCTTGAAGACATGTGAAGCCACATGGCTTTGATGGGGAAAATTAGGTACATGGTACATAATGCCCACCTTGATAGAAGCAGCAAGCCACACCCTAGGTTGGGATCCATTGAAAATCATGGACGTGCACTAGTTAGTTACTAGAGCTCGAGCCTGAGATATCTTAAGGTACTTGGCATTTTACACGTTGACACCTGAAAGCTTCCAGTTTACAGTCATATTGAGAACGTTAAATATGTAACTACATATATGCGCACACATGTATACCTAGTACAAAGTAACTATGTTACTAACTACCTAGTATGCATGTCCTTTAATTCACACAGAGCACCAAGGCTTATTTATATATATACATATATTTCACACCGTAGTTACCATATGTCGGTATGATAGTAACATTGAAGTTATACACTGCATAAGTAATTAGAACATACATGTCTATAACGGATGATAAATTGCGGTGTACCTTGCAGCTGTTTCCAGATGTACTCCCCACCGTCGATGTATGTAACCTCCATGTACTTATTTGTGGATTTTGGAGGGGAAAAGGTACGTATAAATACCGTTGCCCTGATGGCAACCCTATTAACCAATAAAGTTTCTGGATGAGCTCGGATCAGGCTTAGTCTTTCCGTATTTACCCTCTTTTCAACCAATAAGCGATCAGGGACACACCTTATACGTAGCGAATGGTATGTAAATACTACTCATGTAGTACAACAAATAGTACCTAGTCGATACTTAGATAGTAAAATTGAATGATTGAAGTTGGGAAACTTTCATCTCTTGGTCGTCATCGTCAACTCAACTTCCTCGATACTTGCAAATATTAATAACTTCGCTACTCCCTCATGAAACCCACCCCTTCGATATAATATCCCGACATTTCAACTAACTAACTATATCCTCCCAAATCAAATCAAACCAACCTTGGAAATCAAACTCGCGACAGAGCAAGGGCTACCCTCAACGATAAATAGTATCAGTGCACAAAATTCCCGCGACGCAATTCATCGAACGACAAGAGACACTTCTTAACGGTCTTTTTTCGAAACCCCCCGCAAATTCAATCATTTTAAAGTCTTCGAGGTTTCCACATCCACATTCAGCGGTGGGAAACCGTAAACACAAAGGGATAAAGCAAGGCTGTTCTTAAGCTTCTTCCCATGAAAGCAATGTACGTATGTTCTGTGTGTCCGCTTACCTATTTTCGCGAACATCACCTAGTCGCTCTTTTACCCTTTACCTTCAACTTATACAATACTCTTTCTTGTCTCTCGCTATTCACTTATAGTGCTACACTCATTATTAATTCATCCATTCATTCTTGCTGTTCTACCATTCCGACGCTCCTTTATCGATGCCTATACGGAAACAAGCAAGCAGCCTTGCATATATATCCAAGTGGGACATAACAACGGCCAACTTGTCTCTATTCCCCATTTACTTCTTTCGTTGCAAGGGGACGAGGCACGAAACACAATAGACGGACATCTTTAATTTTCCCAGCCTTCCATTCCCAACTTTTTATTTCCCCCATGCTTCTCTTCTAGTCTCTTCCCAACCTGCACAACATGCGCATTCCTTTCCGTCTGCCCAAGAAGCCTATCCTGCCAAGACTAATAAGAAGAGCAGCATCGGCTTTTTCATATAGTCGCGTCCGAAAGAGATCTGTACCGCTCGACCCTGATCACAATCGTCGCACCGCTTCCACACTTATAACTGCCAATATGGCGGACGGAGAGCCCGACTACAGCTCCCTGCCCCTAACGGAGAGATGGGTACACAAAGTATGGAAAGTTCGCAAGCAGGCATACGAAGAGGGAGCCAAACAATTCGAGGCCACTCCTGACGAATATGATCCCGCTTTTAAACCTTTCAATCAAGAGCCTAGTTTGTGGAAAGGAGCCGTTGCAGATTCAAACGTTGCCGCTCAATCCGATGGCATTGCGGCCTTCTGTGCGTTTCTCAAGTTCGGTGGCAAGGAATGCTGCGTACGTTCGCGTGGTCAAGTCGTTGGTCCCATTGTGGAAAAGGGGCTTGTGTCTACGAGGCCTGCTACTAAGACATCTTCCATTGAGGCCCTGCTATTGCTTATCGAGATCGATGCCGCTGGCCCAATAATTGAGGATATACTACCAGCTATATCTGCCAAGCAGCCCAAGGTCATTGCTGCCGCACTCGCGGCGCTCACGACTATTTACCACAACTACGGCTGCAAAATAGTAGATCCAAAACCGGTTCTAAAGATTCTCCCTAAAGCATTTGGACATGCGGACAAGAACGTACGCGCTGAGGCAACCAATCTAGCCGTTGAGTTCTACCGATGGCTCAGAGATGCTATGAAACCCATGTTCTGGGGCGACCTAAAATCGACACAGCAGTCCGATCTGGAAGCTCAGTTCGAAAAGATCAAAGCAGAACCACCAGCAAAACAGGAACGGCTACTGCGGTCCCAAAAGGAAGCCATGGAGCGCGCGCCGCAACCTGGAGCTGAAGGGGACATGGACGATGACGACGGTGCCGACGAACCAGCCGAAGTGGATGCATTTGATCTTGCAGAGCCTCAGGATGTCATATCAAAGGTTTCGGGTACTTTCCACGACAACATCGCCTCGTCAAAATGGAAGGAGCGCAAAGAGGCCCTCGAAGCTCTCTATGCTGTGCTCAATGTACCAAGAATCAAGGACGGTGACTTTGCCGAGATCAACCGTGCCTTGGCGAAGTGCATGAAAGACGCAAATATTGCTGTCGTCACCCAAGCGGCCCAGTGCATCGAAGTGCTTGCACAGGGGCTCCGGAGAAGCTACGGAAAGTATCGATCGATCGTCATGGCGCCAATCATGGAACGGCTGAAGGAGAAGAAGCAGTCCGTTTCCGATGCGCTCGGTGCTGCCTTGGATCAAGTCTTCTCAGCCACCAATCTAACAGACTGTCTTGAGGACATCTTCTCATTCCTCGGTCACAAAAACCCGCAGATCAAAGAAGGAACCATGAAATTCCTCGTCCGTTGTCTCAGGACAACCCGCGAACCCCCAAATAAGCAAGAGACGACCAGCATCGTAGAGGCAGCCAAAAAACTACTTTCCGAATCCAGCGAGGGCTTGAGATCTGGTGGTGCCGAGGTTCTCGGAACCGTCATGAAAATTCTTGGAGAGCGTGCCATGACACCATTTCTCGAAGGTCTGGATGAGATTCGAAAGACTAAAATCAAGGAATACTTTGACAAGGCTGAAGTAAAAGCCAAGAGTAAGCCAAAGCCGAAGCCTGCCCCTGCTCCTGCGGCACGAGGTCCACCAAAAAAGATCGTAGGCGGCGCAAAGAAGGCCCCTGCCAAGAAAGCTGCGCCGGCTGCTGCACCTCCCCAGCCTGTATCAGAGCCCGCTCCTGCGCCTCAGCCGGCATCCCGACCCGGTGCAGGTACCAAGCTAGGCGTTCCCAAGGCTTCCGGGTTGTCCGGACTAAAGGCACCACAAAGACGCATCGGCGCCCCTGGTATTGCCTCCCCCAGAAAAGCACCACCACCTCCAGTAGAAGACGAAGAGCCCTTTGAAGCATCTCCTCCGCCAAAGCCCCGGATAGGGCTCGGCCGAGGTGGCCTCGCTGGCCGATCATTAGCCAAGCCATCCGCTGCCTCAACAACATCCTCCGCGCCCTCCCCACCGCCGTCAAGTGGGCTCACAGCCATAGAGCGCGCTGAACTCGAAGAATTGCGTAGTGCAAATGAGCAACTCACGAAGCAAGTAGACGAGATGCGTCATGAACGAAATAAGCTTTTGTCAGAAGTACAAGAACTAAAGAATCACAACGCCGGGCTTATCGAAGATCACACCAGAGATGTACTTAGCATCAAAGCGAAGGAGACACAATTAGTCAGAGCGAGAAGTGATGCCGAAGCGACCGAACAAACGAATGAGAGGCTACGGCGGGAACTTGAACGCCTTAAGCGCGCACTCAGTAGGGCCGAGGGCTTGGGTGCACCTGGGGGTATTGGAAGTCCGGGTGTGACGAGCCCTACACCCGACGAAATGGGCATATACCGTGACAGCGCAAACTATTCCAGTGCCCGATCAAATAGAATGAGTTTCGCCAGCACACTTTCAGAAGAGAAGGAAAATGGCGACGTACCTCACAACTACCCGAGGAGCAAACTAAGTCCAGACCTAAGATATGGCAGTGGGTCAAGCGGGAGGGGAAGTCCTGCCCGTGGCTTCAGGAGTACAGCGGTAGACGAAGGGGCCGGGCATCATGGCACCGGATCTGCCACAAGTTCCACGGTGGGCGGACCTACTAGCAACGGCGTAGAGAGCTGGAAGAGAGCCGCTGAGGTTACAAGTCAACTCAAAGCCAGGATAGAGCAAATGAAGGTAAGATTAGATATTTCCTTCCCCTTCCCATAATTTGAGAGGGTGGTTTTTTTTTTTTTCATGAAAACTAACAGCTGCAGGCTAAACAAGGGTTTAACCGGCCATGAACCAAGGCCAATTGCTCATCATAAGACTTGTCATCATCAGGAAACGGCGTTGCTAGGATTATCAATGTCCAAAGGAGGGATCAGGGGTTGCGTCTACTTGATTCGGGTGCATTTTCCTGGCGTTGGATTACATCCATGGATACCCCCCGTCTATTTGCATCCGCTACCGAAGCGTTCGGAAATGTCTTGATCATTATATTTAGACTTAATTGCCCCTTCACTACAATAATCACATGTGTATAGGTAGTAACTTTGGGCAAAAAGATGAGAAAGTCTTGTCTTGACAGTGTTTGGGTTTTAATACAGGATGAGGTGAAGTCTTGTTGACACCCAATCAGCAAAACATCCGCACACGTTATAGGGTATATGATGAATATTGTGTGATACAAAAAAAAGGCTAGATCTCCTCTCATAATAACCTCAATGCTACCAGCAACGCCCAGTAATTTTACCGGCCTATTCTCTATCTTCCCGCCATTCTAGTCAGTCCAGTAAAAATATATAGATAAACATGCTATCATATCGGAGTAATGAGTAACTCGATGCCAAATTTCATCACAAAATTCGTCCCTGAGATTTTTTGATTTTCTAATTTTATTTTTTTCAGTCTTTAATCTTCAGGAGCGCCTTGCCAAAGTTCTCTCCCTTGAACATGGCGACGAAGCCTTCGGCGGCCTTCTCGATGCCCTGCGTAATGTCCAGCTTGGCGGCGAACTCTCCGTCGGCGATCCACTTCTGCACTTTCTGCTGGTGCTCGGCGAAGTAGGCGGGGCCGAAGGCGGGCTGGCCGACGATGAAGCCTTGCATCAGGATCATCTTGGTGACGATGCTGACGAGGCCTTTGACGCCGTAGCGCTGCTCGAGGGGCTGGTTGTAGCCGGATATCTGTGGTCGATGCCGTGTTAGTATCGAAATGATCAAAGCAGGGAATCGGGGTTGGGTTGGGGGGGTGGGGGGGGGGTTGGGGTGGAAGCGTACCATTCCACACGCCGCAATACGCCCGTGCGGGTTCATGTTCGCGATCGCCGCCTCGAGCTGCTCGCCGCCCACGTTCTCGAAGTAGATATCGATGCCGTTCGGCGCGAGGCGCGGCAGCGCGTCGAACACGCTCTCCTTCTTGTAGTTGAAGCCGCCGTCGAAGCCGAGCTCGCGGGTGATGTACTCGAGCTTCTCGTCGGACCCCACGGACCCGATGACGCGCAAGCCCTCGTTCTTCGCGACCAGTCCCACCACCTGCCCGACGGCGCCCGCGGCGGAGCTCACGAAGATGGTCTCGCCCTTCTGCGGCTTGCCGATCTTGTGGAGGCCGGAGTACGCGGTTAGGCCCGGCATGCCGAGGGGGCCCAGGAACATGCCGAGGTCGAGGTTGTGCGGGTTGCTGATCTTGCGCGCGGAGACGGCGGAGGGGTCCGGCACGACGGCGTACTCTGCGATGGGGAGGGCGGCGAACAGGATGTCGCCTTGCTGGAAAGAGGGGGTGTTGGACTTGAGCACGCGCGAGACGGTGCCGTTGGTGAAGGGGTCGTCGATGTTGAGGCCGGGGGTGTACGACTTGACGGATGGGTCGCGCATCTTGTTCCGCAGGTAGGGGTCGAAGGAGGCGTAGAGGATCTCGACGAGGAGGCCGCCTGGGGGAGCGTCGGCTTCGAGGTCGAGGGGGCGGTCCTCGACGGCGAGGTGCTCGCCCGGCACGGGGAGGCCGGTGGGGACTTTTTTGAAGACGAGAGTTCTGTTGCGCGCCATTGTGGAAGTGGTCTTGGGGGTGAGTGAGGTGAGGTACTTTGACTGTGATAGGGATGTTATATACAGAAAAGATGGTCTGATTATTATACCGAGCTTTGAGATAGTGAATCAGTCCAAGCTCGACCTACCTACATGTCCTTCGCTCTCCTCTTATATATTACATTTTTATTCCATATAGGTACCCGCAGTAACAGTAGTACCCAGTATAGAGTATTTTCATATAAACAAGTATCCAGTAATCAATGACGCTACTCCAATGACGCTACCATACGTCAAGCACGATGGCCCGAGTTAATGCCACCTTACGCCAGCTCAACTGATGAACTCTACCACCACTTACCTTGACATGCCTCGGCATGGACTACCTAGTAGTCTCCGTCTATACCCTTTCGGTTCTTGCGTCCGCACCTAGGTCAGTTTCATGGCAAAATACCGTTTATGTATTATGTATTTGGGTGGGATGGCTCGATGTGTTGATTTATAATCCAAATGGTTCCCATGTTCCGTTTTTTTTGGTCTTTCTATACGCTTTCTATTTTTTTCTCTTCCCCCCTTTTTTTTATTGAGTATATAATTTTTTATTCTTTTCGCCTTCAGCATCATGGCACTATCGCTGCGCTAATTATGCACAAGTAGGAAGGGTCCAGGGGCAAAGCACCGAGGTGAGATGTGTGAGCGCTGTCTATTATGCATTGGTACACTTAACTACCTAGCCAAAAACCTGATTCGGGTATTTTCGAGTATTGCTACTGGAATATTCGAGACTTTGAGACTTTGAGAGTTTGAGTTATTTGGCCGAGGTCAAATGTACTGCGTATTAACTAGCTTCTTTACGTTTAAAGTCATAAAATGCAGTTATCGTATATAAATGTCTCGGAATGCTGAATAAAAATGACCAAATTTTTTGAAACTAAAAACTAACTTTTCCATGCAAAGAAAAACGCACGAAAGGATTTTTTTTAGGTGATTACGATAGCAGATAAGTACCATATAAAGTGAAAAAGCAATCAGCCGATAATTATCCAATTTCTTCTTTGAAGAGGAAGAAATTCACCGGTCCTGTGGTGCAGTGGTTAGCATGGTGCTCTTATACAATCTTGTAGTGAGATATGCATAGGTCGTGGGTTCAATCCCCACCAGGACCAGGTATTTTTTAATATCCATTCGCATTTAATGATGAGATGTGGATGTTAATTGTGCCTCTTTTTTTCTTTTTCTTTTTCTTTTACATCTTTCGGTTTTAATTCTTCATTCTACGAGTTGTCTATCATTTCTTCATACATGATGTACAGATAATTGCATCAAAATAGGGACTTCTACTACCTCTGCTCCACTCTCATCCTCTCATCCTCTCATCCTCTCATCCTTTCGCTTGACCAATATCCACGATGTGAGAATGGATACAATCGCCGTGCTTAGAAATGCAAGGCAGATACCATACGACACGTAGTAGGTTGGACCAAATACTGTACTGAAGACATGAGGACCAGCTATTCCACTAAACTGCGCCATCGCATTTGTCCAACCGATACCAAGTCCTGAAGCAACTGTCCCCTCCAGTGCGCGAATCCGTTCTGGCCATATCGTTGGATACGCGGAGCCCGCGCATGACACGGCTATTATTAAAAAGATGTACCTCACCACTACATTGTGAACGGTATATAAGATTATATAGCAAACAATAATCGTGGACTCGACTTCGAAATGGTCAGCCACATAGCAAACTTCTAACGTCTCGAGGTCAATACTCACTAGCTACAGCCGTCGTCCAAGGTCGAATGGTCTTTTTATGTAAAAAGTGACCCAAGACATTCAGAAAGAGGAACGCACAGACGTAAGGAGGCTATCACATCATGATTAGCTATGACTTCAAGTGCCACTGAATAATAAACTTCGAGTAAGGCATCTTACAATGTTCATCAACTGCGAGTTGGAGGTAGTCGTGAAGCCCAGCTCATAAATGACCGTCGGCAACGCGGTGCCGATGCCGAAGCCACCAATCCCATGGCAGATCCAGTACGCCGAAAACGTGTAGAAAGTCGGATCCCTGCCCAGCTTCTTCAGCGACTCGAAATCCCAGTGCCCTTTCTTGCCCGTCGGCGCAGTATCTCCCAGCCGGCCCTGGAGAAATGCTCGCTCGTCGTCCGTGAGCATCCGCGCGGTCTCGGGGTAGTCTGGCAGCCAGAATGCCACCACTGATAATAGGATGGCAGGGAGTCCTTCGAGGAGGAAAAGCCACCTCCAGCCGGCGAGACCTCCTAGCCCGTCCTAAAGATTTTCTCACGTTACTCATTAAATTCATGCACCAAAGCCAGCTTGTTGAAAACTAAAGACAGTGTTTCGAGAGAGACACACATACCATGAAACCAATGGCATAAGCCAGCAGACCACTCACGGCCGGAGAAAGCTGTCCTACCGAGTAAAATATGGCAATCCGCTGCGGGATCTCGCTAGGCTTGTACCAAAAAGCCATGTGGTAGAGCACAGCGGGGAAAAAGCCTGCCTCTGCAAGCCCGATGGCGAATCGAACGCACATCATCTACATATCACTCTCATCCAGTCAGTGACCGATATATCTTACAACAAACAATACATGAATTCTAGGGGGAAGGAGGAGAAAGCTACTCACGCCCCCGAAATCCTGCGCCGCCGCCGACGAGCAGGCGCAGACGCCCCAGCCAAGAATAAGCACGAACATCCAGCGCGAGGGGGAGAACACCTTCATGGCGAGGGTATTGGTCGGCTCGAAGACCATGTAGCTGTAGGAGAAGATGGAGAGGGACCAGGCCCACTGCGAGGGGGTCAGCCCCAGCTGCTTCTTGATCCCCGTTCCGTTCTCGAGGTTGATGATGGCCGCGTTGGAGTAGTTGGCCGAGTCGATCACCCGGAACACGTACACGAGCGAGTAGAAGCCTACGAGCCAGCGGTCGATCTTGCGCATCACGGTGCGCTCGAGTTTAGGCTTGGACTTGGCATGGTGGCGGGAACAGTCAGCCGCGAGCTCGATGTCGTCGCTGCGGTCTGAGAGCGATGCATCGTTGATTGTGAGAATGGCTTTGGTTGCCATTGCTAACGATGTATCAAAATTTATTTCCTGTCTAGGTACCTAGATATTCTATAACCATCAAGGCAGTGTTCTTGAGTGTCACAATTATACTAACTACCCACCGCTAACTATTATCAATAATCAACATTCAGCTACCTCCACAACTACTGAGACAATTCCGTGGCTTTTTCGGTATAACTCCATGCGTTCGTCATATACCTCAATGCTATTACATACATACTTACCTAGGTAGTAATACTAGAGTTACAGCACGCCTGCGATGAGGTCAACAGGAACACCAAGCACGCAACAGCTCTCCCCGCTCCTGATGGCTTCGACATACCACCCAATGAGCTCGCACTCTCCCAGTCTATACTTCTTCTTACAGACGATAAGGTTGGATTCGATGTAACATTAGGAGAAATGGCGATGTTATTTCCCAGTAGGTATTACAGGCGGGTATAAGACTGTTTGCCACCCACGGGTTGACTGCTCCAAGGGTTGGTTTCTACTAGGTTAGATAACTATAGATAACTACTCCTTAAATGAGTAGAACAAGAAAAGAACATTCTCAAGCCAAAGTAAAGTCTATTAAAACAAAACAAAGATGGCGCCCATCGCTCTCGAAACACCCCAAGCCCCTCCTCCCCAGTCCCAGCTGCATCCAGCCGCCGGGAAAGCCATCCCCCCCATAAAGCCCTGGACACGGCCTCCCCAAACAACCTCAGACCTCGACTGGGCCGAGCTTCCCAAGATCGACTTATCCCTCTTCGACTCGCCGGGCGGCAAGCGGGCGCTGGCGGACCAGCTGTACGACGCCGTGACGCGCGTCGGGTTCTGGTCGGTGGTCAACACCGGGATCGACGACGCGCGCGTGCTGCGGCAGTTCAGCATCGGCGACGCGTTTTTCCGGGAGCCGCTGGAGGAGAAGCGCAGGTTCCCGTGCAATTTCGCCGAGGGGGAGTACTTTGGGTACAGGGAGAACTCGAGGTGGGTGGGGGATACGGGGGTGAAGGAGAATGTTGAGATGGTGAGAAAAAACATATCTAGATACCTCCTACCTCAGCCCCGTGTTTCTAGCGCGATGCTTATTTATTTCATGTATTACGATAGTTGAACATCCCCAAAGCGACCCCCGCTTACGCATCCGTCGGCAAGCACCGGCTCGTCTCTCAGAACTGGGACGAGATCGCCTCTTTCCACCGGGACCTGTGGTCGCAGGTGATCCGGAAGCTGTTCGTGCTGATCTCCATCATCCTCGAGCTGCCGGAGGACTACCTCGCGGACGCGCACGCCTACGACGAGGACTCCGACGACCACCTGCGCTACATGCTGTACAACGTGCGGACGCCGGCGGAGTGGGCGAAGGCGCAGGCGTATTCGAAGGGGGGCCACACAGATTTTGGGAGCTTGACGTTGTTGTTCTCGCAGCATGTGGCGGGCTTGCAGATACGCACGCCGGAGGGCGAGTGGAAGTATGTGAGGCCGGTGGAGGGTGGGAGTAAGTACCTATACCTAACCCATCTATCTCCTACGAACGGTTATAGTTGACTGAGGGGCGTGATTCGTAGTCACTTGCAACGCGGCGGACACCTTGTCGTTTCTTACCAACGGTATGTCCCCCCCCTCTCTTCTTAACATAGTTAATGAGGTCAGGTACTTCTCAAGTGACATATTCAACTTACACTAACAAACCCAAGGCTTCATAAAATCCACCATCCACCGCGTCGTAACCCCTCCCGCAGACCAGCTCTCCATCCCGCGCCTCGGCCTCCTCTACTTCAGCCGACCCGGTGCCCACACGCTGATGAAAACCGTCCCCTCGCCTCTGCTCGAGCGCCTCGGCCTCCTCCCCCAGAAAGATAGGGGCAGTGCGGACGATGACGCGCCAGTGGTCACCGGGACCGAGTATGTCCGCGCGCGGGTCAAAGATGTGCACTACAAAACGGTGCTAGAGCGGCGCGAGGGCACATCGTTCGAGTTCAAGGGTCTCAAGGTGCAGAACCATTACGCGTGAGTGAGTGAGTGATTGGACTGGGCAAGACGTTAGTTAGGTACATATGTATAAGTGCCTAGGTGGGTATGTATACTTTGCAACGCGGTAAACCTACCAATTCATTAATAATGCCTATCTATACCTATAACCTATCCAAGTATAGGCTCCAGGCCAGTTTTTCTTTGTCTAAACACATGTCGTGTGAATGATAACCCTCATCTTGGTGATGATCTGGGAGAATCTTACTAATGAGTTTATTACCCCATGGGGAAACATTTAAACCAAAAAAAAAATCGGGTTTACTAAAGGTCGAAGACGCTTGTATTACAAATACTACCATAACTAACAACATACCATACTACCATAATACTCATACTGACCCACCCAAGCACAGCTATGTATAAATACCAATAACCTAATTACCTACTCAGGTGCTTACTTTATTCATTGCCTAATACCTTTCTATGTTTCGTCCATACCATCTAAAGGGGTGGAACACTATATCTCGTAAAATCTACACCACCACCACCACCACCACTCCTTGCCTTTCCCTGTCCAAGACCTTCTATTCTATAAAATCCTCAGCACCTACACCGACCCCATACAAAATGAAAGCCCTAGTAACCCTCCCCGAGCACACGGCAAGCGTCCAGGACCTCCCCACCCCCCAACCCACCTCCTCCGACGAGATCCTCGTGCGCGTGCACTACGCCGCGCAGAACCCCACCGACTGGAAGTCGATGCGCAACGCGCCCGCAGGACGGATCGTCGGGTGCGACTTCGCCGGCACCGTGGAAAAAGCCTCCCCCTCTTCCTCCTCCTCCTCCTGGCAACCCGGCCAGCGCGTCGCCGGCTGGGTCCACGGACTAAGCGGCGACCCTATCCGCGGCGCCTTCGCGGAGTACCTCGTCACGGAGGCGAGCCTCGTGTACGGGATCCCGGACTCCGTCTCGTACGCGGACGCGGCCGTGGTCCCGCTGGCCTTCGCGACAGCCGTGCAGGCGCTGTTCTCGCGGCTGCGGCTGCCGGAGCCCCTACCAGGTAGCCAGCTGGCGAAGCAGAAGGGGGACAACCCCATCTATTTCCTGGTCTCGGGGGGCACGACGAGCGTGGGCGGCTACGCGATCCAGCTCGCCAAGCTCTCGGGCGCGACCGTAATCGCGACGGGCTCGCCGCGGAACCACGCGTACCTGAAGTCTCTCGGCGCCGATTTCACGGTCGACTACAAGGACGCGCATTGGCCGGAGCAGGTGCGGGAGCTGACGCACGACAGTCTCGGACTAGCTCTCGACTGCATCTCCGAGAACGGGACCGTGGAAGCCGTGGTCGACGCGCTATCCACGAGCAAAGGGGGCCACGCCGTGACGCTGCTGGCGGTGAAGGAGCTGCGAGAGAAGATCAAAGCCGAGAAGCCGAAGGTGAAGCTGGAGAGCACGATCGCGTACACGGTGTTCGGGCGCCCGATAGACTATGGCGACTTTGATAACTGGGGAGGCCCGACTCCGAGTGACAAGGCCTTTTGGGAGAAGTATCTGGCCATTTTGCCCGAACTGCTGTCCAGTGGCACGATCAAGCCAAATAGGGTTAGAGAGTTTGGGACCATTGAAGATATCCTGACTGGGTTTAAAGAGCAGGAGGCGGGCAGGGTCAACGCCGAGAAGTTGGTCTATAAGATTATTACCCAGTAAGCTACCTTAGTAGGTAGCTTACTTCTTACCGTTTTAACTTATAAGTCTCTCAATATATCAATATAGCTCAAGGTGTTCAGTATGTGTGCGATTTGGCTAAAACAAGTCTATCGGTGACAATGAGTCTCTGCTTATTTTTAACATTGAATAGCACCCACCATGGCGTGGCAGGCTGGAAAAGGCCCCTTGACACACCTTCTAAGGGGTGGTAGGTATGGTAGGTATATAAACTGCAAATTCAAGGCACCGATTCCCTAGGAATTGTCTGTCCAGCACTTCGGGCTCTTCACGTCGAGGACGCCGCCGAGGTTAAGCGGCCGGGTATACAAGGACTTGGGGGATATGTCCTCCGAATCGACTACAGAAAATTCTAGAAGCTTTTTCAGTATTGCACTCTAGCGGAACTAGTCAGATCAGCAACCAAATGTAACCATTTACTTCCATTCTAAGCTCGAGCCTCACGCTTGGCCTGCCTTTTTCTCCTCGGCCTGCTTGACTGATGGGAACGGATTGTATGAACCCCTATCAGCCTGCAGCTTCTGTAACTTCTCGACAACTTCGTCTAGTAGAACAGGTTTTCCCCGGTCTTGGGTTGACGTATCATCTCGATATCGTACGTTCACCTGGCGGCCTTTCATCTCCTCGTCTCCAACAACTGTATTTGGCAAACGACAGTACTATTAGCAAAATCATGGCTAAAAAAATAAAGAGAATGGGGGGAATGGGTCAAATACGCACCGAAGATGAAGTTGTACTGTGCCAATTGCGCGTTTCGTATCTTCTTAGGAAGCGTGTTTCCAGTAGTGTCTATATCAACGAAAATCCGTTGCTTCTTGAGCGCGTCTTTGACTTCCTGGGCGTATGGCACGAAACCCATGCCCACAGGGATGACTATGACCTGACGCGGGCTTAGCCAGAATGGCCACTTGCCGGCGAAGTGTTCAATAAGAATTCCTGGTGGAAGAGTAAGCAAACTGACGCCATATTTACATCATGTTACCTCTTACCCATGAATCTCTCTATGGAGCCGGCCATGGCACGATGGATAATAACCGGACGAGCACAGCCGGGACTTAGAGGCTTGATAACCCTTTCCCGTGGAGCGCTGCTGTCTCCAGCATGCGCATGGGCTGAGTGGTCATGCTTAGCATTGGCCTCCGCTGCTTTCGCGGCTTCTGCGGCTGCTGCTGCTTCTTCTTGTTTGGACTTGGCGACGGGCAGCTCATTTGTAACATATTCGAGACCAAAGTCTAGCAACAGTCAGTAATGTAATGAAGACTGGTACAAAGGGAGATACCATACTTTCAGGGCCCATGAAATCAAGCTGAATTGTAGCGCATTGCCATTCCTATAAGTCAAGGTCAGCATACCACTTCAGAGGAACAATGGCACTCTTTATTTGAAAGAATAAAATGGTAGACAAACCCGGTTCAAGCAGTCCAAAATCTTGATGTCGATCTGTTACAGAATTAGCAAATCTGCGGTAAACGTATATGGCGAGACCAATATATACCTTGGGTCCGTAAAAAGCGCCGTCGCCCTCATTTAGCGTCCATGATACACCGCCAGGGCCTGAAGCGAACTCGTTCAGTGCCTCCTTTAGCATGTCTTCGGCTTTGTCCCACGTTTCTTTCTGGCCCATGAACTTTTCGGGGCGGGTGGAGAGTTGAAGCTTAAAAGTGAACCCTAGTAGGCCATACATCTCTGAGAGAAAATCGAAGAGGTCCGAAATCTCGCTCGTGACCTGGTCGAGTCGACAGAAGATGTGTGAATCGTCCTGCTGGAATCGACGTACACGGGTTAGACCTGATAATGCTCCACTGGCCTCGTTTCGATGTAGAACGCCAAAGTCGGCAAGTCGCAAAGGTAGCTGGCTGTACACCCTGGGAGCATGGGCAAACATGAGGAAGTGGGCAGGGCAGTTCATGGGCTTCAGACCCCATTTCTCCTTTTCCAAGTCCATGACGAACATGTCTTCCTGGTAATATTCCCAGTGGCCACTTATCTTCCAGAGTTCCGAGTTGAATATGTTGGGGGTAATCACTGATAGATGAAGTCAGTTAGTTTACATAAATATGCCGACGATTTTGCTGCAAGACGAACCTTCCTGGTAGTCACGTTTGTGGTACTGATCTCGGAGGTAAGTGAGGAGCGTATTATAAATTCTGGTTCCGTGTGGCAAGAAAAATGCCGAGCCCGGGGAGAGTTCGTGGAACATGAAGAGCTCCTGCTCTCTGCCAAGCTTCCGGTGATCTCTCTTGGCTGCCTCCTCGAGGAATTTCTTGTGCTCAGCCATTTTTTTCTTATCTGGGAAAGATACTCCGTAAATACGCTGGAGAGAATCGTTTTCCTGCGAGCCCAACCAATATGATGCCGAGTTCTTCATGATGGAGAATGCTTCAATACGTCCAGTGTCAGGAACGTGTGGGCCACGGCACAAGTCAATCAGGGGGCCATTTCGATAGACAGTAGTGGAGGTGCCGTCGGGGATCTTGGTGGAGATGATGTGTTGCTTGTACTTGTTGTAACTGAACATATCTAGGAGATCCTGCTTGGTGATTTGAAGGCGTTCGAATCTCTGGCGATCCTTGACGATATCAGTAACGATGCGCTCTAAGGGTGCCCAGTCGGTCTGCTGGACAGCAGCACCACCGGGTAGAGCCATCTCATAGTAAAATCCATCATCTATCGGAGGACCAATGCAGAGGGAGCAGCCAAATCGCCTCTCGCAGGCCTCTCCGAGGATGTGGGCAGAGCTGTGCCAGAAGACGGTCCTTCCTTGCTCATCATCGAATGTGAGCAGCTCAAGTTTACAGCTCTGTTCAAGCGGTCGGTCTAGATCCCATAGCTTCTCCTTGTCCCCGTCCAGGCGAGCAACGATAGAACGTTTGTACAAGCTATTAGAAACACCCTTGGCAATATCGCCCGGGGTAGTCTCCCAACTAGTGCCGACCTTTACGGATCCATCAGGTAGAGTGATGGTAATATTCTCACGGGGCTTCTTAGCGATTTCCTCGTCGTATTTTGCCTTGAGGCGATCGAATAACTCTAGACGTGTTTTGAGGAAATCGGGAGGCGGATTCAACTCGATAGGGCCGGTGGCAGCATCGGCTGCGGCAGCTTTGGATTTCTTATCTTTCTTGGCAGGCTTAGGGCCGCCAACAACGACCTTTTTCACCTCACCGGGAGCAGCTTCGGCCATCTTTGTCGGGCCCTGTTTCTCGGGGCTAAGGGAAATCGCGAGTCGAGAATTGTAGTTTTTGTGTTGGCAGAATTACGAGCTAGAGATGCTTGCCGTGTGAGTAACTCTAGCAAAGAATGGGTGAGGAGGGTAGGCATTACCTTGAGAAAAGTAGTAGGTGGGGTGGTGGGGTTACTTTACTTGCATACATACATGTACCTCGATAGGCCAGGCTGTTTTACTACCCCGCTACAGAGGTATACATAACTACACCCGATTACATAATACTATGTATGCCACTTTATATTTTCCGGCGTAAGATGTAAACCACTCTTTTCTATTTCCTACAGATACAGGCTGTCTTACTTACCTACAATGCCTCAGCTTGAGACTTGCAATTTAGTTCTACATAAGGGGCTTCCTTAATTCCTATTACACCGTTTCTAAACCGTTTGTTAGGCTTGCCGTGCGAAAAGCGTTTTAGTTATCCCATAGTGGTGTTTAATATTCATTTAGAATTTGGTTTTTAACGTTTATCATGTTTATCTACTATGTAGCCTTACCAAGATCGTTCTGGCTCCTCCACTTAATAAAGTAAACTTGCAAATGGCACGGCGTACTGCCATGTGCATGCAACTTGGGAACTATTGGGAATAGCCTATGCATTGCCATGTGTGGCTGCTGTGACTGATGTAGTATGTACTTATGCCATAATGGTTCCTTTTTAGCGTAAAGCTAGAAAACGCTAAAATGTTTCTTTTCATTGTCTTAGAATTCAACGTGACCTAAATGGCTAAAGTTGTTCCAGTTCTTCATTATTTCAACCAAATCTAGATCTGAATTTTCAGGTTCACCTTGTTAACCTCTAACGTGCTGGGAAGTATATATTCAAACCGCAAGCTCGTCACTGCCCGTGAGCTCACTCTTCACCTTGCACATACTTGCACGTCCAAGCATCTTTCGGTCGCTAGGGATTATAAACATCTCATCTCATCTCACCTCTTGCTACACAAGCTGAGTGCTTGGTAGTACTATCTATGTACATATATATTATCTAACATTTGATCCTAGTACAAGTACATACACTGTCATACAGTATATACACCAGTGACCTAGGCTATATTCAGCCACAACAGCGCTACTACAACCACTACTACAAGCACACCACAAGGCAGCTCGACACGACATTGGACCCCGCGATTTCTCCCGATTGGACCTGTGGCGTGGCTGTTGATCGGTGCCACTGCATCAGTGTCATTCAATTGTCTTAAAACTTTTTTCTTTTTTTTTCTTGCTTGTGACGCTGCAGGCTCGAAAATTTTAAATAATCAGAGATTACAGCAGTGCCTCTCGTCTTCCCTTTCTTCCAGTCAACATGGGCGACATGGCGAACGAGATCAAGTTGCTCTCGGGCAATAGCCATCCGAGTTTGGCTAAATCCGTGGCTGATCGGTAAGTTGCTTTTTTTTTCCTTTTTTTCTTTTCTTTTTTTTTCAACTCTTCGACTTTCAAACAAACAAGAGCAATTGCGTTCGGCTATTCATGGCTCTTTTTGTAAAGTGTTCGGGTGACGAAATTGGAGTTGTCGGAGTCGGCCAAGAAGCAATTGAAAATGGATATTGGCTAACCATGAGCCATGTGCTACCTATAGACTTGGGATTGAGATCGCAAAGACGATGAGTTTGAACTATTCAAACCAGGAGACAAGCGTTACTGTTGGCGAATCAGTAAGAGATGAAGATGGTATGACATGGATCCATTTGCGCCAATTGATTTGACTCTGAGCTCATGCCTTCTCTAGTCTTCATCTTGCAATCCACTGCGCCAGGCGACATCAATGATGGCTTGATGGAGCTTTTGATCATGATTCACGCCTGCCGAACAGCTTCCGCCCGGCGCATTACCGCTGTCATCCCGAATTTCCCCTACGCGCGCCAGGACAAGAAGGACAAAAGTCGCGCACCCATCTCCGCCAAGCTTATCGCCAACATGTTGCAGACCGCCGGCTGCAATCATGTCATCACCATGGATCTTCACGCCTCGCAGATTCAAGGCTTTTTCAATGTCCCAGTCGATAACCTGTATGCCGAACCAAGTGTCCTACGATGGATCAGGGAGAATCTCGCCGGGCAGGAAACCGTGATCGTCAGTCCGGATGCTGGTGGTGCAAAGAGGTAGGTCTAGCCGTCAAGCGCGAGCTGTGGAAGGAATCGAGAGAAGAAATTCTGACACATTCCAATAGGGCTACGTCTATAGCGGATCGCCTCGACCGTGGCTTTGCACTCATCCACAAGGAGCGCCCCCGACCCAATGTCGTGGGCAGGATGGTACTTGTCGGCGACGTAGTAGACAAGGTTGCGATCCTCGTAGATGATATGGCTGATACCTGCGGCACATTAGCGTAAGCATTCATCCCCTTCCCCTCCCAAAGTGCAAAATCTGGTATTAATACAATCTATAGCAAAGCTGCAGCCACCGTTAAAAACCACGGTGCGCGCGAAGTCATCGCTGTAGTTACGCACGGCATTTTGAGTGGGGATGCTATCAACACCCTCAACAATAGCTGTCTTAGCCAGATCGTGGTCACAAATACCGTACCTCTCGGCGACAAGGTCCAACGGTGTAAGAAGCTGAGGGTGATCGACGTAAGCCCTACGATAGCCGAAGCTATCCGGCGAACTCACAACGGAGAGAGCGTGAGGTATGTTGCTATCACCTCTTGCCTACTCATTCTATTTATACCCCCTCGAATTCTACATTACATTGCTAACTTGCTTCCAGCTTCTTGTTCACCCACGCTCCGCTATAACATACATACATACATGCATTTACGTTTGCTAGCATGTAAATACTGGGGAGACCAGACAAAGATAGCCGGTGTAATCACGCGTACTGGAAATACAAAGCGTTTTAGAGAATGGGATGGGATTGGGCTGGGCTTTTGCCCCCCTTCCCCTTTTTTTCTTTTTTCTTTTCTGTCTTAAACTTGGGAGTTAAACTTTGCATTGGGAAATGAGTTCTGCGAAGAAACGAGACACCGTAGAGGATAAAACGAGGTCATATAAGCATGGTGCTATTTTACTTATACCTTACTTACTGCATTTACCCCCTGGACATAACGAGAATTACATCTGCATATCCCTCTAGGTACAATTATGGCATAGGTCATGGCGAAATGGAAAGAGAACAAAATTGGGTTTGGGAGGCAATATCATGGAACGTCACAATAGAAACCGCATCCTCAGCTGGGGTGCAATTATGAAGACTACCGTCACTTTATCACTATAAAAGAAAAAAAACTTGAAATTATGGGAATCTTGATCTCATTTTTTGGGCTCCGGGAATATACTCATGATGCTTGGAATTATCTAGGACCAGCCACCTATCATCCCTCGAAACCGTTCCGTGATTTATGCCCAATGCAAGAACCAGAAGACACCGACCCAACGCCTGGAGGTATTTACTTGCGCATAGAGCTTGCTCGGCGCTTGCGGGCATCGGCCTTGTGAGCGCGGGCCTCGGCCACACGCTTGGCGAGGACCTGAGCATACTCGTTCTGTATTATTCATCGTTAGTACACTATTAGAAAAGGGGGGATCATAAATAGATATATGAAGAGGTAAACATACTGCCTCGTCCTTGACCTTCTCGGACTGTCGTCGCTTGAGCGCAATGCGGTGGCGCTTGTGCTGGAGACGCTGGGGGGTAACCAGTCTCTGGATCTTGGGGGCCTTGGTGTAAGGCTTCTTGCCCTCCGTCTTGGGCTGGACCTCACGTCGAATGACGTACTTGCGGACCTATATCACAAAAACCCACTGTATTAGCCATCTTTGGGTTGTTCCCATTGTATATTGTATATTCCTCTCAGACTCTACTCAGTGGTATTCATTGCAAGGGATTCTTCTCTCTCATCCCGCAGAAGCAACGACCGAGTAGGTGATGACGAATGAAGGGTTACTTACATCGTCATCCTTGCTGAGACCAAAGAATCGGCGGATCTTGGTAGCACGCTTGGGGCCGAGGCGCTTGGGGTGAACGACGTCGGTTAAGCCGGGGAGCTCGTTGTCGCCTTGCTTAACGATCGATAGGGCGAGAACGGAAAGATCCATGCCGACGATGCAGCCACGGACTGACTTTCGCTTGCGCTCACCGGTACGACGGGGACGGTAGCAGGAGTGACCTTCGGCGAGTAGGAGACGGACACGGGTAGGGTGCATGACACCCTGCTTCATCGGGAAACCTTGCTTGTCGTTGCCACCGGTGATGCGGAAGATGTAGCCCTTGAACTCGTCTCCAAGGTTGTCGCCAGGAACTTCAGCGCCCATCTAGCAGTAATAAATAAGTTAGTGTTTCCATTTCTTCCCATCATTGAATATGGAAAAGGCATCGTAGCGATTGATTGATATTGGATTCGCAGCAAGATGGAAAGGGAAAAGTCGAAAACGTACGCGCTTCTCCATGAAGTCTCGGAGCTTTCGCTCATCTTCGATCTCAATCAACTTCTGACTGCCATTGGCAGGGTAAGAGATGTTCAACTTCATCTCGGCGGTGGTTGTCGCGGTCGGCCGTTGTTGTGTTGTTGGAATGAAGTCGAGTCGTAAAAGCACACACGAAAGAAAAAAGAAGGTTAAAAAAATATGGGATTGGTAGATTAAAGTTGATTGTGCGATTTCTTCGCCTAATCCAAATTTTCCGTTTTCCTGCAGTGGGAAGAGCAGGGTGGGGAATACGCTAGGGCTTTAGAAGCACGAGCCAACTTTCTACATTAGCGTCTAGTACGGCTGACTAAGTAACCGAAGATATTCCGCCCACGCGTCTCAACGCGAACTTGAGGTCCACTCTTTATATTAGTACCAGGAATAGATCTATGTAATAGATCTATGTACATAGTTAAGTACTAGGTACTTTTCTCTCCTCTTAACACCGCCAGCATTACCTCAACTCTACGAGGATGCTCAAGTTGGACACATGTTAAGATGGCTTCTTCTGTCCAACTACATCCAAGGAACCTCAACCCTGGAGCTACTGTCTCAAATCCCCTTCCTCAATTGATTCAAACACCTGCTGGCTTGGCACTCCTCGAGCTTCAAGGCAGTATCAACTTCCCTGAGACTGGGGACAATGATGAGGGGAATCCTAAGGAAATCGATATTGGGCATCTTACATTTCCGGAGTACAACTTTAATACACCAGATCCTTCCAATACTTCCTGGATGAATCGAATTCATCTCTACGTGGGTGAACATCAGAGACTCACAGGAGAAGTCAAGAAATTACCCAAGGCTATGGCTATCATCAGAAAGCGGGCTAAGCCTGACGAAGACATCGACATGGCTGACGATCAATCTAAAGTTACGATAGAGGATCTAGAGATCGTCGAAATCGTTAAATATAAGCTCGTGTTTTCTTCCCGCCCAGAGCCCGTGACAACTGTCTGAGAACGTGTCAGCGCTTCTTGAGAAACAACCTCCATTGATGGTCTCTACACGGAAAATATATTGAATTCCGAGCTTCGGCCATGGATGACCCCAGCAGTTAGGTGTATGCCCTGTATGGTTACCAGACGTCTTGACTGTGAAGCTTGAGATGCTCATGAGCATGAAGCTGTGCTTAAACACTCAGGAGTGGATCTTCATGGGTTACTGAGGATCTCTGCTGCTCACTGGAAGAGGGGCACAGTTGATTTGAGAGAAGGCCAAAGGTATTGTGCCCATCTATGCTTCATAGGAACTCTATTGTCATGTGCCAACATGATTCTACGAGGCTACCACCCTGGTAAATCGCGGAGGGAAGAACATTCTTCTGATAATCCATTCCACAGTATCAGAGATTTGTCAACGATAGGAGGAGATGAAGGGATTTTATTACGACAGGATAAATATACCCGATTGTTCAAAAGACATATCACAGCTTATGACTTCTCGGCGTGTTTGCCCCCCCTATTAGGCATATAAAACAAGCCTGTCTGTTACATCTAGCAATTCTTCTGATACCTATGATTGGTTCATATCCGTACCTTTGAGAGGGAAATATTGATAGTGTAATGAACTTTTGAGTATGTTGAGTCAGGCACGTTAGCTGTCTGAGGACAATTGATAAACTTGCGACTTTGACGTATAATAAATCATCACAATAGTACTTAAGTCTGGAACAATGAAGTCTGGTGATTTCAATCATTGATGTTGGGTATGGCAAGATGACGTCATCTAGCGACAAGTCTTAGCACAGGCTGCACAGTACATACCTACCTAGTAGGTATCTGATTATGGTACTGTCTCCCACCGCCTTAATTCTGCCATTCCGAGACCCACCTACTTTGGATGTCCATCACAAGCCGAACACTCATCTCGTCTTAACCACTTTCCAACATAATCTTACAATTTCGACCATCCAAACAGCTTCACTTTCCAACACCTTTTCGCAAGCTGTCATTGGGAAATCATACGACGCGCCTTGGAAAGTCATCTCGATACAAATCTTGATCGAGGTCATTTATCAGGTAAGCTGCAATTGCTCTTTCACCCTTCAATGTCATCTCGAGCCTTCGAAACCGCATCGAGGCTTCATCATTTTGCGTGAATCTCTTGATCACAGTCATTCGAGTCCGACACGCTACACTACTACGCGCCGAGTAGCCGCGAGGCTCTGACCACGCTAAAATTTCAACGCGAATTCAATTCCATCTCAAATCCGCAACCGTCATCTGAATTCCTCTAACCTACTTCTTTAGAACTGCTACCTCACCAATTCATCTAATTGCTACAAAAGTTCATCGGTACTCAAACAATAAAGAACTCTACTCAAAATAATATTCGCCTATAAACATATATTCCTACTTCACGGTCTCCCTATCGAGATTTATTAAACACTTCAACAACTTCTATCTACTTCTCGACTATCAGGAAACTCCGTCATCAACCGACATCACGCAACAATGTCTAGCCTTCCGATCGAGAACGAGCAGGCTGCTCCTGCGGCCTCGCAACAGAACGAAGAGGAGATCCCTCAACCAATGGAACCTAAGATGCCTTCTCGCAAAGACACATCTTTGAAGGAGTTTTTGACCAAGATGGACGACTACGCGCCAATCGTGAGTAGACCGCGGTTACTCGACTAGCTATATCAGACGTACTAACTATACAGATTCCTGACGCGGTAACCAACTACTACATGACCAAATCCGGTCTTCCCCCGCCGCCTCAGACCGATCCCCGCCTCGCGCGTCTCATCGCCTTAGCCGTACAGAAGTTCGTCGCCGACATTGCCGCCGACGCCTATCAGTACAGTCGCATCCGAGCAAGCAACACCAGTGCCAACAACCCAATGGGTAATCTCGGCGCCGCAGCTGGGCTCCAGATCCCAGGCCAAACGCAAGCCGGTGCGAAAGACCAAGGACGCGGTGGTCCACTGGGCATCCAAAGAGCAGGCTATGGCGGCGGAGGCCAAGGCGGTAGCCAGAACCGAACGGTCCTAACTATGGAGGACCTCGGCATGGCTGTCGGAGAATACGGTGTCAACGTCAAGCGTAGCGAGTTCTACAGATGAGCTCATGTATGTCACAAGAAGACTACGTAATACGACTCTTGCCTTACTGACGTAAACCTATTTAGGCACCTAACGAACGATCTCAGCATCATCGACAAGCCAAAGCCAGAATCCATCGCGATATTGGTACAGCTTCCGGCTATAGTCAGATATGCAAAAATGGAGATCACTGTACAACATTGAGAACGACAAGCACTTGAGAAATGACGGAATACTTGCCTACAGAACCTCACCTATAGGGAAAGGGAGTTGCATCTGGGAACAAAGGGCATTGGCGTTTAGGAATTGGAATTTCATTTTCAGGTATTGAGCTTTGTTGCGCCGGGGCGCGCATAGCTTAACAAGACGTCTTGCCCTGTACAAAGATTGGATGGCAGACGTCTCGCACAAGTTGCACATGGATAGATGTTCATAAATATACATCCCTTTCCATGTCATACTAATATTTTTTTTCTTCTTTTTGAATTCGTGGTAATACGTAAATGTACACAACTGGTGATCGCCATGAATCTTATTCTGTAATTGCCGTGAACGCCCGGAAGGTATTGTGTGCGCCCATTAACACCATGCCTTCTTTTCTCTAAGCAGCTCGTGACCAGATAAAAGGTTTCCTCGTTCTGTATATAAGACAGAAAGCACCAAAATTAGTATTTTCTTTTTAAACAAAACGAGCGAAAACACTCCCCAACTATAAGATAAACAGAAATTGGTGAGAGGGGGGGCTTCAAAAACGTACGTGGCGAACTCGCCGAGCTTGTGCCCGACCATGTCCTCGGTGATGTCGACGTCGATGTAGGACTTGCCGTTGTAGACCTGGAAGCGCAGGCCGACGAAGCTGGGGAGCACGGTGGCGGCGCGGGCTTGTGTGCGGATGGGCTTGACGGTTTGGCCGGGGGCGGGGCGGATGATGGGGAGACTGTGGCTGTTAGGATTCTTTTATTCTTGCGCATTGGGGGGGAGAAGGGGGAAGGGGGAAGGGAAAGGAAGGGTATTGGTAGTTATTCTCTTACGGGACGATGTGAGGACCTGTTGCGCGCTGGTTAGTACAGTACGTCTTGAACGACTAACATATGTAGGTAGCTATGTAGAAGGGCAATTGGGAATTGGGAGGGAGGTAAGAGGACGAGGACGTACCCTTCCACACCGATCGGCCTTTTAGGAGGCACCTTGTCGGCTGCATTTTATTTGGTTTTTTGGTTTATGAAGCTGGTGGGATGAAAGCTCGTCGCATCAAAATTCGAGGTTTCAATAATTATGTATGTATTACATACTACGTAGGGTACTTGGGTACGTAAATGTTTTCTTTATCGATAAGAACTGAACAGTACGAGGTGACTTATTCACAATTTCACAGTATAACTAACTAGTTAAATATATGTGGATATAGTTATGCATACATATGGATGTCACACTGTTACGACCATACCAAACCCCCTTTATACTACCCTAACCTATGTAGGTATGTAGCAAAAGCAAACCTGGGAATAATAACACCGGGTTAGAGAACCGAAATCACACCCGTCACTATTCCATCTCAGAGGCCTTGTCCGTCTACCCCGTTTCTAACCCATGGCTTCGTTTCATACCAGAACCCCCCCCCTCCCTCCTGGTGAATATCCATCGCCACGCGGAGAGACAACGACGTACGTTAACGTGATTCTAATATATATGCGGAGAGCTAGGCCCCGCCCCCCTGGAAGCAGCAACGAAAGCTCAGGGGCAACTGTTTTGATAAATGCATAGTTAGGTACTAGGTAGTGGGCAAATACAACGTGTAGTTACAGTAGCTCGATTTCATAAATGCCATCGGCGAGTCATGACGAAGAAAAAGAAAAGAGCATCTACTCTTGACAAGGAGCGTGTGCGGCCATACACCTGAATCGCAATTTGTGACATGCGATACCTGAATGTATGTATGCTAGAAGCCACCACCAAAATAGTAGTTGGTATACTGCCCACACTTACATAACAATGGGGGCAATTATATGCCTGTACCTATTAATATGAGCCTCAACGACCCCCCCCCCCCCCCATCCCCCATTTTCCCCCTTGTATTTCCACAGATCTACGATCCCCTCGCATTAATTAAGGTACTCATGCTTGCGTTCTCTTTTGCGTGGGGCGGAGCGTCGGCTTCCGTCCCGAAGGTATAAGACCATGAATAACCATCCCATCCATCCCACATCCTTCTTCACGACGGATCCAAGAAGTCCTGTCTCGTCCATAAACCAACGTCGAGCATCTTCTTCGCGGTAGGTAGGTAGTCTAGACCATCATCATCATCATCATCATCATCATCATGAGGTTCCTCGATCTTCTCGCCACCGCCGCCGCCGTTTCTGCCGCGACGGTCCCCACTAAGGCCCGGAAGCGCGCCAGCGCCTTCGACTTCGTCGGCGTGTCCGAGTCCGGAGCTGAGTTCGGCAACACTGCTCTCCCCGGACAGCTTGGCAAGGACTACACATGGCCAGACCATAATGCCATCTCTGTAAGTCGGCTAACGCGTATTCCCCCCTTTTCGGAAATGTCCAACCGCTGACTTCAGAGAACAGACCTTGATCCAGAAGGGATTCAACACTTTCCGGATTCCCATCATGATGTTAGTTTGTTTTTGTTTGGTTTTTTTTTTTTTTTTTTTTTTTTTTTTGGGGGGGGGGGGGTTTCACGCGATGATGGGCCTATATACCATAAGTTGCTAAACCAGGGTGTCTACCTAGGGAGCGCTTCGTCCCTGACAAGTTGACGGGCACCGTCAACGAGACCTACGCTGTCGGCCTTGACGATGTGAGTTTCAAAACCCCAGAAGCATACAACGAATATCATACTGACCAAGAAACCCCCAGATCGTCAAGTTCGTCACTGGCGAGTTAGTTTCCATCCCATCCCATCCCTTACATCTTTCCAAGTGCAGCTGCTCACCACTCACACAAACAGGGGCGCCTACGCCGTCATCGACCCGCACAACTTCGGGCGCTACTACAGCAACATCATCACCGACGTGTCCGGGTTCGGCGCCTGGTGGACGACGGTGGCGAAGCGGTACGCCGCCAACGACAAGGTCATCTTCGACACCAACAACGAGTTCCACGACGAGGACAACGCCCTCGTCGGCCAGCTGAACCAGGCCGCCATCGACGCCATCCGCGCCGCCGGCGCCACCTCCCAGTACATCTTCGTCGAGGGCAACTCCTGGACCGGCGCTTGGCACTGGGTTAGTCTTCTTCCTGGCTATATATAATGCCTGCGAATCGCAACTAACCAATACTCACCGTATAGACCTCCAGCGGCACCGCCGAGGCCATGGGCAAGTTGACGGATCCTCAGGATAAGATCGTCTACGAGATGGTATGTTTGCCTACTTACCCCTTTCCCCCCATCTTCTCCCCTTTCCTCGCCCCCCCCCCCCCCCCTCTTCTTCTTTCCCCTACTAACCCCTCCCCATAGCACCAATACCTCGACACCGACGGCTCCGGCACCAGCGAGTCCTGCGTGTCCGGCACCATCGGCTCCGAGCGCCTCTCCGCCGCCACCGCCTGGCTCAAGGCCAACAACAAGAAAGGCCTCATCGGCGAGACGGCAGGCGGCGCCAACGCGCAGTGCATCCAGGCTTTGCAGGGGATGCTGTCCCACATGCGCGACAACGCGGACGTGTGGACGGGGTGGCTGTGGTGGGGCGCGGGCCCCTGGTGGGCCGACTACATGTACTCGATCGAGCCGCCGAGCGGGTCGGCGTTCACCAAGGTGTTGCCGTCGCTTGCGGACTTCATCTAGGAGGGGGCTTAGCTAGGTAGGTAGGTAGGTTGGTTGGCCGGAAAGGATTAAGCAGTGTGTAGGGATATGGGGAAATAAGGGGGAGATTGATTCAAGTCTAGGTACCTAGTTAGGCTGAACTAAATTAGTAATTGTATCACTCATGCGTCCTGACTCCTTAGACTCCTTACGAGTATTCAAGTGCACACCGGCCTCCATACCTGCATCATGATATGCCTACCTACCTACATACCAGGGCCCCTATAACTCTAAGACGAAGAAAAATATGGCAAAGTGTATGCATCAAGTGGTAAGCTAAAGAGAAGAAAGAGGGTAGATTTAATTAAGTCACGTAAAGAAACGTCAGGTACTATAAACCTTCTGATTTCTTTTCCTATGTAGAGCAACTAACTAGGTACTATCATCGCATGAGCTCTATTCTACACTACACATGCTATCGCGAGGAATTAATGGCAAAACCTCAAGCAGACTAGAAAGTAGGCTAACGTCAATGGCCTGCACTCCATCAACGCAGCTCTCTTCCTAGAGTCTATATGTCGAGTGCCGCATGCCGAATGGTAAATTAAATTTACCAACGCCTCCTTCCTGTGCCTCTCCCCTTCCTGTCTTCTTCATGTATAGAACAATGTTTTCATGTCTGCGTGGTATATTAAATACGGCCGTCTTTCCATGTTCCCCGAACCTCTTGACGGTGACCCCAATGAATTGTCATTATCTAAGCGAACCCGAAGTAATCGCTTCCAGTCGTGATGGCCTTGATGACTTGTCGACGCATAATATCGTAGCTCTCGTATTCGGGGAGGTCAAGCTCTGCGTTGATTATCAGTAAATTGACTTCATTTGTAACACCTGGATCGGAGTACTTACGGTTAAAACAGGTATGGGAGCTTGGTAGCCGGTCTTTGTTTCCATAGTCACGATGGATGTTGAATCGGTTTACACCGTTCATGCCCTCGAGCTCCTTGAAGCCGTTCAGAGGTACCTTGCTGGTACCCGTTACAAACTGGAGAAGTTTGGCTCGCTCCTCTTTATCAAAAGATCGCACTGCTCGCCAAAACCATTGGATCTGAGGGGATGATGGCGTATAGTTATGGTACTCGGTGTTGCTCTTCCAGTCATCAATATCAACATCCGGCAGACCTGAGATCAACAGCTCTAACTCCTGCTCATTAAAGATGGAGATAAGTTCGGCTGGGATGATCTCGTGGAAGCCTATCTAGAGATTAGCACTGATTCTAACAACAGCTGGGGTGGGTGGTTTCGTCGAATCTTACCTTTTAAGAAGTGCTCCATCTGCTCCTTGACTGAAGTGAGAAGTTTGTGCTCGACGACAAGGCGGACATAATCGTGCTTGTTCTCCTCCGTGACCGGTACGTTGCGACCATTCTCGACGAGGTCGTGGATCCGGGTAACACCAAATTCATCATCCTCAACCGAGAACGATTCAGTGATGATATCAGTGATGTCGTTGCTCAACATCCAGGAGAGGGATTTGTAGTAGTCTGGGTCAAAGGACTCCATGTCCTTGACCGAGACTGGTTTGCCCAGAATTCGCTTGTAGACGGCACGGCTAAAGTAGCAATCGAGTAGACGTCCTTCGTATAGAGCTTTGCCGATGATACGCCCGATAAACTTGAAGAACATGAGATGCTCGTCGTTGATACCACTAAGCTTGTTAGGGTGGAATGTCGTCCGATCACTGGAAACTGGAACGAATAAAGCATAGTTGGCGTCAAACATCTGTCGTGCGAGAACCTGGAACCATTCTCTCGTCACACCACCAGCATCCACGCCTTCTTCGCCATGGAATCTGATGCTGAGCTTGCCAAACTTCATCTCTTCGCCCGTCTTGAAGTACAGCGATTTGAATGAGTCATGGAAAACATGCTCTCGGCGGACCTGCAGCTGCAATAGCGGATGTGGTCGCTGACTGGGGTGTTGTTTGTTATGAACGCTACGGTTGAACCAGTTGCGTTTATTGTCGAATTCTAGCACCTTCGGGTTCTTGACGAGATGTGAAAAGGTGCCTTTCATAAGTGATGGATTGTTGCGCACAAGTTCGTTGAGAATCCGGCGATGCTCTTCCGTGAAAGTGAAGAAGAGCCCAGCCAGGTGTGACTCTGGCTGGGGGCTCGAAAGCACCATATCCTTGCTGGCCTGGGTTTGGGAAGTCGTCTCATTCTGCGAGGTGTCCTTGCAAACAACCATCAGAGCTTCGATCAGGGGAAGCAGAATGGTGGCTACGTTCAGTAAGCTTTCGCGTTGGCGAATCGCGCTTAGACAAGCACTGAGCTTCTCCCACAATGCATTGAAGGTTGAGTTGCGGTACAGAGTAGCGAGCAGATCCTGTTTCTTAACCTCGTCGGAATCAGAGTTTTCAGTTACATCTGGCTTCTTTTGGGCAAACAAATGGTCCAGAGCAGTCAGGACTCGCAAAAGTTTGTTCTGGTCAGAAGCGCCAGGAGAAAACTTGGCCAAGGCGACCCCTTGAATCTCTGTACCCGACGCAGCGTTCTGGATGTGTGGTAGCAATTCGTCTAGATGGACAACAATCTTCTCACTCAAAAGCTGGGCTTGACGAGCAAGCTCTTCGCCAAAGACCAGCATCGCGCCGGGAATTACAGAGAGGTTCTTGATAGTCGAGAGAGTTTCCTTGAAAGTCTTGGAGCTGCACTCACGCGCCACAAATATTTTGATAATGAGAGTCAAGTTGTGGGTTGGAATGACGGGCGGATGCATTTGCTTCATTCGTTTCAGTATTGCCTGCTTCTCAAAAGCCTTAGAGGATTCGGCCTCGGCAGTCGATGTGCCAGACGGTCCGTTCTCTGGCACTTCGCCATGGCCACCCACAGATTGTCCGGCTGGCTGTTCTGATGCACCCACATCTCCGCTTTGTGTAGTGTCCGTGTTGTTAGTCGCTGGGGCGGTAGAATCTGCTGGCACGGCTACTCCCGAAGCTTCAGTGGTGTCCGTAGGTTTTGCATCAAGATTCTTGATGGCTTCTGCTGCCTCCTTCTGCTTACGATCTAGGTATAACAGTGGGCCCGTCACTCGGCTCAACAATTGAGAAAGGCTGTCCATGATGGAGGAGCTTTCCATGACCAGATCGCGATCAAGGAGGGCGAGTAAAGAGTTGATAGCATACTTATTCGCCTTCACATCTTTGCCTTTGCCTTTACGACTGAGAGTACGCTTAATAGCTGTGTTGCTGACTCCATCGTGCTCAGTAAGGAAAAGGGAAGGTACGTGAACGTTCTGATCCGCAAGGTAGCAGAGTAGGTCAAGACATTGTTGAACGATCAAAAGCGGGGACGTCTCCGAATTGGTTTGGACGGTGTTGCTGTTACCGATGTTGGTGGACGCGCGCTTGAGCGTTTGAGGGGTTTGCGTCTTGGCCTCCACGTCTTTAGGTTGCTTCGCTTTGATAGAAAGTGAGGCGAAACTCCGTTCGACGGCATCCACATCAGTTGAGCCCTCCTGTAAGATCTTGAGCAGATTGCTGACAACCTCAAATCGAGTTTGTCGGTTCTCACAAACATCCTTGAAAAGGTATTTCAAAGAAGTCTCGAGAGACCCGCCCTTCATATTGATGAACATTAGGCGAAGCAGAGTATAAACGCCGGGCTTGTCTAACATTTGCACAACTGTCTTTCTGTGAGGTTTATCCCCATCGGTAGTCCCGCCGCCGATCTGAGTGGTCTCTCGCGGCCGGCTAGTACCAGAAGACGCTCTATCATGGTGTGGGATAGGATTAGAAGCTCTGACTAGTCTTCGTGCTTCGGCAGCTAAATCAGGGGGTAAAGAGTCGATTATATCTTCACCTTGGTCCATCAGAACTTGCTCGCGAAGCGCCGGTGGGAATGTCATCAATATGCTCGCGGGATCCATATCTTGAGGCTCGGCTGTCTGGCCGGGAATGGCCGTCTGGCGTCGCATTTCGTCACGATCTCGCCGGCGCTGTTCCGCTCGCTCTTGTTGAACGATCTCTATACGGAGCTCATCGGGTAAAGCATCTAAGAATTCTTGGAACACTTCTGTCTGTTCTCCCGTGCCTCCAGGCGCTTCTCGAGCTTGCGCCCTGCGCGTGCTGACTGTTTGGGCAATGACTTCCTCTCTGAATTCTTCCGGGAGTGCTTCCAGGTAGTCGGGATCAATTCCAAGCTCGGTAACATCAACCTCCTCACCTCTAATCGTCGTAAAGGCACGTGGTTGGGCGATGGTCGGCTCGTCCTCTGTTGGAAATGTCGCTGTATTGCTTGACTCTATTCCTTCCATAGCCTCTGGTTCTGTACGATCACCATCTTCGCCCTCACGGCCGACAGTCGGTTGTGCTTGAGCTCGTGCAGCCGATTCAGCGGCTGCTCGTTCACGCTCTTCAGCCTCCTGCTTCTCGCGAGCTGCTCTTTCTTCGGCTTCTTTGGCCTCTCTTGCTTTTCGTTCTTCGTCTTCGCGCTTCTTGCGTTCTTCCTCTTGCTGCCGTTGGCGCTCCGCCTCCTTAGCTTTCACCTCCTGCTCATGTTTGATAGCGGGTGGGACAAGGTGGAAGAGAATTGCTGGGATAAGGCGATGAGATTTCTCCGAATGTTGCGCTCCGAAAATCATTTTGACCTCTTCCGTCCACCGAGACACTGTAGATCTTGTAATGAATGTGGTAGTCTGAGAAGGCTCTTGATATGTGTCCCTACGGCTATCAGAACGAGACTCGCGCACGTGAGGGCCGAATGGGAAGTGCACATCATGAACATCTCCACGAGGTCCCTGTGTTATTTGAAAGTGAAACGCGTGTCCAGTGCGGCTGACCGATGTTGGAAGCGATGCTACAAGGTCATTAATAAGGGACATCGGAGTGTCAATATGGGGGGGGCCGAATAAACCACCGTAGAATCCCAATCGGACTAGACCACCAAGGTGAGAAGGGCGAGGAGATCCGTCTCTACCAGCATCATTGCCCCGACGAAGAAGAGGATTCAACCCGTCCTCATTAGCAGCATGTTGTGGATCATGTCGGCTACCCCGTACAAAGCCTCGTGGGTCTAAACGATCGTTAGCCTGCATGCCTATACTTCGAGAAGCATTAATGCAAATTAAGATGCATTATAGCCTTGTAGGTTGGAAGTTGAAAAATCTTGAATACAACAAGGAGACTTAACATACCAACGTAATTATTCATAGGATCTCCTCGGGTTCCCATCATGAACGGGAGAGGAGGGAAGGGAGTACGAGTGCCATGTCGTTGTCGGTGATGATGACCGAGAATGGCTCCATGCGGTTCTACCACAAGAGTATCCCAGCCTAGGCCAGGGGCTGCAATATCACGAGGCGGCGCGTCGTCTTAGAAAAAGGGAAAATAATGTCAGTACTTCGTAATTTCTCACTCTTGGTAAAATGGAGTAAAAGAGGGAGTGATAGCTTACTGGGGAAATCATCCTCATATGCGTATTCATCATCCATGTCCTCGTCATCTTCATCCTCTGATTTCTTGTTAGTATGAGGGGAGGGTTTGGATGTCTCTGATACTCACCATCCTCGTCTTCATCCTCCAAGTAGTGCTCATTGAGACCGTTAAGGTCATCGGGAGGCTCAAAATCTTCCTCTTCAATGGCACGCATTATGTGTCCGAGTCTGTCTAAACCGTCGACTTCGTCCAGATCATGGAGGTCTTGGGCTTCCGCTAGATCTTGAGCTTCTGCTTCGTAGTCAATTTCTTCTCCGTCATCATCCTCCTCTTCGTCGTCTGTCTCGCTTTCCCAACCTGAGACTCCGTCATCTTCAAGTGGGTTCCCTTCGTCGTCAACGATTTCAATACGGTCTTCTGTCTCATCCATGTCATCGGAATCGATTTCATCGTCACTTCCGTCCTCGTCATCGTCATCCTCCATATCATCATCTTCGTCGTCATCTTCCATTGTGACTTCGATAACGCCATGATCTCCCGATAACCCTTCAATGGGACCCATTCCTTCTAGGTCCTCATCTTCGTCATTTTCACTGACGTCTTCTTCACGATCTTCGGACCCGTATCCCATGTCATCATCATATTCATCGTCATACATCTCCTCGTCATCATCTAGATGTGTTAGCTCTATCTCATGCGAAGGAAAGGATACAGGCCTCATACCGTCTTCCGAATTTTCTGAATAGTCACCGTCTCTATCTCTTCCAGGCTCCAGCATACCGAGGGCCGAATTTCGATAGAGATCCGGGGTATCCTCTCGGTCATCGCCGATATCTGAAAGAGAACTTGCTGAGAACGTCTCCTCCTCCACGTTCTCTTGGGTCGGGGTAATAGCTATGATATTGGAGTGGCTTAGATGAATAGCGGTGCTGGTCAAGGTTCGCAGTACGCGGAGAATGTACTTAATAGTTCTCTTTACGGGAGGGAAGGCGAGATCGATATCCGCAATGGAGGCTGTGAGAGCCGCAAGATACCCTTTCTCATACATGAGGCGCCGAATTTGAGCCTGTGTCCTCTCAAAGGGGTCATGGCCCGCGCGAGGTGGTAATGCTGAGTTCTTATCTGTCTCTCCCATCATCAGATGCATGATCTCTGCGAGGGCTAGCATTCTGGCGTATCTGGCGTCGAACGTCTCGTTGGATGTAGCTGCATCCTTGTATGATCTAAGAATCGTGTCGAGGACGAATTTTCGCACGAACAACAAGTCAGGTTCATCGTCGTATTCGTACTTGTCTCGGCTCGGCTCAATAGGCTTTTCGCCCGTCTTGCTCACAAGAGCCACCAAGAGATTCTGTGTTTGAAGAGAAGTAGCGAACTTCTTTTTGCTCAGCACCGTATCAGTAGAACCATCCATATGGCTCGGATATAATAAATCGTTGAGGAGATAGTTCAACACGCTGGATCGAGGTTTAACAGGGGTATTGGCAAAAAGAGGCGCGCTTCTCTTGAAGTTGATAAACTCGACCTTGGTGCGATTGTAGCTCTGGAGAAGCTCAGTGAGACAATACAAGAGGAAACAGCGGTAGATGAAGATTGGGTGCTCGTCGGGTTTGAATGAAAATTTGCCCTTCTTTTCTTTAGTGTCAGTCGTGCGGCCTTCGGCTTCAGCAGCGCCACCAGAAGTAGATGCAGATCCTTGATCGCCAGGCTTCTTCGGGTCTTTCGTCATCTGCAATGGATCTTTATCGTCCACTTCCTTGTAGTTGAGCAGCTCACAAAGAAGGAAGTGTACGACGCCATCAGGGTTCTCCAGTACAGGGCGTTTGGTATCCTGCGAGTGTGGTTTAGAAGTATCTGTCATCTGCTTGTCTTCACCCTCAGTAGATGGCTTGACATCCTGGATAGTTAGATCTTCCGTAGCTCGGACAGTTGGTGCGACATCATCTTTGGAGGCATCAGGTTTGGGTTCTTTCAAGACTAAAGAGGATCGTCCAATGCTGCTCTCCGTGAAGGTGTATCGATTGATTTTGACCATCTCTTCCGTAACTTCAATAAATAGCTTAGGGTCTCGAAGTGCGATATGGGAGAAAGTTCTGATAAATGTTGAAGTGTCGGGAGGCCGCACACTGCGGTTCGTGGTAAAGTAAGCCTTGATTTCACTTCTCATAAATTGCTTAATAACCTCGTCATCTTCTATAATATGCCGGAGGATGGTCAGGATATGAGAAGTGATTTGAGTTTCATTCAATCGAATTGATCCGGCGCCAGAAAGCTGCTTGGCAGTGACGAACAGCCTCTGGAGGTTTTTCTTTTCCCCTACTTGTCGCGCAATAGTACGATCACGAGTCAATATGACCAATATTCGTAGAACTGATACTGCTAGGGATTCCTCTTTCCCTATGCGTGGCAAAATCTCTAGTACCGAGTTGAGAAGTGTATCTCGGCGATCCTTTCCTACGTTTAGATCCTTGTCCTCCCATTGCAACTTTTCGATCGGGTCGGTTTCTGATGTGGGGGCTTTCCACTTGATATCTCCAGGTTGCTCGTCGTCGCTGAGAAGAATCTCGAAAACAAGCAAGACGTAAGGTATCCATGGTGCAAGTTCCTCTGTGGATTGAGATGGCAAAACATCAAGAAACCGCAGGAAATCACCTACGTTTTCCTTCAGAGTGCTAACGGTTGCTCGGAAGAAGCTCTTGTCTTGGAGAAGCAAGGATAGAAGATGGGCATAAGCTGCAATGCTTCGCCCGTTGGATATCAGATCGTCGCCCGATGCAAAGGACATTAGAGCATTAGTCAAGGTTTCTCCAATCTCTTGTCGTGCGGTCGAGTCGTCGTTGGGCGTTCTTAGCACAATCGAGATCAAGTCCGATACTTCGTGGGTAGAATCAGGATGTGCTCTTATGACATCAAGACACCTGTCAATGAGATTCAGACGTAACTTTGTGCGCTCTTCATCAAGGTCCTCTCTGGCTACATGCTTCGCAAGCTCTGCTTCTGTGCTTGCTCCAGTTGAGGGACCCTGGGCAGGAGTGGTTGACGAGGATGCGGCAGCGTTGTCTTCCCCGGGGATAAGTGGAGGGACAGGAGTATCTCGACCATTGCCATTCGAGATGGTTGTGCCTTCCTGAAGCTCGCCAAGAATATCATCTTCCAGGAGGCCAGATGGTATTTCGGGAGGCATGTCTAGAACCATAAGATCGTCCTCGGCAGAGGCTTGTGCGCCAATTTCCGCTGGGGGGGCCGGAGGGGCACGCTCATTTTCTACATTGGTGGGTAGATCTTCTTCTGGTATAGGATTCCGAGTACCAGCGATGCCTGACTTGTGCACTTTGCAGTACTCGCAAGCTAACTGTCGACTACCATTGGCTCTATAAATACCTTCGTGAGTAAGATCATCCTCGCAAGGAACTTCGTTGGCGACTTCTTTCATTACATCCTCGACGGTTGTCCAAGAAAACCGAAGGTACGTAGGCTGAAGATAAGCCGGTGGTGCATTCTACAATAGTCAGTTTTCAGAAATACGGCAAAAAGGAAGAGTTAGAGACGAACCTTATCGGCCCGTTTGTAGGCGTTGCTTTCACAGTCGGCAAACGAGATAGCTTTCAATATCCCAATGATCTTGGCAAGAATGTGAGCCGACCCCTTTTCCACTAACGGAGAATCCCAAAGCTCTCTCATCACGGGCAGTATAGCCATACGTAACTCAATGATTAAGTTTGGGGCAACTTGTGAATCGGTTCGACGATCGCTGGTACCAGGCGGGAGAATGTTGATCTGAGTTACGGACTCCGTGATGATCTTACCATTGACTATTAGGGAGTACAGGTCGAGGATCTTTTTCATGCCAATGACCGCCAATCGTGACATAGATGATTCTTCGCCGTCCTTCTTCTCCTTGCAGATCTCATTTTTAAAAGTGCCGAGCATCGTATTGAGCAGTTCCAGCCCACCATGTTTCTTGAAAGCAATCAGGACAGGCGCAATGACCTGGGTTGGGGATTGCCGGTCCGCGCGAGCTTTAAAAGTTAGTATCACTAATACCACAGACTAGGAACGACTTCACTTACTTTCTATTGCACGGTTGACAAGCATTTCATGGACTGCATGCAGCATGATGATCCAGTAGTGGAAGTCTTTGCTAGACTTTTCACGGTCAGGCAGCTCAAACTGCGTTAGGATGGTCTGGGCCAATTCTTCAGTCAGTCGTAGGTGATTTGCTCGTAGGTATTGGTCACGCTCGCGGCGAGGTAACAAGGCTTTCCCAAGGGTCTGGAAGAGTGGAAATGTGGCCGGCATGAGCGAATGCAATAGGAGACGGAGAGTCCTATAGTTTTGATAACGAGCACTTAATTGTTCACTCTTGGTGGGGCCATCATTGGTACTGGTAGCCTTGACGGTTGCAAGTTTCCATAGAGCAGTCGATGATAAAACATCCGGCAAGCTCGCATCCTCGGAGTCGGCGCCAACAGCATTACCGTTATTTGACGCAGAGCCGCTGTTTAACGGACCTTGTCTATCCACGAGCTGGCCTTGCTTTCTTGCTGACCAGTTCTCGGGGACACTGTTAGATATGGCCGCCTCTTCTAATATCACGGCGCGCAGGAGGGGGCCTAGGGATTTGATAAGGCGAGCATAATAATCAAAGACATTAACAGAATGCATTGTTACCGTCTGTGCTCGAGAAGAAAAGGGGAAGCATTGATAAAGGGTCTTTATGAGGGACTGGGCGTTCAGGAGTGCCTTGGCTGACTCGGTACCACGAGTAAGTCGTTCAATAACACCACTGTCAGTTTGGTTCGTCAAGCTCATGTCAGCTGCGAGGAACGGTGAAAAGTAGGACCCTGCCTCTTGAGCTTGGGTAACCGGCTGCAGCACATCGATTGCAGCCTGCGTTCGTTTCAATAAAGAAGGCAAGCCAATGATTGGCGCGGTCTCAATCAACTGGGAGACGACCGACTGTAGGTTTCGGGATGCTGGAGAATCTCCGAAATCGTGTGGTAGACTTGGTGACGTGCAAAGGTCCAGCAGTAGCTCTATACCGCCATTGTTAATCAGATTTGTCTTCAGATTATTATTGCTGATGTATTGAGACAGGAAGTTGGAGACTGCATAAACGTAGGGCGTGATAGAAGACGCATTAACCGTTAAGCTGTCCAAAGTTGGTTCAGTATCCTCTGCTTGCTGTGCGGTTGCATCCGTCATCTCAACGTCGGCATCGGCAGCAGCAGCAGGGATAGCCTTTTCCGGGCCTTTACCCTTATCCGCAGGGGCAAGTTTAGGCTCATTCAATAAGTCCTCGTTCGCGATCACATCCTGGCCTTTCGAATCTCTCACGAGAAGTTTGGCTCCCCACTGAGCATCTCTGGCTTTGACCCGGGCAAGATGAGCAACTCGGGCAATCATATCCAACACGGCATTTGCAATAGCCGGTCTAAGGGACGGGTGATGCCGAGCGAGTTCATCAAAATTGCCACCCACATTTTGAGCTACGTTCTCATCGGCTGCCATTACGCGAACGTGCTCAGGACTCTCGAATATCTCAAAGTAGCTATCGAAAGCGCGTGAGGAGACAACCATTTTCATACCGAGATTATTCAAAGATATCGCATTCAAGACAGTGGGCACGATTGTAATAGGTTCCGAGTTGGCTAAAATGCCACGAGCCAGCAGACCATCGCGGGGTGCTTCCAGCTCCTCCCGTGAGGGGGGATGAGAACGATTGTCAGGCTCAAGAAGGTCAGGTGCGGTACTATCCGAAGGCGATCCAGGGGCATCATCCCGGCTACCACTCTGGCAGGAGTCTGTCCCACTGGCCTGTCCCGTGGGCACGGGGCGACCTGTCAGGGCCTGGAGATAGCTTTGAACCAGTCCAGCCTCGGAGATGGCAGCAAAGCTGGTAGGATCGTTATTGAGAAAGTCACTCAGGATCACAACAGCATTGGTCCATACCAGAGAACCGAATTTGTTCATGTTCTCAATAATCTCGCGTATGCTGTGAAGTAGTGCAGATTTATCAACGAGGTTCCTCAATAGCCGATCGGTGTTACCACCAAAAGCAAAGGCATTGGACATTAAATGATGAATAAACTTCAGGAGAAACTTCAAGTTCTGTTGCTGGTAGAATGATATCTCGTAGTCGACAACCTGAGAACGATGGGTTATGGGTGTCCCTTTGCCCTCACCAGCCAGCTTCTTGGCAAGTTCAACTTCATGGGTAACTAAATTGGTGATGGCTTCAAGGCCGTCGGCATTGATCAATGTCTGGAATGAACTTTGGACGTTATACACGAGACTGTCTAAAAATCCTACCAAAGTGCCGTATGTACGTTCGGCTATGTTGGATCTGAGGTTCAGAATCTCGACCATGATGTCCAAAAGCCCGGCTGTGATGATCTCGGGCATGTTACGCGACGTATTATTATTAGCCATGGCCATTGTAATATGAAGCGTGAGCGAAAAAAGGTTGTCACGCCATTCATCCTCTTCACTCCACTGCTCTCCAGTGTCGTCCTCTTTCATCTCAGATACGGCCTTCCTAATGACGTAGAGCAACACACCGTGGTTCACGGTCGCATTCAATGCTGAGAAGATGTCGGGCAGTTTGTGATGGAATCCTGAGATGGCCTCTAGCAGTGATAATGAAATCGATTGTAAATCGATAGGCACCGACATGGCACCATCGGCCGCTGGATGAATCAGCTCCGCGAGCTGATACACAAGCTGAAACCGTCGCGGTTCATCATTATCCTGCCTTAGGACCTTCTCGATGAAGGTAGGTTCTATGTGAATGTACGCTAGGTTCTGGATAGCTAATAGGCGCGCCTTCAGTGCTTGCTGTCGAGATTCGGTAGATCCTATGAGAGCTTTGGCAACTCTGAGACGATTGAGATATTCGTATCTCGTCTCTTTCGGTACATCTGTTGGCGCTCCGGCGAGAAGTTCATATATCGATGTCGAGGACACCGCCGCGTGAGATACTTCGAGAGATTTCTGGCCCGGGGGGCTGCTTTCGTCCCGTCCTACAGCTGGGGACCGAGAGGCGGAGGTCGGGCTCTCCTCTGATGCGCCTTGACGGTTTGCGCGAGGAGTAGTCTGTGCGGTAGTTGATGTGCTGCTTCGTCTCAAAGGGGTTGGTGTCGAAGGTACATTCGAGGTACTGCCCCGATCTGGTAGAAACTGGGGTGCCGCCCCCTGCGAACTATCTAATGTAGGATAATAGGTAAGTTTAACATCGCCCCAGCCGTTCCAGCGCGCTTGCGAAGCCGCGCTGTCGCTAGAATCGTCTTTGGCGAGCGTGCATAAGTCATTCGCATACATGGTGGCTACATTCTTGGGGGTACCTCCTGGGGCCTTCTCTTTGCTCTTACTAGGGGTTGTAAGAAGAGTAGACTCGGTCGGCTTGGAGAGAGGCGTCTTGATGAAAGGTTGAGCAAGTTGCTGTACACGATCAAGATCTATATTGTAATGATTCGAGAGTAAAGTCGTGTGCACCTGTCGGGTGGTCATCCCGTGGATACGTTTCACCGAAGCCTGATAGCGCTGAGCCAACTCTACACCAACGCGGAGGGTGGCGCATATGATGGTAAAGTCCGTACTGTTTAGAAGGTCGTTCAGATGAGAACTGCTGGCATATATACTGCGGTTACCACAGTGATCCAGTAGCATTTGTGTAAACTTTAGGATGGCTACGATGAGGTGTACGTCGCCATCTTTGCCGTAGCCTAGCTCCGAAAGTTTGACCAACTCACTCGATGGCTCTCCATCTCCACCAAAGGGGCCAGATCCCAGCAGCACCTCACAGCCAAAATCTCGAGTTTGGGGTCCCTCGTTCAATTTGTAGATAGAGCAGAACGATTCCAAGAGCTCGTCAAATCGATTCAGTAGTGGTATCCAATGATACAGGTCGCCTCTCGGGAAAGGCCATCGTGAAGGGAATGCGGCAAGGGTTTTGGGTAGAAGAGGTAAAGGTGTAGAGGACGCCTTATCGACGAACTCCTGAAGCCAAGGAGACTGGGAAGAAGCGAATTAGCTAATTACAACATCAAGGTTAAAATAATATAGGTACACTTACCAGAGTCTCCTTGTGCTTAGACTGTATGGTCTTCGTTATCTTTCCCATGGTCAAGGCCGGGGCGGCAGAGCCGCAAAGAATATGTCAGCTCCCCCTCCACTACCAAGGTTCAGGCGAACCGGTGACGACAACTTGACTCGCCGCGCGGGAGCGTCCAAAACAGCTTTGGACAGCTCCTCTGGTTATAATGTCTCGAGGTTGCTTCTTGGTCACACGAAGTGTGTGAAATGACGAAATCCAGCACTCTGAACCGGACGAGTCGGCGGATTCAGCTTTGTTTCCGGATGTCAGCCTTGCGGGTATCAAAAAAATGCAGGTGTTTGTAACTTTGCAGAAACGATAGGATGGCTTGTCGAAAAGTGCGAATAGAAGAGACTACGGGAGAAGAGGCAAAGTTCACGCGTCGCGGGGATGCAGGGAATTTCGTTGGTTCCCAGTTGCGTGGATGGTGGGCGGATGAGGGGCGAGTGATGATAGGTGATGTGGTGTAGATACGATCCCGACACGGGCTCCAGGGCTTTCAAGAAGCTGGAATCAAGTCAGTTGCAGGCGGGTGCAGGCCGCTGTACCGTCTTTACCAGGTTCAAGAGAGGGGCAAACTGAAGACCTTGATTGTAAATAAAAACAAATAAAGTCAATAACGAATTAATCTTCACTTTACTTGATCGCGATGATATTATGGATTTGCGGAGTCAAGAGATGTTGAAGAGAAGAAAAAAAATAAGGTCTAGGTTAGAAGAGGTATGAAAGTTCGCGGCTGATCGGCCACTGCCTTTTGCGTAGGTTAATGACTTACGATGTGGGGCAAATGCGTTGCTTTGCTGTGGCAGCTACCCACTAGACTACCCACCTCCAGGGCTACAACTACACTACAGTGACTACACTACACTACAAATGTTGGAATTATAGGGTGGGGCAACCAGGTTCCTACACAGTATCGATAATGATTAGTGCCCTTAGGTACCTAGGGTAGGTAACAAACTTCAACTTCAACTTCAAAATGTCAACGGTCAAAGTGTAAGCAAGCAAAATTGATCTTTTCTGACTTCAGTGGATTCTCGGGTATAGTGATTGATTGCCCAGGTGATTGATTATCTTACATATTCATGATATCTATTATTATATCTGCCCAGGGTTAGTAGGTAAGTACACAATGATTTAGTACTGTAGTAACTACACTGACACTATTCTACTTTTTCTACTTTTTCTACTTTTTCTTCATGATTTTATTTCATTCTAAGCGCGCAATATTCGCCATAGCACGTATGTATATGTATCGAGCACCACATGCAAACAACATTGAAGCAAATACATCGCTCAACTTACCACATATGTACATACATATGTAGCTGACTGAATTTTCATATCGCAGCCCAATGTCCAACTAAGTCATCGCCGATCATGTTTTGTAACACTTGTAACACACATATACATGATAGTACATGGAGACCTAATGCTGCCCAGAACATATATTTGAGCCTTACATATGTAGATTGAGCCTTAAGCAAATCGCCAATAGTTGAGTACTGTTAGGTGGGTAAGGTTTGGAGGGAAAATTTTAATTGTTTCGATGTATTGCCATTTTTCATTGTGGGAGGTTTTCGTGCCATGTATATCATGTATGGATTCGATGTTGATATCACCCAGCACTGAGATCCGTGAGATGTCTAACCTAGTGCTAACATTGAATAATTGAAGCTAGGGCTCTAACTAAAAGAGTGCATTGAAGCACCCAAGTAGATAGCACAGTGTGCCGCACTTTCCTCTCTGCAGGTAACTACCCTAACCTCACCTAGGCGAGTCCTGTCCAGCCTCTCTAAAAGAATATAGGCAGTAAAGCCACACAACCCCTCAACTTGCAACACATGAGTTATTTCGGGCTTGTGGTTTAGTGGTATAATACTCCCTTAGCATGGGAGTGGTCCGGGGTTCGATTCCCCGCGAGTCCAACGAATGGAGGTTAGATTCCTCTTCACCACTCACTTTTTGTCCTTTTGACTTCTTTTTTTTTCTTTTTAATTTTGTCACTCACGATAATGAAAATCTTGAAGATGTCCTTGTTATATTTTTAGCGATGCACGTTGATCTACGGATGTCTCGACCCGATTCTGGGACAATATTGTCCAGCAATTGCAGTTGGGTTCCCCTAATTCCTCCAACACCGCTTACCATACCAACGGGTTGGCTTAGTTGACATCAGCCCGTTGAAGTACACCAACTGTTCGTTTAAAAATACACATAAGCGCTCTCTTTTTTTTTTATCCATAGCTTTTATTAATGTACCCAGTAAGCAACCAAGCAAGTGGTATCCCGTATAGCCCAGTTTTCCGACTCACGTCATTAGATTGACGGTCATACAACAAGCACTCGTCTCTTGGTCCACGGAATTGAATTGGTGTCGTATTTCCTAACCTACTGAAGTTCAGACGGAAAGATGAGAGGAAAGTTCGAATAAGTTTTAACAGCAACTACCTTACTAGGATGAAATATGAAGGCAGACATTGAGCAGCAAGACGAAGATTGCAGTGGCCATGCCATACACGAACACAAGGCATAGCACGTATTTACTCATAATACCTTACCACATAGTTACCAGGCACTTCGACAAACCGGTCATCGTCGTCTTGGATCAAGAGACTGGCAGAATACGTATCTCGGATAGTCTCCAAGCTAGTCCGGTCATCTGTTTGAAAAGCCAAGTCCACCTTAGCTCTGTAAGCCTTGGAGGGTATGTCAAGCGCCTCTCTCATATCGATGTCCAGGGCGACGAGCTCCTCTGCCAGGATCCGTCGCGGCACCAGGTACTCTTGCAGACGTAAGCCGGTGGCTTCCATCCCCTTGAGGTCGTAGTAGTCCCTGTAGGTACCGATGCCCGCCATGACTTTCTTGAGCTCGGGTGAAAAGGCCTCACGATCGAACTCCTCGGCGCCGTCGATCAGGCTGAGTGTTTGGTAGAGCGTCAGCATGGGGACTGTGAACCTGCCTTGTTCGAGCCCATATGCAATCGCCAGTGCGTAGAAGATGGCCGATAGGTATGGCCTGAGGCTCGTGTCCAACGTTAACCACCATTTTTCTATTCCGGCGCTGTCTATGGCACTCGTCTCACCCATGTCCCAGGGAGTAGCCTCGTTCTTTTCGAAGGGTGTAGGGAGTCTTCGCCTCGAAGCGAACTTACTGAGAATCGATTCTAGTCGAGACTTGCTTTCTCTCTGCAGCGCTCTCAGCTGTGTAATGTCTACGTCGCACTGTGGCCATATTGGTAGAGTTTCCAGTAATTTGCTCGTAGGATTTTCATTTCGTGCTATCGTGGTACACTCCTTAGAATTAGCTGTGCTGTATCTGTTGTTGATCACATCGGCAAGGTGTAGCATCCCATTGCGATCAACGGTTAGACTATTCTCTTTGACTAGGCCAAGACGAACGGCTTTCTCGATGCAGGCGATGTTGCGAGTCATCAGCCAATTATTGTCGACTGGAGGGGAATCCTTATTTTCCATCATGACTATGAGTAGTGAGTAGGTGAGCAGATGAGTATAAGAGTGGCGACCTATGCTTGGAAGTGTTGAAGAGCAACATCGTCAGGGGAACATGGGTGTTCTAGGGGACTGGATGTATTTATGGCTCTAAGCGTAGCAGGCGATATGTGTGCGTGCGGTAATGAAAGAGTATGTTTTGATGAAAGGGGTTGAGATGGTGTTTTGTTATTTGTCATTACGTAGGTTGGCATGTGATTCCCAGATAGAGAGATAAAGGCTATCCATACTCAATCAACTTCCTAGCGAGCACACCACCTCTCTATATACTACGATCGTGATGTAGAGTCTTATAGTAACATGTAAATCCGTAGCCTCATCACTGTCACGGTCACTCTTGGTCTGAACCCCCCCCCCCCCCCCCAATGGGGTAACATGTCTCCCCCATCTAGGCAGACCTAATTGGGCATGATCATGTGGATATCAATGGAAATAGAGCTATGACACCTATTAAAGTCTTGATAGCCTGCGTGTAACAAGGCTTTGTATGCCCATATATCCAATATATATACAAGACAGAGGGATCTAATTGACGAGAATACGGACTCATAGAGCTGTACATGGCTACCTGTGAAGCTTTCTATTCCATAGCTAGTTTCAGCCATCCTCCTGCACATATACTTATAAGTAGGCTAGGTGATTTCCGTTGAGCCACTCTACAATAGGAACACCGATTAGGTATAGAGTGTGCACTAGGAAGGTATTGATAGTATTTGTCTCCCTATGAGTTGAATCATATCTATCACGAGGCGGGACCTAGAAGACGCAGAACAACATGAAGGTTGCGCGGGGATCTCTAATATCTCCCGGAGACTATAGAAGCTACATATACACGTAAGTCGTCTTTATATATCATTGCTAGATCACCTATAACACGAACAGGTACCTAAGAAATTGAACTTCAAATTCCCTTTTCTAATTGGAGCTTGGCTATCTTACATATATACAATAGGTACTATCTATGATTCTATGTTGAAGGTAGGTATGTAGGTAGCTAGTTGTATCAATAATATGAGAGAATCAGAGAGATACGGTAGTTACATTTGATGTACTATGTATTGAAGCCGCAAAAGTACGGCGATACATACGTGCTGAGATGTGGACCGTCAGAGCGGCAGCTAACCAATATAGGTATAGTAATAGGTAGGCGCTGTGCTGTAGTACTTGGGTACTTTGGTAACCAATTAGGTTCGACGTGCCCTTTAAAGTTGACCCTAGAAGCTTCAAGGAAGCCGGGGACATACTAGGTTGCTTGGTATCTAGGTAAGTACCGAGCATGCAAACATTCAATGTTGAAAGTACATATATATGTATCAGCATATCAGCATTGAATGGTATTTCAATGCTCTTGATATAACGGTCTTCAAAAACGTACATAGTAAAACTTTAGAGACCTAGCACGGCATAGTAATAGGCAGTCTTTAGAAAACTGTGTTTTCATCTCGTCATCAGGTTAGCACCCATGGGTCGAGGCCAACATACGAATCTTTACGGGACCCTCCAGGACAACCACAAAAACCCTATTACGTAGGCGATTCGCAATGGACCTGGTGATGATTGGCGGAATTGCAACATCCATACTCAACTACATATGTACCTAAATGGTACTAATAGGGTATGATAGGTCTTTCATGTTGCTCAATGCATCAGAAAAGGGGTCTTCTTGATCATACGTGTACTTGGTTTAGACCAGTTTTTTATGCTAGGTATATCAAATATCTTCCAGAAATTCTGCCACCTCTGAACAGGGCCCATAAGCTAATACTGATAATGCTAGGTACATATGCTATTGAGTCCTCACGCCGGGATCTTTCTCGAGTTTAACTAAATTTAGAAACACTAACACAAAATGTCGATGGATATCCTGATGAGGAGACCCGAATCATTGAATGGGATAACGTTGGCTCAACAAGCCCGGTGCCCATTGATTATGCTGTTATGCTGTTATGCTGTTATGCTACGACGTACTCTGTGGTAACAGCTATGGTGTAGAGCGTGATGTCACATTAGATGGATGATGTAGCACGAGTTAAAATTGTGATCATAGATGTTTCTACCTATAGTCAGCTCAGACCCTCAAATTCATCTATACGTTTGTGTTACCAACTCGACATGCAGTTAGTGGTAGTTACACAGCAGAAAACGGTATTGTCAATGTACGCGATAGGCGGTGATAAGCCCTACATTAACAACATCAACAACGTTAACAAACATTCAAACAGAAACCCCTGAGCTAGCGTGAGTACCCGTCAATATTCAATCTTTGAAGTGTTACTAAAGAAGTACTAAAATCATAAATGAGTTTGGAGTGTTCTCTAGCGCCACACTAAAGAAAACGTGCGCTTCAGTGGCTAACGGTCGCTGTAAGGAGCGGGACAAGTCAACTACGACCACTATGGACCACTATATGATTGATAACAGTCAACTACCTTAAGTGAAGGGCTGGCAAGTCTTGGCGTTGATTTCGAGATGCATTCCCATTAAAACCCCACAGATACATGCAATACATGCAAATACATGGATCGAATCCTAGTCATTTTAGTCCAGTTCAGTATTCGTGCGAAGGGGGAAGGGGAAAACAATTACAAACGACGGTGAACCTGAATACACCTTTCAAATTCCCAACCCTTTTCTTTTTTTTTCTTGAACTTCCATGCACTATTGCACTTTTCTTTCTTACGGTCTGTGATCATTAGGTATTCAGTACGCTTGAGTTTTATCGCGTCACCTTCTTCGGCGGGCTTTTTGTTGTGTATTCTGGTTAACAAGTACATGCCCTACTTATCTCAAGTGCCTATTAAGTGCTCTCAGTGCTTTCAAAGAATTGATACCAGTTGACCATTACATACTACATAACTTACATTAGTAGTACTTGAGGTATAGATCGGTATTGTACATCGCATCATTTGATCCAGTCTATTGTACAGTCTGTTGTACTTCGAGCTTCCCAGTCCAGACTCGATCGATACATTATTATACCGATACCAATACCAATACCAATACCTACCTACCTACCTTGTACCTCCCGCTTAAACACAACATTGAACAACTCGACCTGCAACTCGACCTGCAACTCAACTTGCACTTCAAACATATCCTATATAGTAAACACCTACAAGTTTACTACTGTTAACAGTCAATCAATCATCATGTCGGGCCCAGAGGAGCCGCAGTTGTCCGATGCTGCTCCCCAGGTGCATGGATCGCCTGCCCCCTCGGACAAAGACACGGTAAGCAAGACTATCTCTCCAAATATTACCATCTTCACATGCAAAGAACCCCTCGTCCACCATGCTTTATCTGTCACAATTGAATGAACATGGCCACACAAGATCCCTATCCAAACCCTCTACCCTGCAAATATACTAACCTTTATACTATGTAAAAGGATACCTTTACCTTGGATACCTACGAAGATGCTGTCGACACAGGTTCTGTGAGATCTCTCATAAATCGCAAATTATCCCCTCGCCCTAGTAGACCTACTAGTGGCACTACCGACGGTGCTTCAGAAGCTCCGGGAAGCCCACCACTCAAGGAACAGCTGAATGGAGATTCAGGTAAAGAAGACGACAATGAAGAGGAAGAGGAGGAGGATAAAGAGAAACAGAACGGTCACGACGATAGCAACGACGTAGAAGACGACAACATTTCTCTTGCTAAATCCATATCCGCATCTAAGCGTACTTCGAATGCGACCCTGGATAATGTCGACCTTAGTGATGGGGCAGATGATAACATGACTAATGGCACTACCAATGGCATCACCAATGGCGTCACCAACGGCGTTACTAATGGAGATTCCGACGGTGTCACTGATGCTGTTGCCGATAATGTTCCCGACAGCATTGTTACTCCTCCAGAACCACCAAAAAGTTTGTTTACAATACACGATGATCATCAAAGGATACAAACTAACGAGTATCTAGAGGAACTACCCGTACAGGCGGCAAAACAGCCTTCCAAGAAACTTTCCCTCAGCAACATCACCAGCTCATTGTCAATGCCATGGTCTCCAGCTCCTTCGAATAACGATACGCCTCCTAAGACGAGCCCGAATCCGACCACTAGTAGCACTGCTGCTCCAACCCCTGCCCGAAAAGGAGGGCCATTCTCTTGGCTATCACGAAACTCCTCGAAAGAGGCTGCCACATCGCCGGCGCGGAGAAACACGACAAGCTCGATAGCCACGTTAACTAGCAATCCAGATAATATGCTCGGCAAGCTCGATGAGGAGAATGAAGGTGGTGAGGGTGGGCCTCGTCTATCGAGAAATAGCCTCAAGGATAGGTTTAAGTTGGTTAGGATGCGAGAAGAGGCCGGAATTTCTCTGAGTCCTGGTGATGAGGAAAAGTCACCCGGCCTTGTCAGCCCATCCAGTGAGAACAGCCAAAACGAGTTTACTGCTGTACCGCCTCCAGCCTCACCCTTACCGCCAAACGCGGACATCAATCTTGCGCCTGGCACTGTCTCAGGTGTATCTGCTGGCCCTTCGACCGTTCCTGATGCCCAAGTTGATTGGGATTTATGGCAGTCTGTCGTCTACGAAGGCCCTGCTGCTGTTGCCAGAACAAACCCGGAGGAACTTAATGCGGCGATTGCTACGGGCATTCCTAATGTGATTCGTGGTGTTGTATGGCAAGTGCTGGCGCAGAGTAAGAGTGAGGAGTTGGAGAGGGTGTATAGGGAGTTGGTACTCCGAGGCTCTGAAAAGGAGAATCGAAACAGCAATGCTACGTCGGTTAGCGTTTTGAGCAACGGTAATCTGAGCTCCGAGAAAGATGCGGTGGCTTCTTCGGCCTCTTCTGTGCATTCAGAAGTCTCCGGAGCTAGTGGCAAGAAGCCATTGCCCACTCCACCAGAGCCATCGGAGGCAGCCTTGAAGGCTCAAGCCTTGGCCTTAGCCGAGAAGAAGAAGAAAGAAAAGGAGGATGTAGCGGCAATACAGAGACTTGAAAAGACCATCAAACGGGATCTTGGTGCTCGAACAAGCTTCTCCAAGTATGCCGCCGCTCCAGGCCTACAAGACGGGTTATTTGGCGTCTTAAAGGCTTACGCACTGTACGACGAGGCAGTTGGGTATGCCCAAGGAATGAACTTCCTCATCATGCCGCTCCTTTTCAATATGCCGGAGGAAGAGGCCTTTTGTCTCCTGGTCAAAATGATGAATCAGTACAAACTACGTGATCTCTTCATCCAGGATATGCCTGGTCTGCACATGCATCTCTACCAATTTGAGCGGTTGCTAGAAGATTTTGAGCCTGCCCTATACTGCCATTTGCACCGTCGCGGCATTTCGCCACATTTGTATGCAACACAATGGTTCCTTACCCTTTTTGCATACAGATTTCCTCTTCAGCTTGTGCTTCGAATCTACGACCTCATCTTCTCGGAGGGCTTATCCGCGATCCTAAAGTTCGGCATTGTCTTGATGCAGAGGAACTCGACAACATTGCTTGGCATGACCGACATGGGACATTTGACAAACTTCCTCAGGGACAAGCTATTCGATGTATATATCGACCAATCCCCTAGTGCTGGTAGCATCCTGGAGAATGGGTTCTTTGGCAGCAGCTCTTCGAGCCTGGATAAAGAAGTATACCGAGCCGACCAGCTAGTTCGGGATGCATGTGAAGTGAAGATCACGCCCGAAATTCTCAAAGCATACACTACCGAATGGGAAGACAAGACGCGCACCGAGAAGGAGCGAGAGAAAGAACTAGAGCAACTGAGGACGGCGAACGCAAGTTATGCTATAAAGATCCGGAAGCTTGAGGAACGTCTCGAGGTTAGTGACCGCGAGCAAGCAACGGTGACAACTGATCTCGTCCATACCAAGATCGAGAATGAAGAACTTAAAGATAAGAATGAGAGCTTGAATGGCCAAGTTAAGGAACTTCGCAACGTTATCGAGAAGCAACCTGAGGAGATTGAAGCGGCTTGGAGGCTTGAACAAGAAGATCTCATGAAGAGGAATGAGAAGGTCCATGATGAGAACCGAAGACTTGAAAAGGAGTTACAGGAACTTGAAGAGGAGCTAGTACAGACGAAGATGCGATGTGCTGAGGTAAGTACACAATATCCACCCTCTATGATATTTTCCATATCAGACACAGTTTGACTGACGTTTTCTGTATAGATCAATTCCCAACACGAGACTCTTCAGAGGAAATGGGCCGATCTCAAGCGACACATCGCTTAAAATGTCACTCCTTATTAACATAGCTCTTCACCAAAACCTCTCGTGTTTCCAATTCATATTCTTGTACAAAGTCAATACTCCTACAACCGTTTGCAGTCATAGTCAGTCCATTAGGAGAGGATGGAGAGCCAGTGGACAGGCAAGCATTTAGGGATATACCCCGTTTACCAAGTTAGGGTATCTACGAAGTCAGGTTTTTTGTCTTTACGTTACGTTGGTCGTCGTCTTGCCGCTACACCCTTTTCCCCGGGCCCCCTCTCCCGTCTTATTTTCTTCTCTGGCCGAGGAAAGGTGCATAACACCACCCCCACCACTCGCATAAGGGGGTAGTTATATCTGGAATCCGATAAATTTGGCGGGTCTTATGCAACTATCACACAGCAGCTTTGCGCTTTGAGAGCAAAAAAAAAAAAAAAAACAAGAAAAGTTTTTCATTTTTCACTGTGCTGATGATGTTCTTGCTGTTTTCCCATGTCCCTGGCAATTGGTCTTCTCGACTAGTTGTAGTAACGGTGGCAGTAGCAGTAGCAGTAGATCCTTCACAGGAGGGCATATGCACACGTATGCATATGTGTCATGAAGGAGAGTGGAGAAGTGGACGAGAAAGAGCGAGAGACGAGAGACGAGAGAATGAAAGTTTTTGGATCCCCCCAAACTTCGTACAGCGGGCGAAGAAGCAGAAGAAGAGAATGGAAAAAAAGGGGTTGCATTTGCATCGTTGTGTTCGTTGCATTCATAACATCAGAGAGAGAGAGGGAGAGGGCATTCAAATAGCAGCAACGTTGATTTGATTTTTTGATTTTTGATATAAAAAAAAGGGTTTTACGTGCAGTTTCTTTTTCTTTTTCTTTTTTTTTGATATGAAAATGAGACAATGGATGAATGTATGTAGTGACATTATAACAAGGTAAAAATCAAATCGTATATAACTAACTAGAACCAGAACTCACAGCTAGGTAGAGAAATTTCAAGGTTCGATAAATACCTAATTCTTTCGTGTGATGACCTGGATGTTTATTCCCTTCTCTTTCCCCCCTCCCTTATTAAGCAAATGTTAGGAGGGTTTGGAAAGTAGACGTGAACGTAAAAGTAAGGTCGAATACTTCGTACAGAGATAAATTTCGCCTACATTATAGAGGCGCTACACCTTTTGTATTGTAGAATCTAGCTGTAGGGGCGAATGGACTGTTCAAACCTATACTAGATGACCTCCTGAAGGCCAACATGCCCTTTATCTAGTTTGGGAATGCATCTACGTGAGCACTGGCAACTTCAATCGGTATTAGGGTGTAGAATGAAAACCTCATGTATACAAAGATCATAAGAGGCTTCTTTAGGCAGTATGTTATTACGAGACGGTAGGAGTGACAGGCAAATTGGCAACCATTGACAACTAAGAGTTTAGTACACAACGAAAATGATTCATGAGGTATTGCGTGTTTCCTTATTTCATTGTTGATCTGTATTGATCAGAACCTAGCAAACGTGATCCCTTTCCATGCCGAAGATGAGTAGAATCCATGAACACCGGTGCCATTGCGAGTGGTATTTTGCATTGACCTCATAACCTAAACCTTCCCACCATTGCGATTCGTCTACTTGTGTAGCTTACGCTGGTAGAAAGCCAACTCCTCGCCCTCGAGGATATATCCGTCGCAGCGACCGCTCTGGCCAGGTCGGCTGGCAATGACGGCGAACAAACGACCAGCCTCGAACTGCTTCTCTAGGGGGCTCTCAACCTTGCCTCGGGCGGCGAATCGAGCAGCCTGCTTCTTCTCGACCGAGTTGCTCTTCTTAACGACTTCCTCCTCCTTGCCGGACTTTTGCTGACGTCGGCGACCGAGGGGCTGGCCGTAGTGGGACTCGTACCATTGTCGGAAGGGAGCGGCATCAATTTGGACAACGGCAGACTTGGTTAGGGTGTTGGTTCGGACCAGCTCGTTGTTGGAAGGGTGGTAGGCGACGACGATAACACGGGTCTTGCGGGTGCAGCCCTCGGAAGCCCAGGCGAAGTTGCCAGAGTCGAGACGTAGGGCACGGTACTTGTGGTTGCCGCCGCGAGTGCGAACGGAGTGGATTCGCTTAGGGCCAATTCGGGTGTTGGCTTCCTGTCGGCCAGCCTCGAAAGCGCGCTTCTTCCCTGTTGAAGAGGTCAGAACGTATGATCATTTTACAAAAAATGAATGCATACGGGCTTTCGGTTTTATTGGGAGTGTCTCTTTCGAGAACACGGAATTGCGGTTATTACGTACGGTAGAAGGCACGCTTGGCACCAGAGGCGGAGCGCTTGTGGCGGGAGTCGCGGGAGATACCCATGATTGCAGATTCTGGTCGAGAGGAAGGATATGATTAGCTTGGGATGATGGTGAAGTTGAAAGTGAGGGTGATGGTTGAAATTAGAAGGAAAGGTGAGAGATATTGAAAAGCAGTAGATATTACTGAATTGAGTGTAGAATATCACAGTTTGAAGAAGATCAACTTACATAGAGAGGGGAAGGGATTCTTACGTACCTGACTAGAGAAATTTGGCAATCGAAGAGGAAATTGGTGGGTGTTGATGAAGCACTCTTGAATTGATTTCGCGAAAATAAAAAGTTGAAAGAGTCTCACGAAAATTCAAATCAATGGAATTTACAAGTGTGGGCTCGCCAAAAAGATTTAGTGGGGAACCGTTGAAGTTGTCTCCTTATCTTAGTGCAATAGGGTTTTGCTTCAACTTATCTTGATGGTCTGTGCGCTTGCTGTTCTCTAATTACGTAATGCACATGCAGGCTAGAACATTCACGTGCTGCTTCACTTTAACAACTACAACGTCAAATAAAAGTTCACGATATATTACCAAGTAGTCAGTTAAGAGGGATTGCTCGGTATATTGATCATTTCTTCAGTTTCATTGAGACTATACTGTACCTAGTAGTACTGAGTCTAGCTGTGGTCTGATCTTCACATAGCATTTCCCCCCTGTCTCATTCATACCTAGCTCTCATGTCATTAACAGAAAGCAATCCGGCCCAGTATCCATCAACCCCATAACTTCCCCCTTGAGGTAAATTCCAATGTGCTACCAAACTCCAAGTTTTGTAGTCATCATCTAGAGCTACGCCAAGTTTAGGAGGTAGGTGCTGTTGGCTGTCGAGTTGACGGTAGTAGAGGCTCTTTTGGCTTAGTCTTCGTCGATTTCCTTGAGAAGCTCCTGAGTGTATCCATCAAGTTCTTCGGATTTGATTTCCTCAGAAGGCTCTTGAACCTCTTCGGCATCGAATTCAGTCATGCCATCATAAATTGGAAGAAGTGCGAAGGTTGCAAGCGCACGGTATTGCGGGGGGACTCCAGGACCATACTTTGGAAGGGGATTAGGGCCTTCCATGAGGTTCGCATACTTTTCGTCCAATAATTGCACGCGAGGCGCAGGGAATATTTTTCCGGGCTTGGACTTGTACGACTCATAATCCTCAGGCCAGTCGATATGTCCGTTCACGATACATTCGTTAGTCCAAATGGTATTTCGGGACGTGACACAGCTCAGTCCGTCTTCGTCAGTTACGCGGATCAACTTCTCGCTGAGTCGGGGTATCATGCGATGGTGCTCAGCAGGTGATCCACTAGCAAGCTTCTGCTTCCCCTTGGTCTCTTGCTGCTTGTCCTTGGAGATCTCTTTCTTGAGGGAAAGATACTCTGCCAACGATTGCGGTACGACTGGCGATCTAGGGAAGTTCTTTTGCAGGTTGGCCAAAGTATCTCGATCGGCCTTGTCTTGTTCAGTACCAGCCGTCGAGCGGCGAGGTGGAATAGGATAATCGCTAGTAGACGACGGGCTAGGTGGGGTGATCTTGACTTCAATGCCTTTGCCCTTGCGATCCTTCGAGTCGTTCTTTGACTTGTTGGTCTTTTCTTCATGGTCATCGTGCACCTCGAGACGATGAGAAATATCGGCGGTTACTGCCTCGATTGACGATGTCGCAATAGGGCCACGCAAAGAAGCGCCCAAAGGAGCACCCAATTCAACACCAGGCACAGACAAGTGTTGCTTTGTTGCAGCAGCGGCCGGTACTGCCCGTGTGGGCTTTTGAGGTGGTGCCTGTTCACTTATTAGTTACGAACTCGTTCAATCACTTGGTTATTGCTGACTCGTCCGCCCTTGCGAATGTTCTGAGCTTTATCCTTATTATAAAGGATCACTTCATCTTCATCCGAGGACTCCATGGTGACGGTATTCATGAACCGTCTGTTCGTGACGGGCTCTACGATATCAAGATGAAAATGCACAAGTGCAAGGAACCAACGCCCCTCCAACACTAATGGTTGATTGGAAAAATGAAAGGGTGTCGATTTTGGAGGGAGGGAGGAAGGCGACGGGAGTTGAAAGATTGTGTGATTCTGAGAGTGAGGAGATGGGAAATAAATAAAGCTGCAGAAGACCCCACAGCTTTAGATTTAAGAGTTTGAGGGTACATACCATCCTGAGGTGTCGCTTTTGATTCTTGGGATATAGGCCCACTTGTACAAGGGATAATGGATCTGTCGATTTCGTTCGGTAGCTAACAGGCCTCTGTTAAAGCTTAAAACAAGATTCGCGAAGGTCGAAAAGAATGCGTGTTGTAGAAGAAACCGCGAGCAAGTTGTGTCGATTGGTAGCTCAAACTAGACAATGGAAATCCTTATGGCATAACATGCTCTCGATTAAATCACTAGCGGTTAGGTACTCGACTGATGGCCTGAGGAGTAAATGGGATATTCTAGTTTTTGCTATCGAGTGACTTGAAAAGTACAACTACCGCCTATACAGAAGTAGAATAATCGAGATATGACCATGAAAGAGTCCAAACGGCGCCATTCAACCTGGATATTCATGAAGCCTAGAATTAGTCTCGCCAGGATTCCACGAATTCCTAGTTCACTAAACCATCGTCGCCTTAACACCCCTTAACCCTCCTCCTCAGATTGCTAGCACCGTATCCTCAGGCATCACCAACAAGATGATATATATATCCTTCACGAAAAGGAAGCATTTGATCTGCTCATGATTTAAAAGCCGAAGATATAATAGCCACTTAGGCAGGTTTCTATCACAAGCATTACCAACCTGCCCGAATCTACGCAAAGTGCTACTGATGTCGAGATTACAGAACTGCATACAATATCTCAAGAACCCACAGTGCCTAGACATGTAGATGAATTTTGAAGTCTTGGGCAATCGCCAACTTCCCAGAATCCCAAAGAGACATCAATTGGGATTTGATACAGTATTTCCTAGGTACTTGGATGCTGGAAGGAGCGGAAATATGAGCAAGTTACCCCCTACTGTGCTTTAAGGGGGACTGCCGAGCAGTGGCAAAACGCCAATGGTGATGATCCATAACATCGACCTGTACATAGGCAAGCTGTCTAGTGATAGACAATATGTGTCTCCTTGACGAATACAATAGTAATAATCTCAAATTTCTACACGGGATCTTAAAAATGAGAAGATGTTGACTGTGAAGTCTCTCATTTGATCCGTTCTTTCGTAGCGATGATACCTTGCTTTAAGCTTCGCATAACCACCACACATACTACTAGTAGTACCCTTTATCTCTCAAATATAACTGCCTACCCCTGAGTAGGTATGTAAAATTGTAAATACCTAACCTACATGTAGGGTTATATTCCATAACCCCGATAGTTGCACAAACAAACATTGAACCACCGTTGTTATGCTATGCATATGGTACACGCACCTGCCACCTACCCGAGGAGCTGTGTAGTACGCCGTAAGCCTGTGTTATGTAGGGAGCTGCCCTGCTTATTTGATTGGCCTGCAGGTGTCCAGCTGAGTATATTAAGTAATTTTAGTGATGCCAATCCCCAACTCCCAGGCAGCTACATGTACATGTATGGAGTAAATATGTACGCTATCTAGATAAGATAAGAAGATCCTAGCTATGTACCTATTTAGTTAGCTTCGGCATAGTTAACACTGAACGTGCTTCGCATCTTATAGCACTCTATTGCACTCTTACATGCTGTAATACGCAAACGTCAGAAACTCATCAATGGCTTGAAGTCTACAACAATTATCATCCATCTTGCAAGAGGGAGATGGGAAACCTGTGCTATTCTCCCATTCTTCAGTCACTCCTTTACTAAATAAAACCTTCCTTCGTACATTACTTCTGAATTTCATCTTAATTCATCTTCTAGGCTTCACTACTTTGTTCGACCGAGTCGACCGAGATTATGACGACATCGTCGCCCTCCGACCAGTCCCTGGCGCCTCTTCTGCGTTCCGATTCATCCTCCACACTAGGTCCTCCAAGTTCGCAAACATCCATTAGCGATGCCATTCCGATATCGAAGCTACGGCAAAAGACGCGTGCTTTACGCGCTCTCGCCTTCATCGTATCCATCGTCGCCGCCCTCTGCGCTGGCTCCATCACCGTCTTCTCCCTCTACGGCCACCTCTTTCAGTCGCGACTACACTACACACAGTTCCAGATCAATGGAATCGCTAGTGCCATGAGCATCTCCATGTACATTCCGGTCCCGGCGATTGGGTACTTGTGTGATCGAGTAGGACCTAGCCCGCTTGCTCTGTTGTCAGCCATCCTGCTCGGCGGTGGCTACGGGTTGGCGGCCGGCTTGTACAAGAAAGGTTCAGCGGAAGTAAGCGATGGAGGTAGTAGCGTTACATCTACATTTGTCCCCATGGTCATTGCCTTTGTAGCCATCGGCGTCGGCACTGCTTCCTTATATGTTGGATCCATCACTACATGCGCCAAGAACTTTGGCAAAGGCAAATACCGAGGCTTGATGTTAGTTGCACCCATTGCTTCATTTGGCCTCGGCGGGATGGTCCTCAGCCAGATCGGTAGTCGAATCCTTTACGAAACCCAGCCGGATGGGGGTAGGGGGGATGTGAATGTGTTCCATTTCTTCTTGTTCCTCTGCATCATCTTGACTATTATCGGCCTTATCGGCACCTTCTCGTTACGAATCATAGACGAGGAAGACCTCATTGATGAGGCAGTAGAAGAGCTTGAGAGGAGCGGGCTCCTTGAGGGAAGTGCCGTCTTCCGTCGCCAAGCTAACCGAGATTACGGTACTATCGATTCTACAGCTGAAGATGGTGGCATCATCGACCCCTCTAGGGATGACGATGATGACGAAGACAATAATGCTAGACTCAAGAAAGCCTGGCTTCTTAACGCTGAGACTAGAAGGTTTTTGTCGGATCATACTATGTGGTGGTTTGCTCTCGGCTTTTGGCTCATCATCGGGCCCGGCGAATCATTCATAAACAACCTCGGCACCATCATTGGGACCTTGTATTCCCCTAAGATGAAGATCCACGAAACCTCAGCCGCAACTCACGTTTCTATCATGGCCACTGTGAGCACCGTTGCCCGTCTACTTGCAGCATCGATAAGCGATTTGCTATCGCCTAGCCCCCATAGTTCACACGTTCAAACAGGAGTGCCTTCGTCTCTTCCACTCCTGAGACAGAAGTTATCGGTCTCGCGAGTTGTTATCTTTATCGCTGCTGCCGGTATTCTGTCTTTTGGAACACTCGTACTAGCCTCTGGTGTAGTTCAGGAACATGGGGAACGTTTCTGGATTGTATCCGGTGCCATCGGAGCCGGATACGGAGCGATATTCAGCATGATGCCTATCATTGTCACCATGATCTGGGGTGTTGAGAACTTTGGTACCAACTTCGGTATCATCGCGCTCACCCCGGCCCTCGGCTCTACGATGTGGGGCCTTGTCTACTCAGCTGTCTATCAAGCAGGTGCTAGAGACTCACCTCTTCTAACAGGAGATGCTAGTGGTGAAGACATATTCTGCTTCGGCGCAAAATGCTACTCCTCGACGTATTGGGCGATGACCGTATCTGTTTGGATCGGAACTGTCATGGTTCTATGGGCCTGGAAAGGTCACGATGGCTGGTCCAAGAGAGGTATTGTGATCTAGAGATATACATACCTGATACATAACAAATGTGTATACAGAACTAACAGATAGAGCACTATCTCACCATCATCTATCTATCATCTTAGCGAGAATCTATTTTTACTTTTTAGAGAAATTGTTCCATATTGCACACGCATTGGGTTTGGGGTTATTATTTTATCTACTAGATAACTAGGCATTATGTTGGGCGTAATGGGTCGCCATAAATGCTCTAACCAAAGATTGGTCGCAAAGGATTTGGGCGGCGTTGTCCAATGTTTTTGATTTCAATGATGGCGAAGTTCAAATAGGGTTATTATTAGGGTATCATATCAGATATAATTATATATCTTCCTAATCCGCTTGAGTGCTACGTTACCATTTGTTATCCATTAATATTGGCGTGCGAGCTTGGCTTAGCTTTCCACGACATTTGATGCCTGGTGGTTGAATGCATGGGAACTGAGACATGTTTCTCGTGTCTTTCGAACGCCCTGAACGTCCACTGGTGATGGTTTTTCGCCGACTGCCAATGTGTGACTGATCCAGAGGAAACCGGTTTTGGCTCTCCTGTTACCCCCTTATACACAGCGTTCGTGAATGTGACCTGGAAGAATTGTGCCACTTCCAACAAAACCCCAAGCTTAAGCATTTGTCTCTATATAATTTATTAATGAAGTTGTCTCAGGTCTGATCATGTCTTCTAGGTAACAGGCTAGACATTGTTGGGGGCGATCAGGTGCCGCTTAAGGTCCCCCGAGATCCTACACTTGACCGAGTCGGGTCACAACTCGGTGGGCAACTTTTCTGAATCATCATTCTAACACAGAATATAGTATTAACTACAACCTTCCTCGTTGGGACTCGAAATCTCCAAATGGACGAACCAGAACCCCACACTCCGCAGGAACTGGTCACACTTAAGAGACACATATCATTACTGTAGCTTTTTCATCACATAGATACATTGGTTCCAGGTACATAGGTAGCTACATAGGTAGGTTACCACCTAGATGGGCAGTCATGTCGTAACACGTCCCATGATGATGTTAACAAGCCTAGCCAGCCCGATCGTGCCGGACGCCACCCTCCTAGGGTAGGTAAGTATATACCATGTATGTTGAAATACACTACATACATCCGCTGCAACCTTTCGATTTCTACATGCTGAAGAACCCCAGAAAAACGGCCGAGGGCGCGAGGCGTCATGCGGAGTAACGCGGCATCAGCATTCCGCAATGCGCAATTCGCCCAACGCAAACCCAGCCCTGCAAGGGGCGCGGCATGTGGGAAATACGAGCTTGGCAACTTGTGTCGATCCCGTCCCATCTGCCGCCTAACTACCTACCTACCGGTTCCAGCGTTGATGGTAATAATTAATTTATATCGAAGATCGCATTCAAAACCGTACCGTATCGATCGTTTAGCTGCATACGATACGATGCGATCCGACGTTAGGTAGATCGAAATGGAACGTTGGACGACCGCCGGATAAACGAGCTCTTTTTTTTTTGTTTTAGGTATGCTTGTTATTATTACCTACCTATCTCTGTTCGTGAAGTCTCTCGTTCCCCCTTTTGGTTATGTAGGTACCTATTCACTACTGCTAGGCATAAGCAGTTGGCTGGTCGTCCGATACGAGGCCCCTCCTGGCTTACCTAGGTTTCTGATAGGACCAGTATGCGGCGGTGCCGCGAAAGGCATGGCATGTAGGGAGCCAGGTTCAAAAAAAAGTTCATCCTACCTAGAAGAGAATATGCGAATCGGTGAATACCTAGATAGATGCAATGAGAATTCCAACACGCTTGGCCGCTACTACAGTACGTCCCATCCCGCGAGAGGCAGAGCCAGATTAGCCCTCCTTTTATGCCGCAAATATAGGTACCTAGTCAGGTATCATCATCATACGTAGTATCATCTCGCTTTTCTGTCTTGGGGGCAAGGGGAGGATGGACTAGGGTAGGTAGGTAGTATGTGTTCGAGGAGAGATCGTGCATGACATGTGTCTAGGAAATATACATATATAGATGGGAAGGTCTCCCAGACATATCAATATCTACTACATATCCCAGCTCTAGCTTCAGCTCTATCAAAACATCAAGTCGCTCGCTTCAACCCAGATAACCAACCAATCTATAAACTTTACTTTATATTTAATCATAATACCCATCATCATCACCCTAAACACCTAACCAACCTACCTACCCACAAGCCTCACAATGCAGCTCCCCCTCAGCACCTTCCTCCTCCTCTCCGCCACCACCGCCCTCGCAACCCGCCTCTCCGTCGCCGTCGACGCCGAGTGGACGATCGAGGGGCTGTCCCGAACCTGCGACGACGCCGACACCACCTGCCTGTGGACCTTCGGGATCGACACGAACGAGGAGGGCGCCGAGGTGGTCGCGGCCAACTACACGGTGAACGCGTCGTCGGACGCGCCGGCGAGCCGCGCCATCGGCGGGCCGGAGGCCTTCGGAAACTACACCGTCACCAGCACCTGGAGCGGCCAGTTTGGCGAGGGCGAAGGGTTCACGACGCTGAGCGTGATTGATTACGGAAAGGGGTTGATCGTGTATCCTGGTGTAAGAATTTCCTATCCTCTCTCTCTCTCTCTCTCTCTCTCTCTCTCTCTCTCTCTCTCTCTCTCTCTCTCTCTCTCTCTCTCTCTCTCTCTCCTTTCCCCTTTTTCCATCCTGTCTTACCTACAGGACGCCCTGTAAATCTTATCAACCCCCTTCGAACACCCCCTATCCCCTCCCCATCTACGTGGGAACTTAGGGGTAAAGGGGGGGGGGGGAGAGGGGGGGTTGGAATGCATCTCCAATAATACTCAATTTCCCCTATAACATACATAAGACAAGACATTCTCAAAATACCTCAATAACTAACCCTCAATGCGCTGCTACAGTACCGGGACGTGGAAATCCCCAACGGAAAGGTCTACACTCCCGATAAGAGCTACCCCGTTCAGCAAATCCCTTAAGCGAACAGCCTCAGGTAATGCTGTTGGTAATATAACGAGAAATAGGGGAGGGTGGGAATGAAAGCATGGCACGTAATGAGACTTTGGTTGGAACATTGGAAATATTGGGGATAGTAACATAGCAATATGATCTTAATGAATACAAAAACCTTTGGAGACATATGAATCAATAGTACTTGGCAATTTTGAGGGTATTGATATATGAATTTGTTATTTCGTTTTAAACATACGAACAAACAAGCTGTCGTACACAGGGTCTATTGATGCATTGATATATAGTCAAATCTGAACGCCGATTTATGCAAGCTCCTTCAATTCTTCCTCCACTTGTTTCTTGACGAGATCCCTGACTGTCTGCCAGCTGTTCTCGACCTCGGTGACTCTCCGTTCCTTCGTCTCCAAGCCTACAAATTCCGGCGGAAGCACCTTCTCTTCGAAGCTGAAACCTGGCTCGTCTTTCAACGCAAGCTCAACTGCGCCGGCGAACTTGGCCGGATGTGCAGTGGAAAGGGAGATATGCGGTACTTTGGAACGCTCCATAGACCGCTGTGATGCGGTCACGCCTATTGCTGTGTGGGGATCCAAGACGTACCCGATCTTTCCGAAATAACCCTTGATTGTCTCCGTCGTCTGCGAATCGCTCACCCGTTCGCTTTCAAAGTCGCGCTTGGCACTCGAGTGCACGTCCTGGTAGACAGGACCAAAACCACCATTTGTCTTCAGATGCTTCATCCAGGAGGCGACCTCCTGGCCAGCTTGCCTTCTATTCCATTCCTCATCCATGCCAGCAAGGGAAGCGAACTCGTACGCGAGGAACCACAATAATCTTTCGAAGTTACTCGAGACAAGAATGTCCATTGCGGGGCTCAGCGTCTCTTTGACGCCATCTTCGTGAGCTTTGACACCGTCAACGGCCAAGCCTCCCTGTGCCTCTGGGCCGTGAGTGGCCTTTTTCTCGTATCTTCCCGTCTTCCAAAACCTATCAAGGATGTCGTTCTCGTTCGTCGCGACAACCAACTTTTCTACCGGAAGACCCATCCTGTGCGCAAAGTAACCTGCCAAGATATCACCAAAGTTGCCACTAGGTACCACATATCGGACCTTATCCCCGAGGGTTATGCCCCCTGACTTGGCGAGGGAGAAGTAAGAGTGGAAGTAGTAGACAATCTGCGCAAGGATTCGAGCCCAATTTATCGAATTGACCGCACCGAGGTTGAATGCCGAGTTGATATCAGGATCGGCGAATAGGGCCTTTACTATATCCTGGCAGTCATCGAAGGTGCCGTTGACCGCTAGGTTGTGTACATTGGGATCCAACACCGTGGTCATTTGTGCTTCCTGGATAGGACTGACCCTACCCTTGGGGTGAAGTATGAAAACTGAGACATCCTTCTTTCCGCGGAGTCCATAGATGGCTGCTGAGCCAGTATCACCACTTGTGGCACCGACTACAGTGAGATGATGTCGGTCAGCTCCCACCTTGCCCTCATTCTTTCTGACTAGGAAGTATTCGAATAGGTTTCCTAGGAACTGTAGGGCGACATCCTTGAATGCGAATGTAGGGCCATGGAAAAGTTCCAAGAGGTATAAATTGTCGTGAAGATGTTTTAGTGGGGTGGTTTCAGGGGCACGGAAGGTTGAATAACTTCGGTCGATGATGCCCTTTAGGTCATCCCGTGGGATTTCAGAGGGTGCAATATATAAGGACAAGACCTCGAGGGCAAGGTCGGGGAAGGACAGGTCCTTCCAGGTCTGCCAATTGCTCGCGGAAGGGATTTCTTCTGGAATATACAGGCCGCCATCAGAAGCCAGACCTTTTAGAACAACTTCCTCGAAGGAGAGCTTCAAATAACGGTTAGCTAAGAGATGTTACCAAAAGTCATACTAATGGGATTTTTACGTCGTAATCGTCGCCTCTAGTGCTAAGATACCGTTGAGAGGCATTGCGAGACTCTGATGACTCGTCAGTCGCCGTCTGACCGTTGACTCCGTTCGACATTATAGTAATCAATATGGGTCTTGAGGATAATTTAATGGAATGGGTTGAAAGCGTCAAGCGATCTCCAAGTTCCAATTCACTCGAAAGATCTATATGTGTGTGTGGATGTACTTAAAGTATATGATTTGGAGACGGCGAAGTACGAAAAAATAATATATAAATAAAAAAAATCGCAGCCCCCGAGTTCGGGTGGCACTTGATTCCCCAATTCTACCCCGCGCTAAACCCAATAAAGATACTACGGTGATTTACATACATGAATCCGCCCCTGAATTTGAGGGGTAGCAACTTGAAAATTCAATTGGCCACTTGTTCTATGCTTTTCTTTTCTTGGAAATTTGACTTTTATTTCTTTATGTATTTTTAGAGATTTTTAAATCACGTATGGAGTACTTCCGGAATGTCTAACCCCATGAGCTCTTTTTGGAGTCAATTAACAGATGTTGTAGCTGTTGTTAGGGGACTCGGACAAAACCTCCAAGGTGATGACGTTGACAGAAATATAAATAAACATGGCGGAATTAAGATTCAATGTTGTGTGATGCTGCCATCCCGCGGCGCACATAGTAAGAACCTACTGAACATATGCAAATATGCAAATATGCAGATATATAGGTAACTGGATGCAGGTATTCATTCATTGTCCATAATTATTTAGTTATTGAAGGATTGAACAAAAAGGAACATTCAACATGGAAATGAAGTCTTGGCGAAATGTTAGGCAGAAATGTGGATCCGATCTTTAGCCGCTCTGTTGCTCTGCCGCTCTGCCGCTGTGAGATGAGCAGGGATGAGATACGGTATCTCCGGCTTTGTCAGCAAATATCACTAGGCAGGGTAGGTACTACTATGTAGGTACCCTCGGCATTACTAGGCATTACACTTCACACTTCACACTTACTCACTTCAACATCATGTTTCCTTTCATCACTCATTCAACTCAATCCAGGCTTGATATCGACTAATTCATTTTGAACTCGGCTGTACAATATGCTATCATCGAAGATATAAACCACTCACTAAAGTCACTATAAGTCCTTACTAATTTGTGGTCCATCTGTCTACTACTTTCCTCCTTGTAGCTCTACTACAATGTCCCCTGATAGAGGAACTAGCGAGGAAACGGCCCCCTCTTATATACTCGAGGCCGACGAAGATGTCAAGCATCTCCCTGAGGGTCACCATTTTACATGGAGAGGTGTTGCTGCTGGCCTCCTCGTCGGGCTGATGTAAGTGGCACAACACGGTGCTATCCATTTCTCTGTGTCCCATGTCTTCGACGTCTTTCCTTGGCTATGGGACCTTCTTTTCCTCAGACATAGCTCCAAGATCCTGTTTCAATCGTAACATCATTTATGAGTAGCAAATACTAATCTTGTATATCGTAGAATTTGCTTTAGCAACATGTATTTTGGCTTGCAGACTGGCTGGATATCCATGATGACGATGCCTTCCAGCTTGCTCGGTTTTGGGCTGTTCAAGACTTTATCCCGCCACTTAGCATTCCCATTCTCCCCCGTAGAAAATGTACTTGTCCAATCAGTAGCAGGTGGTATGGCAATCATGCCTCTCGGGTGTGGATTTGTAGGAGTCGTAAGTAACACCGGGCTCAATAAGAGAAGATGATGTTCGAACCAACTAACGAACCCGGACTCGATTTTTAGTTGCCAGCCATGGAATACCTACTCAAGGCATCGGAGCAAGGCCCAATCAATCTAAGCATGTGGAAGCTTATCATATGGTCCCTGGGACTTTGCTATTTTGGTGTCGTTTTTGCCGTTCCTTTGTGAGTATAATAGTTCAAGTCTCAAACGACAATCACACTAACATCTTCCAGACGGCGTCAGGTCATAATTAGGGAGAAACTGAAGTTCCCAAGCGGCTTTAGTACCGCGGTTCTCATCGGAGTACTTCATGGTAAAGGACATACCCAAAATAGCGCCGCCTTGGATCCATCCAAGGCTGCAACTTTCGGTAGTTTATCAGCTGAGAGCCGGCCCCTTTTGGAGGCTAGAGATGGCAATGATGAGAACGATATTAGCAACCCAGTGGATGAGCCGTTACGCGCCAAGACCGCTGAGCGATATAGCTGGAGCTCGAACATCCGGCTACTCCTCGTCACATTTGGGATTTCGGGGTTCTACACACTCTGCACTTATTTCTTCCCTGTTCTCCGCAATCTTCCCGTTTTTGGGACCGTGGCGGCGAACACTTGGCTTTGGACTCTAAACCCAAGTTTCGCATACGTTGGTCAAGGAATCATCATGGGCCCTTCTACCACCATACATATGCTCCTTGGAGCGGTCATCGGCTGGGGAGTCCTCTCACCTCTTGCAAAATATCGAGGTTGGGCCCCAGGGCCTATTGATGACTGGGAGAGTGGCAGCAAGGGTTGGATTGTTTGGACGTCTCTCGCTATCATGCTAGCAGATGCTGTCGTCAGCCTTGGGTACATCGCGTTCACTCCACTCTTTAAACAAGCGCCGTCTTTCCTTGCGACGATTAAGCAACGATTACAGCACGATGGAATCAAGGGGCTATTCATCCGCCGACCTCACAACTACATAGCTGTTCAGAATTCCGAGGATAACTCGACCGTAAGAGACTCAGATGAGTTTGATAGTTTACCGAGCCCGCTAGTTGAGCAACGCAATCCTTTCGAAGCGCACCGACCCCAGCCGCAAAAAAAAGCTTGGGATCAAGACGATGCTCCTCCTGAGCAATTAGTCGGCAATAAGACCGTCAGTATCGGTCTCGTTTTATCTGTTTTGTTCTGCATTGCAAGTATTCATATCACCTTTGGAGATCTAGTTCCGCTTTACGCAACTGTCATAGCCGTTTTCATGGCGATGATATTGAGTATAATGGGGGTTCGAGCACTCGGTGAGACAGACTTGAATCCCGTTTCTGGAATCAGCAAACTGGCGCAGCTTTTCTTCGCCCTCATCATCCCGCAGACTCATAAATCGAGTGTTCTCATTAATCTGGTGGCCGGTGCCGTATCCGAGGCGGGTGCGTTACAAGCTGGCGATCTGATGCAGGATCTGAAGACTGGTCATTTGCTAGGCGCGGCGCCTAAAGCGCAGTTCTGGGGCCAGATCATTGGTGCTACAGTGGGAGCTGTGGTTAGTGCATTCATATACAGGTTGTATACTGCTGTATATGAAGTTCCAGGAGACCAATTTCAAGTACCGACCGCATTTGTGTGGATATTTACCGCGAGACTGGTCACAGGAAAGGGCTTGCCATATATGGCGAGAGAGTTTGCGATCGGCTCTGCGATCATTTTTGCTGCTCTTACTGCCCTACGTACGAAGGCGATTGGGAAAAGTTGGCACGCTTATATACCTGGTGGAATTGCTGTGGCAGTCGGTAAGCGTCACCTAGTAATTCTTTATGTGTCGAGTTTTGCTTCTAATAATAACGCTTAGGCATGTACAATGTCCCATCTTTTACCTTAGCGAGAACGATCGGTGGCATTGTAAGTTGGTACTGGAGGGTCTATCTACGAAAAGAGGATACTCCGTTGATTGTCCTCGCGTCAGTGAGTATTCACCTACCCATATACACATCTCCTCTCTTTCACCCTCTAAGTAATCTGCAATTATAAGAAACATGACTGCTGACACCAATGCTAGGGTTTCATCTTAGGAGAAGGTGTCTTAAGCATCATCAACTTACTATTACAGAGTTCCCAAGTTCCCCATCTATAAGCAGGTTTGCTCCTCTATAGATTCGGTGAATTAGGTAAAAAAGAATTGATTGGTTTGCCATACATTATAACTCTGGTCCCGTTATATACGGCTCTCTCGGTCTTAGCCTATACTTTTAGTACCGTAGATTGTGTAGGTTACGTACATACATAGTAGGTAGTTTCAATGGATTGTATGCAGTCCCCCCTTAATGTAACCTTCGGGTGATCTGTGTATGGTCCAGTCATGGCATTAGCTGTATATGACAGTACTACTCCAACCTCCTCCCCTTTTTGTCACAAACAAATCATACGATATTTCAATCCGTGCAGGCCGATCTAGGTCGGAGCCGTGGCTAAATGACGCTTGATCTCGTCCCCGCATTGAGGGGCTCATTGTCCGGCGCGGGGTTTAAAACGTTCGGGCAATCCACTGACAAGATCCAACCGATTTTTGAGTTTTTCTGTGGTATTTGTTGTTGTTGCATCTTTTTTTATATAGAAGAAGACAATTCGTGAAGTCAATTAGTCAAGATGTTGATCAAGGAAAGTCATCTCGATGTCCAAACGACCGTGGATGGGAAGGAGACGACTATGAGTAAGTAAAAAAAGAGAAGAGAGAAATGGAAAAAGTGAAAATGGAACGAGAGAAAGGGAGAAAGAGACTCCATTTCCACTATTTCCACTTCCACTTCCATGAATTCCACCTCCCTCCCTCCCTCCATTCATTCATCTATCTATCCATACATCCACAACTGCAACCCCCATCTCAGGCCACTACTAACTAACGTTGGGCAGGAATTTTCGTTTTCCATCCCACCATCCCTCAATACCCTAACGCGTATGGTTGGAAATCGTGCTCCTTTACAGTCTGGTTTGCTGATGAGTTGGCAGTAAATTCCCCGGTGTTGCGCTATTCAGCGAAATCTATCAGGGTAGGTATCCTCCAAGGTCATCTTGATTGAGTTATTCCGACAAACGAAGTCGATGACGAGATTGATAATTGATAAGTGAATGCAATTCGCTGATCAGTGCGTCAACAGTGACTGGCCCGGTAGCGCGGTTTGCGCGTCAAATCGCAGGACAAGGCTACATTGTCGCGGCCCCTTCGTCATACCATGACTTCGTTGGCCCGGAGGCGTTGGCCTACGACAACCCAGGTACCGACCTAGGTAACAAGTTGAAGATAACAAAGGTGAGAGTGGAACATTTGTTGTAGCAGAACGTGTATTATGCTACCAACAAACCAACAAACCAACAAGTAAACGCTGGCTAATGCGGAAGCGAGACAGACCCTTCAATCGTACGATGCGGATTCCTCCAAGACGGTTGATTACCTCCTCAGCCTTCCCACCTGCAGCGGTCGGATAGGCGTCAGTGGAATGTGCCTTGGGGGCCATCTTACTGTGCGAGCTAGTGTATGATATATACCTCCTTCTCCCTTTTTGCCTTACCATTTTTTCGTTGACGAGTAGTTTCATAGCTGGACCCGCGAGTCAATGCAAGTGTTGCGTACTTTGCGACAGACATCCACTCTCGCACCCTAGGACCTTACTCCGAAGCCAACACGGCAGTGGAAGGCCCAGCGGGCAGCAACCACACGATCGACCGGCTAAGCGAGATCAAGGGTGAGGTAGCGATGATATTCGGCATCAAGGACACCCACGTGCCGGACAAGGGCCGCGACCTCATCCGCCAGAAGCTCAGGGACGCGGGTGTCGTGTTCAGCTTCTACGAGTTCGCCTGGGCGCAGCACGCCTTCATCCGCGACGAGCAGAGCAAGGGTCGCTACGACTCGGCCATCACCAAGATTTGCTTCGAGGTGCTGCTGGAGCTGTTCGGCCGCGTCCTGAAGACGGACTTGGGTCCGAGGGATGACACGCCCGAGAAGATTGAGCACGTCTGTTAATGGCAACATACCTATCTTATGATCTCGGTAGTTCATAGGTAGATAGATACCTATTAAGAGAATCGAATGAATAAAAAATGTTCTGATTGAATTGATTAATTGCTTGCTTGTTGGCTGTTGCCTCTACCCACCTCCCTACTCTTGGTTACCTTCATTGCTCTATCTGTCTTCCCACACATACCTACATACGTATTTGGATGTATTTATATTAGACGATACGAGTCAACTAACGTTAGCCACGCAACGAACAAATCAGGACATGCAACTCTGAAAAGTGAGGGTGTGCATGGTTGTTCGTTTGCACCTCTCTATCAATATGAGACATGGATGTAAGCACCTCACTCAATCCGTTTCCGGTAGTACGACAGTTGCACACACAACATCGTTGCTGGAAAGCAGCATGCCTACCTAGGTCAATATAGATGTATCAATGATAGGTATGTATGATATGTAGGTTAGGTAGGTTATTAGGTAGGCAGGTTAGGAAAATAATTTCTCTGCGTAGGTCATACATACATACATCCGGCTAGCTGTATGTGGTTACCATGTACAACGCAGCCCTACATGTTGAAAATACTTGATATTACATGCTAGTAGTGTAGATAGACATGTGTTGGAAGATTCGCGATACTGGACGGAAAAGTTTCTACATCAGGTCCAGTCCCTTCGATATCGTGTAATTTGGCAGTCGACTCGGAAATTACTACACATGTATGTGTGTATGTATGTATGTCATGTATGTTGTCACCTACACACATACATACATACATGTAATCGAGGGCTGAGGAACCAGCTTCGAGGTTGTACCCATACAATGCTAACCATATTGTACATCTGCCGGAGTGACTTGGGATGTGTAAATCCCTACGATGGAAAATATTTCAAAGATTTGGTACATTACGTACCTACTCAAGCAAGAAGGCGCTAGACAAAACCAAACACGGAGGCGAAGATGCTGGGAGCTTCAATGGAACTTGAGGTTACAAATCTCACCAACATACTACCTAGTACCTAGTAGGTATATACTAGGTATTATCTAGGTACACAGGTACATTCTAACCCGAGGCTGGAAGGCTTCAATGATGACTTTTCAGGAGAAGAAGGCAGAAGAATGGTGAAGTTTCTGTTTTTTTTTTCTTTACCACTACTAGTGGCCTAAGGCTAGGGCTCTCCGACTGCTAGGTAAGACCTAGTAGGTACCTTATTTGAGTTTGAAATTTTCTGGTGGGGCTTGGCGGCGATTAACCCAGCAACAGCAGTGAGAGCAGTGAGAGCAGTGATGTCAGTAGTTATGTACTGATTTTGTATGGCGGGGTAATTATGATATGTACTACTACTAGTAGTAGTTATGTAGGTACAGATAATACTGTATGTACTATGTAGATTGTACCTGGGGATGTAAATGGACGCAAATAGACGCTTACAACCATTGTAGGTACTTATGTACATATCCTACAACGTGCTAGGATTGGTTGATGACGTCCATAGAAGGGAATGGTAGAAGAAAGTTGCAGACAGATTCGACTAGAACCAATAAGAATCAATAAAATTGAAGGGATTTACTGATACCTTAGGGAAATTGTTCCTCACATACATATGTACCTACTGTGTAGTGCCGAATCTGGTTTAGTCGTCTAGATTCAAGAAGGTACAAGAATTTTCCAGTACATAGTGGTAAAGTTAGGCGGAAAGTGCTGGAAGCGGGTACCAACTTCTACAATTCGAGAAGGTTCCCTGGCCCCACCATAGCTTTCACTTTTGGGTTGTATAAACTTCTGCTCAATTCCCAGAGCACACTCTTCTTTTTTCCATCTTCCAACTCAGACTTCAAAAAAACAATCCATTCTCATTCTTGATCAACGCCTAAATAAGAATTTCTCTAGATACCCGCCTGCATTTGGGTAATAGATTTCTCTGCGTTTTTCACAAAACCACGCGAACGTTTTCTTACATCACACACTTTCAATCAAAATACCCCACCCCACCTTATACTTGATTGATATACCACTACAACAACCAGAAATCTTTCACCATGGTTGCCGCAGTCGGAATTGACTTGGGCACGACCTATTCGTGTGTCGGTGTCTTTCGAGACGACCGGTAAGTGATTTTCCAATTCATTTTTTTAATCATCTTCATCTTCATCCTCCCATCCTTCCTCTCATCCTCTTCCATCATCATCAACCCCACATTTCAACTAAAACATTTTCACTAATATACACCAGAATCGAAATCATTGCCAATGACCAGGGTAACCGAACTACCCCTTCCTTCGTGGCCTTCACGGACACGGAGCGTCTGATCGGCGATGCTGCAAAGAACCAAGTCGCTATGAACCCTCACAACACCGTCTTCGACGCCAAGCGTCTGATCGGTCGCAAGTTCACAGACGCCGAGGTTCAGGCTGACATGAAGCATTTTCCCTTCAAGATTGTCGAGAAGAACGGCAAGCCCATCATCGAGGTTGAGTACAAGGGCGAGCAGAAGCAGTTCACTCCCGAGGAAATCTCCTCCATGGTTTTGACAAAGATGCGCGAAACCGCCGAGGCATACCTTGGTGGCACTGTTACCAACGCTGTCATTACTGTCCCGGCTTACTTCAATGACTCTCAACGACAAGCCACTAAGGACGCCGGTCTCATCTCCGGCATGAACGTCCTCCGAATTATCAACGAGCCTACGGCTGCTGCCATTGCCTACGGTCTTGACAAGAAGACCGAGGGTGAGCGAAACGTTCTCATCTTCGATCTCGGTGGTGGTACCTTTGATGTGTCTCTCTTGACTATCGAGGAGGGTATCTTCGAGGTCAAGTCTACCGCCGGTGACACTCACTTGGGTGGTGAGGACTTTGACAACCGTCTTGTTAACCACTTCGTCACTGAATTCAAGCGCAAGCACAAGAAGGGTAAGAATCAATCCGTCCCCACTGATTTATACAACATACAGAATACTAACATTTACCTAGACTTATCCACCAACGCACGTGCTCTACGTCGTCTTCGAACCGCTTGCGAGCGAGCCAAGCGCACTCTTTCGTCTTCTGCACAGACTTCAATTGAGATCGACTCTCTCTTCGAGGGTATCGACTTCTACACCTCTATCACCCGTGCTCGATTTGAGGAGCTGTGCCAAGATCTTTTCCGATCTACTATCCAGCCCGTTGACCGTGTCTTGGCCGATGCCAAGATTGACAAGTCTCAGGTCCACGAGATTGTCCTTGTCGGTGGTTCCACTCGTATTCCCCGTGTTCAGAAACTCATCACGGATTACTTCAACGGCAAGGAGCCCAACAAATCCATCAACCCTGACGAGGCTGTTGCCTACGGTGCTGCTGTCCAGGCCGCCATCCTGTCTGGAGACACCAGCTCCAAGTCTACCAACGAGATCCTTCTTCTCGATGTCGCCCCGCTGTCTCTCGGTATCGAGACCGCTGGTGGTATGATGACCAAGCTCATTCCCCGAAACACTACCATCCCCACCAAGAAGTCGGAGGTCTTCTCCACTTTCTCCGACAACCAGCCTGGTGTGCTTATCCAGGTTTACGAGGGCGAGCGTCAACGCACCAAGGACAACAACTTGATGGGCAAGTTCGAGCTCACTGGTATTCCCCCTGCACCTCGGGGTGTTCCTCAGATCGAGGTTACATTCGATCTCGATGCCAATGGAATCATGAACGTTTCCGCCGTTGAGAAGGGCACTGGAAAGTCCAACAAGATCGTCATCACCAACGACAAGGGACGTCTGTCCAAGGAGGAGATTGAGCGTATGCTTTCGGAAGCCGAGAAGTACAAGGAGGAGGACGAGGCTGAGGGTCGTCGCATCAGCGCCAAGAACGGCCTTGAGTCGTATGCCTACTCTCTCCGAAACACCTTGTCTGACAGCAAGGTTGACGAGAAGCTCGAGGCCGGTGACAAGGAGAAGTTGAAGACGGAGATCGACACCGTTGTTTCTTGGCTCGACGAGAACCAGCAAGCCACTCGTGAAGAGTACGAGGAGAAGCAAAAGGAGTTGGAGGGCATTGCCAACCCCATCATGATGAAGTTCTACGGATCTGCCGGTGGTGCTGGTGGCATGCCCGGTGGCATGCCCGGTGCTGGTGGCGCTGGCGGCTTCCCCGGTGCCGGAGGCCCTGGTGCTCCCCATGATGACGGCCCCACCGTTGAGGAGGTTGACTAAAGGGTTCCCCTTTAAAATAATGAACACTAATGGTTTTCTCTCCCGGCGTTTTCCTCTGGTCTTTAATGACGCATCGAGTGGCGGTCTCGGATATTCTATGGGTTTGCACTTAGATTTTCACTGGTAATGAAGTTACAGGGCAAAAGTTGCGCGGTTTTTCATGACTTGCATGGATGTATTCTAGGCAGGAATTACTCTACGATGAAGCAATGAAGTTAATATTTCAAAATACACCCGTCTTATAATGCTTTGTGACATGTAATGAATCGTATAGAGACGTCTGGTTTCGTTACCACGACTCCTAAGTAATAATTGGTTGAGTCTTCAGGACTTTTCGTAGGAACTTGAAGCTAAGTTCTTTAGGTACTGCATAGCAGACCTATATAGATAAAATAGCTAGGTCATCATTAACGAGTAAGTAATACACAAAGAGAAGTCTGCTCATCCATCTTGATTGATATATTGATTATATTTATCCGTCCATCCATCCATGCCCAATACCTATAAGTACTTACGTAGTTATAAAAAACATATATAATTTCTACACAATCTGCATTCGTTACGCTTAAACATACAATCTCTACCACCACCACCACCACCACCATGACCATCATGATTATGATCATGGCCACGTCCATACCTGTGCTTACGATGCCTACACCTTCTCCTGGTGCTCCCTAAGCATCTCCTGGATCCTCCTCCGCCTCTCAATCTCCATCACGCGCCACTCCTCATCGGGAACATCAGGCGTGTAGAGCGGCTCGGTGAACGCCGACCCGGGCTCGACCAGCTCCTCGCGCGCCTCCCAGATGTCAGTGCTGGACGGCTTTCCGGGGGCGTGGTATTTGGCCCACTCGCGCGCGCGGTAGTGGGCGCGGATGGCCTCGGTCTTCTGCGGGCCGGAGTACGCGCGCGCGCGCATGCAGAACCAGAAGTCGTCCCACTTTTCGGAGCACGAGCGCATGCCGCCGGCGCGGTAGAGGGAGAGCCACTGCCCGCCGAGGGAGTTGCAGTGGTAGGCGGCGTCGAAGGCTTCGCGGCAGGACATGCTGGTGGGGAGGAGGGATTCGGAGATGGGGTCGAGGTGGGAGGGGGGTTGGCTTTGGGGGGTGGTTGTGGTTGTGGGAGGGGGGTTGGAGGAGGAGAAGGAGGTGGTGGTGGTGGTGGTGGTGGAGCTTGGTTGAGATGGCTTAGAGGAGGAGTTGCTGCTATTACCACCTCCGCCGAATTCTTCTTGGATCTGGGCGATGAACTTGGCTAGTTCTGGGTCGCCATAGTCGGAGTCCGCTTGCTTTGGCTTTGGTGGTTGTGTGGGTTTGTTGCCTTCTTCCTTTGTGTTGTTACCGTTATTATTGCTGTTGTTATTGTTGTTGTTGTTGCTACTGCTATTGGGGCCCTTTGAGGGAGGGGGCGGCGAGGGCGATGACCACATCCAACCCATCTTGGTAGATATAAATAAGTTTTGTTCGTTGGAAGGAAGGTTGGAGGTATTGATAATCGAATAGGCTTCTTTCGTAGTAATGAGTGAAACGGATAGTTTGAGAGATGGTTGGTGATGAAATAGAATAAAGAAGAAGGTAAGGTCAATGCTCTCTCTCGCTTTCTCTATCTATCAATCAAATGCGGGGGATTGTCGCGCGGGGTGTGCAGTAAGTATTATCGTTGCATTTATTCGGATTCGTGATCACTCTCCCTTGTAAAAAGAGAGATGACGGAGGTTTTGCTTGCGACTTGGGTATTTGGACCAATGGCAAGATAGCTGATTACGGCGTAGATTATGGTTCGATTGTCGTATCAAGTTCACTTTCGTATGCCTTTTTAGCTTTCTTGGAAATAGTTATGATCTTCATTGTGCAAATGCTCCGTTTTGCACCCCGGGCAGAGTTGTTATACTGTGGCTTGACCGAAGTACTGTAGTTACATACATTTCCCCCTCGATTTGTGGCTTGGCTTTTAGCTACGAAGGTACCGGTAGGTATACCTACCCACCTCGGGCTGGCAAGTGCTACCCAATTTCTATCCTGGAAATAGGTACTTGACGATGACCTCATCGTCATTTTAAAGGAAACCTGATGAATGATTTGAACTACCTACTAGCTTAGTCAAATACTAACAAGGTTCAATAAATTCTAGCTTTATTCTTCTAGGTACCTCCTTTACCTTACCTTACCTTACCTTACCTACTACCTACCTACAAAATTCTAGTTAATATTAGGCATGGGGGAAAGCTTAGAACTTGTGAGACAATGATACCTAGATATGCAGGCTTGGGCCCTAGGAATTTGCCTGGGTTGAGAGCCCCAACCTCACTTTGCCGTCCAATTCTCACCCCACGCCATCGCCCAGTATGGGTACTAAGCTTGAGAGCTTGGGAGAGCACCACCACAGGAGAAGGGAAGTCTGGCCACATCGACGCGGCTCCAAATGAGTCTATTTTATGGATAGATAGTAGGTTGACTGATTCTCTTATTCTTGTCTAGTACTGTACTAACCCTACTCGTCAGACTTATTCCCTCTAAAGCTATCTGGATTACTAAAGGCACCATGGAAGAGTCCCGATCAGGACCTGTCTGAGCTGATGAAGCGCTTTGAGAACTCCACTCTGGGCATCTTGGACCCCATTAACATGGTCAAACGGGCTATCCCCAGTACCGCCCCAGTCAAAGTCACCGAGATTCTACCCCGTCTTAAAGATGGCGGAGCTTTCGTCAAGTTCACTTACCCAGCAAATGTGCCTGTCAAGGAAATCGAAGACAAAGTTTCCAAGTATCTACAAGAAAAACCTGTAAGACCATTCTTCAGTCCGTTAAGAGGGGTCCAGGCGGGACTGGTCCAGGGTATTCCTTGGCTAGAGGATCTACACAGATTTCCCAAGGATCAGCTCCGAGTGGAGTTCGTTCCCAAGAATCCTGGAGAGGAAGCAGTTGAGCTATCTCAGGAGACCTTGTACAGCCTATTCCGTCGATACGGAAAGATCGCGGAGATTAGTTCACAGCCATGGGATTCCAAGGCTCTTCCAAAATATGCCTACGTCGACTTCGCCAACGTTAGAGATGCTATTATGGCACGCAACTGCTTGCATGGTTTCGTCGTACCAGAAGATCTCGGCGGTGGCAAGTTGGGGACCAGGCTGCGAATGTCTTACGAGCAGAGAACTAAACCTCATCGGATCTGGGACTGGATATCAAACCACCCGAGAATCGTCATTCCTGTTATAGTTGCCCTGCTCACTGGACTTACCGTTGTCATATTCGACCCTATTAGATCATTCTTCGTCAAGGCCTATGTCACGCAAAAGTTCCATCTTAGCAACAGCAAGGCGTTTAGATGGCTTCGAAAGCAGACCTCGGACATTTTAAGATTTAGACGGGAGAAGGCGGACCAGGCAGGTCTCAATGCGGTTTGGACCCATCGAAAAGACTTGATCGATCAGATCCAAAAATGGTTGATGGAGACTGCCCAGACCTTTATTGTCGTCCAGGGACCTCGTGGCTCCGGCAAGAAGGAACTTGTACTCGAACAAGCTCTTCAGGATCGAACCAACGTCCTAGTTATCGACTGCAAGCCCGTAGTGGAAGCGAGAGGCGAATCGGCAACAATCAAGCAGATGGCTGCCGCCGTCGGTTACCGCCCAATTTTCTCCTACGCAAACAGCCTCAGTAGCATGGCTGATCTAGCTGTCCAGAGCACTACAGGCGTGAAAGCGGGTTTCTCTGAGACTTTGGAATCCCAAATCCAGAAGATTCTACAGACGACTGCCGCTGCTCTTACAGAAATTGGAGTAGACAGCCGCAAAAAGACAGATTCAGATATTGTGCTCCCTATTGACGCCTACCTTGAAGCGCATCCCGAGAAACGGCCAGTGGTGGTTATCGACAACTTCTTGCACAAGGGTGATACCAACGCTGTTGTCTACGATAAGATTGCCGAATGGGCGGCGACTTTGGTTCAAAACAATATTGCTCATGTCATCTTCTTGACCAACGACTCATCGTACTCCAAGTCTTTGTCCAAGTCTCTACCTGACCGTGTTCTACGCCAGGCTGCTCTTGGTGATCTCTCCCCTGACGTCGCGAAACGGTTCATTTTGAGCCACATCAGTAGCGACGAGGCGCAACAGACCGACGCGGCAGAAAAGAAGACTGCTGAGAATGGTGAGAAACAGCTACAATTAGTTATTCATCCAGACCTGACCGAGCTCGATGAATGCATCGACACTCTTGGTGGTCGATTAACGGACCTCGAAGCCTTCGCGCGCCGTCTCAAGGCTGGGCAGAATCCCAAGGAGGCCGTGGCTGAGATCACCGAGCAATCTGCCTCCGAAATTCTCAAGATGTTCCTGCTCCCCGGCAAGACAACAAGCGACGGAGAGCACAAGTGGTCAATGGAGCAGGCGTGGTACCTGGTGAAGTCGCTCGCTGACAAAGAGAGTCTGCGCTACAACGAGGTGCTGCTCCACAACACCTTCCTCCAGTCTTTGACGGCACCCGATGGGGAGTCCGCCCTGGAGGGCCTTACCAACGCTGAGCTCATCACCGTCAAGTCTAACAATGGCCGGCCGGGTGTTATCACAGTCGGTAAGCCTGTCTACCAGGCCGTCTTCCAGATGCTAGCTCGCGACCCCGTCCTCGCTGCCAAGATGGACCTCGCCGTGCTGACAGAGCTGGCCAAGATCGAGGCTAAGAACATTGACAAAGCCGAGGCCGAGCTTGCTCTACTCGGTACTTTGCCCAAGCAGCCGGCGCAGATGAGTGGCCGTATTACCTACCTCCTGACTAAGGTCGACACCGCGCAGAAGAAGATCGATGCATTTGAGAAGGAGATGGGTGCGTTAAAGAAGGTCTTGTTGAGCCAATCTTGATCACATACTGGCTGCTACTCGCCTACTCTAGATTAGGGTATTATAATGGACTTGTGGGTTGGTATCAGGAAGGGTGACATAAAACACAAAAGGGGGTATTGAGACATGTATATACAGTTGTAGAAAATGGAGATAGTATAGTGGATGCATATATCGGTTACGAAAAAACGAAAAAAGGGGGGAATGGATAATGAATACGATACCCAACTCATTCAAGGGATAAAAAAAAACTACGATCCATTTCATGGTATTATTTCAGCTCGTGCTTATAGTAAAAGATGGGAATCTTTTTTTTTATTAAAAAAAGGAAAAGACTTTTGATTTGGTATCATTGAAAACCCATGCGCAATAGCCCCAAGTATTTAAGCAAACACACTCTCCTTCTCCTTCTCTTTTCTCACTCCACCCCCCTCAACTCATCCGGTCCGTGGCATTTGGGGGGGGGGGGGGGGGGAGGTAGTACCCATATACCTCAAGTACGTATGTATGTACGTAGTAGAAAAGGAACAAGGTAAACTCCACCAACCGACCAAGTGTCGCCCCTTTTTTTTTTCGTATCCTAGAACTACCTAGGTAGGTAGGTAGGCATGGGAAAGCCGTGGAGGGGATACCGAGCAGAGTAGAAAAAGGAGGATGATAATGACAGTGATGATGCAATGCTGCTCGTCTGGTATCTAAGACATACATACATACATGCATACATACACATGGAATGAAGCAGTTTTTCAACCCAGCCAGCCTAGCCTGTCCCATCCATCCGTTCGCCTGAACCATTATATGTAAGCAACGTGGGTATACTGAAGAAAGTGCCAGCCCCTGAGAGTACTATTGATTTTCGATTGTATTGGTTTTTGTTTTTCCCTTAACTGTCTAGGGCTAAAGTAGTGATAGGTACAATTATGCCTCTTCGCCTTCTTCATCGGCTTGTACGAGGACCTCGCATCCTTGTGAGAAGAATATACGCGCCGACTTGTCGTGGGGATTTGATATGCTGTAATGGTTGCCTGGAGGAATGGCTGTTAGCGATAGGACTTGAGGGAGGGGAGGGGGGAGAGTTGCAAAAAACGTACCTCTGGGAACAAACCACATGCCTCCCTTCGCAATGCGGAACTCATTCTGCGCCACCGTGACTTCAACGCTACCCGTGTGCACGAAAAATACCATCTGCATCTTCCTTGAATTCTTGGTACGCTTCTCGGAGCCGGGCGGCATGTCCACGATGCCCGACCCGAAGAAGGGCATCGTCAACGTCTTTGCAAATCGGAACGTTGCGTCCTTGATGTCTTTCAACTGGATGGCTGCCTCCGAGACGGCGAGTTCGTGCTCGAGGAGCTCAGGCTCGTCTTCGTCTGGCGGTTGCAGCTCGTGCTCGGGACGCCAGAAAACGCAGTCTCCAGAGAGGTGACCAGGATTGTACTCCCAGTCATCCCGCTCCACCTCTTCTTCCTCTATGATTGTAGTCGCACGGCGCGTTGCGCCATTTTGCTTCGAGGGCCGTCCGCGGCGTCTTCGCGGTGCTGAAGTATTGGCCTCCACCGTCCGGACTACGCCCTTCACACCCGGCATCACAAACCGCTGCCCCTTGTCTTCAACGATATGTTGTGTTGCATCATCGTATAGGATGTGTTCGCCCTTCCAGTAGTCCAAAGGCTTGTAAGAATGTCGACCAGATCGTGTAATCCGCATGGTATCTTCGTCTTCTCGTCGTAAAGCAACAAGTCCGCGACCTTTAGGAAGAGGAGGCCCACGTTGAACGACAGGTTCATCGACACCAATACCAGAAGATTTTCTCTTCCGACCGGGCTTCCCCTTTTCCTTTGTTGCCGTTGGTTTCGATGGGGCACCCCTGCTTTCCTTTATCTCTGTGCGTTGTTTCTTTGTCTGCCTTTCGTCCACAATGTCTTCTTCATCCTGGCCCTGCTCTTGTTCTTGTTCTTGGTCGTCGTTGTTGCTACCCGCAGAGTTCCTTGCAGGTCTTCCTCTCTTTTGAGACTTCGTTTGAGGCCCTTGTTGTTCTGGCGACTTCACATTCTTCGCCGGTCGGCCTCGTCTCTTCTGAGCAGGTTCGTCATTGGCTTCTACTATTAAAGGCTCTGCTTCCTCTGCCTGTGCGATGGGCGATTTCGGCTTGCGACCTCTGCGCCCTTTTAGTTGCTGGGCGGGCTTCGGCTGCTGAACAGATTCCTCGTCGTCTTCTTCAGGTTCCGGTTCGGGCTCGGCAGACACATCTTGCTCGTCGTTTATGTTACCCATTTCATCTCCACCGGCGTCGAGAATCTGCATTGATTCTTCGTCCTCTTCTTCTTCCTCATCCTCCGGCTCTGGTACTTGACGTCGGGCTACTTGGCCGCGTACAACAAGCTCTTCCTCGTCGAACAAATTGGGCTGGGCACGCCCATTAACAAGCTTTCCCTTTGGTCCTTTGGTGCCATTAACCTTCGAGTTTCCATTCACTGCAGCTGCAGCCTTCAACTTGCTTTGGGCACTCTTGGAGAAATCGAGTCTGCGATTTACCGCTTTCGGGGGGGTAGGCTCGGGCGCGGCGATGACAGAGCCGCGGAAGGGCGAAGATGTGGGACCGATATGCGGATTTTGGCGTGCTGGAGACTGAAGATGGGTCTTGATGGGAGATCTTGCGCGCGGTAGCGAAGGACGACTATGACGCTGTCTCATGGCTGTGGCTGGTCCTATTTGAGATTCTGAAGATAGGGTGGGTTAGCAATAATCGTAAATCGAGAGCTCGGATATGTGCGGTATACCATCCTCGATTTCCATGTCTTGTTCCTCATCAGATTCAACTTGACCGCGACCGTTGAGGCCGTTGACAGCGCCATTATTCACATCCTTTTCGGGCGACGAGAAAAGATTATCAACCTCCTCGAAACCATGCTCGTCGCGCTGGCGTTCTTCTAATGTAAGACCGGTTTTCCTATCGTAAATTAGTCAGTCTCCAATTATATTCAGCTCCGCCGATGGTAGCGATTAGTTAGATACCTTCCCTGGACACCCAGTTCATAGACTCCTTCATTTTGCGACTGCGTGATGCGCCGCTGCGACTGTGATTTAGGCGGCATGGCGAACCAAACAAATCAATTTAGTCCAATTGTAACAATCTCTGGAATGGATATCTTATCATCAATTGATCCGGGGATGATAAATCAACATGCGATGCGCATTTAACAGACAAGAAAACGCGTCAAAAAAAATATGATAAAAAAGGAAGAAAACAGGCGGGGAAGGGGAAATGGTGATGTTTACTTTCTGGTTGTGTTGCAACTTCCCTGGCGTTGCACAGTAAAGTTGGAATTATTATGGGGCGTTTAGGGTGCTACGCCTTTCATTATTGGTCATAGAGAGATGAACGCGGTTGCTAAGCCAATATAACGCGTAACGGGCCTGCCCTACGGGCTACCCAGTACATATTATACTACCATTAATTTTTTGGACTACCCTAAGGATGCACTGAGTTTAATGCTTTGAACTTTACGATAAAAACATTGAAATTAGTAGAAGTATCTTTGACCCTCTTAGAACCTAAAAACCAAAGCTTCCTCCATAGAATGGAAGACACCCCAATGGACGAGGGCACCATCGCCCTCGAGACCCCAACAGACGGCGTCTTCGTACCGCCATCCATCCACAAGTCGAGCACCCTCTCCGGCGATTCCTATACACACTTTTCCCCCGTTCCCGCATCTCTCCTCCCCTCAACCACCACCGACTCCAACTCCAACTCCAACTCCAACTCCAACAATGACTCCTCCTCCTCCTCCTCCTCCTCCTCCCCCAAAGGCGTCCCCTGCGTCCTCGGCGTCGACGAAGCCGGCCGCGGCCCCGTCCTCGGCCCCATGGTCTACGGCGTCTTCTACCTGCCCACCACGCTCTCCGACTCCCTCCTAAAGGAAACCCACCACTTCGACGACTCCAAAGTCCTGACCCCCGCCGTGCGCTCCGACCTCATGCGCACCCTCTGCACCGCCGCCACCGACCTCGCCACCTCGTGCGGCTGGGCCGTATCCTGCCTCTCCGCGCGGGACATCGGCGCGCGCATGCAGCGCCCGGCAACCTCAGCCCCCTACAACCTCAACGCCCAAGCCCTCGACGCCACCATCGACCTCATCCGCGGCGTCTTCGACCGCGGCGTCCACGTAACCCACATCTACGTCGACACCGTCGGGCCCCCCGCCACGCACCAGGCCAAGCTCGCCCGCGTCTTCCCCTCCGTCAACATCACCGTCGCCAAGAAGGCCGACAGCCTGTACCCCTGCGTGAGCGCCGCCAGCGTCTGCGCCAAAGTCACCCGCGACGCCGCCCTCGAGGTCCTGTACGAGGCGCGTGCCGAAGCCGACCTAGACTCCGAAGCCACACCGACACCGGCGGAGCCAGGCTGGGGCTCCGGCTACCCGTCCGACGCCCGCTGCGTCACCTGGCTGCGGCGGAACATGCACCCCGTCTTCGGCTGGGGCCCGGAGTGCAGGTTCAGCTGGGGCACGGCGAAGGACATGCTGGAGACCAAGGGCGGCGTCAAGGTCGAGTGGCCGGTCGACGAGGACGACGAGAACACGCGGCTCACGACTTACTTCAACGCCACGGACAAGGAGAAGGACGCCGATGAGCTCGGTTCTTGGTTTGGTGCGCCTGCAGATCTAGAGGCTTTTTGAACCGACATTTCATTTTTTTTTTTTTTGGAAAAACAATACCCGAAAGATTTTGAGGGTCTGGACATTTATATAAATACATTACATAGGTACATAACTATGAGAGAGAGGGAGAGAGATTCTTCTTCTCTCTTCCCTAACGATGGGGGTAGATCACAGGCGTTTTGGGAGAACAAGGCGGGGATGAAGAGAGAAATTTATGACAGGAAATATACTCTTTTCGGAAGAGAGAATGGTTGGTTCACAAGAAAAAAAAAACAATTGTTATCTTTACTATATCCCAACCTTTGCCGCCTTCTAAGAATATCAATGCAAAGCCCATTTATTTTTATTTTTTGAACTTTGAATTCCCGCTCGATTCCTTCCCGCTGCTTTAAATATCATCGTCGTCGTCGGCCACCACGCGCGACTGCTTCTTCCCTCGACTATCTAGTGTGTCCATGCTGATCGAGTCGCTATCTCGGCCTGGTACCCCGATTGCCTGTCTTGCCATCTCGTTGTTTTCGAGGAAGTCTCGGAGGCGCTGCTTGCCAATGTCTACGGCCTGGTTCCAAGCCGCGCTGCTCATCTGCATCATGGGGCCTAGAAGGTTAAGGGTGTAGGCTACATAGAGGCCACCAGCAATGATGACAAGAAGCAGGAACAGAATAGGGTTACGAAGAACTAGGGGCAGTTAGTAAAATGCTGGTAAAAGGTAGAAGTCGTGTGATAGCAACTTACCCGTAACAATCTCATTCCAGCCCAACGCCAGCAACAGACCGTAGAAATACAGCGGCACCTGTGTAATTCCACCAATGGCACTTCGCTTGGCTTCCACGTATACACCATCAGCTGTCTTCTTGAACCTGACTACCAAATCTTGGCGTTTAGTTTCACTCAAGACAGTCAACTCCTCCTCCAGGCTCTTTCCATCTTCCTCATCGACACCACCGATGGGGGTCAAATCCTCTTCATCCTCGGGCTCAGCGCTGGAGGGCTGGTTGCCGATAAACTCCGGGAGGTCTGGCGGGGCAGAAGTTGTAGACAGTCTGAACCTCGACAAAAGGGGGATAAGGGTCAGCGTCGATTCTCGGGCGCGAGTATAAATGCCCTCAATGTCATCAGCCGGTCGCCATATACGGGGAACACCGGCCTCGTCGTATCGGAACTTATCCTCAAAGTTCTCTCGGAGCTTGAGGAGAATGTTGCCTTCCATCACCTCTTCTTCAATCTTCTCTCGAAGTGCTACCCAGCTTTTTCGTCGGAGACGCCATAATCCTACCTCAACCTCTTCTTCACTTGCTTCGAAACTCTTGGCCCTATCCGCAAAGCGGCCCTCAGCATCCTTGACGACGGAAATAAACATGTTCCAGATACGATCCCATAGATCCTTCTCGGTGGCAGGCTTTTCACCTGTTTCAGGGGCTCCAGAACCACCCCTTCCTGATCCGAGTTTATTGAATTCAAGTCCAACTGAATCGCCCAAACGAGACTTGACCCAGCGCTCAACTCGGGTCGCCAGTCTCCGCATCTCGTCTTTTCTCAAGCGAGCGCTGACTTCGTCGAGTTCCTTCTCAAAAAGGGTATACTGAGACTTGAAGTTTGACCACGCTACACCAGGGATCTCCAGGCTCTGCGCCTCCTTTTGGAACGTTTCCAGGGTCTTAGTTTTCTCCGCGGCCACAATCTCAGCAAATTCGTAAGACCCGCCGGACTTCTGGCCCGCTTTCACGGCGCCAGATACAGCATCACTGAATGTAGTGACGCAAGCCTTGTGAGCGGCAGAGAGTTGGCCCTGAAATAGCGTCTTGAGTCGCTGGTCAATCTTCCCCTCTAGGTCAGCCCTCTTGTCAGAATAGACCTTTTTGTGATATCGGCTAGCCTGTGTTTCGAAAGACTTGACACATTTCTCTCTCGTGGTGCTGCCGATGCTTCCAAGGTCAAGCAAGACAGTTGGTTTCCCTTGACGGGTAGCTTCCGCTTGCTGTTCTTCTAGAGGGCTGATGGCTTGATCGAAGATTACCAAGACCTCTCGGGAGATCTCGTCGCAGCGGAACTGGGCAAGAAGCTCCTGTTGTGTAGGCAAGTCGAGGTCCTTATTGTTAACGATCTGATCCCAAATACCCTCTGCATAATGAGAAAAACCATCTGCCGGAATACGTCGGTGGTATTCTGGTAGGAAAACTCCACCTTCGAGTTCCTGCTCACCATGGTCCGAGTCCACCTGAGTCTTGGAGTTTCGATTCCCAGCGACGAACCTTCCACCCAGATTCTTGACTTCGATCTCGAACTTGTCTGGTTGTAGGATTTTGTGAGGCAGTGCAGCGAAGGCAAAATCGAAGTAGTCTTCTATGCGCGACTTCTCTAGACCAGGAGGCTTCGAAATCGACGACCAGATCTTACTCAGATCCTGAATTAGAGTGTTTCGGAGATTGGCTAGAGGAGTATGGCCAATATGGTCGCGAATGACAAAAAACAAAAGAGACCTGGGAGTAGACCTAAGTGGGAACACGTTAGCGTTAATGTTCAAGACACATCCACACAGCCCTTCTCACAACTTACTGATTATCCTTTAAGAATATTTGGAGATTGACTTCAAAGACGGTCTTAAGTAGCCCCATGTTGGCTCCTTGGTATAAGCCAACTTGATGCTCCCATACATTGACAATAAGCACTTCACTAGTTGCGAGCGCAAAAAGTGCACTCTTCCGTTCGAAATCTTGATCCTCTCCTCTCTCACGGCCATCGGTACCCTCTACGTCCATAACTAGAATGTTGTCGGCCATAGAGCCCCTTTTGTTCTTTGACATCCATATTCCTTTGGTGGTTTGACGGCGTTCCGTCTCGGACATAACATTGAACTCTGTACCGAAGAGGTAGTTGAGCAAGGTAGACTTGCCGGTAGATTGGGAGCCGAAGACGGATATGAGGTGATAGTTGAATCCAGAATCGGCAACCTGGGTTGCTTGTAGATAGGCACTGATATTCTCACTATGATCGCTTGGGTTAGCTAAAGGGTGCGCAGGAAAGAGCGCAATAGTTTTCAAAGAGAAAGGCCACGTTACTTGAATTCCTTGTCCTCGTCGATAACTTGAATGCCATGCTCGTAGTGAGCTTGGGCTGGCTCATCGCCAACGTTAGAAAAATGACCGTTCATATCGATACTGCTTTTTGAGATCGATTAGAGATATAAAATAGTTACAAATTGGATTTGGAGGTTATCAAGAAATGAAACGAGGGGTTGCCATTCTCCAGGCCTGGTATTCTGTCTTTTTAGTGTTGCATGCGTTTATTGGAATATGATTGGAATTATTGGAAGGGGAGCTGATAGAATAGAATACCAGGACCAGGAATAGGGATTAATAAAATGTGTAACTTTGTACATAGGCGTAGTAGAAATGACATTTTGATAACGGCAAGGGTATCCTGGAAGGGAACTTACCTGACCTGACTTGATCGTGGTAGCTTGTCACTTGTTAGCCAATAGCTTGATTGCGACAGCTGTTAAGAGTGTTAAGAGCTATGACTGGTGCCACTCTGCCACTGTCACATGCACCAATTGAGGATGAGATGACAACCTCGACAGAGTGGATGATGTCAGCTGGCTAGCTAGCTATTGCACACGTGGAGATGCAACTATCCGCACATGTCCTGCTTTAGGTGTTCTTTAGGTGTTCTTTAGGCGTTCTTTAGGCGTTCTTGTCACTAACGGTTCTAACGGTTATAGTGATAGTTAACCTTGAACAACGTTGAATAACCTTAAATGACCTTCAAGGCTTGAGCCATCAAATGTTAACTTTAGTTATTCCCAATCAAGAACAACAATCTCAATGATTCAGATTAATGAGATATCAAAACGAATATTTAAGTGAATGAGGAAGAGGAGACGTAATCGAAACAAAGATGAACCAAAAAAACAACAGCTTTGAACTGTCGAGTACTCAATAAATAGATTGTATAATAGGTATCCACCCAGGTACTTTAACAGTACCTACTCCCTTGAGTCTCAAAGAGATGGCTGTAGGCTATGTAGAACATCTGGTTAGGTTATTAGGTAGGACATTAATTGTTAAAAGGTCGTGATTTATGTGCAATACATACTGCATCTTGTGTTGTCTTTTATATCCGTGAACCAACAGTATACACACTACTATGTAGGTATTATTTCTTGTGTCTTGATTAAAACAGAACTACAGTAACTATTGGGTATAAGTAGTACCTCTACTATCCAGCCACGTAATTGTTTCCCTTTGTTGCATCCAGCCCCTAAGAATCATGAACTGCCAACAAATAAGTCGTGGATGCGATAAGACGTCAAGCTGATGCTAGATTGGATGCCTCCTAATTTGCATTGGACCCTGATTATTCTCTATTCCCTATTCCCTATTCCCTTTTCCCAAATCTCGCCAAAGCTGGCCCGAGTTCGGTCTCCTTTTCTTTTTCCTTCTGATCCCGCTGCTGCTGTTGTTCGTTCCATAGCTCATCCACTTTTAGTCTCTTCTCATCAATGATATTCTTAGCTCTTTGCTTCCTCAAATATCTTCGAAGTGCACTATTCTTTCCACGAGCTCTATTTCTGATCTCTGTTTCAATATTGACTGGCTTAGCATCAAGATCTTTCTCCGCTTGGCGCTGCTTGTCAGAACGTAGATCGAGGTTGCCGATAAAATTAGGGTCCAGAGCAATCATCTCAGGTTGTAATTTATTCAACAACGATTTGACTTCGGTGTCTTGTCGCTGTTTGGCCGTCTCGAATGGATTGACCTCTAGGGCATCGAAGTTGGCTTCCCCGGCTCCCGGAACAATGATCGACGAAAAGCCTTCGTCGTGGCCCAGTCCTAGGAAGTCTTCGAACGGACACCAGCGAACACGCTCGACGCGCTTACCCTCCCCTCCCCAAGTCATATAAGGGCTCTGGATTTTCTCTTGTTCTGCAGCATGCTTCGAGTACAGGCCTTTCCAAATTGTTGTTTTCGTTCCCCATCCGACCGCTGTGAGACCCCGATCTGATATCGCAATAGAGGAGGCTGGTTGTCGGGTGAAATAACTGTTAACTTCTTTGAACATTCTTATATCCCATACGGCCATCTTGCAATCTTGCCCAGCTGATACCATATACCGACCTTCCCTATCGACAGCTAATGACCGAACAGGACCCTTATGTGCCAACAGCTTAACTAGCGGCTCGCTAGAATTGGGAGACCACAATGTGACTGTTCCATTCTGATGACCGGCATGTACGACAGCATTATAGGGGTTTTGCGTGAATGATACAGGGGCTCCGAGTTTTGTCGGAATTTCTGTCACAAGTTGGCCAGTAGATACGTCTTGGTACTTGAGAAAGCCAGACATACCCTAAAGGCATAGTTAGTAACTAATCATTGTAAAATCGGTCCGTTAAATGTCAGACTCACCAAAGTTGCCAACAAAAAGTGATACGGTAGAAATTCCATGTGAGTAACCTCTTGGTGCTTCCTCAAGCAATGTATCTCCACGCCCTGGCGATCGTATATGTAGACGTGCTTTTTCTGTGACACGGCGAAGAACTGGTTATTGTGAAGCCACCGCACATCTCGAACTGTTTCTCCAAGTTGTAGCTCGCACTCCAATTTTCCTTTGCGCCAATCCATCATGGCAACATGACCTCTGCGCCCTGCTAGTAGTAATTCCCGACCTGTTCGAGAGTACTCAAAGATGTAGGGACCAAGTTGGTCAAGCTTCAACTCGAATCGCTTCTTGGCCGTTTCAACGGAAACTTCGTCCAGTATGTCATCCTGGCGCACTTTGTAGGTTCTCTCCAGCTCGTGCTCTGGCTCCAGGAAGCCGCCGGTGTTCTCGAGAAGGATTTCGGCATCTTTCGCCTTCACAGCAGCATCCTGGTATTTATTCTCGAGTGACTTTAGATTACTTCGTAATTTCTTGTCTTTAATCCCCTTGACGTTCACTTTTTTGCCTCTTCCGTAATCTCTTTGCGCTTCCTGCAATCGTCGTCGTCTTTCGCGCTCTTCCTTTGGGTCAAATTCCATTCGAGCTCGTTTAACGACACGAGCGCCATTGTTATACTTCGTCATGGGTATTTTGTCTGTAGTTTCTGTGTCGACCTCCATATTGGATTTCCCTTGGAATTCACGTTCTATAAGAAAATGAAGGCGACAAGTACGAAGTACCTGAATAGAGATCTGGAAGTATTAAAAAAATTAAAATAAAAAGAAAATAACTATGTAACTACCGGAGATAAAAGTTCAAGAAACATTTGAAATCGATAGGCGCAACCCAAAAATTTCCAGGATAAGAAACAGAGACCCGCTAAAAAGTTCTTATCGATACCCGCACAGAAAAGACCGTCGATAAGTTAAGAATTGACTTCAACGATAGAATTTACCCCTCCACCAACCACTATAATCCCAATTTCTAACCATTCCTACTGATAATCACCAATACCAACACTTTCCAGGCAAAATTGATCCATAGGTTTTTTTTTGGTTCAAAATCAGTATTAGGTAGCCTCAGACTTCACAACCTGGCGTCATTACCATTTCGTTTCAAGGCCGGAGGCGACAATAAAATGCCTTCAGCCACTCATTCCCACCGGCCAACTACCAAGGTTGCGCCGAAGTCCTTTAAATCCAGGAAAGCCACCAGGGGCGCTTTACGGGACCAGGCAAAAGGTGCAATTAGAATCTTTTTTGATATGTGAATGAAATACCAGTTTTCCTTTTTATTTACTAATACATGGTGACTCAGGCAAAGTACCAAATGAAAAAGGTCAGCGCAAGACTCCTCGACAGCAAGTCATGTCCAAATTTGATCGCCGAAACCAAGCGAAACAGCGCCAACAAGCAAAACAAAAGGATCGCCAGAAGGATGCCTTAGTCTTCTCCGGAAGAGATGGTGCGCCAAGAATTGTCGCCGTAATACCACTCTGCCACGACGTCGACGTCTCTGCTGCCATCAAAAATCTCAACAATAGTCTTGATATCGAATCCGATGTTCCCCAGTCCAGCTTTCGAGTATCTGTCGATCGCTTCAAGCAAAAGCTCCAATATGTACCAGTGGGTAGAGATCTTACTGCGTGTATTGATGCGGCCAGGATTGCAGACTACGTAGTATTCATATTATCACCCGAGGTCGAGGTTGATGACTTAGGCCACCTAATCATCCGAAGCATCGAAAACCAAGGCATGTCGACATTGTTCACGGCTGTGCAAAACTTGAACACCGTACAACCCGCGAAAGCTCAAGCAGATGTTGTCAAATCGCTTGCTTCATTCATGACCCATTTCCACCCAGAACAAGAGAAGATATACAACCTTGATTCAAGACAGGAATGCTCAAGTCTTATGAGATCACTTTGCACTGTAACACCAAAGGGAATAAATTGGAGGGATCAGAGATCGTGGATGCTTGTAGATGAGGTTCAGTGGCCATCGACTGAAACCGAATCAACCATTCTGACTGGTGTGGTTCGAGGACAGGGCCTCAAGGCTGACCGTCTAGTTCACGTGGGAGATTGGGGAACATTTCAGATTGAGAAAATTACGGCAGCACCTCTTCTAATTAAGAAACAGAAAGACACCTCGATGGCCGTAGACGAGGAAGCAGCAGAGCATATCTTGGAAATTCCAAGTGAGGAACAAGACACCCTTGCCGAGTTGGCTCCCGAGGCGATGATGGATGATGATATGATGGAGGGGGATGTAAAAGACCTAACAAGCAAAAAGGGGGTGTTACTAGACGATCATCACTATTTCTCCGAAGACGAACCAGAAGAATATGCTGCGCCAAAGAAGTTGCCTAAAGGGACATCATCTTACCAATCAGCTTGGTACTTGGACGATGTATCAGATTCGGAATCCGAGCTAGACGACGATATGGAAGATGTCCAAGATGAACAATCTTACGCTATGGCCCCAGAGGATGGCCTGGAACGCATGACAATCAATGAGCCCACCGAGCCAGCCATGTCTGAATACCCCCAATCAGAAATGTTTGAGGAGTTAGACGATGCCGATGATGCGGCCCAGTTGGCGGCATACCGTGCAAGCAAGCGTGATGAGGTGGAAGACGACAAGGAGTTCCCCGATGAGATCGAGCTACACCCACACGTCTTAGCCAGAGAACGATTGTGTAAATACAGAGGACTGAAAAGTTTACAAACCAGCCCTTGGAACACCGAAGAAGACCGACCTTATCAACCAGAGGAGTGGACAAGACTGTTACAAATATCAGACTACCAATCATCTCGGAATCGTTCTATACGAGAAGCTTTGGTCGGAGGGGTTGCACCTGGGACGAGAGTGCATGTCCACCTCAGAGCTGTTCCTCAGACGCTCAAAGAGTCATATACTCCTTCCAGGCCCATCAGTCTCTTCTCCCTTCTACGCCACGAAGGCAAGAAAACATCATTAAACTTTGATATTACTCACAAGGAGGACTATGAAAAGTCTATTAAGGCCAAGGAGGAACTCATTGTTCAATGCGGCCCTCGAAGATTCGTTATCAATCCGCTCTTCTCGCTCGGCGGCAATACAGAGAATGATGTCCACAAATATTGCCGATATCTTCACCCTGGTCAGTCCGCGATCGCGAGCTTCATGGGTCCCATCACCTGGGGAGCGGTGCCCACATTATTCTTCAAACGAACCGTGCCCAAGGATGGGGAGGATGGGTCAGAGCTACCCCTGCAGCTAGTAGCTACAGGCACCGCTCGTGCGTCCTCAAAGTCAAGGGTTGTCGCGAAGCGAGTCATCCTTACCGGCCACCCTTACCACATCCACAAAAAGGTGGTGACCATCCGCTACATGTTCTTCAACCGCGAGGACTTGGAATGGTTCAAGGCACTACCATTGTGGACGAAGAGAGGAAGGACTGGTCACATCAAAGAGGCTCTGGGTACTCACGGATACTTCAAGGCCAACTTTGACGGAAGGGTCAACCCGCAAGACTCGGTCGGCGTCAGTCTGTATAAGCGCGTCTGGCCACGGAGTGCCACTCCTTTTACTGGCCCACTATTAGAAGCTGCGGCCTCAGGAGTCTCAGACGAGGCTATGGATGAGGATGCTCAGTAAGATGACTAGATACTTATGTAAACCTTCACAGTATTGAGATACCACCCTTATGATCATGACCAGGATGGGTAGAGGAGATATCCCAGAGGCGCCAAATGCAACTTGTTGACTTTAAACAGGCTAGGTGGAGAAGGGATATATATAGGCATACAAGGGGCATGGGCTATGGAGGGGGATATGAATACACTCGCTTCGTTGCGAATAGGAAGGAGTACGGTACGGTTGTGTATGTATGTATGTATCTACCTACCATACCTAGGTAGGTGGCTTTCACATCTTAAGGTGTTGGGGAACCAATGAAAAAAATGATTTTGCTTGGCTTCAATGGTATTTTTTTTTCTTTCCTTGGTTTGACTAGGTTACCTACATACTCCACGTCCCTGCCTATTGGTAGGTTTTCCCATCTACTGGTGTACTCATTACCTAAAATTTTACGTACGTGATATGTTATATATAGGTAGGTATATATAAAGGAAAGCACTTAGACCAACGTTTCTATCCCCTCCGTAGGCTTCGGCCCTCCCCTCGCCTTGCACGCCTCCTCTGCCCCGCTGGCCTTCCAGGCGCTGATAATGAGGTTCACGATGTGGTCGACGGCTACCCCCTTCTTCACCTGAGCGAACACCGTCGGGCCCCCATCCCGCATCTGCCTCGCGTCGCGCTCCATGACAGCCAAGTCGGCGCCCACGGCCTCAGCGAGGTCGGTCTTGTTGACGACGAGCAAGTCGCTCTGGGTTATCCCGGGGCCGCCCTTGCGGGGGATCTTGTCGCCGCCGCTGACGTCGATGACGTAGACGATGTAGTCGGCGAGCTCGCGGCTGTAGTTGGCGGCGAGGTTGTCGCCGCCGGACTCGATGAGGAGGAGGTCGGCGGCGAAGGCGCGGTGCAGGTCCTCGAGGGCGGCGAGGTTGGCGGAGATGTCCTCGCGCACGGCGGCGTGGGGGCAGCCTCCGGTCTCGATGGCGCGGATGCGCGGGGCGGGGAGGGCGCGGTGGCGCGTCAGGAACTCAGCGTCCTCGCGCGTGAAGATGTCGTTCGTCACGGCCGCGATCGAGTACTGCGAGCGCAGGGCAAGGCACAGCGCGAGCATCAGGGCGGTCTTGCCGGAGCCGACGGGTCTGTGAGGGGAGGGGAGTTTAGGTGTCAGGCAATGGTAATCTCATTTACTCTGGAATTCATCGTACTCAAGTCGCTGGACTCGTCTAGAACCCCCCTTCTTGTGGAGCTCTAAATCTTGGGGTGTGTAGGTGTGTGTGTGTGTGACACTGGGTCGGGCCATGCTGCATGGCCATGGTTGCTACTCTACTCCCGGATGTCATTGCCTTCCTTCCGGCCAATAGGCATCTTGTCCGTCCGAGATATAGATACAAGGTGCAGGTAGGTGGGTAGGTAGGTAGGTAGGTATATGTAGATGGATGTATAGATGAAATGGAGACTCACCCTCCAATTCCTACGGTAAAGGCCCGCTCGTTCCAGTCACGGCCCTCTATAATAGGCATCTCGCGGCCGAGGAAGCTACCGGGGCCGTCGAGGATTTCGTGGGAGTGGCCGTGCTCGGCGATGGAGAGGCCATGGTCGTGAGAATGGTTCGTTGAGCCGCCGTCATGCGAGTGTGATGCCATGGTGGGATGGTGGGATGTTGGGATGTTGAAACAGACAGATACACCTAGGGAGGGCACCTGGTACTGATGACAAAATCTAAAATGAAGCAAATCAACGGGGCCTAAAGTCAAAAATGTCGTTAAATGAACTTTGATAGGATAGTCAAATGTACCCTATTATCCACGTATATGTATTATATTAGTGTCTATCTATATATTCGAATTATTGCAATTCCATCAAAAGTATAAAATATGACTGTTCTAGTAGAGTGATGCCCCTCCTTCTACATATCTAATCGTGCTAATATGATAATCTAATAAGATCTCAAGTCTCTTATCTACAGGATCCCACATTGCGTGCGCTAACATTGTAAGCCAAGTTTGCTTATTAACCCCCACTAGAGCTTTAGTTACACCAACTTGCGCACTTAAAAGCTCAAGAGCTATCCTGGTTGAATATACTACGCCGTATAAAGCACAATTACTAACCCTTCTTCAACGCAGTAAACCAATCGGCACTCCAAGAGTTGCTTACAATCTCGATTGGTCTAGTGGTCAGGATACCTGCTTGTCATGTACAAGTTCGCAGGTGGCCGGGGTTCGATTCCCCGATCGAGAGCATACTTTCTTTACTTTTTTTTCTATTCGAACTTGAATGTTCGCCAGTGTAACTTTTTCAACAAAGAAAGTAACTATTATCTTTTTCTCGTTCTTTTTTGAGACAAAACGGCGCACTATTTCCACCAACGTCTGTCTGCCTCATAACCCGTTGCATTTTGATCGCAAGTTTTAATTCCGGTTACGTATTAACTATGGTAGTGCTTCCCGTCGTTTTCCTAATGCTTCACCATATTCACACTACTCAGTTTTTCAACATGTTGATATTTACTACCCGCCAGCTTATGACTGTCAAACATACATATCGTGCCTAACCTACCATAAGGTATACATGATAATCGCAAGCAACCTACATATGTAGCGTTTAGGCATATCCTACGTCCCTTTAGGTTTTCATTTTCATTTCATTCCCTCAAAGGTTTGAACTTAATTACCCTCGGACTTTCAATGCTGGCATTCCATACGCAGTACACTAATTATTGATGGAAGATTCTCCGAGTGTATTATTAGATTCTGCATGAGGCGTTCTTTTAATATCAACACCTTGCTTGGTACATATGTAAGGCACTGAAAATGTTGTGACGTTCAATGTTGCCCAGTTATACCGAAGCTTATACACCCAAGCTACTAACCTAACCTACATACCTACCGAGTTCAATGCTACTCCATATTCTTTGGAATGCTTCCGATTTTAGCGCTGACTAGAACGTCTTCATTGGGATCCTTGCTGCTTCGTGTTGATCGAGCCCACAGATCTATGCACATCTCTTTGGCGGCTCGTGTATTAAGTAATGCCATCCAGCCACGACAACAACTAAGTTTACTATGTAAGCTGCCCAACTACATATCAAGCAATTTCGTGTTGAATATATATAATGTAAGAGTTAGGTGCAGAATGCTTCTGGCGTACGCCGTAAATAACTATACAGTACATACATGTACATTATGCCCGTGACATTCATTCATTACCATCATCGTCTGATGTTTGTCTCTCCCCCTCTCCATTTATAAAGGCTAAGGAGTTGAAGCTAGAGGTCCACGTCAAGGTTGCCTTGTCCACTCCTAACATAGTAGCTTGGTGAATAAGTCGATAATACCGCAAATCTTCACTATTGGTTGGTATTAAACTCGTACTATGGCAGAGTGGCATGCCCGAAGCCGCCAACTAATCTGCTAGAGGATTCCTGCATGTCGCCTTGCAGATTTTTGGTATGATTTTCGTGTATCACCAAAACTACCGGTTGGCGAGACTCGAGGGTGGGTAAATAGACATTATACTATATATGTATTGCTGGGAGCCAAGAGTATTGAGATGTACGTTAGGTATGGATGAACATTCTGAATTGGGACATCTCCAGCTTCTCTGATTTGATAAGCATTGTGATTTGATATCAGAGTTTGGATAGGATGTGGTAGTAGTCATCATGGAGATTCATAGCTCTGATCTGTTATAGCCTATAGGGTTAGTTGTAGTTACTTAGTTGTACTATGTTATGTATGTAGTCCATGACTCCATGTTGTATGTCATGCTCGGGATAATATACCGATCACAATGTTGTGCAACATGTTCTATTTACATAGCACTCTCTTTACTTTCAATGTTGCCTCGATGAGTCCATGTTTGTTTGCACTTTTGGTTCGATTTCCTCCCCTCAAAGCTTTTAATGTTCCCCTTGGGGAAAAAGCGACAAGGAATCAAGGATAGGTGCATGAGCATGCAAGCATCTTCAGCACGATCCAATTTGAGAACACAGCTCATGAGGGTTTGGATGTGTGACTGGGATCAAGGACAAGGGTTATTAACCTCCTCCATGTCAGTCCATGAAGCTCCATCATCCATCCCCCCTTGTTCCATTTACTTGTTCCTTGTTCCCTGTCACTTATCCCCTGTCCCCCGCCTCTATTTTGTTCATAATGATACACCCCCTAACTTGGAAGGTACATCTGTAGCAGATCATACATACATATGTAGTTACATGTAACTATGCTAGTATTTTCTCTACCACGGTACTACACTAGTAGTAGTTACATGTTTACACTACCTGAAAGACGTACATACACACCTACCTCAAGTGTTAACACAATACAACATTGAATTTGATACTCTTACACTTTAAATTTCAACATGCCCACAGTGCCTTAAGTGCGTACGGAGATGTCTCCATACAATCCAGCTTCCCAGTAGACCGCTTCCCTTGGTTCCCGCCAGAAAGGGACGAGAGAAGGGTTACAATGCAGCAGTATAGATCCAGCACCGGGTAAATTGTGACACCATCTACGCGTCTCGCTTCTGTAAGTCCCAGGCAAAGTATGTACAAGATCTCGTCAAGCAGGAATCAGGACGCAAGCAGGACGCAAGCAGGAAGCAAGCAGGAAGCAAGCAGAACATGGAAAGCAAGGCGATGAAGGGAGTCGAGGTCACGTTGTCTCCAAGAATCGTTAGTGTTGTCCTCTTCCTATGGAGCTAAGGTAACCTCTAACAGTCGGCCAGCGAGGCTCGGTAGTCAAATGATGGACCACTACTGTTCGCTACCGCTCGCTACCGTCCTCGAGCCCCTGTACCCATGTCACATTGAAAAAGAAACTTCAATCTCTTGGCCGAGACGGGCGCATTCTGCATGCTCCTACTTTGCTCTTGCCTTGGATGATCTTTGAATAAGAAGAGGTCGGTTGCCCTGTGTGTGGTAGGTGACCGTTTGCATGGTCTGTCTCGTGGAACGAATGTAACTTTGTAACTTGCCCAGGTTCAGGTTTATAGAGATTTGATGTTTTGATGTTTTATTCTTTCTCTTTTTACATCCATCTCGGAACCTTGATATTAATCGGGAAAGAGTTCTCTCCCACTCACCTCACCTCCCCTCTAAGCTTTTCCGTTGCCATGCAGATGCAACCTAATTATCTCGGACTTACAACGTACATCGCTGTCATCCTAGTATAACTTCCAGGGGCGAGCTTGAAAGTTTATGAAGTTTTTTGAAGTTTATGATACGACTCAGGTACGACGTGTGGGATATGTGCAAAAGGGAAACCGACCTGGCACTTTAACGAGAATTCAGGGAGTCACTTAATTTACAACCTTCTCCAACATTAAACATTAAACGTTGAACGTTGAATGAACCCTTACTTTGGTTGCCTTGAAGTTCAGGTACAAATTACCAGCTTTGACGTTTGGCACGCACCTTTACCCGATATTACCCATTCCAACATCTCAAAAGAATTTGAGACTAGCCAAACCCTCATTCATTTAACGACCTTGGTTCTTGTTGGTCATCTTCAAAAAACGATAAGGCCTACAAGAAGGAAGAATAATAATGCAACTCACCATGGGCCGTTCAACGGGTGAACGTCCAGCTTCAGGTCTAGCCAGGCCAGCAGCTATGAAGCCAGACCCGTATAGACACAGTCACACGAGATCGAACCGCCACGCCAAATCACAACCTCTTGATCCCGATGACTTGCGCCGTCGGCTGTACGTGGTCATCGCGGAACAGGAGGCGCTACAAGAGAGGAAGCGGAGAGAAAGATTGAAGGCAAGGTCAACGGAGGAAGACGAGTCCGGAAGCGATTTAGGATTGGGAGAATTGGGTACGGCCTTAGGAGCATCAGCAACTACGAATCCGGGAGATGATGAAAGGAGCTTCGCAGCAAGGATGATGAGAGGAAAGCCCCCAACAGCGAGTTCACTTCTAGAGGGAAACGGTATCAAATCTTCGGAAGGAAAACCAGTACGATCTACATCACAGTCCATTCAAGACAGGATACGCCGCAGACCATTAAGAGCGGAGCCCATGTCGACAGAGAGTACAGTAAACGCCTCCTCGTATCACCATGTTCCCCAAGTAGCGGCTACGCAGTTTGCGACGACCACTACTGGTAATGGCATGCGCGAGTGTAATTCTGTACACAGTTTATCCCAGGCTGCCCTCAAATTCCGAATCGATGGTACACCACCCGACCGAATCGACCTCGACTCTGGCGTTTCCTCGGCGCAGACCAATGCCCTGAGAAGGGTACACAGTCACAGAGAGAATAGCTATGAGAATAGCCAGTTCCAGTACTCGCGCTTCATGTCGAATGACCGTGGCGGCTCGAAAGAGAACCGCCGCCAGCTCCGGCCTAGCAGCAGCATCGTGCTTGGCAGAAGAAAGTCTGGGAGGAAAAGCAGTTTCGGCAACATCTTAGAGGATGAGGTGTCGAATATACATCCAATCGCGGCTATGGATCCGCCCATCGATGAGATAGCGTCAGAGGAGACGTTAGTAGTCGACCCAGCGACGGTAAATGAGCACCGGGTCGACTGGACGCAGAGCGACGAGGTCTACGAGAAACCGAAATCCACGGCGAGAATTCCCCTTCTGAGAAAAGCAGATTCCCTATGGACGCTGAAAGGCAGACTCGGGAGTCTGACTAAGAACGGGCATGACCGGGATGAGAAGACGTCGGCGGTACGTGAGAAGCAGGAAGCAGGATCCCCTTCTGCTTCTTCACGCTCGTCGCCTAAGTTTCTGCGGTTTGGGTTCTTGACAAGGTTCAAGCGTTAATTAATCGTTGGTTAATTGGTTGGTTGGCTGGCGAACAGGGTTTTATGATGGCGATGGTAATGAATGAGTATAAAAACTTAATGACTACCTAAAACTACCGTAGTAGATAGTTAGGTATAAGTAATGGATATTCTAGATACTTCTTGTAGGTTAGATATCTAGTGTACCAAATCCCAACTTCGAAAGAATACCTAAATACAACTTTCTTTTGTTATTCAGAAGGGGCATATGCCTAGCTGTCTACTAACACTTAGACTTATGATGTGATATGTGATTGGGAAAGGTAGGTCGTGTAGTGTAGTGAAGCTATCGTGGGTCTTTCGTATGAGCGGGGCCAAACTAAGTTCGAGTAGTACCTAGTAGTTTGACTAGTGGGCAAGTACCCAAAGCATACAAGTTATATAAGGAATAGTTGGCAATTATTCTAGCACATACGACCATAGGATCCGGAAAATTCGGGATCCCGTCCGCTCTCCCATAGACAAGCCGGATACCGCCAAATCAGTAGTTGGGTCGGTGACGACCAGCGAATCCTTGGTGTTGTATGTTTTTTAGTGTTTTTATTTATTCCTTTTTTTAGTGATTTCTATCCCTTTGAGGGGGATTTTTCTCCTGGTTTTCGATCTCGATATTATAAAAAAAGGATATTCGGTCACGTTGGTGGTTATGAGAAGTGTGGTTGAAGGTCCGATGTATGGCATCAGGGTGATCACGTGATACTGTACTAATAATAGCTATTTTGCTATGGCGCACAGACCAGCTTCGGAAGCTGCTCTTGTCTTTCCCAGATGTACCACCTCCTTAAATTGATTGGTTGTTTAGTTGTTTTTTAAAATAAAAAAAAGATGTAAGATTTTAGGCAACTGCATACAAGTTGTACGCTAGTGGTCCTATAATCCATCACCTTGACTTTACTTCCTTAACATTTCCACCTCACTTCTTCATCTCAAGCTTCTTCTACAAATAACGAGTTCCATGGATACTTCTTATACACTACCTACTACTAGTAAAGGCAATAAGCAGTTACATATCTACAAAAGCAATGATTGGTATCAATTTCTTCGTCTTACTAATAGTAAGCCACGTTCCACGTGCTCGAACGGTCCATTGACCAGGTAATCTCATCCCTGTAACTATTGCTCACAGCTGAAGGAGGAACTGGAAGGTGATCTGCATAGATGTGTTATACAAGGATGGAAAAGTAAAGCCCGCCCGCCTTCGGTTCGTCTTTAGCGCACTGGAGTGGATTCCGAAAACTCTTGGTTGAGACACTAAAGAAGATGTAGAGACTCAAGATATTACATAAAGATCGCCTGTGGTGTCTGGGCATGCATAGGTGGTCCTTGATTATGCCTATAGCTCGCTTACCTACCTAGTAAGTAAGCCTGGTGGCTGACCATGATGGCGGAAATGAGTACATATGTTACCTAAGTAGGTAACATCTCCCTTCACATTTTCCCCTTGGATCTTCGTCTACCTACACTATATACACCCACCTCCGCGAGTGCCTACCTACCATACGGCCATGTCTTCGACCGACTATTCTGGCTGGGCTATCCGCCGAAACGGGTCCTGTCTTCTTTCCCAGGAGGTCGACTGCGGCGCCACGTTGGCACCCTTCCGAGCCTGTTGCCCGTCTTCCACAGTCTGTCCTAGCCAATACAACGTCGCCTGTTGCCCATCTGGAACGAACTGCACTACCACGATCGTCGAGACCCCCCGATGCGCCAACGAATCATGGGCTATGTTTGATAATGCCGGATTCTTCTGTTGCGAGACAAATCAAGTAGGCTATAACAGAAGCAATACCGATGGGTGCTTGCAATCGGGCACTAGCTTGCCGGACGACGCATTGCCGCTAGCTGTGGTCGAGCAGAGTAAGATTGAGGAATCGGAAGTGTTTGCTTGAATAACTACAGTTAAACTGACCTCGCTTAGGTAGTGCTTCGTCGACGATATCCAGCACGACAACGGGGACGACATCGACAACTTCGACGGCAACGTCCACTGTAGAGTCAGGTTCGGGCAGTAGCGGCAGCAGTAGTAGCAGCTCTCCCGCTGGCGCAATCGCTGGGGGTGTGGTGGGAGGAATTGCCGCCATTATGATTGTTGTTCTAAGCATCTGGTTCTTTCGCCGAAGGAGAAACCAAAATGAGATTCCTCCGACAACTAATGAGCCCCCAGTCCCCCCGACCACTGATACACCCCCAATCGCAGCACCATATAATACACCATACAATGAGAAATACGCCGGAGTAGTCGCGCCCCATCGATCCGAGATTGACGGCAACTCCCGGTCAGAGTTGGCGACTGACCCTTACTACGTACGATCTGAGTTACCCTAGCACTCTTCTATAAGTGAATTCTAGCAGGCTGGTATTTGACGTATATGAAGGACCTTGGAAGTTATAGAGCATGAGCATTTGGCATTAAATTTGTGTCTGTAATAGATACCTATGGAGTAGTTGGGGTTGGGGGGGAGATACCTGATCTAGTTGGTGCGTTTGATAAGAGCATAACATAGTATACCTCAGCATGCGTCCTTGTGGAAAAGCAATATATTGTAATATTCTTACATAGCTAGATACCTATTCAGTACTGGCTGATGTCGTTCAATTCTACATCACGGTGTGCTGAAAGTGCAAAACTCAAGATTATCTGTCTAGTTTGAAACTGATATTGGCAATACCTATGGACAATTGCTTAGTAGCAAATGGATGCTTCTTTCAACTCGCGGGGTTGATTGGGTATCAGATTTATACACTCCCTCTCCTTGATATTTATTTAGGTATCTTACATGCTATGTACACTGAAACGTAAGTCGCATCCTCGTTCTCTTCACCATTCAAAGATAACTCTCGCCTACGAGTAATAAGATTACGCACACCGAACCTCAATTCACAGGTGCCTTGTGGTTTCAATACCCTGATAGGTATGTAGGTACGTGATAAATTTTGCATGAACCTGAAGAGCTATCTATCTATCTATCTTTCCCTTTTTTGCCTAATTAATTACGTGTTTGGGACTTGACGATCTCGATCTCGATCTCGTCACAGAAGTACAGTAAAACGCGAATGCGAATGAACAAGCAAATAGGCAAGCAGACAGATAGACATGCCAACAGCTCTGATCTGTGTCAGGGACGTCTAAGTACATACTTTGGGTTGGGTAAGGTTTCAATGATGTTCTACCTAGAAGAGCACGAAGTCCATGTTCAGGGAGGAGACAAGCAGCTCGTTTCTTTGGAGACCTAATAACGGAGGCGATCAAAGTAAGGGCGTTACTTTATTATTTCTCCTTTCACATGCTTGGTCAAGGTAAAAGTACCTATTCATTCGCGTGAAAACTTCTAAAATTGATTATGGGTATCTCAACTAAAGTGATGCAGTAACGACTTTGATTTTTAGTTCCGCCTTCGCCATATCCTGTCCTGGCATTAACAATATGCTAGCCCTACTAAAGTAGGTGGCTAGTAAATACAGTACCGATGAACATAGTGATGAGGCGACTCGTTTGATAATTCTGCGATGGCATGTGTTAGTATAGGTTTACTTCTCGGCGCATTGGTAGATCTAGATCGGTTGGGTGATGTCGTTGCAGAGTAAAAAGTAGAACTTTGGATAAAAAATAATGGATATAATTCGGATCAAAAGACTTACCGAATAGCATTCTGGATCTTTACAGAGGTAGGGGTAGCCTCAGGGTGGTAAAACACATTGAAAATACCATAATCATTGATGTCTCATGTCGTAGGTCGTCGTCGGCATATGAGAATCTCAGAAAGCCTTGGATTTCTCGGCCTCGAGGAGCTCTTGGATGGCCTTTGCGTCGTCCTGTGCGAATTGTCGTCGGATTTTGGCTGCAACATTGGCAGACTCAATCCTAGCCGAACGGAGCCTAACGAGCTCGCAGTACTCCCTCAGAGCGTCTCTATCGCTACCCGGGGTTTCTCGAGTTCGGCGCAGTACCTCCAGGCCATTTTCGTAGCCCGTATCCTTCGTCCAAGGCTGGTTTGTCTTACGGTAGCCTTTGTTCGAGCCAGGGAATGCAGAATTACCGCCACCGTCAGCGGTGGGAGGATCTGTGGCGGCGGCAATGTTCCAGAGCAGACTCTCCAGGTTGGGGTACTTCTGAATGAGTGCTGCATATTCTGGCATATCGGCAATCTCTGATTCCTTGAACGTCTCGCCCTCCTGACGTCCAGCATGGTAGTCAACGTTACTTGTCTCTACGACAGTGGTGTCCATTGGCTTCGGTGCCTCGACAGGAGCCTCTACAAGAGGGTGACTGTCACGATGCTCCTGGAAACAAGGAAGCGAGCACCTGCATATTAAAGTGAGAAAGTACACTCAAGGACCAAAGATACATCAGACTCACGTGAATAGATTACAGCGAGGGCATTTGTATTTGCCCTCGGCTGCATCGCAGACTAGGCATGATGGCCTAGTGCTCCCCATTGTCGAAGCTGAGGGTTCGAATATAAGGAGATATGGAATAAGTTCCAGAGACCTTGTGAAAAGGTGTTCGAGATGGGTGGCGATCCTTAGATATATACCATACTGTTCGATCTTCTGTTATGTGAAAGTGACCGGGTTCTTGGCAAAGCAGTTGGCGTTATGAAACAATGTTCAATAGCAATAATCAACAACAATGACGGCGAAGTAGCTATCCAACAGAAAGAGCAAATCTTCTTTGAAGGCTAACTGTAGGACCTGCAACGTTTAAAGGAGCTTCTGACAATACGGATAAGTTTTTGCAAGATCTCTCGCGCTAACGCTGGAAGGAGATATACCTTAGTTGATGCTTCAAGACGCCACAAAAATCACGAAAGGAGCCTTCAGTGATGGTGTTTTGCCGTCTGATGTAACAACTCGTGCCCTATGACCTTCGTATCGCCGGCGGTGATAACTTCTGACAAACAATGAATGAATGTGCCAAGATGAAATGTATTAGAAGTGAAGATGGATCAGATAAGGCCTTTGAGTTGTGTCTTCAAGAGCAATACTCGTTGGGATTAAATGAAAGTTTGGTTTTTTTAGAATCGTAAAAAAAAGGACGTACTATCTATAGTAGGCACATGTACACGAAATTGAGATTATAAACAATGAGTACTTCGTAAGTGGGTATTTCAGGTAACTCGGTCTGAGATACTTGAGGATGTAAGAAATCCAGTGCGAAGAGTATTTACATGGCACTTAGGTACATTGTAGTTGGGAGCTTTAACTAAACAGCACATGGCACAGTGAATTAAAGTGTGGCTTGAAGTACTACTAGTACCTAGTATGTAAGAAATAGGTACTTTGGGCCTTGAACTTCGGCGGACAGCCAATTAGAATCTTTATTTCCTCACCTTCAAAATGGGTAACTAACTACTTACCAGGTAAATGATTTAAGTTAATATGCCGATAAAATATTCATAATCAGAGCTTTGCGTCATTGCCACCGATTGATTGATAAGCGGCGAAATTTGTTGGTTCCTCTTATCGGCGCAACCGCAACTGCATTCAAGTTGCGACTCATTAACTAATTTGTACATTTACATATTTACATATTCACATATTCACTATTTCCTATTCCCTATTCCCTATTCAATATCAACCAACTTGCATTACATATACCATATCAATGTGACTCCCGACCAAAAAAGCTATTTAATTATTTCTCTTCTTCTCAACTCCAATTGAAGTGGCGAGTGGTTTACTGTAATTTGAGAAACCCCCACTACTATGTCTTCAAACCGACTCCTGAAGCCAGGAGCAGCAGCAGCAACGGCTCTGCTCTCAACGACAACAAGAAAAGTACGGCCTACAAGATGCGGTCAAATATATAACGCGGCGCGGTTGGCGCACACAACTTCACAAACACTAGGTATATCAGCGAATTCTAGGCCGATACTACGAACGACTTTGGGGTTACCAGCCGTTGCGCCCCGAGGCGCACGCAGCATATTCATCCAGACTGCGCCCACACCAAATGCTGATGCGCTCAAGTTTCTGCCGAACCATACCATAATACCCCCGGAAATATCTACTCCCTACATCGAATATCTTACCCCGCGGAGCACAATTGCACCGCCGTATCCATCCCCACTGGCTGCGCAGTTAATGAACATTGATGGAGTCACCTCAGTTTTCTACGGCCCTGATGCCATCACCGTAACAAAGTCGCCCGATGCAAACTGGGTCCATATCCGGCCCGAGATCTTCAGCTTGATCACCGAGACCATAACATCAGGGCAGCCACTAGTCGTTGTAAGCAAGAAAGAGGACGGGACAGATGGCCAAGAGTCGCCAGAGGAAGATAGCTTAAGCTACAATGAGAACGATAGTGAAGTTATAGGGATGATCAAGGAGTTACTCGAAACTCGAATAAGGCCTTCAATCCAGGAGGATGGCGGTGATATTGAATTCCGTGGCTTCGAGGATGGGTTCGTGAAGCTGAAGCTCAGAGGAGCATGCCGGACTTGCGACTCAAGCACGGTCACCCTCAAGAGAGGCATTGAGGGCATGTTAATGCATTATGTGAGTACACAAACCTACACACCCGGATAAAATCTCCCAGCTACCTAGGTACCTACATAAATAACTTTTAGGGGATGAAACTAACCAGATATATAGATCGAGGAGGTTAAAGGAGTACATCAAGTTTTGGACCAGGAGGAGGATATCGCATTACAAGAGTTCGCCAAGTTCGAGGAGAAACTTAGGGCACAAAAAGGACCAGATGCAGCTCCAACGACGCCTGGCAAGGACTCGTTGGATTCAGTCCCCGGATAAGTAGGTGAAGGGAACTTGCTTCATCTGATATATTATTATTAATAAGGCGTCATCTCAGTGTACCATTAAGGACTCAAACGAATTAAAGAATGGCAACGGAATATTGGGATGCAACATCGGTCACGAAACTGATTAGGTTTTTTCGATAATCTCGTGTCCTGAACAGAGTTCATTACTAGTGATGATTAGCAACGTTGTTCGGCGAAGGTGTATTGTTGCATTCGCCGGTTCTAACCAACGACACCGTTTAGTTTAGCCATTTTAGGGTTTTTAAGCAAACCATCTTGACGGCTGGGTCGGAATTAACTTCGATACTATGTAGTTGCATAGGTAGTCACGTAGTGTGTCTGATCAGGGACATCCCTTGCGTAAACTCTTCGAGCCTCATATCCATTCCCCTATCCCCCCCGTCCGTTACACCTCTCTTTTTCCTATTGCCGACACTAAGCAATTGGGAGGTGTGCAAGAGTGTTCATCGATCTAGGTACTAGGTAGGTAGATAGGTATGTACATACATACAAGTATATCAGCGAGGACAAGAAAAGAAAAGTAAAGAAAGTGGATGGCACCACCGGAAGGCAAAAAACATACACACACACTACACATTAGACACACCACGCTGTGGCGGGGAACGATTCCCACCGGTGTGGCGATGGGGGAAATAAAGGGATGGCTGCGGTCACATGGGCAAGGTGCAGGCTAGGCGTTGCCGCTCCCCCTCCCCCCTTTCCCACCCCTTTCGAAACTCTCCCGAGAGGGATCAATGCACGACGAAGGCCGGTTCGAAGGTTGCTAAAGTAGGTATTTAGGGGTGGTTTGGTTTGGTTTAGTAGGGATGAGGGAATGGGATGGGATGAGATGGGGTTACAGCACGTCTAATACCCCGCAAAAAGTCAACTAGAAAATGTACGTCAAGCTGCATGGCAGGCTATCGTCGTACTGAAGATGCATTTGCTTTACTACATATGTATAGGTTATGACACCCGTTATGTATGTACTAGGTTAGGGAGGTACCTACTTGCCTAGCATACAAGCTTCCAAGGTTGGCTTAGGTTCACGTATAGGGCTCTCTCTTCCGGACGCTTATTACCACCTACCTCCTTACCTAGTATATGTAGGCGGTTTATAATACGCCTGGGCAATCTTTCTCATCTGAAGCTCCGCAGGAAATGCCGGGATCTAGATTGCCATGGGCTCTTTTTTTATTTTTTTCTTGTCTTAGACAATTAGGTTATTAGACCCCATCTTGCTAAATGTATCATGCTCACTCACATTGCTATTTACGACGTAACAACTTCATCATCATACACCAAGGCAAAGGCTTGGCAATATGCACAATGAAATGAAAGCATTATGTATGTAGAACTCTGCTAACCTAGGTACATATGTACGTAGGTAGGTGGAATAATTGTTTGCGAGGTCTGGATTTCCCCCCTTTTTTTTTGATCCCCCAAAATTGGGATACTGTGTAGGTAGGTATGTATGTATGCACAATTTCATGTCACGAGGCCCTACAGAAACATTTGAAGTCTGAGACAACAACGTTTGCTGTGTACTAGGTCAAGTATGTAGTGTCGAGGGCATACTAATGGGGTTAGGTACATGCGGGCAGATGCTAGCTCCAGGTGCTGTGTGAGGTCGGCAAGGTAATTCTCCCCGCGTGGAGTAAGAAGGCCGCTCGCGCTCTTCCGTAGTCCGGCAGTAGGAATTTCGGAGCACTGGTGGATTAGAGAGAGAGCCGTTCGCCGACAGGTTACATCAGGCACCTGGGAATCATATTGTATCGGTATATATATATGCATACATACATATGTGAGTTGTTACATAGGTATGTATAATAGTCTGCGTATATCGTATATTGTATATTGAGAGCACATTTTCTGACAATGCCCTATATCGTAAATATGTAATAGGAGAACTCCTTGGAGTGCGTGGGAAATAGATCCTTGGAAACACTTTCGGTATTCTACTTATCTAGATTTTGGGTACCTAGGTGTGTTAAGTCCACCGTAGAAAGTCACACAGACCTTCGTAATCAACGTTTGCTGTTCGTGTGAACACACCTACCTAGCCCGAGCCATCCTAACCTAACCTAACCCGAGAAATCCGGGGTAATGCCCCCCCTAAGACGCCTGTGCGACAGAAGTTTTGGGTACGGGTTTTTACGAAGCTCGCGCCACCTCCAAGTTTTTTTTGCCTTTGCTTTTGCAAACAAGCCGTGTGACGACATCGTGGATGGGTTACAAAAAGTGCAACGGCAAATGGTGCTGATGGCAAGATATGGGTATCGAACAGCAAAGCACATATTTCCCCTGTGTATGCTGTATACTAAGAAGTCGATTCCAACCTCACAAGCGTGGAATCCTTGGAAAAGAAAAGAAAAGAAAACCCCGTCTTCCTGTTTAGGCTGAGGCTTGCAGAAGCAGCATTCATAAATACAAAGGGTCAAGGCCCCTTGGTTCGAGTCGCTTAGGTCCTTAGGTAGGTAAGTACATGTATGTAAGAAAATATGATGACTGAGGTAAAAATAAGAGTTAATAATCCGATATTATATAGTTTTATTTTATTTAGGTATCGATATGTTTAAGTATGCGAAGGGAAGATGATGAACCTTGGATGCTACATAAGTTCTGAAAATAACTATTGTAAGTGATGTTATAGTCGCTCGAGGTGGTCGTCATCTTGGAGCACACGATACTATGTATGTATACCTGGTCTCATGCATAGGCCGGAGTACCTACCGTATGAGGGGCAAGAGATTCGTCCCGCATCTGTTGGATATGCGATGAAAGATTCGTAACCCCTTCCCCCTTTTCTATCTCTTCAATCAGCTGGGATTTAAGAGAGATCCTGCTCACCTCTATAATGCGCTTCCTTTCCTCATCTACCTACCTACCTACCTACCTACCTACATAACACATTTTTCCTACATGGAGCCATTGTTAATCCCGTACGGCGCGAGATGATGGTGAGGCCGAACAAGAGCGCTCTTCCGATCGTTTGAGGGTCAATCGAAGTCAAGTCAAGCCGCATGAATCCCCATAGTCTAGCGCGATGTAATGTAACAACGGCCTCAGCCTGCAGTGCATGCATAAATCAGATATGCAGGAGGTTTTTGTATGTGTTCCATTCCCCAGCTGCCCAGAGATATGTAGACAGTGTAAAGATGTAAGCTGGGCAAGTCCGGTTAAGACGGCCACACCCAACTGTGAATAGAGGACTCAGATGGCAAACCCCCCAAGCCTCACATACAATGCATCTATGTATAGATATGGATAGCTTTAGGCCAGAATCTGTAAAACTTTGTGGACACAGTTGTAGGACTGAACAAAGAAGAGCTATTCGCTGTACCGGATGAGTCTTACTGTTGATCTTCAACGATGTGGATGGACTAAATCGCAAAGAAATGGCGTCTCAGTTCTCGACCCGTGATTGGCGTCGCTTATTCCCACACTTGTATAGAAATAGAAACACACAAATCTTTTGAAGGCCTTTGATGTCCCAGCTGAACTGGTCTATGTACCTTGAACTCCCTTCATCAAACAAAGACTGCCCAGGAGTTGTGACGTAGCTAGAGACGGAAACGAAATGCCCCTATATTAAGTAAAGGTTATTCTACATAGTACTAACTATCGTGGGGACAGGTGACCAAACTTCATACCACCAAGGACCAGGAACATATATGTACATACCTATTACCTACAGGTACATATTGACATATTCATTGTATTGTCATATTCATTGTAACCAGCTGATATGCCATTGGCTGCTTGTGTTAACTCCCCCGGAAAAGCTAGGATACCGTAGCAAACAAGACTTTCGAACTCGGGCGGTTGAGGAACTCGAGCCAATTGGCGTCTCTTGCTTCAAGTTGCTTGACCTCTCGCGAAGTTCGGTACTGTAAGTTGTAGCTCCCGATTAATGATGCCACCACCACCTCCACCTCCCCCTCTATCTACCTCCACACTTTTCTGTTCTTTATTATAAACCCATCTGATATTACTATGAAGGTAGGTTAGGTATTAGTAGACATCCTAAGTTAAGAAGTTGAATATTGTAAGCAGAATGATTGGATATACATAACTACTCACATTCCCTAGGTACATAACTAATATGTACATAATATGTACAATACCTACATATGTACCTAGAGCACCTAGGGTCAAGGGTACTGGGTACTAGGTAGTTGACGGTAAGGTTTTTGGGCAAATAGCACTGTGCTCAGCTTAACTAAAAAAGCACTTGAGCACCAGGTTAATAACTGTTAACTTAATTGTTAAGCGGCTCGGGTTCAAGCTCCATGATCCTCCAAATTAATAAAATTCATCTAGAGGGCCCGCTTGTCGTCAGGCATCCCCGGACACCCAAATTCTTCGCGCCCGCCTTTACTCGATTTGGACGAGCTAGGTGGAGTTCTTTCTCTTGCTTTGTTATTTTAGTGTTAGGTCTGCTGGGGCCTGCCGGGGTTAGGTAGAACACCTTCTGTACCCTGGCAGCTCTGGGTACATATTGTTAGTATAACATATGATGTAGTCAGTACGAAAAAGGTATTGAAAGGTAGCATACTTTTATGTAGCTGGAGATATCAAATTGATGTATCCAACACTACATACGTATGTACCTAATACTACACAGGATGCTAGGTACAGTGGTACACATTACATACCTACACATACTAAAAAGATTCGACGGACGGCACGGAGGACTTGAACCCAGTTATATTCTCTTCTTCGAGACCCTTCTGCACGAACCACACAACAACCCGCAGGGCAAGCTTGCATCTCTCGTCCCATTCTAACCATTGATTCTAACCACTCATATCCATTCCTGTCCATCTCTCATCACTGCACCCACACCCGTCTAACCATCTCATAATACATACATATGTACGTTACTACATATGTATGTGCAGCATCCAGAATCCAGATGTTGAGAGAGGATAAACGTGAATAGACGATTGAACCCATTTTCATACCTGATCATACCTAACCACTTTTTCATCTACTTTAGTCTACCTGCCTTCTACAGCCAGTCATACATATATCTAATACTACTAGGTAGCAGCAGTGTATTGTATTGCATTGCTTCGTTAGGTATCTCTTCTTTCTTGTTCGCCATTGTCTTTTTGTTTAATACCTATCCTCACGAGTACCTAAAGCTTACCTAGCTATTAGCTTGATCACCATCTGGGTCAATGTCATGAAAGGTACAATACATAGTATTGCCCTGATGTTTTATGATTTGCAAGGCTAATTTACCTACCCTACCTACCCTAGGTAATTTACTTACCACCAAAAAAAAGGCCTCTAAAAGACCAGACGTCCGAGTTTCAGTGGATAGGGTTACCACTACTGTAATATCCTTGTCTGTCTACTAGGTATTCAATGTTAGTACCAGCCTAACTTTAAAACCCAGCTTCCGTTTCCCCACCAGCCACTTTTTCTCACGCGAGGGTCTCGTGTCGCAACGTTCTCCTACTAGAGCATGGGGTCCACAGTCCTAGTAACTTAGGTACCTACATACCTAGGTATCTACCCAGTACCCAGCTACCTAGTACCCTTACCAACGGCCAACCAACACCTACCTAAACTGCTGCTCTTCCCCGCTCTTCAATTTCGACAACCCTCTAACGCCCTCTAACCCTCTCTGACCTTCCAACCCTTCAACACCTCTCAACGCCTTTGTCGTCAATCTACAATTGCCGGGCTTCAATAATTTACTGCGACAATCCGACGTCTTCAAAGGTTCTTCGCGACGGCTCCCTTCACCAACTGCCCGCTTGCAAATTACCTGCGATACTAGGTACTCGTCCAACCGTTTCGCAACAACCATGCGCTGCTGCGAATAGCTCCGTCGCAAAAGAAAAAAAAAAACATTCGAGGTCGTACGGATACACCTGCGAAGTAAGAGACAGAAAGATTAACTGGCGACACCCACCCAATACTTTTCTTTCCTTAAAATATTCTGGTTTTTAGATCGCCTCCCAACTTGAGCGCCACCATCCACGGCAAGGCACACTTCTAAATATATTTGGAACTGCAATCCTCGCAACTTGCAATACGCAATAGGGCTACGACAATTTTTACACTTTCTAGCACTTTTTGAAAGGGTCCCTTCGGTGGCGTTTCTGGAGGCCTGGCCAATAACTACGACCTCTTAATTCTCTTTTGACATTCGTTTTTCTGCAAGAAAAAGATTCTTGCCTGACCTTTCTTTCCTTGGTTATTAGAGCCGATTCTTCGATACCCTCTCAATAGATTTCTCCCTGCCATTACATTGGTAAGTTTTAAATCTATTTTCTCCACGTCTACCATTTTCTCGATTTGGTGGCCTACCTTCGAAACGTGCTGCAGTTCATTTTTGGAAGGGCTTGTGGAGATGGTTTCGCCGAGCGTTGGTCCTTGTGGATAGGAAGCGCCAATCATACCTCCTTCATCTGGACTTATATCACCTGCAGCATTTCCCTTGGCGGGGCCGCCTTGTCCTTTTCTTTCTTTCCAACTTTGATAACTGGAAGTGTTGCGAGGCTGACGAATTATGTAGGTTTACAATTTCCAGTACGGTCTTTCTCACAGACATTTCGTTGGAACTGCCTGTTAAAATTTTGGTGGCTTTCTCGTCACTTATCATAAAATTCTGTCCAGTGTCATTTTCGTCCCCCCCCTCCCCTCCCCCCCTTTTTTTCCACGTCCGCGGTTGCTAGGATTACCACTGGCTGCCAGTCGGCCGAATTTGTTCATTTGCAGATCATGAACTCCAACAGCACCAAGTCTAGTGCTACGACTAAGGCTAGTCAGGGTATATTCCCAGGAGTTGCCCCCAGCAATCAGTCCATCTTACTCGAGAAGTTAAACGTTCGGAGATCTACACCAGACTCAGAAGCTCTTGCAAGTTCTGACGACGAACCCGATCCTCATCGACAAGAGGTACCTCATTCATTAATCCAGCCGCCTCACAAGCCCCCTGTTCGCCGCGCTTCGTGGCTGAACGACACTTCACAAGCTACGCTCCCACATCCAAGAAAAGGTTCATTTGCAAGCAGTTCAATGTCTCCCACGACCTCTCACCCTAGCACCCCATCGGCGGAACCGAGTGCTGCCGTTTGGGGTACTCATACTTCATCGTCTGGTGCAATAGGGCGTGGGCATCAAGGCCCACCATCATTCCCGTGGGGAACAGGTATTTGGAATACGGAGCGTAAGGAGCCGCCGTCTCGATTGACCGAAGTACTGCCTTCGCCAACTTCTACTATTCCTGGAAATGGTGGTTTCTTTGGAGAGAGCTCTTTAGCGCAGACATCTCCCACCCCAAGAGATCCAGGATCTAACCCACAGATTCCCTTCGCCATCCCGCTCCACCCAACACCGAAAACATACCGTTCGCAATCCTATTCGGTTGGGCAGTTGGATCCAGATACAGCCACTCCTACCATGCCTCCAGCCTCGGTGATGCCTGGTAGATCACGCCCCCATGGACATCCTGGACTGCAGCATAGACCTTCACGCCCTAGTATGTTGAGTGAAATGTCTAGCGATGGTGCAATGTTGGGCAAAGTGAAAGAAGTCGAAGATGATGATGATGAAAGCACCAGTGATTCGGCCCAGGGCCAAATCCACCAGCAAAGCGTTGACGCCAAGACCATTGAGATGCTCACTCGGGAGAATGCGATGTTGCGACAGCAGCAGCAGCAGCAACAACAGCAGCAACAGTATCACAATTCCAGAATCAGGCCCCGTGCGTCAACCGGTGCCACATATGGACTAGGTAATGGATATGGCGTCCGTGGTGCCGTTCCCGAAGAATCCGACTATGCGATTGATGAATTAGACGAAGCGGGCGAGGGTCAAGATGGCGCCTCAAAACGGGGCTTAGCAAGACGTATGAGTGAATATGCATCTGGGTCCTTCCGTACACCATATCCTGTGGAGAACAGAAAGCTTGAGAATGTAAAGAAGGCCTATTGGCAGAGTTCCTTGGGATTTACTGGCCTCTCCGACATTCCGCAAAGCCGCAGACATTCGTTCGCCGACATGCCAACAAGGCAAGGCTCTATTAGTTCGATTGGAGAGGGTGTTTCTCTTCACGAGGCAACTTCTCCGGAGGCCGCTCAGTCCCAAGAATTTGGTGGATTCCCTGAAGGTCCCGGCTTTACTACCACCAGCCCGAGTAAGTGGATGATAGGCAAGTGACATCTGTTCGAGGCTAATACGCACAATAGTATCATATTATCCTGGTAGTGGTAATGGCCCCAGCGCACACCAAGCCATCGCATCCTCTGCTTATGGCAATCCTTATCAGCCAGCTTATGGGCTACCTTCGACCTTCGCAAACCGCGCGCCGTCGCCGCATAGGAGCTTGTATGGCATGAGCCAGCCTAGACACAACCAATTACTACACATTGTGCTCTTCAAGTGTTCTCGAGCAGACGTCTTTTATATTCAGGAGGGTACTGGTCTGACAGTCAAGCCTGGAGATCTGGTCATAGTGGAAGCAGATCGAGGCACTGACCTTGGAACTGTGGCTCGTGACAATGTCGATTGGCAGACTGCCAAAGAATTGAAGGAACATTACGCGGAAGAGCATTATAAATGGTTGATGATGTATTCACAGAATGCAGCGGCTGCCCAGGAAGGGACAGGGGCTGGCTTGATGGCGGCATCTAACGGTCTTCAGGGCAGCGCAATTGGTGGGATGGGACCGCCTAGCCAACACCATATGCAAGAGCCGAATGCTGGTGAACTTAAACCGAAACTTATCAAGCGCCTTGCTCAGAGCCACGAGATCCATAACCTCCGAGACAAAGAAGGAAATGAAGCAAAAGCCAAACGAATGTGTATGCAGAAGGTGAAGGAACATGGTCTCAACATGGAGATTCTTGATGCTGAGTTCCAGATGTGAGTGTTTTATCTCCGTGTGTCTAAGACTCCCCAACTAACAAAATCCTAGGGACTGGAAAAAGTTGACCTTCTACTACTTCGCCGACTCATATATCAATTTCAACTCGCTTGTCACCGACCTTTTCAAGATCTACAAAACAAGGATTTGGATGTCGGCTATCAACCCCGCTTCGTTCGCAAGTCCAACTTTGGGGCTTCAGGCGCCTAGTGGCATCGGACCCGGTGCTGTTGGCCCCGGCGCTGTCGGCCTTGGAAGGGGCAGCGGAGCTACTAACACAGAGCGAAGACCTAACCCATCTCAGGATTCGCAGGGTGCGTTTCCCGGAGGTGGTGCGCCGGGCCGACCATTCCAGTCATCCTTCAACCAACCTTTTGGCCCGACAGACCGTCCATCTGTAGCCAATCCTGCGTATCCTCAATCTGGCTTTCCCTATTCCGCCTATGGTGCATTTAGTAGTGCCCCGAGGGCTGGCGGAGTATCTTTTGTTCCAAATGTGATGCAAGGAATGGATACATACCCGAGCGGCTTCTCACAGGCCGGGGAATTCCCCCCGAGCATGCGAGCACGCTTTCCAAGCCCCCACACGGCTCCGTTACCCCATGATCAGGGATTGGCAGGACAAAACGAATGGGTTGGAGCATTTCAGGGGCTCTCTATGAACTCGCGCTGATTCCCTGCCAAACCTTGAATTATTCGACATCTCTAAACTCGCACTAGATGCGTTCTTCTCTCACAGTCATCCAGGTACATGTTCGATTCTCGTACTATATTTCACCCGTACCATACCGTACCATACCGTACCATACCAATCGTTACTCGTATACCGCCTATGAGGCCATGACAGACTACGGACAGACTTAAAGACGGCAGTTATCAAATTTTTAGGCGTTGGCCGGCATTTCTTGATTTTTGATTCTTTTCATCATCTCTTCTTTTTTCTTAATTCTTTTTTTTTTCTCCCAGAAAGACTTTGACTATGATTGTGCGGAAATAAGACAGGTTGGAAGGGCGATTGATTGTTGGGGCTTGCTTATTAAATCATTTCCGTTTTCGATGACAGCATAAGAGGGACAGCAAGATAAAATTACTTTTGCACTTAAGGGAGAACGAGATAGACATGCCACACGAGCATTAGTGTAATTTGTTATTGGAGGGTGATGGTTTTTTCACGATTCGTTGGCTGGATCGGGACAGGACTTTTGTACGACCAAAATAAGATTTCGTAACGCGTGGAATGTTTGCATTTGTCTCAAGACACGAATTCAAGATGGTATTCCGGATAGCTTTTTGATACTTGGAACAGAATTGAAGATGTCGGTGATCCTTTTTCTTATGTTGATGTCCTATGATCTGGTGTTTTTTTCCTTTGGTTTTTTGTAATTCATGTTGTAATAATACCAACTTTTCTAAGCAAATAACTAAGTAACCCCTTTTCCATGTGGATTAAAATATCCGCCTAGGGAAAAGGGGCTACTAGGCTGGAGAAGGTGGAAAGAGCAAAGGGCGACAAGGTACTATACCTATACGCAACTACCTCGATCGAATACTTTCCGAGTATGAAGGAACGACCTACCTGGCAACGCTGGGAAATGTACTTTAAAAAAAAGTTTTAATTTCGATTCTGATCCTACTTCTTACAATATTTCGTGTGTTCCCTTCACTTCTTTCTACTAAAACCATCAACGTCCGGCATCTCAAGGTGGCCCGCCATTCCCTTATGATAACTAATTTATGGCAATTCTACTTCAATTGACATTGGTATGGATGCTAGCCTGAATTTCTCGTAAACCAGAATAATTTTCAAGTTCCGCCCTTTCTACATCATGGCAAAGAGAGCAGCCAAGAGAAAGATGAACTTCGATGGTAAGTGTATAGAAGAGCAAGGTAGGTAGCATATTACTCAGACGATCCCTATACTTACATTAGCACGGTGGTTTCAGACGAGTCAGATGGACCATCTGTCAAGAGTCGCAATGTCAAGATGAGTAAATCAAACGATAAGAGGCGGCTGTCGCGCCTTGAAGAGTATGCCGAAGACGAAGGTCGAGAGAGTAGTCGGTAAGCAATGCTTGTCCCAAGGACTACTCAAAAAGTAAGTTTTTAAATTGATTCGGTACAGTAATTTCCAACGATGGGCCGAGATTTTCGATACCACCACAAATGGGGAAGCTGCCAAGTCTAGAACTTTTATGAAGAGCTTCGGTGCAAAAGCGAAGAAGCAGACGGACCGTTTACGTGATTACATTCAAGAGCAGGAAAAGCTACTGTGGGATACTGCAGACACCGAAACTTCAGTCGTTATTTTCTAATGCTCTTCTAGTACACATAATAAAGACCAATCCATTATAGTTTTCGAAAAGGTTTACTCAACCATCGCCGTCTCACTTGGATCGTCCGGCAAGCCAGACGATAGAGCAGGTGCTACTCGGAAGGAAGAGCATGCCTTGTTTAAGGATTACCAAGCCCTCCTCTCAGGGAGCCACTCGCTTCTTACACAGTTCAAGAAGACCGATGAGCGCCTTAAGAACTACAAGATCGAGCTCCCCAGCGCAAAATGGAAGCAAGATAAGCTGGACATAAAAGACCTCCTGGCTTGTGGGCGCGAGTATGGGGAGAAACTAGTGGAGAAAAAACTTGCCCCGTCTGGTTACCTATCTCACCAACCGGGTAGCAACAAAGCAGACGAGAAGGAGAAGATAGCATCGGAGCTATTCAAGGAGAGCCACAAATGTGTGGATGGGAATAGCTGGGGCGTGGTTGCTGCAGAACAGGTCAAGAGACTCCGAGCCATCGTCAATACGATCCCCTCTAAAGAATTAGAGAAAGCGAGATACTGAGCTGACAGCATATTGGAGTTTGGGATGGTGTTACCTACATAGGTACTACTAATTAATGGGGGCATATGTCATGTCATATACCTGTCGTAGCTTTTGCTTGTACTGTAACTTATGTAAGTCAAGGCTAATATTGTATTGTACTTAGGTAATCGGGATTGTGGGGGGAGATTACATGCATGTAATGTGGTCTGTGCACTTGGTAGATAGTTATGTAGTGTAGTACGAAATAACTATCAAACTATTCTAATCTGAGACTAGCGCCTCGTCGCTTAATTTTCGCAAGCTAAACCCGCTCGCACACACTTTACACTAGATTTCTTCCACTCAATTGAAGATTTTCGCAAACCTCACAATTTTCCAACTTCCACACACACAACGACACACGACCATCCATTGTTGCAGGCCTTCATTTCCAACCTGGTATGTTACCCATATCCTTCTTGACCTTCCTAACCTTCCTAACATTAATCATAATCTTGCTTTATTTTAATTAGCTAACCATTGTTCTTTCTTTTCCTCATTACAGTCAAGATGGGTGCCCTCAAGTACGTCGAAGAGCTTCAGAAGAAGAAGCAGTCTGATGTTCTGCGATTCCTCCTCCGAGTCCGCTGCTGGGAAGTATGTTGAATCCTCTCGCGATCCCTCCTTATACCCTTATATCGACACGAAAGGCATATACACACGGAAAATCTACAACAAAGTATAATGTTGGCTTGGATGATCATGTGGACGCTGTCTTCTCTCCTCACCTTCTTCTGAAGTGTGGGGGGAGAACGTGTCTTTGCTATACACTCGTTGAACATTAGCTGAGAGTGCATTAATATAGCTCCGTCAATTGAACGTCATCCACCGCGCGTCCCGACCTTCGCGCCCCGACAAGGCTCGCCGTCTTGGTTACAAGGCCAAGCAGGGCTATGTCATCTACCGTGTGCGTGTCCGCCGTGGTGGCCGCAAGCGCCCCGTTCCTAAGGGTGCCACCTATGGTGAGTTTACTGCCTCAACAACATCTCTATGATCTTTCTTTTGGAATACATTACTGATACACTTCGAAACGACAGGCAAGCCTACCAACCAGGGTGTCAACCAGCTGAAGTACCAGCGATCCCTCGCAGCCACTGCCGAGGAGCGTGTCGGACGTCGTTGTGCCAACTTGCGAGTCCTGAACTCGTACTGGATCAACCAGGACTCCACCTACAAGTACTACGAGGTCATCCTCGTCGATCCCCAGCACAAGGCCATCCGCCAAGATCCTCGCATCAACTGGATCGTCAACCCCGTACACAAGCACCGCGAGGCTCGTGGTCTTACCGCTACCGGCAAGAAGTCCCGTGGCCTCAACAAGGGCCACCGCTACAACAAGACTCGTGCTGGTCGCAGAAAGACCTGGAAGAAGCACAACACCCTCTCTCTATGGCGTTACAGATAGGCGCGCACTAGAGGTGGCGGTTAGGGGACGAATAGCATGGTCGTGGTTATGGGATGGGATGAGGTCTTTCCTCACGGTCGATAGGGCATGCGTATGGCTCATGAATTCTGCTTGGAGTTACTCTACATAGTCGAGCAAGGAATGAAAAAACCCTTGCCGGGGCGAAAAGTATTTGCTTCGTCTAACGCAATATCCAACGCTTTATGGTCTTAGTGATACCACCTAATGAGAAGCCCATGAATATATGAAAAGACGTTAAAGTCATTGACTGTCCCTCCATGAACTTGAGCTATCATTTTTTCTTAATTCTGACCTCTGTTATACATGGAATACCGGAACTGCTAATCGGCAAAGTGCATGTATACTATTAGTAGCATTAAAATAATTGAAGTCCATACATACCTATCTACCTAGCCGGACGTAGAAAAGGCACCTAGATCCACGAGCTTTAGCCCTTAGCCCGTAGCCTGGGGATGTCCACCTAGGTACTAGTAGGTAGATACCAACTATATAGGTGGGGATGCGTTTCTAGACGTTACGGTACTGTACCAATCAGTCTTGCACATATACCTACCTACCTACTCTGTATCTTTCTACCTAACCTAGGTACATATTTACTCGAAGACTGGGCAGTGGGCAGTGGGCACAGAAAGGGACAAGCAACGATTGAGCTTACCACGTTCAGCCCTGCAGTCCTCTATGCGCTGTAGTTTGTGGCGATTAGCAGTCTTACCTAAGCCCCCTACACAACCAATACAAGCTCACAGGGCACTTTTTCTTTTTTTTTTACAATTAACCATTAGGTATGGCGAGCTACGCGACTTATAATATCTACCCCTGGTAGGTATGATACGAATATCTAGTTTATCAAATCACGAAGCATATTAGGGACTCGAGTATTTTTTATAGACCTTTATTAGACTATCTGTGAAGTATAGGCGAAGCAGGCCTCTCCTATCAAGCAAGACCTGAGGACATGTGTCGTTTAGGATTGCTGAATCTGCGTAGTCGGCGATATGGCGCAGAGAATATCGCAGAAAGAAGTCGGAAAATAGGCCTTGTTACCTTATGGAACAGCAAATTTTTGTGCATCACACCTATCCAGGTTGTTCCTATGTGCTAAAGTCTTGTCCTATAACTTGACAATAATGGACTGACTAGCTGGCCGGAACTCGGAGATGAATAGTGTACAGCGGTAAAGGATAGATGAACTGATGCATGCGGTGGACAGACCGCCCCTGTTTGTCGAGATAGAGTACATGATGTGGTGGAGGGCGGGTTGACCGTTATCACAACGACAACTCGTAATATCGGACTGTGATCACCGATACATGAAGCATGAAACTAGAGCGTCCAGGAAATCTTGTAGGCTTCTCTAGCCTCAGCCGTTTCCGAAAAAGAAATATGTAAATCGAAGAAAACAAGGGCAAGATATATGCCTGGGGGTGTTTTTTTGGGCTTTTTTTGTTATGGGGTTTAAGTACACAGGCGTAGGCCACGTTCGAGGTCGATTTTCGTGTTGTGAAATTTGCCGTAATTAGGACTTCATTGAATTCGTCAACTTTCTAGCACCGTGAGCCCGAAAATGGTGCATCATCAACTGTATCACATCAATGCGGAGCAGTCTTAAAATATAAGATGCTGGTTGCAATGCTTGATGTCGGAGGATGCAAAAGATTTCATGTAATACCCAGCGTAGAAGAAAAAAGGAGGGCGGGGAACGTTCCGAAGGTTGGCGAAAGAAAGGAAAATCCGATCGTCATCAAGTTCGTAGGAAACATCTCATTCATTCTCAGTGAAAGGTTTCTCGGGAAACCACGTAATTGACGGCCAGACGAAAAGCCGCCCTAGTTCATATATCATACCGTTACAAATGTAGCCGCCGTTTCCAGGATAAATCAGAAAAAGTTCTCTTGAGGCTCAGGGTTGCCCGTTCCTGGGTAAGTATGGTACGAGGCCAATCGTGGTGTCGGCTGCGGGGGGGCATTAGGGTTAGCGTTGGCCACCGAAAGGTTGCTGCTGGATGGGTACGCAATCCTGCCACGAGAGCCATTCATGCCACTGGGACCTGGACCACTAGTATAATTACCAGGCGTAATGAGGGGCTGAGTCGGCATGGGGCGGTTAGACGATTGCCGAAGTGAGATCTGACCTTGGGTTGGGTCAGTGGGAGTAGATTGGCCGCTCATGTTTGGACCACGAGCATCAAACTGCTGGATCTTAGCCTGAAGCCGTCGGCCATATGGAGTGCTCCTGACATTGGGCAGGATAGGGCGGATTGCCTCAACAAGTTGGACCTTCATCAGATAGGTCGCATGGTCCAGCGCAGTTTGGATAACATAGTTACCAAACATATCCCGCAAGAGGCGATCCATCTCGCCCGGGGCCAGAAGTTCTGTGACCATTAAGTCTTTAGACTCCTCATTACCACATCGAAGGCATTTTTCAATCACATTGGAGCTGAATTTATGCCGAGACAGCTCAGTGATCTTGCCTCGGAATTGCTGCACCAGGGGCTCGGTGAACAAAGTCTCGTTGAGATCGATAATGTACTGAAGGACATAATTGCCAAAGGGGTCCCGCACAAGGTCATGGGCGTGATCGGTGATTCGTTGAACCAGCCACATTTTCTGGTCTCCGGAAGCGTGGTCGATACAACGCTGGAGAACACAGCAGCCGTGGCGGTGAGTGCCCACCTCTATACAATGATTTCCAACAGCAGTGAAGATAAAGTGTGCATCATCAGAATTGAGCTTGTTAAGACACTTCTGAATCACATGGTTACCATTCAGGTCCTGGATTAATTCGATAACATGAAAACGCAGGGCCTCAGTGATCAGATGAACGTGACGAGGGAGCGACACAAATTCAATCATTTTTTGAAGCGCACGGGTGCCGTGAGGGTTCAGGGCAATCGAAACCATATCACCAGTAGCATTGCGAATCAACTCAGTACGTTCGTCGTCTGTGCAGTATTCAAGAAGCTTTTGGCACAAGTAATTGCCAAAAGGGTCCGTCATAAGCTCAACGACATGATCCTTGGTTTCCATCCAGATCATGCGAACTTCATCAGGGTTGCGGTTTTCCAGCTGCTTCTGTAAATAACGGCAGCCATGCTGGTCACGGCAAAGCTGGTGAATCGTGCCTCGTGCTTGCTGCAAAGTCATATTCGCGAAGCGGTTAACAGAGTCGGGATCTTGGGCGCGACGGTCACGCATTATGCGCGGCTGGGAATCGCGTTGCTGTGGCGGCGCTCCTGGGTACATTGGGTTATATGGGTATGGTTGAGAAGGGTAGTTGTTAAGGCCCATGCCCTGCATATTCATCGCAAGCATATTCATGCCATAGCCATTATTATTAGGGCCCGTTTGATTGTATCCTCCATAGTAAGGGTAAGAACCAGCTGAAGGCGAGCCGGCTCCAGCAGAAGCGGGAGACTGGGCAGCAGCTTGGCTGGAAGCAATTGGCCCGAAAGCAGGAGCACCACCTTGCAATTGAGAACTGATAGAGGGGTATGGCGCACCACCCTGGGTGACAACAGCATGGCTATCAGCGGAGAGCTCACGGCTGTGACGCTTCATGGCGCCAGGCGGGATGCGGCCCATACTGGCATTGTGGTTATGGAAGTGTTGCTGTGCATGGGCATTGGCGTTGGAAGTGCCCATGTTAGCGTTAGATACACCCTTCGAAGTAGGCACATCACCAGAGGAGAGTGAGGTCTGCAGCTTAGGCGGCTGCGACAGGGCTTGCATCGATGAAGATGGCATATTGTTGGTGACGACTTCAGTACTAGAGTCGCGGTACTGATGACTCAAGTCTAGAGAGTGCCGGAACGGTCGAGCACCCACAGAACTAGTACCGATATCAACAGGCGATGCTGATTGATGGGACATGTTTATGTTGTCGGTAGTGTTAATCTGTGAAGATCCTAAGGTAGACAGGCTTTGCTGCTGACGATGTCTGGAGATGTTTCCCCAACCGTTGGTGGGAGTGGCTTCACCACTTGCACGCTGAGAAGCGAGGTCAACAGCTGCGGTAGAAGCAGACAACTGCAGAAAAGAAACAATGAGTACTTGGCAAGGGACGAGGGGAACTAGCGATCATGAAGGTGAGGCGATAGTGAGGGATGGAAGTAGGAGTGAAGGAAGATAATTGGGAAAGGTTGCGTAGTAAATAGAACTACTGAGGAAGTGTGCGCGGGTATGTATGTTAAGTGTAAAAATGTGTAAAAATGTGCGCGTGGTGGGGGGAGGAGAGGAAAGGAAAGGAAAGGAAATGTTGAACCCCTAAGGCATCTTTTTCTATTCCAAAATCGTTCCCACCGCACAGGACATTCCTGGGACGGCAGTCTCGACGAGAAAATTCTTCTTTCTCGCTACACAGTGCAAAGGGCTAACAGTGAAATGACGGACAGGAACAAGTACAGTTTGCACAGTATCGCAGTATCTATCATAATAGAATACCTCGAAACCGCAAAACCACAAAAGAGGTGTAATTAGATGTGAACGTATTACTTACCACGTTAGGGTTTCCCTTCTGAGCGTAAAGCTGGGGGAAGTTGTCCTCACTGCCGTCGATAGTAGCGTAGCTGCTCAGATCTATGGTTGACTCGTCGTCCCTGAAAAGGAAACCAGTCGTGTTGGTTTGGTCAATGTTGTCGTAGAGATTACCTCGACGGGTAACGGGCATAGAATACCGATTCAGACTAAGGACAGGTCCAAGTTAGTAACACTCAAGAATGCCCGTCGATGCTTAAAGTGATAGGCATCGATTCCAAGTGAAAACTCGGCGACAAGCCCAGTTGAAGCTGTCCTGCTCTGTGTATGATGGATGTACTTGAATAGTTGAGTGAAGTATGGGGTAAAGAAAGAAGTTATGCGTGAATGAAAACGAAAGGGAAAATATGAAGTGTGTAGGATGAGTGATCCTGTTGTGGTAATGTGCGAATTTTAAGAAAGGTTACTTAGGAAGGGTAAGAGTCGCGTCTAACAAACTCACTAAGATTGTTTCGCGACAATGGAAATATTGGCCATAGGTTAAAACCAGTTAAGCAATCGGGAACCCGGTAACAGCATATAACCAGAAAGAACAGCCATAATCGCCTCAGGAACCTATATCTCAAAAAATGCCTAAGGTTGACTTCACTACCAAGAGCCCAACTGACCCCTTAACCGACTGCTATATGTACCTAGGTACCTAGGTAGGTATATATAGATTGAACAAAACTTGAGATCGAGACTTCCTTATCTTATTCCGAGTTTGTATTTGAAAGGGAGCAATGGATAAGAATATTAAGGGACTACAAGGGAGATATATGAGACTTACGCATTGGTTGATCGATGACTCGTAGGATCCTGGCGAAGAGCCTCCTCCTTCTCGTCCTCATCACTATTTCTTCGGGATCCAGGAACGGAACGGGAGGGTAAGGGATCGTCAAAAAAGCGAGATTGTAGAACACCGGACTGGGGAGAAGTGATCTGTGAACCAGACCTCCCAGGTCGGTTAAAGAGTCCCGGCGGAGATACGAGGCCAAGACTAGGGGTCGAATATCGATTCGGGCGAGAAAACATGGTAGGAAATCCTGCGCTCGTCTCTCGGTACTCAGGCGGGGTCGTTGGCTCAGACTGGTAGCCTGTGAGGCCTATGCCATTTCCTCGACCTAAATCTTCCTGCATCTGTGCAATATCGAACTCATCCCGGCGCTGCTGCTGATCCAACTTATGCATTTCGGCCTCAAATCGCCGTTTCTGCTCTCGAAGCTTCTCATACTCGATTTTCTTCTTCTCTAACTGAGTAGCAGGTGAGCTTAGATTCGGCTATGTTACAATGATGAGTAACGATGATTAAGATGGCAATTACAAGCAAGGAAGGAGATGGAATTAGGTGTAATGCGCAACGCGCGACTTAAGGAGGGCAGAAGCCCAAGAGGACAGCCTTACCAATTGTACTTTATACTGCGTCTAGGTTGGCCAATGTCAGCAGCGAGTTTCACAAGAAGCAAGACATGCAATTAACAAGATTGAGACATGCTCGAGATAGTTTCCATCTCAACCACATGAGGTATGGTACCTATTGCGAGATCCGGATTGGGAAGACTCACGGCAGCGTATTCTGGGGCTTCTGGTAGTCGCTGGGTGGAAATAGTAGACAATGTTGGTACACGCCCCGAGTCGGTGGTGAATCGTCGAGGCAAAGTGGTTCGAGGGTCTTGCGAGACTGGCTGAGGCATAGGCCTGCCATTTCTCTGCGGTGAGACAAGAGAATTCATCGGCGCCTCGTTTCTAGGAGACTGTTGAGAGCGAAAACGGTAATCATCCATGTTATACTATGTTGTTACAACACCAAAAGCTTTCGTACAGGCCAAATTGGGCAATCACCGGTTTCTATAAACTGTCAAATTCAAGAATGACAGGCAGTTAGCACGCTAGGAACACGTAATGGTACACGAGAATCGCAAAAAAAACAGCCGACGTCAAGTCGAGTTTCGCTTTCTGGCAGAAAAGAACGACGTAATACGGATATTTTCAAGAGAAAGAATAGCTAAATATCGACTTCGCGCACCGAGTACCTATGGTATCGGCACCGCATATCCCTCGCTCGGGGGATTTCGATATGCGCGGGATAGGGTAGGATAAGGGTAGGGTAGGTTGACGATGTCTCAAATAGCAAGGGGGGAGGGGAGGTTGGAGGTTGGAGGAGGGTAGTTTATTTTTGGTTAATTTTTTTTTCTCGGCTGTTGACAATGCGGGCGGGCTAGCTCTCTCTACTCACCGTTTGATGAGAACAACTGAACAACCGAACAACTATAGCACAAAAACGCAAAAACGCGGCCCTGGAGAGCCAGGGGCGGCAGCGCAGCACGGAAAGAAAGAAAAATAATAATAATAAAAGGGTTTGAAAATCGCAAATGCAAATGCAAATGCAAGAAAATGAAAAAAATAAAAATAAAATAAAAAGAGTGTGGAGTTGTGCGAAGAGAAGGAGACTCAGATGTTTCAATTCCATGCAAAGTGGACGAGGCACAGGGACTCAGGGAGGTTAGAATTAGGGACAAAGGCGCAACCTACCCTCTTTGCTCTTTCCCACATGTGCACTTGGTTCCCCCCTGGTCAAACTGCAAGACTGCTGCAGTCTGGGTGCTCAAATGCTATTAGTCTTGGTGATACAAGAGCTAGATACATCAATAGTACAGTACCTATACCATTTGTATTCATTGCATTGTACACACGAAGTACATACATTCAATGCTTGTGTACCATAGTGGATTGTGTACTATGGTTGTATGTATCGGCCCCTCTTATGTACCCCTGGTAATTCTCTTGAACATTGAATGTTGTAACTAATGTTGCAACTTGAGAAGCCTAACGTCTAAAATGCACCTACATAATAACCTACATGTATGGATTGATTGATCATTGATGCTACTATGTACATAGTATGTAGAACTAGCCGCAAATATTACGGATACATTATCGCTACATATAACTATTGGTACCTACATATTTGTAATGTATGTGCAATTACTACTATTTATGTACATATCCAACCCTTTTAATACATAATATAATACATAATATAAATAACGATTACATGCTTCAACATTGTATTCCCATGTTGTATCATCAAGATCACTATCATGTTATATATCTAACGTCTTCAACGTTCGTGCTGACATTACTTTGGTATGTATTATGTCTACCTTGGTACATAAGCAGCCTACATTTATCCCATACTTTAAAGATACATACATGTGTAGTAGCATCGATGTCAACCGTCAACCGTCAACCGTCAACCGTCAACCGTCAAACTTACCCCCCCTTTCCCAAAACCGCTCAAGTCTTACTTCGCCTAGCACTGGCTCCCGAATCCAATACAGAATAGGGAAGATGTAAGCTAGGAGATTACGTACATATCTCCTTGTGCACACACACGAAGACCATCAAAGCCATCACTTAATTACCTACCTATGCTATGATGAATGCTAAGAGACGACTAACCTTACAGTAGCTCCTTTTCGTCGTCGGGGAATTATATCGATCTGATGATGGGCTGTATGTACATAGTAGTTAAGTAAACGTTTAGCTTCGTTAAGTTTTTCAGGGTCCTTGCTCCCCCCTTTTTTTATAAGGGGACTTGATGATCTGAAAGCTACGACACCGGCTGTTAACTCTAACCAAATATTTGGGAAGCAAAAGGGTGGAGGTAAGGGGGCTCAGTCTACACATGTAAGTTGCGGACAAGGAGACCGCTTCTAACTATGTTCAAGTCTAGTAGGACCTCCTACTTCTTCTCTCAAGCGATGGATCGTGAATATTGCTCGAGACTAATATGAAATAACGAATGTATATAGCCATGCTGCCATGATCTTCTATTTTGTCACGATGTTTTACAATACGCATATATTCAATGTTGCTATCCATGATAGTGTAGGTGACACCTGGATGAATTTATCATATATGCAACCTCGTTTGGTACGCAAGTACCTTGGTCGCCCCTGGCATCGCAAAACGCCAGGATTGGTAGCTGGCTCCAAACTAGAGGGGAGCGGTGAGCGGAACTATACCTATCACTAAGAAGGTCATGGAGCAAACCCAGCACAGCCCAGGTTTTCTTTGGCTTCGAACGCCCCAGTGCAAGCCGGCGCGGGGCCAACTACGTGGACCAGACTGTTCGCATTTCCTTAATCTTGACTTGGTGCGGGGGGAACATCCGAACTACCAGACAGACAGACGATAATTTTTGAACCCATCCGTAATATTTGATGAGTAATTATCGAAAGGTTTCTTGAAGGTACGATATAGCGATTGCCTTCGTGGTATTATATAGGGGGCCAACACGGATGCATTCATACACCTTCGTTTTTTAAGTCAATTCAGCCCAACTTGATCTATAAGATGATTCATTCGTCCATTCATTGTTGATATTCGGCTGTCCTGTCCACTATTATCTTACTGCAGCGTAATGTACCTGTACCTACTTGTCCGTACTACATATATCGAATTAATTGCATGTATATTCGGTAGATACATACATATAAGATGATGTATGCTCGTCTCTCGGATTAGCAAACCCCACACATGGACGGTAAGCATACAAGAGTATAAACGGGGTTTATTACACGTTGAGGAGCTCTGGTTGGGCAAGTTTCTTACCCACGTCTAGGTCTAGTTTGCTTGGAAATTTTGCTTATAGGTCCTGTAGCATACGGTCTTCAAAATTGATGAGCATTGAAAGTGCTTTGTCTCTTCTCTTACATGGCGGCGGTCCCTCTCTACATCTTACTATGTAGGGGTGGCACATTTACCCGGGCACACGAGCATCGAGAGATGGCATTTTTAGACCAGCCACCGCAGATGCAGGTCTAGGGTTAAGAGAACGCCATATGGCGAATTTCGAAACATTGTTTCGATAATATCCTCAGAACAACGTGTCGGCTTGGTAAATTTTGGAGTGACGCAAACCCATGCAGACAATTCCCGCTCCAAGGACGGCACCGATCTACGATTTTCCCAAGCCTGTCTGCTGCCTGTCAAGCAAGTTCAAGTAACACCTCATTCATGCGACGCCACTTGACATCTTGCCGGATCGTTTTTTTTTTCTGCTGATTGTTTCCCGCCGCGCTCTCGTTACATCCCTATCTCCTCCTCCCTCAACGTTCTGGATCGGGCCTAGACCTTAGCTCCTAGCGCGGCTCCGATGCGGGCGAATCGCTTGTTGGAAATGGACGATGCCTTCACTCTTTTCCTTCTTTCGCTATCCGTATACATAATATATTTCAAACCATTGGGTGTATCTTCCCAAAGCCACCTAGGTTTCCACACTTGTATCGGTTTGTTGTCTTGGTGGTGCCTATCAGTCACGAGACGGCATGCAATCCTTGATGTCTCTGTTGGTGAGATAATATCATTTTCTGGGTACTCTAGTACGATGATCGTCTAGTCCAAGATGTCTTTCGACGACGTTTTCATTGCCATTGGCTTTCCCGGGACCACTCATCCTAGTGGCAATGTTGAGAATCTTTGGAGTAGGTATGTATACCTACCTACCTCTGTTATTCGCATTAATTTACGATTGGGACAATCCCGTCCGTACCTACTACCTAGTAGCTTGCTCTCCCTTCTACCACCTACATACATACCTACAAGTTCTAGGTAGAGTAACCTACAGGATGGGCTTTGGGCGGCTACGCAGAAGTCAACTTATCCCTGTTCGGCTCACCGACTTTTGCCTAGACACGGAGAAGCTACCTGCCCCAGTGAGTCTGCACGTCACCCAACCAGCCCGCTCGGGAGAGAAACAACTTCTTTCCCCGGATACTCTACATAGATCAAGACGTAGGTATTATCTGTGGCTTGCATATGTTTTGACCCAAGTAAGCCAAGGTGGAGGAAATTTCTGGTAACTGTAGCATAGGTAGATAGGTGTACATATGTACGTGTGGGTATTTAGTTACTGTTGTGTTGTTCTTGTTGTTGTTGGCTCTCAGGGGTCAATCTTTGGAGGCTACAACTGGAGTAAGTAAATTTAGGTTGGGGGTTGAAAATAAGACTTGGAAAGGAGACTTGGAGATGTCAATGAGGATCTGGACACCAGTTTAACGTCCGATCTTCCAGGTTGTTATGGTAGATTGTGGTCTGGAACTGGCCTGTTCAGAATTGGGTTGAGTGATGCTACAGGATTACTAACAAAGGCATTCTTCTCGATACCTAGTAGGTACAATACAACTACAACGACTACATACTAATGTTAGGTACTACTATGTATGTGCCTCCCTACCTCCCTACCTAAATACCTACATGGATACTGACCTAACCTACATGTAGGCACATTGAAGATCCCAGAATGCAAGTTTCCCCTATCTACATAGCAGCTGTCTACTACATACTATAGTAGGAAGCTAGGTCAGCATGTTTCTCTCCGGATGGAGATAATTGATCGAATTCTGACTTAGCCCCGCTCCTTCAAACCCCTCTTTCGCATGCGTTCCGCATTATTATTTGATAATTTGATATATGACGATGCGGCAAGCGGGCTCAATTACTATGCCTATTTTGCAACTCCCTTGCGAAGCATGACTTGTCCCCCTTTCCGTATCGCATCGTATCGTGTCATATATCTTGTTACATACTTGTTACTCGACAAGAGATGAGGCAACTTCACAGGACCATGCACGGCGGAAATCGATCTGCCAACACAGCGCACAGTCTCCTGCAGATTCACTGCAGGCAAGCTGCAGAAGGTAGTCGAGACGAGGGGCAGAGATTATTTTCGATGGACGGCGATGGAGGGGTAAAGAGGGGCACGAATTGTGCTCACTTGCTCATTTATGCTAGATGGATGAGCTTGGTCCTTGGCACTTTAAGTCAACCCTCCATTCATTAGTCTCATTGGCCTCGTGGGCTTTATTGGCCTTATTGGTCTTGTACACCCATGCAGCCATGTACGTCCCGGATTTGCGATTTGCGTCCCTCGATAGCTACTGTAGTATCTGCAGTATTAGCTATTAGCTATTAGCTACTAGGTATGTAGGTACATACCTATTTAGTATAAGAGGATGGCTAGTGCTTAGGTAAAAATAGAGATGTTTCCGAATAGGGAGAGTGTATATGGGGTATTAAGCGACAAGAAAGCCATGGCTCATGGGTATGTGGAGATATACAGGTAAATGAGTCTTTACTTTCGCGATACGCGAAGAAAAGTCCCGTAGAGCTGATTACTTTGTTAATGCAAGTGTTATTTCTGAGCAAGTGTTATTTCTGAGCGATGAATTCCAAGGTTACGAGCTGATGTCTATGTATGGCTATCGTGGTTGTATGATTCTCAAGCTTTTGTCAGCATCTTGATCTTGGTAGATAGACAGACATACATATGAAGCGTGGAGACGTTGATCCGAAGTATTGGGTTTCCAACTCTGTGGTGGATAAAATATAAAATATAATATAAAATGTAAAATATGAGCTCTAAAATATAGGCATTGACATGAATGATATTCAAGTTATTTTAGAGAGGGGAGTTTTAACCTTTGGGTACTGAATCCGCTGAAACTGTAGTGACAGTGACTAGTGTAGTTAGTGGCAGCAGGCTAGTGATGGAAGAACTTTGATCCTTGATTAACTCCGAAATCACTCTCCAAACTGTAAGGTTTGCTTATGTCATTAAAGTTCAATGTGCTTACACGTGAATTCTAATGCATGTTTTTTTCTTTGGTGGGGGACATGGATTTACCTCGAAAGCTTTATTAACAAATCTAAGATTATCGAAGTTGTCGAATCAAATACCAAGCATCTCAATGTTCCAGCATTTTACGATATCAATTTTATAAAGAAAAATGTTTAATAAGCAACGTCTTCAACATGCCTTACATCGATGACGGATTCGAGGCTCTTTTAGAACCCTTCTATAATGGCAAAAAGTTGACCGATCCTATCTCCACTGTCGATGACAAGAATCAGTTACTTCCGGCCTTCTTGAAGGTCAAAGGTATGTAACATCTACTATACCTACTCATACATGATAATCTTTATGATTTTCAAATGAGTATAGTCAATATGCTAACATAGTTATTTACATAGGTCTGGTGAAACAGTATGTATCTTTCCATGTTACTTAGTAACATGTGAGATGTTCTTAGGATTCGTTTGATGATACTAACGAGATAATTGTTAGGCATATTGATTCATACAACTTCTTCGTCGATCATGAGATAAAGGAAATTGTCAAGGCCAACCGCACTCTTAGGAGTGATGTCGACAGCAGTTTCTGGATAGAGTTCATCGATATCCGGGTTGCACCCCCGGATCGTTCCGACTTTGGTGATTACAGGGTCGAGAATGATATCACGCCCATGGAATGTCGCTTACGAGACATGACATATTCTGCCAAGATTCTGGTCGACATAGCATATAGTCGTGAGAAGCAGAAGATCATTCGCCGCAATGTTGAGCTGGCTCGTATGCCCGTCATGCTCCGCAGTAACAAATGCCGGCTGTACGGGGCAAATAACGCTCAGATGGAGCTCATGAACGAATGCCCACTAGACCCTGGCGGCTACTTCATCATCAATGGAACCGAAAAGGTGATTCTTGTCCAGGAGCAGCTGAGTAAAAACAGAGTCATCGTTGAGGCAGACGAGAAGAACAGCATTATCATGGCTTCCGTGACCAGTTCTACTCACGAGAGAAAGTCGAAAACATATGTGACTCTCAAGAAGGACCGCATTACCCTTCAGCACAACATCCTTGTTGAGGCCATACCCATCGTCATTGTTCTGAAAGCTCTTGGCGGTCTCTCTGACCATGAGATCATGATGCTAGTTGCTGGGTCTGATGGCCGATTTCAAGATGACTTCGCTGTGAATTTCGAAGAAGCAACTAGGGTTGGAGTTTTTACCCAGCAACAAGCCTTAGACTATATTGGGGCGAGAGTCAAGATGGGTGGTAGAGCAAAGCAGCCAGGGGGCGCGCCACAGGCTCGCCGTAGTACTATTGAAGAAGGCCTCGACGCGCTAGCCAACCTCATCATCGCACATATTCCAGTCGAAGGCCTAGATTTTTATCCAAAGGCTATCTACATAGCCCTCATGATCCGCCGAGTATTTATGGCCTACTACAACCACAAACTCGTCGACGATCGCGATTTTGTGGGCAACAAAAGACTGGAATTAGCTGGTCAGCTTCTCTCTCTACTCTTCGAGGATTTGTTCAAGAATTTCATGACAGCCCTCAAATGGAACATCGAGAATTCACTCAAAAAACAAAACCGGGCTATTGCGGTGGACCCTCTGATGCAAGTTGGTGCTCAGGGGAAGCACATTACCGAAGGCATGAACCGAGCTATTCAGACCGGAAACTGGAGCGTGAAACGATTCAAGATGGACCGGGCTGGCGTGACACACGTTCTTAGCCGTCTCAGTTATATCAGCGCCCTTGGAATGATGACCCGCATAAGCAGTCAGTTTGAGAAAACTAGGAAAGTCAGTGGTCCTCGTGCCCTACAGCCATCCCAGTGGGGTATGCTCTGCCCATCTGATACCCCCGAAGGTGAAGCATGCGGGTTGATCAAGAATTTGGCTCTTATGACCCATATTACCACCAACTTTGACGAAGAGCCTGTCAAGAGATGGGCCTTTACACTTGACTCCGGAGTTGAACCGCTTCGTTGCTTCTCTGGTGCCGAGATGCACAAACAGGGCACATACATTGTCTATATAAATGGTACTCCCTTTGCTTTGTCTCGATTTCCGAAGCGATTCGTAGCCAAGTTTCGCACCATGAGACGACGAGGGTGGATATCTCCTTTTATTGGTATCAATATCAACACACATCTATCAGCTGTGCATATAGCGACTGACGAAGGACGTATCTGCCGACCATATATCATCGTAAAGAACGGCGAGGCCAAAATCAAGGATAACCATTTGAGATTACTGCAAGCTGGAAAGGTCACTTTCGACGATTTCTTAAAGCAAGGCATTGTTGAGTATCTCGATGTTAACGAAGAGAACGATGCGTTAGTGGCCCTTTACGAAAAGGATATTACGAAAGCGACGACACATCTCGAAATTGAACCGTTCACGATACTTGGTGCTGTAGCCGGCTTAATCCCATTCCCACATCATAACCAATCCCCCAGAAATACCTACCAATGCGCTATGGGTAAGCAAGCTATAGGGGCGATTGCTTATAATCAATTCAACCGTATCGACACACTCCTATATACTCTCGTCTATCCCCAACGGCCAATGGTAATCACCAAGACCATCGAACTCATTCACTACGACAAATTACCTGCGGGCCAGAATGCAACTGTCGTCGTTATGTCGTACTCAGGCTACGATATCGAGGATGCCCTCGTTCTCAATAAAGCATCTTGTGACCGTGGGTTCGGACGATGTCAAGTATTCCGTAAGTACACTGCAGATCTTCAGAAGTATGCCAACGGGAGCCGCGAGAGAATTGGCGACAGCGACCGTTCAGAAATAAAGCACCGCGCACTATCTAGTGACGGACTGGCCGATGTAGGATGTGTTGTCCAAAACGGTGATGTTCTCATAAAGAAAGAGAGTCCAGTAGACATAAACCCGATCGCCGGCATTGGGAAGACTATGGCCCAGGAGTTCCGCGAGACACCATTGTCGTATCGACTTGCAGATCCCGCCTATGTCGACAAAGTCATGGTCACGCAAACTGAGAGGCAAACACACCTTATCAAGGTCCAGACAAGGCAGACCAGGCGGCCTGAGCTAGGCGACAAATTTTCTTCCAGACACGGTCAGAAAGGCGTTGTTGGAATTATCGTGGACCAAGAAGATTTACCATTTTCCGATACAGGGCTCGTACCCGACATCATCATGAACCCTCACGGTTTCCCCTCTCGTATGACAGTCGGAAAGTTGCTTGAATGCTTGACGGGAAAAGCTTCCATCGTCCAGGGACGCAGGGACTACGGATACGGCGATGCCTTTAGGTCGCATCCCCTTGAAGAGATGAGTAGGGAATTAGTCAATGCCGGATTCTCTTGGGAAGGAAAAGACTACTTTACTTCGGGAATAACCGGGGAGCCCCTTCAAGCGTACATCTTCAATGGGCCAATCTATTACCAGCGACTCAAGCACATGGTCCAGGACAAGATGCATTCGCGTTCGCGCGGCCCTCGGGCCATTCTCACCCGCCAGCCCACAGAAGGTCGATCTCGTGACGGTGGTCTCCGTCTCGGAGAAATGGAACGGGATTGTTTGATCGCGTACGGCGCCTCGCAACTCCTTCTCGAGCGCCTCATGATCAGCTCGGACGCCTGCGAGATAGATATCTGCGAACGGTGCGGCCTCTTCGGCTACAAGGGCTACTGCAGCACTTGCCGGAGCAGCCGAGAAGTCGCTCGCATGACTATGCCGTACGCTGCGAAGCTTCTCATCCAGGAGCTGATCAGCATGAACGTTGGCGTGCGGCTGAAGTTGGAGGACGAGTTCCCCCATCCACGATAGTCGAAGTACGCGGAATTGGCTAAGTACCTATATGATAGTCGCATGGGACGGCGTATTTGTGTTTTTCAGATGGAAATAAAATTGTACTCGCATGTACATAGGATTGGGATGGCATAGCATTGCTCTAGGTTACCTCAGGTAGTTGGGTCGATTGGTAAAATTCGTTCCATGGTTGGTTGGGGTTTAATAGAAAACCACTTCACTGCTTTACTCCCCTGGTGCAATATGTAGTCACCAGTAGCTCGCGACCACGATAGAACGCAGTAGTTTAATTTTCAAGTTCTTCTGATAGATAGATGTGATGTGATGTACTTGTTGTATAAAGGATTTATTTACCCAGTCGTCAAGGTTCATCGGTAATTCATTCATTCATAATATCTTACCACCCTACCTAACCTAACCCAGTTCATATCCCATCGATGGAGTACAATCTCATGAATCCGAGTAACCTAAGCCACCTTGGTAGTAGCCGTCGCCATCTCCTCCTCTTTTCCCTTTTCCTTCCCCTTCCCCTTCCTCTCCAAACTCCTCAACCCCCCCATCGTAACCTCGAACTCCACCGCGCCCTCCAGCCCGGGCCCCGTACCCCGCACATGCGGCGCGAAAACAACCTTCATCCAGCGCCGCCAATTCTTCATCGTCGTCGTCGTCTGGCCCTCCTCATCCTCGACGACTTCCCGCTGTCGCCCGTACACGGGCCGCTTGAACAGCGCGATGCGCGCGGCGATCTGCGTCGTCCAGACGAGGCCCAGGGACGGCGTCTTCAGGTTGTGGTGGTGCGGGTGGGGGTCGTCGCCCCAGCCGGTGAACCACCGCTGCTGGTGGTCGAGGAGCAGGGCTGCGGGCGCCGGGGGGTCTTCGGTGGGGGGCGGGGGCGGCATGCTGGAGCGGAGGAGTTGGAGCTCGGTGGTGGCGTCGATGCCGTTGCTGCTGCTGGGGGGTTCGAGGCCCGGGGGGATAAGCGGCATGCCCCGGCTCCGGGATGCGAGCGGGCTTTCTTGGGATACGCGCGGGAGCGAATGGTGCGAGGATGCAACCCCGCCGGCGATGGTCTTAGCAGGGGCGGCGAAGCGGTCGGCGACCTGGTTCGCGACGACGATGGCGAGGTCGTGGGTGCGCGCGAGGTCGTGCAGCAAGGTGCCGAGGCGCAGGAGCTCGTGGGAGCGGGCGGCGAGGTTAGCGCCGCTCGCGACGGAGGCGCCGCGCTCGAACTCGACGCGGTAGTTGGCGGCGACGGAGTCGAGGACCAATAGCCCCACGTGCCGCCGCGCGACCTCGACGGGCACCTGGAAGTGCAGGATGTGGTCCTGCGACTCGAGGTCCGGCGTCACGGTGCCGACGATGCCGTCGAGAGATGGCTTGGACGCCGGGGGCAGGTTACGCAGGTACGGGTTGTGCGCGAGCAGCTGCGAGAGCCGCCGGGTCGACAGAGGGGCTTCGGTGGAGACGTACAGGGCGGGGCGGCCGAGACCCCGCGGCGGAGGCAGCTGGCACGCGAGGAGCAGGGTCAGCAGGAATTGGGTCTTGCCGGCGCCGCTTTCGCCGGTGATCTCGGTGATGTAGCCGGTGGGGATGCCGCCGCCGAGGGCGCGGTCGAGCTCGTCGTCTAGGGTGCTGATGGCATGCTGAGGGGTGGCGAGGAGTTCCGTGCCGGTTTGCTTCAGTACACTCGTACCTATGCCTGTGCCTTTACCCTTTTTTGCCTCGTCCGTCTTCGGCTGCGGCTTGTCGGAGATACCCAGGTCGACGTGCAAGGCCTCGAGTATGGCATTACAGAGGCGTTTGACATCTAGGAGAGCTAGCTGAGTGCGCTTGCCTATATCCGGGGCCTCGAGGGCGAGCAGATCGGCGGTGGTTAGGCCATGCTTCTCGATAGTGGGTAGCAGGTTGGCATAGCGGCCGATCGGGAAGTCCGGCAGGATCCGTGACAGATCTGTCATGAGGCGGGCGGTTCGCGCATTTGTATTTGTGTTGGCATTTAACTATGTGAAGCTAGGTAGGTATTGCGTGTACAACCAACCAAGTCGCGTTGTTTTACAAATTTCCAGGTACAGTATGATTTACCAAGAATATTGATATGTCAGCACTAAAACTAAACGTTTCGATCTCGCGGTATCAGGTGACTTCCAGTTAGTTAGTATTAACTTAGTAATACATGTACATGCTACGTAATCGTTCAAGTCTAACTATAAGTGGAGACAGGTTAGGTAGCATTCGGTAGACCAATCACACCCCTTTTAAGGCTTAACTTGACCGCCGTCTTAGCGGACTCCAGCACTACTGCTACCCTAACAATTCGCCTAACTGTGCCTTTTTGGGAAATAGCAGCAGTTGCTATTCGCTCTTTACCTAGGTACCTTACCTCCAGGACTGCTAGGTTGTTAGGTAATAGGCACTACCTACTACCTAGTATCATTTTCATTTCATGCATCTCCTTTAGCTTAGCTCAACTTCTTAAATTCTTCACAATTTATACAACAATTTAGGCACTTACAAGTTACCACTGTACCTACACTGGTCCTACAGCTAGCTACCTACAGCATGTCGAGCTAGCCTCAGTTATCATTTCCACAGCTCGACGGGAGTGATTAGTAGTTTCTTTTCTACCCTAGACCCTGGGTTGTCTAGTCGCCCGGTCTAGGTGTGGCTAGCCCTTCTATTCTCTGGTTGGTTATCCAGAGGTTCCCAAGGATGCCCAGTTAATTTGTTCAAAACACCCGTTAATTAGCAGACCGAGAAGAAAGAGACTGCAGCAACCTTACAGCGTCATGTCAGTCTTTATGGTAGGTTGGTGGGTTGGTAGGTACTAGGTAATATTGCAGACAGTTGGCTCTGCGGCTGAAAAGTATGACCATGAATTGTCTGATATATTCGCAGAGGCTACCTGACTATCTTCAGCCGCATTGCGACCTCGGGTCACGATACAAAGCACTCACAATCTAGACACACGGGCACGTTGGTGTTAGGGCTAGATTGGATCTGCTAGTGAATGAAAGGCGAAATAAATACCAGAAGTTGATACAGACTACCTAGTAACCTAGGTTAGCTGCTTAGGGCACCTATGTGGTTACAGGTAGGTAATGTGCAAAGTACAACTTTGCTCCTCTTCACCAAGCCGTTATGGGGAAGAACCGACTCTTCGAGCCTTTTTGCCTGAAGCTAGATTTGATGGCCTCTTGGCGCAGCCACCGATACTCCCTGCGACTTTTCAGCTCCTGCAAGCCATCACGGGTCTCGTACCATCATCATTGGCCACACCCGTCTATGATGCTTGGCAATTAATCTCCCTATGCAAGAAATGGTATAGCTCAAGGTTGAGCCGACCTTTCATCTTGGGCCAGGGAGAAGCGAGAGAAGCGAGATACTCATCTAGATCCGAAAAATACGCCTCGTGCTTGTCATTGCCGTTCGGATATCATGGGCAAGTCGGGATACCTAGTGCTAAATTTTCACCGAGGCACTGTAGCTTAATAAAAAGACCTCCATGCCCCTTCTCCCGCGTTCGCGTTGTGTCTCTTTTGCTCCCGTAGGTTGATTTATTGTCGTCACATATAAACACTCCGAAGCCGGGAAGTACCCCAATATACTCGGCGTAGGAGACCTAGACGCTCGATTCCTATTACTAGACGCCTTCTTCTAAAGAGAAAGTATCAAGATGGCGAGCCTCCTTTCCGCCGCCGTGTTCGTCACTGCCGTTCGGGCCCTGGCCTTCGATGGAAAGCCACCCAAGGCAACCGATGCCGTTGTGCCCAACCCGACGTTCCAGTTCCCTCAGATTACTTTACCCCCAAGTATTCACGAATTGGCCAAGAGACAAAATGGGCAGACAGTTCTCATAGGGCCAGACAACACCTGTGGATTTGTAAATGGACGAGCTGGTACGGAATATCGTGTTATACATACACCTATAGATACATAAAACTAACTAACCTCGACGATAGGTGCTGCGTTTACCTGTAATGGTGCGGATATGACTTGCGCCCTTGTCACTTCAGCATCGTACGGCGCAGTTGCTTGCTGTGATGGCAATGATTGCGGTGTCCGAGTCGGATGCGTGGACTACCAAGATTACGCATTTTCGAGCGCTTGTGATTATGGCTGTTTACAAGACACTTATACCGTCAAATGGTTAGTCACACGGTGGCCTTGACAACGTAATCCTACATGATACTGATCCAGCCAACAGCACAAACATCGCAGCTCCATATTGCGGAACAGTTACATTTCCTGAGGTCCCAGGCGTCGAGGACTACTTCTGCGACTCAGACAGCATTTCATCACCACAAACACTCTACACCACCTACAGCGGCGAGTCCGACGGCCGATCCTTCACGCCTGTCGTCGTAACGCTATCAGACGACTCGTCCACGACACGCGCAACAACTGGCTCCAACCCAACTTCCGGCGGCAGCAGCGGCAGCGACAACGACGACAGCAGCAGCGCAACCGGGGGCGCCGGCGCGACCAGCGGCGGAAGCTCCTCGGGCTCGGGCTCTACCTCCCGCGGCTCCAGCTCGTCGACCAACATCGGCGCCATCGCCGGCGGCGTCGTAGGCGGCGTTGCCGGCCTCGCCCTAATCGGCCTCGGCATCTTCTTCCTCGTCCGCCACAACAAGAAGAAGAAGCAGAACATCACGGGCCCGCCCCCCGCAGCAGGCCAGATGGCGCAAGCACCCGGCGGCCCCACCGACCCCTCCCAGCCACCCGCCGCCGCGTACAACCCGCACTACAGCCAGCAGCAGTACCCGCCCCAACAACAACCACCAAACTCGCCCCCGGGCTACCCCCCGCAAAACGGGTACTACCCGGACCCGAACAAGCCCGCCGGCTTCGCCGCCGCCCACCTGCCCGACCGCAACGACTCCACCAGCCCCCTGTCCCAGTTCACCGACAACCGGCAGAGCGTGCAGCAGCCGCCGCCCACGAGCCCCAGCACGACCATCAACTCTAGCTGGCAGCAGCAGCAGCAGCAGCAGCCCGGCGCTTACGGGGCGCCGCCGCAGCAGAATATTGTTGGTGCGAATGGTAACGGGGCGCCTAATACGGTCCCGGCGAACGTCCACGAAGCGGGTGGGAATGTGGTGGGCGAGAGGGATTATAACTCGAATCATCATGGGCAGTTCCATGAGTTGGGTTAAAGGGGGGGGGGGGGGTTGTAAGGAGAGGGGAAAGAGGAAGGGAGGGTGGGGATGGGGATGGATGAAAGAATGGATGGCATGGGATGGGATGTGGGAATGATATCATAGGGTGGTTTTTATATAATTATAGCATCTCTAGGTATGAGTTTGGTGTAATACGATTAATGCATATGAAATATACACATACATACTTTTGATACCGGAATAGGTACTCGGGTGAAGATTGATAGCAAAGAACATGGCATTGTGGTGATACTTAGAATAGAATATAGGTATGTACTCAAGTAAATATAAACATAGGTATTGAACGACAAGAAACAACAAGATCTTACACATGCAAAATCCTCCAAAAAGGTAGGTATTCGAATACTCGATAGATCAAGCACCTACCTGCCGAGGTATCATGCTCCCGCTAAACAGACCTACATAACACCTAGCAGCGCATAGATAATAGCCAATCAATCAATCAATCAATCAACCTCCCGATACATCTCCCCAGAACTATCCCCCTTTTATCTCTTAAAATGGCATACCCAACTTTTCACCGTTTCAATACTCGACAAGCCTCAACTTCTTCCCAATCTCCCTCCTCCTCGCGCTCGCCGCTGCTCGTTCAGACGCCTTCGTTTCCCCCTGCGAGTCGAGTGCCTGGCCACGTGCTTTGAGCGCCTGGAGCAGCATTCCGGCGTCGAAGAAGCCGTCTGTGGTGATTGGATACGCGTTAGTAGCACTTATGTGAAAGAAGGATATATGTATAGAGGTAGGTAGGTAAGGGGGTAGAGAGGTAGGGAGATGGGTAGGGAGGTAGGAAGGTAGGGGAAACTTACACCCTCCAAGCTCGTCATCCTCGCTCATCACAAGACTCTCCTCGGTCGGGGACCTTGTGCCAGTCGACGACCTCGCCTGGGCACGGAGGCTCTCAGTACCCGTGATCATGCGGCCGCGGGCCTTGGGGCGGTGCGACGTCTTAGGCTTATCGGGGTCGATCTCTCTCGCGCGCGTCTGCTTCGAGCTCGTGGACTTGCGGTTGGTGATCCTCAGTATGCGGCGGATCTCGAGGAGGTAGCTCTCGAGAGTGTCGAGGAAGCGCTTGGTCTGGCGGTGCTTGCTAGACACACAGATGTTGATGCCCTCGTCCTTGATGATGTAGCCGATGCCGAAGCCGCCGCCCGAGGTGGGGCCGAACCCGAACTGGCGCAGCGAAGGGTTGCCGCAGTTGGACGTCGAGAGGATGGTGTTGTTCAGCTTATCCCAGCCGCTGTCCGCAAATATGGCGGGAACCTGGTTTTCTGGGCATCGTGAGGTCGTGCTGTCTCCGCGTTGGCGTGATCTTACCTCTTCGCTCATCGAAAAATTGGAGTCTTTGCCGGGGCTGCCCACCACAGACCCCTGCTCCGAGCCATTCTCGAAAGAGCTTGTGTACCCCGTGCTGCTAGGTGAACGACTGTTCTCGTCGTCCAGATAGCGTTGCCATACAGAAAACAAAGCGTATAGGTGCCGGTCACAGCCTTTTCCCTTAGAGCATTCCCGGGTGCTACTAACGTGCTGCTGGCACGCTTTGCGGAGGGCTTCTGCCTTCGCCTCCGCCGGGTTATCCGCCCAAAACGTCTGACAAAAGTTTACCGACTCTTCCGACACAGTCCGGATAGCTTCGGTTCTTCCGTGGAGGAAAGCCTTGGTCATGGCAGGCTCATATGTGCATTCGATCCTCCCGTACAGTCCATAGTAAGCTGCCTGGAAGGCCATCTGAACAAAGGCATCCGGCGAGAAACCTGCTGACGTGATATAATTCTTGCCGTAGCCGCTGAAGTCTAGACACTCGAATTCGTTCTGGCTGATAAGGTCCGCGAGCCGCGTTTCGGCAAATCGAACGGCGATATTGAGCTCAGGCGACATGTCCCATTCTAACTTGTGAGGTGTCGTGGTGACTTCTCCGAAACTCTCCGGGTCACGCTTCGATGGGTCCGGACTTGCTGTTTTCCAAAGACTGGGAGCTTGGCCATTGATAGTTCTTGCAAATCGTAGAATCGTATCGGTATAGAGGTCGCTAGCGAATCGAAGTACCGTATGGCCATCCACTCCGGTATGCTCAAAGTTGATTCCCGCGCTTCCGTTCTTGCATACAATAATCTGCAGTTTGTCGTACCATCTATTTATGCAGGTACCGATTTGTATCCCCTTAACCACTTCGTTCGTGCCGCACAGCATGTTCTGACACAATGCAGGCGCGGTAGCTGGTTCCGTATAGTCTAAGCAGAGCACGAATAAAGCCGAGTCGACGATGCCGAGGGAGTCGGCGTTGTTGGATCCTTGCTCCTTTGTAAGAACATCTCTAAGCCCCGACCAAGTCTTTCGGTTCTCCGTGCTAAGGATACCAAGGGCTCCCTTGGCAGCTTCTTGGATCGGTGTTTGCGTTGCGTCGTCTATTATGGTCTGAAGGTTTATTGAAATATCCTTTTCGCTCATGATAAGATCCGAATTATCGTCTAGTACGTCGAACCAGTAAAATTGACCATGGCATAAAGCAACAATATGCTTAGACTCGGGGTCCTGCTCGATTTGGCACCCATTTTCTGTCGGCACGCGGGCAGTACCAAAAAGTCGGGAGTATTGGTACATATCTAGGGGAGTGCCCTTGACTGTGTCGGGGGGTAATTCTTCTCGGCGCACTGCCCGCACAAATTCCAAAGCCGATACAACGAGAGACGCCGCACGAGTGACCTGATTGTTTCTTGCCGGCGTTGGGTCATCTTCTAATAAGAAAAATGGGTTCAAGTTAAGTACAACGGGATTATCGTAATTCAGATATGAATCGTACCCTGTGCAAGGGTTAGCAAAGACATGAGCTTCACAATAAGAAAGTACGTACAAAACTGTTCTATATAACTTGTTTTTCCAACAGCATATTCTTGTAACTTCTTCTGAAGGCCAGGTCCATCTCTCTTGAGGAAATCCTGGACAGCAAGCTTAGTCTCGGCATGCTCCCTAGGACCTTGTAGCGGTTTCAGGGCAGCCAAGTACTTCTTGCACGTATGTTCCAACTCTGGTATGGGCAGTTTAGGCAAACTATCCTGGCTAGCAAATGTGATGCCGCCATCCTTAGGCTTTTCCGGAATCGTCTCCATCAGTGGGACTCGACCCCTTGGCTCGGGACTTGGTGGCTTTTCGCTAGTATATGCCGGAGTTGATGACGGTATGGTTGCTGAACTAGCACTGAGAGTCTCGCCAAGAGACTTTGGCATAGCAAAAATGCGAACTTGGGTGGGCATCTCGTTAGTCTACTGTTGGTATGTTAAGTGAACAAAGGCGAGACACAGGTGCTGATGTTTAAGCCGCGTAGAGCTGTGCGGTAAAAGTAATGACAATCTTGTAGACAGTAGGGTGGCATCACACTTGGGTTGACCTTAGTACTGTAGGTAAAGAAATGGCATGTCATATAGGGAACCAGGAGTAAGGTATGAGAAGGGAGATAGAAATGTAGAGATATAAGTCATCTTAAGAGAGTCGAGTATGCGAGAAGGGTCTAAAGTATATGGACTTATAAGTAGACCATTAACCTAAGGACCCAAGGCATGGCAAGTCGATCAAAGTGCATGCATGTTCCACAATCACATGTGTGAAGGGTGTTCCTAGTCGGGGTACCATCCTACGTATAATGTCACAGAAAAGCAACATGATTGGCCAAGGCGTGGTAAGATGGAATGGACTAGAGGACTCATCCGCAGGACCGACGATATATATGCGAATGAAGAAAGGTGATAATCTGCCGAGAAGGCTGGGTCTGGGTCTGGGTCTGGGTTTGGGTAGGATACAAGAGACGAAACAGTCCAACATACCTCTTTGACTAATGTAACAAACCTAGCTGACTACCTGAACGGTTCTGTCAGCGGTAACGGCGTAGCAATATATCGCGGCCCTTAACTAAGTGAGTACCTAGTCTACTGGACAGGTGCCTAGATAAATAACAAGAAAATGGCAATATATGTCACAGTGTTGTTCCGTCAAAGTGCTGTAATAAATTGTATATTAGTATATATGTCTACAGAAAGTCACGAGGGCTGCGCTGAAAAAACAGGAGTGATCCCTCACAGGTCAGACACGAAACAGGTAAAGCGATGAAGTCAAGACCTGAACCGCAGTAACGGAAGTTACATGGGTTGAAAACCTACTACAGTATGTACTTGGGTGTGTACTTGGGTGACTTAGTTGCGATGACGACTGACAAGAAATATACCCCACGGGGTCAAGCGGTCGTAAATGGTAAGTCGTTGAATAAAGAAGGCCCCAAGCAAAGTATCCAGGTTCGTGGGGTAGACTTCGGGCAAGTGGATGGTCTCTGGTTGGGTAGTCGGAGAAATGGGATCGGGGGTGCGAATTAGAAGCTAAAAGAATAGATAATCCAACGATAATCCAACTATGTACTATTCGATGGCATAATACTAAGAGACGCTAAGAATCTAAGATAGGTAGGTAAAGTCTTGGGTAGAGAAAAGTAGAAGAGCCCTAACCGTCGTTCCGAAGAGCTGGGGATTGACAATGAATGCGACTGCGCCGTGAGTATTAGGTAGGTACTTTCGTTTCTGGTTAATCGCGATTCGAGATGTATGTAAGATGAAAACCCAGCTCATTTATCGGCTAAGTGGTTAGGATCGTCTGGGTTATAGTAATGAGGTATATTGATATAGTACGGGCATAGATCTCAAGCAACGTGACCAATGTGACCTCCAAGGCTCAGCTGATGATACATTACTAAGGTACCTGTCTACTATGCCCAGGGTACTTGAGGGATCCTAGTCGGGTCCAGGTGCTCGAGGACAATATCCTCGTAAAAGCTCGTCATTATTGGTGCCGCAGAAAAGAAGCAGGCGAATTAGGAGGGTAGCATAAGCTAGAAAGGGCAACACGTGGGGCTTAATGGGGGATGACGGCGTTATGTAGTTGTACTCTGTACTTCGTAGTGCTGATGTATGTCTGTAACTGCATGTGCCCAGGTGCCCAGGTGCTATAAGATTAGGTAGGTAGTACCTATTGCACTCCCTAGTACCGGGCAAATGGACCATCCATAGAAGCAAAACCCCACCATCTGACGACAGTTTCTAGATTCTAACCTAGAAGAATAAAGACGAATGAAAATCTGGTTATCATTTCTCTGGGCTTTCTGGCTCCTTGGGATCGATCGAAGACACCCAACTGATCAAGTGCAGAGCAATGCGCAGTCTATCGGTACTAGGCAGAAACGGGATAGCCAAGCTTGGAAGTAGTGGCCTATTCCTGAACCGAAGTCGATGACCTATGGCCATGAACGTTATGATATAATGCGAATCGCGGGGTAGCTAAGTGTATCGTTGTTTCATAAAAGCTACATGTACCGTCAAAATTTATAGACGCAGACAATTGAATCGATATCCATCAATCTTCGAGCATTTGGAAGTATTAACTAACTTCCAACTGTGAAAGAGTAAATAGTATAAATATTATTATCATCACTTATTAGAGCTTTGCTCCGTAATAAATAGTAGATAATCTGCAAAACGCTTGACTAATATCGTTGACCATTAATAGGACTAGTTAGGGAAGTTAGGGAATATACTATGACAGCTGTTGGTAAGACGAAGAGAATGCGAGTGCGAGGCGGTGCAGCTACTGCAACGCCGAAATAACAAACTTCATAAGCTCGGGAGGCCTAAAGCCAGGCACGGTTAAAGCGGACAATAAAGTTTGCTTCCAATGCTCTGATTGGCTAGATTTGAATTAAGCTTTTTATTAGTGATCTACTACTAGGAGTACTATGCGCAGTACTGTCTAACCTACCTAGTAACTACTGTACCTACTACCCACGCACTCGGACTCGCTTAAAGCCCTATTCTTAGCAAGCTGTCCGTCAACTGTCATCCATAATTTCAGGTACAACCATGAAGATACACCTCAATATCCAACCAACATCGCATTACAGCCTCCTTAGCCATCGCCAAATCCTGAATATCTTCAACCCTAGAAGCCTAGAAGGTTCAAAATGCTCGAAATGCTTTATGGCGAATCGGAGATGCGAATATGTTATCCACAACGAACTGTCTGCATCAGGGTATAGTACATATATATAGGAAGCGATGCAGTCGCTTACTTTCTGATCCTTCTCGTAGCTATGTTGTATGATAGTCAAGAGTAATAATAACATTCTTGAGGCCACTTTATAGAGTATATATTGCATTGGTATCACGCTCTTCGAAAGAATCGATTTTATTCTATTTATTCTTATACTACTAACTTTCAAGATATCATGTTGATCACTCTACTGATGCGAACCTTTCGCTCATCAAAAGATCCCAACCAAAAGGAACCAGAGAAGCCAAAGAAAGCCGAATCGCCATGTCAACACCAGAGAGATTCCACAAACAAGGAATCCAGTATCGTGGTTGCATATGAAACTGACAAAAAGGGGAAATGCCTTCAATGCAAGGCCGAATCACGCAAAGCTTCGATATATAGGTGGAAACTTACGACGTGTCTCATCCTTCCCTACGCCCTTCAAGCTTTAGACGTTACTATGTATGACATTCTTTTTTTCATTGTCAAGAAGTGAAGATGAGTATAGATACTGATGATTCGAATAGTGTCGCCAGTGCTCTGCCCTGGATTGCTGCCGACTTCGGTATGAAACTACTACACAAACACTTAACCTAACTCTTCGACTGTTTATACTAACAAAGGGGGTTAGGTGAAATTGCTCAGTTGAATTGGATAATATCAGCTTTCAACTTGACATCAGCAGCATTCATCCCCTTTTGGGGCCAGATGTCCGATATATTCGGGAGACACTGGGCTCTACAAATATGCTCCTGTATCATGCTCGTTGGCAGCGCCATCTGCACGGGGGCCCCGACTAATGCGTTTGGCGCATTTATCTTCGGTCGAGCTCTGCAGGGCGTCGGTTGCGCGGGCCTGAACAATATCATCCGGACTATATTGGCCGACAAAGTTACCTTGCAGGAAAATGCGAAGAACTGGACGACGTTCGCCCTCACGGGGGGCTTATGCTACGGCATAGGACCGGTAATCGGCGGCTACCTCACTGCTGCAAACTGGAGATGGTGCTTTGGTATAAATCTACCCATCGCCTTCGTCGGTATTCTGATCGTGTTCTTTTTCCTTCGCGATGACCTCCTCGGACCCCAGCCTATCCCTGAACTGGACGAGTGCGAGGCTGGTCGACGAGAACGCTTTGCCAAGCGAATGACGACCATTGATATCGGCGGACAGCTCCTTTTCTTGTTTGGCTTTGGACTCCTAATTCTAGCATTCACCTGGGCTGGTGCGACTTACGATTGGAACAATCCTGCCGTGCTGGTTCCTCTTGTCATCGGCACCCTACTGGCGTGTGCTTGGTTGTACTACGAGTACTCGATGGCTCCTGGTGGGATAATGGCTCAAAAGCTGCCCTTCCAAAGACCAATGGTGCCCTGGAAATTGATGAAGAATCGAAATATTAGCCTCTTATGCTATATCAACTTTGCGACGGGGATGGCCATGTATAGCGTGAGTGCATATCTGCGCTTAGTGACCATATGTAGTGTTGCTAAACTGTCTAGGTGCTTTACTTTGTCGACATCTACTTTACAATAGTCAAGGTATGACCGATCGTGGGGAGATGACAGTTTCATATCGTAGCAAGCCACTAATGCCATCTTTAGGGCTTCACGTCTGACCAAGCTGGTGTCCAGTTGCTTTATTATACACCGGGCCTCGGAGGTTTGTTACCCTAAACTTCTCTACCTATGCCTAGTATTCATGAGGCTAACATCGCCCTAGCTGGTGTATATATATCGATGATTTTATGCAACGTTTGGCCACGTCAGACCTTCTTCCCCCTTTTCCTCGGGTCGGTCATTGAAGCTGTTGGTATCGGTATGATGGCCTGGGCTCTATACTTCGAGCATACCCCGACTATATATGGCATGATGGCACTTACCGGCGCGGGCACGGGATTACGATTTATGCCAGGCAGCCTTCATGGTATCGGATTCTTTCCGAAGCACATTTCCAGCGTGGTTTCGATAACGGGTGTCTGCACAACTTTTGGCGGTACTATTGCTCTCACTATCATGTCCACCGTCTTTAACAACACGTCTGGCATCTCGCGCAGCTCTCCGTTCCAAAACGATTATAACGCCATACAAAACCTTTCGGATGAGATAAAGTACCAAGTAGTCAATGGCGCCAAGGTAAGTTCTTATACGCAATTCTCTCGTTTACCAGCCTATATACCTTGATTACCTATAACTAACTGACGCCTGGATAGAACGGAATTACTTGGGCATTTGTTGCATTGACACCTTTCATGGTCATGGTAAGTTAGAGACTCTCCCAGCGATTCTTCCTCTTCTCTTTTCTGACGCTAATTCTATTTTTCAACAGTGTGTTATCGCAGCTGCCTGTCTGGGTAATGTGACCATTACGAAGGACTCGGGCGATGGAACATCTGGTCGTCGCTTAACTCATGGCTCCTATTTGCTTTCTTTAATAAATAAGAACCAAAAGCACGAGGATGGGATTGTTGAAGGGGAAGTATAACATAATGAAAGTTTAGGTGTAAATCGATTGGATTGTATAGAGGATTGGGCTGGTGTTTTGTGTATATATGGATGATTACGTATACCACTGTTGCGTTGTGTATTTTTTACATCATGATAGGTACCTGTTAGATCGTCTAGATATATGGATGGATGAGTCAAAATTACTTGTTGAAAGTTCAAAGTAAAATAAAATAAATAAATATTAGGGGTGTAACTATATGTTGACTTACTATGACATTTGCAGTAAAGACACAAGACACCCCTCCCCCACTCTGATCTCCCTTACTTAAACTTAATCAAATGCCCAAGTACGTACATAACTTTCGAAACTTAAACTTTACAAAGTCAATCCTAAGTTACTTGGAAACGATTCACATCGGGCCACCGAAGCTTCCTATTTTATGAAGTTATGAAGAAATCGTGAAAAGAAATATTGAATACATAAGTTACATGCAACCTCCGTAAACCACACTCTGCTTAACCTCGGGAGTTCAACTGAGATACCGAATTACGACCTCGCTTCACCATCATCACCCAATACCGCCCATATCTCGGCATATCCGTCCAACTACACTAACCTAGATACCTACCCATTCACCCGCAATACATCCCTTCCATCACCACCTCGGCATGGCATCATCCAAATACACCACCGACCCCACGCCACCGCAGCGCCCTCGGTTCCACCTCGTGTTCCGCGTCGTAAGCGACGGCCTCGACACACCCTCGGCCCAAGCCCTAACCCAGCGCGGCTCCCACGCCCACGGCGGCGCCTTCCCGCTCTTCCCCTCCTTACCCGCCGAGCTGCGCCTCAAGATCTGGAAGTACCTGCTAGCGCCGCGCATCGTCGCGGCCGCGTGTCTCGACGCCGAGGCCCCGCCGCCCGACGAGGAGCCCGAGGAGCCCGAGGAGCCGTGGGCCAGCTTCCCGGACCTCTTCACCCACGACAGCTTCTACATGTCCTTCACCTCGACCTCGCCCTTTATTACTGCTGCGCCCGTGCAGCAGGACCCCGTCCTCCTGCGCGTCAACCGCGAGACCCGCGCCCTCGCGCTGAACCACTACGCCCCCGCCTTCGGCTGGAAGATCCCGCATGTCCTCTTGAACGGGTCTCCCTCCTCCACATCAACGTCAACGTCAGCGGTAGAGCAGCGCTGGTCCCAGCCGCCCCGCACCTGGTTCAACTACGCCCTCGACACGCTGTACCTCGTCGGCGAGCTCGAGCCCTGCGACAGCTACGGCTTCAACAGCCCCATGGCGTACTTCCTCGACCGCGAGGAGGCGCGCCGCGTGCGCCGCCTCGCCGTCGCTTTCGCGGCCTTGGGCTACGGCGAGGCTGCGGGGCCGCAACATATCTTCGGTGCGCTCTTCCACGTCGCGGATCGATTTCCTGCGGTCGAGGGGGGCAAGGTGTGGGTTGCGGTTACGCCGAGGGATGAGATGACGCATGTGTTGATGGGCGGGGAGGGGTCGTTGATGGGCGGGAAGGGGTCGCTGTTTGGGCTGCGGCGGAGACGGGTAGAATATGAGATAGATGGAGGAGGAGAAATTGGCGAGGGGGTATGGGTAGGGGCAGGGGCAGAGAGGGAGGAGGAGCAGGATGAGGATGAGGGAGAGGGGGGGCAAGGGGGGAAGGAGAGGGAGGAAGAGTTGAATTTTGTGCAGAAGATCTGGAGGGATTGGTATAGAGGCGGGATCGTCATGTCGTCGTTGGCGAGCTTGCAGTTTGAGATGGTGAGGGAATCGGAGCTGTCGGAACACCTTGCGAAGCTTCCTATGCCGTCTGCTTCAGCTGGTTCTAAACAGAGGCAGTGCTAAGTAGGTTGGTAGGTATGTAGCATGCGACGGGAGCAGGTGTGCTTACTTCAACATTATGCAGGATATAGGTACACTAGGTAGGTATGTGCCAGGTATTTGCTTATCGTACATGTATACATTGCCTACTCGGATTGAGTGGTGACTGGAATTCTACCAGAATATCATCTATGGTGTCCTATAATACATACATGTCTACACGAGACCGTTCCGTTTTTTTCCTCCAAATTCTGGATCTTTCAGCAGCCCAAAATCATCTATCGTATCGGCGCCTTTTACCGTACGCCGTTTGCCTCCTTGTCTGTAGTAGCTTCACACAGCGCAGGAGCGCCATCGTCCGGACGGCCCTTGATGCCGCCTAGTAGCCAATCCGTCAGGCCGACGACTTTTGCGCCGAGCCCCTTTTCCCATTCCCCGTGCTCATCCACGTGCTCAATTGTATGGCTTATGATCCGCCCTTCCTTATCGAACTCGAAGATGAATAAGCCTGTGAATGCCTTTTTCTCGCCGATGCTTTGCGTGCCTCGGAGCATGTCGTCTAGCTTCTGCTCCCCCTCTTCTATCATAGGCTCGGCCGAGTTCTTAGGTTTGCCATCGGCTGTCCTCCATTTGACGACCAATTGCTCCCCGTAGGCCTCGGATCGCTTGGGCGAGGAGTAGTACGGCGGGCTGACCATTCGCTCCGACAATATCTCCAGCTTTACGTTTCCAATGATGGGGACTCGGTTCCATGCCAGCGGGGATGTCCATAGAGCGGCTATGTAGGCAACTCTGCCAGACACCGTGGGCAGATATGGATGTGTCGTGGGGAACAAGTGAAGCGAGATATGGGGTGATAGAATCTCCTGCGGGAGCTGAGACTGCAGTAGGGTTGGGAGCCGCTCTTGGAGAATGCGCAAAGCTAGGAAAACGTTAGTTTGCGTTCTAAGCGTACATATCTTGGTGGTACGAGTGAGGCCTACTCTTCCCAAGCTTTACTTTTCGCTCATCTTCGGGGCCCCTCGAGTTGTCGTCGGAATATGGGACATTTGAACGTGGGGTAGAGGAATTGAACCATATTGGCGACAAATTATGATGGGATGATAAATGAGCCAGAGAGGAAGGCTTCTTATAGGCTATTGTCGGAATTATAGGATGTGTCGCCGGCGAGGAAGCGGCATAGGCAACAGGTGGGAGAATGCGCAGGGTGGCTCTGGAGCTCACGGCGTTAGACTGCGCTCGAATGACGCTGTTTGAGAGGGACATGTGTCCAAGGCCTCGATGGCGACGTCAACAGGCTAAGAGATTCATTAATCCGATCCAGGAGGGGGTTCTTCAAGTTTTGTGAAGAAGAAGAAGATAGTTATCTAGCTAGATCTTAATTCATAAAATATGGGACGTAAACAGAAGAGAATGTAGGAATTCATAGTTTACTTAGGTACTTAGTGCTGGTATGATGTAAGTGAAGCTTGAAATTTCGAGTTCGAATTTTAAGTATTTCTGTAATAATTGATATTAGGCCCTGTACGAACAAAGCCCCGGTACGCCGAGAAGTAACCCCACTACCAACTAACATACAGTACATACAGACCTAGGTCCTGGTCCTCCAGCTAATACATTAGATACCTAACTTCGTACATACTACCTAATGCCGAAGCAGGGTACCTGGTTGACACTAACTTGTCTTTTGGATTTAAAAGTCGGAACTCACCGAACTGTCACTCCAATATGTATGTGCTAATACTATAACAGTATTGATAAGGGAGTTCCTTGAGTTTCTTCTCTAGCATCAGCTGACCCGATCCGTTTACTCGGTTTGCACTAAATTATATTAGTATGATGTACCACATGTGGTTGACGATGATGATGCATCACCACTGGGCACTTCATGACATCGGATGTATGTACTTCGTACCCTGTTAGAATCCTTCTAGAAACGCCTTCAAAGATGATATGTAGATCAGAAGAAATTGCCGAAGAGGATACGGGTCTTACCGACTATCCGATATCGTCTTCGTCACAATTCTTTATTCGATCGATTCCAAGTAGGCAAATTCCTTTATGCATGTATGAGACGTTGAATGTGTTGTCTTGATCACGTTGCATGGAAGTATTCATAAAGTGGTTGGGGAGATAGTTACAGTACAATGAAAACATGGAAGGTCAAGAGTATCAATCAATCTACATTTGATTGATGATTGAGCATAACATACATAGATGACATAACTCTGTCAGCTGGTGTTTGTGCACTTTACAGTTGTCAGCTGATATACTTCCTTTATCCTACATAATCCGTGTACATAGTTAGGTTAACTGTGCCTTCCACTTAAAGCTGTCAGTGGTCGTACCTTTTACACCTAATCTTGGCTTGTAGATACAAACTCAAGTAAGTTTACGCCTCGTGATTAGTGCATCACTGTTGTATGTAGACTCATTGTAGAGTGATTAGTACTGATTACAGCAATTTGATTGGGTGGCTAGTCCCAACTTTAGCTTAGTTTAGCAGCTGGCACCACTTAAGTGCGTCTTGTGTGTTGTGTGTGTGCACGGGCGGTTGCACGGTGCACGGGGCAGTTGACGGTGAATGGCCCTTGACGTTCCCTGACGCAGCAGCCTACAACTTGTCTCAATTCTCTTTCTACATCGCCATTATCATCAACCATCAACGACGTCTTTCCCCTTTCATACCGTATCATCAAATCTTCTACAGCTCTTTCGCAGCGAATACCTATCCTCATCTATCTACACCTGAGATAATTTCATCTCTTCCGTTGCTTTTTATTAGTGCTTACTACGCTTAAACTTCCACTGTCTCCCTAAGGCAGCGCATTTTACGAGCCATCAAGATGAATCCCGAGTAGTATGTCCAACCGTCCCTATTACCCTCCGTATTAGATTACTCGGTAGCAGCACCCTCGAGAATAAGGCTAACCAAGCTTTCTGATTATAGTGTTTACTTCCCGCTTTTGTCCTTTCCTATCTCTTCATACTTCCGATATGCATCACCTTCAGATCCTTCGGATCCAACCATCGGCGTTGTCCATATCACAACCAGAATACCGCAATAACCATTACAATAAATAAATCCTTCTTTAAATCATGGCGTCTCCTTCTACTCCCCATGTCCCGGGCCTTCAACCTGCGAACCAAGCAAAATTACAAGAGGTGTTGAAGAAGTCTGGTACCAAACTAACCGGTCTTCATCCTAGATACGATTACCTCTTCAAGCTTCTCCTCATCGGAGATTCCGGTGTTGGAAAGTCTTGCCTTCTCTTGCGATTCGCTGATGATACCTACACTGAATCCTACATCTCGACCATCGGAGTTGATTTCGTACGTCGCAGTTCTCTTCGCCGAGATCTAGTCTTGCATAAGATACTAACTATCTATAGAAAATCCGAACTATCGAGCTTGCCGGAAAGACTGTGAAGTTGCAGATTGTAAGCACTGGGTGTTCCGCTCAATATACTTTTCCCCGACTCGTTATGCTGACTATGCTATAGTGGGATACTGCTGGACAAGAGCGATTCCGAACCATCACTTCCTCCTACTACCGTGGCGCCCACGGCATCTGCGTTGTTTACGATGTCACCGACATGGACAGCTTCAACAACGTCAAGCAGTGGCTGCAGGAAATTGACCGATATGCTACCGAAGGTGTAAACAAGCTACTTGTCGGAAACAAGAGTGATATGTCGGACAAAAAGGTCGTTGAGTACACAGTCGCGAAGGTATGAGACGACCTTGAACAGGCCCATATTGTGCTCAATATCACCCATATGCACAAATGGCTCACCCAACTGTATTATTGAATATATCTCGCTAACTAGATACGTAGGAATTCGCTGACAGCCTCGGCATCCCATTCTTGGAGACATCTGCCAAGAACGCGTCCAACGTCGAACAGTCATTCTTGACCATGGCTCGACAGATTAAGGAGAGAATGGGATCGCAAGCCACCACGAACACCAAGCCTGGTGTTCAAGTTGGCCCTGGACACAATGTTTCCAACTCGTCCAGTGGTGGCTGCTGCTAGAGCAGCAATTCATGATACCCTCGTACGACAAGCATCCTCACGCATTTTGATTTCCTGGGACGGACTGGCAGTAAAGGCAGTGAAGGCATGAAAGGCACGCATATGGTCAGGATGACAAGAATGGTGGGACGTGTTTACTTTTCACTTTTGACCTGTGGGATAGATGAAATGATCACTTCATTTGTTGGATCCTACCTAGTCGCCGAACCCTCCGCCGAATCGTTCCGTGGGAATGATGAATTACCTGTATTCTGGCATCATGTGAGAACGAATTCATCTAATGGTCGAGGAGGCTAAACTGCCTCTTATCAAGTTTACGTGTTAATGTGATTTCCTCTCATGACCCAGGCAAGGCCTGTTTGTATTAGAGTTTGCTGTTTGTTTCTAGAACGCCTGGCATTTCTGTGGGATGTGGGTGGATGATGATTTTTCCATATTCGTGTGTTTTTTCTTTTTACCGTGACGTCGAAGCAAGGGGTGGGATTGAGAGAAACTATCAGACAGGGAGTGAGGGATTTGACGTTTTTCGTCTTTGCTGATGTTATGCTCTCATTCCTTTTCTTCGGCGTGACGCATTCTTTGCACATCAGGGACTACTTAATAACACAGACTTGTCTACATAACATCTGCTGTCTCTTGGTTTCATGTGAATGTTTACACTTAGTTTAGATCCGCGTCCTACGACATCATGGGCTGTCCTCGGGATGCATAAGTAGTAGACGTACAGGCAGACGCGGTGGTTTATCCAGGACAGGAACCAGAATCAGCATTCACAGGAGGGAAACCTCGCGATATTACGGTTTGGGTGGAAGCTATCTGCTTACTGCCTAGATACTCTTCATCAGGAAAAGAATTTCTCAAATCTTACATATAAAGAGGATTAGAACATGTGCTAAGGGCTAAGAAACTATTTATAGGTAACATCGTAAAGTCATCCTGGATATAGGTGGTACACCCCTTCACCCCCTACCTACTTAGTATCTAAGTAAGCGAGTATTGAGCCGTTGCCAATACCCTGACCCCTTTCATCATACCCGAGAGACGGTCCTATCGAGAAAGAATGCAACCGCAGCCTTTTTGTTTTACAGTAAAAAAGAAAAAAAAAAAAAATGAAGAGATAGAGCAGGTTGGTCCAGGTCCCGTAATTCCCAAAAAGTTGCGTGAACACAACGTATATAAATATATATAAAAACACAGAAGCCAGAAAAAAAAAGGGGGGGGAGGGGGGGGATACAAAATAACTCGCAGAGTTGGTGATACAAGAAGAACAGATGAAGTGAAGAAGAAAATACACTATATGTGAATAACAACATAACTTAGATAGGTATACGTAAATGGCAAAAGAACGAACGGCCTAAATCCAAAGCCCAGCCCCCCCCTTCTCCCCTTTTCGTCCCCTTAAGTCGCTAGACCCAACCACTTGAGCGCCTTTTGGCTGCTCCCCTTCCTAGGCCCGTGCTGCCGGCCGAAAAGAGGCATGTATCTCCTTTCGTCGGCGGAGAACACGTCGTCGTCGTCGTCATCTTCGTCGTTGTCATCATTGTTGTAGCCGTTATTGTCGTTGCAATTGTTGTCACAGTCATGGTGGTTGCGGTTGCGGTTGCGGTTGCTGTTGCCATTACCGTTACCCCACGCACCACCAGACGTCTTATCCGGCGCAAGGATAATAGCGGCAGCGTTGGCAGGAGTTGTCGCAGTGGTAGTCGTTTTGGTGCTGGTGGTGGTGCTGGTGTTGGTGGTGGTGGGATCCCCGGCGTTCCCGAGCATCATGATGTGCCGCAGCTTGTCGCGCTGGCTCCGCATCGTCTGCGCCGTGCGGCTGCTCTTGATGGTCTCGGATATGGTGGACGACCCTCCCCTAGGCGACGGCGACGAGGAGCAGGGGGACGGCTTGGGCCCGGTAGTGGCTTCGACGCCGCGGTATTTGTGGCGGATGGGGGGCAGGGGCTTGGTGTCGGGTTTGTGGTGTGGGGGTCGGGTTGAGGTATGCTTTGTTGGTGGAGGAGGAGGAGGAGGCGGCGATAGGGGGTTGGTCAGGGTTTCCTTTTTGCTCTCCCGCTTCTTCTTCTTGTCCTCCTCCTCAAACTCCATGATAGCCGCCGCATTAGCGAGCGGAGCGTACTGCTGCGCGGGGTTGATGAGCGGCGTCTGCGCCAGCGGCCTGTCGCGCGCTCTACCACCGCCTCGTTGGCTGCTGCTGCCGCTGCTGCCGTTGTGCCGGAACTCCGGGTCGATCTGCAAGGAAGACCGGGGGCACATCCCCTCCGGTATGTAGAAGGTCGAGACGTTGATGAGGATCTTCCAGATCGCGGAGATCAGCGTCGCGATGGCGGACTCGTTGGCGCTGGACGTGAGAAGGTAGTTGGCCTTGTCGAACGAGCAGGGCTTCGCCGTGTGCTTCACTCCGGATGGCGTGACGAGGGTGGCGCCCGCACCCGCACCCGCACCCGCCCTGGGACTGGGACTGGGGGAGGAGGAGGAGGAATGGACGCGCACGTGCGTGTTGGAGCGGGAAGGGGTCTTGGGCGCCGTTGCTGGAGAGGCGTTTGGCTCGTTGGGGTCCGAGTCGAGGATCCCGGCGATTCTCACGAGGTCGACCCCTATTAGCCACTGCATCGCCAGGACGGTGGTTAGATGCTCGGGGGGGTACTCGAGGAGGAGAAAGCGGGTTGCGGTATGCGCTGCCATGTAGGTTTCCAGGTGCGGTATGATCAATGTGGCTAGGAGCAGCGGGTTGGAAAAGGGGTTGTCTTGGGTTTGGTTCGCTAAGGGCTGTGAGGTGAAGGCTTGCATGGCGTTGGCGATGAGGAACCTTTAGATTTTATTGTTTTTGTTAGAGGATGATGAGCAGAGGGTTGCAGGGAGGAAATGAATCAATGCTTTACTAACCTCAAGTCTAATCTTCCACTCCGAGTCATACCGTTCGGCTTCGTCCCGAGCTTTTCCAGCGACCCGGTGATCGCGGCCAGAAAGTCCTTGTCAACGCCTTGCTGCGCTCCAATAGCGAGAATAAGATCGATCTTTCTCTTTCGCTTGGTCACCGCCCCGGTATCCGTATCGCGGAACACGGGCTTCCAGAGACTGCCCAGTTCGGGGAGCAGAGGGAAGTTGAACTGGTGATAGCCTGTATCCTCGGGCGGGAAGTAGATGTTCAGGATGGACCGCAGGGAGTTCTGCATGCACACGGCCGTCCGGCAGCTTGTCGTAGTGAACTCGTGGAAACGCTTCTCCAGGCTCTTGGCGGGTAAAGGGGGCGTTTGGGCGGGTGTCGGAGGTGTGCATGGCTTGTGGTGGCTCGGATCCAGCGTTGATGACCAGGGGCATGATGGGCGAGGGTAGGTTCCATATGCGAAGGGGTCGTACTCGTCGGAGTTCGTGTGGTAGCCAGCCATCACTTCTGCGCATCGTACATCGCTTATTGGGGTCTCGCACTTGGGCGATGCCGTCCGTGGCAGTTCCGGAGGAAAAGTGCCGGTTCTATCACGTTCTTCCTCATCTTTTACAATTGATCGTGATATAGAGATTGGGTATACACCCTCCTTGAATGCTTGAATGGTTTCTTCCAACCGTGTATCTGGGTTCTCCGTCTTGAAGAATATGACCAAGTCCTCAAGCAGGGGCAAGACTGCCTCTTGCAAGTCAAAGTAACCGTATCCAAAGCTGTCCTCGAGCTTGGGGGACTTCAAGTCCTCCGTCTCAGTCTCACTAGACTCATAGGTAGTGGGTTCAGGCTCGGTACTAGTACCATGATCAACATAGCGGTTGATGATGGGGCTGGTAGCACGGTCGACATAAGTCACCGGCCGCTGCAGTATCTTTTGCAACTTGAGAGGCGACGGTGGACTGCGTCTAACCATAGACCGGTTGGGCGTGCTAAACGTCGGCCTAGGGATTTCAGTGGCATATTTCGACCGGAGTAGCAATTTCTCTTGTTGATTCACTGAGCTGTTTTCGAGGCTTTGCGGCCTCGAACGGGGTGGTCGCGGAAAACTTCGTAATAGGATATCCTGTTTACGGACGGGGTTGGAGTAGGTTCGGTCGACAGACTTTGGTTTCCTATGTGAAGCAGTCGAGGCCGAAGGTCGAAGATCAACAACAAAGGCCTCGCATATTGCTGGCGTGGTGACAGTCGAGTCAGCGCCCAAGGAGCGAGGGCTTGTCAAGTCTATATTCATAGGCGATAACGATTGGCGTTTTGATTTGCTGACGAGCTCGAATCTTCGAGGCTCCTTTACATTCTGCCCGCGCCGGGACGCTTTTCGTGTTTCTTGAATAGTATGGCTGCGGTGGGGGATTTGAGGAGAGTTTGGACCGTCGGGATGGATCTTTTCCCATTTACAAGCCCCAAAAACATAGAAAGGAGTGGCATTTTGAAAGTCGTCCACCACTCGATAAGGGGGTACGCTGGTGCTTCGAGACCTGGTCTTGGTCGTAAGATCAACTTCATTGTTAGGCTGTAGAGAGGCAGTTTGAAGATCGAGAGCATCAGCTGCTCTCATAGCCTTGGACGCTGGGTCGCTGGGAGTTTCATTCTTTTCTGTCGTCTCTTGAGTGTCATCCACTACGTGCAACGCCTTGGGGCTCATAACCTTCTTGCGTCGGCTGTGTAGTCCCTGGACTCCATTTCGAACAAGACCATGGAACATACGTTCGGCCTTGGCAAAATCTCCATCTGTAAGATTATGGCTGATGTCGGTGATGCAATCCAACTGGGCGCTCACAGTTCCCCCGTTCATGAAAACCAGCCGTTTATCACTCGGGGTGGAGTCCTGTAAGAACGCCCGCGCTGCTTCGACTCTATCATGGCACGCCTTGTGTACTGCTAGGATATGTGCTCGAGCATCGAACGGTGCCTCCAGGTCCTCTTCTTTTAGGAAGTATCGCAGTGGCGGCACAATTAAGATGTTTGGCGAGTTTGGCAGCAGCCGAAGTTGGGTTGAGATGGTATCTTGGGGCCCTTCGAAGGCAACCAAGCTCCCGTGATATTGAGTTATAACAGCCATCACGCTGCCTAAGACATTTCATACTCTTGATAACAGGGTCTGCGCTGCAAATGCGTGTCTTTGAATATAAGAAGTCGTGATTGGTGTGAGTCGCATGGGTATGGCTTTCCGTGACTCGTCAATCACATATATATCGAGGTCTGATGGTTTTCATATTCGTTGGACTGCGCAGATCCGGCTCTAAAATACTCTAACAGAAGGCATATGAAGCGCAAGCGTAGATGGAATATGGCTTTTAGGACAACCGGCTGGACTGATTTGCTCCAATGAAGTAGCTTATAGGCTTTGGGGGCCCGATAGGATGGTTGGAGTTGTAGATGAAGAATCTTGATGAGACACGGGGGGTTCAAACTCTTCAGATTGACAAGTCGTGAGAAGCCAAAAGACTACTACGGCCGAAATATCGAATATGGCCTATAATAATAAAATTGGGGGAGAAATATGAGCGAAGAATTCATACATGCAGGAGAGCAAAAAGGAAAGATACCTACCTACCTACCTACCTACCTACCAGGTACTACGTAAAATTGCTACATGCAACGAACGAGCTTCTAGACATATACGAGGTGCACGGCGAAAATACAATATCAAACAATACATCATGTAGACAGAGATAGACAATACAACTAGAGTGCTTATTCGTTCTATCTCTTCCTCTACAATCAAGCCAGGGGGGGCAGAGGGGGATTCGCGGATAGCAGCATAAGTGGTAGGTAATGTCGACACGACATAGCCAGCACAAGGTTAGAAAGGCATGGGGTGCCTCTAGAAGGGGAAATAAAGCTATTATTCTTAAGAATGCAGAATGCAGAATGCAGAATGGGGCTCAGTGGCAAATATATTTTTTAAAGTTGAGTGATGGCGCGAAGAGATGCATATACTGCCGGCCGAGAGGACTGCCGAGATGAGGCGTCTGCCTAATGTCTTCGACAGCTATATTGTATTCAATGTTGTACTTATTATTCCTACAAAGCATGGTTTCTAATACAATCAATGGCCCAGTGCCGGTCTGATGTTATGTATGTATTCGTGCACGGTAAAGTAAGTTTCCGTTGACGTTATAGGTCTGAAGCAGCTCAAGTATGACAAGCAAACGCCGTTCTGTGTTTGTTGACGGGAAGGGTTGAACAAGGACGCGTTGTAATACATGTACACATGTATGTATACCAATGAGCAATTCGTGACACTGAATCAAACGTTCAGTTAAGCCTCATTGCATCTAATCATATCTCCGAAGTTGTATGTATTATAGACGCCTTGTGCATCCAGAGTATGAGTATGCCGTTTCACAGTGGACTAACCTAACTAGCAGGTTGGGAAGACAATCAACGCCTCCTAAACGCCTCCTACTTAAAGACACTTGTGTATACATACATTACCTACATATGTACTACGTGGGTACCTAGATACATACATGTAGGCATCTAAGGTTCAAGTATTAAGATGAATCATGTTTCTCCCCTATTTCGGAAAAGTCCTCGGCGATCCGCGTGGAAAGGATGTTACAGCATGAGAATGGAAAAATATGTGAACCAAGGATCAAGGTATATAGTTACATATTTTGAGATGACGCGATACATACATATATGTATGTAGATCTAACAAGCGAGAAGACTAGCCTCAATGAGCCTTGTTCACCATGCTTAGACAGACTGGGATGGACGGCTTCTTGCATACGGCTCATTTTGGAGTTTGGAGTCTTTGGATAGGTATCTTGTGGCGGCCGAGGATTTTGCGTAAAAAGGGGCTTGGGTCAAGGTCGGTCTTGGGATTGGCTTCACCGCCGTTGGGGTTTCCTCCGATTATATTCTGGGCAAGACATTTTAGACGCAACTTATTAACACATGATACATGGAGTTTATTATCTTGGTTCTTGTCTTGGTTCTTGAACAGGCGCATCGTAAATGATACATATGTATGTATAGGTATATATATTTAAGCTCTCGTGTTATGATGTTTGCCTTGAATATTTACTTGCTTCGTGTAGGTGATGTTAGATACCTACCTACCTAGGTAGAATCGATGGAAGTCACAGGCAAAGTTCACTTTATACCTTTCATGCGAATACTAGTAGTACGTTTTGATAGCCCCATAGGTTAATAAATGATTCGCACGTAATATCTAACTGCGCCTCTGAACTCTATAGAACGATCATTGTGGCGTGTCCTAATTTAAGAGTGCTCGGTGAAGCAAAATGGCATATCACTAGGTCGAATATTAGAAATCGTGATCTACGCCCCCAAAGTCTCATGGAATCAGATTTTCTGTCTATAATCTGGACTCTGGAGTCGATAATAGACCAAGGAGGCCGAATAGACCGAATAGACCGAATAATAGGGGCCTTCTCCTTTGTCACACCCTCGATCCCATATGCCTACCTACCAAGGTAGATACCTAGGTATGCATCTTCAACAGAGACAAACTCGAACCGGTGCCACGAAATTAAGGTTTCAGGAGACACCGGTGAACTATCGTGTGATCGTGCTAGGCACGTGTAGACTTTCTTTTCGGGGGTGAAACAAGCCTCTCATCTCCTTCAGCCGATAGATTCGAGTTTAGTCGAATACTTCTAAAAACCGGCCCCTTTTTTTCCCCATTTCTTCTGAATAAGACTATAATTAATCATCATCTTCCATCAGCGCAGCAAGCTCGGCTTCCTCCTCCGCTGACATGAGTCCCTTCGCTGGCTCAATTGGGACTTCCTTTTCAACTCCCTTAGCTATATCTTCCCTCTCTTTAATGATCTTGTCGAGCCCAACCCGATCAAGAGGCCATGTTCGCACAGTTCCATCAAGAGAAACAGACACAACTCGTTTGCCCCCATCCAAAAGTACTAAATCGATGACCTCATCGTAATGGCCCTCCAGAATGCAGTATAATTTTCCTGATGCTCGATCCCAAACCTTGACATCTTCATCTCTACCACCAGTTATTACCCATTGATCCGTGACAACGACAGCTCGTACATGGTCACCGTGTTGGATGGAATCATTAGCGGTAAATCCCTTGAGTCGTGACAGACACTTGGCCGTGCCATCGCCACTTGATGTCCACAGGTCAACCTCTTCAACTTCGTGGTCAAATACCATCCTGTAGATCGTAGTGTCGTGTTCTAAGATTGTGTCACGTACCGCACCAGGCTCATCCGGTGACTCTTCTTTGAGTTGCTCAAAGCCATCGAGCCGTATACGCCATCGGCGAAGGTGAGGATCGCTACTTGCACTGACGAGTATGGCCGCGTCAGGCCCCGATGAGACTGGGTCAATAACGAGGTGTTGAATGGCCATCATGGTCTTGGACTGGTCTTGCAATACGTGGAGTCGGAATCCGGTCTCAACATCCCACACCATAATCTTCTTGTCGGCACCACCACTAATTAAGCACTCTTTCCCACCAATATTGGTGCATACAACAGCCTTTACAAAATCGGAATGGCCACTGTATTTGCGAGCTAGGGCCTTGGATGCTAGATCCCAGGACCAAACGTCTTTATCCCATGAGCCGGCAAAGACTGTTTGACCCCCAGGCCCACCGACGGCAACACAGGTGACTGGTGTCAATGGACCTCGGAATACTTGCTTAGTATCCCGTGTCTGTCGTGGCCAGGTTAAATTTTCATGAATCTTATTGAGGAACTAGTACACTAAATAACTTACATGGAGATTCACTCTGCGAACAGCACCAGCAGATTCTGCTACGAGAAGAGATGTTGGACTCGTAGGATCTGGTATGGCAGCTAGCAGCTTGGACTTGAGGACAATAGGGTCGCCATACTTGTTGGAAGATTTTGCTGCACGCCTAGTCCTTTTGGCTTGCTCGGCACTATTGAAAGTCGGTTAAGATAAGATAGCAAAAAGGGGTGACAAGATATTTCATACTCGGTTTCGAAGAAATTCTCTGCGGATGTCCCTTTGTACATGTTAAAGGTTGTTGAGTTGAAAGTATATACTGCTGCGTATATAGATATGTAGGATAGGTACACTTTATATATCCATGGATATATTGTGTTTTAACTGTTGCCTATATCGTATTATGTATATCTATCTGCCTATTAGGTACTTACCTAAGGTTAGGTATGTATCTACATATGTAGTAGTATGTAGGATGTTGGGGGTAGGTGGGGTTTTGGGGTAAGATGGTGGTGTAAGTATTTATGGCCACCGTCACACATGCATGGAAGAGGGGAATCCCTGACCACCTTTAAGTAACTAAACGCGGTTTTCATCAATTAAGCTCAATAAGCTCAATTAATCAATTAATCAGTTAATTAACTGACAACGCGTAGCGCGTGTCGCGTTTCTTATCATCAATCACTGATATTTGACCAACTACCGACCACACCACCCATACCTTTGCCATACACTCCGGGCAGGAATATCGGGAACATCAAGCACACCAGAAATACCAAAATGGCATCTACAGCACCCCATCGTCCCCGAGCAAGACCTGCCCATACTCAGGGTGCAACACACTGCGCCTACACTCCAGACGGATCTAAATTGGTGACCGTAGGATCAAATAACACAATTCGATTATACAAGACAGGCTTCGATGGCGAGCCTATCAACATTGACGATTGCCAAGAACAGAATTTGTGTGTCGATGCTTCTAACGAATTTTTTGTTGTCGGGTCTGAAGATGGCACCGTCAGTTTTTATTCTATTCCCAACGCCAGTTTCGACAAATTCCTACTTCGATGCTCTCTTCCGATACGCGACGTTGCCCTCTCACCCGACTCCAAATGGTGCGCTGTGGCGAGCGACGAAATGACAGTCAAGCTTGTCCGAACAGACGATAATGTCCAGATCCGTCACCTTAAGGAGCACAATAAACCTACGAAACACCTAGCATTTGACACAAAAGGGTCCACTGTTACCCTAGCTTGTACCGATGGAATATTATACGTGTACTCACTGACGTCTGATGAGCCGGAGCTTATAAGAAAGGTCGACGGTGTCATTGGAGCCTTAGATGTCGAGCTCGACGCCAGTGCAAAGGTTGCATGGCACCCCGACGGGCGGGCTTTTGCAGTCCCCACCCCGACTAGAGATATTCAGGTCGTTTCTAAGAACGATTGGGAGAAGCAGCGAGCCTTCGCGAACGGCCATAATGGAGATATCACTGCCTTGGCCTGGTCCCCGAATGGAGCATTATTAGCCTCGGCCGGCAAGGACAAGAAACTTTTACTGTGGGAGACTAAGACCCAGAGTGTGGTGGCTAGGTTCGATTATGTCAATGTCTTGGACATTGCATGGCACCCTACCCAAAATCTAGTTTCTTTCACGAATTCGGATGGTGAAGTTTATATTCATGTAGACTTTGTACCGGAACAATTTGCGCCCTTGTTGAAGCTCGGAAAGCAGCCGGCTCCGTTCATTCATGACCCCTTATCTGAGACTTCGGCGATTACAAGAAGGCCTCTAGACACTGGCTCAAGGCCACCGCCCGCAGGCGGGCTCAGTAGACGGAATAGGGCCGCTAGCTATGATTCACTTATGGATGGGGCTTTGCCGGATGACGAAGATGAAGACTTCGTGGTGGATGATGATGGAGCTGGATACGTGATTAATGGAAATGGTAAACGTGTGCATGATGGGCTGGGTGCTTTTAGCGAACCGTTGAGTAAGCGTCCTCATATGGAGCCCGAGTACCACGAGGCCTTTCAACCGGGATCTACGCCATGGCGAGGAAACCGGAAATACCTCTGTCTAAATCTCATCGGATTCGTTTGGACAGTGGACCAGGACGGTCACAACACAGTCACCGTGGAATTCTATGATCATGAGTTCCACAGGGACTTTCATTTTACCGATACCTTCCTTTACGATAAGGCTTGCTTGACCGAAAATGGCACTCTCTTCTCATGCCAACCCAAAGATGACATGCCGGCGACAATATTCTATAGGCCACATGAGACGTGGACTAACCGCACTGATTGGAGGACACAGTTACCAAAGGGCGAGTCTGTTCTTGCCATCTCGCTAAGCGACTCCTTCGTGACTGTCACGACCAGTGCAAACTATGTCAGAATATACACTCTTTTCGGTATCCCGTATAAAGTATATCGACCCAAGAGTAGTCCAATGGTTACCTGCGCAAGCTGGAAGGATTATGTCATGACAATTGGCAACGGCCCTGTCTCTGCAGACGGATACACTAAACTGCTGTATACGATTGAGGATGTGAAGAGGGATGAGATTTGCCAAAACGAAGATACCGTAGCTCTTCCAGAGGGTGCGACATTAAAGAGTGTTTTCTTCTCTGATAGTGGCGTAAGTGCAATAGTATTTATTTCCTCTCCTACAGAGCTAACTAGGTATAGGATCCGTGTATATATGATTCCACGGGAACACTTTTGACCCTGTTGCACTGGCGTCGGCCATCTAGGGCATCTTGGATACCTATCCTGGATACCAGGCTCCTCCCGCGTCTAGCGTCTGGCCGGAAGTCTGAGACATATTTCCCAATCGCAGTAGCCGATGACAAGTTTCACTGCATCATTCTCAAGGGCGGTGACCAATATCCATACTTTCCACGCCCGCTACTCTCCGAGTTCGACTTCTCCATCCCGCTAACCTCAGAACCACCCAAGCCGAAGCGCAAGAACCCGGATATCATGGACCAGGATGACATGTCGGAGCCCGAGGACGACGACGACGAGCCAGAGACGCGCAAGCTGGAGCAGCAGCTTTTGCTCAAGGGCATCGCGGCGGCGCAGCTTCAAGACCTTGCGGATTCGACGAGTGGAGGACACGCGCAGAGATCCAGCCTTGCGCGCCTCGAACTCGAGATAGACAAAACGCTGCTCCAGTTCTTAGCCATCGAGTGCCGCGAGGGTGAGGACCGCGGCATGCGTGCTCTCGAACTCGTCCAGCTCATGCGTGACCGCACTGGCCGTATGGTCGAAGCCGCCGGCAAAGTCGCCGAGCGGTACGGACGGTCGATTCTCGGCGAGAAGATTCGCGAGGTTGGCGAGAGACTGGCGAGCGGTATGGAAGAGGATGATTAAGTATACCTAGGTAATAGCTTTATCGCTTAGCTTTGCCACATGCTCTTTACACCCTAAGAAAGCCCCGTTTTTTATTATATAGGGCTCCCTTTTTACGAGATGGGGTGTATACTATGACATAGCATAGTTAAGAAGCATGTATGACTCCTTCGTAATCGATGGTATGACTTGTTCTCGCTTTAGTCAAGTCTTATCCACGTTTTTACTAACGAAATAATGTATATGGCAACGGCAACTTGAAAATAGAAGTCTAGGATGATTTGTTCGGAGAGACTCATCTAAAACTGGCGGAGGTAATTAGTTTTCAACATAGCATATTGGACATAGATCGAGAAGCACATAAAAGTTATGTCATCAATGGAGAATTTATCTCAGAAAGATCCCGTCGGAAACACAATATAGCAATCTTATCCGATACTGAACAACACGAAGAATCACTTTGAGGCCAAATCAAGCTAAAGCGGGCCGGTGTATGGATAGTTCAGGTGTGTCTCACTGGCGACTGGCGATTTAGGGGCTTCCACTGATCAATGATGTTATCACATGAGCAAAATACCACATAGTGCCTGCCTACCTTTGCTTCCTTCTGGCTCCATCATGTTGAGCAATTTGTATCAACATGCAACTCTAACCTTCTCTGATCTCTCCTCCTCACCTTCCTCTTCCTTTCTCATTACACCATTGACCCTCAGTGGGTAGATACCGACCTTATCCCACTCATCCATCATCTAACTACCATCTTCCTTACTCGTCTCCCCATTTCTCTCCTATAACTACACAATCTTCGATGGGCACTCGCTTAAGTATATCATTAACTTCATCCATTCGCCCTCTTCTATCACGCTTACTATTATCTTGCCTTAGTTGGCTGCCTACACTAGGTACTAGATATGCAGCCTTTTTTGTCAAGCCTCTGGGTGGCAACCTTGAACTGTCAATGGATATGACCTAAATACCTAACAGACGTCTGTGACGGAGCCACAGAGCTCGAAGTCAGATGCCTAGTCTTGGCATGTCGGCAGCGCCAGGTGCAGACACAATCCTGCGCTGAACCGGTCGTGATTCTCATGGATCACGCCGCCACTGATGGCCTAGTAAATCAGACCAACCTCAAGACATCAGATATCAACAAGATGAATACCAAACTATAGCTTGCATCTGCACACCTGTCCCAATTCGGACTCGACGTCCATTACACCCCTGGAAAACTCAACCTATCAACACTGCAGCATCAACCTTTCTTCACAACACTTCCTACGAGAACAAAAACTCACTAAACTAAGGATGAATGGTATCCAATATTCCTACTCTCGCCTAGTATCCTACCACGCCAACCACGGCGCGGCGTTTGGTCGCTGTCCTCTACTGTCTAGGAGTATCTGGTGCTGCAGAATACGACGAAGGCAAGTTTGAAGATATCGCACCGCCTCTAGTTTCATTCGACGATAACGATGATGGCCACAACTAAGGTGTGGACCATACGCGAAAACTCTAAAACGTTTTTCTCGGCAAACAGCAGTGCCGAGCACAGTCGGCAACAGAGTTACCATGAACTCATCTAAGCCGGCGGACACAACATACAACCCTCTGTGGGTGGTGGACACCCACGCCTTCAAACAAGCGTTCAAGGGCGCGATTAAACACATAGACAGAGGCATCTCTGAACCTACATCACATCCATGGCTCACCTCTATGGGTATAGCCTTGTTACCATAGTCTTCTTGCCTTGTCAACTGTAGCTCTTTCCGCTTCTCTTTGATATAAGCAAGCAGTGGCGATAGCCACTAGAAACCTTATATCAAAGCGTTTATATATTCCATTCTTCCATTCCATGGTTAGATGGTTTCCCTTCAATCATTATCTCGTTTTCTGACTATTGAAGTCCATCATTTGGTAGCACCTCTGCCTGCGGTCGGAAGACCAATCATACAATACCGGTTCAACCGAAGGGTCAGCAATAGCTCACCCAGAAAATCCTCAGACCTTTTGGTTGTTGAAGGGTGAATCAACATTGCGGATGGGCCCATTCTGTATGAGAAACTAGGTTAGACGCCAGATATGTCTCGGCCTGTCTCGATGTGGCAAAACAAAGAAATACAGACAGACATCGCTCTCCGATAAGACTCTGGCCATACTCTGCTCTCTGTTTGGTAATAAGAATGTCAGCCGAGCTGACAGAACATCGCCCTATACGACGTTACGAGAGGCCGAGAATGCGCATACAGCAGATTCCCCAGATGCGGAGTTCACGATAGTTGATCAGGATAATGTCTCCCCGCCTAGAAGCACACCATTTGGACCTAAGGGGTCACGTATGGGACACTGTATGTAAGCCGTCCATTATACGCAGCGCTATGCGAGGCCAACCCACAAGCTGGAGTATACCGAGTCACACAAGGCTTCCGCTGCTCGAGTAAGGACTCACTCTGATGGACTCAAGAAGAATACGTACCTCACGTACCAGCGGTCAGCGAAGTGGGACACAAGTCAACCGTTTGCCATGACACCGGAGCATCGCATTGAATGGTGGATGCCAAATGGCTTGAACAGTTCGTCGTGAACTACCTTTTTTCAAGGCTGATAAACCAATGATCGCGGGTGGCATAGTGGAGAAGTTGAGATTCGAGAACCGAGCACGATTCAATTTCTACGTCAAAAGCAACTCCAAGTTCCTCATAACGATCAAGATCGAAGCATTGGTGCACGAAGGCGATCTACAGCCAAACCTATTACTCGGAAGTGACTTCTGCGACACACACGGCGTGATGATCAACTACCCGAGACGAATGGTCACGGGCTTCTACTCTACCATTCCGCTGCATTCAAGGCAGTCGCTTTAAAGGCAGCAAAAGAAGCCATGACCCTACAATGACCAACAACTTCCTGGGGCTGTGAGAACAAAGACTTATCCCATCACACTCCAGGCGGCCAAAGGGATGACCCAAAACTCCGAGATAGCGGGTATAAAGTCGGACAATGGGTGTGGGAGTATTTTGATCCCACCAGAGACACGACTGTCGGAGCTCATCGACGAATGGGACCACCAACGTCCAACAAGGACAAGTCGCGAATGATAAAACTTCAACCCAGATGGAAAGGGCCATACGAGATGGCAGAAATCGTCTCGGAGGTATCAGTTCGCATTTGTGATCCTTCAACCAAGAGAAACGTCCGAAAGGTCCACATTGCCAACATCAAACCTTACGTTAGGACACGGATAGCCACTGCTGTCTGGATCGAGAGCTCCGCTATCTTCCTCTCTTTTACAATCCATATTTTTTGATGATTGATAATGATTTCGGACTGGATTGAGCCTCACACCTTACCTATCTGTCGCGTTCACAAGGAATAAAGGAAGGCATTTGCATGTATAGGGCTGGCATAGGAAGGCAAGGGGCAATGTAAAGCTGTTGTAAACGAGTCAAAATCACATTGAGAATATGTTTGAAACATGGGGCTTAGTTATTTCCCGAGATCACGGCACGGCGTTAAGTGGGTAAGGCCATCCTAAGCAGCTACTAAGCCCGAATTTCCCGAGAGCGGCGCCGGTTTCCAAGTTGTAGTTCGTAGAGTACGGTCCGGGCTGAGTAAACGAACCCGGGGATATAACTATAGTTAGGTACCTTGGGGATACTTTTATAAATGGTTGAACTTCATTTGGTCTCACAAATGAATAATTATCTTTATTATCTTTAATGTTTGCCTCGGAAAAAGGGTAGGGTGTATATAGGTATTTATGAAAAAAAAAAAAAAAAAAAAAGAGTTTGTAGGTAGGTTAGTACTGTGTATGTCCACTGGTAACTAATGGTATTCATTGATGACTTACCTAATTTCTTTCAGAATATTAAAGTTTGAAGGGATTGTGTATCGCAGAGAGCTAAAGCTGTTGGGGCAAGATATAAGGGCAATCTCTAATCTTATCGGGCGCTTGGACTAAATTTTCGCAGCGATCTCTAGCATTCAATTCTTACAGGCAATGGTATCCACTTTGTAGCATTTGTACCATCCAGTAACAATCCCGTATTGCGAGTACCTTCATATGCAGACCTCTGCCTTATACATATCAGTCGCAATACCTTTTTACACCATTTCTTTTTGCATTGAGTCTTCATGTTGTACTTTTTGTCGTCGCATACACTAAGTTAACCCATGGCTGATGTCGCCGAAGCTATCGCGGCTGCCATGGCTGCCGCTGCCGCGTCGTCGACCAGTAAGTTATACCAACTCTAACAACTCTAACACCGTATTCCCTTGTCTCTACGACAACTTGATGATCCATCTGGATATATCATAAATCGTATTTCATCTACTAACTTCATAGCAAAAGGCCCCCCCATTAAGACCGAGCCCCCAACTAGTGACCTCATGGTTTTAGATCGCGAATCCGAACCACCGCCATCACCTATTAAGAGAGCGCGAACTCCAGACGAAGACGATGAGCAATCTAGGGATGAGAAGCGCCTCAAGCTAGAGAATGAGGGGGTTAATGACATTGATGATATCGCCCTTCTCGTGCAACAAGCTGAGGCTTCGGTCATGCAACAATTCCATTCCGAATATCCCACGACTGAGGACATGTCCTGCAATGACGATCATTTTCACGACATAACCCATGACATATCCCACGACATGTCCCACGACATGTCCCACGATATATCCCATGATATACATGGGATGTCTCATGAACTACCTCATGACCTATCTCACGACACATCCCACAGCTTGGCCGGGCTTGAGCATACATTTGAACCAGAAATACCTAGCCCTGTCGAAAATCCCGAGCCGCGTCCCGAATCCTTATGGAGTAACCCGAGAGACTTTACGCGAAGGAAACATATCATACCAGGACTCGGAAGCATGGTCAGTGCTAGCTATGCATCTTGTATTCTATAGCGACTAACTCCTCTAGGCTATTGACATCATCACAGCTTGGTCTGAACAGTCTTTGGAGGACACGATTGCGACTCTTAGCGGCGACACGGACTCGGACATTGCTAGGGAATACACTGCGCTCAAAACCATATTTGACAATCAACGAAAGCTGCTTTCTGACACGAATCCACTCTTGTATTCTGAGCAACTAAGCGTCACTAGTCAAACTCGAGAGGTCATCAGGATTGTGAATCTTGCGACTACCTGCGCAAGCGTGTTCGGCGGGAATGAGCTTGGTCTGGAAGAGATTAATGATCACTTTCTACGGATTTTCGTTCCTAATAATCAAGAAGTACCGCGAGACGTAGCAGAATTATATCTAGGGTTGAAAACTCAGATGTTCCTTTCCGTGTTAGAAAGTGAACCGGAGAAGGCTAGAGAGCAATTACTAGATGATCTCTTTATTACAAAGCTCGAAAGTTTCGTGCAAGAGCATCATCCCAACACGCCCTTGACAACTCCGGAGCACGAGTTCGTCACAAATGCGAAGACGAGAAAGGCCATGCTTTTGAACGAGTCCACCGATGCTGAGAGTATCCGTATGTCTGTGACTTCTAGTTCCTTGTATAGAAATGCTAATGTGTCGGTATAGAAGCGCTGAGCAAGCAATTTACGTACGAGGCCTTCCTAGACAGCCTCAGCACATTCTTCAACGACCACATAGAAGAAATCAGGGAGCAAGGAACAGTAAAAGCCGAGACCGCCTCCAACGAGGATATAGAACAGGAAGGGAATCTCGGCCAAAGCTTAGACGATACGTTCGACCTCAACGCCATGATTGCCGAAGCTTCGAGGGCAGCTCAGAGCGCCCTAGAACCAATCAACGGCGACTCCTCTCATGAATTAGACGAGCTTTCTGCATTTCTTGCGGAAAACGTCTCCAAGGCAGTCGAACAGGCGAAAGAGAGTGCTACGAGCACCGAACTACCATCCGCCATTGCATCAGCAGCGGAAAGCGCCTCAAGAGCCACTATGCTAGCTCTGCAAAGCATTCAACAAAATCAATACCAACCCACGGCGCTTCCACAATCCTATAGTAAGGCGCAACATCTTGACCGTGAGAGATCCCTACTAAATGATATAGCCCCAACTCATTCTACTTCAAGCCACAACAATCACCAATCTCAGCAAATCCAGCAAATCCAGCAAACCCATCAGACACAGCAACCCCAGCCGCAGCCATATTACTCTAATCAACAACAGCAACAAGCTACGATGAATGGAATTGCCTATCAAACACCTACCGACAATCTTCCCCCTAATCAAAGCGAGCCTACTCCAACCCTCTACGAACGTGCTCGACAAGCGGCGGCGGCACGATCTTCCACTCATGCCCGCCGTGAAGGATCTCATTCCACCCGGAGACCGTGGAGTCCGGAGGAGGAAAAGGCCCTTATGATGGGACTTGATATGGTCAAGGGTCCTCATTGGTCTCAGATCTTGACGTTATTTGGCCCCAATGGATCTGTTAGTCGTATACTAGCGGATCGTACCCAAGTTCAGTTGAAGGATAAAGCCAGAAACTTGAAGTTATTCTTCCTAAAGACAAATTCGGAGATGCCTTACTATCTTCAGTGTGTCACAGGCGAACTGAAAACGCGGGCGCCTACACAAGCTGCGAGGAAAGAAGCGGAAGAGAAGGCAAGACTCAACTCGGAGGAACAGCAGGCCCATGTTAATGGAATATTGACGTTGGCAGGTGGGTTGCAGAACAATGCTGTATCCAGACAGAGTCCTTCAGCGACAATTCCTAGAAGTGCCACACCTAATCAACCATTGTCGCATCCCAACTCACAGCCAGGTACACCAAGGGTCGCACATCAGCAAATACAACCATCAGCAGCCACATTAGCCCCTCTACCACGTCCGGTCATACCTGCACCGCAACCAGTCAGCCTCCCTACTCTTACATCTACCGCCCTTCAGCACATGCAACTACCGCCCCCCCAGGCTGAACGACCCGTGACGCCAGCAACTTCTGCTACACCTCCGGCAATGACTTCCTCTACGACTTCTGCACCCACTGCGCCTTCATCGTCAACAACTACCATGACGGTGGCTCCCATGGAAAGTATCGAACCAAAGCATGAGATGAATAGTGTAGACGCCGCGGTTCTTGGCCTAGGCGCCGCTCTACAGAGGGAGAGAGAAATGAATTCGGCAGCGACCTCTGCCGTGACAGCTCACGCCGAAGAAGCACGCTCTGTCGCAACATCGGCTACACCCGCGGCCACATCCATATAACAGTAACATGTTGTTGTTTTGTGGATGAAGGGTCCTCTTTTCCTTGTCAGACTCATGAAAGGCATGGCATGTATGATTGATTGGTTGATTGATACCCATGGGCGATTTCTTTTTGGTGGCTGGGGTAATGGTAGTTACAGTATCTACTAGATATCTACCTACCTAGGTAGTTAAGCAGGTAGGAAATCTCTAAAGTCGGCTTTGCTAGGCAAACGTTACATTCGCGTAGCGTAGCTGGCGCAGGAATCAAGCAGATAAATTTGGAGTTTTGAATGTATTGTTATACGTCGATTGCGTGTGACAGACTCGCCTAGGTCCGCCCTATTGGATGGTAACATGTACAAAGGCAACCTTCGCCCGGTATGCGGTTGCGCGTGGGTGATGTGTCTTTCCGAGAACCGACATATGATGATCTTCTAGAAGGCTTCTATTGTTCGGTGTGTACCGACCTCCTTAGTTTTAATCTCCTGAACATTGTAGGCTATAAAAATGGTATATCTATAGTCTTGTACTTTGAGGCTAAGTATAGACATTCAATCCGTATGCCATGTTTAAGCATCCACGGCCTTGTGACCGCATGTGTAGTGTGTATATCAAAGAGAATGCGAGCTTAAATGAGTCTCATGTCACCTTTCCTTGTCTTTTCCCCGTCTTGTTCTTTTTATCGTCTTATGAACCAAAGTCAGGGACAGTTGGACTGCTATCGGAATCTAACTCACTTCCGCAGACCAGGTAAGCTATTATTGCCACCAGGGAATTCGGCAAGCCGCTTAGCTAGGCACCTCACGACCCTCCGGTACCCATCAGCCTTATGGAGACCTGGCGTAACTGAGATGGATCACTCTGATACATATATGCATGATCGCGTTTCCAGATATGGTTACCTGGCCATTCTATCTCCTAGCTATCTAGGTAGCCTTTCGACACGTCATGCCGTGTTTGGTCTAGCCTTGCCAGGTGGTTATACCCCTATCCCGATGTTTGGTGTTACGAGTCGTAACTGAGGTCGTTACTTACCTATATGCTATGGATATGATTGTTAGTCAAATATGCCTAGCTAGTAGTCAAAAGGTCGTTCGCGTCATGCTGTACTCATAGTACGCTCGCTGAAGAGCCTCATCAGCTGGGTATATACCTGGGAATGTAGGTATATATAAAGAATCTCGCTTCGTGAGGATTCATTCACCTTGCCCTGCTCATTAAATCAGAGAAACTAAAGACTTTGGTTAGCATGGCACTGTCACCCTGGCAGCTCTGCTTCCACGCGGATCTCAAGTGCAGCGTGAGCGCCTGCACCAACAAGAGGATCATCGGGAACTCGGTGTCTTCGCAGTACTGCAGACACCATGTCTGCGCCGTGTGCCTCAAGTCAGGGGCTCACTTCAAGCGGGGCCACGGGGAAGATCGGATCTGTCATCATCGTAAGTCAGGTCGACGTCTCCCCACTTCCCGCACCTTTTCTTTTTTCTTCTTCCATCCCTACCTATCAAGAGCAAGTACCTAGCGAGTCCATGATAAATTGAGAATTTCCCTCTTCTACTCCCAGATCGCCGCTGCAAGTACATCGTCGCCGGCCGCAGATGTCGGGGAATGAGGAAGAGGCACGATCCGGAGTACCCCTTTTGCGCAGAGGAACGTTGGTCTCACCTGATTTATCCAGCATTTGATGATTTGTGTTGCAAAAAAAAAAAAAAAAATGCCGAGAGAGTCTGCTGGCTAACACACCATCTAAACCTACGCAGACGGCTGCGCGCACCACGACTGCAAGGAGCCCCGGTCCAAGAAGGGCTCGGCGTACTGTGTCAAGCACGCCTGCCACGTCAAAGACTGCGACAGGCCCCGACACGCGCCGGGGCGGTGCTGCAAGCGGCACACGTGTCGGGGGCGCGGGTGCGTGAACTGCGTCGACTCTCCCTCTTCTTCTTCTTCCTCGGCAGACGACGACGACGACGACGACGACGACGGCGACGATGACAACCACGGCGACGCGCGCAAGAAGAACAAATCCCGCTACTGCCACGGGCACCAAGTCTGCCGCGCCCGCGCCTGCACCGCCCTCGTCTTCCTCGACGCCTCGAACCGCGCCGCCCGCTTCTGCTACCGCCACTTCTGCTCCTCCCCCTCCTCCCCCTGCGACCGCCAGCGCGTCCCCGGCGACGCCGCCCTCGCGTGCCGCGACCACTCGTGCGCGCTGTACCCCGCGTGCGTGAAGCCGCGCGCGGGAGGAGGAGGAGGAGGAGACGGTGGCCTGTTCTGCGAGGACCACGAGTGCGAGGACGGCGGGTGCAGGAGGCAGCGGTACGGGGCGGCGGCGGGGGGGGCGGCGACGACGTGGTGCGCGGACCACATGTGCATGGCGGCGCTGGCGCGGCGCGAGGAGTGCGGGAACAGGCGGGAGGGGACGGCGACGAATCCGGTTTACTGCGCGGAGCACGAGCCGTGCAAGGAGAGCGGGTGTGTGGGGTTTCGCGCGGCGAGGGGGAGGAATGCTAGGTGGGAGGTCTGTGAGGAGCGTGAGTTTTTTTTTCTTTTTTTTTTTTTTTTTTGGGTATCCCGTTGACCCCCTTTTTTGAATTGCCTAATTACCTAACTACCTGTCTTTGGGTTTTTTTGCTCATACGTTACCGTTACCGCTGCCGTTACCGTTACTTACTTACTCACCCACCCACCCTTCTCAGACCTCAAAACCAAATGCGTATTCCCCACCTGCACCCTCGACGCAACCGACGGCGCCGCCGCGTGCCAGTACCACGTGTGCCGGGTCCCGGGCTGTCTCATCACGCTCTCCTCCTCCTCCTCCTCCGCGGCTGCAACTACATCTACATCGCTGTACTGCGACGGCCATCGGTGCATCGAGCTCGGGTGTCCAAATCGGCGCGTCGGGACAACAGCAGCAGCAGCAGCCACCGCCACCGCCACCGCGACGGCTAGTAGCGGTGGTGACGTGGTGGATGGTGCGTACTGTCTCGAACACGTGTATCACGCACGGATAGGGATGGGGTACTGCATGCGCCACCGAAGAGGAGGAAGGGGAAGGGGAAGGGGGAGAGGGGGAGGCAGTTTTCATCATCGGGCGATGTGCTCCGCTGCGGTGACTGTGGGTGAGTGTGGATGTCGTGGGGATAGTAGTGATGATGAGAGCGATGATGATGATAATGATACGGTTACTGATCATGGAGAAGGGGGTGGTGGCGGGTGTAGTTGTGCTAAATAGGGATGAAGGGTTGGCTTTATCTTGGGGCTGTTCTGGAATTGCGAATAGATTTTATTAGACTAAGCGTTGGTTACAAGTATTATGTAGCAGAGTCTTTTATCTTATATATGAGATAAAAAGAAGCTTTTGTTCTTCAAACTCGTGATAATTCTGCCGGTTGTATAAATCTACCGAGCTATACTTGGTATTTAGATGTTTGAATGAAACGCTCCTGTAGTGGTATATAGGCTCGCTCATGATTAACCCGAGATATAACTCACGACTAATTCGGCCTAATACGCGTATACTACCGTGTATATACTGCCGCATGCTACATAGTCTAGACTCTAGATAGGTAGTTAAGAAGTGAATGATTCTGAATTGAAAAAGGAAAACCACGAGTAGAGAGGGGATTCGTCTGGTATTTTGAAAATGCTTACAAGTGACAATAGCCTATCAAGACACAGGCTGACGAGTCCAAGTTTGGCTGGTCGGCTCAACTGGTTAGTCCGTTGGTAGATATCGTCTCCATGGTTCCCTAGAAGTCCATACCAGGTTCATCATGTTAGTTCCAGGAGCCACACGGTCTAACGGCAGAAACAGGTAGCCTTTTGTGCCATGGTATCCCATGATATGTGCTACTGTGGAATGTTTTGTGGAGTCCTCAACTCCTACAACGGCCTACAACGGCGTTATGGATGTTTCACAACATTGGGAAGAAAAAAGCACCGTTCGTCCGCTGTACTATGTAGTAAGAGGTGTAAGATTATGTTCAATTTGTTGAGAAGCAAGACGGCCATGGGAACAAATGTTGCCACTCTGGAACCGCAAGTGATATTAAGGAGAATAAGTCGGTAAAGAAACAACAAAAATGTCAAGCCACATTTTCATCCAAACAGGCAACTGTATGCTCAGGTGTCAGCAATTTACAGGCATGAACAAGCATGTACAGGTTATTTACAGGCATTGCAGGGACCTCTTTATTCCTGGGGGTTGAAATGGGTTGAAATGGGGTGAAATGGGGTGAAATAAGCTTCCATTTACCCGCGTCGAGCCCTCCCAGACCACGATTAAAAAACTAGTGCACTAACTACGTAGTAAGTGGGACACAAGGGTTTCTCCACAATGCGGGGAAACACTTGTAAGCTAGGGTAAACTTATCGGAAAGCTAAAAGCAGCTAGTTCTTGGCGGGGTTACCAAGGTTGACTATTGTATCCTCTTTGCTGTATTACATACTAGGTAGTATACCTCAATAGAACATTGAAGAAGGTAGTGTACTACGTACATCGTTACCTAGTACTCACTCAAGAGATCGGATTATGAGACAAGCTATGAGACAAGCATATTCGGGGATCCTTGGCTGCAGACACACACACACACAAGTTAAAACCAATAACTTCTTCTATTCTTTATTTATAGCAATAAAACATCATGGACTGCAAATGCGGAGGTAAAGAATGACTCCGCTATCTCCTTAGATCTTATCCAATTTTAATTGGCCAATTCCATGGAATCCATCAGTCTCGGAATTTTAGTGTTATGTACGGAGTATGCAGCATCCAAGCAAAGCGGGATAGATTGCTAATCGGCCAATCAAACTATCTCCTGCTACTCCGTCCAAACCAATAAAATCAAATAAATGTAATCCTCTCTTGCATTCGGGGAAGTGGAAATCCCGTTGTGGATAAGCTACTTGCAGCACGTGTACGACAGTAGGTAGGTACCTGGGGCTGTTGGGATTCAACTTGGGAACTTGCACGGATAACTAGTGCCATGTGGATAGTAATACCTAGAACCTAATAGTAGTAGTATGGGGGGTAGGGGGGGGGGCTATGATATTAACGGTTCTAACGGTACTTCACCAGCAGCAATACATCATGGACTCCACCAATTACCCCGCCTTGTTCAACGGCCATCCAAGTCTACAAAAGACTCAAACCCTCCCTCTTGTCTCTATACCTTACCATTGTCCATCATCTATTTATCTGTCTATCCAATATATACTGCTGACATTTATTACCTTGAACTCCAAAAAAAATAAGACAGAAAAATAGACAATCCTTCATCATGCCTCTATCCGTCCAATTAAAGACACCAGTCACGGGTGAATACACCCAACCTACTGGTTTGTAAGTCACTCATTATGCATTACCCCAGATAATCCTACCAATCATCCCCAACCTCATCCCACCTACTAATCCTCCCTTGCTTAGATGGATCAACAACGAGTGGGTAGAAGGTGTTGATAAGAAGACCTTCGAGGTCATTAACCCCGCCACCGAAGAAGTTCTCTGCTCCGTTTCCGAAGCCACAGAAAAGGATGTCGACATAGCAGTAGCCGCAGCCCGCAAAGCCTTCAACGGCGCATGGCGAACCACCACCCCTCATCAGCGAGGTAAATATATGACTAAGCTGGCCGATATTCTAGAGCAGAACATCGATCTATTAGCTGCTGTCGAATCTCTCGACAATGGCAAGTCTATTAGCATGGCCAGAGGTGATGTCCACGCCGTCATAGGCTGCATCCGATACTATGGTGGCTGGGCCGATAAGATTGAGGGTAAAACTATTGATGTTGACCACGAATCTTTCCACTACACCCGACCAGAGCCGGTATGTAAAACCTTAGAATCGTACGAAACTGGCCGAGTTAAAGCTAATAATTATAGATTGGTGTCTGTGGTCAAATTATTCCCTGGAACTTCCCTCTGTTGATGTTGTCTTGGAAGATCGGACCTGCTCTAGCCACCGGAAACACGGTTGTGCTAAAGTCTGCTGAGCAAACACCACTTTCTGCTTTGGTTTTCGCCAACTTCGTTAAGGAGGCAGGATTCCCCCCTGGTGTTCTCAACATCATCTCCGGCTTTGGCCGAGTAGCTGGTGCTGCCATCTCCGCCCACATGGACGTTGACAAGGTTGCTTTCACTGGCTCTACCCCCGTTGGTCGTGCCATCATGAAGGCCGCCGCTTCTTCCAACTTGAAGAAGGTTACCCTAGAACTTGGAGGCAAGTCTCCCAATATCGTTTTCGACGATGCCGATATTGAGCAGGCTATCTCTTGGGTCAACTTTGGTATCTACTTCAACCACGGTCAGTGCTGCTGTGCTGGTTCGCGTGTCTACGTACAAGAAGGTATCTACGATAAGTTTATCGCAGCCTTCAAGAAGCGCGCAGAGCAAAACAGCGTCGGTGACCCCTTTGATGAGAACACCTTCCAAGGTCCCCAGGTCAGCAAGCTACAATATGACCGAATTATGGGATATATTGAGGCTGGTAAGAAGGAGGGCGCCACCATCGAGACTGGTGGTGAGCGACATGGTGACAAGGGCTACTTCATCAAGCCTACCATCTTCACCAACGTCACAGCCGACATGAAGATCATGCGGGAAGAGATTTTCGGCCCTGTCGTGGCTGTAGCTAAGTTCAAGACAGAGGAAGAAGTTATACATTTGGGCAACGACAGCTCTTACGGATTAGCTGCTGCTGTTCACACCAAGAACATCAACACGGCTCTCCGAGTTAGCAATGAGCTACGCGCCGGTACCGTCTGGGTCAACTGTAAGTCAACCCCTACTACCTTAGCATCCTCACTTGATTTGTCTTTATCTAACATTGAATCAGGTTATAACCTAATTAACTTCCAAGTGGCATTTGGTGGCTACAAGGAAAGCGGTATTGGCCGCGAGCTTGGCGAGGCTGCTTTGGCCAACTATACGCAAAACAAGTCGGTGTCGATCCGTCTGGGAGGCGCGCTTTTCTAAAGAGAAAGCCAAGACAAATAAGTAAATGCATAAAGTGTTGCTCATTGACATTTCTTTGAGCTTTGGTGTTTAGGTCAACTGGACGAATCTGGAATGGATTATTCTCGGAATGATGGGGACAGCCCCTGTGTACGTGTACATCAACCTAGCTTATTTCATGAAATACCTGCAATCAATCAAGCGTCTTATATTAGTTAAAACCCGTCTTCGGTTTCTATCGTGAGGAACCTCTGGTCACCCCCTATTTGCTAATCGTTACATGCATAGTATAATAATATGCGAGTTATACATGGCATATATACCTATAAATGCACAAGGTGGGACTGTGTAGGACATCACCTAGTCTTGACTATCATCGTAATGTATTCGAATAGGAGAGGGTTATTAGTCGAAATATACCTACAAAACGAGTCGATATATACCTAACTGTCACTACAAAAAGCCTACCTACCTCTTCCTCAAAAGTAATTCGGCCCATACCCCGTCCCCTCACCCCGCTGCGCATCAACCTCCTTAACCTCACCAAACGGCGACCCCGTCAAGAACGTCCCCACCAGCTCGGGCAGCGGCATCGCCTTCAACGCCGCCTGCACCCGCCTCGCGACCCCCAAAAACCGCTCCGCCACCCCGTCGTACCCCTCCACCACCAACCGCCCATCCCGCTTCACAAACTCCCCGCCGACGAGCACGTCCGCGATGTCCCCGACGCTCGCGTGCAGTATCACCGCGGCGACGGGGTCCGCCCACCCCAGCAGCGCGGGCGAGCGGCCATCCCAGACGAGGATGTCTGCGCGGGCGGCGGGCGCGAGGACGCCGAGGTCCGGGCGGCCGAGGGCCAGGCCGCCCTGCCGCGTGGCGAGGAGCAGGGCCTGGTTCACGGACATGGGGCTGCGGTCGGGGATCGCCCAGGCGTGGGTCAGGGTCGCGGCGTAGATGCGCGCGCGCACGGACTGCAGCCAGATGCGGGCCTGGGTGAGGATGTCGGAGGAGAAGGTGAAGTGCGTGTCGACGCCGAGGGAGGACTGGGGGAGCAGGAGGTGGCTGGAGGGGTGGTGGGTGTGCCCGTAGTGCATCTCGGACTCGGGGGTGATGGAGATGTGCTGGTTGCTGGAGAGCAGGAGCTGGAAGTCTCGGGGGGTGAGGAAGCTTGCGTGGGAGAGGACTATGTGGGGGAGGGTGGGGGAGGGGGCGGCGGGGTCGAGGAGGGAGAAGTGGTGCAGGGTGCTGGGGGAGTTGCCGACTAAGGGGGGCGTGTCAGTAGGGAGTATGGGGGTTTGGGAGGATGGAGTTGTGGACGTGGGGGTTAGGAATGGAGGTAGGCAGGTAGGGAGGTACTTTGTGTAAGGGAGAACTTACATAGCCAGGGCCCTTCGACGTTGTGGGTCGTGAGGACTGGGACTTTGTTTTCTCTGCGTTGGCGTTAGTAAAGGAGAAAGGAGAAAGGAGAAAGGGGGGTGGAAGGGTGTGTCATACTTGGCAAAGTCAACCACAGATCTAGTGATAGACTCCGGGTTGTTCGTAAAGTCATCGTACGCCATGCACAGAGTCGCGCGGCCATGCGATTCCTCGGCGTATAACTCACGCCAGTGGTCCATCTGCTGCGGGACTTGAAAGCCGGTGGACGTGTTCTGGAACGTGTAGCCAAAGAACACCCTCGCACCACTGTCGACCGATGCCCTCCACCCTGCTTCCGCGTGCTCGCGGGTCCAGGTGTGGTGAGCGTGGTCCAGGATCGTAGTCACCCCCGCGGCAAGCGCCTCGTAGGTGCCCGCTAGCTGGCTGACGTACAGATCCTCAGGGGTGAAGAGGGAGCGCCCGACGGCAGCGCTGTAGCGCATCGCGTACTCGGCCAGCGTGGTGTTGGAGCCCAATGTCTTGAACGCGGTCTGCCAGCCGTGGCGGTGTGTGTCGATGAACCCGGGCGTGATGATCTTGTCGGTGCAGTCGACGACCTCGGTGTCGGCTGGGAGGGCATCCGGTGGTGGTGGGGCGGCAGCGTCGAATATCGAGGCGATCTTGTCGCCGTCGATGAGCAGGGATCCGCCACGGATTATATTGAATGGCCCGGCGTCGTTGTTGCTGTTGTTGTTGAATGCAATGATGGTGCCGCCGGCTAGAAGCTTCCGCCGGGTAGCCGCGGCTATGGACACATGGCAGAGCAGTAGCAGTGGCCACAACGATACATTGGATGATAGCTTCATGTTGTGTTTGTTTGTTTATCCGTCCTCATGGAAGGTTGGATGATTATGTCCAAGTTACGGAAGCGTCGGCGAAGCATCATCTATGGGAGCTCATGTGGGGGAGTTGTAGCCAAGCATGGAGCAATAGCCAAGCATACCTAGAGCAAGCGAGCCAGCGAATAAACGAATGGCAGGCTAATTATGTAGTCTCCAACTCGGGAGTAAATGACTGGATCGTATGGTTCGATCGGCATATGTGCCCATCCTATGAGGCTGAAGAAGTGCCTGCCTATCACTTGGGTAGAGTGCTTACTTGCCTACTTAGCTTACCAGTATCTTGGTTCGTGGGATCGAGATTGCTTCTAGTGATAGCATGCTCCTATCTGCAATCTCTGTGCAAGCCAAAGCTTATAGGTGCTGAAGATAAAGACCCTTATCCGGCAGCAAACAGCACAGCGTAACTTCACACCCTCTGCATAGTATCGCCGCCGACGTTTGTGAGCGGAAGGATTGTAATAAGTCGCTGCCTATCCAACCGACATCCGCCCGTTGCTGGTTAGGTATGCGATCCGATTGTCAACTTCGAAGCAGCTTCCGACTGAGACATTGACAGGACTGCCTAGCATGAAAATAAGTATACCAAACTATACGAAGCATGAGTGAGTAACACAGCGACGTGGCAAAAATAATACCATAGAAGCTCACACCAAATATCACAAAAAAAGGGGCATCGCGAGATCAAACAGCATACCTCAAGATATAGCGGCTACGCAAGCAGCACTGTTTGGTCAATTGGATGCGTATGTCAGATCATTTGAACATTCGAGACAGACCTTCGGGTCAGTTCATAATTCTCCTAATACTAGGTGAAAGAGACAATTGGAAAGGGAGCCGGCTACAATGTGATGAAAAGTTCGTATTAAAAGCTGCGAGTATGATTTGCCCTCACGTCCAAAGCTGCGGGACTCATCTTGGCGTTACCTACCCATTTGCAAATAGCTCCAGGCCGTCTAACAATGGCCTATGTCCTACATATCTAGAGGGATGGCATCCGAGTAACACACCTCCCGGAGGATACCAGAATTTCTTTTGAAGCACCACCGGCTCCGATGGTATCCATGATAGGCAGGCTTTTCTAGGGCAAAGCATACAATGTGAGCGGAAGTAACCGCTGTTTCGAGGGCCTATCGGTAAATTATGATCGGTGAGAAAGGTCCGGGGTGTATACAAATAGGATTTGCTTGTCGGCGGACACGTATGATTCGGTTGGAGTGTTGGAGTTGAAATCTCGGTACACGAAGACGCCACCATGTGTGCCGAAGCCTACAATCAACCTAGGTACCTAGTACTTTAGGTTGAGAAGACATGCCAGCATGGTAAGGGGTACAACCACGTGCTATTTGCGATTGATTGCCCGAGCACCAACTTGTAGCTCAAAGGGTTCCACGGGCTAGAAACATCTATACATTGATGAAAGAGCATGGCCCTACGTGGGACAATACGTAGTATAGTGAAGGATCTTCAGGGGTAGTGGCTTCATGTTAGCATATGGTAATAATACCATGCTCTTTCTCTGAGCTCTTCACATGGAAAAGACGGCGCGCGCAGATGCCCAAAGGGGATAATTGGCGAGAATGGTTATGCTCGAGGGTCGACAAATGCGCGATGGATGAATTGATTCACTGGTAAACGGGTTGCATGCTCGGGCAACTCGCTGAAGGTGACCTAAAACGAGTTGATGTGATTGAACGAAGTGGACAGCACTGGGCTAATGTACGGGGGAAAGGAAAAGAGTAACGGTTTGATATCCATCGGCTAACGGCTCACTATTTTCGTCTGAAGTGTCAATAATCCGAAGGTTGGGATTTGGGGGCTTCGTCTTGAGCTTCGTCTTGAATGATAGCCCCCAAGTACAATGTACTCCACGTGGCCTGCCAACCCACCCTTTCCGCTTGTATTCACGACTTATTATATAATCCTGCCAATCGTTTCGAGAAGAACTGAGCTGAGAAAAGTAAACGCCAAGGACCGCAGCAACGCGGCTACAGAACGGCCACTCCGTTTTCACGTAAAGGTAGATGTAAACCGGGAACGACATCGATAGCCAAGACCTACCTAGCCGACCAGCTACCACAATACTCCAGATTACCAGTGGGCGAAGTCCAAGGGTAACACAGATCCCCATCTGCATCTGGAGGGTGGGGATTACGACTGGACTTGGGGGCATCGAAACGGACAAGTTCATTGGAGACGTCAAGACCATTTTCTGCATGGCCCGAGTCGGTAACCCCTTGGCATGTATGATACTAATTGTTCGACTAGTAGGAGAGAGGCTTCGCTGGTAGCTTCCGAAGTTCAAAGATATCCAAGTAAGTGTGAGTTCAGCTAAGGCTTTGCTTGTTCGATGATGCTCGCGTCGTAGGTAGGCGAAAGCGTTTGTCGGGGCGGGGTCACCCCTCCTCTAGATACCAGCCACCGCTTACACACCCCTATTTAGGTACAAACCATTCAATAAAATTTGGTCTCACCTTTTCTATGTTGGGGTAGGTATTGTTCTCCACCATTGTTGTAGCTCTTACCCAAAGACCAGTCTTCCGGGAGTATTATGGCTGAGCATGTCGCGTTTTGGTGAGACTCATATCATATCTTGTGGATTCTTGTTTCACCTCACGAGAGGCCTTTTAGATTATCAACGCTGCTCACTTATAACTGGGCATGTAAATATATGATAGTTGATCCAACTCGTAAATCACGTGATTTGGATATATTACGTACGAATAATATCTGTCCAGGTCAAGTGCTTATTGATAATCATCTTGATAACGCTTTTGGTAGCGCCAAGGTATCTCAAGGTCTAGATTGGTGAAGCTGACTGGACTTTCCGCGCCTCACACCCATATTTGCTTACAGGGAGGTCCTAAGGGAGGGAGATGTCGAGTCATTAAATTGCCATAAATCAGGATGCTCTTTTGTTATTGTCGTCATTTTGTAGAGATAGACATCTGCTGGTAGAAATCTACTAGGTAGGTAATGTAGGTACCTAGTGGCGCAAACTGGGGCTGAATCCAGGCATCAAGTATAAGAAAGGGGGTGAGGCCTCTCCTATACCAGAGGCCACCCCATGGAGGCACACATAGTTAATAATCTGAGATATCCAAGGATATATTTGTGAGGTTAATTTGTACCACGGCCGCGCCGACCTAATACGCGTACTAAGAGTTATAGAGAAAAAGGCAAAAGCAAAGAAAAGAAGAAAACTTCCTGATCGGGATCTTGGACAAGTTTAGTGGTTTACTATGTAGCGACTTAGTGGTGAAGTGGTATGTAGGATAGGATCTTCAATGCAGGAACAGTCCACGAACCTGGGACTGCATATGGTAAAGTTGAGATATTGTATCTTGGATGTATCTTGGATGGCCGCAGGGGCCGTTAGACCTGGTGGGGCTGAGTTACATAAGGGTGCAGGGTTATAAAGAGGATTCATCGGATCAATCATCAGCTGAGGGTCTGTGCGCATGATGAGGTCAGTACGTGCCCATATTAACTTACTGTTTATTGGCTGTTGCGGGTAAGCTAGTAGCTACGTGGACTAGTCGGATACTTAGATACATGCATATGGGTTCAGCTCACGTCCCGAGAGTACCCTACATGCAGGTATGTACTCCGTAGTTCATACATCTTTTTACATCCATCTCCAAACGGCATTTGCTCCAGTTTCTAACATCGAAATTATCCAGCTCAACTACAAACTTGAAAATAGTTATGCACATTACGTTGAGCTAAGTAAGACTAAGATACTTCATTATCGTTCAAAGTTCATTCTCAGTCCTACATAGCTCAAGATGACGCAGTTCTCTTTTGCCTTAGGACTTCAAGTGACCTGGCACTTTTGAGACACCACGAGAAACTCGAGTCAAATGAGGTCGAAGCGTCTCTTGCCGAATGACGGTTTTTTCAATACCTTGCTATTACATTGCCCACCTTTTGAGGCTTGGGCAATGAACTTAAGCAATAAAGCCTCTCTGACCCTGGCAGTCCTGGCAGTCTGGCTTGGTACAACTGTTAAGTAGCGTGAGCAAAAGCGCAAACTGAATTATTCAACCCTCCTCTACAACGTCATCCCCTCGAAAAATCCATGAGGCTCATCCACGCGACCTCGTGACACAATATACCTAATTCTTTGATCCCTCCCTATCTACCCTTTGCTCACCCTCCCGTAGCCTCGTGCTGAGTGTTTGCTAAAAGTGATGCCTAGCTTAGTTTACTTACATATATTGAAGTCTGCCCCATACGCGTCGAGCCAATGTCGTTGGCCCATCTTCCCGCTTCTGCATTCACTAGTAGTTTCTGAAGCTAAACTCTGCATCCCCCGTACGCCATTTTATTTACGCTATAGGTATCCAGTCAAGGTTCGCCTCAAATTAGTTGATCGTCACTTTTCAGCTTATATCGTGTTAGCCCCTCGCTGGGCACATATCACTCCACATGTTTGAATACCGTTATAGGACGAGTCCCTCAGGTCGCCAGCAGTTTGGACGTTCTTATTCGTTCTCTCACCATCACGATAATCATCGCCACCATCATCGGCCACGATGCTTCGATAACTGTGCCGGGATATCGGTGGAGCAATGGAATAGCCTATGCCAACAGAACAAGGACTTTATCGCTAGCAATGATGTCCTAAGCCGCGAGAACCAGACTCTAAAGGCCCAGCTTCAAGCTGCTATCAAAGAAAATGGTCGCCTCCATGCACGTAATCAACAGCTGGCCGAAGAGATACACGGACTAAGACGATCTCACTCTCACGATGGCGAGAATGCGGAAAAGTTTCGTCGTAGAATGGCATCTCTTAGGACAGAAATCGAGTCAAAAGAGAAAGAGATTCAACAACTTAATAAGAAGAACGAAACGTTTACTACACGAGTCGACGTCTTGACACAGACAGTCTCGGACCAACATCGAAGAATATCCGAACTCTCAAAACAACTAGATCGACAGAAGCGAGCCGGTGACTCCCAGGCCTTATTCGAGGATGTCAAAGCAAGGTTAGAGAGCATAAAACACATCCTCAAGACTCGCAATCGAGAACTTGCCGAAAGCAACGCCATCGTGGAGGACCAACGCCGCACGATTCATCGGCTTGAGTCTAGTACCCCTTCTCACCATAGGTATGCCTACTTGTGAGGATTCAGGGGAATCATACACTACACTTACGCATTTACTGGTGGATGGATATTATTTCCAACCTTGAAGCTAGAAAGGGATGAGGTCTCTTCATCGACCTAGCATTACTTGGACTGTTTCCACGATCTATACGCTTAGTTTGTTTACCGCCGCGGCCATCTCACGACATATGTTTCTAGATTTCTAAATCCTCTTCCGTGGATTCTTTTCAGCAGAAGGTCAATGATTACGGATCGGGTCAGTTTGGCCACTTGCAACCCCGATCCTTACCTACTACGACTTTTACTTTTATTCAATATTTCATGTCGTTTTTAAATGTATTACATAAAATATGATACCATTACTTCATTTCATCCCTTTTTGTCGCTATTCCACCATCCTGTTGCGCTATTTTCTTGGGGGCTTAATGAGGCTAGATCATCAGGTGTCAATAATTATCAAGGTCAATAGATGGACGCAGGTTTGCTGCTTGTAGGATATTACGCGAGATAATAGCATCAGTTTGAGAAAAGCCTAGTGCAGTGAAGTAGGTATGCTTCTTTGTCCACTAGTCGCATGGTTTACCACCTCGTGAGACTACGCTCTGTGCCTACTAACTGTCATGGGCATACGTCGATACCACAAGATTGAGGCCTAGTAGTCTCACAACGACACCTATATTCAACGATTATGTTGAAAAGGACATCATCAACACCGTATACTAGGCGATGGGCAAGCAAGGCTTCTCGCCGAGCATCGCCTTTCCCAACAGTAACACATTAGGGGTATTAAGGGTGGTACTACTGACGTTCTTGTGTGCTCCTGTAGTCGTCGGCCACAACCGAAATTCCGGCCGTCACTTAGATGAGTACGTGAGTTCTCTTACGACTGAACGCGTGGATATATTAAGTAGCCCATATAGTATCACCACTTAACGAGGCTACCTCGTAATCAATCAACAACTAGCCTAAGCAAACACACCCCCCGCTCATAACACAGGCTTGCAGATGATATGTTCTAGTACCATTTCTAGCACCAGTTTGGAAGACACTAACTGCCTAGGTATACATGCATAGATAGCAAGCTGCAGAATTCGCTTACTCAGAAGCTTAGTGATGCTTTTGGATGGTTTGGATATGGCATTTTGGACAGGAAGGTCATAGCTAGGTAACCTCTGATTCGCTGACGTAACTGTAACCATTGATGAGCCTCTTCGTCAGCCAATATGTAACCATGATATTGAAACCTCTCCCGAATATCTCTCCCGTCCACAGTCAGATGTCAATAATTTATCCCAACATTGGGAGTCAACGTAAGTACCGGTGAGATGAGCAAGTTGTTGGTTGGTTCATTTACACACTAGTAGTCTATGCTGGACAGTCGGACGGACGGTACGAAAGGGGAAATCCCAGAATGGGGATCTCTGGTTGGCCGTCGATTATTGATAATCCTGGAGATGATCCAGGAGGAGCGTCTCAGCCGCGGATCGTCCTTCTCCCTCTCGGATCGGTAGCTGGGGATATTTTTGGCATTCTGGTCCACCACATGTCTATGTACGTACGTACCTACAGTACCTACATAGGTACTCAGACGAAGATGTGAACATGAAAGTGCACATTGATTGATTGATTGATTATTCTCATCGCCAAACCTTTACCGTTCGTTTTCCATTATGCCGTAGGACCCGAAAGCGGATGCGTAATACCAATACTATCACTGACAGCTCAGCGTCGGTATCACCGGGTTGTCCGCGGTTGGTTTAGTTGGTCAAAAGTGCAGATTCACTTTTTTTTCCTCATAAATTTCCTAATGGCTCGAGACCTGGAAATTGTGGTTTTACATTCGGATGCGCAGGGCCAGGAGCATCTCTTATCGTCTCTTTGGTGTTGTGTGCATTTTTCGACATCTGCTAGGCACTAATGTTAGGTAGGTAGGTGATGGTGGGTAGGAGAATCCTTAACCAAGAAGCGAAGAGGTAACTCAGCTGGCCCGGGTTTTTTTCACTTTAAGGAATGGCTTCCCTGGTATATTGACGTAGAAAATATATGTATCAAGGTAGCTTTTCTAAAGTTAGCGATACATATAGCGATACATTGAAGGTATGAAGTAAAAATGACTAAGCAATAGTCCTTAACCCCCCCATCTTGGTTAGAGTGGTTGCCTAGCCCCGCGGTTTTTACACTTCTTCGGTGGGTCAGATCATATGCTCGATTTTAATTCTGCTAACCTCATGTGCTAGTGCCAACATTAAGTTTGCATGTACAATACTTAATATAGATGTACCTACATGCATCAAATACATATGTAGCCACTATTTACCAGGTACTCCAGAATCCAGATGCCTACCGGCCCTACCCTAGGTACTAGGTACTATTAATGAGGAGCTAAAACGAGCTAAAGACGCTTCAGCCCTGTCGGCGACCTCTTCACCTCTTCCTTCACCTCTTCTCTTCACCTTTCCACTTTCTCATTCGCCCAATTTCATCAAATCTCTTTGCAATGCACTAGAATACGTGCAAGTACCAGTAGAAAAGTTGAGATCTTAATGGACGTCACAAATCTTTGGCGTTATGGTCCTTTCTGCAACTTCAATGCAGCTCGTCTGTGAGTCATCTCGCAGTGCTTTTACTATGCCTCTGCTTTCGCTTTCCTCGATTGGCTTCTACATGCCATAAACCAGGTGTGCGAGAGATTTCCCTTTGCTGTGACTGGCTGAGCCGGCTATACTGGCTAGGCATTTCTGCAGGCTCTCTGCACGCCAACGCGATAACAGCCAACCTCGCGCAGCTGCGCGAAAGCACTGCCAAGTCGATCAAGATCGCAAATGAGAAAATGGGTTTCCTCGTGCTTGCGCCATCCTGACTTACATGCTACTACATAGGTACCTAGGTATAAATTCCATTTGCGAACCATATCCTTCCCCCAGCGAACTGCTTGGGGGCCGAATGGCGAGGCGGCTACTAAGTATGGCCACTTTCGGTGTAAAACTGGCATCGCTTCTTCGCTGCCAACTCCTTTCAAGGGTTTCAAGGAGGGAAGCACAAAATGCCGTCCAACAGTCCTAGAACCTTCCGAGCTGCTCTTTTTATTTCTCTTTCTATGCCATGCGCACTCCCCATTGTAGATTTTCGCGCGTTACGCGTTGGCGTGGTGCGCGGTGCACCGGGGCTGTCAGCAAGGCGTCCCTCCTTGATAGACGGCGAGTGTATGGGTATGTGAGAAACGAGTGTTTTTTTTGCCATGGTGTGCTCCTAGCTTCGAATGCTAGATATCCCGAACATTTCTAGTAAGACAACCCCTTGGATGTTTTTTGAGGCTCATCTGTCCGCAAGGTCGCTCTGCAGACCAGGGTTTGTTGCCTAAAGTTATGACTCCGTGTGAGGCCACCCGGTCAGCTACATACCATTATGTACAAGATACCTGCACCTTACCTTGATATCTGCCGTACTATGAAGTGCTGTCATTCTGTGGTGTGTGTGTGCTATACCTACCTACCTACCTTTGTACACAAAGTATCTGGCGAGACTGAAAGCAACAACCATCAGCTCTCTTGTTCACGAATCATAAGTTCGAAATCACTCCGTATAAAATTTCCCATTCTCCTCTTTTTACCCTTTTTACCCCTTTTACTCTTCAAGTTCTTCATCATTGCTCAATTCATCTTGCATTTTGAAGTGAATTACCTACGTACATTTTTATATATTTGCCAGTCAGCCTACCTACCTACCTACCTAGTTACCACCTTTATCTCGGTGAAGTGACTTGACCCTACCTACATACCTACCTCTGCGGATAAGTCGACAAATTTTGTTCGTTTATTGCTCCTCATCCCATCCTCCGCTATCAACTCTGACGCGGGCACCTACGAGCAATCGTTGCCTCTTGCGGTAACTTGTACAACGACATGTCTGACAGGCGAGTCAAGTTCCAACTCTCCTCGGGGAAGGGATCTTCCAAGCACCATGGTCGCGAGCCGGCACATGATTCAGGCGTGGGTTCGTTATCTAGTGACCAGGCTAGTCTAGGTGGAAGACCTGATCGTAGATTCACAGAGGACTACGAAAGCCAACTGTATAATGTTGGCTCACTTCAAGAAGCGTTAGGCCAAGCGAATTTGAAAGTCGAGCACTTGCAGAAGAAGTGTACCGATCTGGACGGCGAGTTAACCAAAGCCCACAGATCTGCTCGGGATGCGGACAGACGTTACCGTGAAGAATGCGACCGCAATGGAAGACTTGAGCGAGTCAACAAGGACCTTGAAGAGGAGATCGTCAACAAAACAGAGAAGATAGCTGAACTCAAGGCTGCCTTGGATAGCATGAAACTTGAGCGTGACGATTACCGACAGAGATACTATACTCTTTCAGAGTCCGGCAACAACATAAGGGGTGGATCTGGCGGTACTTCTCCTCCACGACTAAGCCGTTCAGGAAGCAAGCATGACAAAGAAAAGCCTACTTCGTCGCACCATCCACGCCGGAGCTCAAGCATCAAGCCAACGACCCACTCAAGCAACAGGAAGCCATACATCGAGAAAATGCCTGATGTCTCGAGTTCATCCAGGCACTCTGGGAATTACACGACAATCTCTGTGGATTTGCCAGTTTCTCGTACAGACCCAGCATATCACTCGAACGTTCCACGAAGCCCACATTACGCAACGCTGCCGCCTCATCAAACCCCAAGAGAGACGGGGGACTACGTAGCATACCCAATACGCGGCTACCGAGGATAACTTCGCTCTTCATCTCCTGGCGAGCTATCACATCTAAACACGCAGTTATCCTTTTTTTCAATGCGGATGTCAGCGCCCGCATTTCAACATCATAATCCCGCACGGCACCCGTTACAAGGATCATTCAACGGCTTGTAACATTATCGTGTAATACCATCATATCCGTCCGTTGGTAATACCTGAGTTTTGACAGCACTACTGTCGTACATCCCACCCTGATGGAAGTCGGCCCCGGTTCTCTTCTCCTGCGCCTATTTTCCCAATATCGATCTGTATTACTTGATCTGTACCACCATTGCTTTTTTATTACCTACCAGTCATCCTTGCCTATTCAAATGCAGATAATGGTGGCATTTTTGAGTCGTTGTCGGATCACGAACTGAGCACTGTCACGACTAGTGTTCTTAACCTCGGCACCGACCCATAGCCACTTCTAAAAACTATACGAACACCAACAATACAATAATCAACCCTACCAGTGTGTCCTTTCGCCAGGTGAATTTGACTGCATGTCACCTGTACGAGAATGGCTGCACTATCTTCACTGTCTACCCCTTTTATTTTTAAATATTGCATTATACGTTTTTATACTTGACCTTGGAAGCCTCATTTGGGGGGGTACTACAGTTTCATGTTTTTTTTTTGGTTTTTTTTTTTTGAAAAATACAGATTCGGAAGGCGAATGAATGTTCCTGTCATCGTCGCCTTGGACTTTTTTCAACGTGCCGGCTAGGTGCCGACGAGGGTGTCTGCCCACTAATGATGTATTTGAATGGCGTTTTTCCTGTCTGAAAATAGAGATAGTGGATCTCTGGCGAGAATAGATACCTTTTCCGGTTTATAAAATCAAGGCTTGGAGGATACCACTGTACTTTTCTTGGAATGGTTTATTGGTTTGAGATACTGGCTACCTTGTAGTTGCTAGTTGACTGTTGTTTCTTTGGATAGTGGCAACTTCCTGGCTTGGATTATATGATAGATTATTCCTACTCAGCTATTTACTCTACTTGACGATCAATGGTATATCTTGACAAAATGCTTGTGACTTGAATAGATCATGGTGGAAGCATAATGTTGTGAATGTCCCATTGGGATCATTTGCCAAGAGAGCACTGAGATGCAATGCAGTGGCAGATCCACTTACTTTAACGTCCTGGCATCTATGAGGCATTAGTTGTCAAACGAATGGGTTGGATGCCCTTGGCCAAGCAGGTAAAAGGGGTTAACTACGGTCCGAATATTCATACAGCATAGTCGGTTGCACCGGATACTGCATGGGTAGTTTAGTTCGTGGAACTCTTTCAAGAATATCCAGTGACCAGTGATTGGGCGGGGTCGAAGACCGCCTCATTCATATGTAGGAACGAAAAAGGGGGGGGGGGGGGGGGCGCCACTCTTGAAGCTGTACATATCCGGAGCATGTGTTTACGCATGATACGCATTGGAGAACTCCTACATACTTACCTGAGGCCCCCACGGAAAACTAGCAGCAGCGTTTTTAGTGCCGGTATTCTCGAGTACAGAAGGGGGCGGACAAAGATGCTGAGCTTCAGTGGTTGAAAGCAAGAGTACTCACTATTGGTCAATACTCGTTGGTTTTGATTAGTCCAAACAGCGGCTCGATTTTCGTGGCTACTAGATACCGAGGCAACATCAATGATTGTGTAGTATGCATGGTGGTGAGATCAACTTACGGGGTGTATTCTCAAATAAGTCGCCAAGAGTGCCCCTTTAGCACCAAAGCATGGCTGCTAGGTAGATTCTGAGAGTAAACAAAGGAAGTCATAACGAAATAAATCTATTGAAGGAAAAAATTAGTCAAGCTCGGCTAGAGCATATATCATATTTTCGCTGCTTAACTTGTAGTGACATGGGATGAGTACATCATGCGGCTGTGGGCTTCTAAGAGAAAGTGGCTTTATAACACTACATATGTATGTGAGAAATTACCCCTTCGCATATATCAGTTAATATGAATGATTCCTATCATAAATGACAATAAGTACAAGCTATACCAAATATTCCGCTTAATGCTGTATAAAGAAAAAAAAAAAAGGGGGTCACTAAGAAAGCCAACCCATAAGGCAGGATACGGAGATAGGGAGATATATGCGTGTAAGACGGACGACACCTGCAAAGATTAAACTAAGGCCGACCGGGCGGGGCCGAAAACCCACCGAGTGAGGTAATTAGTGATGTAGAGTTTTCGGAAGTAGCTAGTGGTGAAATGGATGGGCCTAGGTCGGAGGATTTGGGAATAAAACGACAGGTACTACTGGGTAGGGTAGTTATTACATACATACTAGGTAGTAAGTACCTAGTAGTACATATGTATGGGAAACTCAATTTAATAAATGAACATGGTAAAATACATGTATCAAGTAGGTGCGCAAGTTACATAAAATAGGAGCTATCAATTGTTTTACGACCTTTTACTGCCACGAAATGGCAGATGAATACATACATGTTTGTAGTCTCGTGATCTATTTCTGGTTTCCGTTCCTACCCTATGTAGGTACATACACGTACCCATATGTAACCTATGTATGGAGCCGACTACAAATACATAAATACAAGCTCCATATTTCTTTTTAAAAATCCCCATCCCCAATTCTCCAATTTCGCGATATTCTACATCAAGACCCCTGTCTTCGTCATCAACATCCTTGTTCTAGATATACCGACGGTATCCTACATTGGTAATCTGCATCATCTACAAAAAAAACATTACATACCTACCTACCTAGGTAGCTATCCGCTTGATCATCTCTATTCAAAATCCAAGATCAAGAGAAGTACCGACTGGTGAGAAGGAAAGAAACCAAGGAAAAATGAGTCTTCTTGACGCATTTACCTGTTTCAACAATCTCCCCAAGGAACTCCGCCTGGAAATCTGGGAGTTTTATTTTGCCGGTCCGCGCATTCACGTCCTTCATCCGGCGCCTACCAGCCGGGACCGAAGTGTTGCTGCTGGCACGAGGGACAGGGACACTCCCTTATTCCACTGCACCATTCTGGACTCATCCACGAATCGCATCACCAGAAATGATCATCCCTGCATTCCCATCACCCGCGAGGCACGTGCCATCTCCATCTCCCTGAAGCGCCAGTTCACGCCCGTCAGGTTCGCCAAGGATTTCACCCAGGCCGTCACCGGCCCTCTGCCCATGCCCTTTCCTACGCGGAATTTAAGCATACATAGAGCTGATGATGGTGATGAGACGAACAAGCCTCCTCCCAAAACCACTAAACCCGAAGTCGAAGTCGTTTATATCAACTGGAACGTTGACTGTACGTGGAGCCTCCCCCCCTTTTTTTCTTATGGAGGAAGCCTGACTAACATATCTTGTTTTAAAAAAGTAATCTACCTCTGTGTCCCAGACGCGGAGCAAGCCTTCTGGGCCCTCCGCAACGTGCCCTGGCGCCGCAAGATGAAGAAGCTGGCGCTGCTCGTGCCCGAGAGCGAGTACGACCGCGCCATCGCGTTCGGGCCCACGGGCCCCATCCGCGAGGTTCTCGAGTCCATCGAGGAGCTCGAAGAGCTCTTCCTCGTTCTGCGTCTCTCGGCCAGCCTCACGGTCTCCGATGACGCGGCGGGCAGGATAGCGGGCCTGCGCCGAGACAGGTACGGGTTCGCGCCGTACGTCGACTACCTCAAGATCGTCGGCCTACACGGCAGCAGCATGGGATACACACGCTCGGCGATGTCGTTCCGGTCGGCGCTGGCGGGCATTCGGGCGAAGGAGATCGAGCTGGTTAGGGTTGTGGATGTGGATAGTCTTACGTGTGCGTACGGAGAGTATGAGCGGAGGCTGTGCCAGTGTCGTGTAACGGGACCTACCCCCCATGTATCCACTAGGTGAAGCGCCTAGACATCCCAAAGTTCTGTATAGAGGCATTCATGAGAACTGTGAAGCACGAGATAGCAACGAAGACTTGGTATAAGGCTTTCAAGCTGTATAGGTATACTAGCATACGGATAATGAAACGACTACCGGGGCCTTGTGAGGTATGGGATTTGGTATATTAGGTACGCCTACCCGACTACAGATATAGTCACCTCCACCCTACCCAAAGATCATCTTTCGAGGCACCTCTAACGAGTTAACTAGATTACTAGGTATAGAGGTATTCGGTAGTTTAAAGGATACAATGACCCGATCTGTCTTGTCTCGACACTGCATCCCTACTCGTCCGGCTTCGACCTTGGAGGCTCGTTTATTTTCCTTTTTTGCCTAGGCCCGTCTAGCTCTGCTTGACGTTAGTTGTCTTTGGACAAGGGACTATCCGCACTATGGCCAGGCATGTGAATTTTGTAACGAGGTCTAAAGGTAATATTTTGTACAGCTTATTACCTATGGAGTTCGTTTAATGCTAGTCAATATAGAGGGGAATTTGAACTACCAGATGTCTGTATATGAGCATAGATCTGTGTTAAGGTCCTCGCGGGGTGATGCTTTTTGTTCCGAATCAACCATCATGGTAGATAGGTACAGAAAGGAAGTTTTCAAATGGTTATGATATCTCGTAGCTAAGTCTGGTTCAGCTGTTCTCGTTAGATATCTTGCACATGGCCGCGCTTAGCAAGGGCCCTGAGCTGAGCGGAGTTTAAGGCGGTCCGCTGATCTAGTGATGGAGATGCGCGTAAATGATAGCTAGCGATGTCCTGCCTACCTATCTGCAAAAACAGAATAGAAAAATCAGAGTTTACGGCGCAGAGGACGGACGGTTTTCGAGAATTGTGGAGATAAAGATGGTTCTTCGGGCCATTTGAACATCGTCTTGCGGAACATCACCGATAGGTACAGTACATACATGCACAGAACCGCGCAATGACGTCATTTCTATATGTAACTATCAGGCTTGACATCGTACTACATATGTACTATGTATACATATATATATATATATATATAGGACCAGGTAAGGACTTAGGTAGCACAGCTGAGATGTAAGGTAGGTACACATCTCACCAAGTCACAGTCTTTTGGCTCCTTGGGTTGCATTAGAGGTATTTCTGTGGTAAAGGAGAGCGGATAACAGATACTAGGTAATAAAGGGGGAGTGAATCTCCACTATTTTGATCTACATAGGGTTAGTGGATCTAGCCCTGGAAGTGATTAGGTGGACCTTACCGTCTTTGCTCGGGGGGCTGCATGCGCTAACTGACCTTGTCAATAGTGGGGTTAAATTCAGCCTTATCCTGCTGAGGAACTCGGTAATGCTGCTTGTTCACCTTCCATTTTACAACTATTATTTTACTACTACTACTAATAATACTACAACAACATTACCTGAATCTATCGCCTGGTATTCACCAATTTGATTAACACAAAGTAATAACCTATCAATTCAATGAATAGATAGGCAATACAAAACCTAGAGGCGAAAACGAAATTAATATACAAAGATGAGTGCGGCGACCGCACGAAAGACCAATGGCGTCTTACCAGTTCCTATCGCTGTCGCAAACGACACACCGAAAACCACCAAGTCAAAAGAACCATCTCGAGGAAGAAAACTGATTCTTCGCCGAATTCCACCAGGATTGACCGAATCCGAATTTTGGGCAATTCTAGGTGAGGAATGGAAAAGCGGAAATGGAAAGGTAGACTGGGTACGATTCCAGGAAGGCAAAATCTCTCAAGAGTGAGTAATGTCAAACTATACATTGTTGAAATTCATCCAAATGGACGCGACTAATCACTTCACAATTATAGCCCATCGAACCCTTCCAATCCAGGGAGATGCTATCTCCACCTTTTACGAACTGAAGATATTACCACTCTAGCCGATATAGTCCAACGATCAACCTGGGAGGACGAGAAGAAATCCTTCAACGATCCGGCTCTGATTGGACTTCCGTACTTGGATGTCTCCATATATCAGAAGATTCCCAACACGAAACGACGTACAGACTCCAAGCAAGGTACCATCGACCAGGATCCTGATTTCATGAACTTCCTCGACAGCCTTACCCAAGATCCCGCCACTACCAAAGAATCCGAAACTGACCAAGCGGAAGATGCTGCCAAGGTAGATGGCAAAGTAACCACGACTCCTCTCGTCGAATATCTGAAAGAGAAGAAGGCGAACAAGGGGAAGGAGGCTACTAATGCAAAGGGTGGGAAACACGCTCGTCACGAATCTCAGGGTACAAAATCAAAAGGCGCTCAGGAAGATGTTAAGAAGAAAGGGAAGGAATCCAAGTCCGAGAAAGTCGACAAAGAGAAGGCCAAGGAACCAGTGAAATTACTCACGAAAAAGTCGACAGCCAACGAGACGTCCGAGACCACCAAACCCGCCACTACCCCGAACACGGCGCACAAGACGGCCGAAGAAGGCCCCCCTAAGAGCCGACGAGCTAACATCGCCGCCGCGGCGAAGATTCTGCAACGTGATCTCGGACTCAGCCCCGGAAGTGCGCATAGGAGAGCTCGCCAGGATGCTGCAAAGGCTGAGGCTGCTGCCAAGACCGACACTACTACTACGAAGGAGAAAGACAGCAAAGACAGTAAGGAGCCAGCACCCGCGGCCTCAGCCACGCAGAATCCACCTAGTTCATCAGCGCCCCCATCAGCACCCACTGCTCCGAAAGCCCAAGCGAACGAAGGTTCCCGTCGGTCGCGAGGCGCAAAGGCGACGAAGCAAAATGCCTCTGGCGATACGGCCAAGGGCAAAGGAAGCGAAAATGCCAATAGCGCAACGAAACCTGCTCCTATGATTACACCTGTCATACTAAAGAGAAAAGACGATGCTTCGAATGCCCCCGCTTCAACATCGTCATCAGTTGCCAATTCCTCGGCGCCCGTAGCCCCAACTGGCCCTAAGGCATCGGCTGCTAAAGTTTCATCATCGAGCAAATCTTCTCAGAAGAAAGGATCTAATCAGCCACCAGTAACTGCAGGCGCAACACGTGCTTTCATAAAGCATGCCAATCCTTCGCAGGGTGTTACTGAACCGCTGCTTAAAAACGCCATGGAAACTTTTGGTTCTGTTACCTTTGTCGAGATTGATAAGCGCAAGGGCTTTGCCTATGTGGACTTTGGGAATCACGACGGATTGGTCAAGGCAGTAGCGGCGAGCCCAGTGTCTATCGCACAAGGCACCGTGCAAGTCTTGGAAAGGAAAGACGCCAAAAAGCCAGCTGCTCCGGCTCCAACACAACCGGCGGGAGAAAAGGCGAGTACGGAAGCGACGCCTGATCGTCCAAAACGAGGTGGACGTGGAAGGGGCCGCAGAGGAGGAGGGGCCAATGCGAGTAGTAATAATGCACCGGGCGAGGCCACTGGATCTACAGCACCACCTGCAGCTGCGGATTCCACTGCTTCCACGGGCGCCGGCTGAAGATATAACGCGAAAAAGTTTCTGGAATCCACATGATTCGGCTTCTTACGTCAATGGGATAATATGTCTCGGTTGATCTCGAATCTGGTCGACTGAAAATGTCATGAATGATGGCTATTGCATGAAATTCGCGATACTATTTCCCATGACTTGGTTCGCTATGATACTTGTCGTTGCTGGAACACGTACGATGCTGAGATATTTACTACCAGTCATGAATGGTAGGGAATGGAATGGAGTACGTACACAGGCAGATAGGCACCTAAGCAGGTTAATTGCTCATAGTATTTAATGCTGTTAGTTACTGGACTACCCTCCTAAGGAAATATGGCAAGATGGCCTAGTCCAGGGGTTAATTCTGGTCAATATAATATCTAGTGGCATTCAAACCCTCAACTCCTTCCCGTATGCCCTTTGTAGTTGTAGTAAGCGTCTGGGCTGCTTAGTAGTCAGATAAAGTAATTGGCTCATCTTATCGTTCTTGATGGTTTAATTTCACTCATATTCACAGGCTGGAAGCATCTAACCTAGGGACTTGGCACCTATCGTTTACTTAGCTGTTGATTGCTTACCTAGGTTAAGGGAATAGGGGTGAAGAAAGGGGAAGCTTCGTTGATAGACAAAGGCTAACACGTGACTTCCTTCAGTAGCTTACCTAACTTTTAAAGGTGTGTCAGCCCGGAAAAAACAATTGCAAGTGACCGAGCCGATAATTCGCCGGAGTTGGCGCTCAACGTCAATGTAGCCGCCGTTCCAGGCTGGCGCCCGACAAGTTCCAAGTTGCGAGGGACCTTATCTCAAAGTAAATTCCCCACCATCACTTTTGCACTCACTCTTACATACACACATGCTCATGCGAAGACACAACTTCTCTGTTGTGGTCGAATTCGCTGAATCAAAATCACATTTGAATATTGGCTACAATCAGGTTCTCTGTTAACCAACCAATTCAAGTACGCGACAGAGGAAATACCACTAGTCGAGCTATTAACCTGTTACCTAAACAACTTGAAGGCCACCCAAATCATAGATTCCCACAACGCACAGCACAGCAAGACTTGGTCCCATTCCCATTCCCTGGAACAGATTACGTTCATGCAGCTCCTAGGCTATTCGTCAAACAGTGCGATTCTAGATTCTACTTGGCAACTAGCCGACCTTCTGCCGAATTAATCCTTTCCAAGACCTAGGTTCCATACAACATTGAAGCTTACCTACATAGGTTCAAGACTAGGTACATTCCAAATTACCAAAATTACCAACTACCAACTCCAAGACTACGTCAAAGGGTCTAGATCACGAAACTCATCTGCTATCGGTTTCGCAATCTATTTCTTTGCACGATTGTTGTCGGCAATTCCTCGTTCGCAGACGTTCGCAGACACAGACATTGAATTCTCGATTCCCCGCCGATCACCCCGCTGAAGGTTGACTGCGCCATACTCCGTTTTGCTGTTTGTCAAGGCAATTAGTTCTGTTTTATTCGCCTATACAGCCTAGGCAATGGGTTCCAACCGCGTTGCCGTCCCGAAGCCGGGACCGGCCAAGTTAACTCCGGGATCTGGATTAGATGAATGGCTGGAGCAAGCAAAACAATGCCGATATCTCCCAGAGCCAGTAATGAAGGAGCTTTGCGAAATGGTCAAAGAAGTCTTGATGGAAGGTAGGCTCTACAGCTCTCTTGATCTTTAACTATTGTTGCAAGCTTGATTTAACTCTTCCTGCCGTTAGAATCCAACATACAGCCCGTTGTTACTCCGGTCACTATCTGTGGAGATATTCATGGCCAATTCTATGATCTTCTAGAGCTTTTCCGCGTTAGCGGTGGCATGCCAGGCGAACCTGCTACCGAACTCCCTGCGACCTCGACTTCAGTAATCACGTCTGCAGATATCGAACCACCTACCGAGATTACCAACCCTAAGCTAAAGAAGAAAATAAAGAAGCCCAAGAATACACCTGGAGAGGTACCGAGCTTGCCTGGTGATGAGTCTACGAACTCTGTCAACGTTGAAGAGGAAGAAGAGGAAGGAAACGAGTCAGGACTTTCTCCGCGCAACTCCTCAGATGCTTCTCCACCAGTTACCAATGCCGATACTCGCTTCGTGTTTCTGGGAGACTTTGTCGACCGAGGCTACTTTAGTCTTGAGACATTCACATTACTCATGTGTCTAAAGGCCAAGTGAGCAGAAAATTATAAGAGTTCCATGTTCCAAATTCATTTCTAATTTACGATACAGATATCCGGACCGAATTGTTCTTGTTCGTGGAAATCACGAATCTCGACAGATTACACAGGTATACGGATTCTATGAAGAATGTCAGCAGAAGTATGGAAATGCGTCGGTTTGGAAGTCTTGCTGCCAAGTGTTTGATTTCCTGGTCCTAGCCGCTATCGTGGATGGCGAAATACTTTGTGTCCATGGAGGACTGAGCCCAGAAATTCGCACCATCGATCAGATTCGCGTGGTAGCCAGGGCGCAGGAGATTCCTCATGAGGGAGCCTTCTGTGATCTTGTTTGGAGCGACCCCGAAGAGGTAGAGACGTGGGCTATTAGCCCCCGAGGCGCGGGATGGCTTTTTGGAGACAAGGTGGCTACAGAATTCAACCACGTCAACGGCTTGAAGTTGATCGCTCGTGCCCATCAGCTCGTCAACGAGGGTTACAAGGTAAGTTCGTTCTTACGACATTTGCTTATTATAGCTACTAACGAAAAGCAGTACCACTTCCCACAAAACTCTGTGGTTACCGTCTGGTCAGCTCCGAACTACTGCTACCGCTGCGGAAATGTGGCTTCGATTATGTCAGTGGATAAGAACCTCGACCCGAAGTTTAGTATCTTCTCGGCGGTTCCTGACGATATGCGACACGTGCCTGCGGGGCGACGCGGACCGTCTGATTACTTCTTATAATTCATTGTCACTAAATGGCGATTGCAAATTTTGCGTCACGAAGTTTCAATGTTCTTGATACCATTACATAGGCGTTACGGGGTATGAATTTTCTTCTATTCGGTTTGGTAAAGCATGACGGAACGAAGGGACAAACACGAACGAACTGGTATAGACACGCTATGAGGCAAATGTGTGTTGCGAACTAAGGACGCATCAAGACACATTGAAGGACAAGGCTTGGAGGAAATGTAACCTAGAACTCGTATATCACGGGAACATGGCGATGCGTTGATCTGTATAGTAGAGACCTTGGAGGCACTACATATGTAGCTGCTTACTTGCCTAGGTATTTTGTAAGGGATAGGGGATTGAAGAAATCGGCTTCCATTCCGAGGTTCGTGAGACGTTGTATGAAATGAGATTATCTGATGAAATGGTTTTCTTGTAATACTTGATGTGTTGCGTACAGTGGCCATTCCATCTTAATGTCTCTGGAATTCCATGTACATATATGTATGGACGTAGGCTAATTAGTAATTACGGTAGTACCAGTTGCAAAGTACTGACCAAACTGGGTGCTGACGTCGATGCACCAAGAAGAGAAACAAGGTTGCGTTCTCCAAATCTCCAATCCCAAACCCCACTAAATCCATCTACGCATATCTACTAGATGCATATTATAGATGCATAATATCTACTTCCAAGAACATTGAAAGTTTGAAACTCGTCACAAAATCTATACATAACTACCTTTTCCCTTTTCCCTCTCCTATTTCCATATCTACAAAACTTATTAATTGGATGCGACTATATCATTAAACAAAAGCCATGGCCACAAACCCACAACGCTCAGTGTCAGCGATGGGCACGCGGGAGCAGCAAGGGAAGACGTATTTTGAACAGCAACGGGAGGCGCTGATTGGCGAGATCGCTATGGTTCGTTTACCTCACGGGGAAAGCAAGAAGAGAATGGGAAAAAAAGATTGATAAACTAACGTACGACAAATACAACAGAGCTTTGAGCACGTCCTCGCCAACATCAACAAGCTGAACCGGTCGCTCGAGGCCGTGGTAGCTGTCGGAAACGAGTTCTCATCCGTCGAGGCTCTGTGGTCGCAGTTCGAGGGGGTCATGGCTAAGGATACCGCCGAGGATGTTAAGAACGCTTCGTCGGAAGGAGAGAGCCAGCACCAAAACCAGAATAGTCAGCATGAGACGGGTGAGCCATCGGCGAGCACGGATAAGCATTGACAAGGGATTGGTGTTTCGGGATAGGAGAAAGGGGATTGGGGGATAGGAATGCGCAATGGATCATTACGATACCCGCTTTGACTATGTAAATCGAGTCACAGCATACATTTACAGCACATAAAAGCACTATAACTGTAGTTACTGTACACTACATTGGTGAAATATGTGTAGGGCACTGTAGGCTGGCACTTAGTACTGTGTAGAGGCATAGACTCGGTATGCCAATATACTGTACTTCGCTAGATGCATCGGAACTATTCACGGGCCGCAAACTAACCAAGCTTCCCGAAATTTCAATTGCAAGTTAGAATTGAAAGTGGGACCTCGGACCATCACGAACACCACTCATTTTCATTTTTTTTTCTCTTTTTCTCTCTGCGCTCTGCCACTGTCAAAGTGAAAACTTGATCGCGAGCCAAGCTGAGCTCGCAGGAGGGTTATCAAGATGGTGAATCCAGGAAAACGAATGAACATATTACAAGCCGTAAGCCATTCTACTTTAATATCTATTCTCTTCTGAAATAGCTGCTAACACATTTCTCTAGAAGGTAATGCGCATAGTCTCTTAGACTTGGAAAAAAAAAACCTCCATTCTGATGCGAGCATCATTATAGTTACTGGCAATAAGACATGGCCCAGGAGCTGCGATATTACCGCCTGATATTACTCGGATACATCTAGATTTTGCCAAGAGGTGGAATGACGGCCATCTAGGACCCAGGTAAGAAGAAGGTTGTTTCCAATGGGGAAAAGAGATCATTGTAAACTAATTATAATTCCGTTTCATCGATCAGGAAATTCTGGAAAGTATGTCTCCCGCGATTAAAATATTGGAATCCAGCTGTCCCGATGCTGGTAAATCGGACACTGGACCAGACAGCCCCAGCTCAGATGTCCATATATTTCCGACAAACAGCTCTCTTATCAGACACACCTTCTGCCTTGAGCACCAAAATAAGTGCGTTACCATTAGCGCAACAGCCACATTCGAGTATAATGAACGAACATCCGGCGCCCGAGCCCGAGGAGGATGAGCGTGTCGTCAAGATCGAGATGAAGGGCCTACATTCGGATCAAATCCTGGCCGATTTTCTGTCCAAAACCGGCGCCATCGTAATCAGCCCCACACCTGACGAGCTGATGGAGATGCGGCAGGTCGAGGACCGTGCCGAGAGGGGAGCGGTCGACCGCGCCATCGTGAAGAAGTATATCGACGAGAAGCGTCGCGAGGAGCGCATGCTCGCTCTAGCCCGCCAAGAGGCCGAGGCTATCAAGTTGGCCAACCAGTAAGGTGATAGGTACAGGTAAAGCTGGACGAACTTTCCATTCCACCTGGTCGGGGGTCCCCCGACTTGTATACAGTTCGGGAAAATCACTCGACCGTTGTCAGGAATGTCGACGACGTGAAAAACTGGACATGGGCGACAAATGACCCACAAAGGATGACGATGACAACTCTTCGTCTCATCATATGAGGTCGCTTCATTTTGTACCAAGACGTGTATCATACGGTAGCTACCGGCGCCGACCCAAAAAAAATCTCGAAAGGGATTTATTTGTACATGAAGAAGACGGAAGTATATAACGCGGCCATGAGAAGCAGACGACGCTCCTCATATGAAGCAGCAGAAACAGTGGGGATACAACTACCTATATCTGCCTAACTAAATACAAGAAAGAAAGAAATTACAGTACGTGAGAGAGAGAAACCGAGAGTGAATGTTTCCCTTCCCCTTCCATCCTCCCCCTCCCCCATCCTACCACAGCACCAACACACACCTTGCATACACTCTGAGATATGAAAGCCTTGATCCCCATGGTATATCTCAATTTTACGTCAAGGAAGATTGATAAATCTTTTCGTCCACATCCTATTCCCCGTGGCCTTGTCCTCCCTTTCAAAGGGACTCTCTAAAGGACCACGGTTTATTTTGCTGGCCTACACTTCTTTTCTTCACATGTCTACTTGCCTAACCTAGATACATATCTATCGTGACGATGATCGTGATGATGAGTTGTTGTTTTGTTTTTGTCCAATGCCAACTACACGGCAGAGGCTTAGTTGATGCCTCGGAATTCAGCCTCCTTTTTATTTTATAGTACATAGGTGGTGCTGAACAGTCGGATGGCATTGTTCACTAGAATCACGTCACAATACCACTCTGAGTAGCAAGGAGCACTGAAGGGCAAGTCTAAGTAGATTCTCATATTCGTAACTCGTTCAATGCTAGGTATAAGACTACATTTTTCAGTATGATTTGTACAATCGTGCCAGTCACCTCGTCCCCCATTTCCACCATTAGTGACATCACCTTCCCTCCCTTTTTTCCCTCTCCCGGCTTTATACATAGCAAAGATAAAAGAAAATCAATATAAATATACAATTCAACCCTTGCTGAATTACACCTCAGTCTCAACATCCGGCTGTCGTCCGCTCAGCGCGCCCATCTGCGTGACCCGTCTAATAGCGAACTTGGCCTCGTTCTTCGCAAACTGCGCGTTGCGCAAGGGGCGCCATTGCATCAGGCCGCGGTGCTGCCGATGCAGGTCGCGGCTACGCTCCTTGTAGTCCCTATACTTGTTGATGGGGTTCCTGCTGCTGCGGCTCTTGCTCGAGTCCGTGGTAGTTTGCGTGAACGCGCTGCCGCTCGTCATGGAGCGGCCGATGTTGTCGCTGGATTCCGGTGCTAGGTCCGAGTTGGTACCATCTTTGATGCCGAGGTCTGTGTTCCCGTGGTTGAGTTTGAAGTTGGGCGAGGTGGGCGAGGTGGGGTCGGCAGCACTGCTGGAGCCGTCGACGAGGTCTGAGTCTGAGTCGGTTTCGTACTCGGTCTCGACGTGATCCTCGTTGCTGTCGTGGCGCGTTGCCATGCTTGCGGGATCCTGGCCAAAGGCGCCGGTCCAATCCGTTCCGTCTTTCGAGAGCCACTTTCCCTTCTCCTCTTCGGGAGCCGCCGCAAGCACGTCACGGGCTTGGGTTAAAGAGTCGTCATGTAGTTTCTGGACTGTAGGGGGCACGACACCCTTCACTTCTTCCTGGCGGACGCCCTCGGCAAAACAAGCTTCCCAGGTCTCGATGGTCTCGCGAGACTCGTTGTCGCTCACAAACCGTAGGTGGTCGCGGTCTGTTCCAGCCTTGAACCGGCCGCGGAAGCGTAAACGGCCTACCTCTTCGATATTTATGTCGGGGATGGTATGGAAGTTGTTCTGTGTGATGAAGTTCTGCGACAGCCGCATCGCGTTGTTGCACTTCCACACAGGTATATCGAAGTCCTTTTCTTCATTGTCGGCGAGCTCCTGTAACCAGATGGCTGCGAAATACTCCACGTGACGCTTGCCCGCGAGATGGAATTCGAAGAAGACGGGAGATCTATACCGGTACCGAACGGGAAGACGTGGGCGCGGGTTGTTGGTTACGCCACCAATGTTCCACTCTAGATTATCGCCTTCCGTGTTACATTGGTCGCGGTGAACTACCGCTGAGCTACCTCCTGTTCTTAGTCGGAGTTTTGCATGGCCCTTGCCCGAACCGTTGAAAGTCGAAACGATTTTATCCGACATGAATTCGAATGTGCCAACGTCCCAACCAAGTTGTGTCGGTGGTAGCTTGAGTTCGACTGGCCGGAACAGTAAAGAAATACGAACCCTGCCAAAGCCAATGCCGCCATCCAATGGGTACCATCGTGTGACCTAACCATCACTGTTAGTGTCTCATTTCCTGGAGAATATAATGGGGGTTGTTCTTGACTTACCTGGCTGCTTGTCTGCATGAGGTCCGAAATCTTCAAGGGAACCACACCGATTATAGGATCGTGCTGCCTATTACGCGAGTCACGAACCGTGACAGTAACAATCGAAGATCTCCAGTCCCGGGCAAATCGTTCAGTACCAGCATTGAATATAGGCTTCGAGGAGGCGACTTTCGTTCGAGTTTTGTAAACCTGAAATTGTGTTAGCGAAGGTAAAATACAATAGCGCCACAAGAACTTACCAATTCATCATTGAACAAGATGGTGCAGTAAGCACTTGGCAGTTTCTTGCTCGACTCCTCCTTGATCTCGCCGGCGTCACGGGCAGGTTCATACTCCCTACCCCCCTTGCGTTTTCCACCTACCGAGCCCTTGACATCAGCTAGCTCAAGGTTGACGATCTGGTGAACCACGACACTCAGAATACCAGAAGGCCAGAGAGGATCGGGAGGCGTATGTACGACAGCATCTTCTTCGTCGTTTTGAATAGCCCCCTTATCATCTTGCAACTCTTTCTTATCCCGAATCTCTTTAGGTAAGCTGACGTCCTTACCATCCGTACGCAAAGCAGGGCGGAATTGGGTCTTCCCGAAGTAGCCGACTTCCCAATGAAGCTCGCCAGGCATGCTGCTCTCAGCCTTGACACCACGAAGTTTAGAGACTTGCTGGTACATTTTTCCGGGATGCTGGATGAGCTTCTGTAGGGACATTTCGACTTTGCCGACTACATCATCAGCACTGGAACGATCACTATCCCAAAGTTCCATCGACAACTGCTCATCCACCTTGATGAGGTCAGCAGTAACCGCCAAAGCACAGGTCTCCTCCCAGACGGGGTTGAGGTCATCTTGAATGACACGGGTGCAGTACATGGGTTTTCCAAACTTGGAGAAGCCGACGGTGACATAAGGATCGGAGCCACCGCCCTTGGAACCTCGTGAGTCTTGCTTCGATAATCCCACAGCTTTGTGGATACGAATGAAGAGTATTCCCAAAGCGTTGGTGTCTTTTTGGATATCGTCTCCTGAGAGCATCTTGCCGAGGTCGAGCGTAAGTGACTTGGGCGCAACGTACATGCTGGCGGCGGCCTTGATGGCCCAGTTGACAAAGTTAGAAATTACTGGTAGATTCAGGATATTGACCCCGCGCTCAATCATTGGAGTGCAGCCAGCCTCGACCTTAGGGACGCCCATGAGAGTGAAAGTGACCGCCTTGAGGAATGGCGGCTCGGGGGTCATTTGGAGTCTGAGTCGTACAGTTCCAACCAACCCAACCAATTCGACCCCTATATGTATGGTTAGCGGCTGCATATTACACGTAGTGATTTGCAATTAATCAACTCACAAATAGGTAATGGGATGCCAAACAATCCTTTAACACCAAGGTAAAAGACCAACTGCATGCCCATATTCTGAGCCTTTTCTGACATGGACTCAGTTGAAGGCTTCGCATGGTACGCAAACGATACTTCTAGATTATAGTAATCACCACCCTCTTCGTCGGCAGCCAGTTCCTGAGGATCCTTGATCTTTTCATTCTCCTTATGCATCTCATCTTTCACATCCTTCATGTGGCTATCGGGAAGAGCCCGAAGACTCAGGATTCGGATGGGATTATTTCCTTGGTTAATATCGGCCACTTTCACGTTCTCAATGATACCAGGAACCGAAGCTTGCATGACATCCTTCTGCTATTAGTATCGTTTTTCGAACTCAGTGGTGAGGATTAGATACGTACCTCGAGAGTGTCAGCTACTGCGGCAAACATGTCCGGGTTTATGAGGCCCCAGACGACACCGAGAAGTGTGTTCATCCATTCGACGGATTCGGGGATCAGGTTAGCGACCGCGGTCTCGCCCCGTTTTTGTTCGCTCGACCATTCGATATCCCGGCCTCGCCTTACCAAATCCTTCATCCACAAGAAAACACCGGAAGCAACACAGATAGCGAGGGGAATTAAGCCTAATAGCCTGCCTCCGAAGAATTTGCCTATGAATATGATGGATAAGAAAAGACCGGCGCATAGGATCATTGCCCTCTGTTCGATGATAGCGTACATGGGCTCATAGCTAACGGACGGGGTCGGGTGAAAGAGAATGTTCGTCCTCTCGCCATGAATTGGCACATCTGAGGTAGACCCGTTAGCCACTGGATCTGGCGGTGCCGTTATATCCTGGGCATTTTTATATTCCTCTCCCGACTGGGTTGCCTCTGTTTTCACAGTCGTTTCCTTGCCCAGATTCGCATTTGGCACAGAAATCTGGCCGTTGGTAAAATGTTAGTTGAACTTGTTGAGTGCAGCAAAGAATGAATTTGTGAGGCAACTTACACAACCTTCATTTACCGTCTTCATAAAATCGTTATTGACGTCGTCGATAGTGACCTGATTTCCCGTAACGGGGTCTGTCACGACTCTTCCGTTGCCTTTATACTCATTGTTGGCCTCATTCGTATGCGGCTGGGTGCCATCACTGTTCCTATTCGTTTTAGATTGAGCATCGATCTTAGCATCTCGATCCTTCTTGTCCTTATCAAGACCGGCGACGAATTCCTTGATGTTAGGGATCCTGTTCAAGCCGGAATAATGGCCGCCACCGGGATAGTGGTGGTTTTGCTCAGAAGCCATAGCTACGAGGTTATTATAGTGGTATAAAGAGGCTCTATAAGATATAGCACATAGAATAGCTTCTGTAATAAAGGAAGTAAGTAGTACTCTATTAAAGTTGTCGAAGAGCGACAGTTACATAAAGGCCAAAATAGGTAGGCTGTAGAGCTATGAAGGAAGTATAGGAAATATAGGAACTATAGGAAGTATGTAAGAAGTAGGTCATGTTAGAAATGGGAATTCAACATTGAATACTTTGGATATAGTACATGGTAGTATTGTGAGCTAAAGCAAGCTCTTGGTTAGACAAGACTTGCATCATCTTGTCAAACACGTTTCTCCTCTTCCGGTTGGAATTGTGTTGATGAATCGATGAATCGTGTGCTGTGAAAGTGTATGACGTCGGTGGACTACTTTTAGCTCTTCTTTGCTTCTTAATAAGTTACTAAGTTCTTATCTTGGTACATGCACTACTAGTAACTAGTAACTGCCCTACTGTAGGCATGTACGTATTGGACGGAAAGAACGGCAGGGGTTTTAGTTAGACTTTTAGTTGTGTTACTTGTGTTACTTGTGTTACTTGTGTTACTTGTGTTACTTGTGCTACTTGTCTCTCCATCGGCCATTCATTGTATTACATAAATGCATACATGATGTATCCTATGATTCCTATCAACCACAACAGCTTCAATGTTATTCTCAGGAATATTCTCATAATCAGGTTCACAATGAACCAAAATTGAGACCACACAGGTACTTGTCTTCCGTCCCTTCTTTCATCCCAACTTCCCAGCTGCCCTGCCCACATGCAAGTTGATGCAACGTCTTTTTGGAGAGCAGCACGGGCAGATCTACAACCAGGGTTAGACACAATGTCACAATCAAGACCCTTGCGTCATTTGCCATCTAGAACACCACACTAATCATATTGAACCAGGTTTCCATCTTCAATTCATAATATATTTCATATAGTTATTTCATATCCTTCGTATATCCATGCATCATATCATTTACGAGTCCAGACCGTGAAATACAATGCCATGGTATCGAATAACGCCCTTACTATGTACCTAGCCCAGCCAGGCCGCTTCATGCAATCATATGTATATCCTATGCGGAATGCGTTTAATCCAGCCGCTTTCCAGTACCTGGATCATGAATCCAGCACTGGTTTGCTTCCTATATATACAAGGAATATATAATGCTAGACCTCGATGCGAAGTCTACAAGGTCCGTCTTTTATACTTTCGGTATATCCGCCTTAAGACGGTACTATTACTGGTGTCTTCATGGCCATATCAACACTACTTTGTGGCGTAGTAGCTGCGCTCGAAACTTGGCTACTTGCATCAGATATGTCGAACATATCGATATCCATCTGATCCGTTGATGTGTCCGGCTGTAACTCGGCCGGCGCAGAGTGGGCTCGGACTGTTCTTAGTGATGTCCTTAGGGCGGCCTTGGTAGGCATCGAAACCAATATTGGTACGGGCGCAGACGTAGGCGCAGCCACGATAGTGGTTGGATCTCCTACCGCGGCTTTGAGAGCAGCTATTGCGCCGCTTTCGTTCTCCTCGTCGTCCTGGCCGATAGTCCAAACCCACTTTCGGTTCTTTTCCTTCTTCTTACGCTTGCGAACACCTTCAGGTTTGGGCGATAATGTCGGGGACGCTGTTCCTAACCCCGTCATACGCCGCCTCATTTCCTCGAACGGCCCTGGTGTCTCTCCACCGTCCCGGGTTTCGTCTCCTGTGTATGCCATAGCAAGGTCAAGTATTATATCCGAATCCTCTGCAACTGGTGTGGTCGTGTAGGGAGACGCATCGTCTACGAGAAGATCGATATGCGACTTGGTATATTTTTCATTCGTAATAGTCTGCGTCAACGGAGATAGATACCCTACTCGCCGGTCCGCCTTCTCTTGTAGGCGGCGTGATTGCCTTCTTTGAGTGTTGGGTGAAACAACGGCACTGGTTGGCGGTAAAGGTGAGTTGCGTAATATACTGCGAAGGGATCTGTCGACGCTATACGGTGCTTTGCTGGGAAACCCGAGCTGAGCGTAAATCATGCGACGCCTGTTATGAGCAGGGGAACGTGGATACGCGAGTCTGTTCGTATCGGTGGGGGGAAACATGAAGCTGCTAGATTCGGATGACTCGACTGGCCCAGCTGACAAGGGGGGAGTTGAGGTTATAGTACTTGGAAATATCATATCCGTTTTCTGGGCCGGTGAAAGAGGATTGGCGGACATAGGAGTATCTGGTAGCGTAGTAGTATGTGGTGTCACTACTCTGGCTTGGTGAGTATTGAGAGATTCTGTGTCTGTTTGGAGCTTTAGAGGTTGATGGAAATTAACCACCGGCCTAGGTGTTGATCGCGTTGGGGTTGACCTTTCAATAGCGGTGACATATACGTTTGAAAGAGTATTGAAGGCTGTGGGAGATCTTGTGTACACATTTGATATAGGAGGCCTTGATGACCTGACGCTAGGCCCGGGGGCGGGCTTGGTTTGGAGAGACAATTTGGGTCTCTTGGACGACTCGGGAGCTGCCATAGTAGCGGCCATAGTAGCGAAGGCTATGTCGAATTTTGCTAGATTTGGTTTCACAGAGGTTGGTGTTCTACGAAAGGCCTCAGGTGGGAAATATATGAGAAGGCTGTTGGATATGCCGCTTGGTGTATGCTGCCGGCAGGCGAGGACTTCCAAGCAACCACCCAGCCGGCCGGGATATATCAAGAGCAGTAAGAATAGACAAAATGCGGGACAGATGGTTGGTACGGGGGGATAATGGTTATGTATATAAATGCCTTGGCTTCAAGAGCCCGAAGAACCCGAAACAGAAGGAAAAAGAATGGGGCGGTTAGGTATATCGGTTGAGCGCTTGTACATAGTAGTAAAAGGAACTAATGCAAATAGAATGCAATATGCAGCGTGAAGCAACAAAACTGGAGGCGCAAGAAGAGGGGAATTACGTCGTGGGGGGGCAAACCGAACACCATCGATGAGAGGATCAGGAAAAGCGTGAGCAATGAAACTGGAAGTGGAAAGAAAACGAATTCGGCCCAGTGGTAGGACATTGGCTACGAGAAAGATGCAGTCATCCAAAGTTAAAGACGTTGGTTGGCTATAAAAAGGGACATGGACTTAGAAAGGGAGGTATGATTGAAGACGCAAGCGCCAACATACCCCTGCTGACCTCCACGATCCTAGCTATGTATAGCCAATGATCACCATGGCGAGGTCGGCTAATGGGTCAACATTTGCGCGCATGCTATTGCCGCTTTTTGCTCTTCTTCTGGCGCCTATCTCTACATATGTACCTACGTAGGTAAGCCAGACTGACAGACAGGCAGACTGATCAAGATTCTCTTGAGTCTTTAGACATACCAATCATGTTTCCCCGCATTTCGGAGCATCGGGAGCACAACATGCTTCGTAGAAGCGTTGAGGACATTATGGTCGAAGAGCGGTGAATAGTGAATATCATAGCATGGTAATACTCCAGATAACCGGAAAGTGTAGGCACCTATAATTATCAAGCATACGAATTAAACTACTATGCAAATTGCCACAAGGCATACCGAGAAAGGCGAGTAGTTACGAGGTACGAGGTACGAGGCGCGCTTAGAGGATTCTATCGTTCTGCAAGGGAGTTAGGAACCATGTTTGTTTGTTCTTGATGTTGGTTCTTGTCAATCTCGTCTTGTCTGAGTAAGCATTGTTCCTACGAACCATTAAATATGAGAGGGAATGTTTTGATCTGGTGGAAAAGTAGTAATAGATCTTGTGCGGATCTAGTATTATGTAACTACTAGGTACCTACCCAAGTGTAAAGGACCTACTAGGCTACTACTAAAGGTAGGTAATTATGTTTGTGTCGTATAATCGGTGATGGCTCTAGTTAGTCGGAGTCTTAACTCGTCCTATTTAGAGAAGCCAAGAGATTCAAAACAAATCTGCTTCTCCATTTCGAAGCATGAGGCTGTATTTATTTTTATCCCGTTTCAGTTGTGGACATCAAATTGCCAATGCTGCGGTGACAGAGTACATAATAGTAATAGCTAGGATTAAGCCGATGCCTGTTGATTGGCGGTGGGCTGAATCGTTGGAACTGTTAGGATTTTGAGGGGAAAACCCTTATTACTGTGTACAGTGATAACTGTTGAAGATGTAGCAATAAATAATAGCTCTTTAGCGAAACAGAAGGGTCAATATGAGACGGTGACAGTTATGCTTGAAGTGACACGGAAATTAGGGTGTATCAAATAAGTTGAAGAGTCAAACAAGTCAAACAAAGTCAAACAAAGCATGACGATTGAAGGTGGCAGGTTGTGCTAAATATAACTTTAAGCTCATGAAGCTATGTACCTTAGGTAACCACTTAGGTAACCACTTAGGTAACCACTTAGGTAACCACTTAAGATCATGGCAGGTGGATACTACATATGTAGGTATTCTACTAGTACCAGGGTAGGGTAGCTCCATTTGACTCCATTTTGACTCCGTTTAGGGCAGGCAGTGCCAGGCAGGCAGTCACTCAGGTCGTGCTCGCCCGCGAGATATCACCAAATTTTCTAGATTAATTTCCAGACTTTGAACTAGACTCCGAACTTTAAATGTTCCGACTCGTTTGCGTATTGAAACCTTTTCCCGAGGATTCAACAAAGTCAGAATCCATAATCCACTCATCAATCCCCCAACAGTCACCGATTATTCAGACTGGGTACCCAAGACACTGGGTTGTGTAAGCTACTTGCCCTACCTATTTACTCTCCATCTAAAAATGGAACGAGATGAAGTCAACGCCGTTGACTTCGGGACAGGCCCAGAAAATCGCCGCCAAGGTTCCTAAGAGAAACGAGGACCGCATCATTTTGCATTTTGTAAGTACCGAAATCTCTGACCCAGAACCCCCTTTTTTCTCCTTTTTTTTCTTTCCTGTTTCTATTTTCAGCCTCTACCTCCTATTAGGTAAATATTTCACTAGTATCTGCTTAGTACATAGTAGGCATCCATGATATGACTTGCTGACTGTGACGTGTTAGGACTACGACTGTTTTTACGCCAGCGTGTTCGAGAATGCCAACCCAGCTCTCAAAGGATTGCCATTAGGCGTCAAGCAGAAGAGTATCTTAGCTACATGTAATTACGCAGCTCGGGCCCGAGGGGTTTCGAAGCTGTCGTCGATCTTTGACGCGAAGAAGGCATGTCCAGAGATCGTGATCATCAACGGCGAGGATCTAACGCCATTCCGCGATGTCTCCAAAAGGCTATGGTCAGTATTGAGATCCTATTCTTGGAATGACCGCGTGGAACGCTTGGGGCTCGATGAGGTGTTTTTAGACGTGACAGATATCGTGGCATACAACCAAGAGCTGCTGAATCGTAACACCTTGCCACATTCCTTCTTTCAGCTTTCTCGACATGACCTCGAAAAGGGCTTTGTCTTCGACGGTACGCGGTTCTGTGGATGTACGGAACCTTTTTTGAACCAGGAAGATATCACCCTGGCCCTAGATAACCCACTATGTGTACGCCTGATGCTTGCATCACATCTAGCGGGCCACCTGCGCCACAGAATAGAAGAGGAGTTTGGGTACACGTCTAGCGGTGGTATATCGACGAACAAGCTGTTAGCAAAGATGGTTGGTAGCGTGCATAAGCCAAAGAACCAGACTACGCTTCTTAGTCTTCATGAGGATGACATCCAAAATTTCATGGATCGCCACAAGCTGCGGAAAGTTCCCGGTATAGGCTCTCGCATTGCGCACCTGATCCAGGACCACGTGATCCCAGCCAAGGAGTCTGCTACGTACGATCCGCACAACATGGACACAGGAGCCAAGGTAACAGTGGGCCAGGTTCGCCAATACCCATTCATGTCGGCAGACCAACTAGAGCGAATCCTCGACCGTCCCGGCGCAGAGCGTGGCGGTGGTGAGAAGATCTGGAGTCTGCTTCATGGCGTAGACAACTCCGATGTCAAGGAGGCGAGCGATGTGCCGACGCAGATCAGCATCGAAGACACGTATATGTCTAGACCATTAAATACCCCGGCCGAAATTTTGCGAGAGCTATGCGCCCTATCAACTTCCCTGGTCAGACGTATGCGAACCGATCTCACGGTAGACGACGATAGCGCGTATCCCTCCAACGGCCCAGCCGCTGACACCGCCTCTACCCCGACAATACAATCGAGCAAGCAGCCAAACCAATTATGTTGGGCCGCCTACCCCAAGACGCTACGCTTATCAACGAGAACGCGCCCTAAATCTGGCAACCCTGAAAACTTTAGCCGAAGCTCACGTAGTCAGTCACTACCAAGCTTCGTCTTGAATCTCAAGGACGAAAGCGTCGAGGCCATCGGTGAACGTCTAGCCACCGATGTCCTTCTCCCTCTTTTCCGTCGTCTAAATCCAGAGCGGCAGGGCTGGAATTTAGCGCTGATCAACATCTGCGTGACGAACATGGTGATGGTGGCGGGCCCTGGCGAGGGCGGAAACGGAGGACCGACAGGCTTCAAGGGGCGGAACATCGCAAGCATGTTTCGGACGCAGGAGGATAAGCTGCGGGAATGGACTGTCTACGATCCCACGCCTGTAAACGACGCTCCCGTGGCCTCTACAAATGTTGAGGAATTCGCCGAGAATGCTACTTGGACTGAAGATGAGAAGGGCGGCAGCGAGGAAGAGGAGTACCTCTCCATGGAAGTAGATCCAGTCTCCCTAGACCCGGATGCGGCGGATGCTTGGGAGGAAGAAGATGAGTCCTACCGCTGTCACATCTGCGGACACGCCATCCCCGTCTTCGCAATACCGGCACACGAAAGATTCCATGCCATTGGTGACTAGGTAACTGACTGATTGCTTTTCTCTCATTATCGTCTTCGTGTCTGCTGGAGACCTACCTACCTACCTACTGACACCCAACCCAGACCCCCTTTTCACTTAACAAGATACCCAATACGCACAACACACAATGCCCTGAGCCCATTTTCCTCGGTGAAGTGTAAGATAGGATGAGATGTATGTATGTATGTATATCCGTATATACGTCCATTCGTGTTTAAAATTTATTAAACCATAGCAAATTAAGGCCTGTGGAACCATAGTATGCAAGATAAAAAAAATATAAAAATAAAATAAAAAGAGAATTGAAAAAAAGTTCGACCGTTTCCTCGTTCTCGTTCTCGTTTCCTTCATTTTTTTTAAACAGACATTTCCCCCCTCTTGAGACTCACTAAAGTTCCTAACGTTTCCAGTCTCTTGTAAATCCCTACCCAAAGATATAAAAGAACCACCAAAAAAACAACTCCGGAGGTATCAAAAAGGCCAAAAATGCACCGTGATAAATTGTAAACCCAGACAAAGACCACCCGTCTCGCTCAAAATCCCCTCCCACCCCTCTGATTTTCGTTCATCGCCTGGTTCGTAGTGACCCAAAATCCAGCCAAGCAAACTCCGGCTTATAGCAAGCAAATATGATAATATCGCAGGTTCCTCAAGCAACCACTTCGTCGAGTTCGTACGCTCAAAGAAGAGGGCGTGGGAAGAAAAAACAAGCACACCTCCAAAACACCGCTGGGTAATATAGGTGGGATCATAATCGTTCCAATTCCTCGTTTCCCTTTAGTAGAGTCTCTAACCATTCCCCTGCTATTGTAAGCATCGTACTCTTGCTGTAGCCACCGCCCTTGAGATTCGGCACGAGCTCGCAGAGGTCATCGAAACCCTCTTTAATGGCCCCTCTTCTTTTTTGTTCACTTTTGATGTGGTTTTCCCTCTTTTGAGCGTCCGTCAGATTTTCTCGCTGCTGCTTCGAAGCTGCGGTAGACTTCCTCCGTTTTCCTGGCGTATCTTGGGATGCTGATGGGGTATCTGGGGTCACTCTTAAGTCGACTTTCGATTTACGTTTTCTGGCGGTGGATTTCGGTGGTATGGATGACAGATCCTCTACTTCTTCCACAGTTTCTTCTTTTGTTTTGCTCTTACTCTTCCGGCGTTTAGCTGGTGGACCATGATCGTCACAATCCGCCTTCACGTGACCATTCACATTACTGCCCCGTCGAGAATTAGATGAGCTTTCTCCGTTGCCTACTGGTGATGAAGGCCGGGTGGTAGCGGCACTTTCGCTGATCGAGAAAACCTTGAGAGCACCTAATCGTTTTTGTTCGAGAAGCTCACTGGATTCGTGTCCAGGGGGGGCATAACCTTGTGCTCTGGCAAAGCTCGAATCGGAACCCCATTGCAACTCGTGTGACTCGATTTGCCCTTGGTTGGAGAGTCCGTGCGGTGGTGCAAACATCATATCGCTAAAAAATGCATCGGGGTCGTTCGACGGGGTATGCCTCTGAATACCAGGACTATGTCGATGGGGGCTAATTTGATTTCGAGTTTGCGGCCTCATTTGATCGATAGGAGTACCGTTGTGTGGGGAAGGCACAACGGTTGAGCGGCTTGCGCCATTGAGATTTGACGAGTGTCCATTTTGGTGTCCATGGTGGAGAGATGTGAGAACTGCAGCAACATCTGCGTGTGCGTTCTGATCGATCGGTGTGTGCGGTGTGTGCGGTGTTAGTATATTATGGTGTTGTTGTTGTTGTTGGTGGTGGTGTTGATGCGAGTGTTGGAGTTGCAATGATGGTTGCGGAGGTGGAGGCGGCATCATGTTTTGTCCAAAGGTGAAGACATCCTGAAAGGTTGTGGCGGACAAACCGTTCATTGACGAGACGGAGGGCTGTTGAGGTTGCTGGCCAAAGGACGTCGTATGGCCTAAAAATGCTGGAGGAAGCTGACTTATCCACTGTTCACTAAAGTTGAGCCCTTCGCCATAGGAAGTAGGATATTGATTGGACGTCATGTCCTCGAAGAATATATTTAGTAGTCTAGAATCGTCTTGGCTTAACAACGGATCTCCCGGTGGTGGTGTAGGAGCTCTCAAAAATAGAAAATCGGGATCAGAAATATGATCTACAAAAGACGGTTAGTCCATACTGACGGTAGGTAGCCTATGAACGAGAAGGAGGCAAGACGTACAACCAAACGGCGCATTGCCGTCGGGCGGTTGTGAAGAACCCATTTTGGGACGTTGTATACACGCGGCGCTCATGGGTGCTTCTGATCGACGTAGTCGTGGGATCGTGAAAAGTGCGATCGGCTTGGGCTTATAGAGATGGGCGTCGAAGAGCAAAGGAGCGACAGTTTGCCAAAAGAATCTCGTTGTATGTTTTGGCGATATTGATATTAGTTGTCGGATAGTGACGATCGTATTAAGGTTTTACGGGTTTGTGGAAGAAGTTGGAAGTTGGGATCTATTAGGCATGCGTGACATGAAGAACATGAGGACACGAGAGGCTATAGAATGTAGCAGGAGGGTATAGTCGAAATAATGCTGGTTGGGGTATACCTCCGCAGCGGGGATGAGCTGGTATATAGCTAAATAAGTATATTATTGCAGAGAGTGATCGTCGTCTACAACCAAGTCGCGACAAGGCTGTTCGGCTGCAATCCGGGTCAATGGTTCAAACAGGGAATAATAGCGGAGTTTCTTCAGATAGATCTCTTGGAGTATTGCATATCATCGGGTAGAATGGACTACACGCTATGGCTGACCCCTGAGTATAAGAACCGAGGGCGTCGTCAACTTCGATCAGACTAGAAGGAAAAAAGCCCATCAAGCTTTGGATCACAAGCAAGATGGAGCGTCGACCCAAGTAGGTGTACTGTAGGGTAAAATAAAGTAGGGTCGAGTAGATCAAGTAGGTAGTGTAGGTAGGTAGGCAGGTAGGCAGGTAGGCAAAGCAGGTTAAGGTAAGATAGGTTAGGTAAATGGAGGATTGTGGAGAGAAAGTGGTCAGAGTCTAGCGTAAGTCGCAGTAGCGTCCTAATGTAATAGTATGTAGTGCTATGTATCTACATACATACCCATAAGTACATTATGTATTGTACAATACTGTAGTAGGACCTGGTAGGTAGGTAGGTAGGTAGGTAGGTAGGTAGGTACAGTAGGTAGGTATGTATCTAAAAGATCGACGGGCCTTTCTTTCGTTGGCGTCGTTGCGTGCATAAAGATGTTACGGCAACAATGGCATTGTACCCTACTAGGAGGGAAAGGAAACGGAAAGCTCCAAGAATGACAACCTGGAAAGAGATAACTCAAAGCTAGCAAGTGACCTCAAGTCAAGTATGTAGTGTAACACAACTGTAAAGGTAACGGGGTTTAAAGAGAAGGAGAAATGACGGAGGAGAAGGTCTTCGGAGTGAACTGCTATTCGTTAGAAGTCTTTTTTTTTTTTTTTTTTTTTTTTTTTTTTGGTCTGTAGTAATTAGTCACCTGGCCTTGCCAGCATCAATGATCAAAGCAGCAAACCCAATAAGCCACATTTATTTATTAATTTATTTAACTGGACTAAAACCAATTAGGTAGCTCATCCATGATTGATTGATCCTTACATAATTGTAGCACTGAAGCGAAGCACGGCGCTGAGTACTAGCATCAACTAACCTAGTACATACATGTACCTAGCAATGGTAGCGAAATGAGATGAGGGGTAGAGCGTAGGTGAAGGTATAAGCCTATCGGGGACCCGCTTCTAACGGGCCCACTTCGCTGTATCAAGTTCTTATTAGACCGTTATTCTCGAATAGTCTTTTGCGAATAGTCGATTAGCAACATAATCTTTCAGGTACTGTACGTATTGGACCTTGGAAATAATCGAGCTAGATCAAAGTTAGCTATGAGCTATTTCTCCACGATTCCAAATGCCGTACCATACTACGGTAGTTAGGTAGTTGGATATGTACTACGGCGTAGTACGTAGTTACATAGTATGCCATTGCAACTTGATATAGAAATAAATTCAATCAATACCGTTGTTCTCATTTAAAGGGTCTTTTAATGCAAAACCTATGTACTCTAGGTACATACCCTAGTACTTTTATGTACTTAAGCAAGTAAACCAACCGTAACTGACTAAACTGACTCAAGCAACTGCATTGCATAGCTCAGGTGTCCAGACTTTCCATCATTGAATTTGGTCTTAGCTTGGCAGGGGGCAAGGGGGAGGGGGGAGCTCCGAGGTGCGATCACATGTAAATTTCTCCTTTTGTTTTTTTGTTCAAAGTTTGCCTTCAGTTTCTATAGCACTTATCCCAGTACCTATTTACCTACCTATTTACCTACCTATGATCCTATACCTGAACAACATCTCTTGAAATAGTTATACTACTGTAACCTTGTCTTCTTCTCACTCAAAAATATAATAATGAAATAATAAAGAATGTTCAAAGCTTCATAAGAACAAGGATCAATTCTGACATCACCAAGTATTTCGTGGAAGTGCAAGTGTTCCACTAACACTGAAACTTGGCATTTCCATCCAATTAGTTACGCCGTCCTTGTCAACCAACTCAAACACAGTCGGCGCTCCTCTATGAGCGAACATCGGGGTTTGCTCCGAGCACGCCTCGTCGATTACGTGACCACGTTGCGTACTATACCTTGTCGACCACCGACTTACACAGTAACAGCCCTAACCTTAGCAGAATGTATGTTAAGATGTGTTCTCCTTGCTCTTCTAAAACCTAGATGTATGTAGGGTACCAAGTGCTGCGGTGCCAAGTGTGCCAAATATGCCAAATGTGCCGGCCTAGCACTTCAAATCTTCTTCCGCACAGCCCAATACCATACACTAGTTTACGGCGCGACGACGAGCGAGTCTCCTGTGTCTTATTTATCTTTTTATGAATTGAAGCTGGAGGCGGAAATTCGGCCGAGATAGATGTATGACCCTTGGGTCTTGGCCACAAATTTCCGAGATTCGCGACGAACTTCTCAGTTATTCCTCCCACTGCCCAGTAGTTAACTACATGTATTTGTTACTACACGTATCTCTGATTATGTAGTAACTTACTACTAGTAGTACTCTCTGCGAGTACCTGCGAGTACCTGGGGGTATTCGGTGACAAAATTGGATACTCGCCTACATCCAGCAACTATTAGTTACCTAGAAACTAACTAACGATGCTTTAGGGATTAAAATCATATGACTATTTTTGGTGCTTTCTCTCTCTTACTCTCTCTTATTACTCTCTCATAATAGTCGATAGTTATATGCGGTATAAGGTCGCATGCATGCATGAAATCGGGCTTCCCTGTAACTACATGTATAATTTGTGCTTCGACCAAGTCACCAAGTGTATAACTCTGGCCTGTTTCGGGCACCACCGCCGCTCAGCTTCGGCTGAATCGCCAAAGAACGACTAGTAACCCATAACACGGTTAACACCAACTTTTGCTTAGCGTACCTATTATTTAACACCTATTAACAGCAATACCTAATTCATACATAACTACTTTATCCCCTTAAACTACTAGGTACCTCATACATACATCCGCTCAACTCGATTACCGCATCACCCGGCTTTCGAGCATCGTAACGCTGAGCTTCTCGGCGTGCATAGCTTCCGATTGCAACCTCCTTTCCGGACTTCTTCATCTGAACTCGACTCGCTGCCGCATACTGTTCCCAATTTTTGTTTGTGATTTGTGGCGAGGCGGTTTTGTTACCTACCAAAGCCACAGATCTAAGACATTATTAGCACGCCGCATCTTGGATCCTTCGAAAGGTATGTTGATCGCGTCTTTAAGCTACCTAGGCAAAGCCCCATTCTACTTCTAAATAGTTCGAAAAAAAAACTACATGTTGTATTCTTCAGGGTTACAATACGGTCAATACCAATCCCTCTCAATTCATCTGGAACAAGTTAATTTTTTGGCCCCTGAATATTATCCGATTCCTTACTCCCCCATTTTTACAGCCCAATCCAATAGATCCTACAGCTAACACTGAGAACTCGAACTCCACATGAAGACGCGGTGTCGCGTAACTTGATTGTGTGCGATTTCAAACTCGCTATAACCTCTTAAGTTGATAGTTAATAACCATCGTAACTATGTCATCTTCCACTGCCACTCCTCTAGTTATTCCGCCCAAGGCCCTGCGGAAGCTGGATGATGCCATACCACCACTTCTAAGACCTCTAATTCGGGCCTATGTCTTGGGCTACGCTTCTGCTGTTACACCCAGGGTCCTCACCTTAGTTATGCAGTATGTAAACAGAAGGAGGAAGGGCAAGGGTACTGTTACCGCTAAAGTCACCCGGTCCTTCATCGCATCCCTGCAGCGTATCCTCCGTGGGGGATTAGAACTTCGAAGATTCCCAGCTTTCTGCGCCGCCCTCGTAGGCGGAAGTACATTATTAGAGGCAAGAACTTATTCTCTACCTAGGCCTTTTTTCTCTTTTTTTTTTCTTTTTTTTTTTTACCTTTGTCCCTCGCTAGATTTGGATTCAGGTTTCAGATTCAAAAGAGTCAAGATTCAAACGTGTCTGAATAGCGTCGTCGTAGAACATCAAAGCTAACTACTGGTCTCGTTTTATAAAGGTTCTGCTGGGTAAAGTTCTAAGTCGTCTCCTGAATGGCCAGCTTACAAGCCTGGTCCAGAAAAGGTAAGTTCGAGCTCGCTTACACACAAAAGAAGAAAAAAAAAAGAGGACGTTTCATTGGGAAAGCTTGGCAGTAGTATCCTACCCTTGGCGTGCATCTCAGCCCGAGAAGGGCAGCTGCATAGCTAACAGCTGGGTAATGTAATAAACGGCTAACTGGATATTTATTACTATTATTACTATAGACTCGCGAGAGGGTTGTCCGGCTTCGTTGCAGCCTGGTTGAGTCTCCAGCTGTTGCAGTCGAGCAAGAGTGACGAGTTCCTAGAAACGGCTTCGATCGACTTCCAGTCTAAGCAGGTAAAAGTAGAGAAGGCAGGCCGAACTCTGGATCTGACACTGTTCGCCGCGACCAGAGCTTTGGACGTGATCGTCGGGGAGCTATGGGCTCGAGCGGAGCAGCACCGGCCCACGGCTGGCCAGCGGGCTTGGGTATGATTTAAGACATCCGCAATCCAGATGGGCTTGCTTACATGACATGGCTAACCATTTCCTTCCTTCTAGGTTGAATCGATGATGGCTAAAATAGCCGACCCAAGCGTATTTGCCGCCTCTTCCTCATTGATCATGTGGGCATGGTTCTACGCTCCGTTCCAGCTACCAAAGTCATACCAGAAATGGATCGAGCAAGCGGCTGCCGTGGACCCCCGCCTCGTCGAGGCTCTTCGGCTTTGCCGTTCCGGCGAAATCCGTTATGGCGAAGACACCGGGAAGGCCTCGCTGCTTGAATCCATGTGCGCGGATTTCAAGTGGCCGTTGGAGTGGGGAGACCCCTTCAAGTCTATCCCGTTCCCGTGCGAGATGGTCCACATGGGCAGCGGCCCGTCCTGCGAGCGCCACGCCATTTCCCGCTTCTACAACTCCTTCAAGTGGTCCATGGCCACGTATTTCCCGCTCAGCTTCGCGGGCCGCAAAAAGGACCTAGGCGGCCTTAAGAAATCTCTGCTATCCTCCGCGCGCTCTTCCTCGTTCCTGGCTGCGTTCATCGCTCTCTTTTACTACGGCGTGTGCCTCGCACGGACGAGAATCGGCCCCCATATCCTCGGCAAAGACACCAAGTGCCGGCAGATGATCGACGAGGGCCTCTGCGTCGGGTCCGGCTGTTTTATGTGTGGGTGGAGCATCTTCCTCGAGACGGTGGCACGGCAAAAGGAGCTGGCACTTTTCGTCGCCCCCAAGGCCTTGGCGACGCTCCTCCCCAGACGATACTCCACCGACAAGCAGTGGAGGGAGACGTTCGTCTTCGCCTTCAGCTCGGCGGTGGTGTTTACCTTCGTACGCGAGAACCCCAAGAGAGTCCGCGGCATACTGGGGAATGTTATGGGTTCGGTTCTAGAGCCGTAATAATAGTTTGCTTCACATCCGATCTGTTAGAACCCACACCACGTGTGGAATATTCATACCCCCCCATTGCTTAATCAGTTGTTGTAATTAGAGTTATAGATTAGACTATCGTCAGCTTGTAGATAGAACGTCAGGCCCCTTAAGGAGAGTAGAGAGGAGAGGAGGGGGGTTAGGGTGAAAAGGGGCAGAGTTGTAGCATTCGGCATGAATGGACGAACGCGATGACGACAGGACTTCTATAATATCGCCACGTCCTGTAAAAGGTTAACGAGTAGCCTTGTCAATGAAGTGTAATTAATGATAGACCCCAACCGTAACCCTTCAAACCGTATCGTACCGTCCGCGAGATGCAGAGACTCGGGCCGGTGGTTGACATGTTTCCCGAAGGTTAAAGGGGACAGGAATATGCGGCTTAAAACCCAAGTGATACGCGTAGTCTGATAGATACCTGTCTATAATCTATACGCTACTAAATATATCACTGTTTAAGTATTCCCAAGCGTCTACCTAGATAGTCACTCATAGCTTTCACTCCATCATCACAACACTTTGTCGCCACCGCACCCAAGCTTTGGCCCGAGCTCAGGATATGGAAAATATATAAACCAAAGTAGCAAGTGCATCTGGTAGCCAGGTTGGTATGGCCTAGCGGTTCGGTTCGTCGAATTTGCTCTTAGACTGTATATAAAGTCAATGCTTCAATTGCCACTACAATAACCGACCATTGGATTCTGGGGTCCGATTCCCCAGATGGCGGGTAAGTCTTTCCTTTTTTCTTTCTCCCTATTCTGTTTTTCAACAAGCTTCGCGTGTAAGAGGCCAAGTGGAAGAAGCGTTATTCCAAGCTGACGCTATAATGATGTACTTAATAAGAAATGCCCCTATCGCGATATCAGTATGAGATCTCCCACTTATGTCGTTCTTGTTTTAACACTCGGCCGTGACGAAGACGGTGGGTTATTAATTATTCTCGCGTTGTATTACTGGCTATGCCTCTATCATTAACATCAATCTTCATAACCTCCCTATATGCAGTACCAATAGTCCCTCATGGTCATGCTCTCCACCAGCTACAGACTCCCAACACAAATACGCAAACCAACGCATCATTTCGCACCGTGCCCAGAATGCGTCCGTAGCGTAGCGCATGCTGCGTGTAGCCTTTGATCGGTCCAGGTAAGAAGCCGCTGACTGTCCACATCCAGCCCTTAGGCGGCTCTCGGTCCTTTTCTAGGAAGTATCGCGTGGTGAGTAGCAACGCCTCGACGGTAGAGAACACGTAAAAGAAGTATGCACGCGTGTGCTCGATGCTGTCTTCACGGTCCGAGTATTTATTGGCGATGGTCGCGTGCTCGCGCTCGCTTTGGGTACCTGTGAAGGTGGTTGTGAATGCTAGGAAGAGGCCTAGTCCTAGCGCGAATACGGCGTGCAGGATGCGCCAGAGGTTCGCCGTCTTGTTCGCAGCTTCCTGTTGCGCTTGCTGCATGGGGTTGGCGCCGCCATTCATCTTGCTCAAGTTGCCGAATAGCCCGTCCATAGGTGTTCCGGCGAATGGATTTGCGCCATCAGCACCGCCAGCGCCAGGGCCGCCCGGCATACCACCCATCATTTGCGAGAGCATTTTCATCATGGGATCCTCTTCCATACCCTCCATGCCAGGCATCGGGGGGGTGGCGCCAGCTGACGATGGGTGGTTGAGGCCAAGCATCATCTGGCGTAATTGGGCCTCAGAGACGTTGCTTGGCAAATCGCCAAGCTCAGGTCGAGCAGTGGTGCCGGGTTCGTAGTAGTGTTGCGATATATCGACTTCCTCTGGATCTCCGTGTTGCTCTGAAGCTGTCGTTAAAGTGGCAGCTGCTTCTGGCGTGCTGGTTTCAGATGATGGTTGAGGTTCAGGAGCTATACATTTGTGTTAGAATGAATTGAAATGACAGGACAAAGTTGGGAAGTTTATTACCCCTTTGTATGCCTCCACCTAGGCTAGTGATCTTGCTGAGTCGTGTAGATGCGCTACCCTTGATCTTGGCTTCGCGACGTTCCTTGCGTATACGGGTCTGCTCTGCAGCTCGCGCAGCAGCAGCGGCATCTTCATCAACCTGTATTCCTTCCGTCATTTTGACTGTGGTCTAGGTTTAATTTTAAATGAATTATGCAGTGGATTTGAATTAAGTTGCGAGGACGATGTCGAGGGTATCCAGTATCAAGGATGGAGGATGGAGGATGGAGTGTGTATTGTGAAGGTTCCAAGGTGTACTATTAGTACATAGGTAGTATTGTTGTCTAAGAAGAAGGACAGCTGTGTCAATTTGTCAAATAATTGAAAGATTGACGTAGCACCTATCGGAGAAGCCCGCTAAGTTTATGGCTAAGTTTATGGCTAAGTTGATGATATGCACGTGGGGTTATCGATAAGAATTACAGAAATGCAGATCAGGGACTATAAAGTTTATTAGTGGAGTACCAAGAACGCAGTTGCAGGGTATAGTTAGTACCAAAAATTTCAATCTTCAAATCTTCAAACTTCTATATTATATAATTTTTTTTATTTTTTTTATCCTTCTTTGCTGTCAAATCTTCAAAGCCAATTCCCTCGAACAATAAGATGCACCGTGTCTTGTCATCGAGATGGCTCAACAGTGCACTAAACATCACCGAACACTCAAGAGCAGTTGAGCTACCTTTGTTCCTTTGTCCTGCTATTAACGCTACATCACGTCGCCAAAGAATAGGTGCTGTCGCATCCTCGTCTCCGCTACCAACTCCACGATGGAGGATACAACAACGCTGCCTGCATATGCAGCCTGATGTCCTAGACATCCCAGATGTTCCTAATGCCCCTAATGCCCCTAATGTCCTAAACGAGGAAGCCTTTTCCTCCTCTAATACCACATCTACTGAGACCTCTACTGAGACCTCCAGTGAAATTATCCCCCAGGATTTGCCTATCAAAAAATTACCTAGGCAATGTCGTGGTTGTGGTGCTTTGTCGCAAACCACCCTTCCAAACCAACCTGGATACTTTGATCTTGGTCGCAAAGCCGTTCGAAACTTTCTTAATCCTAGCATACCTAGTCGAGACCGACGGTCTCAGCTAGAGGAAAGTGTCGTTGAAAATGCGCTGAAGCATCTTGATCGTGAGGAGTTGGCAAAGAAAGGGGTTGATGTGGAAGCACTCATGACGAGTCTAACGCCGCCAGCAACCCAACCACGACCGCCTCCAAAGGTACCCACATGCGATAGATGCCACTTTCTACTGCATAATCACACTGCAGAGTCGATATATCACCCTTCCTTGGATGCCATTAGAGATACTCTTGAAGAGTCGCCCTATAAATATAACCATGTCTACCATGTCCTCGACGCCGCCGATTTCCCAATGTCTCTGTTGCCAAGACTATCTGAACTACTCAAATCTATGCCCTTGAGAACGAAAAATCGCCGGTCCAGAGCTGGCAAGTTTTACGCCAACCAGAAAACGGAACTAAGTTTTGTGATAACGCGATGCGACTTGCTGGCACCGACAAAACCTCAGGTAGACAACCTATTTCCCTACTTACAAGAAGTACTTCGAGATGCTCTCGGACGAAGCGGACGTGACGTGCGTTTGGGTAACTTGATAGCTGTTAGCTCAACCCGAAGTTGGTGGACTAAAGAACTGAAGGAAGAGATCTGGAAACGAGGGGGGGCTGGTTGGATGGTTGGAAAAGCCAATGTTGGAAAGAGTCAACTGTTCGAAGCGGTTTTCCCCAAGGGGAGAATGAATGCGATGCCTACAAGGCATCAGATCACAGTTGACTTGCACGCAAGCCGACCAAGGGAAGCAGAAGTAACAGAAGAGGCGCAAACACAACCTAACCCTCCCACACAAGAGGACTTGGACACTCAACAAATAGAGCAATTTGAAGAGGAAGTTGACGAGTTTTCCCTCCTCCCACCTGCGCCCAAGGAGACGAACTATCCGGAAATGCCATTGGTTTCCGATCTACCGGGTACCACGGCGTCACCGATCCGCATTCCATTTGGTAACGGCCGAGGGGAATTAATTGACCTCCCTGGTTTAGAGCGTACTGGCCTTGAACAGTATGTCAAACCGGAACATCGCCTGTCTTTGATCATGCGCTCCCGCATCGTACCAGAGCAAATGACTCTTAGGCCGAGCCAGTCACTTCTTCTCGGTGGCTTCATCCGCATCACGCCGAGAGAGCCTGCGCCCATCATGTTAGCATATGCATTCACACCCATCGAGGCACATGTAACGAGGACCGACAAAGCAGTTGGTATTCAAAACCACACTGGCGAGGTCAATGTCGACAGCATAGCTTTGCCGGAAACTGGTGAAAAGACGCAACTGGCAGGTTCTTTCGAGCTAAGATGGGATGTGACGAAACAACGTACTGGGCCGTTAACCAGGAAGAACGCTATAGGGTTGAGCGTAGACCAGCTGCCGTATCGAGTCCTATCAACTGACATTCTAATTGAGGGCGTTGGATGGGTAGAAATTACCGCCCAAGTACGCGTAAGGGATCTTTATGAGCGGAGGCGAAGGCCAATTCTGCCACCTGTAGAAGAAATTCCGGAGAAAAAAGAGCTTTCGGCATTAGAAAGGTTGGAAGCGGTAGGCGAAGATGCAAAGAAGAAACACTCGCCTCCTCCCGAATTTGAAGAGCACTACAGTGACGAGCCAAATTGGCCGATTGTGGATGTATACAGCCCGGAGGGCAAATACATCTCTAACCGTATGCCCATGAATGGCTGGATATTGAACAAGCCAAGGGTCACACCCGAATCGAAACGGTCGAGACCTAGGAGGAGTATGAAGGGTATGAAAAAGCTTGAGAAGAAGCGTAGACGAGAAAGCCAGGCCGCCAGCCCTACGTCTGCGTCGTTCTGAAATAAACAAACCCCTATCGATTATTTTTGAATTGTACCAACTCCCTAATCGTGTGCATTTCACACGTGATATGTACCATATGCAATAACAGACGATATATCAACTTGACGCTTACCTGTGCATGTATCCCCTCCCCCCCGCGGATTTATCGGTTACCATTGTCTGCAAATACTAGGTAGTCTCCGAGGAAAAAAGTACCAACAACTGAATTTCATCGAGACTAAAATGGTTAGAACTTTTGGCGACTGGTGCTCAGATGTGACAGAGACAATAACTCAGATACGATGGCCGCTATTGAGTGGTTGAAGCTTGGAGTACTTCCATGTCTGCCTTGACATTCTTCACCATCTGATTCCCCCTTTAGCCAATGTTATACCTAGATGTCTAGGGTAGACTCGGGTTCTGGCCAGCATTAGCGTTGATAGTGGTTTCCGAGTACAGAACAATCTTGGTTCCATTGTAGCCACATGAGACTTTTTGCTTGGCAGGGCCAGTTGCAAGGATTGAATGAGTTGGGGTGAAGGACAAGTATACGAATGCAATAGGATGTATCTTTTGTCACTCTATCCTCTAACATAGTAAAGATAAAGCAGCACGATTTTGTCTTAGATTAACATTATCACGTGATACCCCTTGTCACATACATGCATAGCACATGCATACATATAATAGGACTGCTATGTAGATTGATTCTGCACAGACCATGCGTATCAGAACAAGGATCGGCAAAGCAACCGCACTACCGGATACGTACCCATGAAGGTATGAAGCGTGGATTATTAGTCAGCGTCAGCAAGCTTACCCTGGTCTACCTTGTACGTCAATACCGTATGACGCGGGGCAATGTGGGGCGATATTTTTTTTGGGGTCACGGTACGGTAGCTCGGATGTATTTTTCCCTCTTCCTTAATTGATTCAAGGTTCTAACGGGTACCAAACCTGCTATTGCACCTACCTGGGTAGTTCAACGGTCCAACGGTCCAACGGTATTGTATCGAAAGCTTAAGAATTGGAATGCAACATCCCTTACAATCCCTTACATGAACAAATCAATTAACAAATCAATTAACTATATTGTGTTTCGCTTCCTTTCATTTTAGAATACATGATCAATGATCAGGAGGATAATACCCTTTGAATTCTAAGAAAAAAGGAAGGACCAAAAGAAGAAAAAGTAAAGAATTCAACTCAACACAACTTCAATACATAACCCAAATCCTCACAATCTGTCTGTCCTTGGCTGCTTCATTACATACCTACATACACCTAGTCCAGGGTCCATTTACGCCTCCTTCTCGCCTATACGGGAATGCGTATGTAGGTAGGTAACTAACTCCCTCAGCTATCTCACAGATTCTCACTGTGTGCTACCCCAAAAGCCACCCAAAATACCTCCAGGTCGATTTATAACCCCTTTGGTGTCTTAAAAGTGCGCGACTTCCTGGACCACGCACACACACGTACATACGCGCACACGCACGCACCATACACGCACTCACACACACTCACACACACTCACACCCAACGCATCCACGCAAAGGAAGGAAAGGAAAGGAATAAGGAAAAAGAAGAAGCGGGGGAAATCGGGGAAGAACGACATTTCATTCGATATCTTGCGACTTGAATGGAGTAACTGGAGCAATCGATACCTATATCGGTAGTACTTTGTATCCCATACATCACATACATCTCATACATCGCATCGTATCGCATAATATCGCTCATATTGCCCATTCCAGCAATAAACCCCATTTCCATTATTTCCATCACCTATAAAAACCCGCAAACTCCACGCTCCAGGGATCATACATGCCTAGGTACAGTACTTACAGACGCATCAAGAAACAAACACAAGATATCCATCCATTCGGGCCTGATATCGGGAAGCCAACGGTGCCTTGTTGATCCTCGATCCGTTAAGAGGCCTACACGTATACATACATAGTCGATCGTCTCCCTACTTATACACTTAGCGCTTCGCCTCACCCACTATCTACGACATCCTCAGATCATATAGAAACCCCATTTGGCCTTGCAGGAAGCTGTTCTCAACCCTCAATTACCAAATACCAACCGCACACCCCCCCGTACGTACATACATATACACCAAAAAAAAATCATGTCCGTGTCGAATCCCTCAAGTCAACGGCAGCGCGAGCGCCCGCAAGGCGGCCAGACGCAGATTCAAACACTATCATCGACCGTGACGCAAACCAGAACTGAACCGCCAGCGGCCCCTGCGATTCTTCGATTGCGCGGTTCGCACCCATCTTCAGACCACCGCGTCCAATGGGCAGAATCCGTGGTAGATAACGAGGGGCTGGGCCGGAAACGATCCAAAGGTATACATATATCCATCCAATCACCGTGTAGTGCCCAAAATTGTTAACGAATCAAATAGTATGCTGCATATACCACGCTCCCCGCCAAGTGGGGGAATCTTCTGATGAATCCTCATCCGGCGACGACTCGTCGTCCTCGTCAGACACGGACTCAGACAGCGGCGGCGTACCAGACGATCCGCGGGAACGAGCGATGGCAGCAAGGCGACGTCAACAGCAGCAGGCTCATGGTCATAGTCACAATGACAATCGCGGGGAGCGGGGCCAACAACAGCGCAGGCGTAGGCCAAGCCCTAACGAATACGAGAGGCAGCCGAAGCCGAAACCAAGTTCAAATCCCGGAGGTGGCGACGGCCGGAAGCCGAATAACAACGGACCCAGCAGAACAAGATGATGGGATTTTCACCAAGCTTACAAATAAAAATCTATTCGGAAAATTGGGGAAAGGACGGATTTCATATCTCGCTCTCCGGCTACCTACTACTACTACCTACTACTACTATGGCGAGGGTATTGATCAAGAGCATCTCGTCACATCGTCAAAGAGGACAGAGAGTAATTGTCTGTCTGAGGGTTCTAATTCAGCATTTGCATTAGGGAGGAGAAGAGCACATCCATCCATCCATCCATCCGTTCATAGGGAGGGTTTTCTCTGTTTGTTTCTTTTTTTCCAAAAAAAAAAGTTCTTCGCGCCACATCACACCGCACCAGGGGTTACCCAACAATTGACACATTTTCAGCCCGCCCCCCCTTTCCCTCCCTCATTTTCTCAATCAATGTGTGTGATGTGATGGATGGTAATACCTAAGCCTCGTATGTATGTATGTATGTAGATGCTGTCGTTATCGTTGAAAAAAAAAAACCCCCCCACCCAGGGATGGAGAGACTACATACATGCGTCGCTATAAGGAAAGTCAAAAGTCAGGTTCAGGGGCCTAGGCTATAAAGGAATGGATGGGGGTTTGATACATAATAGTGGTTGGCGGTAGTACTAACTATTATTATATCTACATATCTATCTATACCCAGATCGCCAAGGAAGGTGGCTTAAAAATCAAGGAGGGAGGGTAGGGGATGGGGAAAAGGGTGGAAAGGAAAGGAGAGGGGGGGGTGAGGATAGGACGGATTTGACTTGACTTGGCTGGGCGTACACTCACACACTACATACCATACCATACCATACAATACAGCACTGGGAATTGCATTGCATTTGCCAAACTTAACTTTCTTTTTTTTTCAAGTCTGCCTCGTATTCGATATTACTTTCCATGTGATGGTCTCTTTATGTAGGTAGGTATGTAGCCTTGACTTGCTTGATTTGAGTTGTTTGTCTTCTCTCCTGTAAATTGATCGCGATCTGCCTATCTCTGCAATAAAGCCCAACTACATATTCAAGCTGGCCTCTCATCACAGGTTACTCTTTACTCTCTTGCTTGCTCTTTTCTCTTTTCTCTTTCCCCCCTTCTTCTTCTCCTTTTTACTTCTCGGCTCATCCGTATTTATCTTCCCCTCCCCTTCCGCCTTTTAAGCAAATTTAGCTAGACATTATTTCTCCTCTCGGTTGTATAATGATGCTGTAAGGTTTGCCCACAGACGGTGGCTCGGACAACAAATATTTGACGACAAGTTGGGTACTCGTCGGGTGAATGTAACTTCTTCGACCTCCACTCGTTCATCCATTGTCCCCTCTAAGCTATAGTACATAAATAAGGGACAGACCGAAAGTCACCACCCTTGTTAATATTACATTAATAGCAAGACATTCTCGATTTCAGTCTAGTACAATTGAGCCGACCCCCTCTAGCTATTGAGATCCCTCGGGAGAGGAGGGCGATGTGGGCGTGGTGAGCATCATGCTGGGGACTTGCTTCCGGAGGACCCCTCTTCGGCGTGGTTCGGGACGTGGTACACCCTGTATAGAACGGGGTTCCTTCATAAACGAGGAGTCCAGCTGTGCGGGTGTTCTGGTTGTCACGGCACGATAGTCGCCTTGGAACTTGGAGTTGGGCACAGGCACGCTCGCGGTTCTCCATATGTGATCAGACGCGTCTGTCAGGAAAGGTTGTGATCGGGAGTGCCTCGATGGGATTTGCAGGCCGGGAAGGGAAGCTGAAACACCGTGAGACGCCCGTATTGTTGACAAGCGGGATAATCCGGAAGACAAACTAGTTTTTCCCCTGGCCTTCTTGGCCAGAATGATTTCGTCGAAAAGGCGAATCTCCGGGTTTGTGGCTGGGTGCGTCTCGCGCTCATGGATGAATTCATTGAATGCTGATTCTCAAGTTAGTAAGTAGTAGTCTGGACGGATGGGGATACCAATATACCTTGCGTCTCTTTCATCATCGCAACATATTCTTGCTGATCGTACGGTAAGCTCTTAATAAACCCATTCATGTCGAATCCGTATAGTTGACCACTATTCTTTTGGTCCTTCGTTGGCCGGCTGAGGTATTTGCGATATGTGTAGAGGAGGCTGGCGAGACAGCGTACGAAGGCAGCCCGGACCTTGTCAGCGTTGAAAGCCACTGGACAGACAAGACAGACGCAGCCAAGACAACGCCCGTGTGTGGCTGTTCCACACCCGGAACATTTGTACCATCCATCACCCTCGGAGCGCTCGTCGCAAATAGCGCATGCAGGGGTTGTATCATTAGAGACAAAGTTGAAGCAATGCCCTTCAACCCATACGGTGGAATCTGTATTTTCTACGGGTTGTACAAGCATATTAGGCATCACCGTTGACGCAGCAAGAGTAGACTGCGCATAAGACGACGGGGCATAACCGCCGTACGATGATTGCGAGTCGATCGAAATGGCCGAGATGGACAAGTTTGACTGATGACCATTCAAGAATGGCTGATGAGGCCGATGGGCAGGTGCCTGGCCAAACGAGGAGCTACGCCGACCTACTCCATCAAAATGGCCCGACCTCTTCTCTCTTAACGTGGAGGATAGCGCGAACCCAGAATCGCTTCTAGAGATGGGTGTCGCTGGCATAGGCGGGAAGTTCACAGAGACAGGGGAGACTGATGATGGAGGGCTAGTCTTGTTAGACTTGCTTGTGTCAGGCCGATCCGATCCGTCTGGCTTAGCATGCAGAAATGCGTTAAATATGGGTGGCCTCAGCGTGCCGACTGGTTCGGCTTCCCCGAAGGATGACGAGTTTTGTGCGACCCATTTGTGCAATGTACTTGGCGCAGCCCTCTCGTTGAATAAAGCACCGTTCTCTCCCGAAAATGCATCGTAAGGGAAGGATTCGATGGCATAGGGAGGAGGTCCGGTGGTGACGCCGTAGCGTAAAGCATGAGGGGCAGCAAATTGCAAGAGTGAAAGAAGTTTCCGACGGTGCTGCTTTGGTAGGCGGACTGGCAATGCCGTCGCATCGATTGTGTCCTTGTCCAGATCTACTAGAACGTAGTCATCATCCGGAAGTATAATGTTATCGTATCTTCGCTCAATACCGACAACGTATGGGCAAGGGGCGTCGAGAGCAGATATCAACCGCGCCGGTAAGATAGGTATGAATATACTTGCCCAAGTCAGCGGATACATGAGGCTGACCAAAGAATGGCAGGCTAAGTGCAGCATGGCAGTATGCGAAGAAAGGAAGATGATGCGGGATTCGGACATGGCGTATTCGAAGAGAGTCACTACATTCTCAAGAGAGAGGGACCTGAATAACGCATAGATGTCAATGTTACGCGAGCCGGGAAGTTCATTGATAGCCTCCTTTCGCGCGTAGAGACGCAGCTCGCGCACACCAATCTCAACCTGGGTTTTAGAGCTGAGGGGACTGAATGCCTCAGTGCACAGATTAACCACATATCGTTCCAGTGGCTGCCAACGACCAACTCGTGGCGAGCTTGGAGGCACGCGCAATATTCCACCGTCAGTCATTGGCACGATGACAGCTCGAAGCCAATCCTTCCAGAAGCCCATTCTCGTGACATCTCTACCAAGAATGCCGTACGCTCGTGGTGTCCAGAGGCCACTCTCACCAGCGGTCAAACCATCAATCTTCGACGCTGCGCCGTGTCTCAGAGGCCGCAACATTTCTGTCATTAAGCTGATTTTCTCCTCCACCGAACTGATGTGGTCGTCAAGCGACTCTCGAGCAGCAGACCCAGAGGGTACTGTGGGAAGTTTGGCAAGCAGTTGTGAGAGATGCGCACGCTCTGCAGCGAGACGCGCTCCAAGGCTGCCTGCAAGCTCCCGCTCCTCCTCGGTCATATGTCTCTGTCTCCAGTGCTCACAACGTCTCTCAATTTCATCTGCTACATCTGTTGTAAGTGCCGTCCATATGATGACGGTCACACCATAAAGCTTGGAGTTGTCATCTGATGTCATGGTAAAGCCGTGCCATGTCGACCTCGGTCTTTCATCAGACGAAACGATCTGTATGTCGTTAGGGAACGCGAACATGGGAACGTAGTCTGGAAACCTCCCCCTCCTAGAGAGACCTTCCGAATCGTTCCGCGAAGGATACCGATCGAGTAGCTCGGGTTCGAATCGTCGTTTCAGGGGGTGCATATCCGGGTCGAGGTTAAGAGGTTCAGGGGGAGGAATAACGGCATTGTAGCTGCTCAGTCTCTTGGTGGTCCGAATTGAAGCTAATTGTCCGCAGAAGTCAGTACAGAACGCAGAATCTATTTTGCAACTATGACCGAAAAGTTCCGCAGGGAGTGCTTGTGCGACTTCCTCTGCAAAAGACCCTCCGCCTAGGTCTCGAGAAGGGGCCATACCAGGTCTCGGGGCTGTTGGCTGCTTTCGCACGCTATTCATCTCCCTAAAACTTATCTTCCGTCTCAGACTGCCACGTATACTGCCCCTGATGTTTTTTATAGGGCTCATTCTTCCGCCTGAAGCATCGTCGGCCTTAATTCTTTCGGCACGTGGGTTTACCATCGGAGGTCGCGACTGGGTCTTGGCACCAGCCGAGAAGCTGAGGTCCTCTAAGAAGTTCTCCCTTTCGGCCGCGAATTTAACGAGGGCTTTGTCGAAATCGAAATCGCCGAGGAAGCCACCGCCTTCATGAGCAGGAAGAGGGTTGGGTCTTATAGTAGCGCTGCTCCTGTTGCTTCGTGTGTTCCCATCTAGTTCCTCGAGTGTATGAATTGAACTGAATGAGGCTTTTGAGAGTCTGTTATTGGAACTCTGGCGAGAGTGTCGAGCAAAGGTTTTGTTGGCCGAAGGCGAAGGCGAAGATACAGTTTCAGTGAGCTCTTCTTCGGGTTCGCCATCTTCAGTGATGATATCTTCTACCTGCGTAGATGAGGGTGGTAGCGGGAGGTCTTGATAGGGTACGGACTCGATACCCGCAATCCAGAAGTAGTCCGCTAGGGGCGCCGAAGTGTTATCCATGGCATCGCAGGCCTACGGCAGTCAAACCCCCCTTATTCTGTTTTCAGGTCCAAATTGAAAATAGGTTCGAAAAGGTATTTAGAATACAATTGGGTTGGAGGAGGTGATGAAAGTTGATGAAATGATATTTTCTGTATTCCGTATGGGTTACTAGGTACCAGGGGGTCCCACCAGATATTAATTGACAAGTTGACCTGTATAGGTTTGCAAGTTTGTTCTGCCTGTTGTTGCTCAGTCCCAGTTTGTGGGTATCGGCAGGATTGGTACAAGCTCCCGACGCATATGTCCTGCTGTACAAGCGAAGGTGGAAGAGGTGGAAGAGCCTAAGAGGTGTGATTGAAGGACAGGCTAGGATAAGAAGTACGACTGGGTATTTCGGCAGACCCTCTTAGCAACAAGGGTAAGGTCTGAAGGAACGTGCTTGAGGGGTATATCGATATATCGTGGGATACCAAAGCAAACTACCTAGTTAATAGACGAGAAGGCAAACCGGCCATTTAGATGAGAAGGGGTGTCGACAGATCAGTTGTTGAGTTTCAGTCAACGAATTGACAGTTGATCTATATTATTCCGAACAACTTGGGAACAATAGAGACTGGAAACTAGAGACTTTTTTTTTTTAATTGGGTTAGTTAACGTAAGTGTTGTTGTGATAAATTTATTTGGTTGCTTGCCTCTCTCTCTCTTTTTTTTTTTCTCTTATTCTCTCCCTTTTTTTTTCCTTATTCTTTTTTTCTCGGGCAGAAGCAGCCGAATTTGTGTTTATCTGCCTTTTTTTCCTTATCCTTTTTGGCGCCGGATAGACACGCACGATTTATTGATATGCAATGCTTCCAAAACAGCCTTAGACAATCATGCAGTGCTTTGCTGCAGCTGCATGCCCCTTTGCGGCGTTATCGTTCGGGTGGATGGGGGAAACGGGATGCGGGCAGTCCAGTTCGAGGCTTCGAGGGTGTGTTGGTGGATTTAGATCGACAGATAGAAACTAGTCGTTCACTGGTTCGATATTGGTTTGTTCACTGAACGAGTTGCCCATACATGTATGTATGTAAGAACTAATACTTCCCCCAAACTTGGAGAGACTGGACCTTAGAGACAGACCTAAAAGGATTGGATCAATATGTTTTTTTGCCGTCAAGTTCAAACCTAAGCTACCTAGGTAGTTATTAGTTAATAAAAATGAGTGTTGTTAAATTATTTTATCTTTATCTTTTTCTTTTGGGCGGTGGGCATGCAAAAGATCGATCCCCCAAGTTCATGCAGAATGACTGGACTGACTAGATGAAATCCCAGGTAATCCCAGGTAGTTAATCCCAGGTTCAACAATGTTGGATGAATGGTCGTGATGGGGGACTAATAGGTTGGGATAGACAGGGTAGGTAGGGGGGCTGCATGGCACTTGGAAGCGCGTAGATGGCTGATGGACGGCGGGTGGGCAGGTGGGCAGGTGGGCAGGTAGGCAAAGAAAGAGATGCACTCAGGCAGGTCAAGGGCCTCAAGGCAGGTCAGGCAGGTCAGGCAGGTCAGGCAGGTCAGGCAGGTCGGGGTTGGTCTAATCGACATAAACCCCTGTTTAGTCTACTGCAGCAGCGCAGTCTAAATACTTGTAACCCCACCAATTCTTCCTGTCTCGGACTAGCCCAAGTGGGATTTTTACGTATCACGTATCGCACGACATACTGGTAGCTCCAGTCTTTGAGCCCCTGTTCCCCTGTTCCCCTGTTCTACATACAACACCAGTGACTATTTTATTTAGAGATGTGCAGCAGCCAGCAGCAAGGGGAAGTTGACAATCGACATTCGGCCAACTTATGAATCCACAAATCTGGCAAATCTGCTCATAAAAAGGAGATAAAGTACCTACCTAAAATTTAGTATGTATTGTTAGCTCTTGAGGTAAGGAAAGAAAAGATACATTAGGTGTGTATCAGTGTATCTTAAATTCTTAATATCAGGTACCTAACCTAAGTACATATGTATTATATTGTATTGTGAAACTTCTTTTGAAAAGTATTTATTGCAAGTAGGTATATGTAGTCAGTCGCACACATACACACCAAAAGGGAGCAATTTCCATACCTGTCTGACAGTCTACCTGATACCTATATAAATACAAAGGTAGCACCTACCTACAGAAGTTTACAACCCAACTTGAAGTATCTAACCTACTACTAGTAAGGTTAGTAGGTTAGTAGGAAATAACGCCCGTGGCGTGGCGTGGCAAGGAAGGCTTAAGCCAGGATCTCTAGAGGATCTCTAAAATATTATTTTTTTTTCCCCAAAATCTTAGGGCTTTTCTTTTCTTTCCTTTTTCTTTTTTACAAATTACATACATACCGCGAGCAAGCCAAAACTTCGCCAGCAACATGGATGATGGATGCTTGCGCATATGCGTATGTGGTGAAACAACATCTTGAACAACACATCTTTCAGTTAATCAAAGCAAAGTGCCGAGCTTACCTCGGGCTCTTATTAATTTCCTTGCCGTTGTTGCGTTCAAAGTCCAAAGAAGAAAAAGCATAGTCGCTTTTCTTGAAACCACGACAAGAAAGTATGGTACCGACCTACCTTTGGATGGTACCTATGATATGGGATGGGATGGGATGGGATGGGCATCATGGGATGGTATGCAACTATTATTAGTGAGAATGTCTAGTGCTTCCCTGATGCTACACCGTTCAACACATGGTCAAATACCTAACCGTAGCGTTGGAGACAGAACCAATCCTTGGGCAACATCTGGCATTCAAAAAAAACAGCTAACTGGCCCGGAGCTTTTGGTACCTTGCAGAAACCGTCATCACCGTACGACTACACATCAATGTTTGATACATTACCACCTCATCATCCAATGTTCCCCTATCCCCCCTTTCCTTTTCTTTCCAAACGTAGGGAAAGAGTAATTAAGGGTTTGGTGAAGGAATGGGAGGAATAGTTGCATGTTGGGTAAGTGTTCCTGCATTGCCTACTACCTATCCAGATACCTACCTGGTTAGTGGTCAGGGGTAATACCACCCTTTCAGCCTTTTATCCCGTTCGACGTTCGTATAGTCAAGGTGTGTGTATCTTTTCATCCCAGGATAGAAGCCCCAGCTCGTATTCAACCCATCTACCTACTATGTATATTGTAGGTATGTATAGATTACGTGTAGCAGGCAGAATTGTGTTGAGTGTCTTCAGTACTTCATGCCGAGAACTTACATACATAGGCACTACCACCATAACTACCAGTAGTACTTCGATTATCTAGGATTCTAGGATGGCCTCGCGGCTTACGGGAATTTTCACACAGACTTACTCCACAGAGCTATGTAAGCTACCCAGTAGCTACCTACCTAGCTTGATGAACAGGGCTAGTCATCAGCGTAGCGACCAAGGCTTTCACGCCCTGGGGTCCGATATCAAGATCACTAACAAAAAACTTTACGGCTGTTACCGGGATTGGCGCACAGTCGCAATTGTCCGTGGTGGTCGACATTAACGTACCTACATAGGTTAGTACATACATACATAGGTATTGTTGTCGCAGGAATCATGTAGGTGGTGCCTACCTACATATGAACGCTGAATCAATGCTCAACAACGCAGCTCACTCGATCTTATCGTCCAATCGAACCTGATGGGGTAGGTGATCGCGGGGGGGAGAGAGGGTCAGTAATGGCAAATCAACAATAAGGCAATCATGGATGCTGGGGCCGAATCATATCACACACATGGGCAATTCATTCGGGTCACAATCAGGCACTTGCCATATGGCATATGTACTACTGGGTAGCCATCATATGTATCATACATATGTGCATATATCTGTAACGGTGCCGCACAAAACCTCCCAAGGCAACGGTCAACAACATCCCGATCAATCGAAACGTGGGCTCTTAGGGACGCCACTGCAGATATCCAGACGGAGATATGTCCTTATGTTTCAGGCATATGGAGACCGTCTTTATTACCTAGTAGAGAACCAAACATGGGGAATGCAAGTTGACCCGAAGAGCTGTGTCCATCGACCAATCCTCTCAAGACTTTGCAGCCCACGGTGAAGTGACCGCTCTTTACCTACATAGTATGGGGGTGTCTAGTTCTATGCCGATCCTGAACATCCAACATACCATACTCGATATCTTTTAGGGTCTGTGCTAACTCTACCGTCGAGGAATTGCCTAGGTTAGTACTAATAAGTAGGTATGCTCCGTTCTTGCGAATACTTGGCTAGGTACTAGGTAATTATATGTAGGTACAGTGCATACATAGTATGGGTCATGAAAAGACAAACATGGCTCGTGTTCAGGAGAGATCTATAACTCTACGATATCGACTTCTTACATATGATACGTTAGATATCATGAAATCCTTTTTTTATAATAGTGTCAAAACGATAAAAATCCCGATATTAAATACCCGTTCTTCCCGCCTTTGCGGAAATTTATTCGTTATTGGCATGTCCGTGGGATCCTTGCAATGCCGTTCGTAAATAAGGGCGCAGCCCCATCGATCCGTACATAGTGTAGTGTATTGTAGAGAGACGGACCCAGGCTAGTAGGTTGGTTTGGTTTGGTCCTACACTACATACTACATGTACGTACATACCATCCAGCGACATCTGGAGTTCTAACCAGCTAAAGCACACCTACCTACATAGTACCCAGCATCAGGTAAAACTAACATACCCAGGTTAACTTGTCTGTGTAATAGAAAGCTATGGCGGCGTGGCCGTGCCGCAAAAAGTGACGTAGCAGCGTACGTAGATAGGTCGGCAGGTAGGTTGGTTAGCTGGGAACAAACGCCCGTCAGAGACGAATTCGTATCTGTAAACGTGCTTACTCTTATGTACCATAAAGGTTCCGATTGAGGTCGAGTAGGATCGTCTTTCGTCGGGACAGAACCTATCGCCTACGTATCAATCACAACAGATCATTCATGTAGGTACGTATGTAGGCATGTATGTATGTATGTATGTATGTATGTAATGCCCATATGTATGGCCGTTATGGAAGCACGTCAGCAGAGTGCCACGGACACCGTTCAAGCTGTCTCGTCACATCTTCTCCGAGTATGTGTCACTTACGTAAAACAAGCTGTATGGAGGAGGAGGATGAGGGGTTTGTTGATTGATTTGCCGGTCTTTTTCAAAACACGGGCTTTTTTGCATGAATACCTAGATAGATATATTCGTCGGATGAGGTACAAAAAGGGGGGGGAGAGAGAGAGGGACAATCCCCAACCAAGTTGGGCGGCACACACACTCACATCCGACCAGTTAGATAATCGCCGTCCCTGGTTGATCGTCGGTGGCGTCCAGATAGAATTTATCGAGATTCGTTTCCCCGGTTAGGTATGTACTAACTACATAACCTAGGCACTTGCCCGTTCCAGAGATTCGGTTCTCTTACATATATGTATGTATTCGCACGTCCGCTCTTTTCTCAGGTTGGACAACAGCCAACAAGAAAAAAAAAGAAAAAAAAAAGAAAAAAAAGAGAGGCAGCCACAAAAACTGCCCGGTACTTCCGTAGATAGCACTCTACATATACATGTAGGCGTATGGATGGAACTCCGATAAGTCCCCCGTTCTACCCAAGTCATCTGTGTAGTCCGGGAATGCCACACACACATCCGTGAATTCCTTCTACAGATTTCTACCTACTACATACCTCAAATAGAATAATCATAGAACAGGGCTTTTCAATTCAACTGCGAGGCGTAGGATCCATCCATCTCATCATAGGCTAAACCTGGAAAGGTTCCTAGGAAAAACCCAACCTGGTAATTATTTAAGGGGGGGGGGAGATCTCACACATACATACAAATATGGCAACCGCGCCTTATGCTTGCTTTGTAGGTAGGAAGAAAGCGGCTCCTAGATACCTATACATACGCACACGCATACATACAGCCACTGCATAGTTATCTGTTTATCTTAGGTACGCTGCAACATCACCACACCACACCCTCGCAACGCGGCTCTCTCTTCCAAGGCCCCCTCCCCCCAACGCGAAGAGAGATCTTGAAATGACGAATTACCACCTTACCTATGCTGCTATTCTTAGAAAAACACCAGGAACAGGTTTGGCGCAAATGGGGGGGGGGCCTTATTGCTCGTATACCTATATAGCATGTCTACTTATCTATAGCTAATGGTTGTCTGGTCTAGCGAATAATGGTATCTCGCCTCCTTTTTTTTTGTTCATTCACTTGAGGTACTATGCCTTTTTTTTTTTTTTTTTTTTTTTTTTTTTTTCTGTGTCGTGTTTGTGTTACCTACTCACCCAGCTCTCTTCTCGAAACTCTTGCCAATTTCGTTCCAAGTAACTAATATACAAGTTATATCGACCGGTCTAGGCTTTTGTGTACCCTTCATATGCAGCGCCCAATGTGCGCACGTAAGCCACTTACTTACTCAGGTAGGGGGAGGGGGGGTCGAGGAGATAGATATGTACATAGGTAGACATATATATATATATATATATATATATACGTACCTACACACACACACACACACACACACACACACACACACACACACACACACACACCACAACTACCTAGGCAACCAATGGGATTTCTACCGACTTGGCTTTGAAGGTCTTACCAAACTTCGTTATTACCTACTTATGCTACACACATGGGCTGATCCACGCAATGCAATGAAATGGCGTGGGACGTCAGTTGTTGCAAGAAGGCGGACGCCTGTGTGTGTAATACACCGTTGTATAGGTATTGGTCGCGACCCCTTTCGCAGATCATACCTACCAGTGCTGCTCAGGGGTAATTCTTTTTTTTTTTTTTTTTTTTTTTTTTTTCACTCTACACTACACGGCTTAGTCAGTCCTTCGGAGTTTTATCTATCCAATGATAGTTTTTCACTTTACTTGGTGCATGTGTGTGATATGAGTCGGTACCTACCTAGGTAAGTGGATAATAAATGGTAGCCCTGGAGGTTCAAGATTTTTTTTAAAGTGCTTATTGCATACACTTCAGATGGTAATGCTACCTAGATAAGACATAGGCCTCCATTGGTTATGTGATTTAGTCAAAAGCATGTAATATGTTGACACCCATAAGTCAGACCTAAACCATCCGATGTACCGTCTTATAGTAAAGAATGCTTAAAAGCGTATTTAGGTATGCGTTTGTTGTACGATGATATTGAACATCTTGGGTTCTAGGTGAGTAATCACATCTCAAGTAGATAGATGACCTGCATTATAATACGATCCAATATAAGCCCTGAAAATAACAATACCTAAATATAGTTCTTCCATACCTCTAGTACCTACTCTAATCACATCACCTAACGACTCGCGTGCCCAACTTCCCCGTAGACAAAAACCCCTTATTCCCCATCTCGCTCCTCCAGCCAATCCCGAGGACCCCAAACGCAATTCTCCCTTCCTCATCCTCGAGCACCTCAGCCTTATCCTTAGCCTTCTCCTCCTGCACCATAAAACAGCACTGCTCAACCTCCCCCGGGTGGAGCACCGGCCTCTTGCTCGCGCTAACCTCCCAGTTGCAGTCCTGGTACCGCAGCCCCTTTTCCAGGTCCAGTTCCACGCGGTACAGCTGCATGACATCCTCGCTGCAGTTCTCCAGCTGCGCCTCCATGACCCAGCGGCGGCCCCCGTCCCTCCCAGGCGCCAGGCCCCCGACTTTCGTCCGCACGATCAGCGACCCCTTGCAGATGAACTGGTATAGCTTGCGGAACGTGCGCGTCCGCCCCGACGTCTCGGTCGCCTCGTAGTAGCTGACCGTGACCGCCAGTACGTGGTTTCCCTCTTCCTTGAGGTCGAAGTTGAGGATACGCTGGAGGGTCTGGCCCGGATCTAGGTCCGTGCCTTTGGGGTGGCTTTCGCCGTCGTCGGGCTCGTCGTCGAGGCTCCCGTTCGGGCCTAGCAGCGGTAGTTTGAGGACGGTGCTGGACCCGGGCGTCTTCATCTCGGCCTCGATGCGCACATCGCGCGTGAACTTCTTCTTCTGCTGCTGCTGCGAAGTGACAGGTGCTAACCCGCCTGATGTGATCGTCGATGTGCTAGCCGAGAGTGGTTCGACGAATGGCGGTACATCGTGGTTGGCGCAAAGGGTGCAGCTGAAGGTCTCGCCGACATACGCGGAGCCGAAAGAAGGGGGTAGCTGTAGTATCGGAGCGAGGAGGAAGGAGTCGGGGTTGGTATCGCCATGTGTGGCATAGGCGAGCGAGGCAGGGATCGGCGTCTCCTTCTGGTCCGAGCTACGGGAAGAGAGCGGTGCGGGTAGGGCATGTTGAACGACGAGTGAAGGCCTAGAGAGCCTATATATATAGGGGTAGCGGTAAGAACGGTTAACCACTTATACGATTTATACGTAGAAAAAGCATAGGCATGACATGACATAAGTAGGTATGGTGGAGTTTACCGTAGCACCTTTAGCGACACGGAATGTGGTTCTTTGGGGTCGATCGACGGATAGCGTTGGTGACTCATGGCGTACGATTCATTAGAAACATTTGGAAAATAATTAGTTATTATTCCGAGGCCTCAAAAGAGACTCAGGAATGATCTTGACTTTAAGTACCACATGCAGTCATCCACATGATCTTGAGAATGGTATTTTACTATGCAGGTATTAAGATTTAAGATTAACAAAGCACGATTTGACAATCATCGGCAACTTGGAACTTCAAATGTCGGAACTGACGTACTATTCATCTTATCGTTCTTATCGATAGTACCATACCTATGTACATACTTCGTAGCATGCATGTCACCAACATAACGTTTTTATGAAAACAACATCATGTATAATAGTTATGTATGGAGTACCTATGATAAGTATATATAATATTCATATTCTTAACATATTCATTCTAAGCAGGCTATCAAGACCAGGTATCCCTTGCTATCTAGAGAAACCAAGTCAATCATGATTGAATCATCCAGACGGACTAGTCAAGTAGTACACGCCGGTCGATCACCCACCGTAGACGCCGAATGTCAGCCACGGGGGCACCCGCTCATGGATGCGGCGCGCGCCGAGCCCGGCGGCTCTGCCATATGCGCGAACTGCTTGATGGCGCCTGCGACATGGCTCTAGCCCATGTTGGTATCATTTACTACTTCCACCGCTTTCCTAGACGTAACACAGCTCTGGGCCACGAGAGCACCGAAGAGGAGCTAGCGTTTTTGCGGGAAAGGGGGCCGAGGGGGGCTTCAACTACCTACCTACCTGGTACATAGGTAATTTGACACACCGCCTGCTAACTATACCCTTCGTGTCAATATTAGGGTACCTATACGAGTTTATCTGACGGGAGTCCATGGGTCCCTTTCCTCTAATTGCAACCCTATCAAAGCGTCTAGGCCTGAGTGGAGTGTGCATTTCGTATGCGATATTAAGCTGACGGAACCGCTCCATTCTCGTTCTTCATGCAGGCCACGACGGAGTCTCAACACTTACTAGGCAGCGCTATATGATAGGCTTTATGGAACAGCTCCATCTGAGCTTGGTAGACGCTCTTGAATTATACCCCCGAGGTCCTTGTCGCGGTCTCTAGAAATCCGTCCGAACGAAGACCTCAGATTTCATGTGAAGCAGGGAAACTAGACCTAGGGTTAAGCAGCTGCAAATGCGGTATATAATCGATTAGTCAGGCGCCCATGCCCATGTAAAAACTCACTTCAATGCATTTTCATGAGCATTGCTACCTACTGAATACCTCCTAGGTAGTATGTACACACTCAACGCAAATGTGGACGAGATGGCTCCTTAAGAAACAGTCGCGATCATGTAACCTATCTCGAGGGGTTTCTGCAGAAACAACAATTAACCCGTCCTGTATAGGCCTACCTCCGTTTTAGTTTCCGAAAACTTACAGTACTTAAAGTTTCCGAGCCAGAGACTTCCCAAATAAACCGCAGATTCCTCTTACTATTAGTGTGATGCGCAACAAATAGCATTAACAACTAGTTCAAGGCCTGTAGCGCAACACCTAGGCGTCAAACTCGTTCATAGACCAGGAGGGGGTGGAACCTATGGATACAGTAGTTAGTAATACTCTTCAATACTTAAGGCGCAGTGAAGAACATACGGCTCCATAGCTTCCCGATCCAGGTGGAGGAGGGGGTGGGGGAGGCGCAGATCCTCCAGGAGGCGGCGGCGGGGGAGCCTCGCTGGGTGGAGGTGGTGGAGGCGGAGAGGCCGAGGCACCTGGCACAGGAGGTGTGCCCGATCCTTGCTGGGCAGCCTGCGCCGCGGCATAGTACTGCTGGTAGTACTGCATATATCTGTACTCAAGTCAGCAATAGTCCATTCTGGCTCGTAACGGGATCACTTACGCAGTGTAACCGCCGTACGCAGCATACGGGTCTTGGCCACCGTAGTATTGGGCGTACTGAGCAGCATAATCATTGTTTGCACCGGGCGGGCTTCCTTGGCCAGGGGGTGCAGGTGAGGCGGAGGTAGCAACTGGAGCGGGTGAGTTGTTGTAACCGCCGTATCCGCCGCCATAAGAACCCGATCCACTTCCCTGTCTGTCATTATACCTATCACCACCACCACCACCACCGTACGATCTGTCGCCGTAAGATCTCTCGCCGTATCCACCGCCGCCGCCGCCGCCGCCGCCTCCGCCACCACCACCACCGTGGCCACCGCTGAAATGCGGGCGTGGTGGACGACTCTTGAACTCCTCGTATTGTTCTTTGACATTAGCAATTAAATCTTCGCAGAGCTCTTTTGCTTTATCAACCATCTTAGGATCGGGTCCACTGGAATGAGGTTAGATAGTCACCAAGAAACGCTATTCAGTGTATACTTACGCGACATGGAGATACATATCATCATCGCTTTCACGGTTAGTTGAGGCTTCCAGATAGCCCGAACCGCGGCCTTTGATCTGGACACGGCATCCAGTCTCTTGCTGGATGTGCTTGACGTAAGAACCGCCATGCCCAACAATCTGGGCCCTAAGGTTAAAGCCGCGGATCTCCTCAAGACCGATCGGTATCTTAGACTCTGGCCATTTGCGCTGCTTGGAATTAGTCGAGGCATTATAATAATAGAAGAAGAGAGAGTAAGTTCAACTAACTCGTCCAAACTCATCACGTTCAACCTGCTCCTGGTCTCGGCGTCGGAAACGTCGCTCATCGACTAGGTTAGGGAGTTCTTGTTTCATCATCTCCTCGATCTTAGCAACGGCAGCCTCGAGGCCGGTCTTTGAGGTGCTCGTGATGTGGAGGTATAGAGGAGGGTTCTGGAAAGGCATTAGTCGCTTGGCCTCGTACAGATATGATGTATACCAAATTCCTTACCGCAGGAGTTGCCATGCTCTTATCGGGGTAATAGTTTCCGCGTGTCGTGACATCTTTCAAAGTCAACCAAGGCTCTACATAAAAATCAATAAACAACTGGGAGGTGTCTCGTACCAGCTCCGGTATCCTCTTTTATCTAATACAAGCAGGGGAGGTCAGCAGATGCCACAGAGGGGATTCGTGTGCGAGCTAGCACGGCTTCTATGTAAGCAGAACTGATCGCACACACGATAACAAGACACTGGGAGGAAAGCACCCAGCGTGAGGGTTGAAACTTTGATGTAAATCAGTAGGAATTGACCGAGGGCGATATTTACCATCTTCTGAGTTGAACTCTTGGTGAGTAGGTAACGATTTCGCAAGTCGTTTACTTCGATGTCCTTAATATAGTCGCCGTCGGCAATGTACATCTCGCCATTGATGTTCGCGGAAGCATGTCCGCCAGGTGAGTTCGCAGCGTTCGGGTTGGGTGAGGCAGAAGATGCAGACTTGATTGGCGGTACATCTACATGTTGGACACCTTTCTTCGCCTGGATTTGAGCATTGATCTTGGCGGCGGCGGCAGCTAAACATTGAAATGATGAGTAAAGGTGACAAAATGGGAATTTTAAGAAATGGGCAAGTACGTGAGTACGTATACATACCTGCAGCGGCAGCCGGATCAACAGAAGCTTTCTTGGGTTCAGCTACACCATTGTCACCTTCTCTTCCCAAGGGACTACGATCGCGACCGGGTTCCGAGGATCGCTTCGTGGGAGGAGAGCGAGACCTGCGATCAAATCTAGAACGGCGCGGCTCCGGCTCTGTCTGGTCAAACCGAGACCTTTTCGCGGTACGTCGCTCGCTATCGTCCATGATCGAATGCAGCGTAGTGACTAACTAAGGAAGTAGTAAAGGGTTAATAATTGTGTCAATGTCCGAAATGGATAGGACAGTACGCGCGCGATTTTTAATTATTTTCAAATTGTAAGAAAGAGTGAAGGAAAAAAAAAAAAAAAGGTAAGGTGTGAGGTGAAGGCGTGAGGCGTGAGGCGCAGGAAAAGTTAATGTGTAAAATTATGTTGAAGGCGCGGCAGCAGCGTTGCTAAAAGAGTCCAGCCTGCTGCAGTTATGTTTGAACCGCACTGATACTAACCTAGGTATTTAGTTGAGTGGATCCCACTACACTGCACAGTGCTTATGTACCTGCGACGGGAGCGGATAAAGATGATCCATCGGCTAATAAATACCTAACCTAGTTAACTACTTGCTATTATGTAGTAATCACATCTAACAACATGCATATACGAATATCCATTCAATATACTGTACATTAACCTTGACTCTTCAAAAACTCCAGAGCTTCATTCATTCACAACTTTGTTAGTATTCAGTATTCATTGACTCCCTCGTTATTATCATTATCTTTTATCTAGTTAATGGTACAAACAAAATGCCTAATATCTAACCAGTTAACAAATACATATGTATCTAACACTCAAAATGGCAAGTCATCATGCGCTGTGGCAATGACCCCTTTTTCTTCTTCCATCCCTCACTGGAGCAATACTGTGGCTTTTTCTTGTCGGCTATCGTGTTATTCCATTTCTGACTTCCGTATTCGAACTGGACCACCCAATCCGGGTAGCCCGACGCCGAGCAATACATTTCATCCGGCCCCACCGGTTTATTGTTGTGGCATGACGGTGTCGTCTTGCCCGGCGCAAGCGTCGTGGTGAAGGTGATGACGAGGTCGCTCGCAAGTTTGGTATCCTTGGTCACCATCTTCATCTGTTTGCCCCACGGCAACCTCAGGCTCCCCGAGTCCTGCGCGTGGATCTGCCTGCCCTGCCCATCTGCGAGCTTCAGCTTCACCCCTACCCCGTCTATAGAGCCTGCTGATTCTTCCTGCAAGTCCAGGCCGCATGTTTCCACTTTGGGACACGAGCACATCTTTTGGGTGCCCTGGTTTCCAGGAAGCCGCAAAGTGTTCGTGCAACTTGCTTTCTTTCCTCCAGCACAGGTCCTCTTGGCGCATTCGGCTTGGTCGCATTGTACCGGCTTCTTGGGGGCCTCGGTAGGTTCCCCGGTTTTAGAAGTTTTCGTCTCGCTTGTGCTTTTTTGGGTTTCGTGAGGTTTTTCTGCTTTGGACGTTGTTGTGCTGCTTGTGGTCTTCGCAGATTCGGTAGTTTTTGTGTTCTTTGTGGCCGTAGGGTGCTGTGTGCTCGAAGATTTTTGCGTGCTGGTAGGTTTCTGCGTGCTGGTAGGTTGTTGCGTGCTTGAAGGTTTCTGTGTACTCGTGGGGATTGCCTTGGCAGGAGTGCTTTGAGGTTTCACGGGGCAAGCCGGGTCTCGCTTCCTATGGCGGCGGCTCGGCGGGGGTTTCTCGGCGGGAGTAGGCATCGGCACATTAACACCAGGCGCCGCCGAACTATAATCGGGCGGGTTCTCGTAACCAGGCGGTCGATCGTTAAAAGAGTAAGGTGGTGGTGGCAAGATCTGAGCCCGAGACGGATTCCACAATTTCTCTTCTAGCTTGACCGAGTTGTCTGTCTGTACGGTCCACAAACGATATGCGGCCTTCACAGACTCGCATTCGGCCGGCCGGTACTGGAAGACCGCCTTTCCACGATGCTCAGTATACTCCTTATCGCTCTTCTTCGGCTTATTCTTGTAGTAGCTAATAACATGCACATATTGAGGGCGCATGTTCTCCTGAATCTGTTGTTTTAGATAATCGAGCGACTTTTTGTAGAATTGATGTTCTATTTTGTTAGACGGCCACTGTAACAATAGGGGTCAGTAATCTTATTCCTTCTTTTTTCGTTGGTTCAAGGGAAACTGATCTGTAGGGGGAAGCTTAAGGGGTAAGAGGGAAAAAAAGGCTTCAATATACATACCAATAGGTAGACCATTGGGGCTTGGCCTACTTTCTTAAGCGCATTTGTGTTTCCATCGTTCGCCCCCGAACCGTCCCCATTGGGGCCGTCAAAAATCGTTTTCCATATGGTCTGTATCTTCTGAAGCTTTATAATATCGCGCTCCCATAGACGGGCCATATACACCCTGCTGTTCGATACCGCCACAAGTCCAGCACAGCCAAAAAGGCCATCCATACCGAGGGTGAAGACTTCAGCGCCCAGGTCCTTCACCAGGCTGGGGACCGATCCATCATTCTTCTCATAGTCTTCAGCATCGGGCTCAATGTTGTCGTTCCAGGGTTCAAGAAAGCCGTCATAACCCTTCTCGATCTCATTCGTTATAAACCTCCTCTGGGAATCCTGGGAAGCGACGCCGTTCATATCGAGTTCGGGTTCTTCCCATTGGCCTGAATCTGGATCCGCCTCACGCTCGACCACTACGCGCTTGAGAATACCACGCTCCGACAATGCGGGGTCTGGAAACACGGCGGAGTCTGGTTGGTTGCATACTCCTCTCACGCAAGAGGTTGGCTCGCATATCCACTCCGAAGTTGTCGTCGTAGTCGTGGTCGCTGTGGCGGTAACAGAGCAGCCAGTTACTGTGCTGAAATGCGTTGAGCATTCTGGGTTCTTTTGGCCACTAGTTGTTACGGTACAGGCAACACTTTTGTGTTCCGCCGTGATGGTAGTAGTGCAGCTTGTGGTTGTGCTTTTGCTTGTAGTGGTGGCCTTACTCTGAGTTGTGGTCGGCTCTCCCGTTGGCTTGCTGCCTTCGGGTTTCTCCTTATCGTTGCTCTTGTCGTTGCTCTTGTCGTTGCTTTTATCGTTGCTTTTATCGTTGCTTTTATCGTTGTCTTGTTTGTTGTCGGTACCCTTGTTCTCGGCATCTTTATCAGGAGGACAGTCACCGATGCTCTGCCCAAACAATTTCACACAGAATCTGGCGAATCCTGGGAGGCGGATGTCCAAGTTGGGAGGGACAATTTTCGGGAAACAGCTGAAGCATATCACTGGAAGTCCTCCCGCCACCGGAATAAGAACTGTGCTGATATTAGCCAAAAGAAAGCTGATATACTTGTATTGATATAGATACGTACGTGGTACAACCGTTGGATCATTCCCTCCTGGAGATGTTGTAGTAACAAATGTCGGCGTAGTTGCCGGGTGGTCCTTCGCGGTAACGAAAACGGCCGCAGCAGGAACGGCGGTGATGATAACAGGCGCGGCAGTTGTCGACGAACTCGAGGACAAGCTAGCAGGCTTGGGCATTTCATTAGCGGCATGTGTAGCTGTATCATGTGTACTAGAAGTATCTTTGTGAGTGGTATGGGCACTATTTGTAGTGTGTGTGCTGGTAGCCCCCCCTGAGCCTGGGAATAAAGTGGTATTAGTAGGCTTGAAACTGGAAAATGATCGACTATCTGATGGCTTCATAGTAGTATGGGTGCTAGTAGCACCTCCTGAGCCTGACTCTAGCAGGGAGTTGATAGCTTTGTTAACAGCACCTGTAGCACCTGTTGGCCTGTTTGTAGTCTGCGTACTAGTAACCCCCAAGCCTGGCAATAGAGTGGTATTGCTGGGCTTATCACTGGGGTGTGGCATAATCATTGCTGTGCTGCTAGTAGCCTGGTTGTTGGCGGCTTTCCCAGAGCCTGGCGGGTGCATGGTATTAAGAGGTTTGATATCAGGTCCTCTAAGACCACCTGTAGGACTAGGGTAGACATTATCTTTCTTAAGATGCCCCTTTCTACCGGTTCGGGTTATAGTTTTAATACTAGATAAATCATAATGGTTATGCTACTCATTGTTAGCTATTCTGTACTTTTCCGATAAGTGCTATATGGTGAAGTGAAAGAAAATAAGAAGTATTTCACTAACTGTATTCTGTCTTGGGTGATCATGTTGGGAGTCTAGGCCGGAGGTATGGTGACCAGAGCAGAATGATGCTGCAAACAATAGACCAAGAGCCTTTAAGAGATGCATGGCTGGCAGGCTAGTACACAAGCATCATACAAGAGTAAGTCTAGTATGCTGGATCTTGCGCCGACATGGGCTTGAAGACAGCTAGGTTAAGTACCTACCTCATATTTATATAGCCCTCCTTTTACACACACTTACCTAGGCACGGTACTCTATATCCCCAAAAGACCCAATGATTTAAGTATTAGGATGTTACCACATATATGTGCCACTATTCCAAAATCAATAGATCTTCTACTGTGCCGTATTTGTTTATAGAAGTTCGGTGACTATCTTTAAATGGCGTCTTCCATTGATGCTATCCATAGATATATGGCTACTAAGGTATGTGGGTTTATACTAATAAGTAGGTGTTTACAATCTATTATTATATCCATATGGATACTTGAAGCTCCTAACCTAGACTGAACCAACCTAGGGTACTTCAATGTTGAGATAACTGAAAGAAGTACATAACTACATGGCACGGCTAGGCGTGGCTAATGCCGCTCTTATATATTTTATTTTTAAATGTCTCCATGATACCTACCTAACTGGGGATGAAGGGATAGTGTTACTTAAAATACCCGGCAAATTGCAAGCAATTTAAATTAGTAAAACTTTACTAATTTGATATCTGGAAAATCGTCGCTCCGCAACAATTTTGATTTTAAGTACTATTCATTTATTAAATTTTTTTTTTTTTTTTAAATACTAAACATTTAATCATGCCTCCGGCGGCTCCTGCGGAGTGCTGCTCGCTCCGCTCGAAAAGAAGAAAAACAGGTTTAAATCACCCAACGGTTTAACCCAATTAAAAGCCAGCCATTGGCCAGTTTGAGTGGGCACTTTCTTTCACCCAAGGCAATAGTTACATAACAATCACGTGACGGTAGGTTCCTTTCACATCAGACACCGATTATATAATACTCACGCGAGTGACGACGGATTCCTTTGGCATGGATTACGTGGTACTCACGTGACGGTCGGAATACCGGCGTAATGGACGAACCGGACTCACACGTAAAAGAGTAAATTATACTTACCTCCAGGCCACGTGATATTGTTGAATATCGAGTGGCCCATCTGCTAAGCCTAGATCAACCCATGCGCCGGGACTTACAGGTGTTAGGGCTGGAATCGGCTTGGCCGGATGGGGAGTAATTGTCGGATTGGGGGGATTTATGGGTATAGGAGGGAGGTTCGGAGAAAAGCCGGTTGTCGGAGGCCGGCTGTATTTGGGCACCGCTTGCGGCGATGGGACCGCCCCAGAGGTTATTTACGGCTGATGGCACATGTTAGCGTTGGGGATAATCCCTCCCGGAAGCTCTGAAAGCTCTCCTTGAGCAGGTCACGGCAGCAGCGGCGGCAGCGCAGCATTCCGGGGCCGGCCGACCCGCCTCGGAATGGGTGTATCAGCCATTAATTCAATGGATCAACTGGTTTGGGGCTGTGTGGCTCTTGAAAAGCTCTTGAAAACTCTTGAAAACTCTTGAAAGCCCTTGAAACCTGAAAAGTGGTTGAAAGGAGGAAGAAAAGGATTACAACAGCTTGGGGGTTGAGAGCCCTTATATAGACCGGTCTAGAGCACGCTCCATCAGTACGTACCCCAACCATCCAAGGCAAACAGTTAGGCAAACTAAGCGCTAGTAAGCCTATTGAAATTGAAGCCATCCTATTGGCTCAAATCTGGACCTATTGAGCCGCTAGTAAAAAGTGAAACGTTTGGAGCCAACTTTTCAAGCTGTTGATTGATTGATTGGGTGCATCGCTTTTCAGCCCCCAAATCCAGCAAACCACCTTCCACACCACCTTCAACACCACCATGTAAATCAATTATTTCAAATATTTCTTAAAGTATTTGATTTAGGTAGTGGTGTTGAAGATGATTAATAAGATGGATTAAATGGATCAAATGGATCAAATGGATTAAATGGATTAAATGGATTGAATGGAAAAAAGTTGAAAAGAAGAAGTTGGAATGGAAGAATTAGAAAAGATGGATTGGATTAGTCAGCTTTGATTATTAAGAATGGAACTGAATGGATGGAATTGAATGGAAAGTGGCTGATTTAAGGCTGTGGAGGCTGAGCTTATCTTATCAATGGAATTAAATAGAAAGTGGCTGAATTGAGGCTGTGGAGGCTCAGCTCCTTATCTTATCAGTTTCTGCGGGAAACAGAGTCCGAGCTTGAAATTTTCACTTATAGGCACGGCTCCACTACACGATTTTATTAAGTAAAACTTTACATTTAACTCGTCCCTCCTTAGTAAAGTTTTACTAATAAGGTGTGATTAGAGGATTTTATTTACATACTAGGTATCAATATTAACTGAAGTACACCACATATGTATGTGAGCCTCAATGTTCTCACCAATCAGAGCACACACACTGTCTGTTTTGTAAGTTGTGATATTTTAATGCTTTAATGCCTATGTGAATAGTTACTAGGGACCCTAGGTAATCAATTTAACGCTAAATCTGTACTTGTACATTCCTAAAAAGTGGCGCAAATTGGGTGCAAAGCTTGGTAGGTCCACATTGCAAGATCTAGTTCATCTCTAGTATGCATATAATATGGGGCTATATTTCAAGCATGACAAAAATATATTTTCATGATAGAAGAGATCACGTGATGGTGTTAGTTATGTCACGACTCACGAATGACTGTGAATATTGGATCGATCTAGGATTACATAACTAACAGGCATATCTTCATATCTCTATCTAGTTATATACATACTACTAGTAACTAGTAGTAGGTACCTACTATGTACATATCAGCTCCGAATCTCGCAGCTTATCACTGTACCCTCATCATTCCAACATTAACGGCCTTTTTTTTTTCTTAGTCTAGTGACTCAAAATAGTGGTGGTTCTTTTTCTTTTCTTTTTCCTTTTTTCTTCTAATTACCAATTGAACCCCGCCAGACTCTTGTCGGGTTTTGAACATTGCCAACCTCTGATCAGAGAACTTTCAAAGTTCTCGCCCATGATCAGAAATCATGGCGTCTCGCACATTTGTCCAGGCCAATTGCCTTAGGGCTATCGCCGCCGGCATACAAATTGCTCCCAGGACAACAGCTAGATGGAGCTCTGGTACCAGTTCTACTTCAGCCATTGCCTACAAAGCTCTTCGCCGCCGTCATGCGCCCCTCCCTACCGACACTCCATCATCATGGTCCGCCCAAGCGGCCGTTTCTAACATCTTATACGAAACCCCGACGCCTTCCATGTCGCCTCCGAAACGTCACATCCTCAACTGCCTGGTCCAAAATGAGCCTGGTGTCTTGTCTAGAGTGTCCGGTATTCTGGCAGCGCGGGGCTTCAACATTGATTCTCTAGTTGTATGCAGTACAGAGGTAGAAGACTTGTCTCGCATGACAATTGTTCTGACTGGCCAAGATGGTGTGGTCGAGCAAGCGCGCCGGCAATTGGAAGATCTGGTCCCCGTTTGGGCTGTTTTGGACTACACCAATGCTGCCTTAGTCCAAAGAGAACTGCTACTTGCCAAGATCAATATCCTGGGACCGGAATACTTCGAGGAGCTGTTGGCGCACCACCGCGAGATGACAGCCGAGCCTGATGTGACGGGAGTTGGTGACAAGTCGTTGGAGGATGTGTCTTTAGATTTCCATCCCAGCAAAATGATAGCCAGCCAGGCCCTGCGACTCAAGCATGAACATCTAAGATCCATCACGTACTTTGCACACCAGTTCGGTGGCAAAGTCTTGGACATCAGCACAAGTAGCTGCATTGTCGAGGTGTAAGTTGTGAATTAGGCTGTAAAAATCGCTGACTGCTAACACTTGCTAGATCTGCCAAGCCAGTAAGAATCGATTCGTTCCTAAAGTTAATAGCACCATTTGGGATTCTAGAGTCATCGCGGACTGGTCTTATGGCTTTGCCCCGATCACCTCTCTACGGCCCTGACGAGGAAACCATTGTGAAGGAGGCAGATGAGATCGTGGATGCTAGCCAGCTACCCCCCGGTTAAATAAAAAAAATTATTGGGCTGGAAAATTGGCGTTGATGGTGATTAGAAAAAACATGGCTCAAGTTAGGCATTGTTTCTCTATACACGAGAATTGCATAGTGTGAATTACTTAATGCAAATATGAGAGTGAATTCACAATTTTTTGTCACATTTTATTACGCCCCCCTTTTTGAGCCAGTATTGAAATCACTTTTCCCTCAAAGGATGGATCTGAGCTTCTCCTTTTCCAGTTCTTGAGGGCACCTATAATTGGCACCTCTAAAACTGCCAGCCAATTTTCCAATACCACATTCAACGTCTACGTTTAATATACGTAAATTACAAGGCCTATACTCTCCACGGAAGTTTCATTTGTAGTCTAGACTATGTTCCCCTTGTTGACGACAAACCCCTCGAGAGCCGCTGTGTTTATATTAGCATTGAAGCAGACCAAATTTGAGAAGTATGCATTACTTACCGACAGCAGCCCATAATCTGTTTTCTGCTTCGGGAAATACAAGTGACCGCGGAGAGTAGAAGACGCCATCTTCAACTTCCTCGGGATGGCGAGGTAAGCAGTGCATGAATTTCCAGTCTGCCTTTGCACCACCCCTCTTTGCTAGCTCATTGGTGACCTGGAAGCCAGCGAAGTCCTTGAGTCGCTTCTGCGCCTCCTCCTCCTGGCCCATGGAAATCCAGGTGTCGGTCACGATTATATCGGCATCCTTGACGGCCTCCTCGGGGACGTAGGTCTGGTTCAGGACCCCGGGTGTTTGGGTGGATTTGGCTTGGCTGGTAATCAGATCTGCCATATTCTTTGGGATCTCATAGCCGCGGGGTGTGGCGACTGAGATCTCAACGCCGAGCTTTATACATGCGATAGCGAAGTCGAACAGAACGTTGTTCGCATCTCCAACCCAGGCTACCTTCAATCCTTTTGGAACGATGAGGTTGTCTGCAGGAGAAGCTTTAGTCGTCTCGTGAATCGTAAGGAAGTCTGCGATTATTTGAAGCGGGTGAAAGTCGTTGGACAGCGCATTGATGACAGGGACGCTTGAGTCTTTCGCCAAACCAACCACGTCACTGTGAGGCCCGACCCGAGCTACCATGCAGGAGGTCATAGATGAGATCACCTTGGAGGTATCTAGCAATGACTCATTCACCTAAAGAGTCTATCGGTCAATTGATCCCCTGTGACAAAATAAAATGGAATAGGAGACTTGAGATGCACTCACTCCTAATTGGATATCGTTCTTTCCAAGGAACATAGGGTGCCCTCCCATCATAGCCACAGCAGCCTCCGTTGAGACTCGGGTACGAGTACTCAATTTATTGAACATCATGGCCACGGACTGGCCAGTTAAGGTACTGTTCAGGCTCTTCGGAACACCTCCAGATTTGACGGCCTTCTTATGGGCCGCAGCATTTAGCACCAGCTTTGATAATTCAGCAGGTGTGAGATCACTCATAGACATGAGATGTCGAATTGGCTTGGGGGTAGTTGAGTAGCATCTTGCCTGAGCACCTCCAAGTGAGCTCTTGGCGAGTCGTAGAGCTGGTGACCTCATCTTCATGAAGGTTAATACATGCAATGGAATATTTGAAGAGTTTTGCTTTTTGCTTTTTGCTATTTGATATTCGATGTATGTACAATACCTATCATTGTTATCGACAACTCCAACCAGTTAACTAAATAACTAACCTACATGAATTTGGCTGTGACACATACTTGTGGAAATACATACACTAACATATGTAGATAACCATACTATGTACTTAGTGTAGAATTTATGCACATAAATAGCTTACATAATAACTCTTGGGTAGTACGGTACCTGGCTAGGTACACAGCCCTGGACTCTGATGGAGGGAAGATTGAAGTGAGCCGTGCTTTCTGCAGGGTCTTCCCCAGAGAGCACTAGTCAATAGACGGGATAGTCGCCGCTTTACTACTACATAGTACCTAGTACTTCCCCTCCTAGGCCTATTCTGTTTGGCTGGCTCAGGGCAACAATGCCCCAGCCAGACCAAGAAAAGCGCCCTGTCTCAGCTGATGTGGCAGCAGTGTGAACCATAAGTGTTGGCAGATCCAAGTAACCTGCTGGAGCCAAGGTGGATGACGAGTACCACTAAAACACCACTCCAACACCACTCTCAGTGCTGCCCTCAGTGCTGCCTTCAATCTTTACTAACCTACCCACTTGCTCGTTCTACAATCGCTATTTCTATCAATCCATCAATCCAACAATCCAACCTTACTCGACTTATTTCCAACATTCTCCATCATCTTACATTTCATTCACTTCTTTTCATTGTACACCGCTAAATAATCCCCATGGTTTGGAGCCGATAATGTCCGTGTCTCTTCGTTAGCCAACCATCCTTTTTACCAAGCTTCGAACGAGATCTCTTGTCAATCAAGATCTTGATCCTTCGACCCTCGACCCTCGACCTTCGACTGGTATTAATCATGCCGGAGGAAGAGACATCGCCCTTACTTTCAGCCGCCATGAAGGGTAAGACCGCCTCTCGCGAGCGGTCTGGCTCGACCGAGTCAACACCCCTCCTATCGAGTTCATCCGCAACCCCTCGTTACGACGGAGACATCGATGAACACGATGAGAACGCCGCTCTTTTGGACCAGTCCAACCGTACAGATGGCCAATCCCTTGCACTTGCCATTAAGCCAACCAGAAGATGGCCCTCCTTTGTAGCCATGGGCGTCCTTGCGGCTGCAGTCATTGCTATCATCGTCCTTGCATTTATCGTTCCCGAAGCAGTACAAGAATATTCTGAGCAAGCTGCCGTCGTCGAACCTACCAACCTCGCTCTTGACTCCATCACCCCAACCGGCGTTCGAGCTCGTATACAAGCCAAGTTCCATCTAGACGGGTCCAAGGTCAGCAACCCCAATGTCCGAAACATAGGAAGAGCCGTTACATGGGTCGCATACCAACTTGAAAGCAAAGAGACCAAGGTGGACGTGCGTCTACCTGACTACAATAACATACTTCTCGGAAGCGCAATCGTCCCACCTCTGCTGGTCAACTTGCGAGATGGCGATACAACTCAGTTCGACTTTGTCATAGATATCACACCTGGAGACCTTGAAGGCATCCGTATAATTGCAAAGGAATGGCTAGATGGAACCTTGGACTCTCTGCGCCTGGATGGACAGGCTGATGTCACTGTCAAATCCGGCATCTTCCCCCTTGGGACGCATTTTATATCGGAATCGCTCGTATTTGAAGGTCAATCACTCTACAGCTCCTTTGGTTCTACCCTTTACATGGGGAGAAAGGCCACGCTTTGGCTTATCGGAACCAAACTGGGGCTCACACTCCTTTAGACAAGCAAAGGTGCTAATATTTTTTGGAATAGCGAACAAAATCCCTGCGATTCCGAAGTACAATATCAGTCGCTTCAACGTCGAGGACGGTCCGATGAATGGGTCAATGCTAGCTGATGTGTCTCTGTCAGTATTCAACGAGTGGCCGGTGGAACTCGATATACCTGAGCTTGCGTTTGATATTATGGTACCTGGCTGCGTCGCCTCCGACCCGTCCATCCTCGTAGCAGAAGCAGGCAACGGTCCAATCCACGTCACCCCTCATAGTGATGTAGATGCCGATGTCAAAGCGGTCATTCATGAGCTTCCCGAATCTTTGACCCACGTTTGCCCTGACTCCACTTCGTCTCCTTTAGATAACTTGCTACAACAATACATGCATGGTGATCCCGCCATGGTGCTTGTTCGTGGGAGTCGTCATCCTGATGGCGACACACCAAAATGGATTGCTGATCTACTTTCAAGTGTCACTGTCCCTGTTCCATTTCCTGGGCGGAGCTTGGATGGCTTATTGAAGACCTTCTCGTTAACTGACGTTCACTTCACTATGCCGGATTCTTCTGCCGACCCGGAGGACCCGGACGCCAACCCTAGAGTCTCTGGGAATATTTTCGTTACTGCAGGCCTTCCATCCGAGATGAACTTTGGTATAGACGTGACGAATATCCGCGCTACGGCCGATGTGCTTTACAAATCACAAAAATTGGGAGAGCTCAACGTACGCGAGTGGCAACATGCAAACTCAACCAGGGTTCAGGGCACTGGAGACGAAGGACCTTTACTCAAAATTCAGTCGCGGATCAATGATGCGCCCCTGAACATAACCGACGGCGTCGTATTTGGTCAGGTCATTCGGGCACTGCTGTTCGGCATTGAACCAGTCCGCCTGCATATAAACGCCTTGGTTGACATCAAGGTGCATACCACGCTGGGGAATCTCACTCTCAAGGAGGTTCCTGCAGAAGGCAAAATTCCAGTAAAACGTCCGTCTTCGCTATTTTGATCTTGTTAGTCGCTCTCTTCGATGGTCTGTCTAGTAGGACAGTTTTTGTTTCTTGAGGTGCAAAATCCTTGCTTGCCCTCCTACCTGCTCAATAAATTGTAGCATACGCTGACTAGGTAGTTCTTAGCCCTTCCCAAAGGCGCCATTGGCAATATCGATCCAAAGATAGGGTCAATCAGGGTTCTAGACACGACAACGGACTCGATAACGTTGCAAGCATTAGTCAATATTACCAACCCTACAGCCTATACAGCTTACGTACCGTATGCCAACATTCATGTTTTGAACAACGGCTCTGTACTCGGAAGTGCTACCGTAGAGAATATAGACATTGTCCAGGGCTCCAATGCCAATGTGCTTGTCACGGCAAAATGGAGCCCGCGCATGGGAGGCGTTCACGGTCGAAAAGTAGGACAAGAGCTTATATCGCAATATTTGTCTGGCTGGAATACAAGCATCACGGTCAAAGCTCACCGAGACAGCATTCCAGGCCAGCCTATTCTCAGCGAAGCTTTGTCCCAATTCAATATGACGTTCGCCGCTCCGAAACTAGACCTGCCAGACGACACGCCCGGAGAGAAGCCTCACTTCATCAGAGATGCAACGTTTCACATTCTCTCATCAACAGCGACGTTCACGCTTGTGTCGCCACTTCATTACAACACGCTATACATAGATTTTGTTAATGCAACCGCATTATATAATCATACCGAACCTATGGGGCAGATATATTACGACCTGCCATTCTCAGCTCCTCCTGGCAAGTCGCAAACCCCCAAACTACCTGTCAGATGGTCCCTAGATTCAGTGGGATATGATGCTGTGAAGAAAGCGCTTGGGGGGCATCTGAAGTTGGACGCATACGCGGATGTGGATGTGCGTCTAGGAAATTGGAAAGAGTCACTGTGGTATAGAGGTGAGGGCATCGGTGCCAGAGTACAGCTTTAGATTCGATTTTCTTTATAGTATGAATTGGCGTTCTGGGATGCAAGCAGGTTTTTGAAGGTATGCCAAGTAGGCAAGGCGTTGGTTAATCGGTCACTCCAAAACGAGAGCATAGGATGAGCATAGGATGAGCATATGAATATAACTACCTAACGTACAAATAATAAGATGTACAGAATACTGCCTGATATATATTGGCATGTGATAAATTTCCTGAAATATTACGGGTATTACCAGTACAGGATATCCAAATCCGCATTTTTACGCCGAAGCTAACATTGAGCTACTTTCCAAGAGACTCTAAAATCCTGCGAGCAGCGAACTACATACCATTAGCGCTACAGTTATTTGGAGGAGGGGCAAATCCCTAACAAACACGACTTACTTAGTCTTATGTACTATCAATTTGCCTACTAAAATGTAGGCCACCTACATTAGTTTGTAGTCACTATCAGATATAGAGAGTAATAGCAACTTCGGCGTTCACCGATGTGTAAGGGAGAAAACATCGAACCACATAATAATTGCATCCGGTATAGTGTAACGGTTAACATACCTCGTTTTCACCGAGGAGCTCGGGGTTCGATTCCCCGTACCGGAGATCAAAAAATTGTTCGGCTTTCTTTTTGTAATTTTTTTTTTCTCACACAACCGAAGTCAATTCTTATGTCCAGACATAGGTATTAGGTACCACTAGTAGTAGAGATTTTAGAGCCCCGCGATGTATTGCACCTAGGCAAGCATCTCGGCGTCCGGGTGTGCGGCCAGCCAGCCAGCCATGTATGTATCTGTGTCGATGATGAATAAGCTGCATTCGCATTCGCCTGTAGTAAAAGCTACAGTATTCTCGTGGGCTACATACCCGTTTCCTGCAAGTTAGTACTATCCACGCCCATAAGACAAATGTATAGGCAGTAGGTCTGGCGGCGAAACGGCGCGGAAAGCGTCCCGACATAGGCTTGAAATATGCACCAGTGAGGCAAGAGACAAGAGTATGTATTGCTCGGTATCTCATAGACAGGGTAGAACTATACGTTCTCGGCTCATTGTGCTTGGGTGGTATAACCGCTAAGAGTGTGAAGTTGCAAATAGGGGAGCAGCGTACCACTAATGGATACCCAAACAATTCCATGGTGAGAAAATACTGCCTTGTAGTCAGTCAGCTTGTCCATGGCATATGCCATTCACATGGCGTATTACCTAAACCAACATTATAACCCCCAATGTCACCATGATTAGGAGGCTACAATGATGCCATCGCTGTGTTGTTTGGTGATGCATTGCTCATCCAAGCATGAGTATCTCATCATCAGGACCATGGACAAAGAAGATGGCACATGAAATATTACATATGATAACTACAATAGCTCTTGTTTGAATTTAGAGAAAGAAATATTGTCCATTCCTATGGTAAAGGGGAATATTCTCACCTTGGTGTATATACTACACAATCAATGGCTACGAACACAATAAAGAATTGATAGCTTAGGTAACTTGTTCTCGACAAGGCCCCTTGTATTCAAACAAAGCAGCTACGAGAAATCATCACCAAGTTGACAATCTATTGTTCATGTATCAAGGAAAGAAGACTGCTCCATGGCGTTCAAGCACTCTCTGGCTGACATATAAGCACAGAAGCCATACCCTCTCTACCCGGCACGTCCTATTCCTTCCCATAAAACCATCCATCCCTTTCCGCTCCATCTCGATTCCACCTTGGTGAGTATCCTCCTCAGAGAAAGTCTGTTCCCCAAACGAAGCTTCTACGTTGACTATACCTTGAACGCTTGAAAACCAAACAAACTTTCCCAGAGCTAGCTACCTATTTAGTACTCGCCTCACGCACCATGTCTCCCCCGTCGCCAATCATCAGCCGTGTCAACGATCTGAGCATCCATTTCGAGAAGCTGTCCCTAGGCCTGAACGGCGACGGCAATCATAGCGCATCTGGCTCAGACTCGGAAGTTAACAGCGGGAGTCTCTCAAACTCAGCGAGCGGTTCCGATGTTTCTCAAGAGAAGAAGCAGAAGAAGCAGAAGCAAGTCCTCACGGGCGAAAACCGCATCCCTCTCCGCCAACGCCTCCGGGAGATGCGCAAGGGTGTGCAAGAGCGAGCCCAGCGACGGCGAGAGAGCGGCTCCATCACCGACACCATCGAGGCCATGGTGACGGTTACGGAGCCCACCACCACCCCACCTCGCAACGCCAGCCCCCCTCGTAGCGCCAGCCCCCAGATCGAGACCCCCATCCGTCCCCTATCCCTAGCGCACCTCGAGGTCGCGCCCCTGGAGCTCCCCAACGCGCCGTTCAAGCGCGACGGCGTCTACGACTCGCGGCGGCTGTCTTCGTCCTCGAGCAACAACAACAACGACGACGACGCCGACCACCTGCTAGACCGCCGCGCGAACACGCACACGGAGGAGGAGGTCGAGAGCCGGCGGCTGTCGGTGGAGCAGGCGAACGAGCGCAGCCGGCAGAAGGTGACGACGCCGAGCCGGCCGTCGTCGCTGTGGCGCAGCTTCAACGCCGACGACATCGACAAGCTGTACTCCGCGCTCGGCAGGCTGGAGGGCGAGGAGAGGGAGGCGGAGAGCCGCGAGGAGTAGTATGTAGTAGTAGTTTATTTACGACTACATAGCCCGGTCAATGCGCTGGCTGGTCGCCGTGGATGATGACGACGACGATGGATGCAGAGAGAGAGAGAGAGAGAGAGAGAGAGAGTATCAAAGCTTAGGGCTTGCTTGAACGAATCGTGGAGGGTTGACTAGTAGTAAATAAGTAAGTTCCTTCACGAAATACCTATCTCTGCTGTGCAGTATGTACATGTACCTAAAAGTCGTTCATTTCGGTGATTTGCTTCACATACTCTAACTAGCACACGATTTTGGGAGGGGTGGGATAAGTTGGAAATGGATCACGATGCTGTATCCTTCCTTGACATAGAAACCTACCTGGGTTCATAGCAATAATAATATAAGGACGCAGCAATGCTACAAATCTCCAAGGCCTTGTGAAATTTAAATGCACGTGTTTGTGAGAAAGGTTCAAGTTCACGTGCAATGTTCAATGTGGTGACTGGAGTGTTCGTAAGTACCCAAGTAACTACCTGCAGTGTCCTGCACCCATACATGTACCCCAACCACCCACACTACTAGGGAAAACGCACTACCTACACTAACCTTAGGTATGTAGGTGGTACCCCTCGGTAAGCCATATAAGCTTAACTTGCAGGCAGTCTTCCATCCGCCCCCTCGCAAGGAAGTCCACTTCCTCTTGCAAGAGAAAGATCGAAACCAATTCTCTCCTCCCTTGGTGGTCTAGTTGGTTATGGCGTTCGGCTGTAAATGTGCACAACACTTGTTACCGAAATGTCGCTGGTTCGATTCCGGCCCGAGGGACTCAATTTTTTTGTTGGTTTTTCAATTTACCTATTCCTTTTTCTTTTTTTTTTCTTTTTGTCTTTTTCTATTTATCCCTTTGGACTTTCAAATGTTTCAAATGTGTATTACTATCATTCATTTTTAATTGATGATGAAACAAATTTGCTCGCGACTTCCTTCTTGCTTAACTTCCAAGGTTATTTTTTTTTACGAAGAACTAACTGCAAGGTTCACTTTTGTGCGTGACCCACCCGAATAACATTTTGTTTTTGTGAATAGTTGCTGTCGACGACGCCTCTTACATAAGCATTGAAGATAAAGTATTTTCGACGACATGCACGATGATGCATGTGCAAGCAAAACTCCAATATAGATAGATACATATGTATCATTTTTATCTAGGTATTTCACACTATTGTATATTTGCATTGCGTCCTGCGCATTTGTACCAAGGAGTAACTTTGAAGCCTTCAATTTAGTCTTATGTACATGAGCGGCTTCTGAGAATACTAGGTTATATAAATTATAATAGGACCGTTCGCATACGAGGCACGACACTTCATAATGTTACCAGTAAGAGACAATCTACGGGGATCCCTAGGAAATTTAGCAGCATATAGATCATATCAAGTCAGGCATAGGAAAAGGACGATGACTTCATAGTCGTGAGCTGGAAGATACCGACAGACACGTGGAAACGGGAAGTCCTCATACGATAGCACATGGCACAGAACGAAAACTTCGACTATCGTGTCAGCAACGCATTAACTAACTGATTACAAGTATACAAATGAGGGAGGAGCACCTTTGTGTGGAAAGGAGTAGGGCTTGCATGATCATGCAAGCCGAACTCCCGCCTCCTTTCTCTTCTTCGTCTGTTGCGCGGTCGCCGAGCTCATGCCCACGTTCTGGCTGGCGTCTAGCATGCTCTGCGACTCGCGTCGTTTCTCGTCCTCGATCTTCTTCAGTCGCTTGTCGGTCTTGCCCTTGCCGCTTCCCTTGCCGTGGAACTGGTGGCTGAGATGCTTGAATGCTTCCTTCTGGTCAAGCGACCGACCAAATTCGTCGTGATACTTCAACTCCACGTTGGGTTTGTATCCCTTGTTGAAGAGATCAACCAGTTGCCGGGAACTCTGCTGGTCGCGCATGTTGTTTTGTTGACGGGCCCACTCCTCTCTTTCTCGAACCGACAACCTATCTAGCCTGCCGCTGTTACGATCCCGTTCACGCTGGTTGCGGGCTTCCTGGTCAATCTCTGCCAGCTTCCGCTTCTTCTCGGCGATGAAAAGATCGTGCTGGCGCTGTCTGTCATTGAGATCAGCACCACCAGAGTCCTTCAGGAGCTGTCGTTCTCGGAGGAGTTGGAGTGTTGCGCCAACACCACTGCCGATGGTCTTCTCTTCGTCGACGCCGATGACAGCTGTCTCCGCCGGCGTTGAGGTTTCGCGCTTGACTCGGTCATGTTCATGTTCGTATCCATCCTTCATAGGCTCATCTTCGTCGGAGTCATCCTCCATAGCTGTGGCGGGCGTCTGTCTAGGTGACTTTGGCTTACGAGTTTTACGATCTTCAATGTCCTCCTTCTTCAGGCCTGAAACAAACTCGGAGATCTCATCTAGGACAAGACCACCCTCTTGGCCGCTATTATCTTCATTGTCAACTTCAGGTGTCTGTGCCTCTTCTCGCAACTGTCGTGCTATGTCCTCAGGGCGCGCCCTCTTTCGCCTCTTTAAGGCGTTTCTCCTCTGTGCAGCTAAGGTAGCCTGCAAATCTTCATCATCGACGAATGCCGTATCATCAGTCTTGCGCTTCTTGCTAACAAAGCCAGCACCCGAATCAATGTCCATGGATTGATCTTCTTCTGCGGGTGGCATGGGAAAGATATCATCTTCGCCCACTGGCCGTTGTCTTGTCGACTTTGTCTTCTTCTTTTTGGGTTTCTTGACTTTGACCTCCGAGATGTCCAGGTAATCTGAGGCTGCTTGTGGCTGGTCTTCTTTAAGAAAGTCGAGGTTTATCTTTTGTCGATGATGGCTTTGTGAGGGACCGTCTTGGTTATCGGCTTGTATCGTGTTGCCAAATCCATCTAATGTGAACTTCTTGCTTTTGACGCCGCTAATTTCTTCGTCATATTGGGCAAGGAAGTTGCCCTCTCCGGACTCGTCCACTGCATTAGGGTCGTATACGGGCTTCTTCTTTTTCAACTCGAGCTTCTTGTTGAGCCTCTCTTGTTCTCTAAGGTTGACGTTTTCAAGTTCATCGCCCTCCTCCTCGTCCTCTCCCAAGACGTTAGAATCCTTGAGAGTTAATATCTGCTCGTCGCCCTCCTCAAACGCTCCAAGTTCGTGTCCAACTTTGACTCCTGCAAGATCCCTTGACGTATACTGTATTGCTGCGGCCGCTTCGGCTTCGGCAGCTGCTAGTTCTGCCTCTAACTTTCGCGCCTTTTCAATTTGCTTTTGTCGCTTTTTCTGATTAATCAGCCACGCTTTGGTATCAACTTCATCATCGTCAGCGTCACCTAATCCTTTTCCTTGGAGGCTCTCGAAACGTTTTGCAGCATCGCGGGCCTTTTTAACAGCAGCAGCCTTCTCGTCGCGTCGTTTCCTAGCAGCTTCGGCATCTTGAAGCTTCTTGTAGTTATCGTAAGCGGCGGCTTCTCGAGTTTCTAATGTACTTGCTGCTTCTTCATCGGGAGTCGATGCCTTCTCTTTAAACTGAGGACCGCTTGCTCCGGGAACAGGCAAAGGTTTTAGGCCGAGGGAAACACGGAGGCGATTCGTCTCCTCTATTGAGGCAGCATCCATTATGTCTTTTCGCGATGTATACGCTTTATTCAAATTATTATACTATCGTTTGAATGCCAAATGGAGATGGAGTGCGCAATGGAGCAATGGGGTGAAGCGACGTTGTTTACAGTATTTCGCAAATCAAAGTTTATTAAATTTCAACTTGAACATTGAAGTACAAGATGGAACAAGGCGCAAGGTAGTAGTTAGTAGTAAGGTACAACATTGAAGGCGGTAGGGTGGACAAAGAAAGTCGAATTACAAAGGTGAAGGTGGTCCGTGCGGACAGTGGCTTACACAGTAACTAATCAGCCCCACTTTCCGATAAGCCTTTCCCAGTGGTTAAATATTTTCAGAAATTTTATCGCTTCATTTTTTCTTTTCTCTTACAAAATCACGGATCTGTGCCCGATTGTCCTCTGGATCGCCCAGCGATTTCAGAGTTGACGGTCGAGGCAGCTCGAATCACTTATGGAATCATCCTCATATTCATGATGTCTATCCAATCGACAGGTCCTAGATTAAGGGGCAGTCTGGAAAGCTCGAGTTCGCCGTCAAACGCTGAGCTCAGTGGACCAGGCTTGCCTAGGCCTTATATTCCATCCCTTTTTTCCGAGATCGTTGATCTATGAGGTTGAGGAAAACCATAAGAGCTCCTACATGCTTTCACATTTCAGACCAAGTAGTTAAGTAGTCTTTACTCTATTCTAGTTGCCGATATGTTCTTGTTTCCGTTACGCCTGACCACCGACGAGGGGCAGCAGTCAAGTAACAGAGCAGCCGGTTTGTCTCGGCCCATCTTGGCCTCTCAATTCTCGTTTTTTTTTCCCTTTGAAGGTCAAGATAGCGCCGTGGCAAAGCATGATGATAATATAAAATTCAAATCCCGTTTCTCCAACTGGAGGAAGCTAGCACGCTTCGCCTCGGTCTGATCGCGGGCATGAATGAAGTCATTCCCAGTCGGGTAGTACGCGCCGGTTGGCTTCCCCAGACTGCATATTGCAAGTATTGCCAACGCTTCCTTTCTATTGCAAGTTCAGCTTGCTACACGCCGGGACGTCCTTGAATACCTTAGTTTTATGATGGCCTGTGTCTAGACTGCGCCATAATGTTAGAAGTTTTCTGAATGTCATAAGAGGACTTGGCTGGCGCGATTATGCCGGGCCGATATGGATTGCATAATGCATCTAAACCGTTGCAAGTGAGCATGGTCCAGCCTGTCTTCTCGTGTGGAAGTCTGCATGTGATAGACATCTAAAGACCTAGTGTTGTTTTCTACCATGCTCTGATCTGGGGTAAAAAGTGACGGAGGTAGGTCCGAAAAGACTTCCCGTAGTCACGTTCAAGCATGGTACGATTACGATACTGATCACGTTTTGATAGGTATCTAGGCCATTGTTGATATTGTTGTTGGCCGTATACTCCGAGATCTGTTCAAGCTGTAACCTAGGTGTCTGCGACTTGGAGTCTTTGGCGAACCACAAAATAAAGGTGAACGAATGACTAACCAACCATAGATAATTTCGGAAATGAGGCAGATTTTCAAGGGATGGATAAATGCTATGTAAGTGTCAGTATTTCATTGGCCTGGTACTCCAATTGCATGATGTTGACTATTATAATAGGGAATGTCTAACTTTATGAGAATTAGCTGGCATCAACCGGAAGACGTCCGAATCCCAGCCAAGTGGATAATATTGCTCAGGTGTTCAGGTGTGTGTACATACCACCTGTGCATGTTACCTGGAATTCCAGCGCATCTACGCATCAGTCGCATCTTACCGCATCTTTCCACATTTCCAGGGCTATGTACTCATTGTACTGTACTCCAACTTTTTCAACCACCTTTTCAACCCCCTTTTACCTAGTATTTTGCGGGGACCAGGTTCCCCCGCACTGGGGATTATTAGATGCATTTATACCCCAAACCGAGCCTCATAGTCCGTCTTTATTAACATTCAAGGGACACTTAGCTTCTCAGGGGTTTACATGTGCTTGCCGAGTTCTCTACCACTTTAATACGCGAACTAGAAGCATCGCCTAGAAGCATCGCCTAGAGCGGCCCGATTCTAGATTCCCAGATTCCAGGCTTGATCTACCATTGCTATCCATAGAACTCCGACATCAGATCAGATCCGACATTAAGTACCTACCTAAAATAACCTAAGACCTCACAACCACACACGTCATTTTATCTATTTTTCAAGTATCTCTTAAGCCGCTGTACCTTGTTGTACCTTGCTGTACCTTTCTGTATCTTCCCGTACCTGACCACGGTCTATTGCGAGAAGTATCGCCGTAGTTGTTGCTGGGATTCGGCCCTATCTGCTACTTTAGTGTAGTATCCGGTCAGCTGGCCGAAAAGGGGAAAAAAGCTTGGTCGCGATGCTCCTAGAGAGCTTCGTGTATAGGATATAAAGCCATGGACGTCTTACACAACATGAATTCCGAATTGTTCACCAACCACAACACCTCCCTCATCGAACCCATCATGCAAGGCTTCACTTCTCTGTTCCTCTTAGGCGGTTTTGTCTTTCAGACAATTCTCGGTCTACCCGGTAACTCTCGAGCTCTACGAGAGCGCGCGCTTCTGAAGAGATCGGTTGATACTTTCATCGCTACCGAAGAGCCTATTGCTCTAGAACAGCTCCTTTGCAACATTGGGTCTTCTGGCTGCCATTCTTCAGGGGCTGGATCGGGCGTCGTCATAGCTTCACCATCCACATCAAATCCTGACTGTAAGACTATTTCCATGCCAGCCTTTGTATCCTTGGCACATTAACTAAATATTCAGATTTCTTTACGTGGACGCGTGATGCTGCGCTTGTCTTCAAGGCCATAGTCGACAGATTCGCCCACACCTATGATGCTTCCCTGCAGACCCAAATCCAGAACTACATTGTTGCTCAGGCCAAGTTGCAGGGTGTATCGAACCCCTCCGGCTCTCTATCAGACGGTACCGGCTTAGGAGAAGCCAAATACCATGTCGACCTAAGTGCTTTCACTGATGGATGGGGTCGCCCACAACGCGATGGACCAGCCCTCCGAGCTATTGCCTTGATTGGATATTCTAAGTGGCTCATTGCAAATGGATACACATCGACTGCTTCCGGTGTCGTTTGGCCAGTTATTGCAAACGATCTTGCTTATGTTGCCCAGTATTGGAATCAGACCGGATTTGACTTGTGGGAGGAAGTGAATGGAAGCTCTTTCTTCACCGTCGCTGCTCAACACCGAGCTTTAGTGGAAGGAAGTGCTTTGGCAAAGAGCCTCGGCTCAAGCTGCAGCGCCTGTGACGCTATTGCGCCCCAAGTCCTCTGCTTCTTGCAGACATTCTGGTCGTCTTCAGGAGGCTACGCCCTGGCTAACATTAACGTCAACAACGGCAGAACTGCTAAGGATGCCAACGTTATCTTGGCTTCGATCCACGGGTTTGACCCAGCGGCTGGCTGCGATGCTGCGACCTTCCAGCCATGCAGCGACCGAGCTCTATCTAGCCACAAGGTTGTTGTAGACTCTTTCCGCAGTATCTACAACGTCAACTCGGGAATTTCCTCTGGATCGGCAGTTGCTGTCGGCAGATACCCTGAAGACACCTACTACAACGGCAACCCGTACGTACTCTCATTTGTCCTATTTGTCTCGGTCTGTTACTAATACTGGTATAGCTGGTACCTCAACACCCTCGCAGCCGCTGAACAGCTTTACGATGCACTATACGTGTGGCAGACCACAGGGTCCATTACAGTTACTTCCACCTCGTTGGCATTCTTCCAGGCCCTTTCTTCGTCTGCCGCTACTGGAACTTACAGTTCTACCACTGCCACGTACACCACACTGTACAATGCCGTATTCGCTTATGCCGATGGCTTCATGAACATTGTTTCGCAATACGCCCAATCTAACGGATCCTTGGCAGAGCAGTATGATCGCAACAGCGGCGTACCGTTGTCGGCTCGCGATCTGACGTGGTCTTATGCAGCATTCTTAACTGCCGCTGCCCGCCGAGCTGGTGTTGTTCCGGCTGGCTGGGCTAATGGATCGGCCGCGACTTCCGTGCCCGGTGTTTGCTCGGCGACGTCTCGCGCTGGAACCTACTCCTCGGCCACGGCTACATCTTTCCCGGCCAGCCAGACTCCCATTACCACCACTGTGCCGACCACCACGATTACCCGCCCCACAGTCACTGCTACGACCACCGCGTGCACTACTGCTACAGCTGTAGCTGTCACTTTCAACGAGGTCAAGACCACCACGTATGGCCAGACCGTCAAGGTTGTCGGAAACATCGCTGCTCTCGGCAGCTGGGACACCAGCAAAGCGGTGGCACTAAGCGCCTCGTCCTACACCTCCAGCAACCCTCTATGGAAGGGTACCATCACTCTGCCAGCTGGACAAGCCATCCAATACAAGTACATTGTGGTCAACACCGATGGCTCGATCACATGGGAGGCTGACCCGAACCGTTCTTACACTGTCCCGAGGACTTGCGCCACTACAGCGGCGACGTCGGATACGTGGAGGTAAATGTCAGTAAAGAGGAAAGTTGAATGGGAATATTAACTAGAGGTGGTTGCTCTGGCGGTCATGGGCGAACTTGTACCCTAATAGATTGATTGGATAAAGGAGTAGCTGCTACCTACCTAGTAGTAATACTGTAGAATGCAGATGTATGTTGGTTACTAGACTTGAACATAGAGAATGAATCATAATAAAATCAAATATTGTAAAATTCAGGTACTGCATGAGAATTTCAGCCATTTATTATCCAATGATCTTAACTGTATGACCCCCTTTTCGAGGTACGTGATCCAAGCCACAGCAAATAGCTAGACACACCACGTGCCCCTATCTATCCAACCTATCTATCTACACAAATACACGTAAGTGCCTACGTCGCCGCCGTCCCCTTCCCCTTCCCAGCCAACTCCTCAAGCTGTCTCATCAGCGTATCCACAGCCCACGCAAAGGTAGTTTCCATCGGCACATCAATAGCCTCCTCCCCTTCCCCTTCCCCCTCCCCCTTTCCCTCCTCCCCACCACCAAACACCAAAATCCCCTTCTCCCCCAACACATCCCTCCTCCACCTCCCCCTTTCCACATCCCCCCCCTCAAACAAAAACCCATGCGCAGCAACATAGTTCGGCCAAACCACGCGCTCCACATACCCGGGGGGGTCCTTCCAAAAGCCCTCGAGCGTGACGTAGCCGTCGCGACGCTGGCGACGCTGCAGGGCGCTGGAGCGGCTCACGCGCAGGAAGAGGCGGGTGTCGAGGAGGGAGGGGACGCCGCCGCGCTCGAGGGGGGCGGAGTAGAGGAGGAAGCCGTCGACGAGGCAGATGCGGAGGCGGGGGGTGGCGGGTGGGCTGTCCGGGTGGTTGGTGGAGCGGGAGCTGGAGCGGGAGGGGTGGTGGGAATGGTCCTCGCCGATGAGGATGGAGTGGCCGGGCTGGCCGGGTTGCAGCCACGCGCTGACTTTGGCCTTGGCGAGGGAGATGGCGGCGGAGGAGACGGGGCAGGCGCCGATGGAGTTTTGGTCTTCTTTTGAGTCTACGAAGGGCTTTTGAGGGGGGGAGGTGGGTGAGGGTGGTTAGTATGGATGTGCTCACTGCTGTGTACTCCATTGTGCTGGATAGGGTGATACAGAACAGGGGGGGTAGGTGTAACGTGGCTCGGAGAACGAGATTTAGAATCAAATAAAATAAAATAAATAAACGAAGCAATGGCACATTTCTCGGTCGAGTCTACCAACAGCAACAGCAACCGCAACCGTAAGCTTACCGGAAAGGTACCGTGGGCACGGATATGCGACAGCGCCCGCGTCATGGCCGGGATGGAGAGAGACTCGGCACAGTCCCAGTCCAGGAGGCCATCTTTAGTGGGGAGCCTGAAGGAGATGTTAGCATTCCATTTTTTTTCTATTTCTTTTTTAAGCAATGCTGTAGTGAGAAAGTATAGAAGAAACATTTACTCGGCTTCAGGCTTATAAAAGTCATCCTCGTGCAGAATGAAAGTACCGGGGAAGACATCGCGCAGCAGCCGGGCAAGCGTGGTCTTGCCGCTCGAAGAAGCCCCGCTGATGCCGACTATGACCGCTTTTCTGTCCTCCATCCTTCCGGCCGCAGATGGCCTGATAGGAGCATTTACTGGAATTATTGATTTATTTTATTGTTGTATTGTAAATGAGTAAGAGAAATATGTTGAGGGTTTGCGCAATTATAGGGATGTACTATGTATGTATTACATAAGGAGGAGGCCAAGAACTTTCTTTCTATGTAACTAGTTGAATAAGAGAATTAAAAGATAGAAAAGGTTTATTGAGTTCCGGATTTAGGCCGGGATGACTCAGCCGATCAAAGAAAAAAATAAAGGAAAAATAAAAATAAAAATAAATAGAAAAATAAATAGAAAAAGTAAACTCTCGATCGGGGAATCGAACCCCGGCCACCTGCGGACAGATCGCGCTACACTAGATGTTGCGGACGATGACAAGCAGGTATCCTGACCACTAGACCAATCGAGACTTTGTTATGAGTTAACTTCTTTGCAGATGTTGGTTATTACAGAAGTATCTTTCTCTAGCGTCGTCCTTTGACTGTGACGCGCTTGCATCGTGAAAATATTTGCACAACTTACTAACCTAGGTATACTAGGTATATAACCTAGGTATATAATATATTCGTTTATATTAGCTTTAGCTGCCTACATGTACCTAGTGTAGGTACAATACATACCGACAGAACGGAACGCCCGCATGAAACTCGGTATTTAGCTAACTGTTCAATAGGGACCATATTATATAATCCATCTAAAATATCTAAAAAAAAAATCTATTCTAAATACGGAATCCCGACAAATCAAATCATACGGTTGGGTATAGTTACATCCTCCTTTACGCCAAACCAAACCAAAAAAAAAAAAAAAAAAAAAAAAAAAAAAAAAAAAAAAAAAAAAAAATTCTTCATCACCAGTACACAGAGGCAAAATTCCCAACGTGCTGAACGGTGTCTGACCTAAACCTCTCTTCTTCTTGCCTTGCCTCCTTGCCATCTTCCTCACTCAGCGTCTCGGAGCTCATCCGCCGTATCGTTTGCGTAGTAGTAGTAGTGGATGCTGCTGCTGAGCATAATGGAACAGAGTCCGAAGCCATGCTCGCTGAGCTGGGTTTTCGAACTAGACTGCTACTGGCTTGCTTGTACCATGGCTTCTTGCTTTGTGGTGTTTTGAGCTTGTCTTCCTGGGGCTTCGAGATAGGTGAGGAGGTGGTGTTCTTCTTGTCTCTCTTAAGCGGAAGAACCTCGCCGGGGTCTATAGGGTTACTGAACACTTCTTCGCCGTGCCCGGTACCGTTGAAACAGGCTGCGCAGGGGCATATCGGTACCGACGGCCTTAAACTGGACGGGTGTGCGGTTTGGCTCTGCCACCATGCCATAAACTCAGACTTCATGATGAAGTTTAGTTGGCTTGGTTGTAAAGTGATTTGTTCCCGTCACTTTGTGATAACGTATTTGACGTATATCAGTCGCCTGGACTTTAACTGGATTTTGAAGATAATTTTTGTAGGTTTTAAAACGATCGTATAAGAAGTCGAGAAGTCGAAGTAACGCACACAAGCAAGGCTCTCTAAATCATCTCACGCACCTAACAGAAACGAGCATAAAAAGAAAGGTCTCAAATGTCTTATATGCTGCTGTGGCTTCTAAAATTGTATGTTGTTATTGCCGAACCATCCCGAGCGTCGCCACCAGGAGAGGCAAGGCTCCCTTAGCCCCGAGCATATAATCCAGGTACTAGCACTAACTTCTCATCCTCGTGCCTATCAGGTACGGCACTGCAATGCAACATTGAATGCGCCGTACTTTAGTTGAGGATCTGGCTGTTTGCTAAAGACTACATATATACAAGGATACTAACCAACCAAAGCTGCTCCTAAGCAATTCCCCTTTCAGATATTCTCAGACAAAATATTGGTCATTGGCAGCGCGATACCTAATCTTCATATGGGAGTGTTATATATTAAGCAGCAGAATGCTACATAAATATAAGCCAAACCGATAATTAGACCGCAGTGCCGCATACAGGCACGAGAATGCGACGCCAGTATCACCCACTTGCTTTTTTCTAAAAACATCAACCTTGAAGTATCTACATAATACTAACCTAGGGCTTTCGTGGTTGGAAGGGAATTCTCCGTAAAAATAAGAAAAAAATCTTTTTTTGGGTAAAATTTTCATTGACAATTTTTAGACAGTAGCCCCCTAATTAGGGTCGATATACTGGAGATAAATGTAACCCAATACGTTGGATATATAATATAGAACAAAAAGGCGGTAACCTACTATGTCACATAGGGCTCCGTAGCCTCGAATGATCCACACGTTCCATGCAGATTGGCGATGGACTGACTGACATGTAGGTAGGTACATACATATAAGTATCGCAGCTAAGTTTGACATATGTGTCGGGGACGAAAAGGGGAAGGCTTGGCGGATTTAATTCGGAATGTCTGTCTGGATACTCAAACAGGCGTAGTTATTGTAAGCTTTTGATCTCCAATCAGAGGCAGTCAGTCGGATCACGGCACCTTGGTAAGCTTGCACAGAGTAACGAATGGATTACATGGCTGATTGGCACTTGCTCGTCACCTACGATGCCGTGGGGGAACTCTTGAAGCTAGTATCGTCGACGATATAACACGGCTTACACACACGGATAAGGGATGGCTTCTGGATGTCAGTGATTACCATCCACATCCATCAAGAAGATCGCGGGGAACCGTGACAATGACTTCCTTGCTTAGGAGGTACTTGTGATGGTCATAAGCTTCTTATAACAACAATGCGTTGATATAGTGACTAGGCTTCAGAATGAGCCTCAAATGATGACTTTGGGAACTATTGTGATAGAGAGCCTGCAAGCCATCAGCGTATCCTAAGAGCCACAAGAGTAATCATCGCGGCGCTGTGTCTACCCACCTAGTACCTATGTGGTTTACATAATCGTAAAGGGGATATTTCGACGTCAAACGGTGCTGTCCTACGGGTTAATTGTGAGTGATCAACAACGATCAACAGTTTCGACTGTAGCCAGGTGACTACTGGGTAGAAAAGTTACCGTTTAGACTTATAGGTATAGGCATTTACTTACCTGGCCATCTTAGCTACGAAGCCAGCCGAAGCTAGAAGCTTCCCAGGTAACGGCTTACTCGCGATGACATCCGCATCATCCACAGACCGTAACCCGAACCCTCTAGCACACCCAAGACATGTAAGTAAATCAAAGACACAGGGCGATTTCTTCGTGTAAGTAGAGCGATGGATAGAAGGATGGAGGGAACAAGAGAAGGGACAGACACCCATCTAAGACAAGATAGTGGATTTTGATTGTTCATCCCGGCTTTGGGCTTTGAGCTTTGTGAATGGCATCTACCTAGATAGATAGGCCTTGATTCAATGAAGAGACAGTGAGAAAGAGAGAGGGCGAGCCTAGGCAGCAGAACAACGGGATACAGTTGAGTATTACCTACCTACCCAGCACCCTGTTTTACGACCTTTCTTCTTCTTTTTCCGTGCGTGAGCAGAACAGAAGTGAAGCCCTCTTATCACTGTGACTCAGCGAGAAGGGTTGAAACTCCAAGTAGCCGGGCAACCGACCATCACTGTTGATTTGCTATTTTGCCTACGTGGTATGTAAGTATTCCGTAACACTGGAGATAGTCACTCACTCACACGGACAACCATCGCAAGTTACACATCACTTAGCACAACTCACACGTCACTCGATTCTCCATTGACAAATCATCTCGTTGCTTCAAACCACAACATCAATATAAATGCGATTAACCTCAAACTAACTTCGTAGCGGCTGCTGCTTCCATCCCTCGGTCTCCAACACTCCTTTCCAAACAAGCGCCCACGCGACATCCTCGAACGGGCATTCACTCGCAAGGAGACGACGAATTAGGAGCTTCTCGCAACAACATACAAGTCTTCAAGATCCTAAAGAGAACCCCTCAACGATTAACGATCATCCATCCCCGCCTTCCAACTTCCAACTCTCAACTTTCCCCAACCTAAAACCAAACCAAAAAAAGCCAAAAAAGAAAAAAAATGGCCTTCCAACCCTTCTCCACCCCCGGCGCCTACGGCACCCCCATACCCTGGCACATGCGCCGCGACGCGCCCCTCTACCGCCCCTTCGCCGCCTTCGCTAACTGCAAGCCCACGCCCCCTCCCTCCCCCTACACCCTCGGCCCCATCCCGCCAGAAGAACTAAAGCGGCGGCGCGACGAGGCGGAGTGGCTCGCGTTCCAGCACTGGGTGGCGACGACGCCGGGGGCGCCTTTGCCGCCTCGGTTCCCCGCCGCCGCTCCTTCGCGTGGGCTGGTGGGGATGTTGGGGGAGCTGGGCGTGATTAGGGGGTTGGGGGAGGGGAAGGAGAAGCTGGAGACGGCGTGGCGGGAAGCGGTGGCGCGGGGTCGGAGGCTTCGGGAGGGTGCGAGGGAGCTGGGGAGGGATGTGAGGGACCGGTGCGCGCGCGCGGCTTTCTACTGCGAGAGGCGATATTGGCTGGCGCAGTACGCGTACCGCCAGAGTGGGTGGCCGGAGGTCGTGAGCCTGGTGTTGTACATGGCCATGCTGATCCTGGCTTTGGGGTTGGCGATGTGCCTCGCGAGGATGTGGGCTGAAGAGGAGTGCGGGGAGCTCAAGGTGCCCGACTCCTATTATGTGCTGGTGCCAAACTACAGATCGTGGTCTGTGTCTAAGCCGAGACAGAGCGTATGAGCGGTTTTTTTCTTTCTTTTGGTATGACGACCAGAGGTAACACCCGTTCTGCAAGAATGATTAGGAAATCTTTTTTTGAGGGAAGCGACGAGAATGAAGAGGATGGGGGTTGAATATGAGGGAAGCAGCTCTTATGTAGCCAACTGTTTGAACCGATTATTAAGATGGCTGGACCACCAAGGCCTTCTCAGTATACTCTCCAGCGTGTTACTCAAACCGGAACGTCACACAAGTTCAACGAGAATCTCAAGTATAAAATCGGAAATGCAATTCCATTAAAAATCAAGAGCGCATAGGGAAAACATCAGATGCATGCAATAGTGACAAACCCGCCCTAGCTCTAATTTGCAACACCTCTCCCGTAATCACATAGTCCGGGGACTTCACCCTGGGAAAGTTAGTACAATCTATCAGTCCAGTGTCTATACATATCGTCCTTAGATACCCAAACTGAATTCGACGCCCACGTCAATGTCCCGAGCTGGAAGATGTTAGTTGTCTTTCATCGTACGTATATGGACCCTCCATGTGATAACTTACCCATTTTTACAACCTTGGAGAGCTGTACAGACTTCTCCGCAGCACTTTGGAGGTCATCGATGGAGAAGATCTTCATTCCCGAGTCGTTGATGAGTTGGTGAGCTTGCTCCATGTTCGTTCCTTGCAGACGGGCAATGATGGGGACCTTGAGGTTCAGAGTCTTGGCAGTGTTGATGAGGCCGTGAGCGATGGCATCGCAGCGTACGATACCGCCGAAGATGTTGACAAAGATAGCTGTGACCTTGGGGTCGCTGGTGATGAGCTCGAAAGCCTCCTTGATGGCAGCAGGGGTAGCACCACCGCCGACGTCAAGGAAGTTAGCAGGTTGGCCGCCATTCAGCTTGATGATGTCCATGGTAGCCATGGCGAGACCGGCACCGTTGACGAGGCAGCCGATGTCACCATCGAGCTTGATGAAGTTGAGGCCAGACTGGGCAGCGCGGACTTCCTCGGCATCTTCTTGGGTGGTATCGCGCCACGAGAAGACCTCTTTTTGTCTGTAGTCAGCGTTGTCATCGAACCCGAATTTGGCATCCATGCACATAACCTTGTGGTCTGAAGTCTCGGATAGAGGGTTGATCTCGATCTGGGTGGCATCCTTCTCTCGGAAGATCTTGTAGAGCTTCTGAATAGTGTCCTTGGCTTCTTCGACGCACTGCTCGCTAAATCCAAGCTTGGTCGCGATATCTCGGGCAATCTGGTCGGTCACGCCAGTCTTGATGTCAATGTAAGCAGTGTTGATAGCCTCAGGGTTCTCCTTGGCGACGGTCTCAATATCCATACCACCTTGGGAAGAAGATACGATTACCGGGCCTTGAGAACCTCGGTCCATCAAGATGGCTAGGTAAAATTCGCGACGGGCGAACTTGCGCTCGCAGATGTAGACAGAGTTGCAGAGGCGGCCGGCCGCACCAGTCTGCTTGGTAATGAGCTTGTGGCCGATCATCTGTTCGGCGAACATCTTGGCCTCAGTGGGCGAGTAGATAACTCGTACACCTCCCTTCAGGCCATTGTCGAAAGTACCCTTTCCTCGTCCACCAGCCAGCACCTGGGCCTTGATAACCATATCCTCACCACCAATGTCCTTTGCGATTTTTTCAGCCTCGGCGGCAGATTTCGCGTTGAAGCCCTTGGGGCAATCAATTCCATACTATGAGGGAGCTGTTAGGGAAGATTCGAATTCTAAAGGTTTGAGCGATAAATAGATTTGTACCTGTCGCAAAAGATCGGCTGAGAGATATTCGTGAATGCTCAGATTTCTTCGCTGTTGTTGAGCGATGCCGGGGAATCTAGTGGCAGGAGAGAATGCGACCTAATATAAAGAGAAGATGTATATATATTAGCAAAAGACAACTGGGAAACCTGTTTCCATGTATATCAAGATAACTTACCTTGGAGGATCGCAGAGCAGAAGCCGCAGCACGGCTGCGTGCGAAGTTAAACATTATGGCGAAATGTTTTTTCTAACTCTCTCAATTGACTGAAGGTAAGTAACACTTAGGGTAGAGAAGTAAAAGACCACTACTGAATGACCCTAATGTAAAGAATGAATAAGATCAGGTCTTCTTCTGCAAAAAGTATGATGCTATCGTCAAGATAAAAAGACAATTGGCCCCGGCGATTAGGGAGAGCTCTTTTCCGGTAAAGAAAACGGGAAAACCCGGTCATTCGTGCTGTGCAGGCCCCACTATGCCCGGTAAGCTTGTACTATGTACTGTAACTGCAAAGTGCGAAAAGCTGCCAAATGACCTCAGCAGGCATGTGCTATGTCGCATTGGAATAAGTATTCTCCGCCAGTTTCATCACGCTAAAAAGTCAGATTCAAAAATAAAGTTTATCTTACTACAGTACCTAGTATCTTATCGTTATCGCATCTCTACCTACCCTATGCAGATAGAATTGCATCTTCAATGTTCAAGACTTGAAGTGATCATCTATTTAGAGAATAGACACGCGGTATACATAATTACCATGATTTGGCAATAATAACTCCCCCCCATCCTTAATTCTTCATACCCCTCCTCAAAAAGTGCCTCCCTTCCTTCCAATCCTTCACAATGGCACCCACAACCTCTACCTCAAAGAGCGCCATCAACGCCAACCCAGCACCCGACTTCTCCGTCCAAATGAACCGCATCCAAATGCGTCTCGACAAAGGCTCCCGCGCCCCCTTCCTCTCGCGATCCGGCCTCCACAGCGCAAACGCTAGCCCCGGCCCCGGCCCCCGCAACAACAAGTCCTTCTCCTCCCTGAACACCGCTGGCGCCACCCAAGCTCCCACCACCACAACCACCACACCATCGCGATCCCGCAACCCCATAGAAGAAGAAGAAGCAGGCCTAGACCTGCACGTCGGGATCGGCATAGTCCGCGCCTCCAAGTCTTCTTCCGCGGCGGAGGCCAGCGGAAAACAGGACCGGGATACGGCGCGGTTGCGCGGGCGTCTACTCGGGAAGCGGGGACGAGGAGGCGCCGCTGACGGTGCCGGACAGAAGTGGGTGCGGAGGGAGGACAGCAGCGACGAGGAGGCGGGGCGGGGCGGGCTCGGAAGGGCCAAGAGGAACGGGAACGGGAACGGGAAGCGGTTGCGTGTGGAAGCGGAGGTGGTAGCGGAGGCGGAGACGAGCAAGGAGGCGCCATTGGAACGCGCCGAGGATGTTACTATACCGGACACACCAATCGAGTCGGGAGATACTGCGGATCAGGCCGAACATAGCCCAAACCTTCAAGACGATGAGGCAGATAATCCGGCTGCCATACCTACGGAGACAAGCGAGCCCCTTGCTGAAGGAGACACGAAGAAAAAGCGTCGAAAGAAGAAACAGAAAAAGAAGAACAAAAAACAAGCAGATGAGAAATGAGATACCAAAACTGAGACACTTTTGTGGAATGATAGGTACATACAGTACGTTCTACAACGGAAGTTTCTGGGCGTCTTACAAGTCCATATTGGGCATAATCATCATCACATCAAAAACCAAAAAAAAAAAAAATTAAAAAAAAATAAAGCCTGAGCCGAGTGCACAGGAAATTAAGCTTGTTCAGGAGCTATCGTGGTATTTGATCTGGTTGTGCAAAGAAGCCCTTGTCCTCAGAATTATTACTTCTTAAGAGTACATGATTAGTGACTCCACGGGCGCAATTTGATGCGCGCGAGGCGTTGGGTTGAATTACCCCCTTCGACGCTTTGCAATAGTCCCCCTTCCGAACCGGTGGATAAAAGCCGTTTCCATATTGTACACTCTTGTGGATGGATTAAATAATTCCTCAATTCAACAGAAAGATAAATGGGCCTCCGCCATGCCGCCCTACCGCCACCAAGCCGTCCAAGCTGTGATACTCAAAATAGACCAGTACTTTTTGGTATGTGTGTAACAAGAAACAAAAAAAAGTATTCAGAAAAGAATTTCAAAAATTCAAGAAAAAAAAAGGGTTGATGAGTAGAAAAGAAATAAATTGTGAATAAATAAGAAGAGGAATTCATAAGATGCGTAATCAAGTGTCGTACAACATGGCCAAGGTATATCATCTGCTGAATCCTAGGAGACTCGTGTATGCCGCATCAATCGCTCTATACAAAAACAAAAGCCCTCCATATGTGGTATAATATGCGACAACGCTTCCATGACGCAAAATATAGAATGTGCAAGGACCTGTGATATGAATTATTGTAACCGCTTACGCTTTCGGTCTTCGTCGCCTCTGAGATCGTCTTCGTCATCTCGCTCTGCCGTGTCGGTAGGATTCAGGATGTGGGCCATGCTGCCTCTTCTGGTTGGGGGCGCCGACATATCTTTGACTGACAGATTCTTGTTTTCCCGGTTTGCCGAGTTCCAGGACCAGCTGTTTAAGCTCTCCAAACCATTCCCAATACTGCCGTTCGAGAAGGGAGCTGGTGGGCTAGCAGGCCGCGATAATGAATAATGCGGCGGTGGCTCACGAATCCTTTGATCCTCATGAGGTGGCCGATTCGGCGAAGATGGCCAGTGTGACGAAGGTGGACCAGAGGAGCCGTACGGTGGTGGTTGGGGTTGCCATCCATGAGCACGAATATCAGCCGAAGTATGCCGTCTGGGTAAACCACTTGGGGGTGGCTCCACGGTCGCAAGCGGATGAGGCCCAGCTGCAGGCGGTACTGCCTGAGATCGAAGAGGAGAAGGCGATGACTGCGTGGTACTCCCGCTTATGGACCCGTAGGATCGACGGGAGCTTATGGAAAGACCAGAAGGGACTGGTGGCCTATGAAAATTTGTTTTGTGAGATTGATGTACACCTAATCTTCGTTGATCATCCTGAGCTAACTGTCGAGGGGACACCGGTGGGTTCTCAATATTGGCGAAGAGCTGACGACTGTTCGGGAATATTGGCTCATGCGGTTCGTCGATGGATCGGAAAAGCTCGGTATGGCGCTGCATCTCGCCTTGTAGCGCAAGGACTGCTACCCATTAGATTTTCTTTTGTCTCCCAGAACCCTTTTTAAAACGAGAACAAAACTTACCATCTCTATGAATAGGATTCTCGGGCGGAACTAGACTGAGGACTGTTCTGGATAAGTCCTGGTTCAGCTGAAGTAAGCGATTCATGGTATCTGCCATTGCCTGTTGTTTTATGTTTATATAATGGGCATTCTCCTCGCTGCGCTGTAGTCTTGATGTGACTTCATACAAGGAATGCTCAATGCTGGCGAGCCTCGGATCTGAGCCATCGTGAATAGGCGGCATTGGTTCTGCTGGAGTGCTGGGCTGCGAGGGGGTCGGTTTCTGGCTGCTGTACTCGCGGTGGACTAGCGCGTGACGGGATGCCCGCCGTTTAATCTCGCGCAATCCAACTAAATCCCCCCTCTTGAAATTCCCATTTCCATGCTTGAATTCCCAAAGAGCGGTTTCCGGAGAACCTGTGTGAAAGACGTCGCTCACTGAAATATTGGGTTGATTAGTGATTGAAAGTCTAAGCAATATTTGGAATACATTAGGTAGGTACCTTTATGAAAACCATACATGTTCAACTGCCTAACAAAAGACGAGATATTGGTATGCTTGAAATATTGGCTGCCCTCCTGTTAGTCTAGTTTGCTAACTCCACGGGACCAAAAACGTACGCAAGTACTTTGGAAAAATCGTGCGAAGGTGACATGACAAAGCTCTCAGCAGAGTTAGACCAGCTGATAAGATGCTGTATGTTGGGATCCTCCAACATGCTGCGGTATTATTAGCACTTTGGCTGACATGACTTTTGTTGATCTTGTTTCTCCAGACACTCGGGATCTAACGCACTTGTAAAGTTTATGGATAAATGCAGTTTGCACTATCTTGGGCTGATGGACAGCGGCGGCGGCGGGCGCAGGCATCGTGGAGGAAGCAGAGTTTGCGGTTTGTTCTCCAGAAAGCGCAATGTTCTGACGATCATTCGAATCGCTACCGTCCCCGTCGGAATTTTTATTAAGACTTCGCGGGGCCAAAGGGTTGGTTGGTGTAGATATGTCCATGGGATCTCCCATCGGTGAAGGTGCCGACATCTTTATGATTGGCGTTGGTGAAGATGTGGTAATGATGGGGATTGTACGTGCGCCCATGCTCTCGTCCGTCTTGTGGCCAGGTGTGGTTCGCGGCGCACTTTCAGTCGCAACGTCCATCTAGTCTAAGAGGGATAGACTTCTTCCAAGGTTGTTAGCAAGATCAAATCGAGATGGACCAGACAAGGAATAAAGAGGAACGTGTGAGGCTTCGTGGCGGGGAACCGGAACAGGATTTCTAGAAAGTACGAAAGGTCTCAAGGACGAACCGCATCGCTTCTATTCGATAGGTGTATAGAATTAAGGGGTTTTCTGGAGATGTTTGTTCCTGGCCTTTGTTCGTGGTTGAGATGGTACTGCTGGCCCCCGAACATCTGACATGGGGTCCCTTTTTTATTTAATTGTCGCGGGAGTCAGCCTTGCAGGTTTTTGAACGTTGTAGCCAGCTGTTTTTTGTCGTTGTTATTTCTATCGATGGTGGGGGCCGACACAGGAGGTTTCTGAATGCGAGCAGCGTGGTCTCGAGCCAAGGTTGAAAGGAGAGGGGGGGTGTATGAATTGGGGGCAGCAGATAATTGTATGAAATCTATTTTACCTACCAGTTCAAAGTTGACATGCTAACTTGAACTACTACTACGAGTAGTGTAGGACACTGTAGGTATGGAGGTATGGAGGTATGTATCTATCTAGTATGCTCAAGTGCTAGGGTGAGGTAGGATGCTATTATTCTATGCTGGTTATATGAATTAATTATATCCGATATCCATTGAATTACCTCGACCCTGTTTCCCGGCAATTTTGACCTAGCGCATTCGCCGCTTTTTGCTAAGGCTCGGCTTAACTCATCATCAGCCACTTGTCTATGCATTCTTTGGAACACTTACAGTTATGCGAATAAAACGGTTTTCGAGGTTTGAGGGAAAACGGACACTACACGTGTCACACCCCATTTTATTTAATATCGCCAGGGCTCACCAATTAAGTTCATAACGATTATCAAACCATCATTTGACCACCATAACAACGGATTTTTTAGGATGTCGTGGCTTTACGTTTAAAATATGTCATTCAACACTTCCTAGAACATCTGGAAGCCAAATAACTAAAGATGACAGTTACTTTCGAAGCCATCTATGTCACGACTTGATCCAGCATTTGACGACTGACGACTATGTACAATACTTATTCGTACTTATTCGCGCTTACAGGTAAGGCAAACTTGCACTATGCCCATCACGGAGGCGTTCAGCCATGATCTAGAGGCCATGATATTTGGTTATCTACTGGACGGTTTCCCAGCAAGTTGTCCATTAGAGGTCTCCATAGGGCAAGCATGGCTACTAACATAAAGAGCAAGAGTTGGGATGTTTACTACTAGTAGTATAAGGAGGTACACACACCTTCGGAGAGTTAATCAACTTTTTCTTTTCTCGTTCATCTTCTTATGGAAGGCATTACAATATCCAGCCTTTCTCTCGCCACTCTAAACCAAGAACACCCAGGCTCTACCCCTAAAGCTCATATCTATAAGATAATGTAAAGCTTAAAGCTATAATCGATAATCCCGTAAGGACGCGGCAACGCTACCAGGTCTACTATGCAATTTCCCCTGTTGGCTCGCGAAGCTTGACGGGATTGCGCGCAGCTAGCTTGCATGTATGTTGGTGAGGTCATGTATCTTGCTTTAGCGAGCCACAAGTTCAACCTAACAGACAAGCCATGGCCAATCGTTTACCACCCACAAGGACGCCATGTTGCTCTTTCTTCAACATTCGAGAATGCAGACCTTGGAGATCCGTTCTTGAGCCGCTTTATATCCCCCTTTAATACCGGAAACTGGCAGCCGGAGACATAATCTCTGCTGCTATTGGCAACGACAGTCGTCGTCTTTATTTAAAGGAAGATCAAAAGAGAAAAACGAGATATCAACTTTAAATAGAGTATTATGATCGGCTATATTTTTAACGACTACTTGACTTGGCTATGTTGTTAACTTAAGTCACAAGCCTCAAACGGATGTCCTCCGTCAAAGACCTTAATTACGACCTAACCTAGTTAACTAACTAACCATCATTTAAAAAAAAGCACAGTCGACTTTACCGTTTAGTATCAAAGCTATCTATGCATAACCATGCTTGCAGACTTCCAGTTTTATGCCGTTGCTTAGGGGCGCAACGTAGGCCAGGCTCAGGTTAAAAGCGGCAATGGCTTAGGTAATGAATATAAGGATGGATTTGATTTGAAGGTTCATTGTTCAACGGTTTTTTTCAATGTTTTCCCACTAAAAGTTTCTAGTAGTATTGTGTATATACCTGATAAATGCATGTATCGCGCATTCTAACTACCATGTACTATGTGCAGGTGGTTTTATGTAGGTAGTTGCAAATGGAAGGTAGGTCCTGGTAGGCCCCACGGTATGGTCCTTTAACGACCCTCGGGAGCAGGGTACGATACAGGGACTAAATGTGGGTTCAGCCCAGACCCGGCCTTGATGGCCCCTGGTCCGTGTGGCGCTTGGTGGGGATGCATACATAGTACATACAAAGCAGACAAAGCTAACGCTATTGTAATCAGACAAGGAAGGATCGGGAGTTTCGGCGGAGCGAACCTGAGATTAGTAGTACAAAATCTAATATTTGAACTTACCAATAAGAGCTAGTGGCATGTACATGGTACCTAGGGTACCTAGTACTTGCATGTATGTACTTGCATGTATGTATCCCTTCAATGTTCTTCTTCCAGATGTCCTCCTGTCTCGTCTCGACTCTCTTCTACACACACACATACAGTATGTATGTACCTAGTTATAGCTCTCGTAAGTCTGGGTTTTTGGGTCAGTGGGATAGGATGGGGAAGCCGGATGTCTTCCCCCTCAGATTAGCACACACATAGTACACTATAATTAATATGCATTGCATCTTGGCTATACATATTATTTTCCACTGTTCTAGTTCGAAAAAGAAGGAACCATGTTGCTATGCCATGTGTGCCATGGATCCGCTTTTCGAGAGTTTTGCTGGATCCTTTCGATTCCCATGTCTTGACCAAGTTGGCCTAACTCAATGAAGTACTCCGTCTAATAGAACTCCTATGCACATACTAGGTATGTAGGGAACCAGATAGGGGAAACCCTGCCCATTACATATAAGATAAGGTACATATACATTACGACGATGTAGGTATCCTCTCTACATATGTAGTATCCTCAAGGCTCATACCCTCATACATAACTTTAACTCGGAACCTCGGGATATTGTTATCTGGGGAAACCGAAGAAGCATCAAGCAACTGCAGGTAGTTATGTAGTAATGCCAGAAGGAACACAAGCCTGCCTCAAACACTCTAATTTTTTAATATTAGGTAAATGATTGATTCGAAATCCCTTCTATGTGTTGATTAGTTACCTCCAGATTTCTACAAGTGAGTGTTTGAGATTTGAGCGGGGAGGAACTTGAAGGGAGCTACCTAGGGTAGGGTAACGAGACCGAACATATAAATCCATAAATCTATACACTACGGTAGGTATCCGTCCAGCGGCGGGTGTACCTCATTTGGCAAGGGAAGTAAATGGCATAGAAGTCATGCCGAGGCAGATGTTTTACTTGAGTGCCGTCTAGAAGGTATTTACACTAGAATTAGTAAGGTATAACTACATATCTATACCAACATTGAAGATAATACTGATCCCAGGTGTCCTCGGTATGTAGATATAACTATAATCTAGCTATTACTCACATGTAGCACCCCCAAAGACCATCAGCTTTACAGATTGCTACACCTTTGACTTCAATGCTCTGCCCTAAGATCTTGGATCAGATCAAAGTCAACAGTAATATCTAGGTCCTACATGTATGTACATAATATGTACATACATATGTAGGCAGTTAGGTATGTACCTAGTAGTAGGTAACTAACTTATACCCTTGGCACTCAATGTTCTTGCAAATAGGTGCGCTACTTACATAGCTAGTTATAGTGTATACGAAATGCTTCGTAGTTTGTGGTTGAACAAAAACGTTCATAAACTCAATTCGATCGAATCCTTCTATGCTTGCTGGCGTGTATTTTGGGGTTACCATTATTACCGCACAAGGAGTTCCGGTGGACCGTCTTACTGACAGTCTGACAATATTGCGTCATTGCAATATCGTCAGCCAGCACTTTCAGGAGGAGATAACGTCTACGAATCCTATCAATTATCACGCACAGCAGTTGTATAAAGCTCTCGCTTTCCTCAAACAACTCGAACAAGGTTGTGACGTCTACTAGGTAAATAGTCAGACTTACATATTCCCTACAACGTAGCATGTAGGTATAATGTATTACACGCATGCGAGCTAGTTAGGTAATACTACATACATCTATCATCTAATTTTAGATGATCCTAAATCCGGCATTATACTACATGAGCTGATGAGGTAGCAATATATCTCCTTCACGCAGAATCAGAAAAAAGAGATCATTCACCCTTTAGTCCTTCGGTAACCTTGTTCGGTACCAGATGTGCCCGAACTACAAGAGATCTATGGACATGCGCAACCGCCCAATCACGGGGCTATAAGCCAACATCTCTGTATCAAACAGGGGTTCACATGCCACCAACAGTTTAGAAATGTCAGCTCCTTCAGTCCGTCATGAAGAAAATACGACCAATTCGCAATTTTGATTGGTAGCCTTTCGAAATCCTTCAGCTACACAAGGTCATGTATGGAAATATTTATTATTGTGAGGGTCAATCATCGAGAAAATCCATGGTTTACAAATGGTCCCACGCTCAACAAGGGGGCACTTGGAAGTTGGGGGTTCGCGCTTCCGGGGAATGTTAAGATAGTTACCTTCAAGCCTCTACCCTGCGGTCCCTGCCTGCCTGCCTGCCTACCTCTTCTTGGAGGCATTCATTACACGGTACAGCAAATGTAGGTGGTGTTTGATCAAGAACATCAATATTATCATCCCTTACTTATTTGGTTCTATCGTTTCCTGAGTTCCAAGCTTATTAACTACCGTTTGTATGTTTAAGTAATTACAATACCTACTACTTAGTAGTAAGTACTAGGCATAGTATTGGAGAGCTCCAATCCATACCCGTAAACGGGCTTGTCAGCCGGGCCGGTGGATAGCCCGCGCCTGTATAGCAGTCTAACCTATGTAGTGGAAAACGCCTGCGTACGACGACGTACATCAATGATAGACCTAGCTAACATACCCAGTCCCTAATTCAACTACAGAAGATCGATGCCGTTCGTAGAAGGAATGCCGATCTAACAGTCGCCATCCGTTCGGAAGTTTTAGCACGGCGGGGACCGTGAATAACTGAAGCCGTTGCGGACCAGTTTGCTCTTGATTTCTTTTTAGTGCAAATATTTACGAAGGTAATCATACAAAACTACGAGCAAGCAGTGTGTATCCTTTCCCCCTTTTCCCACACATATCCACAATTCATACCATCCCAATCAAACATAGATATCTTGGTGCTTTAGCTTTGCTTTAATGGCCTTGCCTTCTACAGTATGCACATCTTACTATGTAAAGTACATACACTTTTGCTATACCTTGTCACTCATCACACAATCGTCGCGATCTCCGCCGCACTGACGTCTGCTTTCTCCGGTTTCATCTCATCCCGCCCCCCCCCCAACTACACTAGACTGCTAGAAGACCGCTGCACGGTTGCTTCGAGACGCCACGCATGCAATACCCGACTTCTAGAGCCAATCTACCGTAGCACGCTCAACTTCGGGTATCTCGGCTCGCCGGTTCCGTAACACAACATACTCTCTAGAGTCTCTACCTGGCAGGCTCACCAGCCTACTTAGTACTAGGCAGGCGATTCACTTATTTATAGCGTGGTTTTCTTTGCCGACTTCTCAAGCGCGGAGAGCGAAGGGAATGTATGTGCAGTTAGACGTTTTTCTTCTTTTTCCTTTAAAGCGAACGATGTCGCGAATAATGTTTTGAATGGATAGGATTCGTTTATGCCCGTGTGCAAGCACCTTCCCCCAAGTCCACCGCGCTACTGTGCCTGCTTCTCCTCGATTCTCGCCGCTGCAGACAAGACATGCATGTCCCAATCCTGATCTTGCCAACTTACTACATACATACTACATACATACGTCTTAGACGAAGCGGGTCTTGCGTCCTCACGTGTGTGTTGCCGTCATGCTATCTCACCTACCACGAAAGTACCTATAACTAGATACCTACATGTATTGTAACAACATTGAACATTGAAGGCGTCTCGTATACGTGAGGTTTGTGTGCCTACGTAACCGCCTGTGTTACTAAGTTTACCAAGCTTACCTGGAAGGTAACGAATACTATTTACCTATCGTAGTGCCACACACTCGCGAATGGCTACCTATGTAGCTACTTATTAATGTGCATTCTGAGGTCTCCCGCCACAGCGCCATATTTTTATTTTCGTAGCTAATATACTGAACCATGGTTCAGAACCCTTTTCTCTTCGACTACAGCCGCACTAAGTTGTACTAGAAACGTACCACCATTAGTCTGTAAGGCGGGTAACGAATAGCACGAGGAGGATTGCTGCCCGAGTTTTATTTATCATGTGCCGTGTCCTGTACACTGTGTCGGAGTGTTAGGACTCAGCAAGCTTCCAGACTCTAGCTGGAGTTTCAACCAAAGCTGTGTAGGTACCTGAGTAGCTTAAAGGGGCACTTGCCACTGAGAATGACGCTTCGTCGCTTCAAGGATGGCTTAGTAAGCGGGCTTTGGCACGAGCTTTGTTAGTTAAACGCGTTAAACACGTCAAACATTTGATGTTTGCTTAATTTATTTATTTCTGCATTGGATGTTTTAATGGAACACGATAACAATATTGATATCAGGCCAAAGTAAAGTATAGTAAACTACAGTATCGGCCAGCTATACATAACCATATATAGGCACCTACATACCTAGATACCTAATTAGGGATGCCTCCCAAACGTGCAGCATCCGGCTCCGGCGCTTCTACTACCAGTTCCTCTAGCAAGAAAGCCAAGACCTCCTCGCAGACATCGACTCAGACCGATGAGCCACCGAGAAGCCTGCGATGGTCGGCCGTGTCCGGCTCAGCCAACGCCGATGCTGACTATAAGACTACCTGGAAGAACCCGCAAAAGTTCTATTCGTATGTGACCATCTGCCCGCCAGTCGCGGACGAGGACGATGAGGATGGGGAACTCGATGATGAGGTTAAGGATGAGGACGACGAGGATAGCGAGGGTTCCAAGTGTGGCAAGAAAGGCTGCATCTGTTTTAAGCCCATCTCAGAGAACCCCGAACACCCCTGGATCATCAGCCAAGCCGGCTACCGAAAGTACATCACGCAACACATTCATTTCTCTCTACGCGACCCCGACAACTTTAACATGTACACGTTCAACGACCATGCCGGCTACGGCTGCCTCGAGGTCGTGCAGAACCTGTTTCTCGACTACGTCGAATCTGCGGAGCGGGGATGGATGGAGCAATGGGCCGTCTGCGAAGGCTTTGCGCTGTGGTTGATGAACCCGAACTCCGCCTGCCTCTACATGTAAGGGCCCCATGGGGGTTTTTTTTCTCCCGTTCCGACTCTGAACACACTTGACTGACATTTATCTGCCTTCGTGATCAGGATTGACGATGGCGAATGTGTGAAGGACACCATCCACCTCGTCGGCTACATGTTCCTGGACATGCTAGCGCAGCTCGACAGCCAGGATCTGGTCGGCGACGCCACCGAGGTGAGAAGTCTGGGCACGGTCATGGCCATGTACCTCCAGATAGCCCACAACTCGCGCGACGCCTCCGCTCTCCCCCCCTTGAACCGCAAGGGCAAGAGCCAGAAGAAGTTCCAGCCCGACTACTTCGACGATGCCATCCTCGCCTACGCCAACCAGCGCGGCGTCACATTACAGGGGCCCGACAACATCGACGCGCTGACCGCGAAGCTCGACGGGGACGTGAAGTTGCCCAAGAAAGGCGCCAAAACCCCCTGGGGCTGGAAGGCCGCGCTGAAGAGATACGAGAAGCAGTACGACGGCCTGACCGGCATGATGGGGCAGAAGCAAACGGACGGTATCGGCGGCGATGCCCTGGACGTCACCACGTGGACGAGTGCCAGGCGCAAGGAGGCTAATTTTAAGGGCAAGGACCCGCTGGGCAAGCGCGAGCTGGACGCGATCAAGAAGGGGATGGTGATACAAGTTAGATAAAATAAACATGGCACCGAACACGCGCGGGAATAAAAGTAATCAGGTTTACTGATCATTGATAACAAATAGACGACATGTTACCACCACAAAGCTATACGGGATTTAGAAAAGGATCAGAAGAAAGGCCATGGCAATATGGATCAGGTTTTCATTATTAGACGCGCCAGGTAGTTAGATCGGTGGGTACATAATTTAATCACCGTGTGGTCTTGTTATGGGTGTTAGTGATGTTGTTCTAGGCATTCACGATAAACTACTGGGTACATATCAAAGGGGCGCGGGAATAGATGGCGTAAGTATATTAACCTAGGTAGTGAGCTACAGTAAAGCTAATTAATACTCGAGCTGTACCCAGATGACCTCTTTAAGCTATGTATGTACCTAGAAATGCATTTCCCCCCTTATTGTTGTTGACCCTGACGACATAGCAAGTTTGCTAGCGGCTAGATCAAGCCATCACGCTCATCCAACTCCTCTAGACTCAGTTTAGGCCTAAGACGTGAGATTTCCTCTTCTGAAGTCCCTTCTTCACACAGTTGTCGAACACTGCCGGGTTCGTGATAAACAATCGGTCCCCAGAACCCAAAGTTGATGCCGTTAAAGCATTCGTGGACCACCCTCGCATGAATCCTCCACTCCAAGTTGTGGGGAGACACCTCGGGCCCCATGTTTTGCCACACGCGCAGCTCGATACACTCCGCGTTCGCGCGGGTGGAGAAGTCAGTAGGACACCGCGGACACGCACCCACGACCTCCGCCCCAATATCCTGAGCCTTGATGGCTATGTCAACGGACTTGCCCAGGGTGCCTAGGGGGTAGTCTAGAAGGGGCGTGAGATTGGGGTAGAACTGGAGATGTGGACAAATCTTCAAGTCTCCCAGGGCCTCGATAGACAGGGCCTTGGAGCCCTTGTGATAACGCCAGATGGACGACAACAGGAATATGAGCTTTCCCTTGGGACCCATGATGATCTTGGATTGAGTCGAGTATTCGGCGTGAGAGAGGAGGCTTTGCTCGTTGCTGAAATGCATGTGAGTGTGGAAGTTTGGGTTATGGTACGGCGCCATGAGCTTCTGCAGGTAAGCCTCATATTCCGGGCTCGCCAGGCGCGTGTACTTGAGAGCAAGCTGGATGTGGCGGTACTCGAGGTTGACGAGGCGCATGTCGATCCGGCAGTTCCCGTAGTTCCTGTATGCGCGCGAGCGCCACACGTCGCTCCCGAGAGGGCAAAGGATGTGCCATGGCTCTGCTGGCGTATCCTCTTGTGAGACGGGGTGAAGCTTTAAGCATACCTCGCACAGCCATTGCGTTGGAGAGTCGCGGGAGAGGCTGGCAAGATACTCTAGATAATCCACACGAGTAAAGTGCTTGATATTGTATTTTGTAGCCAGGATGGCGTACATTGCACGACAAGTTTGGGACAGTATGGCTAAGCTGACTGGACAGAGATGCTTCGATATGAGGAGGATCAGCTCGAGTGGTGACTGGAGTATAAAACAACCCGAAGCACGCGAATTCGGCTCCTCTCCATCTCCTATCCGCCTCGTTTTGCTCACGAGGGTGGCGCTGCTTTCTGCTTCAACGAGAGTCATGTTTTCAACAGGGGATGAACGAAATAAACGAAAGGGTTGACTGATTTCATTGTATTTGAAAGCCTCAACCTATTTATAGCAGTAGGAGCATGATAAGATGTGCTCTAGCTTCGACTAACATCACTAAACGATGATACGAAAGCGAGGCTATTTTCTCACCAGGTAAGATTTCGTCTAAGTCTTTATGAAGACATATTTTAAATCTTCTCTCCGATAACTTGATGATGTTGGAAACCCTACTTCAATAATAACCTCTTGCTAGAACTATTCGGCATTGACAATAGTAGCTTTTGAATAGGTAGGTGGTCACATCAAACTGTGCTCGGGAAAGACACTTGGCCATGACTATCCAGAGAGTTTGTTAGCTCTGACGAACGACATGATCGTATCAACAGTAAGTTCAATTAGCCTTCATGTGAATAGGATTCACTAATACAACTCGTTGACTGAGTGGACGAGCCCGCCAAGCAATGTAGTAATATAGTAGAAGTCATGTATGCGTTATCCTTGGCGCCTGTATTTATAAGAGGAACGCCGCCCAATGCAAAATGGTATCTCTCGATCTATCCGTACAGTTATGTGAATTACACCATGAACGACTCGCCACAGCCACATTCCTCCTCTGTGTATAGGTCAGCATTGGCATAATATGTCAGGATGAGGGTATGAGACGTACTTATGTTTGGGTTTCGGAATATAAACCGTTGACTCAACTTGTCCTCGATCCAATCCATCTCGCTACCTATAATACTGAATAGGGCTTTGCTGTCGATCAGGACCTTTACCCCGTCTTGTTCCACCTCCTCGTCAAACGCGCCTGGCTTCTCGACGTAGTCAAGATGATAAGATAGGCCACTGCAACCCCTATTGCGTACGCCGACTTTGATCAACTTTGGCTCAGGCTGGTCGAGTAGACCACGAAGGTGATCTACCGCTGATGGAGTGAGCTTCAATGCGGCTTTGCGCGGCCTCAACTTGCGCTTCGGGGCCGTTGGCTTCGGGGTTTGTGCCTCGTTCTTAGTAACGGTAGCGTCGGGATGCGTTGACACTTGCGATTGGGGAGGTGGTCGTGTCTCATGAACTTGGGGCACAGGGCTTGCGACAGAGGTCTCTGGGATGGGCTCATTGCTCGGGCGAGGGGAGTTGGTGGGGTTAAGAGGGTAGGGTTGGTAGGATGACACGGTCTTCTGTACTTTGTCTGACGAGTACCACGGCTTGTAGTTGGAGAACTGTCGCAGGAGACTCTCGCAAGGTCGTATAACTGGGGCTTGAGTGGTAAGGCGACGGCCAAGTAGACCAGTCGAAGCTCGTGATAGAGCTATGCGAGGCGGGCTCATGACGTTGGAGTGTGTATGTGTGTGGCTAAAGTTACAAATAATATTTTCTATATGCGAAGTACGAAGAAGCGCCGTTAATGTAATCGTAATAGTCGTTAGAATACTTTTTGAAATACTTGTTGGCTTTGTTGGGAGGTAAGGAATTCAATTGAAGGCGAAAAAAAGGACTAAGTGTACTGTATGCGAGTTGTAAAGTTGAATGTGCTAAAGTTTGGAGAGTTAATTAACATCTGATGACATATCGGTTGATTACAATCCGGCTTTGGCCGAGCCAATCACAAGGGTCTCATTGGTCACCCAATCTACCGGTACGCTATGATACCTAGGTACGAATAGTTATTAGTTAGTAGGTACATGTAGTTATTGTACTGTAGTTACTAGGCAAAAACGGAATAATGTGTTCCGGCTCGGGCGCCGTTAAGCGTACATGTGCAGTTACATACTAGTGTATGCAGGTACCGAGTAGCTTAACATTATGTTAACATTATATAAAGTTACAGGGGTATGTACCTCCAGCATAGCACAGCAATCCACTTATGCAATTCGCGACGTGTCGCAATGCCTCGATTCTCGATTCCTAGTTCCTAATTCAGTCGCTTTCTGATATTACAACAACCAGTGACCACTCACATTCATTTGTTCAATCAAATCAAACGGCGCAGACAGATGCATATCACAAACTTTTAGCGATAACCGAAAAAGACAAACTTCCCAAATATCCGAGCTCGATAACGATCCAATCCATCTCGCTTATTATCACCAATATGTCAACCGCATAGACTGAACTGCGTTTATGTGTTGTCTATCCCTGCACCGTCTTCGTCGGCCATGGAAGCCTCTCCATTGACCCAGCAAGCCCGACCTGAGACCTTCCAGCCCAAGGTCGTCCAGTTGTATGAGGCGCTATTCAAGGTTCGGTGACATTGGATTCCCCTTTCAATCTTAGGTCTAAGCAAACACGCTGACAACGAGATTCTAAGGTATGTCCTAGTATACAATTTCCATGGATACATTACGAGTCAAGGAGTGACGCATTAACGTGTCGCTGACCGTTCCTGCTTGAGTAGGATGATGCCGATCTAGAAGCCGACAAGCCCGAGGGCTTTTGGAGGGAGCTCTTCCTCTTGAACCCCGATCAAGCCTCCCTGCAGAACATACTAGCACGTCTTGGACCCGACGACCTCTTGACGTTACAGGCCCAAACCCAACAGCTCTTTTTGCGAGCTGTAGAGTGTCTTAAGAAGGGTGGTGATGCGGCTGAACTACATGCGCTCGAGGTAATATCTCATAGATCCAATATGAAGAAATGCATCAATACAAAAAGTACTTGTTACTAACTAATATTCCACAGACCCTAACGACATTCTTCTCTGTCATCCTCCCCAAGAAGTATACGAACCCAAGCTCAGATATCATTGCTATCCTAGCGGGGCTGGATCAAGTCGACGTAGTTTTCGCCGATTTTGTTGGGGCTTTGGATGGAATTATTCGCAATGGCAAGACAAGTAGGTCGTCATTTCTGGTTACAAGAACAGGTCAGGATGTTAACAACAGGGGTGAAGTGGAAGTTCGCCAAAGAGCTGTCGAAGTTGTTTTATCCATTACTTCGGGGGCATATCAGACTAGCCTTCTGACCTATTTCATACAACGGGATCTTTTCCCTGCCATAATGAAGGTGAGTCCTTTCTCGAGCCGATACTGGCATGCAGAAGCTGATATAGTGCAGTTTATCCAAGAATCCGATACCCCCTTCACCGTTAAAGGACCCTTTACGCTACTAGGTCTATTAGCGAACTACAACAAGTTCGAGTTTCAGAACCCCTATCAGTTGCGCCTCAATGACTTCGTTAATGAGGCAGCCATCCAGAAGATTATCAAGTGTGTTGGACACACCTGCCGGACCTTAAGGGGCCAATATATTGATATCTTACAAGACTTGCCTGAAGGATGGTCCTTTGCTAACACCTTGAGCATGATCGGCCTCGGAGCTATTGCCCCTGGTGCAAAGGCGAACCAAAAGCCCACGTACGACCCTGAAGTGGCCAAGCAGATGTTCGCAAAACTGTAGGTCGCCCTTCATTCTATCTAATAGACACCAACTAATCCAAGTAGGCCAGGCGAGGATGCTGCTGTGTTGCTAGGGACGTACGACTTTAGCCACGCCAACAAACTTTTTTGCTTCAATCTTGTCACGTTGCGAGCCGAGAAGGGCGAAGAGCAACCGATTTCTAGTTTCCTATCATTAACTTCTTACCTCCTCCAACACGCGTTTTTGTCTACCCGGACCACCAACTACGCGCATCTCAGTCTGATGGTCTTCCGGCTGCTCATTGAAGATCAGCTTCTGTGTAAACGGATATGCAGCGATGAGAGTAAAGTCGCGGTACGACTCTGTCGTCAACGCCAACCGTTTCTACCGGCTGCCCGAGGAGATCGTATCTTGGCAACGAGTGTTCTAGATACCATGATTGATGGCATCAATCACAACTTGCGGCGTAGGTTGGATGTCAGCCTCTATACCCTCTGCGTTGGCATCATGCTACGCATCATCTCGTACCTGTCCCGGTCACGAACACGATTACAGTATCACTGGTCTGAGCTGTTTCGCTCACTGTTGTCCCTCATCCGCTTCCTCACGACCTATGCGCCAGACCTCAAAGGCCTATCTCACTTCGATACCCTTCTAGATCTCGTCGTAAACCTATTAGCTCTTTCTCTTTCTGCCGGCGAGGCATTTCTCCCCACACCTGCCGCCTACGACGACCTCTTCTACAAAGTTGTAGAAAGCGGCGAAGTCTTGATAAAATTCCGTGATACTTACGGTCTATCAAGCCGGCCATCAAATTCTATAGGTACACTCGTCAGTGTGAGCACTCATTACAAAGCAATGCTCGACTCTGGTGGCTCCAAGAGGAACCTTACTAGCACTGAGGTAGCGGAGATAATTAAGCAGGGCTATGAGACATTGAGTATTCAGGCGAAGGAGGGACTTGACGGTTGGGAAAGATATCGTGAAGCGGATGAAAGAACGCTTCTTAAGAAGATGGCGCGGGCAACGGTGGCAGATGTTCAGCTCATTGTCCAAGCTTAGGGAAGTATGAAATGGTTCAGCTACCTAAGCATGACTTTATTACTCAGGAGTCTTTCTGTGTAAGAATACAAAAATACGAATAAATAACCCCGTCTATGAGACACGGGCGGGATGCCGTAAGACTTACTTTAGGAACACCCACCAAAAGGTGAGAATCAGGCCGATTTAGATGAGGAAACAAATCAAATTTCATTTTAGATTAAATTTGGGACTAGACCTTTATTCAACGCCTCAAGCTTTAGCTCTTGTATGCTTCGGGAGCCTATGTAAGAACTTTGGTATGCTGACTTACCTATTCTTCAAGTATTGATCTAAGTTAGGTAGGCAGGCACCTAACCTAGGTGACTCTATATTAAGATCCTAGACGATCGATTTTAGATATAACAGATTCTCGACGTGGCGCTCTTATACAGTTACCAACAATTACCTATCGATGGTTGATGCCTCACTTATGCGAATATGGAGCTACATGTACTTGGCATGTGCAACCACGGGCCCTCGCCTACAGGTTTGTTTTCGTACCTAGGTATCTTTTGAACTTGTCTCGTGATAAATTGACCGCTGAGCTCAAAGTATAAGTATAAGAGAAGAATGAAAGTTGAGAGGTCATTGATATTAAAGCAACTAGGAACTCGCTACCCCCAAAGTTATACCCAGGTTAGGAATCATGAATATCCCCCATCCCCATCCCCCCCCCTTCCCAAAGCAAACTTGTCCCAGGGTAAGATAACACAAAGAAACAAACAAATTCCCTCCTCACTCATAGAACTTGCGAGGCCAGATATTCATCGCAGTCTTGAGCCCCTCTCCCACCGGCAAGCCCGCATGTATGGTGCGGTCGTCTCCCGTGCCGTTCGCGAACAGGTTGACCCAGAACAGGGCATTGCCCGCCACGGGTTTGAACGCGAGACCGCCGTCCTCGTGTCGCCTCCACACGCTGCTGCTGCTGCTGCTGCTGCTGCTGCTGGTGGTATTGCTGTTGTTGTCGTTTGTCGTTGGAGGTGGCGGTGGCGGTGCGGGCGCAGTCGTGTTCACGTACGGGAACCACGTCTCGCCGCCGGTGCACCGGTCCTGCAGGATGGCGAAGAAGCTCGCGACGCGGTTCCAGCTTTTCCCGCGCCCGAGCATGCCGCGGCGGTGGGGCTGCGGGTGCTCGTACCACTGTGGGCAGGAAAGGAAGATGGGGGAGTTAATAACGGGCTCTTTCTCTTTATCCTAGGGATATACAAAGTGTAGATAGAGCCTGATGGGGCAGAAGCTTCCTAAGCTCGGTTCAGGCGTACTGCCTAGTTCATCGGAAGATGGATCAAAAAAAAAAAAAAAGGGGGGGGGGGGGGGGGGGAGAGGCAAAAAAAAAAAAGGAAGGATATGGAGTGAGAGACACGGATCGCTCAGAAAAGTTCACATACATCATGGTGGCGGTTGAACCGCTGGCCAGCCGTGTAGCGCACCAGCTGCGGCGGGCCGATGTCATCGCGCGCCGAGTCTAGCATGGTGCCGAGGAACGCCTCCGCCCGGCGCAACACGCACTGGACCGCCGGGTTGTCACGCGGGAGGCCAGCCGAGGAGGAAGTGCGGGTGGCTGACCCGCCATTGCGGCCGCTTTTGTAGATTTGAGAGGGGGCGAACTCGCGCTCGCCGGCTTCGAGGAGGGCCTCTATCTCGGTCGGTGAGAGGAACGAGTCAATGTAGATTAGAAGGGGGTCGATGGAGATGATCTCGGTTTTGTACGTGTGGGGGAGGCAGGTGGGGGAAGGGTAGGAGGGAGAGTGAGATGAATAAGGAGAGGAAAGGATTTCAGCAGGTTGGTTATAGATATGGGAGATGGATGGCGGAAAAGAGGTGAGGAGCGGAGTGAGTAGTGTGGTCAGGAACGGGGATACAGAGCGGTAGAGAGCTGGGACTAGTACGGCGACTATGGTGAGTATGAGGGCGGCGGTACCGGTCGGACGAGTTACGAGGGCCATCACAAAATCACGATACTTGTTTATATGATTTGATTCATTTTGAGTATCACATCTAATGATGAGAAGCAGACTCTATTGTTCTATTATCAAACCAAGCTTGCTCGAGTATGTACCTAAGTCGTTTTTGACAGCATCTGGTCTCCCCAGACACATTCGGAGAAGCTTGTTCCGACCAGGTGACTCTTTGCCTTATGTAGTAACTCCAGCTGATCCCTGATTGTCCATGATAGTCAATGCCGGTGGCATGGTTGGTGACACTGCATTTGTAGGCTGAAAAAGAGAAAACGCCCGGGCCGTTCGAAGGAAGACTGAAGAGTGTAGGTTCATTTGAGATAGGTAATACTACTAGTACTCGATGCGACATGTCACTCACTATTCCATCAAGTGTATATATTGTTCAAGTTCTTTTTGATATCCCGGGATGCGACGTTGAACATTTGAGGTGAAATACATTTATGTAAGTGGTTACATTTATGTAAGTGGTTACATTTATATACTTCGTAACTAAGTGGTTACATTTATATAAGTGGTTGCATTTAACTATGTAGGTTAAGTAGTTATACGCTAACTAGTTTCTGTGTGATTATGTAATAAATGGGATGTACAAATACAATACTGAATATATGAATATATCATGTACCTCATGTAGCAACGGTAATAATAGACTCACCTCATCCTATACAACCCCCAACAGTTCAAATACCTTTGTTCCAACTTTGATATGTCCGATCAAAACTCAGATCCTCAATTAACCTTACCACGCAGGCAGTATATCCAACTCTTCGAACCTGATTTTCTCGCTTGGCCACCGACCAAATATCTCAAGAACAGCGACGTGCAACAATGGCTGTACCGAAACTTATTCGACACAAGTCAAAATACAAGGCTACCACCCGAGAGCTACCAGATGCGAGTCTTGAGACAGCTCATCGGTAAGATTGAGAAGGCAATAGAGGAAAACCCCACGAAAGACGTACGCTCCCCCGGCTTGATAAGCTACCTACCTTGCCCCTTTTGTGACCCCCTTTGCTTAAGGAGATTCTAGAAAATCTCCAACAAGCTCACCGAATGTCTCACACATCTCATAAACCACAGCGTACCCTCCGAGTCTGAGGAAGTTCGGGAAGACGCCTACGTAACCTTCACCTGTTTATCAGAGAAGGGCAGTTCAAACAATTCTCAACCTGATGAGTTGGACCCTACAATAACCTTGCTCGAGCGACGATACTTGGTATCAGGCTCGCGAACGACAGGGTTTCGGACCTGGGAAGGATCCCTTCACCTTGGCTCGTACTTACTGACTGAGGAAGGCTCACGCCGCGTCCGTGGCAAGAATGTATTGGAACTAGGCGCTGGTACCGGGTTCCTTACGATTCTAGCAGCTAAGCATTTACAAGCCAAGCACGTTACTGCTACCGATGGCGACGAAGGTGTTATTCAGGCCTTGAAAGAGAACCTCGCCTTGAATCACGTTGATGAAGCACACAAAGTTAGAACGGAAACTTTGACATGGGGCCCCTTTTCTGATGAGTCTTGGATCAAGGCGGATTGCGCTAGTCACCCATATGATGTTATCATCGGTGCCGATATTGTAAGTTTGCATTCACCTTGTCAAGTAGGTGACCGGTTGCCAACCTGATCCACAGACATACGATAAAGTAGCTATATCAGCCCTGGTCTTAACACTCCAAGATCTGTTTGATATGAGACCGGGCCTACAAGTCATCATAGCAGGCGTGGTTCGCAATGCCGAGACTTTCCAGATGTTTAGAGATCAGTGCGGTACGTACTTGCTTATAACCCATATACGAACCTGATCAAAAAAGGATAAAGATATCCACGCTGACGTCCGTAGCCCACCACCGCTTTGTCGTCGAAGACATCGAATTCGAGCCTAGGCCAATGCGCCAACAGAAGGCTCTGTTTTACGCGGCTGCGATGCCCATAAAGATTCTGGCCATCTCTCGCGGCTCTAAAACCATGCAGGTATAATACAAACTTTAACTTCACCTTCACCTTTGACGTAGAATGTGAGATGTGACTGTTCAATGATCCACATATATCTATATCTACATGGCCCCTAGTGTGGCGACGGGAGCAGAGTATTATTGACAGATATCGAGGGCTAGTTGAAGTCACAGGTAATGTTAGGTTCATTTTAAACGTGAGGATTGGTGAGATAAGTACCCTACTTTAAAACAAAAAGAAAGGGGGGAGAAAGGGGAAAGGGGGGTGAGCTAAAAAGGGGCTCGACTTACTAAGCCGAATCCCGGAGGTTACGCCCTTTAACAACTTGAGGACAGAAGACCCGGCCGCATTCCTGGCAGATGCCTTCAGCACTTTAATATCCTGCGTCGATTATGTTTATTGGTCCTAGTGTTGATGGGACCGTGTTCGAGTGCCAGTAAATTCCAACCACTAAACTGATCACGGCAACCCATCAAATCACTCTCAGAGGTACTAAATCACGGGAAGATAGTCTCGCCGAGGAGGATAAGCGTTCCGATACTGATGGTATAGCTTTCGCCACAAGCGTCGCTGCTCGGACCATTCCCAATCTTCTAGTTAATAGCCTTCCAGAAGGCGGAAAAGCCGGAGCAGTGCCGGCCCTTACGGAAAACCAGCCAATAACTACTCCTGTGACCCAATCCACGCATCCCATAGTACGAAAACGCCGCTTAACTCGTGGAAACTTACGACCGTCTCGTCTCGTCTCGTCTCTTGTCTCGGTGGCGAAAGTTTCGTTTCTGGTAATGTTTTATCTTCTCGGGTGGACATACGTAGTTTGGTGGGAAAAAACAAAGAAACTTGGCGGACACCGTACATACCCATACATACCTAGGTATATATATGGGTTAGTCCAACCCAGTTGGTGGTAAAGAACTTGGCGAGCGCCGTACATACAGTACATGCATACATACCTATCACAAACTACCCACCAGAGCTTTTTTTTTTAAAAAAAAATGACGAAACGGCTGTCGTAATCGAAAGCTTACATAGGTACACTACCTCGGCACCGTTCCGTGTTTTGCGCCTATTGGCTTCGAAATGGGAACAGCACAATACCTTAGTAGGGTAGGTATTCCTTTGGCTTGGAACCCGCGTAGAGTGAGTGAATGAGTGAGCTGATTTTAATCGGCCCACCACCACTGGGCTTGCATTAGGTATATGTACCTACCTACCTACCTACCCAGCCGCAACCTTTTTTTGGTTGTTGGAAGCTGGAGGCACCGGAGCGATGCCGAGAACGCTCCATTATCGGTTTACGTGAGTATGGATGTATGTATTCCTCGCCTCTCCCCAGGTCCGCGAGGGACGCAGGTGCGAGGTGTACATACATAGGTATGCAGGTGCATATCTAAACCAGGCACGCTATAACTCACTCGTTCTAAGATCTTAAAGTGGCGATGGCATACTAGGGGCCATCAAGCATCGCATCTATGCTGTGTATCTAGGTAGGCAGTACAGAATCAATCTTAAAGATGTTGCACATCTAATAGAGTCATTTATACATAAACCTCTATACTAGGTACTTGCCTAGGTTAGTACGATGTGAAGACATTCGATGCAGAAAAGCTTAAGGAGGCGGGGGAGAATCAATTTCTTCGTTTCTTCCTACTTGTATTCTCCGTGCTGGCCAAGGTCAGCCAAAGACGGTCCTATTTCCTCCTCTAGTGAATTTTCTTCTCTAACCAGGGCTCATGTCTCCGACCCTCTCCCTCTTTTCCTCTCTTTCTCTCTCTGTCTGTCTCTGTCTCTCTGTCTCTCTAAAAGCAAAGCCCCCCTCGCTGAAACGCCAACCTAATGATACTGTATAAAAAGCCCCAGATCGCTTAGACACTCGACGCCCACGACGGCTATACCTCAAGTAACTAACTCATATGCAAACCCCTTAACTACCTAGGTACCGTAATATACCGCCCCCCTACTCCCAAAGCCCAAAGCCATCCCATTATACACAAATCGTGCTTTCTTCTTTTTCTTGTTTTCATATACTCAATCGTTTCGAGTATACCCAAAAAAGGGCAAACGCCTCGGTGCTATGCAACAACCAAATATATGGGTGCACCATCGTATATTCCTCTAAATTGCCCAGCTCCCCCTTCTAGCTCTAACACCCCAAGCCATTTCGCCAGTCCCTGCGTCGTTAAGGCTAGGGTGCTGGCGCGCCCACTCGCGTATATACAGCTTAAGGGCAATCCATCGTGGCGGCTTTGGTTTCCTACGAGTTCTTCTCTCATCCTCCTCAGGTGTACGGAACTGTATCTCCTCACCGCTATCAGAATTGCTCGGTGAATGGCCCTTATGGATGCTCATCTCCATTGTCAACATGAAGCCCACCTCCATCTTAAAGTTGTCATCCTTGCGTAGTTCGTGAATGTCGATGCCACTGATTTTGCTCAACTCTGCGTCGAAAGCACGCGCGGTCGCGGGATACCCGAGACTGATGTAATTGTAAACTTGCGTGACGAAGGAATCATCAAATTCAGCCATGATACGCTCTTCGCGCTCCTTGCGAGCCTTCTCCTTTTTCAGTCGTTCGTCAAGCCCTGAGAGCATATGGAGACCTCTGTGCTGGTTATGACGGGTTGTCGGAGATGTAGCACCAGGTGTTGGAGTGCTACTTATGACACGGCTCATATTTGATAGGGATGCTGTGAATGCGGCGGAAAATGGATCCTGTAGTGAAGTTGGTTCCTGGGGAGTCATAAGGAGATTGGGCCCTGGGTGCGCGATCTCTACGGTGTTGTTGGCCTTAGCAGAGCAGTATCCACGCCAAAGCCCTGTATTTCCCGTAACATCTCGCCGTTGCTCAGGCCTCTCGATGGCGCAATACCGCTGGCTTGGTTCCATACGCGTATGCTTCGGGCTAGGGCACATGCGGAATTCGAGGTCGCCACCGAGCATAGGAGGTGAAGCTGCCATGCGCATCTTCCGCATCTGGGGATCTTCCGGTTCATTATTGAGATACCCGAAAGGAATACCAAATGGGATGGCACGAAGGCCAGTTTCCGGTGCCTGACGTGGCGAAGGTACGTTGGGATGTGAATCCACTCGGGCTAGCAAGGCTGGCGAGGACGCAGATACCGCGGGGCCTGGGGCTTCCTTCATTGTCTCATCGAGAGAAGCTCGGAACGAAGCTGTGGTCCACAAGGGATCTTCTGGTGGGGGTGCTATGTCCATACGATCTAAATCGTCGTCGATATTCATGTTTTCTTGCTTAGCCTGAGCCAACCTTTCAGCATGCGCTCGCATCTCTTTGACGGCCCAACCGGGGTCTGATTCCTTGCGGCGTGGAAGCTGCGACGTCCCATGTCGTGATCGTTCGTCATCTAGACCAACTAGGCCATCATCATCTTCGGAATTGTCCCTGACAAGGAAATGCTCCACACCTTCAGGCCGTACACCATTGGGGAACGCTGCCATGGCCGCTTCCAACTCACGTTGCCTATGGGCCTCCCTTGCAGCCACGGCTAGTAGATAGCCCGAGAATTCTTCGTCGCACGACTCCCTCCTGTCACGTAGGTGGTAGTGCCTGCTACTCCACGAATCTCCAACATCGTCACCATCTTGTACCGAGTTCTCGCTGGTAAGAGCTGGGGCACCAAGGCAAAGAGCAGAAGTGTCTGCAGTATCGTCGTCTTCCTCAGAAGACTTCTCAGAGTCGGATGAGAGAATAGTGTCGAGCTCAGGAGCGAAAGATTGGCGGGTGCTTCTTCGGGTATTCGGGTGCGGCTTCATGGACTGTTGTCGGCGTGGTGTTAAAAAGCCATCGCCCTCGGTGTTGGCGCTTGGAGCACCAGCAGTAGCAGATCGCGGAACTGTTTTTCGCTTTGGTTTCGGGGCATATATATGGTTTGTACCCGGCGTAATATCAGTCTTATCAATGGGTTTCGTGGCAGGGCCTGGCTGGTCGGCTTTCTTGGATCTTCGCGTCGTCTCTATCAATTGGGGTGCGAACTTCCTCTTCGGCTTCTTCTGAGGCTCATTGAATTGGGTTTCCCCGTCAAAGGAGGGCGGATGCGGGGTTGTCGGTGAGGGATCAGGTGTTAACTCGGCAGTAGGGCCGAGAGGATTCTTCCTGTTGTTGTTCACCCGGTACGAATCGTAGGTAGTCTCGATTGGAACAGGAACAAAGCGCCGCGTGGGTTTGGGTGGTACGGGTAGCGGTGGTGGCGCATCTGGCATCTCAATATCGTCTACCTGAACTGAAACATCTCTCGTGGGGTTCCTGGTTGAATTGGTAGTTGAAACCGGGGGCGTGGGTGCTATGGCGGGGATCTTGTGGCTCGGTTGCGGTTGGTGCTTTGGAGCACCCGAAGAGGATTTGACGGACTCTTCGACAAGCTGCGGAGCAAATCTACGACGAGGTTTTGCAGCAGGTGTAGCTTGAGGTGCTGTGGAAGCAGAAGGATCAAGCATGGGAGTATCGCCGTCTGATGCCATCTTGAGCTCTATGCTGGTTATCGGCGATGTCACACCAACAACAAGCGCCGAAGTAAACCGGGTTACTTTATAACGAGATCATTTATCGATAATGTGAAGTAGTGTCTCTGTGTAAGAGACTATAGGGTTTGGTTGTTTGTGGTTTGTGGTTTGTGAAGTTGTGAAGTTGTGTATGTGAGAGGTGAGAGGTGAGATGTGGGATGCGGGATGCGGGATGCGGGATGTGTACCAAGGTATGTAGGTAGATTAGGAGATATGTATGTAAATAAATGTGTATGAGGTATGAGGTATGAGGTATGAGGTATGATGTGCGATAAAAGATAAACAATAATTAACTATCTAGTTGTTAGATAGTCAAAAATTGAGTTTGATTGAAATTCCTAAGAAGATGAAGATTAAAGAATAATAGTCTACAACTGTAAAACGGTAAACTGTAATCGGTTATGAACTTAACAGTCTGAACTACCTTGTACATACCAACCAACATAGAACAGACTGAACAGTAAACCCAGGCACTAGCGGTAACATCAATCTTTAATCCCCCCCTTATTTTTTTTAGTCCCCGTGACGAGAAGGATGCCCATGGATATGATGGGCTAAAGGACCAGGAAATCACGACGACGCACCGCTAGTTTGCATGGAATTGCGTTGAATACTAGTGTACTCCGCGGTTCCCCTCTACGCAGTGGGGGAAAGTGGACCGATGGTGGAGTTGGCAGATGAGAAAAGAGCGACCTTGACTTCGTGTTACAAGCTAGACAAACTAGGAACTTGGGAAAGTTGCCAGCATCGACCTAGAACGTTCTTAACCTGTCGTTGGGCCTGAATCGCCATCTTTCATTGGTTCAAATAGTTCAGGTTGTGGCTATACGCATGTACGTATACAACCCCATCACCTCCAGATGTCTCTGCATCTATCTGCACCTCTCTGCACCTCTCTGCACCTCTCTGCACCTAAGGCTGGGTACGACATGGATACCACTCTACGACACCTATTAGTGGTTGGAAGGAATGACTATTCCGGCTTCGCAGCTTTCATCAAATTTGGCAAAAAAGGGAGAACCACAACTTTGCCCCCTTCAAGAGGTTGGTTGGGCTTTGAAATCCATCCATGGATGGAATTATTTTGACCTCAAATCCCATGTTACTTACCTATATACATTACCATTACATAGCATAAACATTAACCCTCAATTTAAACCCTCTTGTATAAAGATAGATAGGCATTGATGTGCATAGGTACTACTAGTAGTATGTAGACCTACATACCGTAGGTACATAGTACACAGTAGGTGCCTACATTAGTAGTAGTGATTACGTACTACTATTCATGTAAGCATTGTCAGATAGACATAGTTATTGACATAAACTAGAGACAATTAATGAGAGATCAATCACTCACCTTTTGGCGCAGCGGAATGTTCTGACAGCTATTGCCGAATCCAAAAAAAAAAAAAAAAAAAAAAAAAGTGTTCAATAGCATCACTCTCTTCATCAAAATCATTTCCGATGCCGAGTTGTGATAGATTAGAGTTTGTCCGGCGGACTATAGTATCCGCGACCACCATAGCAGCCACCGTATTCGGCTTCTCTTCCTCCCCCTCCTCCTCCTCCTAGGGAACTCCAAATGCTTCCGATATCCTGACCGAGCTGCTTCACGAGACCTAGAAACTGGTTTCTTTTAATGTATTTACTTCTTGCTGCCCAGTATCTATTCTCGAGTTATAGTTCCTTTGATATTCCTACTCCTCTTGTAGGTTTATAGCGGTAAGATAAATTTGCTATCGAGTTGAGGTAGGCTAACCACATATAGCGAGCGTGAGGGCAGATGTTCGTCTGGAATTAGAGCCGTCGCCCGTCAAGGTCTTCGATTGATTTAATGCTGAACATCTGGTATTATGTGCTCAAGTCTCGGGACGCAGGGGAGACTAGGACACCCGGGTGCCAGGACTGACTCTTGTAGCGTCTCTCAGTATCACGCCCACAGTGGCGTGGCCTTGCCGTTCGTGAATTCGTCTCATTCCAGGAGGTCCACCCGTTCCTCTCCAAGTGATTGAAAAATATCGCCCACCATCTTCTCTCCTTCTTTCTTGTCCATGGACTTAAGAAGCGCCTGATACCCGCCGGCACCATCCTTCCAAACCCACGAGCCGTCAGCTCTCCTCTCCCCAAACTGTGACAGGTGCTCCACCTCATCGCATTCTTCACCCGGAAATACTGTTTGAGATAGGGCATCTATCAGCCGGTTCCATGTTCCCTTGATGTACACAATCTTGACATTTAAGGGCCGGGGCTCCGATTCCTACTTGGTGTGGATCCCCGTCTACATTCGGGGTGTTTAAGAAACACGTCAACGGCTTGTGGTCCTTATATAACGGACACTTGGCGGACTTGGAAACGACGACAGGCCTTTCATCAGTGTAAACGCTAGGGCTTCTGCCTCTCCCTATTTCTCAGAAGCCGCGTCAGTGGCTTCAAGATTTCCGTCTAGTTATTAGTCCATTGCTTGCATGGGCTAATGGCACCCATAAAGGCTCTGATTTGGGGTTGGTCTGAAGGGGCCGGCCAGGTTCGTAGCTTTCCATAACGCTCTGGCTTGGTATATAAGCGGCCACCTACAAGCGTAGCCACTCGTCGTAGTCTTGGATTGAATCCAGATCTTCTGCCTGTTTTCTAAATGCCATGATGCTAGTGCCATGATGCTAGTGTATTCATAGAGTTCCTTCTCCATTTTGAGAACTTATAGATGAGACAATCAGTATTAGTAGTAGTCGGAATCGAAGGAAGAACGAGGCTTAAGATGCAGTTTCCTTCTTTTTGATGATTTGGCCAGGCCTGGGTTTCTGGTCTCTAATATATTGGCGAACATTGTCTCCAGAGCACGTTTGCTCAAAATTCTAAGTGGTACAGGTCCGGCTGGGCCCGAGAATCCAGGCGATTTAGGTAGATGGGATTTCTTGAGACTTCATTGTTTCTCGGTATACGAGCAGTTGTCAGCTCAAAAATGAGGGTTTGAAATATGACATGCCAGGGACTCGATTGATTAGGTCACTGGTATATTTATAAGATTCTAACGAAAGCCTTTTGATAAAGTTTTGGCTTGTGGATAGTAGCTTCTTCTTCCTGACGAGGTCTTGCGTTTAGGTTGCTACTATGCTGTAGCTACCTAGTTAGGAACTACCTAACCTAGGATAGTCCAGCAGGTTAAGTGAAAATGTATTCAAGTCCACTTTGATGCAATTGCCAAATTAAGCGGCTCAACTCGGGTTATGCTCCGTCCTAAAAGAGACAACATTCAGGTACAACCTTAAGTTGCAGTACATATGTATGTATCGAGCAGAGATAATCCTGGTAGTCATTGGGCACCGGTGAAAGATCCTTGGGGAAATCTAGATCTTTGGGCCGAAATAGATAGCCACGCCTGGCGTCTTTAGCTAATCTATGAAGTATGTACATACATAAGGTTATCGCCCCCAGGTACACACATGTATGTGTGTAGTATATCCATGTCGGTACCACAGTGGGTATTTAGGTACATATGTGATATGATGATATCAATAATCAATGGTGTTTACCACTTACATAGTACCATCGTGATGTTACTGATGTAGTATATAGCTTCATTTCGCGTTAAGCGGAGTTGAAATAAATCCATTCATTTCCATATTCCCGAATTACAACTTTATTACGGGAGCTTCATTTAGCAATCTATTAGAATTTAAGGAGGTATATCAGCACTGCCCGGGTACCTACATATGTATTGCTGCTATTGCATACTACTAAGGTACAGTACTATTGTAGTGGATCTAACTTACCTAGTAGTTATTGAACTGTTATTCGTCTGGTATGTACTCCAGAGTCTTGATCCACTTCAAGTCACGTGGATAAGTCCATGTAACTATGTACACCAATATTCTCTCGAGTCTCGGGAATCGGGATATCATTGTCATATCAATGTAGTCTAGTACTATATTAGTAATCGGTTAGACTTGCTCTATCAAGTGGCCCTACAGACATTGACTGATACATATGTATATATACCGGCATATATGTTAGGTATGTATCTGACCTAGGCATGATAGTATTGATGATGTTGACCGATGGAAAGCGTAGCCTACCTGGGTAGAGCTCTATGTTTTCACCAAGCGCCAACAACTTGAGGGAATTACATATTTTTACTCTCCTGTTCTAACTATTATCGGTAGAAAGCCGAGCACCGAAGTACCCATTTACGCATGTCCATGATGCTGTAGCATACCGGTAGCCGCATCTCGGTGCTCACCGACAGTTCGGGACCACCCTCCTACAGCTCCGGGGTACATAGTTTGACAGGTTCGCTGGCCAAATCCCATCTGGACTAGGGCTGGCGTGGATGGAAATGAGGGCTGAACAAAAGAGGTATGTAGAGGAAGATATATAGCCCTTCTACCTACCTTTTTCGATAAGGTCTGAATGCTGCGCGACAAGCCCGTTGCGGCATGTTCTTATCTCATCTAGTTAATACATAATTAGTATTCGTGCTTTACTCGTTTTTTGGACACACTTAGCCGGCAAGTTTATACCCTCAAATAACTGATGGATATGCCCATACCTAGCAAGCGCAACATAACATCTGCTCAGTGCACCTATGCATGATAATGGAACTAATAAATAAATTGTTGTGTGAAATAGGGGGCTAACGCTGGCGACTTTGCGACTTTGCGAATCTGAGGTATATGATTAAGGCATACACCGTGTCATGCATGAATAAAAGCTCGTCTTAGGAAATCAAGGTGGGAACCTGCCGTATCGCCGCGTGTGCTTGAGTAACGCATCGCAATCTAAGCCTCGCAGGTTGGTAGCCGAACCGGCTATTTGGTGCTACATCCTAATCTCGCAGCGTAAGACGCATGGCACCGACGCTGTCTCTTACGAGTTAAATCGCATCTTAGCATTTCTCTCATCTCACCACAGCACAGCAACATGCTATTAGAAAGTCATCTATGGTTACCCTCCTGGACGTACCAATCTTGACGAACCTTTTCTGTACCGACCCGAACTTTCCCGAAAGCGGGCAGAGGCATTCTAGTCTTCCCGATAAAGTGCAATCTTGAATGATTCTAAATGGTGGCAGATTCAGCCAGTCTTGGGTAGAATGTCGGCGATAACCTCTTAGATCGTTCAATGCTTATATGTACATTAGAATGGCGCCCAATAATAGGCAACTACCTACATACTAACCTAGTGCATACGCATGGGACATTATGTAAGGTCTAGTGATGCCAAGAGATAGCAAGCTCGATAGTGCCCACCTCAGAATAGTCATCACCACCACTACAAGATTCAACGAAGTAATATGTAGGCCTCTATAAAGCGATTACCCGAAACCTACAGACTAGGGTGATCGAGTAATAATTTTAGAAAGATTACCACCATGGTGTAGAGGAAGAAATATAAAGGGAAACGATGGGTTGGAAGCACAGGAGAAGGAAGAGGACGAGTGATATGGTTCTCCTCCTCAACTTCAAGATCTGATAACTAAGGTACCTACGCCGTATTCAACAAAAATATATGGAGCTTTCTCCGCCTCCGCTTCCTCTCAACCACAGATGTTATTAGGTTAGATATTCGGCTGATGTTTCATAAGTGTATCCTGCTGTCACATGTCACATGCAGGTCACGTCACATACAGGTCTCGAGTTGGGCTGCATTTACAGGTAATTAATTACATATATACATATATACATAGTATATAAATCTTGGCTAGAGATAACAAAACGCGCTGCTATCAGGCTGGAAAGAAACCCGGAGCAACTTAGCGAGCCTATGCAGGCAGCTGGACACCTGCCAGAGAGTAGTGACCATTAAATGTCATTACAAAGATCGCCAATGGAGAATGGGCAGCAGTATGATGTGACGCTTTTCTCTTCGACAAGAGACAAATAATCTGGATATATAGTGTAGGATGGGAGGTCATGTTTTAGTACTATGAATGTGTCTTACCTAGGTTAGGCATTTATCTTCGTTCAATGTTAGTGATGACTTGAAGGCGCAAGATACTAAAGGTTATGTATCCGTGAATGAAGTTCCACTAAACCAGGTACTTCTGTAATCATTAGACAGGTTACGAAGCACTTTCCACAGACATTGATAATGGTCGAGATTTTGTCTTGATGTAAGCCATACGTGCTATCAGCCTCATAGCTACCTCGCTAAGCTTATCAGCAATAAGACGGAATGTATCGTACTATCGTGAGGCTTTGTATTGAGTATGTGAGCTACTTAACCGAGGAAGGCTGCTAGACAGTCTAGACTAGACTAACAATCTCGAAAGGCCTAACTAGGCTAGTTCTGTTTAGAAGACGGCAAACAATTGGCAGCCTCTTTCTACATAATTGTACTGGGAACTGGCGTGTGAAAAGCATAGGTGACAGGTGTAAAGGCTAGGTAGAGTCAATGTTCATGAACTTCATGTAATATCTTTTTTTTAAATGTTGCTGAGTTACGCGGTACTTACCATTGGCTTGGAAAAGGAAAAAGAAAAAAGAAAAAAAAATTCAATGGAGATCTCCAGATATCGGCTGAAGATCAACGGCTCTTGCCTTCGATATTCTGGTTCTTGCCCCACCCTGAGCTCACAGACAGATACTTTATCTGCAGGCGTGGATGCCCCCTGTATATTTACCCTGTACAATACATATTCGATTCTGACTGTATGTACATACACAATAACTTAAAGGTACTACATTATGTAGAGTATATATATTATTATATCAATGATGTATGCAGGTGTTACATGAAGCCACTAGACATTAATGATGATGCATTCATGTTATAAAAGATATCAATGGATACATATTGATTCTCAAGTGCAATTGATAGACAGGTCCTAAGGCAGGTACTACTTGAAGTCATATGTACATATCATCCTGGGTACACCTTGTCACCTACATCATACATACTGGGTACTGTACAACATTGAAGTCACACATGACACATGTGAACATTGAAGATAACATTACATGTACATGTGTAGGTAAAGCAGGTACAGTATCTAGTACATACATAATAGTATTTAGATGCACATACTATATACTAGGTATCTTGCACGCACGAGGACAAACTTTTGAATATCAATCTGGATTGTAGTACTGGATTTAAATGTTGTTGGTACCTACTAGTACAATAGACCAGTAAGGTACTCCCTTGAATCCCTTCAATGATCTTCTTGATCTTCTTGATCTTCTTGATCTTCCTTCCCCCATTCCTCTCTCATCTCTTCCAATCGATCATATCCCTGCGCTCCGTGCGGCATGCCGATGGCTCCATTCATCTGCCGTCTTTGCGCGCGTTCAAGCCCGTCAAACCGTTTTTCTCTTCCTCTTGTCTTCCTCTAGAGCAATCCGGTATCCAGCGTCACCACTATCCACCATCCACCGCAGACAAGGATCTTGACCGGGTCTTAATCCCAGTCGTGATGGAAAATTAATTGATTGATCGAAAAGAACATCGACCGCTATACCAGTGGGCTTGGGATTCAATTGTAGTTTTTATTTTTTGTTTTCTTCATCACCTTTTTTTTTTCCTTTTTTTTCTCCTCCGTTCCTTTCTTTCCCCCCCTTTTAGGTACATACCTCCAGGGCTATCTATCTTTAGGATTTTATTAGACGTTGCTCCTATCTATCTATCTATTCGTGTCCTGTCCGCCCTATCTAGCTTCTTTCCTCCCCAACTTACTCCGTTGGTCTACTTAGTCCTGGACTTTCACTTGCTAGCTAGCTACCTGTCTAGACTCTACCTACCTATACCTACCTACCAACCAAATACCTGGTACTTATATTGCAACTGTTGTTTTTGACTAGATTAATGTCAAGCTGCCCTTTCTACTGCTGTTATATTTCAAGCCTAACATACGTACCTCATTGCAAACCGTTGTGACGATCATATCGAATTTGTTTCTGCTTTCTACTTATATTGGACGACGCACATGCACGGCGCATTACCAGCGTTGACGATCCACTCCTCGCGTCATTCTCGCTTCGTAATATACCTAGTTGCCATACTGGATCAACGCCCAAATTCGAGACGAACACCAAGATAATAAAAAGCCTACAGGACTTTTGGAATATGTCTGCGAAATACGGCGAGTTGTCACAGCACGACAATGATGATAACGATCAAAACGACGGCCTGTCATCTCCAATTCCTCTTTCTCCAGCTCGCTCGTCATCGCCTATGCCTTTTCTTCCAGCCTTTCAGTCCACATTTACTCCCTTATCGACGGATAGCAGCGACTTGTATTCAGGAGGAGGGATAGGAGTACGAGGTAAAAGAGAGAACCATGCAAATAATGGTAGCAGGGCCATAACTGGGGCCGGCGCAAGCATTGGCGCCATGGTCCAATCGTTGTCGTCGGCACGGGCCACTTATAACAAGCGTAGCGAATACGGGCTCCTATCTCCTGGCACTACTTCGTCTTCTCCTTCGTCTAGTCCTAAAAGTCCAAATTTAAATAACTCCTCCGTCAATGTGAGCCCGGAAACGAAATTCGCCTCAAAGAATGTCAATATTCGTAACTTCAATCCGAATGCGACCACGGATAGCACATTATTAGAAGAGAAGGAGCCACGATCTCCACGCTCCCAAGATCCTCAACAGCCTCTTATCTTCAAGCCGAAACCCATTATTCGTACTGCCTCCAAAAAAATTGTTCCTCTGCGCCACCCTACTCCTGATTTGAACACGCGGTCTTCTTCCTACGCCTCCAACATCGCCCAATTGGAAGCTACTGCTGAGAAGCTTTCCATGACCTCGTCGATCGAAGACGCAATTCGAGATCTGCATGAGGAACAAAAGCGAAACGACAGTCGAAGATCATCGATCCTAGCTGCAAGCATAGGCTCTATACCCGAAAACGACGAGCCCTTGTCCTTTCCCGTTATCAAGCCGCTCATGTCACCAGATAACTCTGCGCTGTCAAACATAACCCGAGTGAGATCTGGTTCGGGACCATTTTCACGACCTGAAGTTGAGGCTGGGAATGTTATGTCAAGACATGGTCCAGGAAAGAGTTCTGTACGAAGCGTAAGGTCTGCCTCCAAGCCGACCTTGACTGATATTGCTGAGTTGGAACCAACCACACTTACTCCGGCAGCTATGGACGAGGCGGACAAATTAGCCGAGGATCCAGGAGTGGAGGAAATGCTGCGAATACCAGAGCTGGAAGACATCGATCTGACGCCCAATGCAGAACAGTACGGCGCGTCAAATAACCATGATTACTGGGGCCAACCCATCGCTGAGAATCGGGCAAGTCATGTGCCTAATATCTACGATAACAGATCTCGGGCTGGATCTACTGCAACCTATGACCAGGCAGAGGGAGCTTTTGCCGATTTCGATGGAGCTCATTGTCCCTCTGATATTGATCTAGAGGATTCCTTGTTTATGTCCTCATTATCTAACGGGCCCGTGGTGGATATGCCCTTCCTACGACCGTTCGACCGGGATCTGGCCAAGAACGAAGAGGAACCAAACCCATCCAGGCCGGTTATATCGCGACCGATTGGTCCACCAACTGTCAGACCAAAGTCATATATGGACCCAGAAAGTGGTAACACCATGATGTACTACCCGGCACGTGTTCCACTGATGCTCAACCTACCACAGAAGCTATCCAAAAAACCAAAAGCCGAGGTCCGAAATGCTCGCAGATCACAGATTTTGAGCAAGATGTCGGAACCTAATCGTGAACCTGGTGCTCCTTGGTTACCAGAAATGCCATTCGAAACTCTAGGCTCCGAACCTACGCCAGCATCCGCGCCACTCGCCGGTCCTGATGCAGACGCGCAAATGACACCAGCTTCAGGCAACCAACGTGAAATCCAGCCGGGGCAAAATGAAGGAGCCGGAAACAATGAAGCACACGTGACCACTGTTGAGTCTGATAAACGGAAATCAAAACTTGACGGTTTACCGCCGCAACTTCGTGCCAGCGTTTTCTTCGATCTACCAGCCTCCGAAGTCCCGGCTATCCAACTCAAAGACGGTTCCGCAATGGCAACGCTGGACAGTATTCTGGACGCGTCTGCTAAAGCCCCTGTATCTGCTTTTACCGACCACGCTTTCGCGGGGTCACTGGGGTCGGAGGTTTACGGAGCTGGGAAGAAACGAAAATCTCACTTGAAAGTTGCTAGCGCTACCGATTTACTAGAACCCAAGAAACGCAGCTCTTTCCTACACCTCCGGAAACCAAGTGCCCTCAGCCGACATTCTGACACTCAGGAAGAGCGAAGGAATACTATTGCGGGAGGAACACGAATGGATGAAAGGTTAGGAGATGCAAACGGGGAAGATGAGGAGAGACAGCGGCTATCCGGTTCTATCGACGGCCGAACCCCTGAACAAGAGGAAGGGGAAGACAGTGAGGAAGAGCCCCTCTACAATGGACCTCCAACGACTTTATTAGCCGAGCTCCAGATCCGAAAGCAGCAACATAAGCTTCGCACACGGCCGATTACTAGCGCTTTCCCTAACGGCATGCACTCTACCCTTCTTGAAATGGACACAGTTGCCCAGATTGAACATAAAAATCGTAAAGGCAGAAAGATCAATCTCGCTTGGGAGGATCCAAATCTCGATGCAGCTGACAACTCGGAAGACGATGATACGCCGCTCGGCTTGCTTATGGTGGCTAAGGGCCAAGGCAATGATATGATAGCTGCTTTGGCCGAGATCAACCGACCACCTGGCTTGATGGAAAGGCGTGAAATGGAGGATAATGAGCCCCTAAGCCGAAGGCGGGACCGACTTCAAGGAAGGGAGGTTGGTCCAGTCAAACGACAGAGTATGATGACGCTTGGCCACAATCTCCATAATCCGAATGGCATGAATGGCAACCTAAGGCCCCCAAGCCCGCAACTCCAGGTCCATGGTCCCGAAGAGGAAGAAATTGAAGGCGAAACTCTTGGAGAGCGTATGCGGCGCTTGAAGGCTCGTGAGCAGGCCGATAATCTTCTACCTCAGGCTAGACCTGTCAGCTCCTCATTCTCTGCCGAACTCCTTGGCCAGATCAGTGATGCTTTTAAGGCAGATGACAGCGGTGGCAAGGAAGATAATCGAAAAGTTAAGCCGAAAGAGGAAGAAGAGACATTGGGCCAACGACGTCGTCGCTTACAGGCTGAACGTGAGGCCCATGAACATAGCATGGCTGGCATAATACCGTCAGGAGAACTCGGCAACGATACGGCCAAGGTCAAGAAGCGTCGATCACTTGCAGATGTGCTGGGTGCGCATGGATCGAAAGCTGTGTTGAGCGACCCCAGAGTAGAAGCCGAACGAGCAAAGCAGGAGGAGGGGGCCCGATATAGGCAGGATCAAGATCAGAAGATAGCCGCACTTCGCAGTCAGATACCTTCTAGCATTAGCACACCAAACTTGAATCGAGCCGGCGGTTTTATGGCTGGCCGATTTAACGATGGTACTGGCGGGAGTGGCCAACGAACCAGCACAGCTTTGGGGGCAAATGGTGGAGTGGGAGGAACCGCCTACCCCATTGCTAGTGGTCCAGGAGGCACGATGCCTTATGAAGGACAACCACAACAGCCAGGACATATGGATAGGGTGGAGCGATGGAGACAGAGTATCCTGCCATAAAGGTTATTCTGCCCGGGCTCTACGGGCGTCAAACACGCACCCCGCGAGAATTTAATATACGTGCGAAGTAAAGAAAGCCCGGTTTCCAAGTAGTATACATTTCCTAAGCATCGCGTGTGGCGTTTTCAACTGGGATCGGGGGTACCTTTTTTTTTTTGTCACTACTCTCTGTTGGATTTTGCATGGTCGGATTACAAAGGCAGCATTGGAGTTCAAAAGAAGTATATGAAGCACATATACGTACCTACTTATATACATATTTACATTAGGTCGACTTGTAACTACCTAGGTAGCATTAATTGCGTGGTATAAGGGGGGCGGGTTTTGTCTGTTTGGACGACCGTGGTAGGTGGGCACCAAAAGACGGTAATAGGGAAATTCTGTATTATCAACCGCATGGATGAAATATAAATCTAGAGGTCCATAAGAATGTTTGATGATGGAGTTATGACGGAGCTTTGATGAACAGCTTTGTTCTCGTTTATGATCCCATGCTCCGAGCAACCAAGCTCATCTCGAGGACGGGGCGAGACGTGCGGTACAGCTATGTTAGTTAGTAGGTATGAAGCCGTAGATATATCTCCAATAATCAGATTACTGAGGTCCTACTATACTAGGTTAGGTAAATAGAAAAGCGAGTCATTTTATATATGTGCATAGATGGCTCGCGTGACGGGTTGTTTCTGTTGTTTATGTTGTTGCTGTGGTTTTTGTTGTTGTTGTTTTGTATGGTATACCTAGTGCGATACAGTTTAGGGGGGCTTTAAGTACAAAGTACATAGTACTATGGAATGTAAATAGAAGTACAGCTAGGAGTAGCGGACGCGGTAAATGACGAGCCTCGCGTTGACATGTGTCTTAAAAAGTGAGCCGGTTAAACCTTAAAAGGACATGTCAGCGCCTCATGTATTCACCTTGGGCCGGTTCCAACCACCAGCCTCTTTATTTCATCCAATCTACAGTATTATCCGTCGAAGTCAAAGCCAAAATCGAAAAAAAAAAAAAAAGACCAAGGTCAATTCTATATACTACCTACGTCCATCTTATGCTTCTGCTATCAGCATTTACTCTTGTTAGAAATGCAATAATACGCTGATCTCCCTGAATTATATTCCAAGTTGTTTACTTACCTAGTAGCTACCATCGACGGTCAACTAACTCTATCATGCATGACTCTTGCCTCAGCCCACGTGTTTCGTCCATTATTCGTATGGGGTATAGATGATATAGATTCAAAGTGTTGCTGTCATTTTCAAGCCTATGTAAGGCTTTGGAGATGTCTGAAGGAAAGGTGTGGCACAGCAATGCCAGTCATGAAAATAGGGGGGTTGCTGACATCCTCTTGTGTCGATAGACCCTATTAGGTAACTAATAGAACGCACAGGGGACATAGCAGATGAATTGGGGGAGTAGTCTAGCATATAGCTAACTATAATTCTCGTCTCTAGCATCTTTCAAGTGCTAGTATCCATAGACGAGGCATCACAGGACAAAACACGACAAAACACGACATCTAATCACCCGCTAGCTGGTCTATGCCCGGTTGGTGTTCGCCTCACGGCCCCAGTGGGAATGATTCAACACATAGCCTGCTATTCTCAACAGAATACAAAATGATCAGAGATATCATTTACATAGTACGAGGCGGGAATTACCTAGTCTTGGCCAAGGGAACACCGATTCAACTGAATTCAATGAGATGGCGACCACTAGCCGTTGTCTGGAATGCATCGAGAAGTCTTAGGGGAAACTCTACTTCCGTCGCGCAAGCAGTGGTGAAGTGTTCAACCACCATGCTTAACCTTTCATTCTCGCTATAACTCGACGCCTTCTAAACTATGTATTTAAGTGCTGATGCTCTCCCAGTTACTGCTGAGCCAGTTCAGTCTCGCCACAATAAACACCACATTCATTTCTTGCTTACTCATAACTATCACTTGGCCTTGGCCATTCTATCGCTGAATCTTCACGGCTTATTCTGCCATACATACATCTAGTTCGAGCTCTCATATAGGCTCGCTATCACCTACTATCTTTATATTTCTGCACTGACATTCACTTTTCGTCAAGGCCGAAGAACATACACTCACAATGTTTCTGCAATCCGTCCTCACCGCTGGCCTCTTTTGGGCTCCAGCGGCCCTCGCTGGTTACAACGCAGGTGCTACGGACAATATCGCTATATATTGGGGTCAAAACTCAGCCGGCATCTCGAATGCTGATAAATCCCAAAAGTCTCTGGCTGAATACTGCGCCAACACCGATGTAGATATCATCCCCATTGCCTTCTTAGCCAAGTTCAACCCCATGGAGATAGACTTAACGAACATGGATGATGATGAGAACATGGGGCAGGAGATTGCTTCATGCCAGCAAGCCGGCAAGACCGTCCTTCTATCTATTGGCGGTTCCATGTTCACTCAGGGGCCCTCTAGCCAGCAACATGCACAGTTATTAGCTGACCAGGTCTGGGGCATGTTCGGACCTAAAGGCAACGCTGGCAACAGCATCACCCGTCCATTCGGCGACGCCGTCGTGGACGGCTTCGACCTCGACATTGAAGCAGTCCTCCCCAATATTGCACCCTTCGCCGCTCGCCTACGTGAGAACATTGACAAGGCCAATAGTGGTGGCAGCCGTAAATTTTACCTTTCCGCGGCACCGCAGTGTCCCTTCCCAGACGTCAACAATGAAGCCATTCTCCACGGTGACAATGCTATTGCCTTCGACTTCGTCATGGTCCAATTCTACAACAACCCCGTATGCGACATCCGTGTGTTTGCCGTCGGGAGTGACCCTAAGGAGGCAGGTTTCAACATGGCCCAGTGGGATGAGTGGGCCCGCTCGAGCAAGAACCCGAACATGAAGGTGTTCCTCGGCATCCCGGGCGGCCCCACCGCCGTCACCTCGACCGAGAAGGCATCGTACAAGGCCCCCAACATGCTCGCGCCCATCGTCGCCTACAGCAAGTCGTTCTCGAGCTTCGGCGGCGTCATGATCTGGGACATGTCGCAGGTCTACGCCAACGACGGTTTCTTAGCCGCCATCGCCAACGACGTCAAGGCGCCCGCTGCGTCCGGCGGCCCCTCCAACACGAACACGATGCGCCAGTCCAGCCACGCGCATGCGCGGCGATTGCGGAGAACCCACCAGCGGGATGTTCGCTTATGATGTTTCTTGGATGCGTTTGTCCTCTTTGTTCTGATTTCGGCCTTGGTTCTCCTTGTGTGAGCAGCGAAAGAAAGAAGGGGAGAAAAATAGCAAATAGCAAGGTCGTTTTTGAAAAAAGGGGGGAAGCGCAAAGATATACGACACGACCACAGCTATACCTGAAGGTGACGGCGACGAGCATCTCGGGACCAAATTGGGGATATGGAAATCTACGAAAAATGGTGATGTGGGTGAAACTGGGCGGATTTATTCTTGCAAAAAGCAGAAGCAAAATAAAAAACAAGATTTATCTTGATATATCACAGATTATGACGGGGGCGCCATTCCAGGGGCTTGTTTGGTTTACAAAACAAATATGCTTGGAATGGGCATTATATGAACCTATAGATACCCATCTCCGCCAGTGGGTGGAGATTTCCCCCCTTCTTCGTTTCCTTTTTCATTCCTTTATTTCTTATTCCCCTTTATTTCGGTTTTTTTTTTCTCCTATTTTTGTATATATAAAAGTATGTATACCTGTTCAACTTTCACAACGTTGCGGATTCTTTAGATGCTAAGCGCTGTTCCGATCCGAATTTCCCCCCTCCCCTGAATGTCTACTACCATCTGAAATTAATCTAAGGTTGCATTCTTACTCTAAACCTTTGTTAGTATAAAGTTAGACAGCTTGTAACTTTTACTTTTATCAAGCTAGCATTAAAAAAAAAGCATCTCATAAGGTTGCTTCGATATCCTGTGCTAATGTAAATCATCTACCAACGAAGGCCAAATCAAGGAAACCATGCCATTCTCCCTCCCTCACAACCACCACCTCACCACCTTTTAAGCAAACGACTTTTTTTATCATCATCATCATCATCATCACTTCCTAATAATACTGATGGCTCCAAAACTCCACCAGTCCGGACCCGATATTCATCGACACCACGACGTTCGTCAGGAACGTGACGCCCAGTATATAAGGTCCATCGCCTCCACTCGCAATCCCCGTCTGGCACAGGCCGGTCTCTGGATCTCGCTCATCCTGGCTCAGCATGTCCTTGGGATTGACCCAGAACGTCGTGTCTTCGATCTGGACCCCGAACCGCGGGGGCACGGCGTTGCACTCGGTGAAGTAGGCGTTGTAGTACCATACGTATGTTGCGGGCGGGTCGAACTGTGCGTTTACTTCTTCGGCTAGGTCTGTATCATATTATTATCATTTTTGATGAGCTTTCAATGTAATCGGGATTTTTCACGTACCAGGTGGCAGGTAGGTCAGCGATGTCGCCGTGTCTACGACGAAAGGATACCCGCCCTTGACGGTTGCTCCGCCGAACCTGAAGCCTTTCGGCACGATCGTGTAGAAAGATGGCTGGTAGTTGGTGCTGGCGCGGTCGATGATGTCCGCCTAAGTAAGGTAAGTAGGTGCCTAGTCAACACATGTAGCAACCATCGTGGCGAGGGAGGGGGGCTTTACCACTAGAATAGGGGTGGAGTCATATTTGCTGTTTTTGAGATCCACGGGTGGCATTCCACCGACGCTGATGGATCCAAGAGATGAGTTCCTAGATACTGCATTTATCATTTTAGCGCCTGCCAGTCCTTCGTTTGGTTGAAGGGAGGAATTGGGTTATCAAGTTTGGATTGAAGGGGAGTGTCGCAGAGAAAGCAGGAGCAACACATACTAGCGATAGCAAAGTACGGCTCAACCAATCCATTGGTAACCATCGAGGTGAAAACAGGTGAGTAGAGAATAGACTCATCACCCGGACCGTCGAGATCATTGCCCGAGTAGGCGTTGGTTAGAGACGGGTATGCGAGCCCCAATATGCCTGACGTGACATTATTGCCTGGCAAACGCCATGAATTAGCAAAAGGTTCCAAGTTTACACACCTCCAAAGTAGCATAGTCACGGGAGAATAGAAATATATAAACCAACCGTGCCAAGCCCCTTGACTTGCAATGGCTATTTCTTGATGGGGGACGGTTACGCCCGCGAGTTCAACGTCCTGGATAAGAGCAGGGGTGTTAGATGCTGGACATGGAACCCTTCAAAAGCAACAATATCCGTTGATGATGATGGTTTTTTAAGTTTGAGATCTCTTCAGATGTCTGGTAAGATATGCTGAGCATCACTCACCATGAATCCCAACACTATCCAAAAGAGTTAGCATTTTCTCTAATACGGAAGCCCAAACTCTCTCTCCCTTTCTCGCTCTGGATAGTTGGTAGTATAGACTTGTGTGGGGATATAGAGTCCTACTTACAACCTTGAACCTCTTCACCGTCTCCATACTCGATGGAGAAGTGCTGGTTGGGTATCGGCTCTCCCGTGAAGTTACCGCAAAAGGAAGGACCCAGCCCACAGTCTTCCACCGGGACAGACCCGTTGAGACTCCGTTTGCAGGTGAAGCTGGACCCTCTAACCCCTTTGTGGAAAAAAAAACACGTATAAGCGATTGAACAGAACCAAAAAAAAAAAAAAAAGGGGGAGGGGGATTAGCTGTCGGCTTTTGACCTTACAGGTATCGGCTGACCCCGAATCGATTATGACGTTCATGGGGATCCCGTTAAAAATCAGTTTCACCGAGTACTCGACGGCGTAGTAGTTGACAGAGGTCACGTTTTCGTATCCGGTGCCGCCTTTGCTTCGCTGGACTTGGCCGAACAAGGCAGCAGCAGAGCGCAGCGACCTACCTCCCGCTCCTGCGCTGCTGCCGCGAGACACGCGTGTCAGGCTTAGGTGGTTCTGGACCTTCCTCTTCTTCTCGACGACATCGGTGGTCGTCGTCGTCACCATCGGTTTCACACGGCGGAATTGAAAGCCGGGGAGGGAGAGCGAGTGAACGACATCATTTTCATCACGAGAATCGACCTGGGGCAAAAAGGCCGGGGTGGCTAGTACGGGCAAGGAGGTGAGTCCGAGGGAGCTGATAAAATACTTGAGGAACATCATATTTTTCGATGAAAGGAGAAAACTTGAGATGGAGATATTTAGGAGCTTGGGTTAGAAAAGCTTATGGAGGAGAGGTAAGGCGTTCTAGTGTGCGAGGGAGTTGAGACACATAAATGAGACAACTAGATGACCAGGACTAGATCTGAACGGAAGCGGGAGGGAGAATGGGCGTCTTGTGAGATAAATGGTCTAATGCTCAAGTTTTGAGTATCGATGGCCCTATTAAGTTCTCCCCGAAGTCGAATGTACCGGTTACTCTCCCATGGCCGAGCACTTACTTAGTGGTATTACTCTCGCATCTTGTGTGTCCAACGATCGCGCCCTAAACAGGATAGATGCTTGAGATACTGTACGTTTGTTGCGCACAAGTTGGACAAGGCAGATGAGCAAACCTGGGTACCTGCCTTCTATAGCAGATTATGCAGCGTAGATGTATAGGTGAGTAACGCGTGTGAGGCTTCACTTCTCCTAGGTAGGTTACTAGGCTACCTAGCACACATCTAATAGGTACACGTATATCTCGATATCGTTAAACTTGTATGCCTGGACAGGTGATTATACTTGGAAGTAGTTCTTATCAAGTTAGGCATATCTAGTCGAGCAATTTGAGTAGATGGACGGATGTTTGCTTTGGTAAGGAAACACATAGATAGGTGCTACCTTGTTGTTTTCAAGCGGTCGTTCTGAACTCGGCATTCTCACGCAGGATGCAGCTCGCCTTGTGGCCCGATGCGAGTGAGAATACGTATTTGTATTTGTGCTCGTGGGGTAATTGATAATTATTCTTCTTCTAAAAAAGATTAGGTATAAAGGTGTAATAACCTGGACCTCAAGTTAATTATCTCTCGATATAAACCAGGAGTAAGTCAAGTATCAGTACCTATCTAACCTAGGTATGTCTGACAGCTCGTACAGCGTCATGATGATTGGTAGTCGAGATAGCCCTACATATTCAGGGGTAATTGTACCTAGGTATGTAACCTTGGAACTAAATGTAGTCTGCTGGTTGGCCCCCAAGATGCCTTATTTCGCTGCCTAGTGGTGGCATGGATCCATTGGTGTAGCATAAGGGACCTGTAATAGTGGATATCTTCATTACAAACATGGCAAAGCTCAACAACCCTCTTTGAAGTCATAGTCCTTCTTGGTTAGGTCGAGATAACGTGGTTGCTTGGGTCTTTTTTTTCTTTTTCTTTTTATAACTGTTGCTGAGATTATGTCAGGTGGTTCCTCTATACATTACCATTTACTCTGAAGACAAAAAGAAAGCAGGTTGAACAGAAATAGGTACAAGAGATAGGATGCCTTCAAATCAACCTGCCACCACTGTGGCAAGACCGCTATCCATGATGAAGAAGTTGTCTCCATTTGTGTACTATTACGAACCTTCCGAGGCGGCTGTCTTGCCGGAGCCTGCTCATTCAGGCGTTCCAAGGCTTATTCTTATGGCATCTTGGATGGACGCTCGAGAATTGCACATTGCGAAGTACATTACCCAATACCAAGCCATCTTTCCCTCCTCGGCCATATTGTTAGTCAAGTTCGCTACCAAGGAGCTCGCTTCTACTACGGTTGCCAACAGGACCGTTCAACCCGCTGTTGTGTACATTCAGTCCCGGATCGAATCGGGATTTCTGTCAGTATCACCTATGCAGCCCGAGATCCTAGTGGTACGTATACCTACCTAGTAGTAATTGCTTGTCCTCCTTTCGTCATACTGTTCCGCCCGAAACGGGAAAGTGGTGCGCAATGATACTAACATGAGCGTAGCATTTGTTCTCTAATGGCGGGTCGACCACTATGAGGATTTTGTACGAGAATTTCTTATCCCAGATGGGCCATACCTTTCCACTCCATGCCGCGGTGTACGATTCGTGCCCGGGGCTATATGCATTTCTCCCGTCGTATAATGCGTTCATAATTGGCTTCCAGAAGGGATTTCTTCGGTTCATCGCAGCTCCGTTCGTTACGGCTCTTATTGTTTGTCTCTGGATCTGGCACCGACCTCTGAGGATGCTGTCCGGGGAGGACTTTTTAGCAAGGAATTCGAGGATTCATAACGATCCGACGCTGGTTAAGCAAACAAATCGTTCCTACATCTATGGCAAAGCTGACATAATGGTTGATTGGAGGCACGTTGAGACGCATATAAAGCAAGCCGCGGCGAAGGGGTTCGTGACGAGGCAAGAGCTTTTTGAACACAGTCCGCATGTGTCGCATATGAGAACCAACGGCGAACGATATTGGAAGATCTTTATGGAGACATGGAGAAAGGCCACGGGTTAAGAGTTACTCACCGGTGCTTGAAGGTATACATGCCCAGTATATTGTGGTAGTCTTAATACACATGTGCAGTGGATGGACACATTCAAATGTTCTTCAATCTATCCACCTATAGCCGTATTACGTTGTGACACACAAGTGCTCTCCGGTTCATTTACATCGGCAATGGCTGTGTCCAGCCAGCCGGCAGTATTGTATTCCCAAGTGGGGATTGGCGAGAAAAGTAAAGCCATCGGAAGTAGTCGGTTGCGGGATGATGGATGATAGTTATATGTAAGCGACCTTCTGGCTTTTGTATATCGGGTTGGATTAAATTGATTTAACCTAGATTGATGAATGAAGTACTGTACATAAAGTCTTAAGATGCCCCTTTCAACTTCAACTTTCAAGTTCTAGGTTAGTAAGATAACGATATCCGCCTAAACTTTGAAGTGATACGATTGAAGTGATACGAGAATGATACGAACCCATTGGAATTTTACCTTTTTTCTAATGTTCAAAGTTCAAAGTTCAAAGTCTCCTCTCCAAGAGTCTCCATGCCATGGATGTATCCAGGTAACTAGTTACATACTACTAAAATATAAAATGCGGGGTGCCGTTTCCCGGGTCTGCGGGTGCTTCGCTACTACCTAGTACTAACTATGTACTGTATTGCCCTTCAATGTTGTAGGTATAGCAGCTAGTGCCAGCTACGCATTCTCTATACGTAAAGTACACACCTTGGTTAGGTAAGTACCTCGGTACTGGTGTACCAGTTCATCCTATCCCGAGCTGCGGTTGGATCTTTTCATATCCACTACCCCGGCTAGAGTGCTTATGCCCTGTCACTCTGTTCCTGAGAATCCCGGTGAAGCTGCCCAATAAGCATGACGGAATATTGTGCATCACCGCAACTTTGTCTTCCAAAGCCCTTCTCTACATACCCATACCACAGTACACTCTTCAACACTTTGCATTTCTGCATGCAACAAGAAACCACCACCACCAACCTTGAACTATTGTCGGCTGTTTTTTGGCGCCTGATCAAGTCCTAATCAGTCCTAATCAGTCTTTTGTCTTAACTATCATAACCATCATAGCCAATCCCTATTATTATTTTTGATTTCTCGACTCTTCATTCTTGTATTTTGTTAGAATTGGGACTGGAATTCATCTACATGTTCCTCTTCCAGAACTTACCTACATCTAACTTACCTATACATACCTACCTAACCTAGCTACCTTAGTAGTTACCTACATACCTAGTACCTATCTACCTACCCATCTACCTATCAACCTACCTACCTACCTACCTACCTACCTACCTACCTACCTACCTACCTACCTACCTACCTACCTACTTCATACTTTTAGTATTGTACCTACATTCATAGTAGTACTACTTACTATACATACTTTCTATTCGCTTCACATGCTGAGGCTGCACACACACATACCTTACTTCTTATATTGCAAAGTTTGACACAATGGCACCTAAAATCAATGGCCGTGGAGTTCAGGCAGAGGACACCAAGATTTGTGTGGTCATGGTTGGCTTGCCTGCACGAGGGAAGAGCTACATAGCACAAAAAGGTATGTACCTACATATCTTACTTGTCCTTCTCCTTTCTACATGTATCTACATATCAACGATGATGTCCTTCCTCCTATTTTCCTCCATCTCTTACTAGTACCTTGTGAAACCTTCCCTAAGCTGACCTGTCTCACCCACCCAAAGCCCAGCGCTACTTGCAATGGCTCTCCATTGATGCCAAGACCTTTAACGTCGGCAACTACCGACGTCATGAAGCACCTCAACCTTCCGCAGATTTTTTCGACACAGACAATGCCGAAGGAGAACGTAGACGCCGCGCTGCCGCCGAAGCTGCTGTTGCCGATATGTTGGGTTGGTTTCGGCAGGGCGGCGTCATTGGTATTCTTGATGCTACCAACTCCACCAAGGATCGTCGAAAATGGGCCTACGACACATTGACACGCGAGGGTATCGAAGTTCTTTTCGTGGAGTCCAAGTGCGACGACGAAAATCTCATCATGGCCAACATCCGGGATGTCAAGACCACTAGTCCCGACTACAAGGGCCAGGACCCTGAGGAAGCCGCCCTAGATTTCCGTAACCGAATAAAAAACTACGAGAAGGTGTATAGGACGATCGACGCAGACGGCGATGAGAACCATTATACCTACCTCAAGATTATGGATGTGGGTGCCCAGGTCATCATCAACCGCATACAAGACTACCTGCAGAGCCGCGTCGTTTACTACCTGATGAATCTACATATCCGGCCGAGATCAGTCTGGCTCTCGAGGCACGGCGAGTCGCTATACAATCTTTACGGGCGAATTGGTGGCGATGCGGACCTATCTCCACGGGGACATCAATATGCCAAAAAATTACCCGATTTAGTCCGCCAATCTGTCGGCGTGAGTCCAAATCTCCACCCACCTTTCCATATGAACCATTCGAACGTGGTTTATGGCCCTGTTCAAATAGACACTAATGTACTCGGCAGGATGACCGACCCCTCACTGTATGGACCTCTACATTGAAGCGTACAATACAAACCGCCCGCTTCTTGCCTGAGAACTATAATCAGCTACAGTGGAAAGCACTGGATGAGCTTGATGCTGGTGTCTGCGACGGTATGACATACCAGGAGATCAAGGACGTGTACCCGGAGGACTTTGTGGCTCGGGACGAGGATAAATATAACTATCGGTACCGTGGCGGGGAGTCTTACCGTGATGTGGTCATCCGCCTCGAGCCCATTATCATGGAGCTCGAGAGATCCGAGGATATCCTCATCGTCACCCATCAGGCCATTCTCCGCTGCATATATGCGTACTTCATGAAGAAAGACCAGTCTCGCAGCCCCTGGATGAACGTACCGCTCCACTGTCTCATCAAGCTCACCCCACGAGCCTACGGCACGGACGAGGAGAGATACCAGGCTGACATTCCGGCCGTCAGCACGTGGCGTGGTAAGGGTAGCACGGCCAAACATGAGGACCCTGTTCCAGAATCGAATCTAGGCTTTCCCCCAGTGGTCACTTCCCATTAGGTTCGTATGACCTTTTATATCTTATTTTTTAAATTATTGTTATTATTATTTGGGTAACAATCGGTAGCACGATCATGAGCAAACACTAGGAACTAAATTATTATGTATGGATTTTGGAGCAGAAAAAAGGGCGAATATCCCGATAAGCATTAACCAGGTCATCCAAGGGGGTGGCTCGGAACGATTAATGGAGTAAATCTACGTATTGGTCGGAATTTTATAGCAGTCCGGCTTTGCGGATAAAAGGCCCCTTTAAAGCATTCCATATAGACTTGGGGGTGGGGGAAGGGTGGCGGTTCGTTTGCATGAGACCAAGCCAAGTCGTCTATGTATATCTATTTACTTATTCATGGGAACCGGTTGATGACGACGGTCTAAAAATCATACTCCTTTCTCTCAGGATTTGCACGAATCTACGTGGTCATCATGTTGCGTGAATGGTTGGAAAAGGGATAAAAATCAGAATCAGAATCCAATCTACGATAAGATCACCAGATGGAATGAAATGCTTCGAGTCGAAATGGAACTTGCGATTACTCTCGAGATGAGACACGAGTATGTTGAATACTATCGTGTCTTCCCTCTACTCTTTGCCGCCTTACTTCGATACTCTGATTTTTAATATAGGTACACAACACACCACCAACGCCTTCGAATGACAAGAAAGAATAAGTATGGAAGGGATACAATGACACAATATACACTTCCGCCACGATCTGTACGACAGCTTTCAGCATTCTATCACTTATACCCTCCGCCCACTTTACTTTACACTTGAGGTAGATTATCGGGGTGCTTAGCAGACGTCGTAGTTAGGCAGCTCCTTGCTCTGGTACACAAAGCCAGCTTGCCACTGGGGCGCGTCGACGCCGACGATGGTGCCGGCCTGGCCATTAGCGACGCACAAGGCCTCGGCCGAAATTAATTGGTTGCCGACGAAAGTAGTATCGGTCGAAAGTTGGGAGCAGAGGGAGCAGAAGAAACCCCAGCACGTGCCGTACTGGAACAACAGACATGAGTTGGCTGTGAGGATGAGAGGTTGGTCCAGAGCGAGGACCTCGTTGATTACGTTGTTGCAGTCACTGTCTGCAGGCGCGGGGCTCTGAGGTTGGACACGATTAGTAACTTTTTAAGTACAAAGAGATAGAAGGACAACAAACCGAGTTTCTGCATTCATATAAGGGGCTGGAGTCCGTTTCACGCGTCGACAGACCCGCGTCAGCGAGACTCTCGGGAAGCTGTTTCAAGTTCACAGCGTCGAGCTTTAGGGACGGGTGGATGTCAGACGTGAACTGACTGAGGCTAGCTGGCTGCGGCCGGCGTGGTTCTCTGTGACGTTCTGCGGCTATGGAAGAGGCCAGGCCCGCCACAAGAGCAAGAAAGAAGGTTGACTTCATGGTGTAGAAGAATGACTTTGCTTAGGCAGACAAGAGGATTGAATTGCGTGATGAGGGATCGACAGAGGCTGATAGTTCCGAGGAATTGGCACAGACAACATCTATCCCGACTGGAAGAAAAGGTATCTACATAATTTATATACTACTCTCGCCACCCCCCCTTTTCACCTTCCTTCCTTCCTTACTCCCCCCGGACTATGCACCTGCTTACCTTGCAGCCAGGCAAGGAGCAGAGGGGAAAATAGTCCGACGTATGTGGTAATCTTGAGCTCTAGGACCTGCCGAAATGAGGCATTGGGTGTTCTCGCCCTGATGGACAGATGATAACTGACGGTCGAGACCTGATTCTGGGCTCAGCTCGCAGTTGATCTGGAGACCAGGCGTGATGACCGTTTCTTGGTTCCCCCGGGCTGTTGGATGTGCCGGACCTGCCAGTCTGAATCCTGCCATGGGGCCTAAGCCTCGCAACCCCCCTAGTAGTGTCCAATGGAGGTGGGCTTGCTCAGCAGCTTGTAAGGCGCCGAGCTGCGTCCCAGCCGTGTGTACTGCGTCTGCTAGACACCAACATCCATGCCGAGCTTCTTCGATGGCAGACTCTAGAAGGCCGGGGAGGCCCGATTGTCGGCAGTGATACGACGTCTCTCCAGTGTTGACTCGAGCTTACTGCCGCCTCACAGCTACCCCTTTGAGATTCCTGTTCGCAAGACTGTCACACTACGTTGTAACGTGGTACTACCTCTGGAGCCCAATAGGACTAGGACACGGGAAACAGATACGGAGAGAAGGGTTACTAGTTGGGCCGATAAAGGGCACGGTTGGTCCACTGCTGCCAAAGGGAGTAGGCTTGAGGCTCATGGATATAGCAGCGAATAGGGAGGAGGGAAGATCCTCCGCGAGGGGGTCAGTTTTTGTCATGATTCATGAGAGGGAGGGTCTTTATAAGGACGCCGGCTTAGAAGTTGAAAATCTAGGTACCCTGCATAACAGCTGTAGAACAGTTCTCTGCAGCAGCAGCTATGACGGTGGACTTGTCTTAAGGAAAACCTGGATATCGGATACGTTTCTCCCTGGTGGAATCTACGTTTAATCTAAAGTGGCAAGAGACCATTGGGCCCAGCTGTGTCAAACAGCAATCTATCTCACTTCGCTTCATAAAAGATTAATGAACTGTCAATTGCAAATCGTATAAATCGTAGAGTGTGAGCCTGGTACCGAAAAGCTAATTTTAAATGAACCGAGATGTGCCGTGTCAGAAGACGTGTGAGTGAGAGGGAATGCGACTGCGACTGCGAGAAAGGCGCGTGAGCAAATAGGGGATGGGTGATTTTTTTTTTTTTTTTTTTTTTTTTTTTGGTTGAGTCGTCGAGCTAGAACGGGACGGAATGAGGGTTGGACTTTATCCGTCGAATTTATCCAGTGCAACAGTATGCAAGCTGCAATGCACCTCTACGACGGCCTGGTATTTGAGGAATTCTCAGGGAGCGTGGCTAATATATCCGGTGGCCTGGAAGGAGGAAGGATTTGGTCCTAGGTGCCTACCTCAGGTACCTAGGTAGAGGCAGGCAGGCAGGTAATAAGATGACTACGATGGAAGAGTACTTGGCACTTGGCTCACGGGATGTTTATTGAAGCGGTACACATGTATGTAGATACTATGTATGCAAGTAGTCTTGAAGGATGTTGGAGATAGGTATTGACTATATCAGGTAGGAATACAAAGTACGTGGTAGGTTTATGGATAGTATAAACTCATAAAAACCATGTAACTATATGTAATTGACTTGTATATAAAATAGAATGAAGTATCCAGAGCCTACTGTTTTCAATAAGAGCTGTAGGTACAGTTATAAACTCTGTTAGTAATGAATAAATCAAAAGCTGCTGGTTTGTAGTAGATGAAATTTTCCGTATTAATTATCAACTATATCCTATATTTTAAGTATAAATATTTCTTGTATTTAGAAAAGTGTATGTGAAAAGGTGACGATGTTGGTGATGAGCAACTCCAACTTGAAGTTCGTTACTAGGTACCTAGTACAGTACATAGGTAGGTACTTAGGTACATAACCATTTTGGATAATTCAGAATGATTATGTAACTAACAGCCTGAGTGATCCATTTAAACCTTCTAGCCTACAGGCCATACTTTTCTTATCGTAACTTTTTCTCAAGATAAGAAAAAAAAAAATCCTATCAACATTTTACTGCAACCAAAAAAAGAAGCAGCCCACTTCTTACCTTCGGATTCTTCTTCAACATTGATATCGCCTGTCGCAAATCGCAATACACCCTAAACAAGATGGACTCCGCCAATTACAGCAAGAAGAGAAAATTCAAGGATGCCAATGGCGTCAAACATGCTGAGAAGAAATCCAAAATCCCCCCCGCGAAAGTACACAAGTCCAAGAAGTCGAAGCGAGCTGAACCTGAGATTGCCCCCGAGCCTTTAAGCGATGAGTTAGACGAGGTAGAAGATGATGTGGAGGAACAAGAACCAAGTGATGTAGAGGTTCAAGATGCGGACAAAATAGAGGATGAGGAAGAGGAAGACGTAGAGGAAGAAGCTGCTGAAAACTCTGAGCTGGATAAGAGAGTAGAAGCGGCAAATGCCAAGGATGATGACGCTGGTGAAAATAGTAGAAGTACTGAATTGTCTACCGACAACGCCATATCTGCTTTACAGGCCGCCATTGGCTCCGACGCGCAAGACTTTGCCGACTTGACTCTGTCCGAGATGACAATGAAGGCCATCAAAGAGGACATGGGATTCGAAAAAATGACTACTATTCAACGAAAAGCGATTCCGCCCCTACTCGCAGGCCGCGACGTGCTCGGTGCCGCGAAGACAGGAAGTGGAAAGACCCTGGCTTTTCTGATTCCGGCTGTTGAGATGCTGAGCGCACTTCGATTCAAACCACGAAATGGAACTGGTGTCATCGTTGTGTCTCCTACTAGAGAGTTAGCCTTACAAATCTTCGGCGTCGCCCGCGAACTCATGGCGCATCATTCTCAGACGTATGGCATAGTCATCGGAGGAGCCAATCGCAGAGCCGAGGCCGACAAGTTGTCCAAGGGAGTCAACCTCCTCATCGCAACCCCTGGAAGACTTTTGGACCACCTACAAAACACTCCCTTCGTCTTCAAGAACCTGAAATCTCTCATTATCGACGAGGCCGACCGAATATTGGAGATTGGGTTCGAAGATGAGATGCGTCAAATCATCAAGATTCTCCCGAACCAAGACAGGCAGACCATGCTCTTCTCCGCGACACAGACGACCAAAGTCGAAGACCTAGCGAGGATTTCTCTTCGACCAGGCCCCCTTTATATCAATGTCGACGAAGAGAGCCTTGCTTCTACAGTTGCTGGACTCGAACAAGGCTATGTCACCTGCGAGGCCGACAAGCGATTCATTCTTCTCTTCTCGTTCCTGAAGCGAAACCTGAAGAAGAAAGTCCTTGTGTTTTTCTCCAGTTGCGCGAGCGTGGACTATTACTCGGAATTGTTAAATTACATCGACCTGTAAGTTTTATCACTCTCCCAACATAAAACCGTCATAACATATCATGTCTTGAACCAGTCACGTTTGTTGCGACGACAAGAAACAACCTATAGCAACTACTCGTTGGATATGAAAAGTGCTAAATACAATTTAGGCCCTGTCTATCTCTTCATGGAAAGCAGAAGCAACAGAAACGTACCAACACATTCTTCGAATTCTGTAACGCGAAAACCGGCATTCTTCTATGTACAGATGTCGCCGCACGTGGTTTAGATGTAAGTGTTCCGCGACCGAATTTCATCCTCTTTCATGGTAGTATATCCCTAACCACCGAACAGATTCCGGCAGTTGACTACATTGTGCAATTCGACCCCCCTGATGACCCCCGTGACTATATCCACCGAGTGGGTCGAACGGCTCGTGGTGCCAATTCCAAGGGACGCAGTCTTCTATTCTTGCAGCCCCACGAGCTCGGGTTCTTATCGCACTTAAAAGAGGCCCGCGTTCCTGTCCTCGAGTATGAGTTCCCGGCGAAAAAGGTGTTGAATGTTTCTTCACAGCTTGAGAAACTCATATCGCAGAACTACTATCTGAACCAGAGCGCCAAGGACGGGTATAAATCATATCTACATGCGTACGGCAGCCACAGCTTACGTTCAGTATTCGACATCCATAAACTAGACTTAGCCAAGGTAGCCAAGAGCTTTGGATTTGCGACGCCGCCCCGAATTGACATAACGCTAGGCGCTAGCATGAGCCGAGACAAGGGAGCACAAGGGAGAAGGGCCTATGGAAGCCAGCCCCGGCAAGGCCAGAGGCCAGGGGGTCGTCCAGGACAAGGTGGCCAGAAGTTCAACAGGAGATAATAATATCAGGCTTAAAAAGAGTTGCAAGATCCGTTGCGGAGTTTCGGTTGGGTGTCATGGTATACCAGTTTGATGTCGCTTACTAGGACATTACATGTAGATGAATATCAACTTTCGACAATCTGCGTAATGTTTGATTGCTCTTGAATCTGTCGTGCGAGGAGTTGGCTTGAAGACTTGAGTTGAATATGGAGACGAGACAGTATATTGTCGCTCTGTAGAATGGCTGAACTTAGTCACATACAAGTCTGGTAATAGAGCAATGACAATGCTAAAACCTAAAGGGGTTATACATCATACAGATATGCTCGGAAGCGGCGGCGTTCTTAGGCCCACAGGATGCATGAGTAGTGGCGTGTAGTACGGTGAGGGGTGTTTCACACCCAAGCACAAAAGACATATATATCTAGGCATATACCTATAGAGAGAGAGAGGGAGATGTAGACTACTAGTTGCCCCTTATCTCCTGACCTCCCCCAAAACGAAAATACCCACAAACAGACGCTACTTCATACCCATACAAGACAAGACGAGACAAATTAAATTGTTTTTCACCTGATTCCAAGAAAAAAAAAAGAAAATGACGGTCATCATGGTAATCGCGTACCCCAAGGACGCCAACGTGAACATGGCGTACTACCTGGAGCACCACCTACCGGCGATCCTGCCGTCGTGGACGGCCTCCGGGATGCGCGGCTGGCGCGTGCTGACCGCGACTGCGGCGGGCCCCGAGAGTCCCTACGGAGTCGTCACCGAGATCGAGTGGCCCGACATGCAGACGTTCCACCGCGCGCAGGAGGCGACGCCCCCCGAGGTGACGAAGAAGAGCGCGGAGGATTTGAAGAATTACGCGCAGAAGGCGCCGGCGATATGGTTTATGGAGGTTGGGGCTGGGGCGTAAGGGGGGAAGTGGATTGTTAGGGGTGAGAGGAAGAGAAGGGGAATGAGAGATAGGGTGTAAGAGAGAAAATACCTACTTGATTATTTTACTTGATAGATCATGTTCGCGGACGACTGTGTGTAAAGCGGTATGAATAGCCATGTCACGATGAAACTTTATCTTCTTATCTTCTCATCGTCACACACACACATATATATATATACCAATCTACTACCTAAAGAGATGATAATATTACACGAGCCTTGCTAGATGCCTTTTCTTTATTTCCTTCGTTCTTCCACCAAAATCATTTCGTAGCACTAGCCTTGCAAACCTCCGCAACCTGCGCCCCCCACGCCTCCTCCTTCTCGATGCCCGTGCCGAGCCCCAGCTGCGGGCTGATGTGGTTGTGTCCATCAAGCACGTCGTACGTGATATTCGCCGTCTCCCACTCCTTCTGGAACTGCTTGCCGGACTCCTGCATGAGTTCCGGATCCAGCTCGCTGACGAGGACGCTGACCTTGGTCCCCGGAAGGCTCGGCGGCGGCGCGCCGTTGTTCTTCTTCTTCTCACTCTCCAGAACACCTAGGGACGAGTGCGCCCAGATCTTGCCGTCCTCCTCGCCCAGGTACGTGCGCAGGACCGCGTTGTCCTCGCTGCCCCAGTGGAAGGGGACGCCGAGCATGAAGATGGCGCGGAGGAGGACGCCCGGGCCCGACCGCTCTTGCGCCGTAATGGCGGCCCGCGACTCCTTGAACGCCGGGTCGAGGAGGTAGGTCGCGGTGTGGATGCCGCCGGCCGAGTTGCCCAGCACGAACAGGTCGATGGACTCGTAGCCGGCCTGCTTCGTGAGGGTCTGGACGACCCAGTCGATGGCGAGCTTGAGGTCCTCGCCGCCGGAGGGATACTTGGCGCCGTGGGAGACGAGGCGGTAGTCCGGGATGACGACGGTGAAGCCGTGGTGCGCCGCGAAGTAGTGGCCCAGGTTCGCGTACACGAGGCTGTGCGCGTAGTCCTGGTTCACCTTGTTGCCGGTCACGAACCCGCCGCCGTAGAAGAAGATGAGCACGGGCTTAGCGCGGAACGCTGCGTCGGGCTTCTTGTTCGCGTCCGGGTAGTAGACGTCTAGCTTGTGACGGGGCGCGAAGCCGTAGGGGTGAGTCTCCTGCCGTGTCGACCGGATCTCCTTTTCTTTGGCGATTAGGTTTTGTGCGTAGGCGCCGAAGGTAGGGAGCAAGACATCGTCGATGCTGCGGCCTAGTGGTCGTAGCTGGTCCATGGTGTATGTGTGTGTGTATGTATGTATCTCACTGGCGCTGTTTAGATTGGTATATGTATTGTATATATACCTATATAGGTGTGTTTTTGTAAGTCTTGAAGAATGTAAAAAGTATAGAGATATTTTGTCAATATTTATATTCTTGTTTATGTCTACAATATACTACGTATAGGTAGATATGTTTATATAGTCCCGGTTCTACCGGTAAGAGGCCTCGTATTAATTACAGACCTAGGTAATAGATGCATATAGTAGGTACATATAACGATTACGAACATTTGAAGCGGGGAAAAGATCAATCTATGCCCCCTCCCCCCCCCTTCCCCTAATTTGTCCTTGCCGAGACCTGAGGCATTAGAGCCCATTGATGATCCATCGGCATTTAGCATGTCTCAGTGCTTTTGCTTGTGCTTGTGCCTTTGCTTTTGCTTTTGCTTTTGCTTCTTGGTGTTAGACTAACACCAATTAGGTGAAGATCTGAAAAGGGCGAAGTTAGTTATAACTACTAGGTATCATGTTTTGCCCCTTTCGAACTATTAGAATAATAATTATAATCATCTAGTAATCAGCAAACCGACCCAAGTGAACAGGGGACGACGGGGGTGCTGACTCAACTGTTTCCACATCTTGGGCCAGAACCCAGAATCATTGCCTTGCTCTCCAGCTCTCTCACCCTGGGATTGTGCGTTGTCCAATTGAGTCATCACGACTCTTTTCTTGGTGCTTAACTTGATCAATATGATAATGCGTTGTTGGGCCAGGTGCTGTATGCAGGTGTAGAGTATGCAATATTTAGATACATCTTGACAAAGAAATAATATAATCTATCATCAAAACAAGTTTATCCAACCTGACTTCAACCTGCTTCAACCTGCTTCAACCCCTAATTGCCTCCTTAACCAGAGCCCAACACTTTCGCATCCCCGTCCCCATCGACTCCTCCTCAATACCCTCTGCATCACTCCACCGAGAGTCTTGGATTGCCGTGGCGCCAAAAGGGTTCCTCGTACCCGGCACATCCTCCCTATCGACCTCCCCATCAATCTCAAACAGTTGAACATGCATCGTCAACTTCAAGTGTGAGAAGAGCCACGGCACAGAGCCCAACTCCCCGACATATCTCGTCCTCTTCCTCACCTCACGGCTCAACAGTGCTTCCACCACGAGCGTCTCCGCTACTCTCTTCCTCCCCTTCGCCGTTTTCCTCGTCGGCTTGTCTGTTAACGGGTGACTCGGCAGCTCCCAGAGCCCCGCCAGCAGTCCTTTCGCGGGCCGCTGGTGTATGAGGAACCGCCCGTCACTGCTGCGTCGGAGGGCGCAGACTACGATTTCTTCCTCGCGCACCGCCTTTTTCTTCACTTTGAGGGGGAAGTTTTGTGCGTATGTTGCGATCAAGTCCCTATCTGTGGAGCTTAATCGGGCTTGCTTTGGTAGTGACGGTGGCGCTTCTGAGTTAGGATCAGGGGTAGCCTCTTCCTCTTCCTCCTCTTCGCTTCCCAACTCCGTTCCATCCTTCCCTACTTCTAACCCTACGTCAAATGGCTTGCAAATCGTGCAAGCATCCTCGATATCTAGAGCCTTGGATACTCGACTTGAACGCTTATCTGTAAGTCTTTGCAGACCCTCGGCGTATGCGCGACAACTCGCGCTGATGGGACAAACCTCGCATTTTGGCTTGGGCGTACACACCGTACTGCCGATTTCCATCAGCGCTTGTCCCCAGCGACCGGGCCTGTCACTACGTAGCTCCTCTTCCTCCTCATCCCCTTTCTCCTCGTCTCCAGAAGGCCTGTCCCGCGCCACAACCTTCACCAGGCTATCCGCTGCAGCCCAAATCAGCTCGATAACCGCCTTATCCGCTTTGACATCGCCGTAGACGCCCATCTGCCGACTCAGCACCCTCAGCACATTCCCATCCACCATCGGCGCCGCCCTCCCAAACACGATCGCCGCGACCGCGCCCGCCGTGTAGCGCCCCACGCCCGCCACCTTCTTCACCAGCGTCTCCACATTCTCGGGGAGCAAGCCGCGCATCTCGTCATCAGCGCACACGAACCTCGCGGCCTCGTATATGCGCCGCGAGCGGCCGTAGTAGCCCAAACCCCTCCACGCGGACGTGACCTCCTCGGCCTTCGCGGCGCTGAGCTCCTCGATCGTCGGCCACCGCGCCATCCACCGGTTCCAGTAGTCGATGACGGTCGCGACGCGCGTCTGCTGCAGCATGATCTCGCTGATCCAGACCTCGTAGGCGCGGCGCGACAGGAGCTCGCGCCGCCTGTCCGCATTCTGGATAGTGGTTGGGTCGATCCACGCCTTGCGCCAGGGCATCTGGCGCGCCGTGCTCACCGCGTCGAACCATGCCAGCAGCGCGTCGCGTCCCTGTCGGCTGTCCAGGAGCAGCGGACGGTGGTATTCCAAGCCGTGCACGCGGTCCAGGTGGCCTATCTTAGTTGGAGGACTAATAGCTCGAACTATCCCCGCCGCATCATTCTCCGTTCTGCCGAAGAGGCGCTCGTATCGTAGTTGCGCGTTGCCATTTTTCTTCTTGTTAGAAGCAGTAGTAGTCGTAGTGGAACTAGTAGACCGAGCTGCCACTTTTCGCCTCTTGGCCCGTGGCGGCTTGTCCGAGGCGTCCGACTCCGCATACTCTTCTTCAACCCTATCGGAGTCCGACGCGTCGTTCGGAATCCGCTGGGCTGGCCTCTTTTTAGTCCTGGTCGTCCCTCGGGGTGTGACAAGGGTATCGTCCTTGCTCTTTTCAAAATACCGCGATTCTTTTGCAACGGACCCCTTTGCCGATAGCGAATCTGGCTGCTTACTAATTCGTGCCGAGCGTCGCATCTTGTCAGTGTCGAATTTTTATTATCATTATCATTATTTATTTATTTATTTTTTGGAATAATCAGATTATCTAAAGAAGATAACAAAATAATGATTGATTTTTTCAAAGAAAAGAAAAAAGGGGTTAAAGACGCGTTGGCATGTAAGATTCGTCGCCAGGTCACATGACAGTCATAAAAAGCACGTATATCTAGCACCTAGTTACCTATTAACCCTGACCTAGCCGCCTACCAGGCCCTACCTTAGGCTACCTAGACTCTAGTACTCTACTAACCTACATACCTACCCTACCTAGTACCTAGTAGATACCTAGTATGTGCCTAAGGTTGGTACAATACCTACCTGTATTCATGGATATAGTACATACCTACAGGCTACTGGTAGGGACTGAGAAGGTACCTAGGTATGGATGAGTCTATAGAGAATCGAGAATCGAGATAGCTTAAATTCTGTTAGGGGTATCTTGGTGCCCGGCCTTCATAACCATTCTGCACCACTTCGCCGCAACGTAAAATAACAAACATTTAAAATGATAGCTCGCTTTCTCATCCTTATTCCATATGGCCTTTTGTTAATGAGTTTTCATTGCTTTCCTTCCCCTCGTGCGAGTATACTTCATTATCATTTTTCTCTTCCCAGTTTTATGTTTTTCTATATCTTTCTCAAATCGTGAACCTGAAATTCCTAAATCTTTCACACCCCTTATATGGCTCCAGCACTATGCACTATATGATAATAAGCTGCGCCATGTGTTAGTACCTAATACATATATCTCCCTACACCTTTTGTGTGTGTGTAATACTAACCTCAATAAGCTTCTCTGTCAATATAGCACACTGCCTGTCCGGGTCCTGGCTCTGTGTGGACGTACTTGGACGCCACAATCCCTCAAATCCCAAGTCCTCTAATATGTCGTTCAACACACTGTTGCTTTCCAATGCGCTCGTGAACCGAGGATTAGAGGATAAAGTTTGGAGCAGAGCATGCGCTGACCCCAGCAATGCAGCGCTCTGGCCGTGCAATAGCACCTCGTCTAGGAATGACGAAACGGTAGGGCATCTATTACATATTAGCATCTCACATCTTGCCTTAGTTCTTGGGAAGAAGATTGACTTACAGATGCACGACAACTTCTGGTCGTCCAAGTGCCAGTTCATTTAACCACACCATAGTATGTGTCTGTACCGATTCGTCTAATATTTGGAAATCTACTAGCTCGATTGCTGTATTGAGTAGAAGGTCCTTGTCATTCATGGCTTCTAGATCATCCAAGGTACGAACCGGCCCCAAGTTGGCAACATGAAGCGGGTTTATACCGGCCGACCAGAGGCACTCCTTCAAGTCTTCGGGCGTAATGGCCCGAGCTTGGATGAGGGCTAAGTAAGGCGATGCGTGAAATTCCTTTGAAAAGTGCTTAGACTGATTTCCCGAGCTGTCCGTCGTCATTTCAAGGAGGGTCGACAGAACCCGAAGCGCCGGAAGCTTGGTGGCAGGGTCGGTGAGCCCTCGCGCAAGACAAGCGCAGACGGCAAAGTGGAAACTATCTAGTGTAAAATGGACACCATATATGTCGTCCAACGGTATAGTAGCCTCTTCTAACTGCGCCCGGCCTTGTGTAAGATATTGCGCCATCTTATTATCCCTTATTTCGTTGGTTGTTCCGAGGTTCGTCAGGACGGCTTCCAAAAATTGTGCAGTGCAATTGAATAGGCTTGCTGGTACAAGGCGGACTAGTGACATCGCCAACCAGAAAAGTTGTGGCCCATATCGCGAAGGCGAAGTGAGCTTAGAAATCATCTTGGATAAGGATGTGACGATAGCAACAAGCATGTCGCTACCGTTGTCGTCCCCGAAGCGGCCAACACTAGTACGTAGTGCTACGAGAACTTGATAGAGTAGGTCGTCGTCGACTTCCTCGCGGGCCAAGCAGCCCATCACCGTGAAAGCTCGAGGCTGAATTGCTGGATTGTTCTGGAAAGCAGTGCTGGCTACTAAGCTCATCCACCTTGACCGCCATGCGTTGGCCATGTCAACAGATGGCGCTGCCACAGAGCATGTCTCGAATAGCAAGGTAGCCAAATTCTCTATGACAGAGAGAGCTGGTCCGGCTTCTTGCGTTGTCGAGATGGATGTTCCATCTCGTGCTAAAACCAGAGGCACAGAGAGGCTGTCATTTCTTGGCTCGGCTAGAATTTCAAGCGTGCCGCGGAGTTTGGTTAGTCTCGCATCCTCCAGTCGAAAGGAGGTGCAAGCCGCGTGGATTGAATTGATCAGCAGTCGATGAACTAGCGCCCGGATGTCATAAGAACCCGTGTTTGATAGCATGGTGACTATGTGAAATATCTCTGGCAGATATAACTGCGATTGGACACCGCAGTCAAAAGAAAGTGAAAGGCAGAACTGGAGCAAGATGCAAATCTCATTCCAAACGGCATTCTCTGGGAGATACTTCGTGGGTCGAAGCGAAGATCTGTTTAAGGCCTTTCGGAGCCTGGATATTATCTTGCCACGAAGAGTTATCGTGCCAAGAGCTGTCACAATCGATGTTAAACATTGAGTATGGTCGTCGTACACTCCTACAGCCAGGGCTGCCTTGATGATCTCCTCGAGGAATATGTCCAAGAGAACTTCATCCTTGTAGATTGCTGGCCAAGCTGTATATTCCAAGGTCAGGGCCAGCGACGGCTCCGTTATCGTCACGTCTATCAGCTTCCGGAAGATTGAGGCTATCTTTTCTTTACCCTTTTCGCTGTCATTTTCGTCTGTTAACAACGACGTCCGCAGACTTGGTATCCATGGTGACATGTAAGCTAGGCTCAATGGCTTTTGATCATCTGAGAAGCTTTCCCACCCCACAAAGAACTCGTTGAGGAAGTCTGATGTTAGCTGCGGCTCCTCCTGGGCTATAGTCTTACTGATGTTGATAATGAATTGCGTGGGGTCCAAGGGAACGGACACATCTATATAAATCGTTAGTGGAAGCGCGAAGGGGTCTTGCAAAGGGCTCTGACCTTTGATACACATGAATTTCGAGGCTGCCTTGAACTTGAAAGCTCTACAAAGAGCGCCAAGCAGATTGTACGATGCAATCCGTAGCGGAGCTTCAGCGGAGGCAAGATTAGTCAACGCAAGGTTGAGTAACGTCCCCGGAACATCCTGAGGTCGAATAAGACGTTCGAACGATTTCAAGGTCCTAGTATCCTTGCCCAACATTGCTTTAGCCTTTCGAATTTCCTTCAATAGATCAGCTTTCCTGGCACTCTGAAAGTACATCACAATTTTCCCATTGTCCGCACGTAAGCCGAATGCAGAATCATCTTCAGTAGGGATCGATGTTGGTGCTTCATCTAGATCCTTAAGGTGGAATATATCGTTGACGATCCCGTGTATACGGAAAGTTGGGTGAACCTCTTGCTTCTTTACAGTAGTCACCTGAACGAATGAGCTACCAACCCCAACAGTAACATCAATCTTTCCCTTAGTCTTCGACAGCCGTGTGACTGGCTGATATGTGTATCGAGAATCAGTGGCTATACTGATGGTCTCCTTCGGAAGGTGGAGCTGGCTTAAGTGAAAATGTGCTTGGAGCTCAAGACGGCTGCCGAGGAGCAGCCACTCCACATTACCTGGATACAAGAAGTTCGTATTGCTCTTAGTAGCCACACGGAGTATACGCCGCAAAGTTTTCCTTAACCTATCAGTTAGTAATATACACGATAACAATCAGGATTATCATACCGGTAGGTGCTGTTCATGTTGTAGACATATATCCTAGATAACTGCTGAGATACCTCGGACGGACTGAGAAGATCCAACTTTTTGAGAACATCATCTGGAGGATCGTTTGTAGCCTCATAGCATGTCGCATCGATTAGTACTCCAAAAGGTTTATGCCATAACCGACTTGTGATCTGTTGGTGCTAATATCAGCCAAGGACAGAAGCAGGAATAAGAGGAACAAAAGCTGAGGAAACGTTGTCGTAACCAAACTAGCATATTCTGTCGGAACTCACCTTCAAGAAGGAATACAAAACAGTGTCATAGTCCATGGAATCCTGATTAAGATGACGGAGAATTACACAAATAATTGAGAGCCCGTCCTTTTAGTTATTATTAGTAAATACTAGATGAAATGGTATTCAAGATGATAGACTACGTACTCTGCTCTCACCGCCGTCGTAAATAGCACGGGATGTCATGAAAGAATCAGTACTCCGGAAAGCGTTACGAAGCATGAAATGCTGGAATCTAGAGTAAGCGATAGGGGTGTTCAGAGTGAGTTGAGGGCGGTTCCAAGTGATCGCTAACGGAGGCGGCCCAAGATTGGCGACGAGAGCTCGTAACGGCTCGAGTACGGGCGATCGGCCACGGACTAGTTCGTTAGGTGAACGAACATATTCTCGTCTTTCTTGTGACATGAGTCTTTGCCGGACGTGGTCCCAATGGTCGTACAAGAACCGGTGTAGAGCAACGCAGGAGCCAAACTCATAACTCTCCCCATTCGAGAGAGGTTTATCAAGTGTGGCTGGGGGGACCTGGATATTAACAATGTAAGCAGAGATCGAATCCACATCAAGTTGATGTCACTCACCGAAATCTCCCGGAGAAAGGTAGTAACACGGTATATGTTCTGCGTTAAGAAGTCATTCAGAGGATACATGTAAGGCTCCTTTGCCCCGAACAGAACGTTATTGGCTAAGTTCTGGACGACTTTGGCAATTAGGAGCAGACCACGCCGCATCTCCTTAGACGGCGGCACACCCACAAGGTTCTCTGCCTCTGGCGCAACTATGGCAGGACAGAAGAACCTTAAGAAGATGAAGGCTCCGACAGCTGTATATTTGGCCTCCTGGAATCTTGGCATCACTGCAGAGGATATCTGGAATCGTCAACAGCAAATTCTCTTGGTGATCATAAATCAACTTACTATACTACAGATCTTTCTAAACGAACGAGGAATGTTTGTAGACGATGCGCATATATCATCGATAAAGACTTTGGCAACAATTCGTAATTGGGTTGCATTCTTCTGAAGTTCTTCCTGAGATGAAATCCTCGTTGGGTCAAGCTCTAGATCGAGGTCCTTGGAAGTTAACATCAATCTCTCGACAACCTTTTGAAGTGTGGCCTTGAGATAATTCGCTCCTTTCCACTTTGCGTAGATGGAAAGCATTTTGGTTGCAACGCAATTTCGGCGGAGTATCTCTGACTCGTTCTCTGAAGATAGATTAATTAGTTGAGCTAGTTGACAATGCATTTGAATAACAACTAACCAGTATCCTCGATTTCTTGTTTAATCAGTGCCTCCATGAGATCGAACACTAGTCCTCGAGAATCGAAAATGTTGAGCATCGAAATGGTGAGTTCCTCGACCTCGCCACTTGGACAGACTGAGCTGATAGCAACAGCAAGGTTCATATCATGGGTAAGAAGCTATAAACACTCTTCGTTAGTGGACTGAGTATTTCTCCAAGATTCGGTGAGCGCTACCTCTAAAAGCTCGTCATATTTCTCATTCACGGCCTTGTCGGATAAGTTGCTGAACTCGGTTCCTTGGACGAGTATATTATAGAGTACCTTCACAAACGCGGTACGAATCTCCATATTCTCGTTGTAGCCAATGCTTAGAGAATACTTGAGGCCTACATCGATATTGGCACTCAAGAGATTCGAGAGAATAGTGATGGCGAGTTCGGAGGTCGACCCAGCTTCGTCGCGATGCGGTGCAGGTGTAGTACCATCTCCTCTGATACTGTCCGATGGTTCGTAATTGAGCAAGGACAGGAATCGGTTGAAGTATGTGCGAAACATCTGTGACTTCATCTCACTGGCACCAGCATCATTTTGGCCATCTCCGGGCTGTAATGGTAACCTATACGTAAGTTCAGCGAGGCAGCGAAGGCAAGCTTTATCGAGATCTCTCTGGATTCGAGTCGTATCATCTTGACGTAGGATATGACTATGGCTGCTCTCAGCTGGCGGTGACCGGGGTCTAGCAATCCAGCTGAATATGTATTCCAATAGTTGGTTTCGTTTCCGAACATCATCGCGAAGATTTAAATGCTCCTTTTTCCTATTAACAGACTCGCATAACTGGCAAATCTTTATTTTTACTCGCAGACTGGCCATGTTATCAGCTACCCCGTCCAGGAACTTTGCAAAGCTCAGTCCGAGGGAGCTGAAATGGACCGATGACGCAGCTCCCAGCTCGTATGGAGTTTGTAACCGCTCCACCAAAGCTTTGAGTAAGGAAGCTGCTTGCTCAGCGAATACAATCTCAACATCCTGCCCTTTACTAGATGTTTCGAGGGCACCTGTAAAAAGCACCTCCAGTTCTGATTCGAGTGCTTTGAACAAGGGTTGATATAAGGTCGGGGATATGTCGACGGAAAGGACTTCTCGTGTAGTCTCCCTAACTCGCACGTTTGTGCACGCGAGGAGCTGAGTGCTAAGCTGGAGGTATCTATTCAGAAGGGGCTCCTCGTGGTTCTCAGACGAAAGCCGATCGATCCATCGCAGGCCACCAGCGGCTGGTTCCTCAATAACATAAGCTTGTTCGGCCGTGCAGATGCCACCAAGAGACGCGAGAAATCCGGACAGATTCCTCCACTCGGAAAAGCTCTTCTCATCAATGCTGTCGGCGGACGTCGTTGAGACATCTTTGGATAAGTGAAGCCATTTGTCGAAAGCCTTCTCCCAAGCATCCAGGATGCCCGCACTCGGGTACTGCATCCGCCTTAAAAGGGCACGGATTCGTTTTTGGAAAGCCATCATTCCTGTAAATCTGAAGTCTGGAGAAGCAATCTCGCCAAAAACATCGCTGTTTCGTAGAATTAAATTAACTGTCTTGCCCGCACCTACAGTCGCATCTAACATACGGCATTCCTCGTTGAAGAGGCCGATGCAAGACGTCACAAGCTGGCAGATCTCAATATCAGCAGAACAGAGTGATGTGAGGAAAAGGGTCTCAAGTTTAGTTGATGTTGTTATGCGTTCTGGAATATCCTCGGACACAACGGACAACTCCTGATATGTGGGTTAGCACGAGCCATGGAACGGACCTCCCTCTGGTTTTCAGCCTCACCTGTATTGATCTTAAAAGAAGCAACCGTGATTCAAGGTACCCATGAATAAACTTGAGTAATGTATCATCCTCATTTTGTTCATGCTTCTCACACATTTCCATAATAACAAGTGATCTAGAACCAGTCATTAGCCGAACCACGTTCCCGTGTCTTACGGGTCTTGCACCTACGTTAGTCTCCAAAACTTGGTTCCGAAACTGTGCGAGTCGAGACGCTTTGTTTTACGCAGAGAAGAGAGAATTCCATTCCGAGAGAGGAGCTTTTTGGCCAAGCTGCTGGCCAGAGCTCGAACGGAGTCATTTGCTGTTACGAGACAAGAGACAAAAGCTTCGAAAATCTCCTCGTAAAACTGTTCAGCATCCGCGCTATCGGCGGGGGAACCTTCGAATAAAGTCGTCGGAGAGGCGTCTAGGAAACTCAAGATATTGCATATCATTCTAGTTGTAGTCGAGTTTGTTTCCGAAGCTTTGCGTTGGGAGTGGCGATCTCCTATATACATATCTGCCGAAATCGCAGACATCGCCTACCAAAGTTAGTATATCTGTTTAGTTTACGCAAAGGAGCTGAAATAGAGGCGAGGGGCTCCAACCTTAAGTTGGTCTTGTATGTAGCCAGCAACCTGGACAAACAAGCGGTTATAGTTCTCAGAATCGGGTTGACGTGCAAAGTACGAGCACGCCTGGATAATCGCGATCTTGAAGGATTGAGGAGCAGAAGGATCAAGGCAGGACTGCGTCAGCGACTCCATTGTGCCTTCGAGATTTAGATGCGTGAGACTAATGAAGGCTGCGGTAGTCAAATCTTGATCAAACAAGCCACTGTCTCCGTTCGGGTGGTATCGACGAAAAACGGCATCTCGGACCTCGTCCTGAACGTCCATAGCATAGCTTACAATGGCAGCATCTCCATCATCGTCAAAATGGCGGGCAGCCCGGAGGAGACTCACGAGGCAATAGCCAGCTGCGTCGTTCTTATTCCTAAGTGCCTTCCTTAGAGTTTCGAGAAATGCAACTTTCTTAGCCATACCACCGGTCTTAGCATCCCGCATATTGCTCGCCACTTCGAATACATCGGGGATCAACATGAGGAGGAAGGTTTGAAAGGGATAGAGTATCGACCGTCTTTTCCCAGTTTCGCTCAGCGTATATGTCATATCAAAAAGTGTATCAGGTCCGCCCTCTAGCTTCTTGTGTTGAACGTGTAAGGTGACAAATTCGTTAGGATAGCGTTCGATCCATCCAGTGATTAAAGGTGGCGTGATGACAGCAACAGTGTTCTGATGCGGTCTTCGAAAATGTAGGAAACTAGAGCACAGCTCTTGGATGATTATCCCTAATTTCTGGCCATCAACCCACATGTAAGAGATTAAACGCAATACCACCAACGAGGTTTTTTCCTCTTCGGCCACTGCCAGCGTCGGAACCACCTGTGTTGGAGCTGTAGCTCGAATGCTGTAAATAACATTCCTAACATATTCGAAGGAGGCTGTCCAACTTGATGCTGTTACAAATTCAATGATAGTCTTGATGTACGGCTCAATGTCATCCCCGTCGTTGGTTCCCGTTAGCTTGGTCTCTCGGGAGTCCTCTGAACCACTTGAAGATGTGGCTCTAGGGATTGGATCCCTAAACCGAACATCGAAAATTTCCCGTGCAGATTTCTCATCCAATACTGTCATAGCAGGCAGGGCGTAGCCTTCTGTCAAAGGTTCAAGGAAACGCTTAAGGAGATCAAATACCCTAGTCACCAGCAAATCATCCAACGACTCGGGTTCCAGAGGTCCGGAACCGGACAGCTCGACTGCGCCATTAGTGCCGGCATCGCGGAGTGCTTGCCAATGAGCAGAGCAGCAATCGGCAGCTAGTGATAGGATGTAGACTTCAGAAAGGAGAATATAGGATGGATGACTTGCGAAAGTCTTGTACGGGCGGGCGAGCTCTTCTAGAAGCGAAATGAGCTGTTCGAGTACGACTGCTATGGATGTGGCGCTAATATTTACGAGGGTCGCGCGTGTGATGACAGCAACATCGTCATGCTGAAGGTCTTGACCTGGCGTGCCGGTGCGATGCGGAAGCTGGGCGCATAGCAGTTCTTGTTAGCTCAAAGTACATACACATGCAATACTAAGACGGTATGTATAATGATATGTATACAGATAGGTGTACAGGTAGGTTTATATATGAAAAAAGCTTCTATTACCCTAGTTGTAAGTCTTTCGACCAAGCACCCAACGAGGCTCGCATCACCGTTCATCTTGTGCTCGTATACCGTCGGGTCGCGATTGAGGGCCTTCTCAACATTGTGACGTCGTCATGGAGTACAGCCAGCGGCAAGCGAGAGAGTATCGAGTAAGGCTATAGTTCGTTGCGAAACTCAAGTTGGTATGTCTCAAAATCCCATCCGGCTGTAGAACGAGTTTGTCCTACCCAAACTACAAGATCGAGCCCGTTACGTAGATGTAGAGTGTGAGTAAATCTGGGGAAAGGGGGCATATATCAGAGAAAGTAGAAAATGAATGAATGGTATGGTAGATAGTTGATAGTTGATATGTAGGTAGGTTAGGTACTATGTATGTAGGTAGGTAGGTAAAATATTTATGTGGGCGTGATATCTTTGCGTCTCTTGTCTAGGATGACCCTTTGAGGGTTTAGTCAGGATAGAGAACGGAGAGGAGCGTTTTCCTAGGACGGTATCGCAGGACAGTATTAGGTAACTATAGGTATGTATGTGCCTAGGTAGGTAGGTATTTCGTTATGTATACCTGGTATTAGGTATGTAGTTTGATATTAGCACTAGTTACCGTACCTATTATACTGATTATTGAATTTCCAACCTCGTCTAGTTCGGAAGCTTCGCTGGCTAACAGAACAAACTAGGATAATAGGATAGTTACTAAACCAAAGTTAGGTAGTTATGTAGGTACTAACATTGAAATAGGTCAAGATAGGTAGGTAGGTAGGTAGGCAGGTAGGCAGGTAGGTCTGGTAGTGGTAGTTTTGTCTAACATGTAATCCCACGATCTTCGCAAACAAACAAGGTAGTATGCAGGTATATTGCACTGTACCAGTGTAATTGTAAAGAAAAAGAGAGAGTAAGAGAGGGGGAGAAAAAAAGATGGTTTGAGGCTATGTAGCGTTAGAAGGAGAAGCTACATGTACACCAAGCTCCTAGGTACTTGGCACTACATATACAATTAGTACTGGTACCTATAGGTATGTAAGAGCCTACGTATGTAGTAAGAGACATGGGATGCATGGGTGGTGCATGTAAGTATCTCAACGGGCATGACGGTTTACAGAGATACAAGACACAAGCAACCCGGTACAGGGAACACAACGAACACAGGGATAACAGTGGCACAAGGGTTAGCATGAACATCAATAGCATGAACATTGAACACACCTGGGCAAACAGCCTGGACTCTGGAGTCTGGACTCTAGACTCTAGACTCTAGGCTCTGAAGTTTGAAGGGCTTTCTTTTCTTAAAAGTCTCCCTATCATAACCGGATCCTATTAAGATTTGGGTCAAGGGTATTTACTTTTTTTTTTCCTTTCCCTTTTTTTCCCTTTTCTAAATTCGTATGTGATCAGAGAGAAATTATGGATGGCACCCAAAGAGAAAGAAAGAGAGAAAAGAAAGACCTGTGCGGTAGCTACTAACTACCTATACTAATGTACTATGTATGTACTCGGCTAGTGTATCATGTATCTACTACTTACCTACAGCAACTTCCCACTCTACCACTGCAACTGCGGGGAGAACCGTCGAGCGAATGTCGCGAGTCGCAAAAAGTGCTGAAACGTGGTGGGCCTAGCGCCAACTTACTGCTAACCTACTGCCGACCTAGTGGCTAGCCCTAGTGCGCACGGGGCCTAGTGTAGTATCGTTTAGCTGGAAATGGTTGAGAGAGCCATGTACTTTAGCGGGGTAGTTCCCTGATAAACGGCCTACATAATGTACCGGTGGACATTATTCTAATATGCCTAACCTAGGGTACTGTCCATAATACATGCACCCATGGAAGGGAGGGCATCAATGATTGTTTCCGACTCCATTAACCATTGAAAATCCTTGAAGAAAGCACTGTCGTCAAGTTCCCTGCTAAATGTGTACCAGTAACTTACCTATGTAGGTAGGTACGTAGTTATACATACTAACACTTGATGTACTACATAGTTATAGATACATCAAATGATACAGCTTCCTATTCATGTCTGGCCCGGTACTCACATGCAATGTTTGTATGTGCAGAATCATTAGGTACGTAATAATATAAAAGGTACTACATATGTAGGTACACCTATCTCTAAATCGTCGTGATATTTCTTGCGTGTGGGAATTTCTGATCGATCATCGGTCGGTGATAAAATTCCATGCCCATTTTCCTTTCAATGTTCTTCATAATTGCACATGTGCATGCAGCATGTAACTATGAATGATAATGTACATAACTCAGTGCTACACGCCTACTACTACATAACATTGAATCCACCCACTCCAACCTTGAAATCCACTACGGCCCGGCCCTTTAATTTTTTCTTCTCTTCTTCTTTGCAATTGACCTTCCACGCTTGTTCTACTACTAGGTAATTCTGAGTTGGTATTTCTATTATATATGTACCTGTATATGGATGATGTTTATTAACGCAGTTTTGAAAATGAAACCATAAGTACGCCACACATGTTCAACTCATTGCCGTATACTATCTGGTCACATACCTATGTAATAACTACATATTGTAAATTAGTTCACAATACCATCGCGTGAATGAACATTAACAATTGTCACATAGACATAGAACCCATTCATTGTATGTCCTCACTATGATATGATTATAGTGTTTGTTCCCTCCTAGAGAGCTTGCTATTTTGATCTGATGTCTATACGATTTTACACATCGTCCACATTATCATTCACATCATCTATACCCACGGCCCCGGCCACGACTATTGTTACCCCGATAACCACCACGATCATCGTATTGCCGATGATCACGACCGTCACGATTGGGCGGTGGTTGGTTGTATTGTCCTCCATAACCATAACCATTCTGCGGTGGTGGTGGAGGCGCATACCCTCCTCCGTACCCTTGGCTTCCACCTTGGCTTCCGCCGTGGCTACCTCTGTGACTTCCTCCGCTATAGCTCCCTCCATAGTTCCCTCCACGGTTACCCCCACGATTACCACCATACTGTCCACCATATCCACCACCATAACCGTCACGGTTCCCACCAGCATAGGCCGGAGGTGGCGGAGGTGGAAGCCCATTGCCGAAGCCTGGGAATCCAGGTGGAACCCAGCCTGGGGGTGGAACTGGGGGAGCCGCATACGAGTTGCCGTAGCCGTTCTGATATCCGTTCTGATATCCTGGTGGTCGGTCTGGCCGAGAATCCGGTCCATAATTTATCCTGCCCCTCCTATTTCCATCATAGTTCTGACGTCCAAGAGGGGCGCCTCCGTGACTTCGTCCAGCGTTGCGCAGCTTTCCTTTCAACTCTTCGATATCGCTACGGCCCAGTGCGGCAGTCGGCATCTGGACACCCCGCAAAAGCATGGACTTGTGGTTATCTGAAGTTGACGGTATTTCATAATAGACCCTACAATCAAGTTAGAATTTGATGTCTCATGGCATATTAGGTGTCTTAAGACAAGAGGAAAGAAAAACTTACGTTAATGAACGGTCATCGTCTAGATCAGGCAAATACTTCCTCTCCAATGGATATTCTAAGATGCCATGTGGTAGGTACTCGGGCATTTTCTCGATTCTCCCAGATAATCCTTGGCTGAGACGCGGGTCGAGTGTATATATAGGCTCACCTTGCTTCTTTGAATAAAAGTGCATGATGATATCGTCGTACAGTTCCTGGTTGGCTTCAGACAAGAGAAGCACGTCTCTGCCTGGACTGTTGCGAGAGGCATCTTCAGCAGTCAACAAGGGGTACTTCTGCTCGACAGCAGCGAGCAGTCGAGGCATCTCGATGAATGGGAGTAATGCCACGCCTTGCCACGCCATCTTCTTCCCATTGAGATCAATACGAAACTCTTCGGGATAAAAGTCGATAATCGGACTGTCGCTATCTGTCATGAGGTTATGGAATATATCCGGTAGCACATGTTTCGATGCGGCGGGCTGAACGCTCATGAGCTGCTCAAAAGGCCTGGCAATTCTGCCTTTCTCGAAGCCGATTTCTATGTTGGCTATGTCCACAAAGTCTTGGGCAAATGGCGCGTAGTGATACGGATAAAACCATTCCCATGACGGACATCCCTGGAAGTAATATCCTAGGACCCAAGCAAGTCCTTCGACGTAAGCCCGAGCAACCTTACGCCTGAATTCGGTGTCTTTCGGGTCGACATGGAATTTTTGCTCATAATACCGATCGGCGTAGCCATCCTCCCATAACCGAACCGAGTCTTCTGGCTCGTCACTCGCGGCTGAGCTACTTGCAGGAGTGCTTGCGCCATCCTCCTCCAGTATAGTTGCTTTGCGCTTACCCAACGCAGAAGGCGATTCTTGTGCTTCTGTGTCACTCTTCTCAGCCCCGCCACTGCTTGCTCCTGACTGTAAAGCTTGAATTCGGCTTTTCAGTACAGCAGCAGCGCTTTTATTTGCCTCGTTAGAAGCTTGAGCTGTATTTCGATTGACGATCATGTCATGTGTGAGTGAGTTGGGAAGGCCGCCAGGAAAGTGGTTGTCAGCAGCTTTATCTGTGCCTCGACCATTTCGGTCGCCTCCATGTCCGTTCCTCTGTTCCTGCAACTTGCGCCTCTTGAAACCAGCTTCCCTTCGATCCTCAGTTTGCTTTCGCCGCTTGAAAATAGCGTCCTCCTGCTTTGCTAGACCATTAAAGATGTACTGAGCCCTCTCAAGATTAACGCGACCATCCTGAGTAAGAAAGCCTCCCATATGCGGTAGATTATCCCTCCAGATAGCAGTCAACGTATCAATGCCATTTTCGCGGATCTCAAGGGCGGGAAGATGGGGAAGAAAATCGTTACCGACGAAAGAGCACATGAAAACCCAGTCATCGATAGCCCGCTCTAGATCGAAACGAAACGGCAACCCGGGTACATCAAGCTCGACAGATAGATATTCCCTCAAGACTGAAACGTGAAGCCAGATGAAAGGCTTTAGTGGGACGGCTTTGTCCTTTTCGTCAAATTCACCGTCTTTCTCTTTAGCCGCGCCACGACAGTTTTGCGCGTCATGACCTTTCTGACCACATATCTTACAGGTCCTCGCCTTACCCTCCTGAAAGAAGACATCTTCTCGGAGAACTCGAAAATGGGGCTCGTGGGTGGCAAGCCCCAGCATAATCAAGTCGGCGTCTAGTCCGTAGATAACGTGCCTAGTGTTGGGGTCATGATCAGAAGACGTTCTCTGGGAGCGGATAAAATTCATGATCTTATGCTCGCCCTCGCCAGGTACGGTAGCATCAGAAATGATAACCTTCATTTTAGCCCAACCAGGATCGGTATTAAGCTTATAAGCACACCAATATCTCAAGCTCATGGCTAATATGTCCATGAAGGGGGTGCCGGGTGTAATAGCGTTGGAATCGAAGGCCTTCTTAGCTACTTCCTCGAGGGTGGTGGGTGGTAATACGCCGCCATTCTGCTTCTTGATCATCAACAATAGCTCCTCTTTATCAGCCTGTTTCTCTTTAGCTTCTTGGGCGGAACGAAATCTTCGGGACCGTTGCTGGTTCATCTTGGCTCGAGGCGCGACACCGTCTACGAGTTGAAGGTTAGTATAAATAGTCAATAGAATCAGAGCCGGTATATAACTTACCAATGGCAATCATGAGTAGCTTTCTAGGGCGAACCATATTGACCACTCGGTCGGTATACTTGAAAATCTCCACCATCATCTCTTCCTCATCCTTCGGGGCAGGTCTATCCTCGGGGTGAGAACAAGGATGCACGATACCATTCATATCTAGGTAGAGATTGTCAAACTCTTCGCCATTCGGATTGGCGCGTGTAGTATCAACAGGAATGACGGTGCCATCGTCCATCTCTATCGGCCGGTCTTCTGAGACGGGCGATATGATCTTGGGGTACTTGTTGGAAAGCCATCGGAAGGCAGCCGGGATACCCATTGTCGCGGTGTGGAGGTTATTGGATTTTATAACGATTAAACACTCAACAAGGTTATAGGTTATATCTGGTAGGTTGGAATAGGAAATAGGCAAATGTCGAGTATCGATCCGTCAAAGGTAACGAGTGGATGGAAAGAAACACGAGTGTAACAAGTTGCACAAGGAAGTAGAGGAAGTAGGAGCATGGGATAGTATGCACAGAAGTGATGAATCCAATTTGACTAACTTTACAGTAAGTTCAGACTAGATGAAGTCGGGAGAATCGCGATAATCGCGATAATTAAGTATGTATGATAAAAAGTAGTCAAGGAGACAAGCTCATCGCATTTACTCTTCGACTTGATTTTCTGATAGGTACCTACTTGTATGTAGTTAGGTAAGTACCTATGTATGTCGCAGGTATGTAGATACTAAGTATAAACTAGGTCTAGGCACAATTTGATTTATTTATTGGAAAAATAAATATCCTCAAAGGGAAGCCAAAGTAACCAAGCGCACTGTTAGTATCCAATAACCATTTGATTCGGACGGAGAAGAAAATAAAATAGTAATGAATCAAAGAAGTTGTAGAGATGGAAGAAGAAAAAAAAAAAGGTTGAAGTCGCGAGGCTTGACGAAAGACCCTTGGCGCAGCAGATACAGTCAATGTTCAAGGCGACAAGTGGATCCAACCACAACTTAAAGCCAATCAATTTATCAAATGTAAGCCTATCAGGCTATCAATCATACTCCAACCCACTTAAAGTTCTTCTTTTGACGAATGGTTACGTCAAGTACGGCATAGTAAGGCCCAGATCTGTATATCTGCATATCTATTTAACAGTTATATGTGTCTCATAAAATACATATGTACATAATTTACGTACATAACTACCAAGGTATTGTACATACCGTACCTTAATAGCATGCAGTATGGATCCATCAATGATACATACCATTAGTTAACCATTAACATTAAATATTTGAAGATTCCTCTCTCCTAATCAACCGACGGCAAACTCTTAGGCTACCTAGGTAGGGTGAGAGCGCAAATAGTACATACCAACTTGTTCCTCCACCTCATCTATTGTACAATGCATCTGAATCGGTGACCCTTTTCACCAATGGATCTAATGCGCAACGACGTGATCGAGCAGCAGCACCACCATCATACACCATGTTCTCCACCATTACAACCGCCCCGGCCAAGCAGTCCGTCAGCGAGACAATAACCATTCTCAGTGGTCGTCTTAGCTCGGCTACCCTCCTCGAAGACCGGCGCGCCGCCATTCTGGGTCTGAGAAGCTTTGCTAAGGAATATCCTGCTTCGGTTGCTTCAGGTGCCTTGAGAAGCCTTATAGGTAGTCTGTCCAAAGATGGTGAGGATGTTGACACTGTAAAGGTCGTTCTCGAGACCTTGCTCATGCTCTTCAACCCCAACCAGGATAGTCCTGAGGCTTCCGAGGAGATTGCTCTTTGGTTGGCTGACGAGTTTACTCAGCGACAAGAGAATATAACTTTACTCCTAGACTTTCTCGAAACCAATGACTTCTATTCCCGACTATATTCCTTGCAACTTCTCCTCGCCATTCTTTCTGCACGCACCGAACGAACCGAGATATGTGTTTTCACTGCGCCGCTAGGTATTTCTAGGCTGGTTGCTGCACTTGACGATCGAAGAGACGCAGTTCGTAACGAGGCACTAACTCTTCTCACTTACCTCACTCCCTCGTCCCCCGATATCCAAAAACTTGTCGCATTCTCAAACGTATTTGGACGGGTCTTTACTATAATAGAAGCGGAAGGGTCGCTATCCGAGGGTGACAGAATCGTTGAGGACAGCCTAATACTTCTTGCAAACCTCTTGCGCTTGAACCCTTCCAATCAGTCTCTGTTCCGTGAAGAGGGCTATATTCCGCAGTTGGCCAAGCTTCTGGAGACTACATATCAAACTGGAAAAGATGGAGAGGAGGTTGCCCAATGGGCGCAGGAGCAGCGTAATAGGAATATCTATGCTTTACTCGCCGTGATCCGATTGTTTCTGGTCTCTGGTGCTGTCGGTACTGCGCAGAATCAAGCCGCTTTTTGGCAGCATGGTGTCCTTTACCACGCTCTACAGCTGGCTTTCAGTCACCATGCGGAGATGTCCCTCCGAGCAGAGGTTTGAGCTCCTCCCCTAATGAAAATTGGTCAAGTTTATTTGTTTACATGTATACCGTAGGCTCTGACGACTTGCGCCGATATCATCAGAGGGAATTCGAAGCTGCAAGAGACATTTGCACAGCTGCAAGTCCCTTCGGTACTGGAAACAGCTCCGCCTTCAACTAATGGACAGGCGGGAAAATCTAACGGCGTTCCAGCCGTCTTCGTAATCGATGGCTTATTAGACCTGGCCCTGAGCGTGTCATCGGGTCAAGCCTTTGACCTACGACTAGCTGCATGCCAGTGCATCAAGGCATATTTCTTCAATCATCCAGAGGTCCGCCTCCATTTCTTAAGGCGAGCAATTGACGGGCACGCATCCGGTGTAGACGAAACTGCCAATGTGTTGACCACTTTGCTCCGACCATCCAACGACTCGTCCTCAATAGACCCCTACCGACATTGGTTTGCCGCTGTTATTACTTTCCACCTCGTTTTCGAGAATGCCGAAGCGAAGGCCCTCGCCATGTCCGTCACGGAAGGCGATGCGGACAGCGGGGAAGAAGTTGTGACAAGCATTCAGACGATCTCCGCCCATCTTGTTAGTGGGTTAGCTAGAGGGGATGGCGATCGGATCGCGGTGGGCTACCTGATGTTGTTAATAGGGTGGCTTTTTGAGGATCTTGATGGAGCCAACGATTTCCTAGGCGAGGGCAGTAATATCCAGGCCCTCGCGCAAGAAGTGATACGGCCCAACCCAAGTAGCAGCATTGCCCAGGGGTTATGCGCAATGTTATTAGGGGTTGTCTACGAGTTCTCAACTAAGGATTCTCCAATTCCTCGCTCGACCTTGCATTCCGTTCTCATGTCTCGAATGGGCCGAGAAAAGTATATTGACACTTTAAATAAGCTACGAAGTCATCCTTTCTTGAGGGACTTTGAGGTTATCCCGCAAAAGTCTGACAACTCGGGCAATATGCCAGAGGTTTATTTTGATGCGACTTTTGTGGATTTCTTTAAAGATAACTATAGCCGCATGATAAGAGCCATCGACCGTGATCCTGGCATGGAGATATCGGTCGTGACTAATGGCATCCAAAAGGGCATATCCCGTGAAATGGTAGACTCTTTACGTGGCCAAGTCGATGAAAAGGAGCGAGCATTACAAGCAGCACTCGTAAACATGGCCTCTCTCGATGGGAAGCTTGGCCAAGAACAAGCAGATCATCGTCGGACCAAGGAAGCTTCCGCTGCCGAATTAGCACGAATAAAGAGTGTTAATGAGGCCATCCAGCTGCACCATAACGAGGATATCCAGTAAGTACAATACGATCTGTTCTAGGCAGACTTCCTCACTAACAATTGCAGGAAAATTAAGGCAGGGCATCGGCTTATGGAGGAAGCCCATAAAAAGCAACTAGATACTATTCGAAGAGAGGCAGCAAGTACGGCAGAAGCTATCAACGCCGATTACATTAAAAAGGAAGCTGAACTGCAAAGACAACTCGAGTATGTTCGCAAAACGGCCGAGGCCGAGACAGCACGTATTCAACGACGGTCGGAAGCGGAAATGGCAGACCTTCGTGCCACAATCAGCCGACTGGAAGTTGACATCATGAAAGTAAGTTCGATTTTACAGTTGGTGGGTTTGTTGCAGTATGAACTAACAACATATAGGCGAACAAAGCTAAGGGCGAAGAACTCCATGCTGCCCAAGAAGATTTTGCTACTAGGCTTTCGGCCGAGCAGTCAAAGGCACAGATGGCTGCAGAGCGGTATGGGAAACTTGAGAAGCAACTGTCACAAAAAGACGAAGAGTTGAAAAAGGTAACCAGGACAGCCCCTCATACGGCTATGACGAATTCTAACTCTGGATGGCAGTCTCGCGCACAGTTGGAAGAAAGGGAAGAGCAAAGAGTTGCCACCCAAGCCGAACTTGATGACCTTTTAATGGTCTTTGGCGACCTAGAAGAGAAGGTGGAGAAATATAAGGTAAGTTGCTGCTATACTCCTAATAATCCTATGATCTTGCAAAAATTCTAAGTGGCCTTTGTGTATAGAAACGACTTGTCGAATTGGGCGAGACCGTGTCTGATGGCGAAGACAACGAAGATGAGGATGACGAGGAAGAAGGTGAAGACGAAGAAGATGACGTGGACTAAATGAATAACTCCAAGTTCACGTCATTATTTATTGTACAGAAGTTGGAATAGAGCCTACCTAGTACCAAGGTATTTAAGACAATTCCAAGGTTACATGTAGTTCCTGTTGATTGCTAGAGCTGCCGGCGATACCCCTGATTTATGGATATGGTAACATTGAAGACGTGTACGCACATAAGCCTTCAAGGTTAAGGGGGTGTATACCTACATAGCGCGTAAAATCTTATAACTACGTAGCACGTACTAAGATATGTACTTATCCGAGCCGCTATAGTTGCGTTTTTTTGATACTTTAATATTTTGAATTTTGAATATTTTGATATTTGCTACTTGATACTTACTTAGTATTTGATATTTCCACAGAGTCAAAAGAAATCCTTAAGAAATTCATGAGATATTCAAAGACCACCAGTTATATCCCAGTCAGGTATATCAGGAATACAATCGCATAAGATGAGAAATTAAATAACCCTGACATATAACTTTAACTTATAGCTCAGGTGCTTGTTTATAAATCTAAGCGCAACAATTGAACTTGGAACATAACTACTGTACTCACCCTCACACCATTCTGGCACTATTTTGACACTATTCTGACTCTATTCTCGCACCATACTCCCCATCTACACTACCGCTTTTTACTTCAACCAACCTACAGAAAGAAAAGGTCTGTTCACACGATGAGTGCCGGAACAACTAGGCATGAACCCCGTCCTCTAAGCGAGTCTTCGTCCGACTCGGAGGACTCCCGGGGCGAGGGCGAGGACTGGAGCGACGCCGAGGAAGACGAGGAAGAGACCCAAGAGGTCATCTCACTTCTCGACGATCGGGTCTTTCCCGATGTCATGTCGATGCTTGCGCACTGCAGGGAGAAGTACGGGTTTGATTTTCTGGGTGTTCGGCAACGACTACAGTTGGATTTCCATGGCTGTGTCAAGCTGGTCAATTTCAGTGAGTTTTTTGCTCCTCTCTTACCCTCTCATACCTCATCGCTAACTTTACCCCCCAGTCCGTCAGCGGGTGCACGAAGGCCTCCCCGTGACCGAAGATATCTCATGGACCTCCATTGATCAAGAGCAGTACCTAAAGCCAGTCCTTGATGACGATGCCGTCATCCTGGGACTATTCGACCTGCCCGAGCTCAAGCCAGAGGCAGCAGCAGCAGCAGCAGCGACAGCGGCGCAAGGCGGTAGCGAGGCGCTAGTCGACGACCTGCTCAAGCGCAACAGCGAACTCCAGGAGGAGCTAGCTCGCGTCGCAGCCCAGTTCGACAGTTATCGTGTTGCCGTGCAGCAGACACTCGATGAGCGCTGGGGTGACGTTGATCAAGCCGAGGCCGAGGCTGCTGCTGCTGCTGCCAAGGCGGGTAAGGGCAAGGACGCCGTCGCCGAGAAGAAGGATGACTCGAAGTCCTACTGGGAATCTTATGCTGGAGCTGGTGAGTACTATATCTCATAAACTCCATGATAATATACTACTATCTTTACTGACCACTAGCCTACCAACCTACCTAGACATTCACGAAACAATGCTCAAAGATGCAGTGCGCACCGACGCATACCGAGACTTCATCTACAACAACAAGCACCTCTTCGCCGGCAAGACCGTGCTGGATATCGGCTGCGGTACCGGCATCCTCAGCATGTTCTGCGCGCGCGCAGGCGCTGCCAAAGTCATCGCCGTCGACGCCAGCGCCATCATCACCAAGGCGCAGGAGAACGTCTTCCACAACGGCCTCTCGTCCATCATCCACTGTGTGCACGGTCGCATCGAGGAGGCCGTCCTACCTGTCGACGAGGTTGATATTATCGTTAGCGAGTGGATGGGATACTGCCTCTTGTTCGAGGCTATGCTCCCCTCCGTCTTGTACGCACGCGACCGTTACCTAAAGCCGAACGGTTTGATGGTGCCCTCGCACGCCAACCTCTGGGTCGCGCCCGTCGCCGACCCCCAGTACATCGCCGACACCATCACCTTCTGGCGCGACGTCTACGGCTTCGACATGCGCGCCATGCAGACCGGCATCTACGACGACGCGCGCGTGACCACCTGGCCTCTTTCCTCTTCCTACCCTCCTTCCTCCTCCTCCGCAGCCGCCACCGCAGCAGCCAACATCCTCTCCCTCTTCTCCTTCTCCGAAACCCCCAACCCCAACAACCCCACCGAAACCACCATCCCCGGCCCCGCCAGCGCCTTCAAGCTCCTCGACCTCTACCAAGCCCAAACCGCCGACCTCTCCTTCACGGCCCCCTTCTCCAGCACCCTGACCCGGGACATCGACGCCCTCGACGGCTTCCTCCTCTGGTTCGACATCTTCTTCTCCCCGACCCGCGACGACGCCGCCACCATCGTGTCCCAGTCCTCCCGCGCCGACGAGTGGGCCCGCCAGGACCCCCAGAACCGCGTCGCTTTTACGACGGGCCCGCACGCCCAGGAGACGCACTGGAAGCAGGGGTTGCTGCTTTGCAAGCCGGAGAAGAGCAAGAACAAGAAGAGCAACCAGGAGGGGGAGAAGAAGGATGGGGAGGGAGAGGTGGACAACAGTACCACACAACCCACACCTTCTTCTCCCACAAAAAGGGGCGACGAGATCAAAGGCGAAATCACCTTCTCCATCCCCGAAGATCATGCGCGCGGGCTGGCTATGACGATTACGTGGAACGGCAGGAAGCAGATCTGGACGCTGCAATAGATGCCTATCTAGATACCTAAGACAGTAAAAAAAAAAAAAAAAAAGATATAGAAAAGGGGGGAGGGAAGGATAGGGTGGGGTGGTCGGCAGCCCTAAAAAGGGGTTGGGTTCAGGGGGGTCTTCTTTATTACTTAGATAGAGCAGTGCGTAAACGTCTATGATAACTTCATAGTCAAAACTTCCTTGAAGTGAGTTTAGGTAGATGTTGGGAATGATAATCCCTACCATACAATAAGTAACTTACCTATGCAGAGCATAGCTGGATAACAAGACTCATTTATGTGAACTAGGTTAACCACGGTAATCAATACAATAAGGCTATCTAGTTTAGGTAATCCACCAAGACACGTTCTGTCATCGACCGTCGTAATCTACAATTTATGATCTGTCTGCAAGTGATCTGTCCTCATCATAACACTCATTCACGTCTCCACCGACGTTACTGTCTATAAACCCCTCCACAGGCCTTCACCTTATCACCTATAGACTTCGTGACGCTGCCAGAGCCCTTCTGACAACAGCCGAGCGAATCCATGCGTTTTAATTGTATCATCATTCCACCCCGTTTCAAACGCCGTCCCTAATCAAAGATCCATAATCTAATTTACGGATGTCTACTAACGAGAAAAGAAAAGAATCGGTCAAGGTATAGAATATCCGCGGCTCTAGCGCTGCTGGTGAGAGTCACCTGGCGCATTTCTTCGCATGCTACCCGAGGTTCGCCCACCCGATCGGTTGGTGCGCGTCGACGCTTGAGGGTGCAAGGAGTTTCCAGACTGGCCAGCATGGTACGGGTTCGGCCCGCCCACCTGCGCTTCTTCATCAAATCCTCCCATATGTTGGGTGACTTGGAACCCAGGAGGGTTCCCACCTGATGATGGCGGAGGCAAAGTCTCGCCTGCCCGGCGACGGCCACCGCTGCGCTGACTCTCTCTCTTATGGAGGTCTAGGCGGATAGATTCTATATCATGCGAACGTTGGCGTTCCATCGACCCGTGACGAGGTTCATCTTTCTCGTCATCCCGCCAGGTATCAGCTACTGCTGTAGCGGGGTTCAAAGAGTTGATACCCTGAGCGGCCTTCGCCTCTCGGTCCAAGGGGCCACCAGACTTGTCAGATTCCGAAGGGTCTACGGCGGGTGCTGAAGGCACCAAACGTAAAGCTTCTTTTTCTTGGTTGGCCTTGTCACGAGCGGCGGCGGCTTCCCTGTCTGTAACACTGACGGAATAGGTTGGGTTCGTGTGGCCGCCCAATGCCTCAGTACCTCCACCAGGCGCATAGATAGGCACCTTTTTCAAGGCGAGGGTAAGTGCACACATAAATTTAGAGCGCCGGGTGGCGCGGATAGCGTCGTTATGCCAGTTCGACTTGTGCTTGATGGCGACCTTTAGCTGAAGCTTGTCTAAATCACCGACTCCTGCAACTGCAATCGAGATATCCGGCTGGAAGTCTCGCGAATTCTCAGGCGCCCTCACAAACTTCTCCATCTCAGCCCGCAAAAGCTCGATATCCTCAAAAGATGTATCATACGAAACGTTGATGTCGATGACTTCCTTCATGGCTTTACTGCGGGTAACGTTTTCAATCCAAAGATTGTTCAAGACAATATTTGGCACCTGGACGACCTGCATCTTATCGATGCGATTGAAGACAGTGTAGAGCAGGGATATCTTTTCAACAACCAACTGCTCTTTCTCCGATCCCGCAATATCGACTCTGTCTCCAACATCGTAGGGGTGCTTGACGAACAGGAAAATGCAGGAACCCAAGAATTCCTGCGTAGTGACGGCGAAAACGAAAGACAGCGAGAGTAAAGCTGTGCCGGCAGTCGCAAGAGTGGTAATAAACGTACTCTGGAAGAATGCGACTAGGATGAAATGTCAGCTAAGTTACGAGTGTAATAAATCGGCATTGAGCACTTACGGAATATGAAGATAACAATTAGGAGGACGACAAAGAGGAGGACTTGGTCGAACACAGCTAAGGCTTGACTAATGTCCTTCATGCTGTTTCCAATGGCCTTTCTCTCCTTTCCAGTCTCAATCACCTTCCTAATCATTTCATCGAGGCTGATATCCCCGTTCCCATCTGCGTCGATTGCCCCGAAACATTCTTCGGCTTCTTCATGATGGGCCGGGCCGAGAACCTCGATGATATCATCCACGTAGAGGGCCTCGTTACCCTCGACAACAAATGACATCCAAATTCGTTTCGCGAGCGCCTCTGAAGTCCTAACTTTCTCTAAGGCCTCTACGACTATCGAATGGGCAGAGTTTGGGTTGAATACTTGCTTGCCGGTAATCTCAGAGGCGAGGTTTCCAAACACGGATGTGACTTTGTCGCCAATGCGACCAACATTTCCAATCAGTCTCATAGGAGTAGCTGCCCCGTTCCTCTTGTTTTTTCTCCCCTTCTTCCCGCCAGCGAGCATTATCTCGATACTATCGTTAATAAGCTCGTCCTCTTCGATAAACTCTCGGCAGTACATGGGAAACAACTGCCGAGAGGCATCGTACATCAAGCCTAGGAGATGGACTTCTCGTTTGGAGTCTTTGATTCGGTTGGCAAAGGACCTTTGGTGATATGTTACACTGATCAGTTGAATGATAGCCTTCTCCACGAGGAAGACGGCAGAAGAAGCGAAAAGCGCTCCCAGGATTCTCCGAATTACGGTAACCCATTCAACGTTGTTGTACTTGGTGTTAATTAAGCCAGTGAACAAGAAGAAGTCGGCCAGGGCCCAAAAGAAAAGCGAAAGGGGTATCTCGAGGGCACGGATGACGACGGCATATTTGCGAGTTCCTGCACTGACAACTCCTGTGAAAAACATGAACAGAGGAGGAAGAAGGTGGGCAACGACTTTGCCCACCCATAAACTCAGCCACGCTAGTTCTATCCAGAGGAAAAGGTCGAATAGCTGTGGTCCAGGCGAATACACGGCGGGGGTCTCGGATTCTGCATTGGTTCGTGGGCCATGACCGACTAGAATGGTGTCTTTGTTGCCTGTTGCTGGGATAGTAATGAGAGGAATAGCCAATAGCAAAGCTATGGGAACGATATACACGAGATATCGTGTGACGACGGAAGCATGAATGACCTTATTGTAGAGCTTTCCCATGGCGTTGAGGGACGTCCCCTCAGTAGCTAGGGTATCATCCCCGGTAGGCTCTTGTACCTTAGCTCTCCTCCGACCACGGTGGAAGAAGCCATGCTTCTCATTCTCGTCGGGAGAGTTCTGACTTTCTGGACTGAAGCCGGATACATTGCCTTGGTTGGGCTTTCTAGCGCCAGTCGAGCTGGCATTGCTCCGAACTTGAGTCAAGGGGATCTCGTTGTCCATTTCAGGTCGTGAGGCACCCAATTGCATAAAGCCTCTCGAAGAACGAGGGGAACGGATCGACATCTAAGGTGGAGAGATGTACAAAGGGAGGTGGTGATCCGTCAGATGATGTGCACGTTTGTACGTGACCCGAGGATACGGTTCAGAACTTTTATTTCCCTTCTTGGGACAGAAGTGACAGAATACACAAGCGAATGAGTTGGTAATAGACAAGGACTTCTTTCGGGACGGCACCAGGCGATCGACGGGAAGTAATTTGAAAGCGATAGATACACTTGAATACCGGCCGGAAGACAAAGGTAACTTTAGGATTGGCGAGTAAAAATTTGGACAATAGAGGCAATAGAGGCAATAGAGGCAATAGAGGTAATTAGACAAAACGAAAGACTGACGGACAAGCTGTCTAATAGAGGGAGGATAGGTCTAAATCCAAAAGCATAGAATGCTCCATAGGGTAGACCAAGGGGAAAACTTGGAAGATGGTGGTTGGAAGAGTGGAAAGTCGGAAAGAAAGAAAGTAAAAAAATATGATAATAATAAAAATAGAGAAGGATCGTGAAATATGTTTGTCTGTTAGTACCTACTAGGTACTAACCGGTTACATATGTATGTAGTCTAACATCATTGATACAACGAGCAACTACGTACATACCTACAGTATGTAGTAGAGTACAAAGAGTACTATAATTATGCAGTGACCCGATGGGAAGGGAAGGGAAGAATTAAACGCGTTAGAAGTAGCTACCTAGTAACTAGGCTTAGTGACATTCTAAGTGACATTCTAAGTGACATAGTTGGAAGGTTCGCCGAGAGACCCTTGAGACTTGCTCCACATAGAAATCGATCTACTACTAGTACTAGGCGGGTAGGTATTGATGTATGTACGTACCTCTCTACCATAGATTTAGTTAAAGGCTTAAAGCATTGAACTTGAAGATCTCACATCTGACTTGTTTTAGTCTCATCCTAACCAGCAACTTTCATACAAAGAAATTGAAAGAATTGTTGCTGACGTTATTCAGGGGTACTCGCTTATGGCATAGTACAAGGTAACGATCCCATCCCGGACTAGATGTTTCAGTGGAACTAGACATTTATTACGTGCAGACAATTTGGTTGGTCAATTGCCATGAAATGGTTCAATCCTGGGAGCACTTTCTTAAATCGGGAGGCGAAAGCGAGTCAAAACAATGCATCAAAGGTATTCTGTACTTGCATCAATTATTTTGTCGGAGACTCGGACTCTCAGAGTAAAACTTTTAGTTAAGAAAGTGGATGTGTGTCGCGTGTCCGATGACGACGAAATCAGACGAATTATTAGTACTAATTAGTTATGTAGTTATGTACATATTGTACATAGACTCTGTACTGGTCTGTAGTAACTTTGTACACAATAAAGTACCCTATATGTACACAATATTATAGATCACCAATTGATGTCTGTACGACGGACGTGCAGAGTTCAGATCTTGGGTGTCATTCCGTCCCGATTTTTAAAAGCCCTGACCCATGAGTAAGACCCTTATTTTTTTTAAATTTTTTTTTCTACATTCTTTTTTTCTTTTTACATCCTTTTTTTTTTTTTTTTTTTTCTTCAAGTTAACTAATTCACTCCGCCATGTTCTCGTCCGATGGCTTAACATTCATCCTAACTAATCTGCCCCATACACCGTATGTACACGTTGTCAAAAGCACGAGAACGAATATGTACACATAGCGTGCCTTGGAAGTTATAACGCATTTAGTGCCCATTTCCCCATTTCCCGCCAGCGAATGAAGTTACACAAATAGGGCTTCAAGAACCATCAAGGGATTCAGGGCAGAAGAAAAGAGGATATGATGACGCAGATCTCAGATCCAATCTTTCTCCAGTAAACCATCAACTCCGTCTGAGCGGTTCGAATGGGGTTCAGTCTGGGGCTCGGTTGGATCGATCAATTGTCACCAAGGACCACTATTGATAACTTGCATAACAGGAAATCAAGCTTTTGCTGTCAATCTATGTCAATCCTACTATTATGTACATAGTATGTGCGCAGATACACAGGTAGGCGAGATGGGTAAAGAGGGGGGAGGGGATGATACTGAGGATACTGGGCTGGCTGGGCTGGCTGGGACATGCTCTAGGTTAGTAGAATCTCTACTACGTAGTAAATAAAAGGGGCCGACGAGGATGCAACTAGTTATGAAAATCATTATTAACAAAAATCCACTTGAACGCATGTGAATCCCGTAAACCGGAATTTCAAAACACACCGGCGTAAGCCACGCGCGCTGATCGTCATTCACTCTCCTTGCTACTATGTATTAAAGACATACTATGCAATGCTCCCACATCGTGACTAAGCTTTCTACACTACCTACCTACCTACATACAATGTCATACATAGGTTTATCATACTACGTACACTAGTAGTAGGTAATTCATCAAATTCGGCCGACGAAGAGGCTTGTCCATAACCCTTTTGCCAACCCGGCCGTATTCCCCGAGTGGCTTATATATGAAGAAGTTGGCCTCGTCAACGATACCCTGGGATGAATACTTATCATAAGGGTGGACTACCTAGCCTCCTTTTTTTTTTCGTTTAGTTACGCATCGTCGTAATCGAAGATACCGAGGCAGATAAATAAAATATTGGACCTTATTGAGCGAGTTTCCACACCAAGATGGCGCGTTGATGCAAATCCAACTCCATAAAGGATAGTGTCTAATTAACTAACTTAGATAATTGCAAGTCACCACGAACACGGATGCCAACCTCGGCGGAACGCAACCTAGGTATCTCTCCTACCATGTAGGTATTGTACAATATAGAAGGGTACAAGTTGCATAGTAGGTAGGTACTGAATACCTATAGTGTAGAGTCACCCTCATGATGAAACCTTCTTTTCAACTTTGCCTACCTCACGTAGAGTATGGGCTATCCGTAGTAGGGTGTCTATGAGTTCCCGAGCCGTGCCAGGAAAAGCGACGCAAAGCGGCCACATCCCCCTCTGCCTGAGAGAATATAGTAACAGCTTCAGCTCCCGTAGCTGTAGCGATAGCGCTGTCTGATGTTTCCTGTGGCCTATCAGACTCCCTCGTATCGATAGTCGCCCCTGCGTCACTGATAGTACCTGAATGATCGTGATCGTCTACCACTATGCTTGGTGTACCAGTAGAAGAATGGTCATCTTGCATATCAAAACGATAGAGCGGTTCTAAAGTGGCGTCATGCTGCCACAGGATGTAGTGCCTGAACCACCACGGAACCACCTTAGTAGTGTTGTACTTGATAAATACACTCGTAGGGACAGCAAAGACGTAATCTAATTCCTCGAGGGTGCGTTGCTTCGTTTCGGGCATCCAGAGGAAGATCATGATGAAGGCTGCAACGTTGAATCCAGCATACAGACAGAAGGAACCCTGATTGGATTAGTTATTAGGTATGTCAGCTTAAGAATATCGCCATCATCTTCATATAGATTATATAAAGAAACATATCCCGGACTTACGAGTACACCAAGAGCTGCCAGGATTTTTGGAAACGTAATGGACAGCACGGCGGCCCAGAAGAGACAAGTGGCCACGGCCCAAGACATGCCAACCTCGCGGTGGGAAAGTGGAAATACCTCTGCGCTGTATGTAAAGGGCACGGGTCCCTCGCCAGGGGAGTAGAAAACGGCAAAGAGGTAGACGAACAATGCCACAAGTCCCACATGCAGTTGTGATGTTTTAGGGATAAGCGTACAGAGACCGGAGGCCAACAAAGACCATGCCATGTTGGGAAATGTAAATAGAAGAAGAGCACGGCGACCGAAGGTGTCAATCGTCCAAATGGCCGGCCAAGCAAAGATGAAGTTAACCAAGCCGAATCCCCACGAGGCGAGGAGGGCGTTGAAATCAGAAGTTCCTGCCTCTTTAAAGACGGTAGACGAGTAAAAGGCTATGATATTGATGCCTGTGTCCCATTAGCTGTTGCTCCCATTAGCTCTAACCACTCGTACAAATAAACGAACCACACATCTGCTGGCCGATCATGACTACGAATGAAGCAAGCGTCGCTCTTCTAACCCGAGGGATCGTGAAGAGCTGAACTAGTCGCTTGATATAAGTTGTGTCACCGATAGCTTCCAGCTCGATTTCTACTTGGGTATGAATGGCATAAAGATCTCGAGCGGCCTGGATTGGATGATTACGGAGTCGTAAAAGCGAATTAAAGGCATCCCGATACCTGCGCTTCTTGATGTACCATCGTGGCGATTCCGGACACAAAAGGATGAGAAGTGTGAGTGGTACTGCTGGGATGAAAGCCGAGCCGACTTGGACTGCAGATATTATCAAATTAGCAAAGGTAGAGTAGAGTACTGAGTAGAATAGCGAGGGGGTGCATACGCCTCCAGGCGATGTTACCAAGTTGACCAACAGCAAGGTTCGCAGAACACCCGAGAAAGATACCAAACGCAGTCCAAAGTTGCCATGACATGACTAGGGCACCACGGATAGAGGCTGGACTGTTCTCGGCCGCGAAGATCGGTACTGTTGAAGCCTTTATACCCATACCGATGCCGAGGAGTATTCTCGAGATGAAGAATTGTTGCCAATTCTGGGTTAAAGCTCCGCCGATGGGAGTCAGTAAACAGAAGATGGCCGAGATAAAAATGGTCCCTGTGATGGGTTCAGTTGCAACATTTTCAACTTTCAAGCACAGTACATACCTCGCCGGCCAAAGAAGTTGTTCAACGGGTCCGAAAGCCAGCAACCGATGAGGGCGGATCCGATATAAGGGGCCGCGTTGATGAGACCGACAAGCAGTACATCGTGATCGGAGGTCCCGCCAATACCGAATTGCTTAGGGAATGATAAGTTGGCCCCGTTGCTGCCCTCCTGGTCCCAGCCTTGAACGGCTGCTCCTATGGAGCAGGTAATGATGGTCAAGTAAAGGAGCAAGGGCACACGCCACTTGTTAGCCATTTCTTTTTTCAAAGCATTGATCTTATCAGCTTCAAGTGCTTCAGGGCCTTCGATTTGCTCGAAATTCGTAGGATCTTGTGCGAGAATGGCCCCCTTACGCATGAGCGGAACGTATTCGGTCAAGCCGTGCCACTCAGCGAATCTCGTGACTTGACCAAGAAGATACTCGCGGGGGATGTGCGCCAAGGGGTTCGAAATCCTGTTGTCATCGAATCAGTCAGCTAGGACTATTGCAACGACGGTCTAGGGCGCTCGCTAACTTGGCACTGTTGTTGTTGTTCAGGTCGACATGGACCCTTGAGTCACGATGCCCCTTTTCCGTGGTCTCATCATAGCGGTACGCTGAGGTTTTACGGCTGAGTTGAATAAACGTCGTCAGCTGGTTTAATACCTCGGGAAATGTATCTGAAGCATCTTTATTTGTTAATACTTACATCCGTGCTTGTTTAGTTTTTTCCGACATAATAGATGTAATCTAGGAGTGATGTTAAACCATACTATAAGCTTCATAGGCTAGATGTTTATAGGTGTCTTAAACGAGGAATAGTATTACGGGATATATAGGTGATATGTTCAAGATATGTAGGGAGAATGAGAATACGAAATGACGAGGTCAAGGTATACATAGGGATTGTAACACTTCTTTAACCCGTGCCTCAGCATGTTTCGAATCTGCAGTTACTATTAGCTCCTTACAACGGAGCAGAAACTTCGCTGATGTATAAATCATCATGTACCTACCTAGGTATAAATCAATATGTATAAATCAAGTTGCCTCTCACAAGGTTCAGGCTTGTTTTGGCTTGCATATGTGACCTCAAGGCATGTGGTTTACCTATCAGGAGCTTGTCTCTAAGGGCGCCAGGTAGATATTATATAGATTATTCGTAGATGCTTGCACAGTTGCAACAACAAAACACCACCTTCCCCCTTTTTAAATCTCGGTACCGGTACCTATGAAAGCAAGTCCGACAATACATGCAATTCGGGGTATCTTAGGAAAACTTACAGTACACGTATACACCAAACCAAACAACCAAATGACCATCATACGACGAGAAATAGAGAAAGAAAACCCCCATCGCTATCGCCGTCCCCTTGTAGCTGACAGCTCAGGCATCGCCAGGCTACAACACCCCTCACATAAAACCTGGGGATAAAATACACGATACACGGATTATTTCTACAGCTCTTTCTTTCTCTTTCTCCATTTTTCCATTACTTCTACCCCCTACCAACACTTTCATTACCACTCGGTGCCTCTTTGGCGGCCTTTCTCATAAGAAGAGAAGCTTCCTCACTTCTCTTATTGACAGCTCGCACGAGGTCCGCGTACCTAGCCCGCCAATACTCGGCCGCTGCTTCGCCCTCAGCGGGCACATCGACACTTTCCAGAGGCCTCTCGGCAGTTGGATGCTGCGCACCTTTCTTCCAGCGCCTATGCGGCACCGTCTCCGTGAGCCGAAATACGCCGTTGACTGGACCATACCGCATGCCCCACGCGCAGCAGTATTTGGTATGTTCATTGTCTATTTCTATGCGTTGTACTGTGTTGCTTCCTGCCTTCATCATGTATTTGACACCCGCCAGTGCCGCGAGGTTGATCAGAAACGCTTCCTTAGTGAGGGCCTGTCTGGAGATACTTGCGATGACGGTTTTGATCAGTGCCGCCGCTTCATCGAGACTAGCTGAGGGGCCAAGTTGTCCCTTCTCGTCATACCAATTACCTTCCAGAAGGTCTGCGATAAATAAAGCCTCAATCTCCTCGCAATTAACCCTGTCTTTGTTGTTTGGCTCGAATTTGAAGCTCGAGGTCGTATGATCGTTAAACGCGCCCGTGAAAAGGGCCGAAGTGCGATCAAGCACCGTAAATGCGTCCTCTGCATGGATTTCTGTGGCGAGCCCAGTAGCTTCAGCAGGAACACTGGCACCGGGACTGGGACCGGGACTAGGACCGCCTCCATTCATTGCGCTTTCCCCATTGATCATGACAACTGGGGGTGGAGGGGTTGCTAATCTAACAGGACCACTGGCTCTTTCTGGTACTTGAAGAGAAAGCCTGCCTGGCCGAGATTGCCGACTTCCGGGAGCGGAAGTTGGCGTCAATGTTGGTGCTGATGTTGGCGCCGACATTGGCATCGACATTTGTGCAGATGTGGGCATAGAAGTGGGCACAGAGGTGGGCGCCGCCGATCTAGGTATCGGGTCTGAAGGGAACGGGGGGAACATGGGCACAGGTGTCATGCTTGATCGAGGCGGGTCCTTTTCAAAAGGCATCTGATATTCTCTGCGCTCATCCGGAATCGCTGACAACGGAGTGTCGCTGAGACGGTTAACCGGAGGTCTCCCGCGGGGCCTGCCGCCGGCAGAAATCCCGCCGCTTCTCCACGCCGAAGAGACTACCTTAGCGCCGTGACGACGACCTAGACTCTTGAACTTGGAGGGACTGATCGCCGAACGGGGTTCTGCAGCATCGCCCCAGAATATCCCTCTGGTAGATGGCGTCATTGCGGATTGGGGATAGGCCGACATTGGCTCACGGGAGACATCGTTGCTCCAAGGAAAAGCGGAGTTTGCTTCGGGCAAAACACTTGATCTCGGGTCAACGGGCTGAAAATTTGCTGCAACTCTCCCGTCTGGGTGGGCGGTCCATGGATCCAGAGTGTCGGGTCTGGTGGTTCGGGTTTCCCCACTGGACGAAGGCGAGTCCAGCCTCGGCCTTTGCGAAGGGGATTTACTCAACCCGTCTTCCCCGGGCCTCTTTCGACCTCGACGCGGTCGAATATGAGGTAACAAAGCGCGCAAGGCCATATCATCTTCAGGGGCAACGCCGTCCCTGCCATCTTCACATACGGGGTTTGGGTCAGTAGGAATCTGAGTCCAATATGGATGTGGGTTATTCAGCAAGTAATCGAAGAAGGCATTGATGTGCATGGAATGCATCCATCGCTAATAAGAGTAAGCTCTGTTCCCCACTTAAGACCTACACAGGGTTGTATATAGGGCTACAGGACTATAGGGTTATAACCAGGGCTGGACTTTACCTTTAATCGAACAGCATACTGTTGTATTTTCTGAGAGCTCTGTCCTTTATCGTGATCCGGTGGCTCCACGCCCAGCCTTAAGGCCAACTCAGCCCATGTCTTAAGCTCCTTTGACTGAAGTTTTTTGATGAGTTCAAACAAGGTGAATGTGCTGAAGCTCTTGCCCTCGCTCTTTGGCGGATTTCGAAAAGCGTCCCTAAGGGCGGCTGTGTCGGTCTCCAAAGGTACGGCTGGATTACAGTAGAGGATGAAACTCACGTAGGCATCATCGATAGAGGCACTCGTGACACCTCTTTGAGGCAAAATGGGCCTTACTAGCCCTGATGATCTAGGCGTATCATTTTTTGCCGGAGACGGAAGCGGGTTAAGACGACGAGATCCGTTAGTTGGTGTAGAGAGGGCCATCTTAGTATCATAAGATAGCAAAGCCTAGCATGATCCCCATAGATGAATGATTGATGTTTCTGTAACAATAGCAATAGAAGAACCGAGATGAGATGAGATGAGATACGGTGGAATAAATGGCGGGACCTTGTGACTAGATGCGGGTTTAGCGGTTTGATGCAATGGCCGTTATGTTGTTTATGCTGTTGGGTTATTTATTATGTGAGCGTAAGTACCCTAACCTAGGTAGGTAGAGGAGTAATATAAACTTGAATGAGATAAGATCAGTAGATATCTACTCATGTAAGTTACATACTTAGTATAGGTAGGTAAGTATGTAGTAACTTAAGTAAGTAAGATGATATGTAGGTAGGTAGTAAGTAAGTAAGTAAGTAAGTAAGTAATCAAGTTCTGTAAGTAGATGTTGTGTAGGGGGTATAAACGTTTCAAACGGATAGACTAGGTACTTAGGTTTCTAGGGTACCTAGTAGGTACTATGTAGGCAAATCTGATATTATTGGGAAAATGCGGGTTTGTAAGTAAGAATAAAGTTTAAACGAGAAGAGGTTTAAAAGAAGGCTTCATAAAAGATGTTTCCCAATGTTCAATACACTGCCATAATCCAATACCTATTGACTATGCCGAATTCTATTTTGAGAGCGTAATGGCGGAGGCTGGTGGCACGAGCGCACGGCTGTTTTAGATGGACCGGGAGTTGCAGACTGCAGTTGCATTGGCTGTGGCTATTTTTGGATACTTTTAGCATACTAATCCACGTGACACCCTAATTTCTATATTGCTTAGAAGTTAACCTTAGAGCCTTAAACGGAGAAAATGGCCCCCGAAATAACCCCTGAAACCCCCAAAACCCTCCCCCCAATAACCCCCGCCAAAGTCCCCCCTTTACAGGGCTGGAGAACCAACGCGATTTGTTTTTGGATGACTGCAGAAGATAGTGAGTTTGTGGTATCAACTTTATTGGATAAATGAACCCAAGGTAGGATTGCGGCGGGCGGGTTTATATAAGCTGCATGATACTAGGAAATCCATTATGGATAGTGATTGATCATTATATGATCATTATATCACACCGTTACAGGCTTTTCAGCTGCAGACTGCAGTTCTTGAAACTGGTACTACACCGTTTGCTCAACAAGTTACTATGTAACTAGTAGTATGCACCAAAAGTATGTATGCATATAACTACTTAATACCCTAGGTAGGTACATACATGTATGCATATTCGCATGTGACAATTTAAAGACGAAAAGGTTGAAACCTTGAACTTTGAAGTGATAAAAAAAGAGAGCTCAAAAAAGAAGATTGAACATTGAAATATTGAAACATTGAAACATTGAAACATTGAATCTCTGACGAATTAGATAAAGATGCGGGGCAAAAAATGCCGGGGCTAACATGGGGGATAAACACCGACCTCGTGCTAGATGGAGATCGACTTGACAAGTTGCTCTCTTGTGATGCAATCGGACCTCGGCTTCGAACCCCTTCGTTCCCTACCTTCGGCTTCGTCATTCCAACAATGTACAAATTCTACATACACTATGTACTTCAAATGAATCCTTTTCTTCTTTTTTATCTCTTTACATCTTATTCCTAAACTTTATTATCATCCAACTTGTAATCCTATCTACTAGTTCTACTTCTTTTCCTAATTCTACTCTTAGTCTTGATTATCCTCAGCTATCTACAAGATAGACAGACACCAAGTCGGAAATGTCATCACCGAAACCCGCCCTACCGCAGAATGACAATGTCGCGCACGCCCTCGCCGGCGCCGGCGGAGGAATCCTTTCTATGGTCTTGACGTACGTCTAACAATAAAAATGATATGGCGAAAGGAAGAAAAAGAATCTAACAAGCTCCCCTTCTCTTCACAAACAGCTACCCCCTCATCACCCTCTCAACACGCGCCCAAGTAGAATCGAAACGAGCCGAGACGCCCTTCCTCGCCGCGGTACGGCAGATAGTGGCACGCGAAGGCGTAGCAGGCTTGTACGCGGGGCTCGACAGCGCTGTCTTCGGCATTAGCGTGACCAACTTCGTGTACTACTACTGGTACGAATGGACGCGGGGGTCTTTTGAGACTGCGGCCATCCGCGCCGGCCGCGCCTCGAAGAAGCTGACCACCATCGAGGCCATTATTGCCGGCGCCATCGCCGGCTCCGCGACCGTCATCTTGACGAACCCCATTTGGGTGGTGAACACGCGCATGACGACGCGCAAGGGCCAAGTTGAGAAAGAGAAGGAGGGGAAAGATTTACAAGCCAGCTCCACCGAAGTAGCCAGTAGCAGCACCAGTAGCAGCGCGACCGCCGTGAGCAGCAGCTTTGCCCCGGAGAGCAAGAAGAAGCCCACTACCATCAGCACCCTTATGGCGCTACTCCGGGACGAAGGTCCCCAAGCCCTTTTCCGGGGCGTCGTGCCCGCCCTCGTCCTCGTCATCAACCCGATCCTGCAGTATACGCTCTTCGAACAACTTAAGAACGCGTACGAGCGACGGCGCAAGCACAACGTCCCACCTTCCGTCGCCTTCTTCCTCGGCGCGATAGGCAAGCTGTTCGCGACGTCCATCACGTACCCCTACATCACTGTTAAGAGCCAGATGCACGTTGCCGACGACGAAGGCCAAGGACGAAAGCGCGAGGGCATGACGGCGGCCATTCGACGTGTTGTGCGGGAAGAGGGGTATGCTGGGTTGTATAAGGGTGAGCTTTCCTTTTTTCCCCTTTTCTTATCCTTGTGGCCTCCATCATATTTTCTCTTCCTTTTTCTTTTACATAGTGCAATAGAGTCACCAACTAACGTTTATTCGTTTGATAGGAATCGGACCTAAGGTCACCCAGAGCGTCCTTACAGCCGCCTTCCTATTCGCCTTCAAGGACGTGCTATACGAGCAAACCATCAAGCTTCGAGGCAACATGGCCAGAAAAGCGCTCAAGGCATAAGGGGGTTCTCCCTTCTACTGTGCGGGAACCAGCACGCAATAAGCCGTGTTGGGGTCCCTGGAAATAAATTGTATATATTATAATCCCCCCCTTTTTTTCATCTGGGGAGACGCGCCTGGGGGCAAATTTATCGTCTCTTGGCGTGTATCGCGGTTTGTTCCATCTGTATCTAGGCACCTACCTAACCTAGGTATCTATCATTAAAAGAAGGGTACTCGGGGTTGGGGGAAATGGTTACCGGATTTTCTTATTATTATTCGTTTGTGTGGTGGAGTTGTAAGAAGCAAGAATCCCAAAGTACCTAGGTGTGTATGATGAGTAATAGTAGCAACGGGGACAGGATGTGGAAGGCTATGTTAAGTTCTCATGTAATAACACCCAGTGGGGTATATGGGTTCTACGAGGAGAACTAGGAGATACCCCTGAATCGAGAAAAAGAATGTTTTAAATGCACATGGCACTTGACCGAACCATCATCTTCTAACAGTATCTAGTCTGTAGTAACTCAACCGGTTTTCGAGCAGACAAAATCCGCCCTTGCGAAACTAGGTTCCATTTATCTACAAGGCAGCCCATCTACACCTAGACATGACGACCCCTAATCCAACTATCCTGGGCGGGCAGGTCCCGCGAATATAATCACGCCTTAGGAGTCAGTTTAGGCACAATCCACCAATCATGATATGCCTTTCCAGGCTTTGGCATCTCAACTTGGAGGCCCAGCTCCATCTTGCCCTCTTCTTTACCGCCCGCGTTCTCAAATGCGCGCTGTAGCGTTGACACAGCTATTCCCGCGGCTATGGCGGCTTTAAGGCAGTTCTTCGTGTTCACAACCCACGAGTCGTGCGCTCCTACGCAAAAGGCCTGGGTGTCAGACATCTTACTCAAGGCCTCATATCCTTTCTTAGCACCGCCGATAGCGCTCTCGGCGTACTTGAGCAATTCGTATATCGTAGTCTCAGGTTGTAGGGTGGCGCGTGTGAATTCACTAAATGTTGGGAGTGCCGGTAAGGCGATATGTCGAAAGGGTCTCATACGTAGATCATATCGCAGCGTGTCGGTGCCATAGGGGCGCTGCGGTGTTTGGATGAGGTCTAGACGCTGAAGTGCCGTGTATAGGCAGCATAGGCCGTCGGCAAACTCCCACGTGCACGCTGCGTCGAGCATAGTTACGCGTAAATACGCTAAGGACTGCATGTACTCGCGCTCCTTGGCCGCTGTGTACTGCGGAAGCTGCTGCTCTGTGGCGCCGCCAGATTTACTAATTAGACCATAACGTGCCTCGTTGAGGCTGCGTGTCGTGAACGACTTTATGCGGTCGCCATGTTGCGCGCGCGTCTTGGCTAGATAGTTCAGATACCAATACATACCAGCAAGCTCGTCCGTTTGGTATACCTCAAGCTCAAAGCCGAGCTGGACAACCCATTCCATCTGTCTAAGCTTGTAAATATACGCCCACGAAGAGAGGGGAAGTGAGAAGCCTAGCTCGCTCCTGTCTGTTGTGAATGGTTTCTCTTCAAGAACGACCTGGAGGAGTTGGTCAATCTCCTCAGCGTCTGCTTGGAGCATGTCCCACTCTTGGATATTGTGACAGAGTGTCCGGCGCACTCTACATCTGTTCTGACAGAATATCCTGAAAATGTCCAAGTAGCACTCAGCCACCCGTTGTCGGAAGATCTCCATCTGCGCCGCAGTCTGGTGTCGTGGATCAGCTAGAACCTCTATATGATCGTAAGAGGGGTCAATTTGAGGTGCGCAGGGCAATACTACAATGGAAAGATCGTGGTCGATTATCTGTCGAATACTATAGTTGCCAAGAACGACCATCTCTTTGAATAGCAGACTTTGAAGTAATGCTCTGATGTAGACTAGAGGTTGTGGCTTCCTCGACTGAAACAATGAGACGAAATTCTGGAGCGTAGTAGTTAGTTGGACAAGTTTACAATAAATGAATTGAATTTGGTACTCTACCAATAGACTCTGTGGTTCCGAATATTTCAGAATGTCCATAATGTCAACCCCATCACGAAACAAGCGCTCGAATAGATTATAGCACTCTTCGAAGCTAGGCTGGACCATGGGACGTGGGGGCATCGTACTAGCAAGCCGTCGTTGTAGCTTGGTGCTGAAGGCTTCTGGCACTGGCTTTCCCAAGGAATGCTGCTTTTTAATATGCTCAATTAGACCGCCCATCTGAATCCAGGGCATTTTTAAGGAGTCCGGGTTCGCTGTACGCAGGCCTGCCAAGTCGATGGCTCTTAGAAATGCTATGCGTAGCTCAAGCCGGATGTCAAGGGCCGTGGCAATATCCTTGATGGCATCATTGCTAATGGCGCGAAGGTCACTTCGAGCCTTTTGTAGTAGATTATTGATGGGCCCAACAGGTATATCAATGAGAAGCTGGCGGTCGTACGTGTTGGTCACGAAATCTTCTTCCTGTATTTTGTTAGGTTCTTTATCTAGGTAGGTATTTATTAGAAGTGTGCGACTAGCTCACCTCATAGTAAAGTTCATCTTTGACCATCTCGTTCACAATACAACACGACTTAAGGAGCGCAACGCAATATGCTCGTAGAATGAACATAAATTTGGGTTGCTCTGCTTGGCTCTGAGTATCTCTCACGAAGTTTGCCTCGTCTATATTCGTTGGAGTCGGCTTCAATAGAGACTCTATGTAGACACTCGTGAATAGAGTCTGTGAAAGGGGGTAACCAAGATGCCAGGCCATCTGATAGGAATTCCCAAGTCAGAACGAGGATAACCAAGACCAGAAGTTTTGTATGAGATATCAATTGATCTGGAACCAACCTCGAGACATAGTAGTTGGTCAATAATGCCAAGAATCTCCTCCGGGAGTAGATCACGGGAGACGTCATATTCCTCGTCTAGAGACTCTCCTTCTGCTAAAACGCCACTGTCCATTTTAGGGTCCATAACCTTTGATTACTGTTAGTGACTTGTTTCTGACATGGCTCTGTAGACTATAACATATAGTGCTCATAGTCTTTTAGTATTTTAGTATTTACCTCGAGAGCCGCCACGGACTCGAAAAGCGTGAAGTGCTCATCTTTGACAAGCTCGCCAGGAGCTAGGGCTACTCATTCAGTTAGCAAGATGGCAATCTCCAAATGTCTGTAGCTGTTTTCGGTAAGAATATACATACTCTTCACGGCGGATGTGAACTTCTTGGTGATATCGGTAGCCATGACTCCGGGATGCGAGATACTTGGTGGAGGTGACATTGGGTCAAGTTGCTGCTGCATACTGACTCGATGACTTGATTTGACTACCTATAATAGGCACTCAGTATCGTGGGCCCCGCCTAAATTATACCATACACACACTTTTTCTGTTGTTCCATGAGCAATAGAATAATGAATTTAGACAGTACTGATATAGGTACTGTGCCAATAATTTAAGAGGTATTGATCATTTCACGAGTCGATTCGATATTATGTATGCAGTGATGTAATGAGCGGCTTTACGGCTGGGGCGGAAGATACTACCATGTACATAAATGTATATGTAATTTGTCGAGTTTGAGTTTGAGTTTGAGTTTTTAGCGTTAAAATATAACTACCTAGTTAGTACAAAATATACTATGTACTATGTAGTTACATTGTAGTATACCTATTACCCAGGTAGTTAAGCACAAGCATAAATAAATATGAGCTCATAAATATTGCTATCAACTGATGATGGTAAACATGAATGAAATTTTTGAATTAATCATCTAATCAATTGATTTGTCCGATAAATATAGACTTACTAATACTACATAGGGTAGTAGACCACTAGACGTGATGTCCTTTTTTGATTTTGATATATTTTATATATTTTATGCTTCTAGTCTTATTCCTTGTGCCTTGTTACCTACACAACCTAAAGTACCTACCCACCTTTTTACTGTTGAGATGATATGGGATATGGGATATGGGACAATAGAACGAGAGCTGTAAGCGCAACTCTATAAAGCGAATTAATATGGTTTGTTGGGGGAAACGTTTTATTTCTTTTATTTTATATAGCTGTACACGCGAGGTAGTAGGATGGATAGTGCACAAGTCCTCAATTTTGTCTAGGTATCCATTCCCTATCCCACATCCGTATCCGCATCCGATTGCCCGGAGTTATGGTCCTCCTCACCTCCAAGCGCTTATTACATAGTGCATGTGGAACAGGTTACGTAGAACCACTGGAGGCGGACGAAGCAGCAGCGGCGGCATTGGCTTCAGCTAGAGGTCTCGGCTCGCCCATCTTGCCGTTCTATCAATTGAGGCATAAAACAGTCAGCCACTACTTCTTTCGACACTCACTTTCTTCTACTCAAAGGGTAGTTCAACTCACCTCCCACTTGGCAAATCGTAGCTCCATCCCTCCTCGGCGTTCGGCAATCAATCTCTTGTCATCCTTTAGACTTCGGCGCACGACGCGGGATGCGACGGCGAGGTAGCGGTTGTAGCTATTAGGTTAGATGAACGGTTAGTAGGAAACTCGAGCGTCGGAAACGTCGTAGCGGCAAATAGGATGTGGCTTTTTGGAAAGAATAGAAAGAGATATAGACAAGAAAAGGCTCACCTGAGACCAGCGGCTTTCCACGCAAACACCATGTTGACGATCGCGAGAGTGAATTGAGGAATTGTGTATTAATTAAAGGTTCGTTGTTTGTAGGAAGCAAAACGGAAAGCTTGCGGCAGAAACCGAGAAAGGCCGCTAGCAATTAGCAAATGGGCCAAGCTCTCACGTGATCTAACAACCTCTTCACCCTTCCAGCCTCATTACATACATACCTAGGTAGGTACATATTCGGTTTGCTATATAACTTAGGTGCATAGTACGCATAAACATACATATAGTATGTATATACGGAACGAACATGAGCTGACACAATATACATGTATCAATAGACCTACATGTACTTGATTAAACGAGTTACTAGGTACGATATTGGTAGTTTACACTTCGAAAACCGAATTCTAAGGGATTTACTATATGCACAGGTGGTGACTCGACTTCTCTCTAAGGTGTTGGGTTTATCTGTTGGTACACTTGGATTCCCAGTTCAATATTTCTCCCTCTATACCTTGAGACCAAGCTCCTCTGCAAATGGCAGTACGTTAAGGTCACCCACGGCAGCCACAGTAGCCTTACCGTCGATAAGAGACTTCGCTGTCTAGAATGATAGTCAGTAATTGTGTTGCATGTATACATACATACATACATACATACATATATATATATGTATGTATATAAAGAAATAAGGGGAGAAAAGGAGGTGATTGCTTACGGTCTTAAGTTTGTCTGCTGTGACTCCATCAACTGATTTGACATTCTCGGCAATCTGGAACGGCTTGCCAGTGTGAATGATACCCGAACCAGCAGATAGGAGTGTTGATACGCCGGATTGACTGGCCTCTAACGCGTCAAATTTGGCCTTGGCGATCGCCTTGGTCAAGTCCTCTTTGCTAACAGTTCCCTCTGAGATACTCTTGAGAGCCTTGACTGCCTCCTCACCCGCTTTTCGAACCGAAGCGGCAGCCCCAGTGATTTGAATGGTAAGCAGGCCAGCATCAGAGTAAGCAAGGTTGGTTCCCGAGGCAGCAACTCCAGGAGCTGACGCAGCAGCCTTGGATAAGAGAGTGAAACCAGGCGACCATTTGACATTGGGCTGGCCACCAAGCAGCGCAGCCAAGACTGCAATCTCAGGCTTGAACGTACCGAAGCTAGAGCCAGGGAAGGCAATGACCAAAGAGTTTCCGGCCGTATGGGCGGTGCGCTGCTCGCCACCATGGTATTTCGTTGGCTTCGTGTTAAGCTGCGCGGGACCAGATGGCGATGCAGGCACACTCTCGAAGAACTGCTCGGTCCACTTGTGCAGAGCAGCCGTCGAAGCGCCATCTCCAACAAGCGCGATGTTCGACTTGGCGTAAACGGACGCGGCATAGTCGGCAATGGTGTGCTCGTTTAGGCTCTTAAGAGGGGTAGACGGGGTCGGATATAGGGAAGCGCCAAGGCCAGTGTGGAAGGCAACAGAGTGTGCCGCGTCGAGAGCGAGGGCGGAAACATCGTGGGCAAACTTTGCCTGTTTCAACTTTAGGACCCTTTGGACATCTTCGTGGTATTCGTGGGCTGTGGGTAGTAGAAAATAAGTACATGGTTATGCGCCAATGGATCGAGACTACCCACTGGAATATTTGGTACCAGAGATGACCTCGGCCAACAGCTCGGTGAAGTAAGGAAGGTCCTCTCGTAGAAAACTTGCCTCGAGGACTAACGCTTCTCGGGTGTGGTATGCGAGTAATTGGCCTCCTAGAAGCTCGGCTTCTCGTACAATGCGTAGGGCGAGTCTCCTTTGAGTGTTCTACCAAATTTTACAAATAATTAGCTCACGACGAAAGCAATCGTATTAGACAGAGACTTACTTTGAAGGCGAACTCCTCCAGACCAACAGTGAGGCCTGGGGAACCTTGATATCTAGTGCCTGCCTTGGCGACAACAGCAAGTTTCGTTGTTGGGCCGTGGGAGTCTCGGGCAGCGACTTTGACACCAGTAACTTCAGTGGTATCAAAGCTCAAAGGTGATGGTGCAGAAGATGCAACGGCAGCATAACCTCGACGCTGAGCAAGTTGAGAACAGCCTTGCGTGCGGGCAGCAAGCTGGGCACCTCTAGAGAGAGCCGATCTAGAAAGCATTTTCTTGACAATGTCGTCGACAATTGACGATTTGAAAGTCTGCGACAACGGCTTTCGGGATTTTTTTCTGGATCGTTTAAAGGCTACTTGCAAGGTACGGTACGGTACCACCAAAAGTTGACGCAAAAAGATCAATTGATGCTCAATTCCGGTAGATTATCGGTTACAGGTTGGTGGCACCGGCGTCGTACCATGTAGCCTAGGTCCGATGTAAGATGTACATATGTATTTGAGGCTTAAAAAGGTTAGAGTGTGGTCAGCCACTTGCTAGCGATTGTCATTGGCCAAAGTTTGAATTTAGTTAGAACTTGAACTTTCTTGAAGTAAGTACGATGTACATACGTATTGTACATACTACATACATTGTACATACGTATGTACCATTGTACTGTGTACATGTATACTAGGTACCTACATGGGGAAAGAAGAAAGAACTTGATCCTTGAAAGATGGAAGAGAAAAAAACTTTCGAGGCGGGGCGCTTTTCAATTCAAAAAATGACATTGTTCAACTCATTTGCATTATGTACCTTAGTTACATGTATAAAGTTTTACTATGAACTACTAGGTAGGAAAGCTGTAGCCATTTAACTAACTAATAATAGTTGTTCATAACTATGATTCTCCGCTATCCTAAAAATTTAGGTAAATACATAGCCTTACCTAGTAGCTACATACATATGTAGTACAACATACAATAAGCATATGCACGTCGAACGAACTCGAAATTTATTTTCTTTTCATCAATGTTGATTTTGCTCTGTATTGATTGAACCTTTTCTCTATCTATCTACAACAACATCAGCCTTAACCAACCATCTTTGCGACCTGGTATATTTACTTCAAAATCATCCATCTACATTCTCAGACAGATTTCACATCCGTCAGAGAAGTCGCTCTTTTCCCCTTTTCTACTCGGCCTTTCAATGAAGCCGCGGTAGTATTTGTAGAGCTCTAGAGATAGTGAGAGGATCTCTAGAAGCCACCTCCTTCGATAAATTGACCCATCCTATCGAACTACCTTTTTTATATCGCCGCGCCACCATACAAGTCATATAGCAATCACAAGATACCCATACTCAGCCATGTTAGTGGTAAGTTAACGTCCAATGTTTTTACTTCCTCTGGCGACTTTGCGTTGATTCTTTTCTTGTTCTCTTGACTCGAGATACTAACAAGATTCTACATTACTAGACTAAAAATGTTGCAGAACTTTGCGTTCTGCTAATTAGTGAGCTCTATGGCCAACTCCCGTCGGTATGTCATATGTCATATATAGTACTTCCTTCAGGCAATATCATCTAGGATGTCCACCCAGCACATTATGCATTATGACTAACAAGCTTGGCACCCCAGCGCATCTTCGCAGACCTTCTAGGACGTGGGAGATCGACCGTTGTGCAAGTAGCGCAACATATCTCTTTAAACCCGCGACAAGTGCGTCATGGGGTTGCTGTACTTATCCAGTTGAATCTCATCTTCCACCAAACAGACCAGGACTCAGGTGTGACATATTACGATGCAAACCCCTACGCCGCCTATAGCCTTGTCCGAATTGGAAAGGTACTTGATATGATTCGCACCAAGTACGGAAGCACTGCCCATACTCTAGTACACGAAGTCCTCGTCCAAGGCCATGCCAAGATTGAAGACCTTGTCCAGTTCTTTCAGGGCCAGAATAACACTCAGCCAGAACTTACCAATGGCACATCCCAAAATGGTCATGATCATAGCCATGTCAATGGAAACAGCACCAGCAATGGTACCAGCAATGGCACTAGTAATGGTACCAGCAATGGTACCAGTAATGGCGCCAGCAATGGTGTAGTCAACTTGGAGATGATGGATGAAGATCTTGATCAGGAGCAAGAAGCCTACGATAGTCTTGCGCATCTTATTGCTATCGGCATTCTTGAACCGGTCACTCCAACAAAGTATCAGTCTCCACAGGATTTAAAGAGCACAATAGAACAAAAGGTCATGACGGAGCATTATCCTACGGGTCTTCGGGGATCTAAGCAAACTTCTGAGTTCGAAAAGATGGTCAAAGAAGAACTGAGGAGATCTTACAGCCAAGGCACCGAACTAAAGACGAGACTCAATCTTGAGATTTTGGCCAACCCTATTTCTAAGCGAAGGAAGTTAAATAACGGTACAACATATCATACACTTGTCAGCGAAAAGGCCAGATCGTTCCTACTACACGAAGTGAGTCTCACCTTGCAAAGGATGCTCTTATGATAAAGGTTGCTGATTTTCTTTCTAGTATGACACGGTCCTCAGAGTGAATTATGAAAAATGTACAGTTGAACTTCGTAATCTTAAGCTGGAACGTTACGCTGAAGACTTAATTGGGGACACTACCGCACGTGTGTATGCGACACTACTTGCCGTATTAAGTAAAAAGATATCTCGCTGTCAGGTTGATGGATCCATCGAAGCCGAAGACGAAGACGAAGACCACGAGTCCTCTACAGGACCTATCGTCACTTCTCGGGAAGTATTTGAGAATCTTGATCCAGCTATCTGCCTGTCAACTGGGATTGGGATGCCTCACGAGGAGGGGGCCGTGGATATTCGGTTTGCCGAGAAGATTCGAAGATACCCCCCCCAGCTTAAGGGCTCGACGCTCAGAGACATGCTAGAGGAAGGGGAAGAGCTCATAGAATCTGATGATGAGGACTACGACCAGAGTGCAGAGGCAGCCGCAAACTTTGGACAGAATGGCTCAAATGGGCTCGAAACCGACGAGGACGACAACGTTCCAATAGGCACACAACGGTTGCATCAAATGCGACAACATCTATTGATTCTTGCAGAGAGTCGGCAGGGCTTTGTACGCCATTGCGGTGGACACGACTTTGGCGAGTGGACAGTTGATTTCGAACCGCTCATGCAACATCTTAAATACCTGGAGCTTGATACGCTGATCGAGAACCGCTTTGGCCGTCAGGGTTTACGCCTCACCCGAATCCTCCGAGAGAAGGGCAAGATCGATGACAAGACATTGCCTACCCTAGCCCTCATGAAGAAGCCAGACGTGCATGTCAAAATGGCAGAAATGGAGATGGCGGGATTTCTTGACGTACAGGAGGTTCCCCGGGATAACAACCGCTTGGCGGCTCGAACGATCTTCTTCTGGTTCTTCGACCTAGAGAGAACTCTGCAACGAACTTTAGACAACACCTACAAGTCAATGGTACGCTGCTTTCAGCGACTAGACGTTGAGCGTCGCAAGAAGAAGGAGGTGCTCTTGGCCGTTGGACGCACGGACGTGCGAGGATTGGAAGAAGAGAGGTTACGGGGCGACCAGTATAATGAATACGTTGGATTCCTCGATATTGAGAAGAAGCTACTCGGTCAAGTCGCGCGACTTGATGATATCGTTGCTATATTCCGAGACTTCTAAGACTGGTTGTCACGTTTGATACCATTAATTCAAGGATAAAATACCTAGGTTAGGTAGTTTTGCATTGCACGGTGGCGTTGGCTTGTAGCCTGGGGGTTCAAAATAGCATCATGATGGCATTTCAGGCGGCGTTTGCTTCCACGACTTCTTCTATTGTCTACCTAGTACCTAGGTAGGTACTATTTGAACCATGAGGGGCATATGAGACCATTTTCAAGCACATCAAATTATTTTCCGGTATGATGTCTATATAAATCAAAAGTTTGTATGAATATCTTTGGATGATGGATATTGCAATGCATGTATTAGGTGTATTCATACTACATAATTCATACATATTATCCAACCTAGTTACTATGCACATGATGTAGAAACTGAACTGCAGATGTGCCAAGGTCTAATAGATAGTAGATACGCAGGTACAGTGATACTAGGTAGAGGGGTATGGAAAACTAAGGTTATCGCGTCAGCGATAAGCCCTGATCAACCAGGGGTCCCTTGGAGCTTCCCTCAAGCTCCCCCACTAGTTTTACAGTTTAGTGGTCAATCAATTTGATAATAATATCTCGTTTTTTTTTTTTTTTTTTTTTTTTTTTGCGATCAAAATTTTGTTCTCGAGACCTTCACCCCTCTCCAAGTCCACAGCCATTCGCATACTCGCAGCTCCTGTTTTACCTTAGCTGTCTCCTTTGGTCCATTTATCTGGTATATTTACCTACATTGTTTAGTAGTATCCATATCTACAGCATTCGGAATTTACCAGATCATCCCACATTCGTAATTCACAATGGCGCCGATGGTAACTGGCAAAGAGCGCGAGTCTAATCTCGCTCGGCTCCTCGGTTCAGGTAGGCTAGCTACTATGTTCGCTTCTATGAGGACATCTATCTAACAGAATATAGGGTCCGCCGGTATTTCCGAACTGGCTGTCTTTCATCCCGTGCGTTTCTCGTCGTCTCGAAATGTTGCGCCGCAAGGCTAATCAATCCAAAGGTCGATACTATTGCAAAGCGATTAATGAGCAATCAGACGAAGGTGAGAATAGCTAGATAATACTTAATTCTTAGAGGCTATAACATATTAACTGGTTTAAAGATTAAGAATGCCAGCGAGCTGAACAAGGTCATCTTCAGGGAAACGGCAGATGCCACCTTTGGGCGGAAATTCTTCTCGCTCTTCCCCGGTCTTGGATATGCGGCAGGGTATAAGGTCTTGCAGAGAATATACAAGTATGGTGGTCAGCCAATTGCCAGAGATTATCTTGCGAAACACTACGGGGGTGACTTTGAAAGTGCATTCGGGAAGAAGACTGGCAAGGCGATTATGCATTCAACTGCTGGAAGGTACGGTTTTTGCTGTGAGTAGTTGATGCTTACTTTGCTAACATATCTTAGTCTGGTCGGTATCGGCGAGATCGTCTTACTTCCTCTAGATGTTCTCAAGATCAAGCGTCAAACTAACCCAGAGGCATTCCGAGGACGAGGTGTCCTTAAGATTGTCACGGACGAAGGTTTTGGGCTATATAGAGGTTGGGGATGGACGGCGGCTCGGAATGCCCCAGGATCCTTCGCGGTATGTCTAGCCGCACAACTCTCATTTTCTTCCACTAACTCATAACAGCTCTTTGGTGGCTCCGCTTTCACCAAGGAATATCTCTTCCACTTGAATGACTATAATAAGGCTTCGTGGTTCCAAAATTTTATCGCCTCTATTGCCGGCGCCTCGGCATCTCTACTTGTCTCGGCTCCCCTGGATGTTATCAAGACCCGTATCCAGAATCGAAACTTCGAGAACCCTGAGAGCGGCTTCCGAATCTTATCCAATATGGCCAAGAACGAAGGGTTGTCAAGTTTCTTCAAGGGCTTAGTACCCAAGGTATGAATCTCGAAACTATACTATCTCGAAATCATTACTAATGTCCCTTACAGCTCCTCATGACGGGACCCAAGCTTGTATTCTCCTTCTGGCTTGCCCAGACGCTCATCCCATTGTTCGACACGATGATGAAATAGGGAGCTCTTCGAGTTGGTCAGACAACACACGATGTGTGTTGGCTGCCTAGGTGTGTAATGTAACGATAGATTCAAGGCGTCGATGGTCCATTGCTATGTATGTATATACGAACGAGCCGGCGTTTTCACGGGCATGGACAATGTCTCATAGCACTGCGAGGGCGGGTTTCAATCGGGTTGGACTTGTATTAGACATTTACGAAGACTTTCGACGGCCGGGTAGGTAAATAGAAGGGTTCTGTTTACATATCTGCTACTTACCAAGGTACATACCTACCATAGCTAGGATGAAATGAATTAAAAAAAAAACTCAACTCCAATTAAAATGTCCTTAGAATTAGACGATATGTCCCTAAATATATACATATACGCTTATGGTTTTGCAGTAATAAGACAACCTTCGAAGTGTTCTTGGTAGTTTTAGTAACGCTTTAAAAGTTATAAACTGACCTGTTTCGTTGTCTACCTACGTAGTACATAGTAGATACCTATAATAGCAAGACTTTATGAGTGGTCATCATAAGTCCATATATAGGGGATAAAGAAGCCCGTACTAAAAGTTTTAGCCCTCCTACCAATGTAGATCATGCTATAATTAACCGCGGGTTTCTTCATTGGTGGGATCTTTGTAGTAGCTAGCCCCTATCTGGGTTCAACAGAGAAACAACAACGGCTTGGCGGCTAACTACTACATAGTAGATAAGTATCCTTACAGTATAATAGGTAGAACGTGATATAATGATATAACTCGCCTGCAGTCTTTGGAAATAGTACCTACTGTAGACTGGTAGGCTAACTATTGATCTGCGAGGAGGAAAATTGTATCGAATCACGGCGGTAAGAAATCATGATTAAATATTAACTATCATAATTGTCATCTAAGAGCAGCATCGTATGTCTCACCATATAGGTATATGCACACTCGAATAATTTTCATAGCCATCGTTCCGTGTAGTCCTTTCATAGCGCAGAGAAATAGTTCTACTAGTAATGCGAATCAAACATACTTACAGCTGTGCCAAACTGCATCTCGCTTCGCTGCATGTGTTATATTTCCGTTCCCTTGAGTTCCGACCGAGGAGCAACACCCGAAAGCTCTGCAGTATTGTTTCGTGGATATGAATAAGACGAAGCGGCTATCTCGGTGTGCTCTGCGGGCTTGTAAGCTTCTGGAGACGGCCACCACTGCTGCTGTATTGGAGGCCCTGGGTTCGCGTTCGCTTGGTTGGTCCGTTTTCGGACCTGGAACGCAAGGAATACCACAGCTCCGATGAGTGCTAGGCCTATAGGTATTCCAACACCAAGACCGATAGATAGATTTCTGTTGTCGTTGTTCGATGTCGGTGCAGAGGTCTCAGGTGGCGTAGACTCGTTGGCGGCGGTGGCAGAATTGCCAGAGGATGCCATACTGGATGGTGATGCTGTACTAGAGGATGCCGTGCTGCTGCTAGCCTCAGTGGGCGGGTTGAACATCTGAGTCCCAACTTCGAGGACGAACGTTTGAACCCCTAGGTCCTCGCAGCAAGTTATTGACCTATTGTTACCACAACAGTGCGATTGCCCTTCACAACGCCACAAGAAGTGAAGCCCTGCCGCATCGCCTAGTGGGAATGGTTAGCCTAAGACCCATCCTCTCATATCATTCTGGGCCCTGCCACTCTCCCGGGCCGCACGGCACAAGTACCTACTCTGAGTTCCGCCGCAGTAATTCTGACACGGCTCTCCCCAACCTTGATCCGTACAGCCCTGTTGGCTGATCATATTATCGATTACGGCGTCCATACAAAGCCCATTGGACATGCAAAAGTCACGGGGACTACAGCAATTGGTAGCTTTGGCGGTGGGATCGCACGGCAGCCAGGCCTCGACTGGCTCATCGTTAGTGAACGTCCATCGAAGGCCTCGGCTATTGTAGCACGTCGCCGCTACTGCTGGGCTGGCCAACCAGCTCAGAATAAGCCATAGTAAGGGAAGTATTTGGAGGTGCCGGCAGGTTGACATGTCTGTTGCCTGTATCTCGCAGAGAATGAAACTGATACGAATGAAATCGACCTGAGAACCTGACTAAACGGTCGGTAGGAGCCAAAGGCCCGAGTTTTATTCTCTGCTTGTTCCATAGTCCTACTCAACACCCATGTCCTCATCGACAAAAAAATCCCACGGAGGGGTGGGGTGTGAAGAATATCAAACGCACATATTCGGGGATGTTATGGAAGGATTCTTCAGCGCCTCCCCAAGACTAGGATTATCATTCCAGGGTTGTCCCCTAGAAAAGGAGTTGTTGGTTCGAAAAGGATATCGAAGTGCATTAGCCTTAATTATTTAAATAGCCTTATAATTCAACTACATACCACGCCATACCCGAATCTACCTGCTCCTCAGTAAGCCGACCAAACCACAACACGATCCGTGCTTCAGATGCGTGTGTCACGGCATGTGGCCTTATAAAAGTGGTCTCGACTAATAAGGGATAGATATTCGCTCTGTTGGCGTTTACATAGTAATAATCTACACAGTATTAGTCAGTCTTCTCAACGAGGATAATGCAGCGCGTTTATGTAATCGCATTCATTGGAGGAATGCACTTCAACGACTACTTACAACCTACCTAACCTAGTGGAAGAAGATATTTAATTTATAGTTGCCCTTACTTAATAGGTATTGTACATACATAGCTAACTAATAAGTGTAGACGTGGAGGTTATTAGTTATGCTCAGCTGAGGGCTTCGGATTTGCCAGCACTGCTTGGGTAACGCTGGATATCGAGTCCTAAAATTCATAAGAGTAAATATCTACTAGGTACTGATACTCCAACATCCTGAACTGTGTATATCCTAGACACGGTATTTTGGGTCTCGAAAATGTCGTGTAAGATATCATTTAATTATGTTATAACATTACCGCCTCAGCGCAGAAAAGGGTTGAGACGTACAATGCCTTTATGGAACACGCATAGGGTCGAGTCCATTGAGAAATACATATAACTATGTACATTGTATGTTGTATACTGTAAGTCCCGAGCGTGGCCCACACAAGCCTGTCACAAGGTACATACTGCACATACGAGAAGTGGGCGAGATGGAAAGAAACTCGTGGGGATCGAGATAACCGTACCTAGTACGAAGTCCCTCTGGTGCAAACCTGTGGTGCAATCCAATCATCAAATCGCAGGACGTGCTGAAAACGAATTTGGGGAACTATCTACATACATAGATAGTGAGTGAGCCAATGAGAGGAAATGCGGTAAGTAATATGTACGGCGTAGTATTAATATAGTTATGGAAAGTGGTGACGGTGAGGGCTGATTAGTGTAGTGATGAACCACAATAGATCAATGTGACGAGCACGTCCTACGAGCACGTCCTGCAACTTGAAGAGTGGGAAATGGGAAATGGGAAATGGGAAATCCGGAGTCGAGAGAGTTGCAAGGTCTACAAAACCTAGGTACAATGGTACATACCCTAGGTACCTAACCTAGTAGGTAACTAGGTAATAAAGTGGTCCGTGCTTCCCGCTTCTGGAGACAGCGGCAAGCAATAGCAGGCCAAGTGGAGATAAATAGGAATAGGTGGGGATAGGGTGGATACCGAAACATACGTTATTGCAACTAATTGCAAGTTGGGGCAACTTGGGGGACCAAGATAGAAGATCGCGGTTGCCGGGACAGCGGTGTGTGACGTTGCAAAACAATTGGGATTGGGCAGAAACCCCCCCCCATTTGTTTGTGGACAAAACCTGGAAGGTGCACAAGGTGGGACATATTGCAGCCGTGCAGCCATGCAAACCACATGCTCCGTTTTTATTATTATCTCTGTCTTATCCTTCAACTCCATCCATCATCTTAAACTAAACTGTGCACTGTCTGTCATATCTGATTGACATAACATCAATTCTTTGACTTCCCGCTTCGACGGGGCCAAATACCCATATCTATACATACAACATACAGCATTCAGCATTCAGCCTACAGCCTACAGCATTGCAGCACTGCAGCATTGCAGCACCACACTAACTATTTATTGTTTGGACCGTTGGATATTATAGGTGTCTGGGTAGGTAACCTAGTAACTCTAGTATCCATCCACCTTACACAATCCTGCGATTCAAAGACATATCATTCCATTAACCGAACATATTCGAATTACTACATACGTAGTAGGTAGTATATTCTTCTGCCCTTTTCTCGACATGCCGCCGGTTGAGCGCGACGCTCCGGTCGACCGGCCTGTTTTAAGACATCAACATTCTTCTTCCAAAGGAGGAGCAATTATACCAATGTATGTATCCTCTTCTTCTACCACTCTTATCCGCCATGTGGTTGTATCGTCGACTCACGAAAAGATCTAGGTGGGACAGCTCCGATCCAGAGCGGGCACCGCCCCCTCTGCCTATGCACCCTCAGTCACCTAGTGTGAGCCCTTCGCGAAGTGGTACATCGCTAGCTATACAATCTGCGCATGCAGCCTTGGCCGAGAAGGCGCGTGAGACCGCGCTTGTTCCCTCGCTCGCAAAACGAATGAATGAGACTTCGCCCGAAAGAGCCCTCGTACAAAGAGGAAGTCCTCATAAGCGAATGCAGTCTCTTCAACCAGGTAGTGTCAGAGATCTGAGCTTAATGATCGAAGGCTCGAGAGATCGAGACTCGGCCAACTCCACTCCTCGGGGCTCTCCAGAGAAGGATAGATCAGCAAGACCATCGACACCAAATCGCGGCAGGGAGTACGAAAGGGAAGCCAGATCAGAAGAGAAGGAGAATAATGTGCCAGGTGCACCTGCGCCCATCCCCATGCCACTAAGCATGAGCTCCATCGCCCGCTCCTCTACAAGGAAGCCACCACAGAGCATCTTGGGCGAGAACACACCACAATCCGCAACTATGTTGGCACTACAAAACATGCCCCCTACCTCATCGCGAGAGGCCGAATCACCTCTAGCAAACGTCACCAATAACTCGTTGCCCACGACAAAGCCACATCCCGCCACTGAATTCCTTTCCAATCAGCTTGTTACCCTAACCAATATAGCAACAGCTCTGCAGAAAGAAATGTCCCAACTCAGTCGCCGAAGCAGAGATAATGCTACGGACCTGATGAGTCTCAAAGAGGCCACACACGCCAGAGACGAAGATATCCGCAAGAGCCTACGCGAGTTAGCCCTCAACGTAGATACTACCCGGTATACCAAAGACCCGTACAATGGAGGGTTCTATATTGACAACAAACCCTTTAACATGTCACCTGGATCTAAAAATCAAAGGCCGTTTTCCCTTCCAAGAATCCCTTCACCCAATAGTTTTGCGGCGTCCATTGATCGAGAATCCACGATGAGTACACCTTCACTCATTGGGGGTGACTCACCTGCTACTATTGCATTGTTGGAGAAGATCATCAGAGACATGGGGACCAAAGATGGCCAGGACACCATCGTGGGTCGTCTATCAGAGCTGGCCGATAAACTGGCTGGCACGGCTTCCGCTGGGAAGGTGGAGGAACTCATCCATCATCTAAGACTAGCTTCTGAACAGCCACTTAGTCCCGTGGTGAGCGGTGGCTCAGACAAGTCGAGGACCCTGAGCTTTAGTAGCGATGATTCCGGGTCAAAAATTAGTGGCGTGGTAAACCACAGGGTAGAGAAGATAATGAACGGGAAAGATGGTCGCCGTTCTCCGGTATCGTCGCGAGGAAGCGATATTTTGCACGACGACCTCATTAAACTCATTCGTTCGGTCAAGGACAGCGTTGCCCAAGGAGGAGGGTTAACAGCAGAAGTCAAAGCCCTCGTTCGTGAGCTTCGAGGTGAAGTTCTGGGAATGGGGAGGGAAATAAGCAGAAAGTTGGATGACTGGCATGTCAAAGCCCCCAGCAAAAGTGAAACCGCAAGCAGAGCGGAGCTTGCAAGAATTGTTGAAGAAGGTCTTGAACAGATAAGGGTATATATGGCGCAACGTCTTCGAGACCACGAGCGAGTATCGTCTGAGGAAGAGAAGCCGGCTATCGATTACCAGGAGATATACAACGCCCTGAGGACAGCACTTACCGACACCGAAGCAATTCGACAGCACGATCCTAAACTAAGCCGGGATGACGTTATTGAAGCCGTGAAGGACGCCTGGGAGAATTACAAACCCGAGATTGAGATCCAACAAATCGGATTGGAAAGAGACGAAGTCCTCGACTGCTTAAGGGAAGGAATGGAACAATATGCACCGAGTCATAACGCGACCCCAGGAGCAACACGTGAAGAAGTTTTCGAAGCAGTTGTTGAGGGATTGAAGCACTTTGAACCACCGCAAGTAGATATGCCTACTGGCCTTTCTCGAGAGGAAGTCCTCGATGCCGTTAGAGAATGTCTCGAGGACTTCGAATTCCCGATTGCGCCTTCTACTAATGATCTAACCCGCGACGATGTCCTGGACGCTGTTAAGGAGGGTCTGAGCTCAACTCAAAGCACCGCTTTAGTACCCCACGGCGGCGACAATGACTCCGAGGTCACGGAGCGCCTTCACGACATTATGCAGTTTATGCAAGACGAATTCAAGCTCATTCTGCAAGAGCTCAAGCAAGCCCCTGAAAGTGGAAGAGGCGCCGAGCAAATTCTTGATGCGACAAGGGATGAGTTTCATCAGTTACGAGCACATATCGAAAGCTATGTCGATAAAGCTGCGGGCACTTCTAGCCACGAAGAACTCATGGCCAGTCTGGAGAATGGGTTCGAACAGCTACGTGAGCACATGGAAGGTTATGTCGACAAGGCATCCGGTGTTTCGGGCCAGGAGGATTTGATGGCAAACATCGCCGACAACCTTGAACAATTGCGCACGCATATGGATAACGGCACTGGCAAAGCCCAAAACGTCCCTGGCCAAGAGGAGTTAACAGTGAACCTCGCTAGCAATTTTGAAGAACTTCGAATACACATGGAGAGTTACGTCGACAAAGCTTCCGGTGCCGCTAATCAGGAGGAAGTGATGACTAATGTCGTCAACAGCTTCGATATTTTCCGCGAAGAGGTTTCGGAGCTTGTGGCAAAGGCCTCAGATGGCTCCAGAGAAGTTATAAGACAGGAAATCGAGTCGCTTCGAGACACGGTGAACTCATCTCTTGTTCCTCACGTACCCCAGATGAGCGACAATAGAGATGTCCTAGAAGCCATTCGCGACAGCATTGAAAGAATTCGAGGAGAGCTACTTCGTCCTCACGCAGGAACTACTGACATACTTGATGCTCTCCACGAAGGTTTCAGCGATCTGCGCCTTAGCATTGAGAAAGTAGGCGACAAGCCAGCCGATCTAACTGCCAATGACGAAATCCTTGACGCCCTGAAATCCGGGCTTGATGGTGTTCAAACTAATATCGACTCCCTCCGCGAAAACAACCAAGAGAACGCCCTTGCTACTGTGGGCTCGGTCCCAAGTGACGCCTTAATACAAATCCCCGCTGACCTGGTCAAGCATGATGACTTGAAGAACCTCGAACTCATGATGGGGCAGCTCAAGGTGAAGATGGAAACTATAGAGGCACCGCCCCCGCCACCAGTACCTGAGGGTTACTTGTCCAAGGATGACTTGGCTGAAATGGAGGAAATGCTTCGAAATGGTATATCCAAACAGGATCTGAGCGAAATGGAAGAAATGCTTCGAAGCATGCAAGAAGCCATGACTGGTAGGCCGAGGAACAAGGACAGTAGCGACGACAGCCCGATTAACGTCCGGCCCTTGGAAAATCCCGAGGATGCCGCTACGAAAGAGGATGTGCAAGCTATCGAGACGATCCTTCGGAACACCAAGTCCCGTTTAGAAGACCTGGTCGACGGGGAGCAAGCCGTCCGCAAAGACCAAGTCGATGCTGTCGAGGCTATCGTGCTCGAAACTAAAGGCTCTCTTGAAGCACTTGCAGCTCAGGTGGAGACTGTCTCTCGAAAAGAAGATCTCCTGACCCTTGGAACCATCGTAACTCAGATCACTACAACTCTAGATGAGATGAAAGAGAGCGCTGAGAAGTCCTTGGAAGATCCCGAGAGGGTCACTAAGACGCACGTCAGCGCAATTGAGGTAGCCGTCTCTGACATCAAATCAGCCATCGAACATACGATTAGACCAGACATCGCTGCTCTTCCTTCGAAGGACGACATCACAAGTCTTCAAGACCTCGTCAAAGAACTCCAGGCAAACACCACGGTGCACGCTGAGTCAAATGCAAAGGCACTCAAAGAGGGACAAGCGGAAACTGTCGGCATCGGCGAAAAAGTTGTAGAGATCAAAGCTTTTCTCGAAGAATTCCAAACCCTGGTCAAGGGGCGACTGGAAACGGGTGGAAATGCCGTTGAGTCACTAAGCAAGACTCTCGACAGCCTTAGCGAAACTGTCAACCAAAATGCCGATGTTGGGACTACTTTGAAGGAGATATTTGAGGTAGTGAAAACCGAGTTCGAGGAGTCGAAAACTGGTGTAATAAGCGCTAAAGTAGACACCGACGGCAAAATCAAAGAAATGACCGACGCTTTGGGAGTCAAACTTGAAGAAAAGATCGGCGAACTTATGGCCAAGTATGATGAATCCCAACTTTTCATGGAAGAACGGACGAAGATCTCCGAAACGAGAGATGAGGAGTTGAAAGGCGCCATGGTCAACACAAATACGATTGCAGAAGAGCTAAAGGGTCTAATTGATACCCTTGGCTCGACAGTGACCGACTCCCTCGAGAAGATGGAAGAAGCTTCTAAGACTGTATTTGACAAGGTTGGAACCATGTACGACAAGGCCGAAGAGAACCACACAGATGGCAAGAACGAGCACCAGATGACCCGAGATCATGTAAAGCAAGCAATCAGCGCTGTTGAGGGCCTCCAAGGACATGTTGGAGACTACCAACCCAAGATCCTCGACTCGATCAAGGAAGTGCTACTTATCGTTGGACAACACTATGAGCATTCCAAGACTTCGGAGAGCGGAATATTGCAGAGGATTGAAGACGCCAAGCCTGAGCCTCTCATGCTACCGCCCCCTCCTGAGAAATATGACGATAGTGTAGTACAGTCGAAACTAGACAAATTGGACAATGAAATGCACTCTAGGCTCGAAATCCTGGATAACGGAGTTCGATCCAAGCTGGATAAGCTGGTCGACCATACGCAAGCTGCTGAAAAAGCATATGCACAGCTCGACACTCTAGATAGGGTACACGAGCAGGTCGTCAAGACAGCTGCTGACATCTCAGAATTCCTGTCATCTCAAAAGCAGCGTATCGAAGAGGATCATCAAGAACGTGAGAAGACACTTCGAGAAACTACGATCCAGTTGGAACGCCAGAAGGCTGAACAGGAGCAAGTTGAAGCCAATCTGGCATACCTACGGGAAGAAGAACTAAATATGCGCGAAACCATTATTGCCCTAAGGGCTGAGCAAGAATCGTTGATCCGTCACAAGACTCGATTAACCGCCGATGTTTCTTCCTTGGAGACGGCACTCAATCTCCGCCGCGAGGAGCTTCAAGCCATGGATGCCAGGGCCGAAGGCCTGGAACGCAGAATCCTCGAAGGCGTCCTCGATCATTCTCGTGCTCTTCTCATGACTAAATCTAACTTCAAGGGTCGCGATGCTGCTATGAGCCGTAAGCGTGTACCCGGTGCAAGATCTAGTCTGGGGCCTAATGAGGATCTCAATTCCACCTCACAGCAGATGAAGTCTCGAGCCGCAATCAACGCTGCAGTAAACAATGGTAGAGCTAGCCTCGTTCCACAAAACGCTGCAAGTGCGGGCCGCCGAATCCTCAGCCTCAGTCAGATCACAAACAACGTCTCTGCGGGTGGTATTAAGCGGAGCCAGAGCGTCCGTACTCAGGGCGGCACCGGGCTGCGAAAGAGCAGCTGGGCCCCAGGGAAGAATGGCACTGGTAAAGGATATGGCGACTTGGACACGAACAAAGAGAATGTGGATCTAGTGCGCGAGAGTGATGAGGAGGCCCGTGATGACCCACCAACGTTTGATGAGCCAGAGCCCGAAACGCCAACACTGGGAGAAGACGAAAATGTGGTGATTGTTGATGCGGCCGACGATGAAGCACATTCAACTCCAACGCATTCAGAAGATGAGGATGAAGAAAGCGAGGAAAGTGAAGATGATGCTACAGAGATACCAGCCGAAATGGAAGAAAGCGATGGCGAAGTGGATGAAACGGAAGAGGAGGTAGCTACAACGAGACGCTCAAGCCTCGGAACCACCGTTATTACACCAACGGATGTGGAGGGTGGCTACGACAGTGACGATCAAGACGACCAGAGCGAGTGGGTGGAGGGTGCACCAGGCACGGAGAGTGTTGCTGGTACGGATAGTATTGCTGGTGATGGTGAGGTGCTCGTGTCCAGTACTTGATGGGTCTTGTATCGAGCACGACAGAGTAGTCTAGGTGTATGGAGTTTGGTCGATTTGGGGTTCAAATCGGGGTTTGCCGGACGGGGCGTACGCATTTGTTCTGTTGCTTTCTGTCCATGTCTTTCTTGTTGCTTGGCATCATGATGTTTTGAATGGAGAGTCTTATGTTTGCCAATGAATGCACGTCTTTGGCACGCCTTTCTTTTCATGTACTTGGTGTCTAACAGGCGGCAATGAGGCAGGGAGGTAGGAGGGGTCAAAGTGGATGATGGATTGGAAGTAAGGTATAAAGAGATGAAGCTAGGGACGAATCGTGGTAATAGGTGGAAGAGGTGCATCGCCCTCCTTTTTTCGTAAATTCTTCTCTAACTCTACTCTTTCATTATTCCTGCCTTGCTATTTTAGGAGAGAAGAAGCAGAAGAAGCAGTAGGCTTTGTGTGTTTTTGGTCACAAAGTTATAAGTCCCCAAGATTTAGTTATATTAGGTTATTCAATGGCAATGTTCATCAACTTTTCCAAGTAAAATTTGGGTATATTACGCAAATCATGATGGACAGTGGAAGGAATAAAGGGGAGGGGTGGAGAGGAAATGTGAGCTTGCTAATAGTGTTACACGACAAAGACGATGCATAGAGTAGATTAACTGATCATTCAGTTTTCGTTTTCATGAAGAGATATAGGTACTTCTATAATCCATACTATGATTACTACTACAAAATACGTAGCCAAGCTTTCTTCTTTTTTTTTTTTTTTTTTTTTTTTTTTTTTTTTTTGGTCAGAGCACCCGTCCATCTAGGGGGCACTAAGTTCCTTACTGATAACAACCGTTACGTGAAAACACACGGTTAAAAAAGAGTTGGGATATATAATACCTTTGCCTAGACACAAAATTATCTCACATATCCTAGATACCTACTGGATATCTAGGTATGCAACTGGGTTAAGTAGGTAGGCACGGTAGACGTCGTCTCTCAGATCCGGCGGTGTTTAGCACCGATGCGATCCTTCCCATCCATCCACGGACGCAGACACTCCGGAATAGCGACGCTCATCTCACCTTCGTCCCAGCCATTCTCTAGCAGCGCAGCTAGAACACGGGGCACGGCGAGCGCGGTGCCGTTGACGGTCCAGGGATACCCCATCTTGCCGCCGGAAGCAGCGCTGCCTTTCAGTCGCGTGGCCAGACGACGAGCTTGGTAATCTGTGCATATACTCGCGCTTGTAACTTCACCCCAGCCGTCGTCTCCATCGCGACGGCGACTTGGAAAGAAGGCCTCGATATCGCATTTGCGCGCGGCCGAGGCGCCGAGGTCGGCCGTTGGCATCTCGAGAACACGGCAGGATAGGCCTAAGCCCTGTAATATCTCGGTTTGTAGATCGACCATCTCGTCGAAGACCTCGGTAGTAGCATCGATGTCGGGCGGCGTCCACGCGAACATCTCCACCTTGGTGAACTCGTGTACGCGGTATAAACCCTTGGTGTCGACGCCACGGGCCCCAGCCTCCGCGCGGTAGCTGCGCGACACGCCAACGTGCTTGAGTGGGAGGTCAGCCTCCTCAAGTAGGGCATCAGCTTTCATTCCTGCAAGGGGTATCTCGGCGGTGCCGGCGAGGCAGAGCTCTGGCACACCGCGTTGGACATCGGCGGCGGATTGGCTTAGATTGTAGATTTGTTGCTCGCCGTTCGGGTCGCGGGGTTGAAACCCACAGGCTGCGGCGATGTGGCTATATACAATGCTAGGTGGGGAAACTCGGTGCCAGCCGAGACCTTGTTTGGTTACAACGGCTAGGGCATAGCTCACGAGAGCTTGCTCTAGTTGCGCACCCTCATCCAGTAGATAATACCAACCCCAGCCAGAGGCGGTAGCGGCACCGGCAAAGTCCAGAAGCCCGAGCTCGGAGCCGATGTGCACGTGAGACCTCCAAACTCGGTCGGAGGACGAGGCGGCAGGCTCCGGATGCTCATTGATATAGCTCAGAACACGGGGTTCCGTACCACGGGGCGCCTCGGGTCTAGTTAAATTCGGAATCGCAAGAGCCAACTCAGTCATTTGAGCCTCGAGACGGGCCTCGTCCTTCTCAATAGACGAAAGCTTTTCTTTAATTATGCGCGCTTCTTCTATGAGTTGTTCTCTAGTCATTTCCTGGTCTTCTTCGCCGGTCGCCTCGGTGGGGTTAGAGCCACTCTCCTCGTCTTCATGCTGCAAGCTGACCGGGTTCGCAATTTGTCGGCGAAGGAGGTTGCCCCGTTCGCGCAAGCTGCGGCCTTCTCGTTGTCGGGTCTGCCATTGGGCAAATAGCTCAATTATACGTGAGGGATATGTGCTTTGGGGTTTGTAATTCCTATCTAAGCAATTCTGCTCGTATAGGTCAGGGTTCTGGCGGATATGTTTGATGTCTACATTTGGCTTCGGTGCCTTTGTCGGACGAGGTGTGATGGGGATGTCAGAAAATGTGGTATTACTGCTGTCAGAGGTGGTATGAGAGCTAAACTTAGTACTGGAGCTGGAGAATGGGCATGCGGTCGGGGGATTGCGAAAGAGTCGCAATGTCCTTCGAGGTCGAATTAAACGACATTGAAAACACACAAATGGTGCTCTTGATGTTTTAATCATGATGATGATGATGATTTAACTTGGTGGTTGTTCAAAGATACCTGACAAGAACAAGTAGGTAGAGGAATAAATATACAAGTTGAAAGAATTCACGCAAAATGATACCTACATGTATGTAGGGTATGTAAGGTTAGGTATGTATTCAAAGGTCGAAATTTAAATCATGAGCTCTATAAATCATTCGATTCGAGAATCTGTAGTTATTGATTAGCCTTTTATTATTTTAAACTTTCTTCTTTTTTGGAGTAGGTACATTTTGTACCCTCCCCCGCATCTTGCAGGGGGTAGCCCCAACTCTCCACTTCCCTTATCCCGATTCCCTCCTAGGCTCCTACACACAGTGTCACACACCCAAGGTACACTAGTTGAAGGTACCATATTAAGGTGACATGTAGGTATGTACATGTATAGTCCCACCCACATTGACTTCCTTCATACGTGATAGGGTATCTCTACTACTAGTAGTACAATCAAATATTCGTAACAATTCCCCTTTCTTACCTCCATTGTCCGTATCCGAAAAAAAGAGAGGACGACGTCATCCTTAGACTACTTCAGAACAATCTAAATCGCACCCCATACTCCCAGAGTCCAGTTGTTACTAGCCTGGGAGGCCTGGCTTCTAATCAGACCTCCAGCACCCATACTCTGTCTCTGCTGCATCTTGACGTCTACCTCATTTGGTCGACATGCTCCGTTGGCCCCTTGTTGGAGCCAAAGCTCACGTTCGACTGTAGCCAGAGCCGGAATCTTGAGCTGTGTTGCCATACTTGCTCCGCACCATGGGCCCAGTGAATCCAGCACTCGAAGTGTGCCCTGTACCACGGGCTTGTAGTTCCTGTCCTTCTTGATCATCTCTTCTACGTGGTCAACCTCAGAGGGCGTATGCGCTGGATTCGCTGGTGGCGTTGCCTCGTTTCCCTCGGCGTTGCTTGGACTCTCGGCTGGTGTCGTTGTCGTCGTCGTCGTCGTCGTCGCTGCCGCTGCCGTCGCTACAGGGCCTTCGCTAGCTTTTCGGCTACCACCTCGTTGTAATTTTGTATTCTCCTTGTACTGATCAACGCCCTTTCCTCTAATCGGGTCCCACCCCCGTTCCTTGACTAACAAACAAATTTCGTCGAAGATGCGCCCTTTAAGCCCGATTATGTTCGAGCACCCGCCCATGAAGATGATACGCGACATGCAGATAGCGCGAACATCTAGTGGCAGCTGTAGCAAAGCTCGATAGGCCAATAGGTGCACCGGCACCTCGTGGTCATCAAAATAGTATGGTGATACCTGAGGTTCAAAAAAGACAGCCTCGCATGTTTCGGCTAGTTCTAAAAATGGTACATCTACCGTTTTTGGTGGGCAACAAGAGTTGAGAGTTATGGACATGGGCGAGTGGTCGTCTGCTGGAGCAACTGTCTCTGATTCATCTTGTTCATCTTGTTCGTGAAGTGTTGGTAACCCTTCGGAGGTGTCTTGTGCTGGCTCCCTCGTAGGTCTCTTGCACCAAAGCATGCGAGTGGCGACCTCTTCGCATTCCTCGAAGCTCACAACATGCTCTTCGAGCCTATCCTCGGTGCGTTCCGTGCGGGCCATTGCTGGTCGGCCACGGATGATGTTTGTCAAAAACTCATACGTCTCTTTCACCAACAGCTTGCCAGCTCTGACGGTTCTCCAAGTGCGCACCTCTTTGAACTCGTATACGGCGGTGATTGTGGTTTCGTGCCAACCCATATCAATGATCAGACCCGACCGAGTGCCAGCAGCCAGGGTAGACATGATAGGCGACGAGAGAAGTGATATGGAAGGCGATTGGAAGCGGTAGAAGATGGTGTCAAAAACGGTAGAAATGAGTGGTATAGGCAGCGTTGGTGGTATAATCAGAGTTACTCTTCTTGGACGGGAGTCAATGAGGAGGTACCTATAATAAAAAGAGATATGTATTAATTTCGAGCATTTGAGTATTCGAGGATTTCTTTTTTTTTTTAGGTAAAAAAGGGTAGGGGTTTTGGCAAACGCACTTTGTAAAAGCATCTCTAAGCTCGCGCTCGAGCTTGTCTCCAACCAAACCCAGATTGTGACCTCTCACGTCCAATTGCCACAACTCATGATCAGCTCCCCAAGGCTTTCCCGACGCTCTATTGCGCCAGTCAGCATGATAACCGGGTTCCCAGGCCCTAAAGTCACCAGCACGTCTCTGCTGCTCTGGGCCAAATGACCCAATCCTTTTGGGAGTTGAGTCGCCGGCAAAACCAAGTCGCAACTTCCGGGAACCTAGCTCAATAACGATAACTTCATCGTCGGCGCGTAGAGTAGAAGGGGAGCCAAAAGACGAGGAGACTATAGGTCGGTTGGGGGTATGAGGAGCGTTGGGAAGTGCCTGACTTGACGAACGGTCGCCAGCACGTATGTTAGACACAGCGCGGTGGGGAAGACTGACGCCTGCGCTCGATGACATGTCTATATTTCCTGTGAAGGCGTATGGCGTAAGGCGTAAGTTCTGAGGTTGTTTCTTTACATGTCGAGGAATGTACTTTTATGTGTGTAGGTACATATTTAGGTAGATGGAAAAAATGTTCAAAAGTATTAACTTTGCCGTTGTCTCTTTCCCTTGTTCTCTTTTTTTCTATCGTCTGAAGCTTTAACTTTGGATGCATTATGTAATCCAATTATGCTACTACATGTACACGTGTAGTAGCCTAGGTTAGTAGGTTAGTCACCGTTAGTGTAGGTACCTAACAGTATGTACTGTTGCCACAGGAGACCATTGCCATAAATAGTTTACCCTATCGAAAGTCAATATTTGAATCTACTAACCTAACTACTGTACCTAATAGTATGTACACTAAAAATGAACTTTCACAACTCAACTACACTACGTAATACTGATCCGAGTCGTAACCCTTGCTATCGTATTCGTCTAGAACTTCTACGTTCCTAGTATGCAAGAATACAATACTTGAGCTTCAATTGTTATTGCTATTGTGATTTTTGTTTTCATTTTGCTTACCTCAGTGCAAATTGGATAACTGCCCAGGTGGACTTGGAGATAGAAACTCCCCATGGCAATGAGCTAACCTGATTTAAAATTATTCATAATGGGCATCAAAGGGTTAGTTTCTGATTTTAATTCATAACAAAATTACTGTGCTCATATCAGAACAGGATATACAAGGAGATCGGCGCTGGCAAACGAATATCCTTAACCAAACTCGCTGTCCAGAAGCTCGAGGAAACAGGCCGGCCGCTACGAATTGCTATAGATTTCTCAATATGGCAGTTTCAAGTCCAAGCAGCACGTGGCGGATCAAACCCCGCTATCCGGACATTATTCTATCGGCTTCTGAGACTACTTGGCACTTCAATTCAGCCCATATTCGTCTTCGATGGTCCGAACAAGCCAACTTTCAAAAGAAATAAACGCTCTGGTCGCGGTGATGGCGTCGCTACCGCCATGGCCAAACGACTTATCAGGTTATTTGGTTTCCCAGCCCACGACGCCCCCGGAGAAGCAGAGGCCGAATGTGCGCTTTTGCAACTAACAGGTATTGTGGATGCAGTGCTCAGCGAGGATGTCGACACCATCATGTTTGGCTGCACCCGGACACTGAGAAATTGGTCTTCCGAAGGTACCAGGGGAAGCAAGACTCCAACTCATGTCTCTATGTACGAAACAGAAGAGTTAGAGAAGAACGGTACCGGTTTAGATCGAGAAGGGATGGTCTTGGTGGCGCTGATGAGCGGTGGCGATTACCTCCCTGAAGGTATTCCCGGTGCTGGTGTGAAGCTTGCCTGTGAAGCTGCTCGGGCTGGGTTCGGCAAGTCTCTGTGTAGGCTGAAAAAGGCCGACACATCTGAATTGGCCAGTTGGAAGGAATACTTGACTTTCGAATTGCGGCATAACGAAAGCGGCTTCTTCAGAACGAGGCATAAAGCGTTATGTGTGCCTGACAGTTTTCCGAATCTTGAGGTTCTGAGATATTACACTCATCCGGTGGTATCCCCTGCGTCGACCCTCGATAGACTGAGGAACCAGCGCTGGGATAAACCAGTGGACGTGCAGGGGCTACGCGAATTTGTTCGCGAAACTTTTGATTGGAATTATCGAATCGGTGCCGTTAAGTATATCAGGGTTCTGGCCCCATGCTTGCTGGTCCGGAAAATGATGTCTCGGACCATCCAACCTGACCACCAGGCGAAAGCCATAGAAATTCTTCAGAGGGAAGAATCAGAACTAGTTCAGTCGATCACAAGCAGACGAGCCCATTTCAGTACGGATGCCACTCCAGAGTTGCGTATATCATTCATACCAACCAATATCGTTGGGTATGCTTTTCAGGAAGAACCCGACGAAGTGATCGAGTATGGACGGGAAGGCCTGGCTCTCAATAGTGATGATGAATTTGAGGCTTTAGGTGACGAAGAGGGGACAGAAGCTGTGGCGAAAAGCAACAGCAAAAAGCCGTTTGATCCCACCGAATCCGATCTACTCTGGATCCCAGAGACCGTAGCTAAGCTGGGCATTCCCATCACAGTTGAGGAATGGGAAGAAGCACAGCGTGCAAAAGTGACAGCCCGCCAAAAGCCCAGGGCTGTTAAGCAAGCTACTAAACGAAAGGGGAAATCTAGTGGTGCCGATGCTGGTGCCAGTGCCAGTACTGGTGCCCTAGACAAGTTCGTTAAAATAACGAAGAATGTATCGAAAATTATAGATACCAACAAGGACATCGCATCAGCCCCTAATAATTCTTTACTACCCTCCAATACCAAAATCAACAGCCCTCTTAGCGTCTCTGTGGTGTCACTCAGCAAAGCAACGCCAAAAAGACGGCCTAGTAAGCTAACCACCACCACCGCCACCAACATCAAGTCTAATTCGAAAAAAGGAGATGCGTCAAGACCAGGCCCAAACACTAGTATCAATCCCTGGACGATTGCTAGCACACGCCGCAGTTCCAGAACCACCCGCGCGAGTAATACCAAATCCAATAACCCAGCTTCTGAGACTATTCTCATATCTTCCAGTCCCCCTGTATCGCCTGCTGCGCGTCGCCGTTCTCCCGTAAACCTGCAAACCCAGGACCGCCCATTAACAGAAGACGACAATGCAGGTTCCAAAGCCGTGCCTTGTTCCCCGCCACCAAGCCCCCACAAGCGAAGGTCCGTCACACCTACCGGATCTTCAGCTGAAGAGTGTGAGGATAGCCCGCCAGGTCGTCGACACGCAATCGTCAGAGCGCTGAGCCCCTCGCCGAAATCGAGCGAGAAGAAACCTCGGCGTAAATTGGCAAGGACTGAGTCTATGCCCGCTAGGCACAACACACAGGAGTCACCGACTACGACTAAGCGACATTTTGCACGAGCGCGGACAGTGACTGTTGAGGTATCGCTGACTGAGTCTGGCGGGGAGGAGGAAGGGGGGGAGGAGCTTCCACCACTTAGCGCCATTATCGGCAGACTCCCCCGAGGAGAGGTAAAAGGGAAGGGGAAGGACGTTAATGTACTACCTAATAATCCTCTGGTCCCAGTATCCCTTGATACACTACTGCTACCACTATCACCACCGCCGTCAGACCGTATCTCATCCCAGCAGGACCCCACAGCCGAGAAGCAGAAGAACGAGAAACAACCAAATTCGACTCTCGACACCTCCACGGGGAAAGGAATGACCAAGGTCTACATCCCACGCAAGAGCGAGCCGGGATTCTTCCGGGAAGTCGAGGTCCCAGTTGATGAGGCGGATGAGTTTTTGCTGCGGCAGAATACTATTACTACCAGCACTAATAGTACCAAGGCACGGGCTGCGGGGGTCAATGGCGGTGGGAGAAGAGCGCCGGCGGCTTGGAGACGTAGCGATGTCGAGTGTATTGACTTGACGGGTGTGGATTAGTTCGTATAAGGGAGAAAAGAAGAGGAGGACAAATTGGGGTAATCGGAGTTTCATTTCCATTATCGGGATGGGATGGGATGAACTGCATATAGGTCGGGAACTTAAAAGGATAGTGGTATGGCATCATCAGAATATACATGAAGAATACATACAAACAAAGATGAATGGATAGACAAGATGAACGACTGTAATACAATATGTATGTAGGCTAATATAACCCTATGTCTACTGAGAAACCTCGTCTATCTCATATATAAGTTCTTATCATAGAGAAAATGGGCAAGTAGGTAACTATGTAAGGTACCTATATAATAAATGTAAGGATAAATAAAGCAAATGACTATCGTAAATACATCATAGATATGTATAGTATCGGTGGGGTATCCTGCAGTTGAAAACTTCCCATAATCATAGAGACTCCTGTAACCATACACGATCCACCTAATGTTACTCAGCTTCTCGACCGAACCTGGATCGATGGTAATTTGAGGATGGTGATGCATCGCCGTTTTCGAAGACGCGGGACACGCGTATGAGGACTAACTTATACCGTAATGAGGCAAATCGCGGCGCCATGTCCCCGTACTCACGCGTGCTTCTTCACACTTTGTTCATGACGTGTCTCCGATATTATCCGTTCCATCCCATCCCATCTAAATATTGTCATGTCATGTCATTTCATCTCATCTCTCATCATAATTATTGTAGTACTCGTGTTCCAAGGCTCGAACCACTCTCCCCTTAGTCCCCAGTAGCCCATGGCAAGTCCCTTTCCATGACCCGCACGCACGTCAGATAACTGGTCATGCCACTGGGAGCTATAAGCATGCTGGGTCCGCCAACACTGGCACTGCCTGGTGTAGCAGCACCGCGTTCTAGCTCGAGTTCAAGCCCACTGCCCATGAGGGGACGGACGATTTCCCGGGCAGCGCTTTTGAGCTCATCGATGCGCTTCTCAAACCGGCGTAGGTTTTCACGTGAGTACAAATCAGGCGTATGCTTGAGAAAACGTTTACAGTCGTCGTGGCCGAGGTATCCGACTCCCGTAGCAGAGCCTAGGGTGCGATAGGTACGGCCGAGGCTTGCGAGGTTTGGTGCTGTGGAGGTCGAAGCGACCACAGCGGCTGAACGAGATGAGCTGCCGTCGCGGGACGGATGTCCTCTTCCGGGCCCTGGAGTAGGCGCAGGCATTGGTGGCGGTGATGTGTTGTCCGCGAGCCATTGGCGAAAGAAGGACACGGCCAGCCAGTCAAGATACGACGTACCAGGAGTGACACGCTCACCACGCGAATTGGTTAGGTTAAGGCGGAAAAGACGGCCTTCAATCCTGGATACCGTTTCCTCGAGCTCATCAACTTTGTCCTCGATTATATCGAGTACGATGTCCGGAAAAGACTGTCGAATGCTCCGCTCTCCCGCAGGCCATTGTCCAACCACGTGTATTAGAGCCTCTTGAAAGATGACCTTACTCCTACTTAAATATCCCAGCCGTAAATAGCTGACAGGATATTTAGCTATCTGCTTCCAAAGCCTGCTTTGAAACTGCAATAGATGGTGGTCAACTCGCGGCCCCACGACGGCTAATGCGTCGTACTGATCTGCTAATGTTAACAGTGACTTGCACTGCACGTATGCGTCGGCAATGTTTATGCCGTCTAGCAACGGCGGATAGTTGTAGAAAATACGGAAAAGGTTATCGTAATCACGAAGGAGGTCAGCGTCGGCTTGAGATAAGGGCAAGTCTTGATCAACTTTCCCTGGCGTGAGTGATAGGTTCGCGACAGAACGGAAGAAGGAATTGGTGGAACTGGTATGGGAATGACCCCCCGACTTTCGTGTGGGAGGTGTGTTAAGCGTTGCGCCCCCGCCCCCGAAGAGGGAGTTCGACTGCGTGGAATCGGTAGAGCTAGAAGTGTTGGCCTCCTTCTGTATCAGCATAGGTATATCGTCTGGTCCACTCCCAGGATCCAATTCGTAGCGCCACCGTCTTCGCGGCGTGGGTGAGTCTGCACCTGGTCGAACAATGTCGGTCCCGCTATTACTAGTGTCATCCTCCCCTATCCTCGCGAGCTCCCTCGAGGAGGGCTCTGGTAACGGTAGCAGACTAGCTTTGGACCATTCCTGGCTTGTGCTCGCCTCGAAAAACCCCGAACATCTCGTCAATGTGTGTTTATGTAGTAGGTATCTATTCGCTTTACCACCAGCTTTTACTACGATCTCGACGTCCCCCGAATGAGTGAAGACAGGGAACTCGTTTTGGGGGACATACGAGCTGCCGCCGGTGTGGGAGCGATTATATCGCTTGCTACGGGAGGACACATGGGGGCGGGAGGCGGTGCGCGCCGAAACAACGGAGGAGGGGCCGCGGGAGGTGAGCGACTGATCGAATTGTGAGACCATGAATACTACTAGGGATATGTTAAATGTGTTGAAAGAGGGCGCTGGAATCTCGAATTGGTGGTCTTCTACAAACTTCTTCCGCAGACTATTCAGCAGAAGACTTGTATGTAGTAAACCTAGGTTCGCTGCCGTGCCCGACTAGCGAGGTTATAGACTCGCATATAGGTTTCCAACTTGTGAATTGGCAAGTGGGTTTGGCTTGTAGTCAAGTTATTGAATAGATTGAATAGATTGGATGGATTGAGTAGACCATAAATAGGTTAGATCTGCTTGATTGCGATCGGGAAAATGTGGCTTGCGACTTTAGTTGGCGCTTGTGACGATCGCAAGACGCCTATCTATCTTCAATCGAGGTCCGAAGATGGCGTCCTTGTGTAACTTGTAACTTGTGACTTGGTCCAGATTGAACTTGTCCCAGAAGCATCACGAGTAACCAAGTTGCAAAGTCCAGGGCTGTTGATTCAAATTGACTGTTGCGGCTGTGCAAGGATATGCAGGACACACGATACCCAAGGGGAACGGGGAACGAACGGGTTTTGCCACAGCGATTCGAATAGGTAACTAATGTTATAAATCCCTTGGGTTTTAGGTAGATTTTATAGGTAGGCGGCCTCCATGAAACGGACCCAAACAAGGTGGGAATCGTTCTAGGTAATGATGGTAGGTGAGCTGTCTGGTAGGTGAACAAGAGAAGGATAGAAAAGATAGAAAAGATAGAAAAAATAGAAAAAAAATAGAAAAAGAGAGAAAAAATTAATATCAACGGGTGATGCACAATACGCGTCAGTCTGTTTATTGTGTTTATGGTAATTCTCTACCCGATTTTGCCATACACAACATGGTCATTTGTATCGACTTATACATGATCATGAAAGTGAGCAAGAATTGCTTGGAAGCTACCTTGCAGCCTCGACGCCAATGCATGTGGTAGGTAAATCCGATACCCCCCCATGGTGTGTTGAAAGACTGGACCCGGATGCAGCCATCGGCCAGTAACGGATGACCTATCGATAGGGAGATTGGTTAGTCTGACCAGCTCGGACCAACTGGCCACCAGTCATCTGCTCGTCACCTTGGCGACCTCGAAACCTTGCATCTTGATTTCTTTCAAAAAAAAATAAAAAAAATTGGTCACCCTTGCATTTTCCGGTTTGGATAACTAAGCCCTACCCTGTTCAGGAAACGTGGTAGGCCAATAATAATGTAGTTGTATTAATAATAATTGATAACCAATCTGGTGATTGTAGATGAAAGAAAACAAAAAGCCTGAAATGATTGACATGCTACTACTACCTATATACTACTGTAGGTAATGGGTTCCTACCTATCTATTGGCATTACCTATTAGCTTGCATCTAATAGTATCTACAGTACCTGCATAGGTTGGAGATACATAAGTACCTGTGTAGATTCCACACATCAATGTCACCCTTTTATTGCCCAATCTCCTCTAGACACCCAATTTCATGAACATTCACTGCTATAAAAGAATGCCTTCTACCTTAATTCATTGATTGAAATCTGGAAACTTTTTTTTTTTGGTCGAAAAAATAATCTGAAATGAAGTCTTATATCGTACAGGTTATGCGTCCATCCAGGCGCCGTTAAAAATGGAAGCAAACTCCAGACCCCGCGAGTCGTTTTGGCTCATGTACCATTCGACTCGAATCGTGCAGGTGATGCCGTTAGAACATCAATAAAACGTTTATGTTAATCCGAATACCCCCAGTCAGAACCAGTCGATCCCCAGTAGCCTCTCCTCAAGTTACGCTGGCATTTCCTACAAAAAAAGAAAGAGCAATCAGTGACCTATCAGTGGTTCAGATCATCTCCATTTCAACATCAATCGTGGTGGCCGCAGTTCCATGGGGTGATATGGTCGCGATGGGTTTAGGCGATTCAGCCGCCGACATCACCTCAGGTCCCTCAAAGACTGGAGGGGACATCTTGAGATTGGCAAATGCTCGATTTAAGTCCTGACTGACAAGTTGACCCTGGCGTAAATTTTCTGCGAACAGGAAGAACCCCTCGGCAGCTTCGACGAGGTAGGATTGAAGGCCTTTGCTTTCCAATTGGATTTGGACATTAGTAACCGGGAAATGGTTCTCGATATACCTGGCCCACCCGCGAGCTGCTGCTTGGATATGTTCATTTTCGCTTATGCGGCTCCATCCGATTCCTAGGTGGAGCGTGAAGTTGTCGATGATGGGTTGGCTGCTCGTGTCTGTTGATAAGCCGGAATTTGGAATAGCAGGGTTGACATCGCGGTTGGGGCTAGAACGAATGATCTGCGATGTATTTCCTGGGAGGATGATGACGTTCATGTCCAACCGTTGCGATTTGCTGCTTCTTAAGGATGGCCGTTCCTGCTGATTGAAAGCACGGGCTTCTTCATTCTTACGAATCGCATCTGCAGCCACCTTTTCTTCAAGCCAGGTACCGGATTGATTACCCGCATCGGCGATGTACGACGTGGGAGACTTGATAAGCGTCATCCCTTCGCCGTATACCCATTCGTCTTCTGCCTCCTTAACAGGCTCGATGGTTTGAAGCTTAACTTCATCGACGTCGAGGTTGACGCCTGCCTCGTCTCGAGAGCGCTTGCGGCCAGCAGTGGATGGTGCTACGGTGGAAGGCTGTGTCCAGGGTGAAGGAGCATTGAAGATCTTGGGACGGCTGAAGGGATGCGGGAAGGGGGACATGCCGAACGCTCCTTGATGAGCGGCACTGGGTGACATGGTAAGGACTGGGGATGAGGTACGTGCGAAAGAACTCATTTTGAATCTGTTAGCACTAAATGTTAGGTAAGATACACAGAGAGGTTGGTTAGATGTTTAATTGGAAGCCGACAGCAAGTGAGCTGCTTGGGGAAGACCGGATGGAATCGATGGATGGCTAGGGAGCTAGGAAGAAGATTGAGAGTAGATAAGACAACTAATTAAGATATGGAAACAAGTAAGGCTACAACAGAAAAGTTATAATTCAAAAGTAAATGGCTTGGTAGTTGTCGAGCGTAGAGCGTTTGTTAGGACTATGTGATGTAGGTGGCCGCTAGAATAATAAGAAGTGGTAGAAGACGGGAGGAAACTAAGGGTTCAGTGTATGTATGATGAATGTGGGTGTAGATGAATGTATCTTTGAAGGAGATGAGAAACAGACAAGACAGGATATAGGTAATAGGAGGTGGTTGTTGAGGGAAGATGATGAAGTATGTGTAAGAGTGGAAGAGTGGAAGAGTGGAGGGGTGGAGGTAGAAGAGGAAGAAGAAGAAGAGAAGAAGGATGGATGATGGTAAGAAATATGTAGGGAATAACAGTTAAAAGAGAATCTTAGGTTGGTTGGTACTAAGTAAGGTAGGCGAGGTAGGCTGGCGGCGGCGGCAGCTTTGCATGCGCTGAGGATATGGATGGAAACAAGGGTTATTACTAGGTACTAGGTTAAGTAACTAGTGCCTGGAACAGATGACGGGAGAGGAACAGAGGTCGGTTACACGGGCATATCACGGGTTAGGTACATACATAATGCTGAGTGTATGCAAGTATATACTATATGTACGTAAGAGGTAATATCGGTAAACTGCATACATTACATAGTAGACTACATAGTAACTAGACTGCATAGTAGACTTTCTCGTGCGCAATAACATTAAACATAGCGCGAAAATGGGGTGTTGCGCCATTGTCAGTTGTCGCAACCTTGAAAGCAGTAACTACGCCGTACTATGTACTATGTACTATGTATGTAAATGCAGAGGTACCTTTTGTGAGACAATGCACGATAAGGATACTTTTAAACCTTGAAAGCTCTTTGAGATGTAGGTGTGGAGCTGTTGCTGGTGTTGCAGTGTTGCACCATGCAGGGTGTACGTCAATTTGGAAGGGCACTGGGGTGCTCAGACCAACTTGCGCCTGCCAATGTGATGTCGAGAGAGGATCGGGGATGTAGAGAATCAATCCGCTAAAGGTGAATGGTCTTTTCAGTGCATTCCTTTTGTGTTATTGGCTGCAGGTTGCTACAGCTTCCACGGTGGGGCCGGGCTTTAGTTGCTTGGCTATCTGGGGCCGAAAGGTCTTACAGTAACCTGAATCTTATTGGTCAATTTGCCCGATCACGTCTCATTTAGAACTAGACAATTATCCACCGGTTATGTCCGTAGACCTAAAATAATGTTGATCACGATTTGCTGCATACCTTCCTTCCTTCCTTCTTGCCTGCTTCGTTCTAATAGTGCATAACTCGTCTGCTCATGCAAGTCAAAGCAATACTAATAGTTATTAATTGTAAGAAACCGCAAGGGAAAAACTATTTTGCCGACACAACAATTTCTCCCCAACCTTTTCTTCTTCTTCTTTCTCCTCCTCCTCCTCCTCGTCTCTCGTCTGTCCTTTCCTCTCTAGTCAGGGGGCTTTCAAAAAGAAATTCCTTGGCATGATCGTTACTATGTCCATAGTAACCGGAGATAAATACATAATAGACAACGGGACAAGGGATGTTTCGTCTACCTTTACTCTCTTCTCTTCTCAGTTGCTATTATAGTTTCTTTCGGCCACCTCCAACACATCCGCATATCAACTGTCTGTGTTACTGTGTTACCCTCTCTTAGTACCGTCCATTCATCCATACAAAAAGGTAGCAGAGCAATCAGGGAAACGAGAATGGTACAGTTTTCCCGTGATAATTCGATAAATCCTGGCTGTTGTGCGATATGTACAGACAATCCTGGCTAGAGCTGCGTGTGCGCCGTCTCCTGTGGGATGGCCAAGTGATTTTAATGGAATGCTTAGACACGATGATGTCTCTGCCTGTGGTATCCTACCAACACATTAGTGTATTACGATCTTTGTCGGTGTGGGGAGAAAGCTCGAGGACAGCTAGGCATCTAGAATACGATTCGCAATACCTCATCATCAACCTTGTTCAGCATCTAGGGCTTCAAGAGAGCTTTCTTCCCGGAATCTTGATGCTTCGTAAAAGAGAGTTGAGTCCTCGGAATTCTCTCGGCCATCGTATAGGCCTCGAAACCCTGGTGTTTGGAGCCCTGGAGAGTTGCGCGTAATGTCCTTACTGGTGCTAGGCTGGCACGCAGAATGAGAAGGTAGACGCGGAAGAGGGGCAGTATATGATCCGTGAAGGCGACTCTGGTGGCGTGCTTCTGGGAGACTGAGTGGTGTCTGCGGTTGTGATGACGCCGGAAGAGAATCGTTGTAAATTCTAAATCCGCTTGTCGGCTCTGAATCCTGCTCACGTGCTGGTGAACCAGGGTGGGAACGAGAAATGGGTGGTTGTGATGACGTTGGTGATGGAGAGGGAGAGCCGCGGCTTGAGGAGCGGACTATGGAATCCACGAATCTCACTGCCGAACTGACGAGCCGCCTTCTTCCTCTCCGGGACTGTGACGAAATTAACCAAATACTAAAAAGAAATATAAAATAAATAAGAAAATGAACGGTCAACATACCAGCGAACCCGGGCGGATATCAGTCTGTGCTTCCCTGAGAGACGATCGTCTAGGAGGGGTGGCAGGTGACTCATGACTAGCATCGCTTGGTCGAGACTGTGTTTGTGTGGTTTGCCGAGACTGGCGGTTATCAGGTTAGCTCCTAGAGCAATTGGAGATAGTGGACAGAACGTACCACAGGTAGAGACTGCGCATTAGAGACCGACCTTTTCTCTTGAGAGAAAGGTGGAGGGAGCGGCATTGGTAAGTTGCCCCAACCCGTAGGACGCGGCCTGCTCGACGAAGTTGAGGTTCCGTTTTGTGAGGAGTTGGACAAACCCTGAGAAGTGCCCTCTCCGGAATGGTCTCCAGCTTTGGGTAGCTGTCGGGGCGAACCTGCCAGAAGGCTCGGGCTTTCTGCACCAGTACCAATTGAGTGACTCCTGAAGAGAGGCTCTGGTGTTGATTGGTTCGTATAGATATCTCCCGATTCTCGACCCCTTTCTTCAGTGGTAACCCTTTTTACGGTATGAATGGGTAATTGGCCAAAGACGTCCTCTTTAGCAAGATATTTTTTGAAACGAAGATGTCGTTCCAACTCCTTGACCTCTGTCATGGTCAAGGAGAGCTTGGTAGGGGATAGACGTAGCATATCGTGGAAGGGTTAAGATCTCTCTGGCTGTACATACAAGCTGGGATATTTGTATTCCCGCGACCATATTCAAGGTGCATGTTGAGGATAGGAACCTACAAGGTACTCTAGGTACATATGTGGCAGAACACTTCAAGTTATTGAATTTACCCTTGTGACTGCCGTTTAAGGCTGGAAGCTACAGATTACCTCGGTGAACTGCTACTGGCCTCAACGTTTAATGTTAGCATTGAAGCTTACTACTAGCAAGTACCCACTGGTGAAACAAATACTAATATGTGCCAGTGACATCAATAAACTCTCGAGCTGAAAACACATATTATTGGTGTACGTGTATGTAGGTACATAGTAGTATCCAGTCAGTCAGAACTTCAATGTTGACTGTCTACAGTATACTGTCTACAGTATATGCCTGCCTAGTAGATACGTATTGTACATTGATAGTATGCGATTCTTTGCTCTGAATAAATGCTTAGCAAAGACCGGAAGGGGGCGGTGTATGATAGAAACATTGCAATACTTAGATTTTATAGAGATTGGTACTCTATAGAGGCTTCAATTCAATGTTGTAGATTGTTGAAGATAAGAAAATACGAGGTTTAGGCAACGAAATCATATGTACATACATGCCTATGGCTGTGTGGTTTTCTAATACATGTAAGCATCAAAACCCCTCTACCGAGTCTACCCTATGTACGCTCTCAGGCCCCATATCATGGATGTATTGTACATACAGGCTACATACATTATACTACATATGTACCTTGTAACTAGTATGCAGCGTGTACTAGGGAGTACTAGATACTTAGTGTCCTACATAGTAGGTAGGTTTAATGTTAGCACTATGTAGTTTATACATGCATAATATAACTGGAAACTAGACTTGGAACTATGTAAATACATACCTACAGTACATAGTAGTATGTAGTTGTGTACGTACACTGTACTGTGTACCTCCAATTTACATCTACTTTCAATGTTAAAAGTCACCGTGCTAAAATCCAACATTACATATAGGTGGAACCTTAACTGGACGGTGCAGATTACGAGGTACATACAATGCACCGCATGCACAGCTTGCACCGCTAACGAACTTCACCCAATTCCACCTGGGCACCGTCAATTTACATATGTCCCAGCACTTTGAGGCCCCTCCAACATATGCCTGGAGGTCTTCCAGTTAGTTTACCTTGTACTACTCACAATATGTAGTACCTTACCTATGTAGTAGCATTAGTAGTAATTTAGTACACATGCATGTACATATGTAGGTAGCAAGCTTGCCTAAGGCTGGCCTGCCATCTTTTTTCTCTCTTCAATGTTTCTCGTTCGAAATTAGTATCGACCAATTCATTTGACTACCTATTATCATTCAAATTTACAGTGCTGTTCAATGTTGTACTCGTACACTGCAGTCTACCAAGTTTCTTCTTACCATTGAAGTTAACATACCTTCCAAGCTTGCATTGCCTCCCTGCCTCTTTACTTCTTCTTTGCCTTTCTTACTCTACTTCTCTACCAACCAACTAACCAGCCAAACGAAAACGACTTCTATCAGACAATTCTATCAGACAATTCTACATACCATACCATACCTATAGTTACATATTCTCAACTTCTCCAACTGACCTGGGCGTGCGTGCGTATGTAGTACCCTATCTGTACGATACTAGCAGACTGGTAGACTGGATAGACTGGGTTAGATAGTATGCCCATTGCTTCGTTCTTGTTGGGCCCTTGTCCATGCATGGCAGCATTGGAAGCATTGGATTGAGATTTGAATCTTTCCCCTTTGGTTCCCTGGGTCGTGTGTTTGTTCCCGCCCACGGCTGTCTTGCCGTCTTGAAAATTAGACGCGGAACTTAGCACATGTGTTTTGCATCCAGTTATCCAGTTATTACGGCCCTGGAGACGTCAAGAAACTAATTTCTTTTTTTTTCTTTTTTTTTTCTTCTTTTACTATTGACCATCCCATCCTTCTTTCTTCCCTTACTCTACCAGATACCTACCAAACTATCAAACTACCAACTTACCAACCAACCTACCCTACGCTACCTACCTACCTACTTACGTACCTTCGCACTAGGTATCGACTAATTATTTTCTACATCCTAACCATCCCCATCCCCGTCCCCTCTTCTACTTAGCACTTGGCTTGACCTTACCCTACCTTGCCTTGCCTGACCTGGCGTGTCTTGACGTGTTCTGGTCTGATGCCGATGCCCTTTCGACCTTTCACACCTGGAGAACGGCATACCAAGGTTAGCATATATCTAGCACCACCTAACGGTCGGGCTTTGTCAGGGATACGAACGACTGTCATTGATTCTGTCCATTTCACTTCCCCGGTGCTTGGGAAGAGGGTTTCTAAAGGGATCTAAGGGGAATAATCTACAGCCGAGGGTCATCGATGGTCACATCCATTGGTGACGACCTTTAGACAAAGTTTGGTAGTTAATACCATATTTCGTCCGTAGTGTACGAATTGGCCGGGTTCGAATACCTGTCCACCGCGTGGCTTTGGTATCCACCCCTCCTTAGCTGTCTTTTGCCGACAATCTAGTCAACCTATCCATCGTTACTTCGGTTTGCGATTACCATGAGCAACGATATTAGCCTTTCGAGGGCCTTGGGTGGCCTACGCATTGCCAATCCGGACGATGTCGATATCTCACCACACCCACCCGGAGAGGAAGTAGACCAAATTGATACTCCACCCGTGTCAACCCAACCCGTCTACGACTCTCGTCCTTCTGATCACGACTCATACACCGAACAAAGTAGACCTCCGACGTCCGATATGTTAATGGGCATACCTAGTACACAAGCCGATCCTAACAGTCAGATGTCTGCGTACCCCCAGAATGGAGGGTTACCGTACACAAACCCCGCCTCTTCCCGTCCTCCCTCCGGCCTTTACAGCGCCACGACAGCAGCAGAGCGTGACCAAGCTGCGAATTCCTACCATATTTTACGGACCGAACCGTCTAGAGCACCCGTGTACAATGGTCCAAATAAGGCCGATTCGAGAGCACCTTCGGAATACGCGCCAAGCATTCCCTCTCGTGAGCCGAGTTACCGAGATCGATCCTACAATCAGAACCGCCAGCTTCAGGCCGTCGCTGGGGCTGGGGCTCTTCCCCCTAGAAGGAGTTCGAAAGGCATGGGTGGTGGCTATGCCTCGATTCCTGGCGTACCCGTTGTCCCCGAGCCCCACGGTCTCGCGATGGACACGCCTGTGTCTAAAAGTAGCGAGGACTGGAAAGACCGAGGCGCCGCTGTATCGATACGAAAAGAGGTGGACGCGAATGGGAAAACTATCATGCGACCAGTAAAGAAAGGTGTTCGGGATTTTTCTTTCGGTCGAATTTTAGGAGAGGGCTCATACAGCACGGTGTATTTCGCCACGGACCGCCAAACCCTGAAAGAGTACGCAATAAAAGTACTAGAGAAGAAGCATATCATTAAAGAGAGAAAGATAAAATATGTCAACATTGAGAAAGATACGCTCAACCGATTGACGGAACATCCTGGTATTGTACGGCTATACTACACCTTTCAGGATGAAAACTCTCTTTATTATGTCCTAGATCTTTGCAATGGCGGCGAGTTGCTGGGCGTTTTGAAAAAAACGGGCACGTTTGACGTGGAGTGCTCCAGGTTCTTTGGCGCCCAAATATTAGATGCTATCGAGTATATGCACTCGCGAGGTGTAATCCATAGAGACTTGAAGCCCGAGAATGTCCTCCTCGACGATCAGTTGCACGTCAAGATTACCGATTTTGGGACGGCAAGGCTGTTAACAGACCCGAGAGCTCCTCAGGCCCCTCCTAGGATTGAGGACACTGGGACAAGTTCTAGGAGCAAGGACCAGGATGATGATAGTCGTGCAGCGTCGTTCGTAGGCACGGCTGAATATGTGAGCCCTGAGTTACTCACCAATAAAAATGCCTGCAAGGCGAGTGATCTATGGGCATTTGGCTGCATTATCTATCAACTGCTTGCTGGCCGGCCACCTTTTAAAGCCGGGTCTGAGTACTTGACGTTCCAGAAGATCGTTAATCTCGATTATGAATTCCCCACAGGATTTCCACCTGCCGCGAGGGATCTGGTCGAACGGTGCCTGGTTTTAGATCCCGCAAGGCGTCTGACTATTGAGCACATCAAAAACCATGAATTTTTCGACGGCCAACAATTCGGTAAAGGCCTGTGGAAAACGAAGGCCCCCCGATTGCGGCCGTATGTGCCACCATCCCAGGAACCGAAGATCATACAACTGAATGGGACACCCAGCAGTCAACAGCCCAACTCCAGGCCACCAACAGGAGGGAATGGGCTTAATGGCTCTTCTCGGAATCCCGGAAGGATTATCACGGATATCCCCCCACCATCTCAATTGGACATTGAATGGTCCCCTGTATTGACAAGAACGAACGAGAGAATATTACGACTCGGCGACCTGATGGTTATGTCCTCACCAATTCCAAACAGCCCCCACGGTAAAGGTGATGAGGGTCATAGGAAATTCTCTCGCTTCTTTGGCGGCAGTACGACGAAGAAGAGACAACGATTAGTAATGATCACGTCTAGTGGGCGGATTGTCCTGGCACCAGCCGGTGGCGAGGAGAAGAAGGCGAAATTAGAGATTTCGCTTTTGACACCAGACTGCTCGTGGAAGACCCTGGTCGACGCGAAGGGACAGACAGTTTGGTGTGTCGACTCGGTAGGTTCTTATTGCCTAGACATGTGCATGCTCTATATTGACAAGATTATTAGGCTGGTATGCACTATACCTTTGAAGATGTGAAACCTTCTTCCTTTGAGACGCCTCGACCCACTGCAGACGAGTGGCTTGAGACTGTACAGCAAGCCAGGGACTTTGCTGCATCTCTCAACCTCAACCGCTCTTACACAAGTGACAATGCGTTCGGAGAGATATCGTCGTCCATGTCTAGCCCAGCAAGCACTTTCGGCCCGGAGGGCTATAATATTAACGACAGGTCTCATCGGAACCATCTGAGTAAGAGCCAAGCAAGTTTAGAAGATACGTCTAGTACAAAACGGAATCGATTCAGCAAGCGACAATCCAAACAGGGGTTAGGTTCGGCCTTTTAAAGGGAGCCTACCTACCTACCTACCTACCTACTTATTTTCACTTTCTTCCGTTCTATTTTCATATGCGGCATATTCCAGCGAGGCGTAGGCTTTTGGTGATATTTAAAGGGGGTCCAAATCATGACACGAAAACACTTGCATTCTGGGAGTTTCCTTTTCACCAACTATGCTACTCCAGATTGGGGCATGCACTCGGCATCCCATTTTAGATGCATTAGAAGGACTACATCGTACACAACCACACCTCACTTTCCCTAATATAATATTCCAATATAAAATTTTCTTACTTGCCCGCCCCCGTCTTCTATATCATGCATAGGAGAGAGAAAGCTACAGGAAAGGATGATGGGTCTGGCTTGGTTGTGACTTTTACTATTGAAAGTTGAAGAAGGCATTCATGTTGCTATATTGAAAGCCTAGAACATAGCGAGGGGGGTTATACCAGTGTAAGTGGTCAGAAAAGGCTCCATACTAGGTACCCTCCTATTTAGGGGTATGGAAGAAGGAGAGGGAGAGAGAGAGAGAGAGCTGAATACACTGGACTGATAGAATGATTGGGCCTAGCTGAGTTGGTCATTAGTAAACTGTAATGCCCCGCATGGGCCTTGAATGTTTGTGATATCTGGTCTACATGTGCTCTACTACCTAGGTATATTCGCAGTAATGTATTGAATCTGGAGCATGGATGGATATGCATATATGCATAATTAGGAACTATATAGGTATATTACCTAGGTTAGTAATATTACCTCAGAGGCTCAGCCTGGTCCTCAGGTACTACTAGTAGTACATATGTACAAGTACCTACTAAGCCACTACATAGTCGTTACGTTACTGAGCACCGCCACGTCAAACAACTTCCGACTCTAGACTTCAAATGGCAATTCAAAAGAATGTCCACCCTTTTTTTTTCTCAATTGACACAAGCCAGTTAAGAGGAAATCTTATATTCTCCAATCATTTTACAGACCGCGACGAGGCGGAACACGCGCCTTTTCAACGACTATCCAAATCTCCGACGCAGATAACTCGGACCATCTTCCCCATTCCCAATCGCGACTCGGAATAGTCTTTTTCTGGCGTCGCACCTTGATCAGTCAGTGGAGTTGCAAAACAAGAACTACCTACCATACTATACCATACCAATCCAATCCAGTCTAGGTTTCTGGTTCTTCTTAGCCCTTCCTAGCTTTTAGCAGCATTGACAGGTCTTACAAAGCCTCCTGTTTGTTTATTTTCGTCATAGCCCAGGTGAACCAAATTCAATATTTTATAACAATAGGAGAGATATTGGTTGGCGCCAAAACAGTCAAGATGCAGACCAGCTACCGTCCTTACCCGCAGCAGCAGGTCGCGCCGCAGCGCACCCCCCATTCGGCCGGACAGCGACGAGGAGGCATTGGTATGTAACCTTTTTACTTGAACTGATCAATGATAGTTAAGAGGGGCTGGGTTCAATTTGCTCGATGCATTTTTAAGTGTTGGCGATCCAACGAAAAAAAGAATCCCCACAACACATCCACATACATACTACCTTCACATCCACATTCGTATCCATGGCAGCATGGATATGTCCACTCAACATCCACAGGTCCCTAACGACCACGCACGTCTACACTTGTCTCCACTAGGCCATTAGTCGTGTTCATCGCTAAATTCAACATACCCATACCCATACCCATACCCATACCCCCATATCCATCCATATCCGTGCTCTCATCATATACACACATACGCGATACTACTGGTACTAATCTCTTGATGACCCTCTACATGTACCCTTCCTTCACCTCATTCTTCTCCCTGTTACCTATATTCATTTCCATATTACAATTTATACCATACATCGATCTAATCAAATCTGCGGCGATACAGGTCCCATGATGTCGTCTGGTCCTCATCACCAAGTCCCGCTGACCCAGGCGCAAATCGCACAGCAGCAGCAGGCCGCAGCCATGCAGGTCGAGACAGCTAAACGCCGTAGCCGCAAACCAACCGACAAGAATCTACCTGACAACATCGACGACTGTACCATCGGCGATATGGCTGCGAGATATCGAGACCTTCGCGACTTTGAGAGAAGGCTCGACGCGACCATGACAAGAAAAAGGCTTGATATTGTCGACTCAGTAAACCGAAGCGTCAAGGTATATATTGTGCATCATCTCGAATGGCGTGGGCTTTTTTACTGACGGAAATTGTTTAGCGATGGAAGACTTTGCGAATATGGATCACCAACACGGCCGAAGATCAAGTTTGGCAAGGGAACAGTCTCAGTGCCGACACATTTGATTTTAGCTCGAACCAAGAGCCCACGTATCGCGTCAAGATCGAGGGACGGCTATTGGAGGATGACGATGATGTTGGTCAAGATGATAAGAGTGAAGATAGTAAGGCTAACTCCGACGACCCTGACCGCATGGAGGAAGACCCAAAACCGAAGGCGACGAAGACACCAAAGTACAGATTCTCTCATTTCTTCAAGGCATTAAGTGTCGACTTCCCAAGTAGTCGGAAGGGGATTGACCAGCCGGTTGAGTGGAAGAAGCCCGAGGCGCGCGCTGGTCCCTCGTCTAATCTTCCTGCCGCGGCCGACTTTGATGAGCTCACCTTTAAGCGCTGCGGAGATGAGAATATCCACATTACCATCAATCTCCATAGACACGAGGAGCCAGAGCGCTATGCACTTAGCCAGGAGCTGGAAGACATTGTCGATATGTCAGAAGCTACACGCCAGGAGACTGTGATGGGTATTTGGGAATACATCAAGTTGATGGGGCTACAAGAGGATGAAGAGAAGCGCAACTTTCGCTGCGACGATCTTTTGAAAAAGGTAAATAAAGCAGACGTAGGTCGGGTATGATTATACATTACTAATCCAGCGGCCTAGGCAATCAACGTTGATGCTGGCTCGATTCCCAAATTGAACGAATATATAACACCACAACTAAAGCCTCTGCCACCCGTCAAACTCCCTTACACCCTCCGACTTGACGAGGAGTTCCACAAGGACCCGCAACCTACCGTCTACGATGTTCGTGTTGCGGTGGATGACCCTTTGCGAGAAAAGATGCTTTCGTTCCTCAGTAACGCCGGCTACGCAAACATGCTGAAGGAGGCCGCAACTCTGGATGAACAGCTAGCGACTATCATTCAGGCAATCCATGTTTCGAAAGCCAAGCATGCATTCCTGGCCTCCCTCAGCGAGGACCCAACTACCTTTGTGAGGGACTGGTTGAGTTCGCAGAAGCGTGACCTTGACGTAATTATGGGTGAATCAATGAGGGGCGTGGGTGAGGAAGCTTCCGGTGACGAGTGGAGAAAGGGAGGCAAAGATAGTGTCTGGTCTACTATCAACGCTCGAGAAAGTGTCACGGTCTTGTTGTCCAAGCAGCCTATTCAACCGCCACGGTAAAAGTTGGACTCGAAGTTAGGAAGAAGACGTGAATGGGCGTCGGCGGGGGTGTGGTAAATGGCGTATGGCGTGCTTGTATTGGAGTCCTTTGGGAAAGGCTTATATCCCTCAGGGGTCATGGGTGGTTTTTATTGTAACCTGGAGAGAAGCATATCCTGGATGAAAGTGATTGCAGAGGCCAACATTGGTAATATTTTCGATGGAGCTCTTGTCTCCAAACCTCAAGCTTGAAAGTCTGGGTGGATGGAAAGACGGACGGACGGACGGACGGACGGAATTGCTCTCGCAACTGTCTCGTAATAATTCGATATAACAAATCACAGTTGTACATCGGATACTTCATGTTTGTGATAATATGCTAACCTAATAATATTGCAAGTTTCGCTTGTGATGCTGTTGTGATGTAATATTCGGTGTTAAATTCTTAAATCCGATCGATGCCTTTTGACCATGACATATAACTAAAGCCCGAGTCTTGACTGACCCCTCCTATGTATATATATGCTCCACCTTCTACCTTATTCCCTTCGTCAACTGAGGCTTGATCAAGTTTGCCTATCACATACACTGGTATAACTAGTTGGTATAACTAGTTATAGGATACTACAGTACAGAACCCCAACACTTGCAGCAAAGGGGCTTCATTCTTGAAACCCACAATCATTTCGTCTCCATTCGTAATCATGTCAGCCATCTTCCAAAAGGCCAATACAGCCGTCATCACAGGCGGCGCGTCGGGCATCGGACTGGCGCTGGCGCACAAGTGCGTCGGGTACGGGATGCGAGTGGTGGTCGCAGACTGGGACACCGGGCGGCTGGACGAGGCGAGACGGTCCCTAGGAGCTGGCGCCACTGCGCTAAGGGTTGATGTGGCGAAGACGGAAGACTGGGCGGCGCTGAAGACGCATGTGGTGAGGGAGCTTGGGGGCCAGGTCAACTTGCTCGCGCTTAATGCGGGCGTGTCTGGGGGTGGCACGTCTTTCAATAATAGCGAGGGCGAGGGTTCAGGGGTTCAGGGGTTAGAAACGTGGAGGAAGGTTGTTGATGTGAATTTCTTCGGCGTAGTCAATGGGATTACGACGTTCCTCCCGCTGATTAGAGAGATGGTGGAAAAGAAGGAGGAAGGTAAGGAGGGGGAGGAAGCGAGGATCATCATCACGGGCTCGAAACAAGGTATCACGAATCCCCCCGGTAACCCGGCGTATAACGCCAGCAAAGCGGCAGTAAGGAGCGTCGCGGAGCAGCTCTCATTCGACCTCCGCGCGGTAAAGGGTGTGGCCGTGCACCTCCTCATTCCCGGGTGGACATGGACGCCGCTGGCGGGTGCGGTGGGAGGCAAGGCAAAGCCCGAGGCGGCGTGGACAGCAGAGCAGGTTGTGGAGTTTTTAGAGGGAAAGATGCGGGAAGGGGAAGAGAAAGGGGACGAGAAAAAGTTCTGGGTTTTGTGTCCGGATAACGATGTCTCGGAGGAGACAGATAGGAAGCGGATGCTCTGGACGGCGGATGATCCCGTTAAAGGACGCCTGCCGCTGAGTCGGTGGAGGGATGAGTATAATCTAGAGTTTGAGGCGTGGATGAAGGGGAGGGGAGGGTTGTGAGTTGTGAATTGGGGTTGTATCTAATATGTTGCTCGAGTTCTACTCGCAGAGGCTGAGATGAGTAGCTGGTATGGATTTGGTATTTCATCTTCAGTTCATACAAGAGTTTATACAAGTATCCTATTTATGATCAGATCCGTTCCTTACCCCAAAAGACCTAAAGACCTAAAGACAGTACGATGGAAATATAGTATATATTGCAAGACCTTCCAGTCAACATTCATATTTGTTGTATACGAGTCTAATGCGCTTCTTTCATGCATTTACTTCCGTTCCTTTACAGTGGATGGATACAAAGCCTTGTGACAACCAAAAGTAGATATGCACCCCCCCCCCCCCCCCCCCCCCCCCCCCCAAAAAAAAAAAAAAAAAAAAAAAAGGAGAGGGAGAGAGAAAGAGAGAGAGTTATGGAGGTATTTGCGCCACTGCAGAGCTTTCGTTCTTCATTCGTTCCTATCATAACCCAAACGCCTAAGTACATGCACGTAATGTATGTAGTTTCTTCTTTTTGGCCATGATGGCTACTTCGTACATCTACTATCCGTCCTTTGATATGTCTCAGTCCCTACCCCAATACTTTAAAGGCCCTTGAAAACAAAACTCCATAATCTGGCTTCGCCCACACGCTACTAGGTATGACTCGTTCATGTAGAACTCGACTAACGGTGACCATTCCCCTAAACAGCCTGAGACAGCTGGCGAGTAGGCGGGACGGGATTTGGCGGCATATTTCGGATCTGCTTGATCAGAAATTCACGTTCGTCGATGAACTGCTCATCGTCGGTGCGGTCCTCGAGGAAGTGTGACAAGAAATTTAAGAGCTTGTCGCGGTTCATGAGCAGGATCTTCTGGACGGCGATGGACTTGTGGGGATTGGCCACGAAGACCTTGAAAACATGGAATCCCTCATACTGCACCATCTTGCGATCGCTGCGGAGGAGGTTCATACAGATCTTGAGATGCTCCCCGCGGTCTACGTATGCGGTCATGACATTGTAGTTGGACCGGTCTAATAATATCTCCCCCAGCAACTTGATCGACTGCCGCTTCGTTACGTAACTGTTGGACTGCACCAGGATGTGGTTGTACCTGTCAAAAAAGAGTTCAAAGTTGATAGAGAGGTATCGCGGCACAAGTTCCTTGTGCTTTGTTAGAAGTTCCTATATAAAACTTGTTAGGAGAAGGGGTCTGATAGTCGTGTCATGATTTTATATGCTCGCTTTTGCTGCATATTCGGACATACCCTGAATGTGGTGAATGCATCAGCAGCAACCTCGAACGAGCTCTTGTCGATCCAATCGAAGAATCGCCAAAAGACACCATTGCCACTTTGAGGTCGCTCCCTGTCAATAGCCGTGACACCCTTTAAACTCGACCCAGGTTCCTCTCCATCATCATATAATATGATAGCAGCAGCCGCCTCAGACTTGAGGACTTCGCGGAGTACGGTGCCGGCAGGCGTCGCGCTTTCTTTGTGATCATAGCCCCGACATAACTCAAGCAGGATTTGCGGCTTGTTATTAACTACGTAGCTCAGCGCGACGGGATCGGTCTTGGGCGATGCTGTGGGGGGTCGGAAGCGGAAGACGTAGGAGAATATGACTTGGGTATCTTTGCGGGACTCGAAAGGGAGGCGATGTAGGTATTGAGCGAGTAAGAGAAGTAGATCCTCTTCTATCAGGCCTGTGACTAACTGGTATACTTGTTCTGGGGCGCTTTCCACCTCTGCGACCTGATATTTAGTATTATGCGACCATACACATCTCATGCAGTTGCGCTTTCAGACTTGAGAAGGGATGCGCCAGGACATTTAATAGGAACATACCTGGTGTGCCTTGCAGTATAAGCTTCATCTGACTGAGCACCTTGGCTAGCTCCTCGGACTACGGTACAGTAAGTAACCTATCTATAATATATTTCGAGGTTATTACGACCAAAAGTGTACGTACTTTGCCGGGAGCGTCGAGCTTGAGAACATTGTCTCTTGCTTGCTTGGGCAGATCCAAGGTATTGGTCCTGGTTCTTGCCCGTGAGAATAGGAAGGACATGGTTGAGAACTAGCTATACGAATGATTCATCTGTATCGGGAAGTTTCAGAAGGTGAAATTGGATTTGCCAAGGTAAGAGATTGAGAAGATAGCAATGAGTGTGCAATGAGTATGATTCGGTCTCGACCAAGATGTATTCGATGTATTCGATGTATTCGATGTATTCGGTGTATTCGATGTTCTTGATGTTCTCGAAGTATTCGATCTCTTGAAAAGACGGCGTTGGAGATTCAGTCAACCAGGTACGTCATCTTTCCGGGCTTGCCTAAGTGATGAGATGTCCGTAGTCGGTATCCTAGAGCTATGCCTAACACCTTGGTAAAGTCTTTCGAATGCTGCCATGTAAGGTATGAGGTGCGTAGGATGTTGCTGTGTTGGTTGCTATTTATTCCAAGTAAATCCGGGGATCGGAATGTTTATTTACGGGGCAATACCTAGTATCTCACTGGGCAGCGGTGGACAGTGGACATCCTTGTAACATTGAATCACCACTACTAGGTAGTAGTATGTATGTACATAACTACTATGTAGCGTAATGTATTTGCATGGATTCCTATGTACCGTGCAAGTCCGTGCTAGTATTTCATGTAGTTACATTTGATATGCAATTATCATATTAATCTACACTTCCACCAAAATATACATGTACTAATAGTAGAACTCTCCTCCTCCTCCTCCTCCTCCTCCTCTTCCTTCATAGAATAAAAAAAAAAGAATAAAAATAAAAATTTAACGAGTTGGTTTCGATGCTTTCTATTGTCATAGATCAGCTCAGGGAGACTTTAACAATTTATAGTAGCCATATTACTTACCAGCAAACAGTCTTGCAATCTAAGAAATTCGCTGGCGCATTTGTCTTTATGGACAGAATTATAATCTGCGACGACACATTTACCATATAATGTTGCCTGTAGATGAACATGAGCCTTGTAATTTATCATAGAGGTATGTATAGTGTTGTAGGAGAGTATGTATGTATCACCTCAGTGGAACATTTTGAGATGGCAGCATAAAAGTTTTGGATTGGTCGCTGGCGTTGGCATTGGCGTGGTAGCATTGTTTTAATTATGTAAATGGTCTTAAGAATATTGTGAGCTGATTGTTAACTGGGAACATTGAAGGTCTGATGAAGTTTTCAATATTTTCAATATTTTCAATATTGTGAAGGAATTTGAATAGTTATGAGGTTTAGTTATTGTAATAATACATTACAATGATAGTAACAATGATAGTATGCATTTAGCTGGGATTAATGCACAGACTATTGCTATATTAGTAAATATGTAATAGTTATATGCATGTGTTTCCAACCTTCCAACAAACTTCAATCAGACAACGCGACGCGGAACCACTTTCTTCAGTCTGTTTCTTTCTTACCTAGGGTAACAACCAACTTTCGACTTCCTGATTCCTGATTCCTGATTCCTGATTCCTGATTCCTAATTCTTAATTCCTAATTCCTGACTCTCAATCTTTTCTGATAATCGCAAATTCGAATCGCACTATCTTTTAGGAATCTTGGATATTCCCCTTGATTGAGGCATTGTACAACACCTACCTATATGCGCACCCTACCTACTAGGTAGTAGTCAGTCTCCCCTGACTACAACTTTGCACTATGGCAATTGCTTCGTCAATCCAAGCTCCTGAGCTATAGTTAACACTTTGCATCCATCCCTTCGACTCTCACCTTCAAGCTATATCAACTCCAGTAAATTAATTTTCCAGGGATAAAACCATGCTCAGGCCTTCAAACTATACAAATCCGTCGCTGCTCTATCATGGCTCTTTTACATGACCTTCAGTCACCTGCTTCATCTGATATCTCCCAAGATTATTCATCTCATGAGTCTATACCTTATAGCGTCATGGCTTCACCCGTCATAGCTCCTCACCTTCTTGAAAAAGAGCGTGATAAATACTCCGACGATGGTAGGCTTGCCTTGATGTCTCAGTACTTCATTTACAGCTCAGCTAATTCATCTATTCATTAGATATACGGGTTCTATGGGAAATTGTGAACCGGGCTGAAGGATTCTTGTCTGAGCTTACACCTTCCTCTCGTTTGCCAACTCATGCATTATTTAAGGCGTATGATGAGGTGCTCCTCGAGAATGGAATTGACCCGGACGACGACCAGCTCATTAGCAAGCTCGTGTTCATGGTTGGAGGGGTCAAAAACACTGATTCGCTGAGAGCGAAGTTCAAGGCTGTCATGGCTCGCATGAATATCACCGTGCAGTTAGATCCTGGCCAAGCCCATGGAAGCGATGCTGGCGATGCTTATGCCAATTCTGCCCACACTCCCGATGGATCATCCGTTGCTGGGGATGCTGTAGATAATCGTTTCGTCGTCGACAAAGATGCGCACAGGCGGTTGCCCGGTCCCGTCAATGGTATTTATACCAATCTCGGGCTTGATGATACCAGCGATCACTACCTCGTCACGAAGGAACGTGATGGTCACCACCTCAACAATATTGACTATAGCCTGTCTAGTGAGGATAATCCCGCTCACCTGTCTAAATTGGAGCAATATCTTGAAACCAGCGCAATCGCCTTTCGCAAGACGCATAACGACAAGTTCTCGGCTGCGTCTACTCTCCGTCAGTGGCAGACGAAATCAAACTTCATGGGCAACTTGTGCGAACAGTTCGACGCTGCTCGACAAGCTGACTTGGAAGAAGACGTAGAAGCGAAATTCGAAGCATGGCGGAATCTCGCCGCTAAAGTAGATAACTTGCCGCCGCACAGCATCCCTCCCAACGTATACTCAAAGCGTATTGAGGGAATAGCATCCCGGGCCTACGAAATTCATGTCATCAAAACCGCGCTCAAACAGTGGCGGCAAAGTGCCCGAGAGCAATGCCATAAATTCCAGAACCTTGAGGAATCATCGGACCCCCTCGAACGTGTTGCGGCAAAGGCGCATAAAAACTTGATGCTCTCGCGCGCTTTCGTGAATTGGTCCAACCGCCTAGAAAAAGAAGTTGAAAGAGCACAAATGGCCGCCAAGGTTTATGAGATGAACTTGAAATCCAAAGCTTTTGGTATTCGCCAGCGTCCAAGTGACAATTCCTACACTAGCGAGACTCACATTGCTTCCTCCCCCCCTAAGCCCATTGAGTCTGATGATGCTTCCCGACCAAAGACTATTGCTGATCATATAGGGCATCCGGTTGCTGTTGATCGTGCAGTCCCGCCGGGTATTGCATTTCACACTCGCGAACGGATTTCCCCTGAGCCTGATGGGAGTGGTCCACCTTCTAATGATGATTCCACTAATTCGCTTGATGGGATGGATGAAACGACATTACTTGCACGGCGACACATTCTTCGTATGCGCTACTATGATGCTTGGGAGAGATACACAGCGGAGCACTTGGATAAAGTAAGAGACTTTAAAGCCGAACAACACGATGAACGCGTTGCCCATGCTATTCCCATATGGCGCTCCCAAGCTAGACAACTTTCTCAGGAACGAGGAACATTACGATATAATGCAGAGCGAGCCAACTACTATAATAAGGCTATAAAGGCGATCGATGCATGGAGGCAAGAGAGCCAAGACAAATGGGAAGAGCAAGATCAAGTGCTTGACCATTACGCTGCACGAGCCAATTTCTTCTACAAAACTACCAAGACCTTGCCTATCTGGCGGAACGAGACAGAACAAGCTGCCCAACACCAAGGAGTGCTTAAGTTATACGCGAATCGGGCGGAATATTTTTCTAAGACCACGAAATTCCTTCCTATTTGGAGGAAGCAAACGAAAGAGGCTGCCGAACGCGAAGAACAAACGCTTGCTAGTTATGCCCAACGAGCGGACTACTACTACAGGACTCGGGGAAGTCTGTTAGCGTGGCATGACATTTCCAAGCAGAAACGGAAGAAGCAGTTGAGGGAAGCGCATCTGGAAACGCGCCGAATTGTAAAGAGAGGTATGGGTGAACGGTGCATTGCCGAATGGCGCGAAAAGCTGCAGCCGAGCATCGAACAGTTCGAGGCCATGGATTCAATATTAGAAGATATTACCGCAGATCGAGAATGGACACAAACTGCCGAAGCGCTTGATACGTGGCGTGAGAAGGCACAAGAGCGGAATGAAATGGACTTTATGAGCGATGTGACAATCAAGGGCAAGGTTTTGGGACAATGGAGGAATCGATCGGCACGGCAACAGGAGCTACAGCTTCAAGCTGAAGAATATAAAAAAGGAAAGACGGTAGCCCGAGTGCTCAAGAACTGGAATCTTAGGACTCTTCAGATACCAAACCGGCCTCTTATCGTCGCAAATGCCTTGGAAAAGAAGGACAGGAAAATGCTGCGAACAGGGTTTGAAAATTGGTATAGCCGGACGGCGGATAAGCTGGTTCCTGTTGAGCTCTCAGATGGAAGCTACAAGAGCGTGGAACAAGTAGTAGATGATGCGCAGCACCAGGCATCACTTACGCAAGCGAAGGGATTATTCAGCCGCTGGCAAGCCGCCACAAAGGAGAGAGAGGCTGAAACGATACCAGAAGAGACGTACGCGGCAACTCCAGGGAGACCTCGGATATTTCTAGCGGCATTAAATCGAATGGAGACGACGACACCGTTGGCACCAGTACCTAGCCGATGGCGTGCTAGTGAGACGGCACTGAGGGGGTCACTCGTTGGTGCTAGAAATAGTCGCGCTAGGCGCGCAGAGCGGAATCTCAGGGTATCATGGGCTCAGTAGTTACTGAGTAGTAACCTTGAAACTTATTGATAGGTATTGGGTATCATTGGCGTTATGGGGTTCGTATTGTGTAGCATGATGGAATTTGGCATGAAATAGGCGTGGTGGATTCTGTTATAAGTTAGAAAGATACCCACGGTTTAACGATTCTCAAAATCCTCGAATTTCATATAGAATATCCATCATGATGGATGCATTGTGTACCTAGGATGCTATGTAGGTACCTACTATGTACCTACCTACTACTAGGTAGTATGGAAACTACATACATGTAGAAACTCGAACTGCTCAAGGTCTCTGAATGTTGTGCATTTAAACGGGTCAAGTTAGCTCCAATTTAGCTCCAATTTATGCAATATCACAAGCTAAGTAGTTTGGGCAGGGATTCGCGGCACTTCCACGTCATTTTGCAGCCGCAATCCGACGCGAATGCCTGTTGTAGCGAATAAGCAAAGCACCTGACATTAAACTGGCATTCAAACATCCCAGTGAATGCTTCAAAGTTAAATCGAGTAACAGATCACTTTTAACACTAAAATCAGGATTGATCTGTTAGGTACAACTTGTACATAACTTGAATGGTACATAGTAGTATCATAATACGCCCACGCCCACGCCCACGCCTGTGCATCAAAAGCACCTCTTGAATAGCAAACCCAAATTACGAACCTGAGCCGAACGAAACAAACCCGAACGAAACACAACGAAACGAAACGAAACCCTCATCGTCTAAGTGCTGAAGCTTACTATAATCAGCGCATCACGCCTCTCGCCTCGAATATCATCCCTTAGGTAGCAATGTCCTTTCCGAAAGATTTGCGACGATAGTATGAAGGCAGTCCTTCCAGGCCAGCCTGAAGCTCGTCTTCAAGCTGTGTCAACGGGTTATTGGGACGGTAAACGTGTCATCGTTTATATCACCGGCAACGCTCTCGCAATCCTCTCCGACCCCGAAACAATCCTCCAGACCATATACGATGACGACGAAAGGAATCTAGAAGCTGTCTCTTTTGACGAGTGCTCGGGGAAGATAGCAGCATGTACTAATACTACCGTGAGGATATATCGGCCTCTGAGTCATGGTGACGATGGCGGCTCACCCAAGGTTGTTCGCCCTAGAGTTGGAGAAAGGCTAATTGGTATTTCAGTCATTGCTGACCTGCATGTAGTGGGCTTTACAAACGTTTTTCGACGTCGACCAAGGCGAGACTTCCATATCTTTGTCGTGGGGGGGATCAGAAGAACTTCTCGTCGGCCGATCGTATCTTTGGCTTTATGACACAACCTCGACCCCTGCCTCTTGTCATTGGCACCGAGAGCTAGCTAGTCCCGTGAAAGCGGCCAACCTTTCGTATGACTCGTCATACATTGCGTCCGTTGGTTACCAGGACCGATTGGTGAAGGTGTGGCGGAGGCTTAATTTCGGTTCGGAGGAAGTCATCTTCGACTTTACTTATCTACCTCATCCACGGGCCGTTACTGGTATACAATGGCGCAAACCTTTCCATGTCGACCAGACGATGGAGAATGTGCTCTACACATTCTGTGTTGACAATATTATGCGCGTGTGGACAGGCGCTGACGGCTCTGGCTGCCAATCCTTGCGCCAGTGGGGAAAGCTGGATCTTGCGGCGGCGATACCGAAGGAGCGAGGGATGGACAAGCCCACTTTGAGATGGGCCTTTATCCTTGGACAGCGGGACCTAGCCAATGCTACCGAAAGAGCCGTTCAGGAGAGGGATGATGGCCACGAGAAGGAGGATGTCGCTCTACAATACTTACTATCTATTGCTAACAGAGATACGGAGATTTGTGTTATCCTGGATGGACGCGGAAGTATGTCGTCCTGGGCTCTAGAGAATGTGAGCAGCAAGCCCAAGGGCGCCAATAACGTGGATAACGTCGCATACGTTAAATCCAAAGACTTCGACTTTCTAGGGTCGCTTCAGGTTGAATCTCATGTTGAGATCCTCAGCTATTGCAATAAGAATGCGGGTAACCTTCACATGTTATTTCATCATTTTGACGGGCATGTAAAGGTGTTCGAGAGCAATATTGCAGATTTCCTCGACCCAACTACCCGGAGCAAGAGTCGATTGATTCCTCGTGCTTCTTGGTCTGGGCATTCCGCTTCGATCAAGAAGATTGTCCGAAACTACAGTGGGCGGGCGATTGTATCCAGGACTGAGCAAGGGGGGGAAAGTATTGTCTGGCGACACTCTCCTGGCGCAATACGAACAAAATTGCTGAGGCATAATGTCATCCCGGAGAAGCGCCATATACATCGAATATGCTTAATCAGAGGGGGCAGGTTCGTTATATTCTTGCATCACGACAGCATTGCAGTGTGGAATTGCACTTCGCCAGTCCATACACTGCTTGCCGAATGTAAATATCAAGTCCGCGGCAAGCCCCTTTGCATTCTTGTACTCCCTCGCGAGCGAGTAGACGACGATTCCGTTGCCCATATCGCAACTATTACTTCGGAACAGGAAGGAATTGTGTGGGAACTCCACTTACCTTTACATAATGATAATGCTACTAAATCACAGACCAATGGTTATGAAAAGCCTCTTCAAGAATTCTGCACGTTCAAATTAGACACAGCTGGTGATCTTGCCTACGTTCTACCAGTTGACCCGGCAGGTTCCAAGCCCGTTATATCTGGGTTCTTGGATGTCTTTGCTCGCGACGTTGCAGTATCGTACACCCACGGTGGCCGTGTTGAGTTTTGGACAGCCAGGGTCTCTCGAGAACGAAGTCAGGTTGAATGGCTTTCCACGGCGTCGATGGAGACGGGTGTTTCGGAGCCTACCTTGGCTAGCGGCAGTACGATGAAAAAGGCGGCCCTTGTGAACCGAAACCGTTCAGACCTAACCATTTGGGATATCCGAGCGGCCCGTTTGGAGTACAAACAGGATTTTGAGAATCACAACACGGTAGAAGATCTCGACTGGACGTCTACGCCGGATTCGCAGTCTATACTCGCTGTAGGCTTCCCATACCGTATCATTCTTCTCGCACAGATGCGATTCGACTACTTGAATAAGGGCCCTGCTTGGGCATCCATTCGCGAGATTAACACTCGAGAATTCACACCCCATCCTATTGGAGACTCAACCTGGCTTAGCGACGGCAACTTGATTGTTGGCGCCGGCAATCAATTATTCCTATACGATAGAACTTTCGAGACAACAGACCGACTAGTATCAGGTGTGCGCGTGCCTCATCGTAAAGATGGTACTAGAGACCTGTTTGATGTTATTCAAAGATTGAATGGTCCCTTACCAGTTTTCCATCCTCAGTTTCTCAGCCAGTGTATTTTAGCAGGGAAGCACTCCGCGGTTCGGCGCATACTACTAGCTTTAAATCACACATTGAAGTACCACGTCGAGGGAGACGTAATCGATGACTATCTAAGTCTTGACCTCTCTGAGTTTTACGTAAACAAAACAGTAAGTCATATGAACGCAATTGAAGTTTCGATAGCTAACATGCCAGGCTTCTACTCATGGACATGACCCATCGTATCTTGTGTCTCAGATGTCATTTGACGACAATGACGAAGTCTTTTCAGAAGATACGGCCCTCTCTATTTGCGAGAAACTCCAGAATACAACCATACCCCAATTGTCCGGCCACGAGCAGATCCAACTACTAGACATCGTCGAGTGTTCCGGGGTAGTGGAAAGGCAACGCCGCTCCATGGATGAGAACGGTTCAAGGTTTATGCTATTTTTCCGTCAACACGCGCTGAGAAAGAGAAGAACCAATGAAAATCATATGTCGTGGAGGGAGATTAACTGGGCTTACCATTCCACTAGTCAAGACATACTGACCGATTTCGTATCCCGCCAGTACCACGGCACTATGTTGTGGGACAACGCGAGGGAGAGTGGCACGTTCATGTGGCTCACAGATGAAGCGGCTGTTGTGAGTTATAATGTTCAGTTCATAGTTATTTATTATTTATTATTTACTAAACAGCTTGCAGAAAACACAATTTGAAATTGTGGCTCGCAACGAGTACACCAGAAGCGAGGTGAAGAACCCCGTAGACTGTAGCATATATTACCTTGCCTTGAAGAAGAAGACTGTTCTTCAAGGGCTGTGGCGCATGGCAAGTTGGAATAGAGAACAGAAAGCAACACAGCGACTTCTTGCGAATAACTTTAACGACCCCAAGTGGAAGACGGCGGCGTTGAAGAATGCGTACGCTCTGCTCAGCAAACGTCGTTTTGGTATATCTCAACAAATTCATAATTGTCATATACAGCAGTGCTAACATGGTATCTAGAGTATGCAGCCGCCTTTTTCCTACTTGCAGACCACTTGCAAGACGCGGTGAATGTCTGTCTGAATCAGATCAAGGACCTCCAATTAGCCATTGCCATTACCAGAGTATACGAGGGTGACAACGGACCAACATTTCGGAAGCTGCTCGAGAATGAAGTCCTCGTTGTTGCGGCCCAGGAAGGTAATCGCTGGCTTGCGTCCTGGGCCTTTTGGATGCTAAAGCGGAGAGATATGGCGGTCCGGGCTTTAATTGTAAGTCTTGTTGGGGAAGATTTATGACGAACAAGAGTGACTGACTTTACAAAGACCCCTGTGTACACCTTGTTAGAGACCCCAGTATCCTCAAACAATCTAGACGCCAAACTATTCCTAACAGATGACCCAGCCCTCGTGGTGCTGTACTCCCAACTCCGGCAGAAGACGCTTCAGACACTCCGTGGCGCATCAAAGGTCATGCCGAGGACAGAGTGGGAATTTGTCATACATAACGCCAGGCTGTATGACCGCATGGGCTGCGACCTACTAGGCCTCGACCTCGTCCGCAACTGGGAGTTCCTCCGCCAACTCCCGCTGTCCGATGGAGACTTTGGCGGCGAGATCGACCCCCGAAAGTTGCTGCGCCGCCGCGGCTCCATGATCGTCCAGGACATGCCGCTCTCACCTGTTGCCCCCGGTGATATGAAGACCGGAGGCCACGGTGTGAAGCCGCCGCCTAGCGTGTTTGAGGAGCCTGATGCGAATTCGTTATTGGATAGTTTTGGCTTCTAGATGAAGTGCAGTTATTAACTTGGCGGCCACCTAGGTAGGTAGTGAATGGGATCGGTTCAGGGGCAGGGACGGGGGCCAAGGGAATTGAAAATGTACGAGTTAGTTGTGAGCAAAGAGCTACCGTATCGGAATTGGTTTGGAAGCTGAAGTTCATATTACCTACATAGGCACCTACCATAGACATAGGTGCTTGTAATAGCCTCAGACTGTCTATTTAGATAGTCATCAACTAGAAGCTACCTACATGAATAGCAACATAAATCAACATAAACTAGTTATGCGCTGATATGAGATGGTGATTCGCAGTCCCTAATCATATCGAGTGCCGAGGCTTAGGACCACTGGCTCCTGAAAGCCATATTTTGGCTTAGGCTGGGCCGGGCCTGGCCGAGCCTATAAATCTAGGCCCTATCACCGAAAGCGTACAACGTGAGATCTCGAGATGTTTGGATGTTTACGGAGTCGAGAACGAGCCGGTCTGACGTGACACTAGCCAATACCCTTTCCATATCAATTATGGACCTTCGATGCTATATTTGTCTTAACTATATGTACATATACATGTTGAAAGCTAAGACTACTTGTAGGACTTATTGTTGAGAGCTAGATAAGCTTCCATCTACATACTCATCTCTCCGCCTCCTTGGGAGATCAAGGCAAGATTGCGTGATATACCACAGCCACACCGAACCGGCCGTTCACACATTGCGAAATTCGCCCACATTTTGAAGCCAAGTGATTGAGTTAATACGACATAAAGTGGTGCCCCTGAGACTTACCGCGGCCGTGCTGAGATGGGCAAAAGATCACTTTGGTCAGGTAGCTGTGTCGAGCGATTTCCGCTCAGAAATGCGAGTGTCGCGTGAGCCACATAGGAAAGGCCGGTTGGTCGCCAGCAATGTTACGTAGAGGCCAAGCCTAGGCTGATTTACCGAGACTACCTAGGTAATCGACCACATGGATACACTTCGCTTGAAGTGGAGATATATGTCTCCTTCAATGTCCGATCATCATTGCTGCGGTCGACCCCTTGCGTAGACCCCCACGAAGCTCCCGGTATAAAAAGCGCTGCTGTCAGGTCCGTTGCAACAAATTAATTTCCTCATCAACTATATTATTACCTCTCATATTCAGATCTCTTAACGACACTTAACATCTCCAAACAATAAACACAAACTATAGACGAATATGAGGTTCGAGTTAGCGTTAGCCTCTATTATAGGAATGACGGGGGTCATGGGAGTGGACCCCGGTTCTATCGGAATGGGGGATGCCCTGACCACGGCCAACATGCCCGAAGAGTTCCTGGACGATGTCTACTTCGTCGAGCATGTGCCGTTGATGGCTCTCCAAGTCGATCCGCGAATCTCGTACGCCCTCTACGTCCCCACCACCCACTACACCGCGGATCCGGCCAAGTCAGGCGGCCCCAAGCTTCCCTTGCTCGTGTACGTCCACGGGACTGGCAGAAACACCGTGGCCATCTTTGACGAACTGGTGCCCTTTTCCAACTCGACCCCCTGTGCCATTGTAGCACCTGTTTTCCCCATGGGGCTAGACGGACCCAACGACCTCGACTCCTACAAGCAAATCAATGGCAAGACGCTCCGCTCCGATAACGCACTCCTGTCCGTCCTTGACCAGGTCTCCGTCCGTTGGCCCGGCATTGAGACGAGCAAAGTGTTCATGATGGGGTTCTCGGGCGGCGGCCAGTTTGCCCACCGCTTCCTGTACCTGCACCCTGATCGCCTGGCCGGCATCAGCGTGGGATCCCCGGGACGTCCCACCTTCCTGGACAATACACAGGACTGGCCTGTGGGAACCAAGGACGTGCAAGCTGTTTTTGGCAAGGCCATCGACACGGCCGCCATCGCCAAACTACCCATCCAGCTAGTCGTCGGAAACAAGGACACAGAAATTCACGGAGACGAAGCATTCTGGGAGTGGAAGAAGGAGACCTTTGGTGATGGTGGCCTGCCCCCTATGAATGAGACACGAGTAGAGTCCATCGAGAAGTTGCGTGACTCCTGGTCGGCAGCGGGGATCCAGACTCAGTTTAACGTTGTGGATGGGGTGGCTCATCAAGAAACTGGGGTTCGTTCGACGGTGTTAGGATTCTTAGGGCCTTTAATCGCGAAAGGGATTTAAATAATAATCTATAAAAAAGGGATTAAATTTATGCTTATGTATTTTTTTTTTAAATATATTGGCTTTTAATTAAGAGTCTTATTATTTACATCTTATAAAATTATTATTAAAAGTTTATTTATATTTTAATATATTTAAAATTAACGTTTAAACGTTATTAATTTAAGCTTTTTACTTAGTTTTTATTAAAAAATTTAACATAATTTTTAATTTAAGATTTTAATTAAAATGTATTTTATATTATTTAAATTAATTTAATTAAACGGTTTAAATAATATATGTTTTAAATTAATACGATTAATAATTACGAAATTAATTAAATTTAAAAATTAAAAAATATTTTAAAAATAATATAAGTTAAAATAATTTATATATAACGTAATATTAATTAATATTATATTAACGATAAAATGTTTATTTTATTTTTTTTTAAATAACTTTATAATTATTAATGAGTTTTACTATGTGCATTACTTATTTTTGCTATCGGGGCCTTAGGTACACTACTATTAAGTATTATATATCTCATAAGTTTATTAAATCTTAAAAGCCGGGGCTTGTTTAAGCTATCCATCCCATTTATTTAAATAATTTTTCAACCATATATCGCATTATAATACAACCAGATTTAATAAAAGGAAAATCCAATTTTTAATTAATTAATATAGGCTTTAAATTAAGGCGATACATGGTCGTAAAATTATTTAAGTAAATAGGTGGCGGAACGAGAAGTACGTGATCATCCTTAAAACTATATTATGGGTTTTTAACGCCCTTAAAACCCTTAGGCTTAAACCTTATTAATTAGTTTTAATTTTAAATAATTTTTTAATCATATGTCGCACCAAGATGCCCCCGGGTTTAATTAAATGGTAATTTAATTGCTAATTAATTGATATAAATCTTAAACTAAGGTAATATATGGTTAAAAAGTTATTACGGTAAATATATTGTAAAGGGTTATGTGTGTAAGGCCTTAAGACCTTATAAGGCCTTTTAAGCCTTGTGGGCCTTATAAGCCTTAATGTTTTAAATATTATGTGATTTCCTTTTGTAGGATATAAGATTGTTAGGCGTTAGTAAATAAGAATAGCTTCTTTTTTATTTCTTAAGTTTTAAATTAAATATATTTTTATTAATATATTAATTTTATTTAATCTTATTTTTATATTTTTAAAGTTTTTCTAAATCGATTATTTAATAATTATTATATTATTTAAGAAAAAGATTTTAGCCGCTAATTTGGTACGATAATATTGCAATCCTTATTATAAAAAAGATATTAATAAATTATAAGATGAAGATATAAAATCTATACATTAAGCTTGTATTAAAAGCATTAGACGTTAAGTAAATATCTTTTTTAAAAATCCTTCCTTTTTTTTTTCTTTTTCATTTGTTTTAATTCCCTATCTTTTGCTTATTTTTTTAATTAATTTGATAATGGAAATAGAAATGATAATAATGATAATAATTAAAAGATATAATAAGTATTAAAGGCATTAGTGGATAAAGAATTATTAAAAGATAAACTAATTAATAAAAAGATTTTTTAATAGTTTAAAGCTTGTATTAAGGAATTAAAAAAATTTAAGAAAATATATATATAAATAAAAATCTTTAAAGTAAAAATAATAAACGAATTATTTTTTTTAAGAAGTTGTAAATTAAGTAATATTTATTGTTAAAGATCTTAAACGTTTAAAAACAGCGAATATAAGACCGATATTAAGATTAGCTTTATAATTATATTTTAGATGGAATAATTTTTTTAAAAGTGTAAAAAATGGTTAACTAATTTAAACTTAATTTTCAAATAAGTTCCTAAGAAATTTAGCAAGTCAAAAAAATGTATTTTATATGTTTTTGATTATATGGAAAGATTTTGTAAAATGTAATGGAAATGTTATATAAATAATAAGTTTAAAAAAAAGCAAGCTAATATATATGATAATTATATTAAATTTAAGGATTAAATATTTACATTTTTAAAGGATGCCAAGAATTAAGAATTTTAAATTGCCAAAATGATTGAATGAATAAAATAATTTTATTAATAACTCCTTAAAAACTTTAATATTTATTTTAACTTATTTAAATGTTAAGTTAAATTTAAGATAAATAAAACCAAAACCCTTTAATTCTTCTCCAAATTAAAGCTAAACTTTAGATAATACCTTAATAAATTTAAAGGTATAAAGCCAACCTTAAAAATAGCAATAATTAATTAGGTTTAAGGAAAATAAAATTCTTACTTAATAATAATTTCCAAACGTTAGCATAATAATTTAAATAATAATATATATGCTAATAAGTAACAACAAAACGATCGTTATAAACTAAAAAAACGAAATAATTAAGATAAAAAAAACGGTTTAAGTAAGAAAAAAAGAAAGAATCTATAAGATCGTAAAACCGAATAACGCATCAAATATTACACTTATAATAATAAAGAATATTTAGCTAATAATTATTTTAAAAAGAAGAAATAAAGATTAAAATTTTTAAAATAGAAAAAAAATTCTTTAATTAAAAAAAAAACAAAAATAATAAGTTATTTAATAAGTTATAAGACAAGGGAAAAGCCCCCGCTTCGTAAAAGCCTTAACTATAAAGCATAATGTTTAATTAAAGGTAAGATTGCGTTTTTATGTGTAAGCTATAATCGATGCATAAATAAAGATTAACATATATGCGAACATAAATAATTATATTAAAACCGATTATATTAATTATAAATTTGCTAAAGCTGTTAAACTTTAATAAATTAAATGTATAACGTTTATTTTATACGGCATAGGAGAGATATAATGCCTAACCTATAGCATTTATAAAGTTTCAATAACTATAATAAATAACCGTAGCATAATATATAACTTTAAACGTTTATATATAACGATTGATTAAAACCTCTGTATTAGCAGCAGTTTAATACTATTATTTATAACGACGTTTTAAATCGAATAGATTATTTTAGATTTTGAAAATAATCGTTAATAGTTTAAAGTGAATATACCCTTATATAAAATTCTTACCCCTTATAAGTTTATAAAATACTCCTTTAAAAACGAAGCTTACATTTTTACTATTATTAGCCTTACAAAGATATTTTTTATTTTTATCGATAAAAGAGGCAATATAATTTTAAACCCCAACAAAAAAGTTAACACCCCCTTAAAACTAAATGAATTTTTAGACATATTTAAACATGAACGTGCTAATAATATCTTATCTTATAAAAATATAAACCATTTTATTAAAATACTGCTTAAACAGATACCCCCTTATAGCTTAATCTATCTTTTAGCAAAAAATAAGTTGAAACTATTGTAAAAATATATTAAAGAAAATGTCAAATATAAAAAAATATAAAAGTCTAAAAGCCTAACAAATACACCTATTTTTTTCATACCTAAAAAGAATAAAGGACTACGACTTTACGTCGATTATTACGGTCTAAATAAAATGACTAAGAAAAATCGATACCCTTTATTTCTTATTTTAGAGATTTTTAACAGAATTAGTAGATCTAAGATCTTTTTTAAAATTAATTTTAAAGATATTTATTATCGAGTATAAATTAAAAAAAGAGACAAATAGAAAACGGCGTTCTAAATATAATATAATTAATATAAATATCTAATAATACCATTTAAGCTAATTAATATCTTAATAATTTTTTAAAGTTATATTTATAAAACATTATATAGATATATTAACATATTTTATATTACATACTTAAATAACATTTTGATTTTTTTAAAAAACCATATAAAACATATAAAACATTTATGTAAAATTATGTAAAGATTATATGAGAACGGTTTTTATATTAAACCAACCAAATATACATTTTATATAACAGAAATTAAATTCCTTAGATATATTATTTTTATAAAAAGAATAAACATAGATTTTAATAAAGTTGTAATTATTTAAGAATAGTTAATGCCCACATCATATTACAAGATTTAACAATTTTTAAGATTTTGCAATTTTTATAAACGATTTATTAAAAGTTATTTATAAATAGTAAGACTTTTAAACAATCTATTAATTGAAAATATTAACGATAAAAAGCCAAGAAAAATTAAATTCGATAATAATATACGAATAGCATTTTATAAATTGCGTAATACTTTTATAAAAAGCTTTTTTTTTTGTCATTTTAACCTAGAATTTTTTATAAAACTTAAAACAAACGTTTTAAACTTTATTATATTTGGCATTTTATTTTAATCTAACGAAAAAAGAAATTATTATCCTATTATTTTTTAGTTTTAAAAGTTTAAAAAAACTAAATTACGATATAACACGTCTAATTAAAAAATAATAGCTATTATAAAATTATTTAAATATTAGCGACATTATTTCTAAAGCAGCAAGCATTTTATTAAAATACTATCTAATCATAAAAACCTTAAGAATTTTATGCAACAATTAAAGTTTAACGGTAGATAAATACGATAATATATACTCCTTGCCTTATACGATTTTAAAATTATTTATTAAAATGGTAAAATTAATCCAGCCAATATACTATCCCGACGCCTTAATTATTAAAAGTAAGATAAGACCAACTGGAAAGTTTTTATATTTAAATCAAAGATGATATTAATATAAACATTTATAATTAAGTATAAGATATTTGCAAATATATGTAATATATAAACGTTTTATTATAATAAAGAATATTTACTTAACAAAATAAATTTAAACAGTCTTAACAATTTTAAAGATAATAACTAATACAATTTTAATTTAAATAATATAAAACTTATCGATATAAACATATCGGATTTTAATAATTTAAATTTAAAAGATCTTATAAGCGATAAAAATATGTAAGGTAGTAATTTAAATATTAAAAAGTTTAAAATAAGAATATAAATGTTTTTAAAAATAATCGTTTAAGTATTTGCTATAAAAGAAAAACCTTATACTAATTAAAGCTTAAATAGTTTTAAAAGGTTATTAAAAAGTATATAAAATATCGATCTAAACATTTAACAAAAAAAAACCACCTTATAAACCTTAATAAATAAAGTTTTTCGTTATTAAAGCATTAGTAATAACAGCTTAATTAAATATTAAAACCAAATTTAGATTTCTAATAAATAAAATATTAAGGAAGAAATAATGTTGCAATATTATAATAATCTATTTACAAGATATTTCCGTATTAAATGTATATATAAACTTCTTATAAAAAAATATTATTAGAGAAATATAAAAATCGAAATTTAAAAATGGATCAAAGGTTATAAGATTTGTTAAAGCTTTAAAGCACCTAAGCATAAACCTTATGAAAATCTTAGATTATTTTTTTTATTTCAAAATTCTTAAAAAAAATTAAATATGGACTTTATTACTAAACTTCCGATAATATAATATAAAGGAAAGGAAATTAACGTAATATTTGTCGTAATAAATAAATATATAAAGATAATAAAATTTATATTTATAAATATAGATATTATAATAACCGACTTAACCGAACTATTAAAAAAACATATCTTCTCTAAATACAATACACCAAACAACATTATTACCGATAGAAGTTTCGTTTTTACAAGTGATTATTAGTTAAAGTTATGCTTTTATTTCCAAATAAAACGTCGATTATTTATTACATTTTATTTCCAAATAAACGGTTAAATAAAAAAAGTTAATTAAATTATCGAAAATTATTTATGTTGTTTTATTAGAAACGAATAAACTAATTAGCTAATATTATTACCATAAATATAATTTATATATAATAATATAAATAACGTAATAATAAATATATCATTTTTTATAATATTTATAAGTTATTATCCAATAATTTAAGTTAACGTTGATAATAACATTTAAAAAAGAAACATATTAATAACATGCGATCAAATGATTAAATTAAAGGCAATTCATAAAAAAATAAAGGATTATTAGAAATATATAATTAAATATTAAACCAAATATTATAATAAATATTATAAGCCACTTACATTTAACATAAGATTTTTAGTAAGACTTTTTATTAAAAATATCAAACTTAAAAAGATTAAATCGAAACTTATATTTAAGTTTATTAGATTTTTAAAAATATTAAAGCTAATAGGCTTTTTTACATACCGATTTACACTTTCCGATAAATATGCAAAATTATATAATGTATTTTTTATTTTATTATTAAAATTTTGATATATAAGAAAAAGAAATAAGTTATTGGATTTTCTATAAATATTAGAATTAGAAAACAACGACGAGGAATAGAAAGTGAAGAAAATTATTAGAAAAAGAAAATATTAAGGATAAACGTTATATTTAATTAAATAAGTTAAATAGTTATTAAAATATAATTAATAGGTAGATAAGGATAATATAAGAAACATATAAAAGAAGATTTAACTTTTTAAGAAAAAATAAAAAAAGAAAAAATAGAAAAAATATAAAATAGAATCGAAGGATATGTAAGATAGCGATTAAAATAATTACATTTAAGAAAAGGGGATAATTGTAAGGTTTTAAAACCTTATAAGACTTTTTAAGCCTTATAGACCTTATAAGCCTTAATGTTTTAAATATTATGTAATCTTTTTTTATAAGATATAAGATTGCTAGGCGTTAGCAAACAGGAATAGTTTTTTTTTTACTTTTTAAGTTTTAGATTAAATATATTTTTATTAACATATTAACTTTATTTGGTCCCATTTTTATATTTTGATATTGCTTAGTATAACCTTAGGAGGCTTTAAGGGCTTTAAGCAGCTCTAAGGGCTTTAATGTAACCTTAAAAACTCTTAATCTAGCCTTAAAAGCTCCTAGTATAAATCTAAGGGTGATCACGTACCTCCTAGGTTGCAACCTGCTTATTTAAATAATTTTGCGATTATATATCGCCCTAATTAAAGACCTATATTAATTAATTAACAATTAAATTCTCTTTTAATTAAATCTAGTTACATGTTTATGGTTATATGTTTTAAAAAGTTATTTGGATTAAATTAAGGTGGGTAGTTAAAGGCGTTAAAGGCGTTAAATTAAGCTTAGATTTCAAAATTTAAGGCATATACTAATACTTAATAATAATATATCTAAGGTCCTAATAGCAAAAATAAGTAGTGCATATAGCAAAACTTTTATTAATTATATTAATTTAAAATAAATATAAATGTTACTATTCGTACTTTTATTTTTTATTATTAAGGCTTTATTCGTACTTTTATACATCTTATATATCCTTAAAACTTTAAATCCGGGCTTAATTTAACGCCTTTAACGCTTTTAACGCCCTTAGCTGCCCACATTAATTTAATCTAAATAACTTTTTAAAACATATAACTATAAGCGTGCAACCAGGTTTAATTAAAAGATATTTTAATTATAAATTAATTAATACCGGTCGTAAAATAAGGTAATACTCGGTTGCAAAGTTATTTAAAAAAAGTAAGTAAAAGCTTAAAAAATACGTAACAGTTTTTAAGGCTATATTAAAAGCCCTTAACGCCTTTAAAACCCTTAAATCCAAACCTTATTTAATAGTTTTAATTTTAAATAACTTTTTAAAACATAAAGTTAAAAACGTACAACTAAATTTAATTAAAAAAGAATTTAATTACCGATTAATTAATACCAGCCTTAGTTTAAAGCGATACGTAATTAAAGAATTATATTAATATTTATCTTAAAAATAATCACATAACATTTCTTAACGTGGCCTAAGCAGCTTTAAAGCTCTTAAGCGGCTTTAAGGGTTTTTAGCGTGGTACTAAAAGCTCTTAATGTAATTTTAAGGTTAGTCACGTGCCGCCCAACTTACCACCTACTTTCTTAAATAACTTTACAACCACATATCGCCTTAATTTAAGACTTATATCAATCGATTCATAATTAAATACGCTTTTAATTAAATTTAGTTACACATTTATGGCTATATGTTTCAAAGAGTTATTTAGATTTAATTAATGTAAGCAATTAAAGGCGTTAAATTAAGCTTAAATTTAAAGTTTTAAAAGATATATAAAAGTGCGAATAAAGCTTTAATAGCAAAAAATAAGAATATAAATAGCAACACTTATAAATATTATTTAAAAATTTTAATTAAAAGTTTTATTATTCGCACCTTATAAAATTACTATTAAAGCTTATTTATACCTTAATATATTAAAAGTTTAACGTTTAAGGGTTATTAGTTTAAGCTTTTTACTTAGTTTTAATTAAAAGATTTAATATAACTTTTAATAACTTTTAATTAAAATATTAAATTAAAGTGTATTTAATATTATTAAAACCGTTTTAATTAAGGTTTTTAAACGATATATGTTTTAAATTAATGCGATTAATAATTGTAAAATTATTTAAAAAAAAATGAAATAAACACTTTATTATTAATGTAGCGTTAACCGGCATTACGTTATGTATAAATTATTTTAATTTATATTATTTTTAAGGTGTTTTTTAATTTTTAAATTTAAATAATTTTATAACTACCGGTTATATTAATTTAAAATATATATTATTTAAATCGTTTAATTAAGTTAATTTAAATAATATAAGATATATTTTAATTAAAGTTTTAGATTAGAAGTTATGTTAGATTTTTTAATTAAAATTAGTTAAAAAGTTTAAATTAACGGCGTTTAAACGTTAGTTTTAAATGTATTAAAATGCGAATAAGTTTTTAATAATAATTTTATGAGGTGCGAATAATAAAACTCTTAATTAAAACAATTTTAATAATTTTAAATATATTTTAATAAAATTTTTATATTTAAAGTTATATTAAATTTATTAATAAAAATTAGTTAAAAAGTTTAAATTAACGGCTTTTAATCGTTAATTTTTTATATATTAAAGTGCGGATAAGTTTCGATAGTAATTTTATAAGGTGCGGATAATAAAACTTTTAATTAAAAGTAACATTAAATCCGTAATAAAAATACATATATTTCGTTTATAATAAGAGTTTTGCTATCCGCACCCTTAAAAATTGCTATCGGAGGCTTATTCGCACCCTAGTACATCTGGAACTAGCGTTCGAATGCCGTTGGTCCGAGCGCCTCAGCTAGCTTCCGTCAAAAGATCCAACATAACTTCCAATTCAAGACTTTAATTGAAGTGCATCTTGTATCGTTCGAGTCAGCTCAATTAGACGGTCCAAATGATATATGTTTCAGATTGATGCGATCGGTGGTTACGAAGTTATTTGAATTCAAAGATCAAGAAGCACCTTGAAAATGGTGCAGGTTGAAGTGGTCCGTGCATCACGTAGTGCCGGCTAGCGCTACACTAGCGGCAAAGCGTCTATTTCACTCTTTTCTGAATAACTTTACAATTACTCGTCGCGTCAATTTGAAACATATATCGTTTGGAAGCTCTAATCGAGACGGTTCTAATGGTGCTAGATGCACTTGAATCCGATTATTCAGTTGGAAATTATTGGAAATTGTGTTGGATCTTTTGATTGAAGCTAGCTGGAGAGCTCGGACCAACGGCGCTTGAACGCTAATTTCTTATGTACTAGGGTGCGGATAAGCCTCCGATAGCAATTTTTAAGGGTGCGGATAGCAAAACTCTATAATAAAGCAACATTAAATCCGCAATAGGAGTACATGCATTTCGTCCGCAGTACTACCTGGTCTCACACACAAATTCCAATTCAATGCCACAACAAACCCACCCCAGCCCATCCAAACAATTTTTCCAAAGTCCCCGAAGACATTCATCTTTGTCGCCTCGACGAGACGGATTGATTGATATATGTTTCAGATCTCAGAAAATTCAATTGATCGAGGTATTGATTGATCTTTGATTGATCTCATCGGGCCCTACTGTATGGTGTCCTGAATCAAGGTGGTAACGCAGGTGGCCCATGCGCGGTACCGGTCGCAGCTCCAACCTCAAGTAACTCCTCCAATATGGCTCCTAGAGAGGTGCAACCGGAATCGATCTGCTCCTTGGATTGAGACCTTCAAATTGACATCTTCAATTGAGAGTTCGAGGATGGTTTGGTTGGGTCGGAATTGATTGACAGCTTGGTGTGTACTGGAGCCACCGGAGCTGCGCTACTAGCGCCATATTGCGGATAAAAGGCTAAGTACTCCTATTACGGATTTAATGTTGCTCTATAATTAATAACATGTATAAAAAAGTTAATAATGTTTTAAAATATTTTAAAATAAATATTATACGCGTAAAAAGCTATGTTTTTAATAAAAAAATCATTTTTATAGCTTAAATAAATATTAATAATCTTTTTAATTTTATCGTTAAATTTTATATATACTTTTTTATAACCTTTTTTTTATTCTTTTTTAAACATAATATATCTGGCTTTTTATAGTTTATATTTAATTATTTCTATATTTAAGTTGTTAATTTTAATTTAAATCTTATCTTAAATTTTAACATATTTATTAATATATTTAATAAAATAAATTTAATATTAAAAACGTTAAATTTATAATTTTTAATTATAATAAAAACCTTATTTAAAATAAAAATTAAATCCTTAGCCGTAATTATAAAGGCTTTTTTAAATATTAATTAATCGATTATTACAGCCTTAAAATCTAGTTAAATAATTAAAACTTAAAAAGTAGCTTAAACGATAATAATCACCTTATAAGGCAAAATTGTTATAGCTATTATATTTTTAATTAATATAACTTTATATAGTGTAATTATATTTATAATCGGTGCATTTATATTAATTATTTAAAAAGTAAAATCTTATGTTTTAATTAATGTTTTTTTTATTAAAAATAACGTTAATAATAATTAATTTTTAATTAATTTTAATAACAAAAATTATAAAAATAATAAAAAAATTAAAAACTTAATAATATAATTTAGTTAATATAATTTTATTTTAATAAAAATATTACTTTTCTTAAATATATTATAAATAATTATTTAAAATAATCCTATTTTTTAATTTATTAATAAATTTACAAAAATTAATTATTAAAAAATAAGTGTTATTATTTATATTCTTATTTTTTGCTATTAAGGCTTTATTTGCACTTTTATATATCTTTTAAAACTTTAAATCTAGGCTTAATTTAACGCCTTTAACGCTTTTTACTACCCACATTAATTAAATCTAAATAACTTTTTAAAATATATAGCTATAAACGTGTAACTAAATTTAATTAATAGCGTTTTTAATTTTAAATTAATTAATATAGGTTTCGAATTGAGGCGATATTTGGTCGTAAAGTTATTTAAGGAAATAAGTGGTAGCTTAAGAAGCATGTGATTAATTTTAAAGCTATATTAAGAGCTTTTAATGCTACGTTAAGGGCCTTTAAAGTCGTTTAAGAGCCTTAAAGCTGTTTAAGCTACGTTAAGGAGTGTTACGTTATTATTGTTAAGATAAATATCGACATAATTTTTCGATTATATATTATCTTAAATTGCAGCTGGTATTAATTAATTGGTAATTAAATTCTCTTTTAATTAGATTTAATTATATTTTAATGCGATATGTGGTTAAAAAGTTATTTAAGGTTAAAACTGTTAAATAAGGTTTAAATTTAAGGGGTTTAAGGGCGTTAAGGGCTTTTAATGTAACTTTAAGGGCTGTTACGTGTTTTCCGGGCTGTTATTTATTTTTTTAAATAATTTTACGATCGAATATCGTTTTAATTCGAGACTTATATTAATTAATTTAGAATTAAAAGCGTTTTTAATTAAATTTAATTATACGTTTGTGGTTATATGTTTTAAAAAGTTATTTAGATTTAATTAATGTGGGTAGTTAAGGGCGTTAAAGGCGTTAAATTAAGCTTAAATTTAAGGTTTAAGGGATATATAAAATATATAAAAGTACGAATAAAGCCCTAATAATAAAAAATAAGAGTATAAATAATAACATTTTAAAAAATTATATATTTAAATAATTTATTAATTGATAATAATAAACCTATAACTTTTAATATATTTTATAAATTCTATAATTTAAAACATTATATCTATATTTTAAAGAGTCTTGCTATCCGCACCCCATAAAATTGCTATTGGAGCTTATCCGCACCCCAGTACATTGAAAGCTTAGCACAAAAGGTCCGAGCTTCAAAGCTTCAATCGTCATAAAACCACATATTCCCTCATTAACATAAGCCACCGCCATGGTGCATCCTATGCCATTAAAACCGCCTCAATTAGACCTTCCAAACGATATATGTTTCAGATTGATCCGACCGGTGGCTGCAAAGTTATTCAAGTTGAAAGATTGCAGTCTACCTTGAAAATGGTACAAATTGAAGTGGTCCGTGCATCACGTGATGCCCCTCGGCTAGCGCTACACTAGCGGCAAAGCGTCTATTTCACTCTTTTCTGAATAACTTCGCAACCAGCGGTCGTATGAATCTGAAACATATATCATTTGGACCGTCTAAATGAGACGGACCTAATGGTATTGGATGCACCTCAATCCGACTCCTAGGTCTGAAGTTATGTTAGATCTGTTGATGGAAGCTAGCTGGAGAGCTTGGACCAACGGCCCTTAAACGCTAATTTCTCATGTACTAAGGTGCGAATAAGCTCCGATAGCAATTTTATAAGGTGCGAATAGCAAAACTCATTTTAAATAAGTTTTATTTTATTATATATTATTATTTATATCTTCTTAAAAATGTTAATAAAATTAAACTTATAAGCTTAAATAATTTTAATTAAAATAAACTTAAAACTGTTATAGCAAAAAACTTATTTATTTAACATAAGGTAAATTTAAAATTAAATAAATATATCACCTTAAAATAATTAAATAAAATTAATAAAAATAATATTAACTTTAATTAAAAAAAAAATTATAATAAATATTATAAAATAAACTAACGTCATATTAATATATATTAAATCTAATAATTACATAATCTTTAATATTAATAAATATAAAAACGTTAAAATAAAAATATTTTATATGTTAAAATAAATAAGGTGGTTTTATAATCACGGTGGGTTGCAAATAAAAGGTTAAAATCATAAATGTAATTAAAGTTATTAAGTAAGATGGAAAGGATTAAAAATCTTTTCCTAATTAAAGTAAGTTATAAAAATAAGCATAAACCATGTGGATTACGTGATTGTTCCCCACAATTCCCACACTATATGTTATAACTTTTAGTTATAAAAATTCTTGCCTTTTTTAAAAATAATATTCGTAATAATATTAATATTTTTTAAGATCTTTTAAATAATATTATCTTAAAAAATAACTTTAATTATAGCAATTAATTTAATAATATATCTTTTGTGACGTTAAATAATAATTAAGATAAAGGATTTAATATTCTTCATCTAAAAGTTATTTTATTTAATTATAAAAAAGTTAAAAAAAGAGAAGAAAGAAATATCTGTTAAGATGTTCCTATTTTTATATAGTTTTCTATAATGGATATTTTAAATAATATCTAAGGTTTAAAAGATAAGTACGATTTTAAAACCTTAGGTTTTAAAGATTATATCTATTATAATAATCCCCCTCCTTTAATAAAACTTATCTCGAATTTTATCGTTGCCTTTTATAAATTTTTAAGATATTAGCCTTATACGGCTTATTGTCATCTTTATATGAGAGGTTAAAGCTATTTTTCTTAACCGCCTTTAACCATATGTCGAAACAAAGTAGGAGATTTGCAGTTTTTAGATTTTAATTATAATATTCCTTTAATAATTTTGTAAAATTTTTAAAATTATTTACTAAATACCACTTAAGATCTGGATTATAATCTTTCCATTTTATTTGGTATTATAATTTTTTATAATAAAGCTTTAATAATTTAACCTTTTCTACCTTTTATTTTTTTTTATTAAAATTTAAGTTAACAATTTTACTATTAAAATTAGTCAAATCTTATTTTAAGATAGGATTATTAGGGTCTTTGTGTAATTTGTTAATGTTAAACTATTTTTGACCTTTTTAGAAGTGGAAGAATTTTAATTTATATATATTTAATTTTATAAAGTATTTTTCAATGATTTTATAAGAGATTAATATTATTAAAAAATTTAATTTATTATTAAAGCGGTCCATTTATATGCCTACCTTATTATAAATAAATATTTAATTTTTAAATTTAAAATTTGATTCCTTTTTATATTAGTTTACACTATAAGTCTATTGTTTTTATACGCGTTATACTATTCGTTTTACAAAGTCTTCCCATTTTTTTATTTGTCAAGCTATATTTTAGGCTTCTTTTTGTAATATACGTTTTAGAATAGGTAACTATTCTAAAGATCTTATTTACGCTTTTTAATCGTAAGTCGTCCGTATAAGCTTTCCTATTAAAACTTATTAAAAAAAGATACCCCTTAATAATTTATATAATATTAACACTTAAACCTTATTTATAATTAATAATGCCTAAGATTAATTATCCTAGAAATAATTTACAAAGGGATATAATTTTTGGTTAATATATTTATTTATAATTTCTATTTATCTAAATGATTATTTATAGCTGGTTATAGCAAATTCTAACTTTATTCTATATATTTAGAACATTTTATTAATAAAATAACTAGTAAATTATCTTCCCTGGTCGTTTATGATGGATATAGGCCATTTTATCTATTTGTAGGGACCGTTATAATATATCCAAACTATATCTTTTCTAATTATAATCTTATGATATAAGATGATCCATATTATCTTAATAAGTTTATTAATAACTATAAAAATATTATTATATCTGTTTTTATCTTTTAACATTTCTTTAAAATTCATTACGAAATATTTTTATTGTTTGTTTAAAATAGGGAAAGACAAGAATAGTTCTAAAATCTTATCCCTTAAAACCTTAATAAACTAGTAGAAGCAATTATTTACGTATTAGTTTATGTATGTATGCATTTTTAGCTATTAATATCGACTGGATATTAATTTTTTAGTTTTTTCTTTCCCCAGGTAAGCAAATCTAAACCAAATATATACTTTTTTAATAACCTATATTTAAAGGAAATTTTGTTTGGGGATTATTAATTGTCTTTAGTATAATATTAATTCTCCTTTTATTTCCTAGTTAAGTTTTTCTATAAACCGCCTTTTAATTCAATAATTAACTAAC